GCGGACTTACGCTTAGGCGCTATAATATTATTAATAAAGTTGTTTTTATTAAAGTTCTTACTACTAAGCTATATCGTAAGAAGTTTAATAGTATATTAAGTATAAAGAGTATACGATACCGTACCTAGAGTTTTATATAGCTATATTACCTATAGTAATATATTTTAGATATTAATAAGCTAGAATTTAGATTAGGAAGGAACGCTTTTTATATTCGATTCGAATACTTACCGACTAGGCTACTACCCCTATTCGCTAGTAGATAAACGGAATATTCGATATATATACCTTTAGACGGCGCTTTTATATAATCGCCTAATATAGAAGAAGTAGGTATATCCCTACGAAAAAGCTTCTATCTCTCTATATCTATAAAGTACTACTCTACGACTCGTAAGCGATACGTAAGATATACGTATATATAGTCGAATAGAAACCTAAAAATAGGTATTTATCGCTCTAACCTAGAACGACTTTAAACGAACTAAGCGACCCTCTTCTCTATAACGATAATATAATATATAGGCGATTCGGAAACGAGCTAAAGTTAGCTCTCCCTAGAGAGAGAGGTAATTATAAAAGAATACTAAGAGATATTTAGAAACCTAAAAAAGACTAAAGTAAACCTTCCCTACGTAATAGTATATATAATTCCCTAGTATATATTTTATACTTACCCTATATAAAAATAGAGAAAGTAGAAGTTTATTCTACGCTTAACCTAGTACTAGGTTAATTAGAGTTCTATATATTACTATAACCCCCTATTATAATAGCCCTATTTATAAGCTATTATTATATTTAACTAGATATTATAGAAGAGTATCTATAATACTATAGTATATATAGAGATTTTTATTAATAAGATACTAGAACTCGTAATATTATTCTTTTATTAGAGCTAAAAGTATCTATAATATATTATAGTAGCTAGCTAGCGTATCTATAAAGAGCCTAGATAATACTTTTCTTAAAAGCTATAAATATAGTACCTTAAGCTATTATTATATTAAGATATAAGGATATAAAGGAGACAGTGTTAAGACGCGTTAGTTTGTTAATACAGCCGAGAATAGTATAGTATTAGTAGTTAGGCTAGTAGGGGTTACTAACGTTTGTACTAGGGACTGTAGATAAGGCCACCCTCCGCGACGACAGCAGCCTCGTCACCACACCTCCGCAAGATCACTCTGCACTGGATATGGCAGCTCGCCTGCGGAACCAGCCAGGCCAAGGTGATAGATCTTCATTTGAAGGACTCGTGAATCCGACGCCGCGGGCCTGTCAGCAGCTGCAGGACAAGAGACAAGGTCCACGCGATCGGAAGCGCCACGAGCCACGAGGCGCGCCCTGGAATTCCTCGGCTTGGGAGTGGTATCGGTGCCATTGGAGGGATGCATGCTTTCTCGTCGCCAACGTCTGCGATAGCACGTCGCCGTGGAAAGACAGCTCTATCACCACATTGCTTTTGCGCTCATCCATCAGGTAAGCAGCTATCCTGCGACGTTCGATACGAAGGGGATGCGAAACGAAGCCCGACAACCAACATGAAACGTTCATCATGAGGACGGATTTTAGCCTCAACGCCTAGGCATGCTTTGCCGCATGTGAAATAATTTGCAAGCTCCCTCTCAACAGCCGTGGGCATTTCTTCGAAGGCTTGGCCAGAACAAACAGCTTGTTTTCCACCGCGGTCTGGAGACTGGAGTGGAAGTAGTGTGTGCGAACTGCTTCGGGGTCGATGTCCATTCCTTGTCTGTTCGTCACAGAGGCCCACCAGCACCAGCACCACCAGATGAGCGAGCGACTTTTCAAAACGGCACCCTCCGGAACCAGACACTCAAGACAATCAGCTTACCTTCTCGCCCAAGATCATCAGCCACAGTGACCTCGCCTTCAGCCAATACTATATGATGAGTGATACTGCTGCCCAAGACGCGACTCGCGAACCACTACTCCAGTCGCAGGATCAAACAAAAGAATTCCACGTATCAAAGTCGACGCTGCCACCCTCTCCACGTCAGCGTCAGTCGACCCTCCAAAACTCTTCGAGGCAAGTGAGCACACGACTCAACCATTTTGTAAGTTGGGACCGGTGTTGTTGCTAACCATCGTAAAAACTCCGGTTCGAAGCTTGACGAAAATTGGAGAACCCTTGTGGAGTTCTTGCTATCAGTCTAGGCCGGTAGCTGCCTTTGCAGCCCTACCTTTGAGAATGAGAGAACGAGCACTTCGAACGATAGTACTTTGAATTGAGCGAGTCTATCGGACTTATCAAGATAAGGCGACGACTGCAACAACCGCCCAATCGATCGTCTTTGAAGGCCTCGCTATTGTGGCAAAGAACTGTTGATTGCAGGCGGACGGAAGGTCTCACATGGCTTCAATGTGAGGAAAGTATCGAAGCGTCTGATGTCTGCGTGGAAGTAAGTAAAGGCAAGAGCGATACCATCGAGTGCGAATGCCTGTGCACGGTCAATGTTCTGCTGTCAATGGCAAGTGCCTTCAATGTTGTCGCAAAGCCATCATTTCCAGGCAACATCTCACTGTCTTCATGTTCTTCTCCTGTACTGTATCGTATATACAAACCGTACCGCACATTGCATCTGCATCTATCCAATCGTCGTGTATTTCTACCGGAGTTGACACCCGAAAAACGATCAATCTCCAACATCCCGCATCCCCGCCAAGAAAATGGCAACGCGACCACGACGCGCCCTCGCGGATCTCACGCTGAACCAGCCGGAACCGGCAGGCAAAGGCCTCGCAGCATCCATCCACGCCCCACGCAAGATATCCCCATCACCATCATTTCCCACCACCACGACTTCCACCAAAACCCGGAATAACAATGAGAAATTAATGTCCTCAACTGCGTCCCGCCCAGCGAATCTCAGCAACCTCACCCCCTCCGAAACCCGTCTCCGCCGGCGCGAATGGAACCGCGGGCCCTTGACCGATCTCTTCCCCTTAATCCCCTCCGCACCGCTCGAACGCCTCCTCGACATCTGCATCGACGTGAAGAATTATACGTACAACCTCTCCGAGTCGAAGTTCTGGAATGCGCGGCGGCTGACTAGTATCGTCGTGGCGCACGTGCGGCATAATTACAGCGATTACGACCGGTTGTTGCGCGAGGAGAGGGTCGAGCGGTATGAGGCGCGGAGGCGGTCCGGGGACCAGGTGTGGAGGAAGTTGAGGGAGTGGTGTCCTTGGGAGGAGGCGAATCCGGTGTTGGAGAGGGCGTGGAGGGCGACGCTGGTGCCGCCTGAGGAGAGGGATCCGACGTGGGATCCGATGGATGTTGATGAGGAGAGTGATGGGGAGGGGGAGGAGGAGGCTCCGGTGGGTGGCGATGGGGTGGAGGATGATCCGATGGATTTGGATTGAGGGTTGACCACTATGCCTCGGGGATTTGGAGCCTTTCACGACGCAAGATGGATCTGCGGCTGTCCGAACGCATGATGGCCACCAGAAAGGTCCTGTTCCTCGACCGGCGTTCCTTCGCTCGTCATCTCGTGCGAGATGGGAATCGACCCATCAAAATCCTCCTTCTTGTGGGGATCCCGACCAGGAGTTCTTTCCAGATACTCTTCGATGCTGGACAACGTCGGCTTAGTGTGTAGCCAGATCTCCTCGCTCGCGGCCGGTTCGGGGTGCCCTTTGCGCTTCATCTCCCAGCGCTTGAACTGCCGGAAAATTCTGGGCGACAGACGATACAACCACTCGTGCTTGATCTGTAGCCTCATGGCCATATACTTCTCCTTGGGCTTGTGCATGGCTGCGGACGGAATACGTTCCAAAGGACTGAGCTTCGCCTCCAACAGGTTCTCGTTCTTGTAAGCTCTGTTGACTTGTGCGAGATCGGCTGGAAGCGTATGGCTGAGAAATTCCAGACTCGCGTTGATGTTCAGATCCAGCGCTCGACGCGGGTTGGCGACCATTTTGAGGAAGAACGAACAGACGTTTGGGTATAGCAGCGAGAAGTCGGATTGCGAGACGTGTACGGTACCACGCAGAGTCATCAGCCACGATGGACATGGGTCCGGTTCGCTTTGCGCTTCTTCCACCAACGATGCCACCAGTTCGAAGTTGCTCGGCCAGTAAGTGAACGCCTCGCTGTTGATGGCAATGATCGGGGCGGAGATGATATGATCTGTCTCGCCGCGTGGCCGGGTCCCGGCGCCCCAGATGTCGTAGATTATGCCCTGGCTGATATAGTTGAATCGGTCGGTGTGTCGAAGCATCTCAACTGCTGTGGCCGCTCCAAAACTGTGCCCGCAAATCGTGACCGAGTCCGTGTGGATTGCATTCTTCCACCTCTCCCAATGAACGCCGTCCAAACCATGCCTGCTGGAGCCCTTATACCCCTTCTTTCGCAAGTTGCGTTCCGCCACCTTCTTGCCACGCCCCTTGTTCAAGTCACACATGACAGCATACGCCTCCTCAAGCTCCGCCATCCGCAAATCAATCTGCGCCTGCCTCAACTCCATATCCACACCTTTATCGTTGTTCGGCGCAGTGTCCTTCGGATTCCCCTCGGGAAAGATATAATCAATAATATCGAACCCACGATCATGCTCCTTCTTCAAATGATCGATATGTCCCCTCTTCTCGAGGTCCTCCGCGGACCCTTCCCCAGATTTCGCATGGTTGATATACGTCCGCGGCCCGGACCCATCGCGATGCTCCACGGCGCAAACGACAAACCCATAACTTGCAAACTCCCCGCACACGGACGAGTACATCGTCCTCGTCCCACCCAATCCATGACTAAACAAAATCATCGGAAACACAGGCTCCTCGCTCGCGCCCTCGGGTTTCGTCCCTCGCTCCACCTTCACCTGCTTGCCCCTCGTCTTCGTGTCCACCTCTGGAGCCCAGTACCGCGCCAAAGGCGAGTTTCTCCAGGCCGGCAGTTTCGTGTACATCGTCGGGAGGAAGACTGGAATCGCCAGAGGCCCCACGCCCGCAAACCGTCCATACCCCTCTGCAATGCTGATCCGCGGCCGGCCGAGCCAGAGTTCCCGCGAGTGTGCGGCGCGGCGCTTAGGCGCATCTGCTTTCGGGGGCGTCTGCTCGGCCGTGTAGCCGAAGACGGAGGCTGGATAGTAGATTGTCATGAGGACGGTTTCCAGCTGGAGTAAATGTCGATGGTGGCGTTTGATGTGTGAGAACGGGTGGGGATTCTCTGCTGGGACTTCGATTTCCATCGTACCGACTGGGTATGGCCCGGTGTATGTTGGGAGTGACCGGCCTGGGAAGAGGAAGTAGTCGCGGAAACCGCGTGGTTCTCTGGGTTTGGGTTTCTTTGCATGGGGGAGGCTTCCAGTCTTTTCGCTCCCCAGTTTGGGGTGGTCGGTTGGGAGCCTCATGGTCGCGGTGGAAGTGTTGGGGTAGAAACAGATGCCGTCACTTCATCACCAAAGAATGTACAGTGAAGGTAAGAAGTCGAAGAAATCGGAGCACCGCGACGCGGCCGCGGGTTAGCAAACGACGGAAAGCATTATGTTGGGGGGCAACAGCTATTATGTTCTCTGCAAGATACGAGAACGGTGTATAGTGTTTTCGGCGTGCTATCTGGTCAGTGGCTTTTGAGTGAACGGATGCAATGGAGAAGCTAGGAGCCCGCGGAGGTGACGTTGAAGGCGGCTTTCACATGCGAATTGCTGATTGGGTCGGACGAACTCCCGCTCGGTTGGCTTGGCTGACGTCGATGTATTCTCAGACGAAGACTTCAAGTGATTGCGGTATCGACTGTGATCCATTTGTGAAACTAACTAGCGACTCGTGGGAGGGTTTGACATTCCTTCGCTAACGCAAATGAGCTCGCGCGTACAGTGAAGCGCTCACCTCGACCTACTCGACAGTCGAAAGAGGCATTCTGCGGACGGGCAGGAAGCTATAGCTAAGAACACCTAAAAAGCTAGTTGGGCAATGCAATGAGCAATCAATCGACAGTTTGGATTTTGAGTTGATGACTGCGTCAACTTACCTCGTGCCTGCTGTCTGTGTTTTCTTTCGATGCTGGATAGAGAGACGTTCTTCGTTCGTCCCGTTGGTTTGAATCTCCCCAAGGCGTTATGCGATTCGGTTCGGTTCGGTTCTTCAGTGTTCACTCCCACGCAGCATTTCACCCTCCCTGCTTCTGCTTCTTGATGGGCAGAGCTGGCACGGCAAAGCCTTGGCTGTCCACCTTCGCAGGACCGCTCGTGTTCGTGCCACCGCCGACTTGAGTGAAGGTTCCTCCCTTGAACCAGCGATCCTCCTCAGCCTTGCGCTTGCGATTCATCTCATCGCGCACCTTCGGATCGACCAACTCAAGTCCTTGGACTGGAGTGAATGCAATCGTCGACACGGTACCACCGGTGTTGCCGACATTGGTCCTCAAGCCCGAACCCACGCCGCTCGTTCGCAGACCTTGAGCTTTGAGAGCTCCGGGAGTACTCGGACCACCACCAAATCCGCGTAAAGACGTCGCAGTCCCGCTCGCAGGAGTCGCACCACCCCAACCTGCATTCTTCTTCGAGAGCTTCGCTTTGGTCCGGTTGTCGATCTGCTGAGCTCGCACACGTCCGTCGTCTTGCGCTCCAACCATACCCAGACCCTTTGTGCTGTCACCATACCCGACTTCAGCCTCTTCTTTACCAAACACCATGCGGTTCTGAGCTTTGCGCAGATCAGTCATGGCGGTAGCCTCCTTCATCTTCCTCACTCGGCGTCCACCACGCTTACGCGATGGTTTGTCATCTGGAGCTGGCAGAGCTTTCACTCCGCTGTTTGGTGGTGCTTCCGAGAGCTTGTTGATGGCCTTCTCAACTTCATCAGCGAAAAGCAGACCTTGGTCGCCTGAAGGAGATTCGTGGGCAGCGTCTACTCGAGCCGCAAGCACGACTTTCGCGGCCAGTCTACGCATGGCCTGCTTCTTCAAGTCTTGGGGAACCGCGCGAATGATCTCGTTGTGATAGAGCACGCCTTGGTTCCGCACACCGACGTTGGTAGCAAGACCAGTCGCTCTGGCACTCTTCTTGTTGCCAAGGGATGGTAAATTGGCAGCTGGGGTCTTGCACAGGCCTGATATCCCTCCGACATAGTTGATGAGTTGCGCGGCAGTCGCCGATCCGATAAGTGCCGTCAGGTTGGGTGCGAACATGGACATGCGCGATTGCACGTAGTCAGTGAGTACCTTCTTGGCGTTATCAAGCTTGAGTGTCATCTGACATGCGCGCTTCACGGTGGCCAACTCGGACTCTGAAAGCGGGGTGCCAGTCGTGGTGGTTGCCTCGACAGTAACGACCATGAGAGATGGGCCGTCGAGGACTTGCTTCAAGGTCTGACCCACGATATTGTCGTTGCTCTCGCTGATCTTTCGAATGTCTTCCATCGGTCCATTGCCGATGATAGCAACTGCCTTGGCGTAGTCGAGCGGATTCTGAATGAGCGTCTCCAGCTCTGGGAAGCGCACCGAGTAGTGATCGCGAATGAACTTGTGGACAAGGATGATCTCGCTATCGATACCAGTGGAAAGAGTGTTCGACTGCGTGAGGAGCTGGTATTCCGGGTTGTCCTCAATCCGGCCAATGTTTTGGGTCTCCTGGCCTGGTGGCAAGCTTTTGTAGTATTGGATTTTCTGTAGCAGGCCGGGTTGGTTAGGGCTGTGTTCACAAGCGTTTGTTTAACGACGACGAGTTGGATGTATAATTGGGGAAGGGATGGCTTACCTCAAGCAATGGCTCCAGCTGCTTCATTAGACCTGCCACGCTGCGCACGTCGGTCACGTTCTGCAGCGCCATCTTCTCCACGCGTGCCTTGGTCTCCTCCTCCGTTTCGTCTTCCTCCATCTTCAAGTGACTTGGCACGTTGCTGCCATCCACATCATCGCCTGCCGCCTCTTCGTCTCCATCCAGCTCCATCGCTCCATCCTGTCCGCTGCCCGCCTCGCTCTTCACGCCGCCCGCTGTCTTTGACACATCACCAGACTCACCAAAGTACTTGTCATCAACTCGCTCCTCCTCATTCTCGTCACCCGAGTCCTCGAAGTCGTTGAACAGCTCGTCCGCAATGGTCGCCATCTTGGGTGGTGTGTGCGCCTAGGCGCGAGGGATGTGAGGCGATATCAGTCGAAGATCGTCTTCCGTAGAGGATGGCGGTGTTTTGGTTGACTTGTCGCGTGAAAGGCGAGGACGTGTTGTGGTTTTTGGAAGTGAAGTCGCAAGTTGAAGTGCGGGCAACTTTCAAAGTCAAAGCCAAGCAGGCTTTGCGGCAACATTTCTTTGCGCATGTGACAACCGACAACATCACCTCTTCTCCACCACATCACCACCCAACTGCCCTCACACTGAATAACATCCACCATGGAGTCGTCGCGCGGCCCTCCAAGGGTCAAGAACAAGGCCGCCGCGCCTCAGCAAATCTCCGCCGAACAGCTGCTGCGAGAAGCAGTCGACCGACAGGAACCATCTCTCACTGCGCCTACCCAGCGATTCGCCGATCTCGAGGAACTGCATGAATACCAAGGGCGAAAGCGAAAGGAGTTTGAAGACTATGTGCGCCGTAACAGACTTAACATGGGCAACTGGTTCCGGTATGCCGCCTGGGAACTGGAGCAAAAGGAATACAGGCGTGCCCGCAGTGTCTTTGAGCGTGCTCTGGACGTTGAGGCGACCAATGTGCAACTATGGGTGAGGTACATCGAGTCGGAGATGAAAGAGAGGAACATCAACCACGCGAGGAACTTGCTTGATCGTGCGGTTACGATCTTGCCTAGAATTGATAAGCTCTGGTACAAGTATGTGTACATGGAGGAGATGCTGGGCAATATCCCGGGGACGAGGCAGGTGTTTGAGAGGTGGATGTCGTGGGAGCCAGATGAGGCTGCTTGGAGCGCATACATCAAATTGGAGAAGAGATACAGCGAGTTCGATCGCGCGAGGAATATCTTCGAGAGATTCACGATCGTGCATCCCGAGCCAAAGAACTGGATCAAGTGGGCAAAGTTCGAGGAAGAGAATGGGACGAGCGATCTTGTAAGAGAAGTCTTTGGCATGGCGATTGAGACCTTGGGCGAGGAGTTCATGGACGAGAAGCTGTTCATTGCGTACGCTCACTTTGAAGCGAAGCTGAAAGAGTATGAGCGTGCGAGGGCAATCTACAAATATGCTCTAGACCGCATGCCTCGGTCAAAGTCAGCAATCTTGCACAAGATGTACACACAGTTTGAGAAGCAGTTTGGCGATCGTGAAGGCGTGGAAGATGTGGTGCTGTCAAAACGAAGAGTTTTGTACGAGGAGCAGGTCAAGGAGAACCCCAAGAACTACGACGCCTGGTTCGACTACGCTCGATTAGAAGAGACAGGTCAGGATCCGGAGAGAGTACGGGATGTGTACGAACGGGCGATCGCGCAAATGCCTCCAAGCCAGGAGAAGCGACACTGGAGGCGCTATATCTACCTGTGGATCTTCTACGCCCTGTACGAAGAAATGGAAACGAAGGACCTGGTACGAGCAGCCCAAGTCTACGAAGAAGCCATCAAGATCATCCCCCACAAGAAGTTCACCTTCGCCAAAGTCTGGATCCTCAAGGCCCAATTCCACCTCCGCCAGCAAGAGCTCGACCGCGCACGCAAAACCATGGGCATGGCAATCGGCATGTGTCCCAAAAACAAGCTCTTCCGCGCCTACATCGAAATGGAACTCAAACTCTTCGAATTCGTCCGCTGCCGCACCCTCTACGAGAAATGGATCGAATTCGACCCCTCCAACTCCCAAGCCTGGATCAAATTCGCCGAGCTCGAACAAGGTCTCGAAGACCTCGAACGCACCCGCGCCATCTTCGAACTCGCCGTCCAGCAAGACGTCCTCGACATGCCGGAGCTCGTCTGGAAGGCGTATATCGATTTCGAAGAAGGCGAGGGCGAATACGACAAGACCCGCGAGCTGTACGAACGTCTCCTCTCCAAGACCGAACACGTCAAAGTCTGGATCAGCTACGCGCATTTCGAAATCAACGTCCCCGACTCCGCGGACCAGGTCGCCGAAGACGAGGACGCGGCCGTCAGCGAAGTGGCCAAAGCCCGCGCGCGGAAAGTCTTCGAGCGTGCGCACAAGCTGTACAAAGAGCGGTCGCTGGTCGAGGAGAGGGTGTCGCTGCTCAATGCCTGGAAGGCGTTCGAAGATACGCACGGTAGTGAGGAGGACAAGGAGAAGGTGGCGAAGCAGATGCCGCGGAAGGTCAAGAAGAGGAGAAAGTTGGACGATGATTCGTTCGAGGAGTATATGGATTATGTGTTCCCGGCGGATGACGAGAGTAGTGCGAAGATGAGCAAGCTCATGATGATGGCGCAGAAGTGGAAGAGGGAGAAGGAAGGAGGGGCGGAGGCTTGAGGTGGTGGTATGTAGGAGTATGTTGTTGAAGATCCGAGGTCGAGAATGAACATTTCACACGTGCAGTATTACAATCTTTTCTGACTTTCATTGTTTGCAGGCTGACATTGCTTTCCTGGTCTCATTATTCTAGTAAGCGCGTGGACTGTCGTCAGTCTTCTCATCATGTAACCACCCAATCCCAATGCGTCTGTCTCCATGGTGATGGCACAAAAAGCCTATGGTACATGTTATACAAGCAGCGTCATTCCCTCCCCTCGCCTCTCGCATGCAAGTCCCTCGCTCTCATATCACACTCGCCCGACTCCCCCTCCCAGTCAGAGGTCCCTCATCTCCACTCGGCTGCCGCTTCTTCCGCAGCTTTCGACGACTGTCCGCACTACTTGACCGAGGCCGTGAGCTGTTCTGGAGACTGACAGGCGGGCCGTCGAGGGATTGCTCGCCGGGCAGGGAGACGTTGAAAGTGCCGGGTTTGAGGATCTCGAAGCCCGTGCCGTGTCCGCGAATTACGGAGGAGGTTCGATGTTCGAATGAGGGGCGCTTTGGTTGTTGTGACTTCGTGTCGGCGTCGTTTTGTGGTGGGACGTGGGCTGGGAGTTCGATTGGGGATGCTTTGATTGGGCTTGAGGGTGCTGATACGAAGCTATCGTGCGAGTCGAGTCTTGGGCGAATGGTGAGGTTGCTGTCTGCGCTTACTGGGCGGTATCCTTCTGGTAATGGCGAGGGCGGTGCGGTCTGGCAGAACTGCGTGAAAGGCGTGACGTTGGGCATACTGGATCGACGGATCTCCGGTGGGAGAGATTCGATCTTTGGACTTGTAGGTGAGGTGTTGGATGAGATTTTCATCAAGCTCGAACCTTCGCCGGGCGATGGTGAACGCTGGCGTTGTTGACCGAAGTAGTCACCAGGCTCAGAGCTCGATGCAGGTAGGCCGCTGGTAGCGATACTTGCCCATTCGCCACTGAAGCCAGGCTTGCGTACTCTCGGAGCAAGTTGACCTGTCTCAGCAGCTTGAGAGATGCGATTGTGGTGCATGAGGTCGAGTTCATATGACTTTTCCCTAGGCCTGGCCTGTTGGTTGAGCAATCGAGGCGCTGATGCGGCAATCGGCTCGGTATCGCTCGTGCCGTTGCTCGATTGGTTCGAAGAATTGTTGCTTGCGAAGTTGTCGTTCATTGCCTCGTCATGGTCGTTCATGGGCCCAGATGCTTGGTAGAGTGCCTCGAGAGCATGGAGTGTGCTGGTGGCCGAATCCTGGCGGAGCAGATACGGCTGTCCGCTGAACTTGGTCAACGAGGAGGGAGGATGGCGGGTTCGTGCAGGTTTGGCGATAGGTGTGTCCGGTGAAGAGTCTCGACTGGCATGGCTATTTGGAAGACGTTCTGCCGAGACTGCTCGATCGAAACCGGAACTCGGAGGTCGCGCAGTGCCTGTTGTAGAGTTTGAATCGGATCTGTCGTGGAGTTGAATAATCTCGACTTGCTTCTCGATGTCGACCCTGTAGTCTTTGCGTGGTACGTGATCCCAGCCAGATGAAGCTCTGGAGCTGTCGCGACTGCCAGGCTCTGGGGTGTTGTTGCGCGACGAGTTCCAGACACCCTCGACGTCCGCACCGCTTTCAATGGCTCTGATGCCGAAGGGAACATCTGCGGCCTGCTGTTCGGCGGTCCGCTGACGTTGGCTCATAGAGCGCTGCAATGCCTGCTCCTGCTTCTCCTTCTCGGCCAGCGCGACATATTTACGCAATTTCCAATGTGTGTGGCCAAGTTTGGCGCCGCCGAGGGCTACCGTGACAACAATAGCACATGCGAGGATCTGCATACCTGTCAGCTATATGTACGCTGGTCGCGCATGCCAGCGCTTGCCACATGGAGTAATATCTACTTACGAATACCAGTTTCTGCCAAGTGGCCCAGTCGGTGAAGAATTTTGCCATTGCGAGTGTGATGTGTCGCCAGCATGTGTGTCGAGGGCAGCGGCGCAGGTTAAATGTATGTCAGGAGTCGTGGGTCGTGAGCTGGTCACTGGTGCTGTAGGTCATCTGGGGAGCACGTCAGTCAATGCCGCTTCTTATTGTCGAAGTCGCATTGTCGCGTGGAGAAATGGAAGAAGTCGGGGTGAAGGCGGCGGGGCGGCGGCGGCTTGACATACACACTGCGTGAATGTAGCACGTCCCTCGAAGAAATGACGAGGTGACGTTGGTTGGAGGAGGCGTGTGCGTGTGTCGCTGAAAGCACCACCGCGACCACACCCGCCAAAATGTTGGACCGCCAGGATGCCCACAGACCACCAGATGTCCCAATGATCGAGCAAGCGACTGGAATAATCAATTGATTGCTGGCCGGAAACATTCAATTGCAACTTTTCATTCCGTTTTGCTGTTTGCCGTCGTCGAATGTCCGTGGAGAGCTGTCGTCGCTCGCGTAGGCGTCGTCGATGTCACCACCAATTAAACGAATGTGTGCCACCACCAGCTAGAGCGGTGAACGCCTTGGATCCGCAAGACACAAGAGAATGGACGGCGTTGTCTGCCCGATTAGTACGCACGGCTGGCGAAAGAATGTAGCAAGAGCGCGAACGACTGGAGGCTCAAGAAGAAGCATCATGGCGAACGTGGAGTGAGCCCACCACTATGGTCGCGACAACAGCAAGCATGGCCAACCTGGCGAGGTGTGCGACACTCGCGTCGTCAGGTTACCGTTCCGTCTTTTTCGCCGCATATGCGAGTCCCCGTTTTGGTGAAACGAGAGGCGTGCTTCTTGCGCCATGAGCGATTCATCTTCGACCACCCATCCCGCTTTCAAGTACTTCTGGCCGGCGATACCGACACCACAACGTATGCTGTGCCATCGTTCAGCTTGTTCGCGAATGCCTCGTGGAAGACGACAAGTCCCAAGCTCTTGGTTGTGTCCCGGCGAAACACGATGCTGTTGTCCCAAAACAAGGGGTCAGAGAAGGCACCTCTAGCCCGTTTGGGATGAAGACGAGTCCGATCATGCTCTGTACCTTGCGGAGAAGCACGAGTCGATGCAAGATCGGATGTCTATCCAGTTTGCCTATAACCTTGCAGGAGCTTTAGCAGGCCAGTTTCTTCAGGCAGTCAGTCCGATGGTCTTCAATAGGAATCGTTCCAAGGGGCATGATTTACGAGAGTCGATCGCGTTGAGGCACAAAGACGCTTCTGTATCATGACGTGCCCGACAGCATGGTACACCTGTCTGTCTAGCTTCTGGTAAAGTGACTTGTCACACCAGAAGGCATGCGAAGGAACAAAAGAGGAGGGAATTATGACGTTCGAAAAGGCTCTCAGACTTCGCCAAAATCGAATCCTTCGACGGGGTCCGCACAAGCCGAAACCCAGCCCCAAATTTCGACAAATTCCGGCACCTTGACTCGACCCATGCTTCACCACAATGTCACAAAAGGATGCAAAAAAGATAGCTGAGAACGGTTTCGATCCGTTGCCCTCCGGGTTATGAGCCTGGAATCGTATCAGTACAAATTCAGCGCAATAAGGCTTTGAGGCGACCCACCCGGCGCGCTTCCGCTAATTACAGGTCAGAACAATGATCTAGGAGTCTTTTGAGGCAGTGTGTATCTACCTGCGCCACTCAGCTTGTTGAGAATTGAGCCATGGAGCATTCCAAACTCGCTGCTGATTGGTAGAGAGTGAACTTGTGTCAAATTATATAGCTCAAGACGGGAACTTCCGCGTTGAGCCGTCTACCATGCCCTAGGAACACACTTCTCGGCACGGAGAAGGAGAGGGAAGACTACTTGTGAGTTCTCCAACAGTACATAACTACGTTTCATGCTGACCGCAACCCCTTTGTTCGATCAGGCTGAGCAAAGCCTCAGCCTTGCGAGCTATGACTATCACGACCGAGCGCTGGTCTTTTGAAGCACCCTTAAGGCAGAGCAGAACGGAAAATGACGACAGGAGCCATTAAGGTCCTGACCAGTTCGTTTGAGGTGACTACGAAGTGTCCTTATTGTCTCATCAGCGACCCTTGGTCAAGCTTGCGGATCTGCATTCGAACCCACAGAGAATGAAGACTGGCTTTGATCTAATGAGTATCTTAATCAGAATTGACAAGGTCCCCGTGGAAAAGTCTTCTTCAGTGCCATCGATCATATTGCGGCGCCCTTGCTGTCTATCTAATTTATCGAAAATTCTTGGAGATGCCGGGCTGGACACTTTCGAACCTTTCCAACACCTCTTTCCAGACCTTAACCGCGATCTTCTCTCCTCGCTCCGACGTCACGAACGGCGAAACACTGAATCAAAGAATATCAGCAACCTGCTTCAGCCTTGGGGAGATATCAAGAACTTACACCTCAGGCCGATCCGACCTACAATCGTCCAAATACTTGCCATCCGTATCTCGGCCTCCCTCAGCGGCATGCACCAACGTTCTTCCACCTTCCTCTGCGGTTCGAAGGAACGTTTTGGCCAAGACCTTGAGGAATATGCTCGAAAGAAAGCCATTCATCTCTCGAGTGATGTCGGTGGCGACGCCTCCTGGGTTCACGTATGAGGTGATAATGTGGCCTTTTGATGGTTGCCTCAGTTGGGCGTGAAGTTGGCGGAACGCAAGGAGTAGGATGAGTTTGGAGGTTGGGTATCTGTTGAAGCTGACGATTAGACACGAATCTTTGGAGTCGACTGGGGAGTGTCTGGTTACCTCTCAGCCATCCGAGCACTCTTCTCATCAGCCAGCTCCTCGAAGATCTTCTCCGCGTTCTGCTCCGGAAAATCGGTTGTCCAGTGCATCCAAGAACCATTGAACGTCAACACGACATCCGTATCGAACTCCTCCGCCGTGGCTCGAAGTTTCGGAAGCAGCGTCAACGCCATGAACAACGTTCCAAGGGTATTGATCCTCACACAGCTTTCATCGCCATCGATTTCTTGATACTTGTACGTCAGAGTACCAGCGTTCTCAACAACGACATCCAGACGGCGGAGAGTGTTGGCTCGCTCTGCGAACGCTTTGATCGAGCTGTAGTCGGCTAAGTCGACCTGCCAGACCTCAATGGCATCTTTCGAGCAGTGTGTTGTCTCTTGAATCGATTGAGCTGCGACTTGACCTCGTTCCAGGCTCCGGACTGCAAGAATTGTCTTCTCTGCTCCAAGACGGACAATGTGCCTGGCTGCTTCCAGGCCCATTCCACTGTTGGAACCTGTGACGATCACTGTCTTCCCGGCGAACGATTTCGTTGGAATGGGAAGCTTTACACATCTCTGTGATGTCCAAAAGTTGCTCAAGCTCAAGGGGACTGCAGGTGCCATTGTGAACGACAATTGCCTGGAAGCGATACAGTGATTTCGATGGATCTTCTCTCATAGGATCGACAACGGGGTCTCGCAATCGATTCGCATGAGACATGGAGACGACCATATTATTCTACTACTTATAACATCACTTCATCGACCAGAAGCATTCAATACAGTGAATCCTTTGAAGCTCAAAACGCTATAGCGCGGTGAGCACTCTGCAGGCAACCCTCTGCGACAATTCCTTCAACAGCTTAGCGTTGTGAGCACTTTGCATTAGCGCGAATGAGCTTCATCATCTGCTGCGTCCTGCTCACATTATCATGACCACTCACCAAGGCCGCGAAGACAACTATGACTACATGCAAGACATTTTCAATGGAACAACCAGTCAGGCCGAGTCCCAGCGAAGCCGAAAGAAGCAGCCGACGAATGGTCGATATCATTTCACCGTTTCAGAACGCCGGCGAGGACTGGTCGGGCCTCAAGGATCCACGAGCAAGGCGCAAACTCCAGACTAGACTGAATATGCGAGCTCACAGTACGTTCTGTTGCGCATGATATCCAGTGGCAGCCGACTAATGAGTGCTGGTGGCCGTAGGGAGACGCAAAGCCGCTCACGACAGTTCTCACGCTCCAAAGTGGAAAAGCAGCGAGTCGGCTCTCTCGCAGCGTAGCGACACCAAGTCGAAGTCTAGTGCGCTCTTTGCGTGTTGCATGCTACCCGAAGTTCGAGACCCAACGTATCTGGATGCAGCCGTCTTCGAGGCCAAGTCGGATCAGGCCGGCCCCTGGTCCATAGCACCAATCGACTCCAAGGGGTGTTGTCCCGTTGTCCAGATCCCTGGAGTTTCACATTATGGAGGTGACTTCTTTCCAATGTCGCTGGACCATCTTATCCGAATGATCGAGTACAGTAAGTATTATGAATCCCGCAGGGAACATGGTTAACATCCCTGCTATCTGGACAGACCTCATCCGAGCATTCGTCACAAACGCAGCAATTCTCGACATCCTGCATCTGCTACCAAGCAGCGAGACTTGCCCACCACTCCACGACAGGATGCTGCTCTTCCCAGTTGGCGGAGCTCGCAGAATCCCTGAGACTCTGCAGCCTTCGTACCTGCAGCGGTCCACGGATCACGCCTACGGGATCGACCTTTGGCCTGATGCAAAAATGCGTGATAATATCATCGTCGCCGTCGCCAGTGGTCTGCTAGATCAGCACGAGTTAGAGGCTGATCTCCTCGGGACCGTCTGTCCAAACACCGTCATCCAAAATCGCAATGCTGGCAGTCGTGGAGATGGACTGACAGCCAAAATTCCATCAGAGGAGGAGGAGAGAGTCTGTGGGGTCGTGGTCTGGACGACACCTTGGTGTGCCGATGGCTATGAGCTGTCGGAAGCTTTCATCCGCAAATACCGGTGGCTGCTGAGAGGATGCTACGACCTGCTTCGAGCGACGAATCGTTGGAGGGCAACTCGCGGCGAGGATCCAATTGTCGTGGAGCTGTAGTCCGCCCTGAACGTGCTCTCTTCCTCCGGTTCGCTCTGTCAGCTGTCATCGATCTTACTCCCCACGACCGGAGACCAGACTCCACGGGGTTTCGAACGTCAGTGAAGGACCTACTTGAAATAACCCACCTCTCGACACGTTCTAGCAGCCAGATGTAGAGGATATCGAACCAGGCGCCGTGGAATGTGTGGTCTACATGAGGTCCCTACTCATCGTAGACCTCCGACGTGTTCAGGTGCTCATCAGGAAGCTCGCAAATCTCACCGAATGCATCTCTCACTACTGCTCAGCTCAGCTCGTCGGCATCTCCTGCACACCACGCAAGAGGCGTCGCAAGTGGACTATGCCAATCGAGGAAGCCGGAGAATTAAATGCATGACTCGATCGGTTGCTCCACGCGCGATGTGAAGATCGACATGAAGGAGTCGAGTCCGTCCCACCAAGCCTAAACTTGGAAACGTCTCTACACCACGAGAAAACGACAACCGCGGCATCGTTTTTATTCTTTCCTTCCACACAGGCTTCCACGATACCAAACGACAAAACAACATATACAGACCATCAGCAAGCTATTATAGCTGCATACTCGATCCCTTCGTATCGTTCGTTGCAACTTGACCAGACCGAGGCATGAAAGCAATACAATCCTTAGCCTCCCCTGAGCCCAACAACTGCGCGACACCATCTCTCCGAGCTCCACTGAAGCCACCCACGCCCAAATCTCCCATCCCTGCTCAGATGCCGTCCTGGGTGAAGAAGTTCACGCTATCTGTGCTATAAGCATTCATCTCTGCCCGAAACGGCACTTCCATCGATGTCCATTCCGTCATGGCCGTCTCAGCGCCGCTCAATGGCGGCTACGACGTGCTCCCTTTCTGAACTCTCGTTCGCGCCAGCGCCCGGACGACAACGCTCCGAAGGGCGATGAATGGACGGTTTTGCCACGAGTCGCGATGTTGCGTCGCGTTTGCTGATCGATCATCGACGGCCTTCACGACACTACTCGACGACGGCGTCGAGTGTATGTTGGCAGGTATATATCGTCTCTCCTTTCTCTGCCCATCAACCGCCCACCCGTCCTCTCCAACCGTCTATCGTTCAACTATCTATCCCTGTCAACACTCTATTTTATTAACCTTCTTCAATACTTTGACGTATCCTTCTAATCGCGACAATGCGTGCCTCTACATTCTTCGCTGTCCTCGCCTCGGCGCTTTGCGTCTCTGCTGCGGCCATCCCAGTTGCTCAGGATGGCAACGATCTTGGAAGCATCCTTGGTAGCACCTTGGGCTCTGTCACAGGCACGTTGAACGGCTCTGGCAATGGCGCCGGTGCAGGTGCAGGATCCGGCGACGGTGGGTTATGATGTGGATGCGGTATGAGTATGGATGAGTCTGACTTGGCTTTGCAGGAAACGGCTCAGGATCTGGCAACTCGGCTGGCGTACGTATCGATATTAAAGTCTTGTCATTGGGATCCTTGCTAACTTCCTCGATAGAACGGCAACTCCGCAGGCGTAAGGATCATGACACTGCGTACTCTCTGATCTCGACAAGACTAACGATCGTCCAGGACGGAAACTCTGCAGGCAACGACAATGGCGTAAGTCTACAGCATCACGATCGATGTACCATCACCAAACTAACGCGAACTTCACAGAACGGAAACTCTGCTGGCAATGGCAGCGGCGTAAGACCCCCTCGCACCTCTCTCAATCAAGCGTCGATCGAACTAACACTGTTCTTCCAGAACGGCAACAACCTGGGCAACATCAACGTAAGTCCGACGATAACCATTCTGTGAGGTGAGCACAGCGGGCTCATTGACGAACGCAGTGAGTCTAACGACTGTGCAATAGCTCTAGATGAGACCGACATCTAGCGGGGGCGTTGTGTGTGCTTTTGGGAAGAGAAAAAGGAAAGGAAAAACAGGACAACACTGTGTAGAGAGAAGGATAAATGTGTTCGGTTTGATACAGATCCCCTCGATGTCACAATCTTGGAGGTAGATACTCGAGACTGCCACGGCCGAACGTAATTGAATGAGAGATGCACTGGTTGCAAGTACCTTCGACCCGTTCCACTCACCCATTTTGACATATCCGCTTTCAGTCAACACAATACTCCTCACTGTACTGGTATATCGGCCCTATCCTTATTAATACTTGACGCACGCGTGTCCCGCATTTCCCCGAGGAAGATCACGTCGCACCGAAGACGCCACCAACCCTCCACCAGCTTTGCCAGCATGACCGCCCCGCGACACCACCTTTTCGCACCTCACACTCACTGATGTCTGCAACGAAGTGCCCCCGTCAGGCGTGGGGAGGCAGGCGGCTGACCGACCGCGTCGACAATCGCTGACGATGCCGTAAAGCAAAACGTGTGCGGGTGCGCCCCTTCTCATTGGCTGCGTTGCGACCAAGATCTTGCATCCTGCCCAGCCAAAGGGGAAAAAGGGTGTGTTGGTGGTGGATGCCTTTTTCCAACACGTCGACGTGGGCGGTGGTGAGGGTGTCGCGTGCCGCCATCAAGGTGACGCTGCTTGTCCTTTCTTTTATATATCTTTCCCATACTTCCGACCAAGTTTGAACAAATCTTCGCGTTTTCTGCTACCTCTGCTTGCTTCTGCCTCGCTCGCCCACAGCTGAGATCCGATCCGGCCGCCGGGGAACGGATCGCCCGTACCTGCATCGCGTCCGCTGGTGACGTACATTTCAACATTTTCACACGCAAGGCACGTCGGGGAGTCATTTGTCGAGTCTTGGGGTTTTGCAAGGTGTTGGGGGAGTCTGCAGGCCGGTCTTCTCTCTCTAGAGACCGGCGGTGATCAGGCAGTCTCTGCGAAGTATGCAACGGTGAGGAGTTGAAGACGGTCGTCACGACAGAAACGCGCGGAAAGAAGACCGAGTTTTGCGCTCGAAGATGCGTTTTGAGGGTGTCTTCGCGGCCGCGCTGTTTGTGCAGGCATATGCGGCGCCGCCAGCGCAGGTTCCATTGAGGGAGGATGGGGGACGCTCATTTCAGCCTGATCAGCCAGGACATGTCGAGAAGAGACGGCCTTTGCATGGGCGATTTCTGCAAATTACAGGTAAGCGGTGAACGAAGCTGGATGTAGTCATTCAAGGCTCATGAATGGTAGACTTCCACCCGGATCGATTCTACGAGATCTACTCGTCAACATCAGAGGATGCAGCATGTCACCGTGGGAAAGGTCCAGCGGGAGTCTATGGGGCAGAGACGAGCGAATGCGACAGCCCCATTTCTTTGGTCAACAAAACCATGGACTGGGTCGCGAAGGAGCTGAAGGATAAGGTGGACTTTGTAATATGGACCGGCGATTCAGCGCGACACGACAACGACGATGAACTACCGCGAAGTAAGGAGCAGGTCATTGGACTGAACAAGTTCATGGTGCAAAAGATGGCTGAGGTGTTTGGGAAACACAATGGAGATGAAGAGGACGACGATCCGAACAACGACTTCATAATCCCCATCGTGCCGAACCTTGGAAACAACGATATCCTCCCGCACAACATCATGGCCAAAGGACCGAATGAGTGGACAAGGACGTACGCGAGGATTTGGAAGCAGTTCATCCCAGAGGTGCAGAAACATTCGTTTGAGCAGGGTGGCTGGTTCTACTCGGAAGTCATACCAAACAAACTCGCAGTGTTCAGCCTGAACACAATGTACTTCTTTGGAAGCAACTCGTTGGCTGATGGATGTGCTACACGCAGCGAGCCTGGGTTCCAGCACATGGAGTGGCTTCGAATTCAGCTGCAATTCATGCGCGACCGGAACATGAAGGCTATCTTGATTGGACACGTGCCACCTGTCAGGCAAGACGCGAAAACATCATGGGACGAGACTTGCTGGCAAAAGTACACGCTCTGGCTCCGCCAATACCGCGATGTGATCATCAGCAGTCATTATGGCCATTTCAATTACGATCACTTCATGTTTCAGGATTTCAAGGACCTCGACAAGGACACCAAGAAGGGATACATGAAGTACTTTCATGCCGCTGATGACGAGGACGACGACGACGAGATTTCGGCTCAAGTCAAGACTGACTATTTCATTCAGCTGCGAGACGAATGGTCTGATTTGCCCACGCCTCCCAAGCAAAAGTCAAAATCCTGGCTCGACCTCGTTCTTGGGAAGAAGAAGGACAAGGACAAGTTCAAGAAGAAGCAGAAGAAGTATCTCAAGAAGATGGGTGGAGAGTATGCCGAACGGTTCGCCGCGACATTCGTTAGTGCGAGCGTTGTGCCCAATCTGTTCCCTACTCTACGCGTGTTCGAGTACAACGCCACTGGTCTGGAACACGCGCTTGACGAGCATGTCGAGGTCCCGCACCCGGCGCCATTCGATTACGACGACAGCGATGTTGATGAACTGAAGAAAAAGAAGAAGAAAAAGCACAAGTTTACGATCCCTGATGGGCCCTCGAAGTCTACACCTCCCGGTCCGGCATACTCGCCGCAAACACTCTCGCTATTGAAGTACACGCAGTACTTTGCCAACTTGACGTACATCAACAACGACTTCACCCAGTCATCCGAGCGAGACGATGAGATAGACACGGAGAAGTGGAACGAGGGCAAGCACAAAGGCAAGAAGCCACACGACAAGGACCACAAACCAAAGCCACACAAATTCAAGTACGAGATTCTGTACGACACGCAGGACGACAAGACGTACCATCTCGAAGACCTGACGATGCCGAATATGGTCGATCTGGCCAGGAGGATTGGGGATTTTGTACCACAAGACGACAGTCTAGACATTTCTGCAGACGACGAAGATGTGGATGTTGACAAAAAGAAGAAGAAACACAAAAAGGGCCACCATGGCCATCGTAAGGAGAACGAGGCATGGTTCACGTTCATCAGACGAGCGTACGTCGAGACGATGAACCCGGAAGACATAGATGAAGAATTTGGGCGTTGATGAGAAAAGGGCATGAAAGCATGAAAGCATAGCGATATGAATACTTTTCAAAAGATACCACCAACATCCGAACAAACCTGTTTCCGATCACCAGACAGGCAATCCCTCATTTGGTTTCGGCGTCACCGTGTCTTCTCCAGTATCGTTCTATATCCGTGTCCGTCGCTGACTGTTCTTCCGTGCCCGACTCCGCCAAGCCAAGTCGGCAGATCTTACGAGAGTCGCCGCCGACCGACCAAACGAAAACCGCGTCTCCAAACATCTCTCGCATTTCTTCCTCTTGCGGCCGCAACAAGCCCCCAAGCGTCATCCCCTCTCGGCAGAACTACCGAATCCTCTCATGCGACTTACATAACGGCCTGCATGCTGCACAAGTCGGGCTCTCTGCAGCGTCACATGCTGGCGCGGAAGGTGCTGTGCATACCCAGCCGGACCACGACCGGGTTGTGTTTTTGCTGTTTTGTCGGAGTCTCCACGGTAGCCTTCCAATCCTTGCTTTCGTGCGAATGGGCCAATCGCGTCAAGGGCGTTTTGTTGTTTCATGGCGTAGTCATGGCTTGGGCTTTGTGCGTGGCAGGGCTGTACGAGTAACGAGGTCAGGTTGTGCTGTGTTCATTCTTTTCTCCCTTTCTCTCTTTCTGCTGTGAGGGTGATATAAGAGTCGTGGACGCCGGTTTGAGTGAGGGCTTTAGTTTTAACTACTCATGAACACGTCTTTTACTCAATTCACTTGACGAAGCGCAGACTAACCGACTCACTTTCTTCGAGAGTCGCAAGATTACTGCGACTACTGCATTGAGATACGATTGACACACAGACAGGCCTTTTGAGGCAAGCATATCAAGATGGCGTTGGACAGGAGAGACACGGTGCCGATTCCTCATCCTCCTACAATACCATTCCTGGGAAACATCCTCGACTTGAACGCAGAGATTCCGCTGCTGAAGCTGCTTGACTTTGGCAAGCAATATGGTATGTCTTGCTCGAGCTACCAAACTTGCAACGTGAGTGCTGATGACAAGTCTACCAGGCGAGATCTTCAGTCTATACATCGGCTCAAAACGGCGGATGTTCGTCAGCTCACATGCCATGGCCAACGAGCTCTGTGATGAGAAACGCTTCCACAAGACCGTCGCATCATCTCTCAAGGAACTGCGAGAAGGAATCCACGATGGACTTTTCACAGCTTTCGATGGCGAGGAGAACTGGATGACTGCCCACAGAACACTCGTGCCGGCTTTCGGACCGCTCAATATCTCGGGCATGTTCGACTCGATGAAAGATATCGCATCGCAACTCGTGATGAAATGGGCACGACATGGCACCTCGTACAAGATTCCTGTAGCTGAGGACTTTACGAGACTGACTCTGGATACTCTGGCTCTTTGTGCGATGGACTACAGGTTCAACTCGTTCTACACTGAGGAAATGCACCCTTTCGTGTCGGCCATGGTGAACTTTTTGAAATACGCAGAGGTGCGATCGAAGAGGCCGTCCTTACTCGCCCCGTTCTACAGTGCCGACGAGGCGAAGTGGCAGGCTGATATCGAATACATGCGGAATCTGGCCAGAGAACTCGTCCAGGATCGGAGGGATCATCCTCGGGAGGTCAAGGACCTGTTGAATGCCATGGTGAATGGCAAAGATCCCAAGACTGGGAAGCACTTGCCAGAGCAGTCGATCATCGATAATATGATCACGTTCCTCATCGCCGGCCACGAAACGACATCTGGGATGCTCTCGTTTACGTTCTACTACCTCTTGAAGAACCCGGACGCCTACCGCAAAGCACAGCAAGAAGTCGACGAAGTCGTTGGCCGTGAGAGCGTTACGCTGGAGCATCTCAGCAAACTCCCTTACATCACAGCGGTGCTTCGAGAAGCATCGCGGTTGCAACCCACTGCTCCTGGCTTCAGTATCGCTCCGCGAAGTGAGCAGGGAGATACGCTAGGTGCCAAGTACTTCATCGAACCTGACGAGTCCGTCCTCGTGCTTCTGCACAACGTGCACAGAGACCCGGCGGTTTATGGCGAGGACGCGGAGGAGTTCAGACCCGAGCGAATGCTGGACGAGAACTTCAACAAGCTGCCTCCGAATTCGTGGAAGCCGTTTGGCAATGGCGCTAGGGGCTGTATTGGTATGTGAATGAAGGTACCCTTTGACGGTTGACAGAAGCTCACCGACTTGCAGGACGACCGTTTGCCTGGCAGGAGATGATGCTGGTGCTGGCCATGACGCTGCAGTACTTCAACTTTACTCCCGATGATCCGCAGTATAGCCTGCACATTGCTTCGACTTTGACGATCAAGCCGAAGAACTTCTCCATGAGGGCAAATGTTAGGGAAGGCTGGACTGCTCGATCGATCGAGCAGAGCCTGACCGGCCAGCAGCCGGTGGTAGCGACTGTAAGAGGACCAAGTCCCAGAACGAGACCGTCTTGGCTAACAGATAAGCAGCCTTCGAGAGCACCAAGCATACATGGAGCCGACGACCATAATGGCAAACCTCTCATAATTCTCTACGGCAGCAACAGCGGCACTTGTGAATCTCTCGCTCAGACAATCGCAGCAGACGCACCTGCACATGGCTTCTCAGCATCCAGTGTCTCAACACTCGACTCGGCCAAGCAACATTTACCCACCGACGAGCCTGTTGTCATCGTGACTGCCAGCTACGAGGGCCAGCCGTGTGACAATGCGGCTCACTTCTACAACTGGCTTCAGAACTTACAGCCAGACGACAAGCTCAATGTCAATTATACCGTCTTTGGCTGCGGTCACTCCGACTGGAAGCAGACGTTCCACCGCATCCCAACTACAATTGACAGCATGCTGGAGAAGGCAGGCGGCAAGAAGATCTGCGATATTGGTCTCACAGACGCTGCCAAAGGTGCGATGATGTCTGACTTCCAGACCTGGGAGGACCAGACACTCTGGCCAGCGTTGAAGAAGCATTTCGGTGGAGAGGAAGAAGCTGAGAGTGCGGGTGTCGCTTCAGTCAGCCAAAGTGTCTCCATCGAAGTGTTCAGCAGACGGGCATCTCACCTCAGATCAGACGTGTCTGAGGCGAAGGTCACCGCAGCGAAAACCCTCACGGCGCCTGGAACCCCGGAGAAGAGGCACATCGAGATTCAGCTGCCGACCGACATGACCTACCGAGCCGGAGACTACTGCGCTGTGCTACCCCTGAATCCACCAGAGACTGTACACCGAGTGATGACACGGTTCAGTCTCCCTTGGGACGCCATGCTCAAGATCTCCTCCCGCACAGGAACACAACTCCCAACCGAACACCCCATCTCCGCCCAAAACCTATTCTCAGCATACCTCGAACTCTCCCAACCCGCCACCAAACGCAACATCACCATGCTCATCGAAGCCAGCCGCGACGACAAGACCAAAGCCTCCCTCACGGCCCTCCTCTCAAGCGACGACAACTTCCAAACCGAAATCACCGACAAACGCATCTCCCTCCTCGACCTCCTCGAACGCCACCCCTCCATCCACCTTCCCCTCTCCGCCTTCGTCGCCTCCCTAATCACCATGCGCGTCCGCCAATACTCCATCTCCTCATCGCCCCTCTCGGACCCCACAAAAGCCTCCCTCACCTTCACCGTCCTCGACGAACCCTCCTACAGCGGCCAAGGCCGCCACGTCGGCGTCGCCTCGCACTACCTCTCGACCCTCTCCCCCAGCGACATCATCCACGTCGCCATCCGCCCCAGCCACACCTCCTTCCACCTCCCCACGGACCCCGAAAACATCCCCCTCATCCTCATCGCCGCCGGCGCCGGCCTCGCCCCCTTCCGCGGCTTCATTCAAGAACGCGCCGCCCAAATCGCCTCCGGCCGCTCCCTCGCCCCCGCCCACCTCTACTTCGGCTGCCGACACCCGGACAAGGACTCCCTGTACGCCGCAGACCTCTCCTTCTGGGAATCCATCGCCGCCGTCAGCGTCCACCGCGCCTTCAGCCAGGCCCCGGAGCACAGCGGGGGACACAAACACATCGATCAAGTCCTCCTCGCGGACCGCAAGAATATCGCTGAGTTGTGGTATGCCGGCGCGAAGGTGTATGTCTGTGGGAGTCGCGGGTTGGGGGAGAGTGTGAAGAATGCTTGCTTGGATATTGCGAGGGAGTCGGCGAAGGAACGCGGGATGAGCGGGAGCGAGGAGGCGGTGGGGAGGTGGTTTGAGAGTGTGAGGAATGAGAGGTATAGTACGGATGTTTTTGCTTGAGAAGTGCGAAGATGGGTTGTGAGAAAGGGGGTGGTTTTCGATTCGATCGTTTTAAATGGGCATAGTAGGGAGTTGGGTGTCGGTGTATGAGTAGAGTGTGATTCTCAGCTTTGCTGTTGTATGATTATAGATGAAGGCAAGCAGGATTGAATTCTTCATTGAGTAGGAATGCTTCCTCCTTTCGAACGGCGTCTCAGGGACTGCTTACCCTCTTATGATCATACACGGTCTTGTGATGGCTCCTCGTTTCCCTCTTCGCGAGATCTGAGCCAGAATGTGGCTTCTTCTGCCGAAGTCTCCAGGAGGCTATTCGAGGAAAGAGAGCAAGATAAGCAAGAGTTGACGCCAAAAACGATCTATATACACAACGACATATATACTCACAAAAACCATCATCACATTCACATATCATCCAACCTCGCCACCACCACAAAACCTCATCCCCTGCAACAAATCCCCCGCCACAACATCCAACCCACCCCCATGCTTATCCTCGATCCCAAAAGCCAGAATCACTCGATCATCCAAAAACCCATGATACATATTCCCCTGCCCGACCCAACTCATCTGCGTCGTAAACACCATCTGCGTCTGATCCTTCGGCTTCCAGGTACTCCAGCGCCAAAACTCATTCATCCTGCCGCGGCCGCTGTACCAGAAAGGTTTGGCGGAGATGCCGTGGATTTGGAAGGGCGCCGTGCGTTTGAAGAGCATGATGTAGGGGTAGTAGACGCCGTGCATGTAGAAGGTTTTGGTTTGGAAGAGGAGCATTATGAAGGTGTTGTCGGGGGTCGGGTGGCAGGTGGGGTCGGCGCGTTTGCAGAGGGTGATGGAGAGGGAGTTGGTGGCTTGGTGGATCCATTCGCGGTCGTTGTGGTGGTAGGCGGGCATGAGGTCTTTCATGCATTGGTCGTCGGTTGTGGCGAGAGGGGCGAGGTCGTCGCCGACGCTGCCGTCCGAGGTGTTTACTTTGGCGAAGCTGCGTTTTGTGGGTTTGACGTCGTAGTGGAGGTACATGTCGTCGTCCATGTCCCAGAAGGCGAACCAGTTCTTCTCCACGCCGCCGACGGGCGGTGGTCGGTGGAGGTCCGTGGGCCAGAAGAAGGCTTCGTTTGGATGAGTTATGGAACCCGAACTTTCGTTGTATAGGAAGGGCGTTAAGCGACGAAGATCGTGGATGTATTGCCCGAGACAGCTACCTGCAGGGCCTTGCGAGCCATAGATGATGTATGGCGCGTTAGGTCCATTGAACACACGTGCATCATGGGGTCCGACCTGGTCTGTAATGTGTTAGTGTGACGAGCAACTCGAGGGTCAGGTGGTAAATACCGTGTAGTAGTCGATACTTGCCCACGCATAGATCGGAGAATGTCGAAGCGATAGGCAAGATGATGGGAGGGTCTATGCACTTCATCGTTTGAGAGCCTTCATGGTATACGGCCTCGCATACAAGCTCAGAATTCCTGACAACACCAAGAGCGTAAGAAAGCTTGCTTTGCCCTATGAAAGTTCGTACAGACTTACCATATATCATCCCCATCTTTACTCTTGTCCCTCTGCGCGAACATGACCCATGTCTCCGGCTTGTAGGGATGTGGCAGGAAGCCAGGGTTGTACGCGTTTTGTGTCACGAAATCCGTCGTGAACCACTTCCCATCTTTCGTCATTTGAGACCGCAGCTCAATGTGTTCTATCTTCATGTTCTCGTTCGAGGCGGCGAATTGCTCTGGTGTGAGGAGGTCCGAGACGTCCACACCCTCTGCCCCGTACGGATTCTCTTCTGGATCGGTGTACCAGCCATCTTCTTCTTTTCCATTCGGTGCGACTCCTAGAGCATTGTGCGAACTGCCCTCTGAATCGCCATGGGATGGGTCGAGTGGTGAAGTGAACTCTGGTGTGGTCTCTGCGCCGCCATATTCACTGCCTTCTGAGGGTATGTCGCTGTGCGGTGCTTGAAAGGCTACCGGGGACTGCCGTGATGGAAGATGACCACTGAGTACGTAAACCAGGATGACCGTCAAGCTGCCCGCGAAGAAGTACAGAAAGGATCGCGGATTGACTCGAGAGGTCTGGGCAGTCATGCTGCCCTGCTCGCGCGCGCAGTACGCGCGGGGATTAATGTGAAGCTCAGCAAGTCGTTCGTCTCGTCAATCGTTGCGGCGTGGCAGGCATGAGGTCGAGTGACCAAGTGATAATGATAGAACTCGACGCGGTATAAGAAAGGATGCTGTGCATATGCAGTCGTGGAGGTGCCTCTCGAAAACCAGCCGAGGCTTCCTTCGAGAGACCCTTTGTGGTTCCGCCAAAAGTTACTCTTACAACTCGCCACTACATCGTACGGCATAGACTATTGGCTACATGAAGCAGATCATCGACGTTGCTGATCTGGGGTTATGTTGGTACCTGCTGGTACGTTGCAACAGACTACAGATGGGACCCCAAAATTTGACCTATTCTCGACAACTCGATTTGTTGGTGGAGAAATCCAAATCAATGGTCAAGAAGCCACTCACGATTGATTCCGTTACATTCCAGAAGACGTATGGAGATAGCCAGGGCCGAGGTGAGTTCATATGAGGCATCGCACAGTAGATTCGTTCAGGGCAACAGACGACGTTGTGACATATATCGCGTATGGCAGAAGGCGTCGAGAGTGGGAAACGCATCGAGTCATGGAAAGGGCATCTGTCGAGTGACGAAGCCGCGGGGACCATCTATCCAAAAACACTGAGACCTTCGGCATCGATGCCGCTGTCATATCTGTGGTCCTAAGATAAGGAACGTGCATCAATAGTTCATAATGCCTGGGCATCTGGAGGTTGGTCCCCATTTGAACTCCTGTCCTGGTGTACACCAATGTGATCTCTTCTGCGAGCCATCGAGGCCGAATGGAATGACATGCAAGCTATCCATCCATGCCAACGCACAGTTGCATGTCACGGTGCCTGCTCCAGGTCATGGACAAGATGTCGGGGTCTCGCCGTTGCTCCACGGTCTCCTGGCGGTGGTCAGAATCCGAGTCCTCTTCCTATTGGGGTCCGAGAGTTCAAAGGTGATCGATGGTTGCACGGCCAGGCTTCCTGTTCAGGTAAGATGAAGTTTGACGCATCGACGTCGTCCCATGGGATGCAGCTGTTTGTCGAGGCGTCCTGCAGTGTGCACAGGTAGTCGATACTACCACACGTAGCTTGGACGAGCTCATAGTTGGTGCGCGCAATGGCTTGAAGCAGCGACGGACAGTCGCCCTCTGCGGCCTGGTGTGGCCTTGAAGCTGACAGGAGGCGCAAGGCGTTTTTACACCAACAGTAGATGGCCGTTAGTCGGGAAAGGCCACTGTCAAATGGATCTCACAGACCTCGTTCTGCTGGTGAGAGGTATACCGGCCCCGAGAAGCTCGACAAAGGAGGTGCATGTACGTCTCCAAGTCTCTGATTCGGTCATCTCGTCCATCTGGAAGCCCTTTCGATGCAGCAAGTAGTGGGTGCGACCTGTCCGCACTGGTCACGATCTACTGGAACTGATAGAGCTCCGTGGCCTTGATGCAGCATCGCATGAAGCTGCATATCATGGCTTGACGCCAGCACCATCGAGGCAGGCAACGACGTGCGCTGCTGCATGCGGTGGAAAGGTTGATGTGGGAGTTCTTCCGAAGATTGCCGCTGTCAAGCGCTGTGCAAGTGGTGTATAAAATGTCGTCGTTCCAGGGCGATGAAGTGCTGTGTTTGAAGAATATCAAAGACATCAAGACACCAATCTCAAGCTCCCAACGACGCTCTACCAACCGTTTGCCAAAATGAAGTTCATTGGACTGTCCGTCCTTGTGGTGGCCATAGCCTCATTGAGCAGTATGTTGAAGTCCTCGCCTGATGGGCCATGCTCTTGAGACTGACCGTGTCTATTCGTAGTGGCCTCGCAAGTGGGAAATCCGAGCGCTGAACCAGTTGAAGAGTCGATTAAGGAGTTCAAGAGGGAACCTGAAGATGCCCACACGGAGACCTGCTGTTGGTGATTCGGTTGATGGTGATAGTGATTGGGAGCTGCTGCGTTCTGTAGCTCGTGAATCAGGCGCTTGTTGAAGAAGTATCATATCAATTTCCTTCCACAAGTCGTATGCATTGCTGTACCCGACCTTGAAGACGTTGGAAAAGCCATGATTATGTTCTGGCGTTTACTGCGATCCATGAAGACCCAGTTGCATCTTTGGTAGCGACATCTTGGTTGATGTTGGCGTCCGGTCGGCGCAGAGGGTGGTGACTCGATAGTGAGGAGGGAGGTGAACAGGTAGATCGTAAAGCCGCTCGAAATTTCGCTCGAGTTGACAGCACCTCGAGACGCCTCTGACATCGGAAGCTCAGAGCTCTGATCGGTGAGCTGTCGAGTATGTGTGTTCAGGCCAAGCCTTGGTGGAAGAAAGTATTCCTCGCTCCTTCAGTATCATGAGTCGAGCCTGCATCCGGTTCAAGGCATTGAGTGGAAACTGTAGCCAAGCTCCATCATCTTGTCGTGACAGTGACGCGACGTTGCTGCGGGCGCATGTGCTGTCATCAGCAGCAGCAGCAGGCAGCAGTCACCGAACACCACTACCACCACCGTGGCGTGCAAACAGTTCCACCATCATGTGTCAAGTATCCTCTTCTCCAAGCTCTTGCGCCCGCAGGCAAGCAGATTGATGAAAAGAAAGCGACGTGCGCCGAAGAAGGGTTGCCAAAAATTCCCTGCCGATCCGAAGACCAACAGAAGCGGTCAGTTGATAGTTTTCAACTAGCAAAAACGCAATCTCGGACGAATCCTCACTGATATGCGTAATGCCCGTGCTGTGAAGAAGTCAGTATGGATGGTTGACAGTGTAGGGTGCGGGTTGCGACTTACCACTTGGACTGGAGGAGAGAGGAAGAAAGTCGCGCCGGCTGCAAGCTCGAAGTTTTATGCGGCTGGTGGTCTGTGCGGGAGCTTGGGCCAGTGTGTGCCTCAGGATGTAATCGTGCTGAGAAATACGCCGAAGGACTGAGAAGTACGCCGAGGGAAAGAGTCACTTCACAACGACTACCAGTCATACTCTGGCCCTTCCATTGGTTTTCGCAGCCTACTCATTCCAGGCGGTGCGGAGATATGCTGTGTATGCAAATCGAACATCCAGTCATACTCGACTAAGAGAGCCTTCAAGGCAGCAAGCCCGTCTTTCCGTGAACTTCTCTCCAAAGTCTCCTCGACACTCCGGACCTCATCTCTGTGAAGTGGCAGCTGATCTCCGTACGTTGAATACTCCTTCACTGCCACTGCCTTCCTGCTCTTCAGATCCACTGTGATCATGATCCGGTTGGGCCAGGCAGCATACCCGCACAATGAAACATGCCGCATGATGTTGAACATCCTACTCGGAGTCTGAGCAAGCCAGGCATCAAAGCACCTTGACTGCCTGCCTCCATGGTCGTCTTCATTCCGAAACTCGTTGTGGATGAGCCAGAAGTGATTCTCTTGATAATACAGCGGAAGGGCCTCTTCTCGCAACAGCCTACACACTCTGGTAATGGGCGGATGCGGTCTGTCATCTCGACGAACTGTATGCTTTCCAAGGTAGAAGTCACGCGGTCCTCCTCGAGTCTTGTTCTTTGTGTCCTCCTGGTACCTGCCAATCATGAAGGGTCGCTCATCGACAACGATGTCCTGGTAGATCTGAAGGCGAAGCTCTGGAGACAAGCCCAGTAAGGAAGCTTGCCTATTTGCAGGACCATTGGGGGAGTCTGTGGTAGGACTTCGTGCTTGTCGCTTCAGTCGTTTTGACCGTCGAATAGATTGTATGGTCATGGTGACGTTACGTGCGATATCCGATACCTGTACTTTACCAAAGCAACTACGTTCAGCTTGCTCCAGTCACTCAAATCCTCGGCCCCTGATCCCGACTGCCACCACGTGGCAGTCCGAACTCCGAACCCGTTTCCAGCACGCCACTTCCATTTACAAAGCAACGCGAGAATTAAAATCACTCCGTGTCATCCAAGTCACTGCACCATCAAGACCCGGCGCTGCGTGGTCAGCGAAGTCCGCAGCAGTGGCAAGAGAGAACCTTGCACGGCATGGAATGATGAGCAGTACCACGTGGTACAGCACGTTATCAGGATCATCGCATGTTCTGCGCGTGTTCTGATGCGAGAGGTGGGGATGAGTTGCCCGAAGTCGCCGGACCCATGACTTGTGCAACGGAATTGAACATGACAAAGGGCACTCGCTATGGATGAAAGTCGGATGAAGGAGGCGATAGAGGCAATTGACGGGCAGGCCGGCAAGGCGTCAGAAGATCCGGCATTGGCAATAGATGTTGCTGCTTGGCGCCGCCATGGCACAAGAGAAAGCATGCAAGCACAGGGGGTCTGAGAGACACCATGTTGGACATCCGACGAGTTTTATTATTACTATTAAGAGTATCAAGATCAAGAGGAAAGCTTGACCTGCCAACCACGGCGTGCGGCTGCAATCTGTACACGCCCCGGTCTCCGACCACCTCATCCTGTATCCAATTGTTCCCTAAGAAACGTGCAAGGCGTTCAAGTCCGAAGCAGTAATTAAACACCGGACGTCACCATCATCCTGCCTGAACCAGGATGCAGTGCTAGCTTGGCGCTGGCACAATCGCCTACCAAGATCCCTTGCACCATTGAGCAGCCATTTGCTTCAACTCGCCGTACAGGATCCGCTCTCCTGAACATCCTCCCGCCCTCCAATTCGCCACCCATTTCGGCCAACCCAACGCTGCAGGCAGGAACAATCTTTTCACAGATTGAACCCAGATTGGCCATTCGCCAAGAATACAACGGCTCTCCAAGGTCGTCGACGAAGAAACCAGGGCGAATTGAGTTTAGAGAGACTGCGCAACGCGCCGGGCCACGACCGGCTGCTCGACAGCGCTGCACGTCTGCCAGTTCTCGCCTGTCGCCGACAGGATAACCTGAAATAATCCACCGCGCTCAGCGTGTTCGGGGGTGTCGCTTCGGGAGAAAGAGACGCATTACTGCCGGCTCGCCCACCTTCCTGCTGCTGCTCCTCTCCCGCAACCGCAGCCCTGCGTTTCCACATTCACTCACCTGCGCCTATACTTCAGCGTCCGCGCCCCGCCGCCGACGAGCCTCCTCCTCACCTGCTGGATCTCACCCCACAGCGCACAGCTCCTTATTGACAGCTAGCTCCTCGCAGACATCCAGACGTGAAGCTTGGCAAGTTGGCAGCGCCTGCAGCCAACTCTAACTCTCCGCCCTCTCCTCACCCCATCCGCTCGATTACGTTCGCAGCCCGGCTCTCCGTTTGCGCTCGCCCTCTCCGAACGACACAGCTTCGAGACAGCGTCGCACTGCAGCTGCCCTTCGCACCACCGCGCCTCCAGCCTCCCCTGACTCCGCCCGTCCTCTGTGCGGCGGCATTGCCCGCGCCCAAACACCGCGCCCGCCCCTCTCTGGCGCCAACGAAGCGCCGACGTTCTGCATATTACCTATCCAGCATCCTCCCATCTTGAATGGCCATATCGCGAATCATGTGTTTCGGAAGCGGCAACAAGGAGGACCCGGATGCGAAGAAGAGCAAGGAGATTGAGAAGCAGCTGCGGGAAGATCAGAAGAGATTGGCCAAGGAGGTCAAGCTGCTCCTGCTAGGTAAGGAATGGCTCTCCATCATGGTAGAATGAAAAAGTTGACAATATACCAGGTGCGGGAGAGTCTGGGAAGTCGACAGTCCTGAAGCAGATGCGATTGATCCATACGAAGGGTTTCTCGACTCAAGAACGGAAGCAATGGAAGGTCACTATCTTTCAGAACTTGCTGCATGCCTTTCAAGTTGTGTTCGGCGCAATGGAAGAGCAAGAGGTGGACTTTGCGGAAGAGGGTAACATCGTACGTCTTTCTATTCTACGAGTTGGTATTTGTACTGACGGGCATCAGCGATTCGCGGAGATTGTTGCGTCGGATCCTGATATCGGCGCCGATGATCCAATGCCGCTTGATTGTCTTAACGCGTTCAAGAGCCTATGGCGAGACGAAGGTGTTCAGCTGGCGATAAAGAAGGGCAATGAATACGCCCTCCATGACAACCTCACATAGTTTGTACTTCAAAGGCAGACTCCAGGCGGTGATGCTAATCGTGACACAGTTACTTCGCGGACATTGACCGATTGTTTGCCAAAGATTACCTCCCCACCGACCAAGATATCCTTCGCGCACGATTAAGAACCACTGGCATCAGCGAGACTATTTTCGAGACCGGCAACCTCACCTACCGCATGTTCGATGTCGGTGGCCAGAGGTCAGAGCGAAAGAAGTGGATCCACGTTTTTGATAACGTGCAGGTGGTACTGTTCTTGGTAGCCATCAGCGGCTATGATCACGTCTTAGTCGAGGATCGCAATGGCGTAAGCACTTGTTCCTCAATCATCGCGCGCCGTGAAGAGTGCTGACTTGAGGCAATAGAACCAAATGCACGAAGCGCTCATGCTCTTCGAGAGCATAGCAAACAGCAAGTACTTCGAGAAGTCCGCCCTTATCCTCTTTTTGAACAAGATCGATCTGTTCCGCGACAAGATTCAGTCAGGAGCTGCCCCCATTCGAGAACACTTCCCCGACTATACTGGCGGCGACAGAGACGTTGAAGCTGGACAGGAATTCTTTGCACGAAAGTTCAGGAATCTCGTGAGAGATCCCGAGAAGGATGCCTATGTCCACTTCACCAACGCGACCGACACCAATCTCCTCGACAAGACTATGAAGAGCGTGCAGGACATGATTGTGCAGCGGAACTTGCACAATCTGATGCTGTGAGACGACCCTTTATTACGACTTGTTTCTCATCACACTGGCAGCACCTGAGGTGTTTGCCCTCAATTTCTGTCCAAAACTTGTGACGCTCTTTTGTCTCAAGCGCAGGCGTAAACAACGCATTCTGATTCAATCGGCAGCATGAATTAAGGCGAACGACGAGCAGCGAGAGCGCGCATTGCAAGCGATTCCAGGCCAACTGAACTGAGACTGAGGCATCGACTGGATGAGACTTCCTTTTCGTATCGAGCGCACGGGCGGTACAGCCGTACTCCCAGCCTACTGCGGTTGATGCTCCGAAACTCATTTAAGATGATTTGTCTTTCTCCTTGGAAACCAAGAGATGGGAGTGAAGCAGGAAGAGACAGCGGTCCAGGCTACCCGTGGCGATACGAGAAAGGTTGGAGAATGGAGCACGGGGAGATGGACTGCACAACGCCAAGTGACAGGAAGAGACCTATAGAATTGATGAAAGCCTTGGGCGTTGAATGAAGCGTTTGAAAACCCTTGATGTCATGTTGGTTCGACAGCGTTTGCTCTGGTAAAGCGAGGCAGTTGCGAGCTGGAGGAAGAGCGTAACAATTCATTCATCTACCATCTTGTGGGTCTTTCCGCATGTGTCAGATGAACAGTCTCCTTCACATGCAATAGGATCGCCTTCGTTCTTTCCATTGGTCTCGAAATGGACCTTTTCTGACCGAGCAGCTCACAGGGTCTATAAAAGCGCAGACTACTGACCTCAAACGACACAACACACAACAAACAAGTAGACACGACTTCCAACCCTCATCATGGACACACCTTTCAGCATTGCACAATGGGAGCCATCCAAACCACAGGAAGCATGGGAGACTCCACCAAGCGAGTCCACTGTCGCGGGCTGGATAAGATCACTCAATGACCAAACCACCGACATCGCCGCTCACCCTTACCACCCAAATAGCTGGCTGGACCGAGCAGAGACTCTTGTGAAGCTGCGGTATCCTGAGCTTGCTGTAGGCGATGCATACAAGGCGGTGATGATGTGCAAGACTCTACTCACGACTCTGACGCGACGACCATGGTACAGACTTGGCTACCGCACGGGATTTCTCATGACGGATCGCGATGCCTGCAGTGACAGCGTGGCCAGAGAAGAGCAAACAGTACAGAAGCAGACATATGCCACTCTACAGAAACGAGCGCAGGACCTGATACACGAGCATCTGGACTACATGCCGGCACACAAACGCGGCCGTGTGATACTGAGGCAGTACCCGTGGATCCATGAGAGGCATTTGATGCGATCTGATGAACTCGTCAAGAGCATCAATCGTGAGTTGGCTGCAGCCACGCGGACGATGAGACGCAGAAAGTGCTGTGTCGTGAAGCGATTTGCGTTCGGTCGCGGCGTGGGCGCACGAGACGGCGAGGATCTGCTGGGCGTCTTTGCCACTCGCGATATCGCGTGGGGTGAGCACATCGTATACGACAAGAGCAGAGTCTGGGTAAGCAATGGTCATATGAGCTGGTGGTGAGCGGCTTTCAACTGAATCTGCGCAAAGGGATGCAATGGGTCGGACAGCAACGAGCCGATCAGCAAGTACCTACCACCGGACGACCTCGACGCCAAACTGCAATGGATACGGCAAAAAGTTGGCAGGTTCGCGGCCAACACGATAGTGAGGTCTCGGCTGCTCATCCGTGCTGTGAAGGACGGAGCACAACACCCCCTCGATCATCCTCTCATTGCCCGTCTTACACCGACGTACTGCCCCGACGACTACCAGAGTTTCGATCTAGAGAAGGACATAGCGGTGATGAATCAAGGCAAGTCAAGAAGCATCGATTGAAAATTCCAAGAACATTCGGAGAACAGAACTTACGCCAGTACCCTTCCAAAGTCCTCCAGCAGCACGGCATCGACATCTTCGCCAACCTGAACTGGGACACGCACGTCTTCTTCACCCTCAAAGCCCGCGTCAGCAACAACAGCTGGACGACGCCGCAGTCCGAAACCATCAACTCCCTCTTCTCCCTCTTCAACCACAGCTGCGCCCCCAACATGGAATGGCAGACCCAGCCCGACCTCCGAACGATCGTTATGAAAGCCACCCGCGACATCGAACGCGGCGAGCAGCTCTTCGTGTGCTATGACGGGTTCGTCGTGGACGAGCCCCTGGAGGTGCGCCGCCAGACGTTCTGGAAGTGGATTAATGGGCCTTGTCAGTGTTCGAGATGCGTGAGGGAGGAGGAGGAGTTGAGTCGGAGTGGTGGTGATTCTTCGCCTACGGAGAGTTTTGCCAGTTCGAATGGTGAGGTTGTGGGTGGGTGGGATACGGAGGTGAAGCCGGTGTTTCCGGAGGATGGATTCGTATTGGAGAATGGGTTGGTGGAGCCTCTTGATTGACACTTGCTTGCTTGTGTTTGTGCGATTGGAGGGCCTGTCTCTGGGTGGTTTTGTCCTCTTGCCTGTATGCATTTCCTCTCATCACTCGTCATTTCCTCCTTCCATTTCACAACCTTCTTCCCCTCGCTGGTCGATAGCGAACTTGTCGCTGACCCAGCACGCTCCAACACTGTGCGGCGCATGCTCTGTCGGTTGACATGAGCTTCTTTTCGCTCGAGTCTTCAGACGGTGAGGCTGAACTCGCTCAAGGATCGATCGCAACCTCGCCTCCCCAAACCATATCAAGTAACTTCTCACCAACCCAAGCCCTCTCACCCCTTAATAGCCCTAACCACAACCCTCAAATCACCCCCCTCAACCCAATCCTCTCCCTCCGCACCCCCTCCCTGTCCCCACCCATCCCCGACCTCACCCACAATCCTCGCAGGCTTCCCCGCGACAACCGACCCAGCAGGCACAATCATATGTGGCGGCACGACCGTATTCGGCAAGACCTTACAATTATCCTTGATGACGCTGAACGGGCCCAGGACGCAGTTGGCGCCGATGTGCACGTGCGAGGCGATGTGGATGGACGAGACGTGCGTGGAGTGGCCGATGAAGATGTTGTCGCCCATGCGCATCGGGTAGAAGGTCATGGTGCCGTGGTGGATGCGCATGGGTGGGCGGAGGGTGCAGTTTGTGGAGATTATGCAGGCTCTGTAAATCAGTCTTTTAGCGTGTCGAAACATTTCCCGGTGATGGGTGTAAAGGTACCTTCCGATGTTGATCGCTGTTACTGATGCCTTGGATCGATCGTCGCCGTCGGACTGGTCTTGGAGACGGTGCAAGTCGCCTCGTAGAGTCACGCCGGCCATCAAAACGGACTTTCCTCCCAGCATGATGTTTTGCTTGCCTTCGATATGGGCGCGTCGAGAGATCTTGTTGCCCGTGTCCTATGTCCGTCAGTTGGTCGTCCAAGAAAATCTTGCGAATCGATTACTGACCGTCTCGATGTACTCGCCTTTCGTCGAGCGCCTGTTCGGCGCGTTTGGACGTGACGACATGGTTTCGATGTTCTGCGACGAAGATCAATCTGGTTGTGATGTTGTTGATGGATAGAGTAGAGGTGAAGTCTACGTTTGCGATTTCTGTCAATGGTGTAGAGACTATGCCACCACTTTGCTTGACGAGTTTCGCATGGAAGGAGTGACCCAATGCGCAGCAGCCAATTCGACCTCCTCTTTCCATCCACGCTCCTGCTGCCATGCATTGATTGAGTCGACGAGGAAAGCTGCTGCCTTCGCGTACGCTCGCTATGGATGTACTGCGAGAAAGTCTGTGGAGACGCAATTGTGCTTGTTCGACCGGACTCGTTTCACGTTTCATTCACAGTTGAAGGCGAAGATGATGCCATTGAGAGATCCCTTTGAGCCGAAGGGCCTACTAGCTGGTTCTAGCGAGCTCGAAAAGGCAGAGAATCGGGCTCCTGGGGATCTGGGATTGCAGAGGTCGAAGGCCAATGTCTCGGGCGAGAAGTGGATGGCTCGTCTGGACGATGACCTGCTCGTCTCGTCTCTGTCCATACCTGGAACGCACGACAGCGCGGCATATACACACCCGTGGCCCTTCATTGCAACGCAACGAATGAGCATTCTAGAGCAACTCAACGCTGGTATACGATACTTCGACTTTCGCTGTGGCATCCGAGAGGACATCCCGGAAATGGTTCATGGACCTTCTCTGCTTGGCCTTCAACTCCCCGAATTACTGGACATCATGTACAAATGGCTCGAGAGCCACCCGAAAGAAGGTCTTATTGTACAAATCAAGGAAGATAGAAAACCGGAGCGATCTACTGTACATTTCTCTCACGCCATATTCAGACACATAGCTGCGAGATCTGAGCGCTGGCGCACTGCCAATACTACACCTTCACTTGGAGAGCTCCGAGGGAAAATCCAACTGTTCCGTCGTTACAATGGACCGAGTCTCATGGCGTATGGCATCGACGTCACCGAGTGGCAGGATAATCCAACTCGACCGTTCACGATCAACACGAGAAACAGCGTGCAGCTCACGATCCAGGACCACTACAGCATCTCCGATCCAAAGCCCTTGCCAGACTTGATAGCCATCAAAGGAGGAGATGTATCGGGGCTTCTGGATCGCGCATCGGCGGATACCGATACCGGGCATTGGTATCTGAACTTCACCAGCGCGTACGAATTCAATTGGTACTATCAGCTCCCGCCACGCGAGGTAGCGGTCGGAGGCTATTTTGGTTTCAAGTGGGAAGACGGCATGAACCCACGTCTGCGGACTTTCCTTCAGGTCCGGGAGAACAAGCAGCGTTTCGGCATTGTGGCAATGGACTTTCCGGACCTTGGTGCGGACGACTTGATTATCAGTCTGATCATGTCGAATTTCAAACCAGAACAGACGACGCTCGGAAGAAACGTGCGATTTGTTGTCGCTGCGATCGTGTTACTTGCCATCCTACTTCTTGCTATTATCCATGGTCTCTCTGGACGCGGTCCGGAGTTCCTACGCGTATACATCCTTGAATGTACATGGAAGGTGCTTGTTGGAACTTGAGTGTATGGCGACGGTACTTGTCTCCGGTTGCGGATATCAAGCTGGATATGCACCTCTACGGCTCCCCAGGCCAAATTTCATCGGCAATGTTCCTGACAAGCTTGAGCTTCTTGACCATATCCTCGTATCCAAGCAGGTTCCCATCCTCGTGACTTGCAAATCCACACTGGGGACTGACCCCAAGCTGCTTGAGAGCTTCCTCACGACTGCTGCCACTTCCAGCTGAGATGAAGTCGGCCGCCTTATAGATACGCTCCTTAGAAGCCTCCTTGTCCTCCAACTCCGGGAACTTGCTAGTAATGATGCCGAGAACGACGTTCTTGTCCTTGGGAAGCGATTTCAGCGGCTCGAAACCACCTGCTCGGGCCGTGTCATACTCCAGATAATACGTCGACACGTTGAGCTCGTTGAACAGCTTGACCGCAATGCGGTCGTATCCACCTTCAGAGAAGTGCCGCGATCCGACGAAGTTTCCTCGGCACAGATGGACTCCAAGGTGCATGTCTACCGGTCGCTTGAAGCAATCGTTGTAGAAGGCGATGTAAGCGTCGAACAGCTTGTCGGTGGTGCGCGTATTCGCAGGGTCTTTCTTCCAGCCCTCGAGCATCTTCTCGGAGCAGAAATCTAGATTGATCGTCAGCGAACTCAACGATATACTGAGGATCTTGCGAACACACAGGCCAGATTCGGACCATCCACTTGAACATTGCGAACGCCTGCGTTGTACAGGATCTGAAGCTCGGTACGATATGCTTTTGCTACGTCGGCGAAGTATTCTTAGGACGCGTTAGCAAGTCGGTGGACATAGGATTTGTTCAGCTATACCTCGTCCGTCGAATAGACATCTTTTGAATACGCGTGACCCTCGCGATATCGGAGATGGTGCCAACTCGGCGCGGCTATGGTCACCTTGATCTCTCCATGGCGCTCTTTCGGCGTGATCGTCTTCAAATACTCATACGCCCACGTACGCACTCTTTCCTGGATGGCTGATCTTGCCCACGCAAATGATAGATTCCCCAGGGACCTTATCATCCTCCAGGAAAGCTGCAATGTCCGGCACGTAGTCTCGGAAGATGGACGGATCAGGTCCATAGATCTCCTTCATTCCGTTCAGGGAGGGCCAGAAGTCGCCCCAGAACCTGCGTTCTTGTTAGCGCAAAGAAACAACACCACGTCGAGAGGAAGCAATACATATGCCGCCTATACTCCCCATCGCTGATACCTCGAAACCCAGCCCTCGTCTGCATCTCGACAGCCTCCTTGACGCACTCATCCGTCAAAACATCCAGCCCTTCCCCACCATCCTCCTTCCGCTGGATCGCATGGCGTTTCTCCAAGAGTTTCTCCGGACGCAACAACGAGCCCAAATGCTCTGCGCGGAAAGGCGGGTTCCTCGGTGGTGCTTTTGCTGTGGTTGACATACTTTCACGTGGCGAAAGGGACTAGTGGAAGGTCATCAAGGTGTTCTTCACACAAGGAGGCGTTTATATATATTAGGCTGTTGTGAGTGAGAGAAATTCAGGGCAAGACCTGGCTGGAATCTCACCGATGTCAGCCCTCGAGCCCTCTTCCTCTTGCTGTTGTTTGCTGTTTGCTATTTGTGTCACTTGTTACAGGCATGGACCTTTCTGCCGAATGTGGGGTTTGATGAGGAGTTGGGGGAGGGACCCCGCTCTTGTACTTGGGGGACGTGGGTACTTTTCGGCAGAGGGAGCCTGGATAGCTGCCGGGGGGTTGTCGTAGAAGTGACTTCGATGTTGGTTTTTGATGAGGGTCTTTGGGGATCCGAATTGTCCGGTTGGCAGGCAAGGGAGGGGGAGAGAGGTTGGGGAGCGGACACGTCGGTCCCGGTGATGAAGCAACTGCCACACGAGGAAGTTGCTGGCACGATCCAGCGTCGACTTCAGCCTCTGAGCCCTCAGAAGCCCTCGCTCGAGTATAGGGACATGGGCAGCTCTCTCCTGCAGTCCTCAAAATGAGCATGATGACGAAAAAGATCCAATGCTTACACCGCAGCTGACACGATCTAAATTCCACAAATTCATGAACCCATCTATCTGTCATAAACCATCTACAGTATCATAGCCTCGCCTTATCATCATCCCTCAACCTCAACCCCGTAATCCTCTCGAGCTCCACCACAGCCTTATCCGTCCTCCCCAACTGCACCTTGATCGTTCCCATCCCCAACTTCTTCGCCGTCCTCAAATTGCCCCCGATATCATCCAAAAACGTGATATCCTGTGCCCTCACCCCCTTCCCATATCCCTTCGTCTTGACATACTCGTGCAACCTGACAATCGCATACTGATATATATCCTCGGCGGGTTTACGCATCCCGACATGTGCGCTCGAGACGAAGACGTCGAAGCACGCGCGCAGAGCGGCATTCTGCTTTCCTTCCGGGGTATTGGGATCGGAGAAGGGATGATTCGGCGGCCAGATAGACGTATTGCTCAAAGCCCCCAAGATCAACTTCCCATTACTCTTATCCGCCACCGCTCTTAGCCGTTGCAGCGCCGGCCACATATGCGGATCAGGTCTGCGCGAGTTCCCCATCATTTCCCAGAAGAGCCATTCGACATCGATATCCGCGACGGGCGGGATTTTTTGCGCGGTTGTCTTGTTGGTTTTGGCGTAGTAGTCTTTCCAGCGCTGGGGGTCGGAGAGGTCGGCTTTGAAGTGTTGGAAGAAGCCGGCGTCGAGGAGGATCTCGCCGCGTTCGAGGCGCTGCCAGGCGCCGTTGGGGGCGGACGCGGAGATGCTATGGTTGATGTAGCCGAGGGGGATGTTTTGGCGTTTTTCGTAGTCGAGGATCGCTTGGAAGGGGGAGACGACCTATGAGAGATTATTTACTTAGCATTTTGAGAGGTGCGATGGGTAGAGTGTTTGTTTGTTTACGCACGCAAACGCCGCCTATGTCGAAGAGTAGGACTGTTGGGTAATCGGTTTGGGGATTGTATGAGGCCATGTCGAAGCGATTGTGGAAGAGGACGTAGGTCTTGTCGTTGGTGTTCCAGGCACGAGGCATTCCACCTCCTATTTCATGGCGGTCGCGGATTCTCTGATAGACAAGGTCTCCAATGCCTTGTGTCGGTGGTCCTCACAGCTCGCGCGACTGGATTACTATTCGGGTCCATGGTGTTGTGTGGAGTTTGGAGGATGGCTTCTCTGGGGAAAGCATAACCGCGGCTAAGGAACCGAGGCACTTGCTGTGAATGCGATATCACGTGCAGGAATATCGATAAAGGCGATGAGAGGTGAGAGACGACTTCTTCATTGAACTGTACGTGACATGTACTCGTAGACATCGTGAGCCAGATCTTGCTGCTCCTTCGATCTGAGTCGTGGAGAGGCAGGCGGATCGGGCGCATCAGCAACGCCTTGAGATCCTACCATGTTATCCCAAGCTCGGTCTCTCCTGAACCTCTGCTGTCGTCTTACACGAACGTATTCGCGTCTTGACAATTGCAACGGCAGTCGCTCAGAGGCGATACGCACCTTCCGAAGCGAATCGTCATCCGCATCATGCCTTGCTTGACGCCTCGTTTCTTGCGTAGCCATCCTGCTCCTTCGTGTTCCAGGATTTGGTTGACTCTGCGCCGAATGCTCCTGTGGAAACAGCCCGGGTTCTTCTGCGGAAAACTTCGCGATCCGCACGAAGTCCTTTGAGATCATCCTGTAAAGAGGTGCTTGGATTTTCGTTACGGGAGAACGTGGACGACGCCAGAAGATCTTCGAGACCTTAGTGTAAAGAGGTGATCGAATTTTCCTTACGGGAGAACGTCGACGACGCAATCTCTTGCGGTTACTACCTGCTTCCGTTGAAGATCGAACAGCAGATTTGCGTCCCACAGCCTTCTCTTTCATTCGGACTTGTGCAACGGAGGTCCGCTCGGAGAGACTCACCCCCAGGGTTTCCATGAAAAGGCGCATGCTTCGCTCCCAGGCTACTCTCCTACGTTTTGGAATTAGCAAATACCACCAATTCTTCTCAAGCTCCTTGATACGGTCCCGTAGAGCCGACTGGTGTGCTTCGCTCTTGATGAGCCTTTCCTGCGAAGTGAGGTTCTTATCGTCTAGCGTGCTCAGCACTTGAGCGTATGCCTTTTGGTAACGTATGACCGACTCACGGCGGACGGGAAAACCTGCCGCAAAAGTGTAAGTGGCTCTTTGTTTGCCGAAAAGCAAATCTTCAGCAGCACCGACGGCTAGTCATGTCTCTTCCTTGGAAAAGCGAGCATCCTTGGAGTGTCCTTGGGTAGAACGAGGGAAGACGAAGTCGGTATCCTCTCGCTCTGTAGCATTGTCGGAGCGCCCTTGGACAGATCGAGGGAACACGATGTCTGTCTGTTTTTGCTCCAGAACATGATTGAGAAGCTGGCTCTTGTAGCTGCGATTATCCTTCTGGAAGAGCTTCACCTTCCTGAATTGTTTCTCCTCCTTGGCCACCTGCGGTTTGTCTAAATCTGCATGCCTGTCGCTGCTGTTGCTCTTGGCCTCGGATTTACTCTGGATAATCGATGAATGTGTGGAGAGGGGCGCAGTTGCAGATGCCGCCGTCTTGTCGCCTCTGGAAGGAGACGCCGCACCCTCATCCGGCATCGCATCGACATTTGAAACTACCAGCTGCTGAAAGGGCACACTGAGTCTTGTCTGATTGACAGTCTCCCCATCCCGAGTTAAGGTCAAAGCCATTCCGCCTTCAGAGAGCAGGCCGAAGGTGTTGGGGTGGTGACGCGCACTTTCTTCTATTCCAGCAGCGGAGTCATTCACAGAACCATTGTGGATTTCATCGATACTTGACGGAAGTACTCCGAATGTGATCGAACGGTGGTCAGGTCCAAAGTCTTCGCGCTGTGGAGCAATTCCGTGCTTCAGGTGTTCAGGCGCCAGAAAGAGCATGACACCATCCCCTTCACGCACAATATCCCCGAGCGCTTGTTGCTGCTGTTCGCTGAAAGAATCGCCAGCACCGTCCCCGTCGAAGTCGAACGTCCAGCCACTATCGGCACGCAGATCACGCGTACTGTACATCGTGTCTGGATCGAGGCTTATGAGGCCTGCCTTCTTGCCCCATCCTCCGCCGCCAGAAAGCACCTGACAGAGCCGAGCGCCCAGCCCCACCAGTTTGCTCAGCTCATAATTGATTGTCCCCCCTGAAACCACTTTCCGGGCACCTCCAATCGTCTCTCGAGGCACCCATGTGTCCTGCAGTTGTGATTGGCTGAATTTGAGAAACTCAGAGCGGTTTTTGAGGCCGTTCTTTGGATTCTTGACTGTGAAAGTGAATTGTCTGAACGTTTCTCGTGGAACGACCAGGGCCCAGACTTGGACTGGCTCTGGCTGACGATCATTCAACTTGAAGTACTCCGTGACGGCGGCTTCAAGTTCTTGCGAGGCGGGCTGAGAGGCCGTTGAATCATCCTGAGGTGGCCATTCTTGGTGTTTAGACTTATGTTCTTCTCCGTAGGTTTCGCTGGACACTTTGCGCACAATGTTCCCCATGGAGTTCACGACTCGCCTGAGTGGAGTCAAAGGGACCAAAGGAGTTTCCATCAACAGTTGCAAATCTTGCGCACCTATCGGCACACGGACGGTCTGGGCTTCGAGCCTCTGCGACGCAGATTTACGGAGCAGCCCGCTGAGGGGGTCAAACTCATATCGCATATGGACCATGGTCGAGGGCAAGCCGGTAGAGAAGATGGTCTGCGCCAATGGGAGCTGCACAGATGGCTCGGAATGGGCAAATCGGGGCATCCTAGGAAATGCAAATGTGAGAGCACCAGGCTTTTGAGTCGAGCTTTGGAGCGGGACTTGCGTGAAGGTTGAGAGGGGGCCAGGACTTGTGGTAAAGTGATACGCAAGACCTTCCTCTGCTTTACGGGATGAGCCCGGAACTGGCAAGCGGTCGACAACAGCTGTGACGGCGTCGAGCGGCTTTGAAGCTGTGGGATTGTCGCCGAATCGCTCGAGCACTCGCAGTGGCAAGTCCCCGGATAGGGCATGTTGCGCGAGTGCTGGCGTGACCAGCAGTAGCAGTATAGAGGGCAATGTATTCGGCAGCGATGCTTTTCCGATATTTTGTGGCAGTATCCGAGTCATCAAGTCTTCGACTTTGCTTGAATCAGGCTGCTGCACAGACACAGTGCCCATTGAGGTGATGTTTCGCCTTCTCGGGCCTGCAGACAGCTTGTGTTCGACGTCCTCGGCGGCTTCATAGTACTCGTGTTCGTCGAAAGGTTCATCGGTCTCGGAGGTAGAATCGTGGCCGCTGCTGGCCAAGCGGCGGCATTGAGCGTTGGTCCATGGGAACGACAACCTCGTGGTCGAGATGCTAAGCCTTGCGTGCCATTTCCAGCAGCTCCTCTGCAGCATTGGCGTCTTCCGCAGGCTTAAACAACGTGATTAAAGAGGTGAAGCTGTGGGAAGGTGTCGAAGAGTCGCGTGCGAAGTTGGATGACGCGCAGAGGATCAAAGCTTGTTCGGCCTTGGCGAGAGCCATTGACCCGACCTCCTGTCTCTTCTTGGGTCTCGACTACACATATCGACGACGTAAAGAAAACGAAGAGCTGGTCGAGTGAGTGCCTGCTCACTGAAACGATGCGTGGAGAATGACGCGGCTCCCATGTCGGCACTTGTCCAGTCTGAGTACCTGGTGCTCATTCGGCACCATTTGCCGCGAAAAGAAGGGTATAAGTGACAACTAAACTCTGGTCTCTCCAACTTCCATTCCATCTCCTTCGGGTCTCTGAAAGAAGACAGCCATTATGCCCTCTCGTTCGTTGAACGTCCTAATCGTAGGTGCCGGCATTGGCGGGTTGCAGGCTGCCCTTGCTTTAGCGACGGACGGTCATCAGATTACAGTGTTCGAGTCTGCCAAAGCATTTGAGAATGGAGGTAAATATCTAAATTAAAGTGTCCTGCTAATGTTCTATAGGTAGGAGCGGGAATTCGTGTACCACCCAGCTCTTCCAAGCTGAGCCGGGCATGGGGCGTAGATTTCAGCCAAGTGAAGAAGGAAGTCTCACGAGGCAATCGTTTCATCGACTGGAAAGGCAAGCACCTCTTAGATGTCCCGCTGGATGATGTGCAAGACTGCTACGGCTCGCCTTACTACTTCATCCATCGAGCAGACCTCGTAGATCTTCTGGTCAAAACCGCTGAACAGAAGCCGAATATAACAATTCGACTGAACTCTCGAGTGGTCTCGTATAACTTTGAGGAACCTTCATTTGAACTCGGATCTGGGGAATTAGTCTCTGGCGATGTCATCATAGTCGCGGACGGCATCAAGTCTTCAGTCAGAGACATTATCAACGGCCGACCACTTGCGCCGCAAGATACGGGCGATGTAGCATACCGCATCCTAGTGCCAGCTCAGCCGCTGCTGGACGATCCCGAAATGGCACACCTTATAAAGAGCCCGTGGGCGGTACACTGGATGGGTCCTGAAGGCCGTAAGTGGCACATGAGGCTCAGTCCAGTCCAGGATGATGAGGACAAACGCTCTAACTCTGCACTTTTAGATGCTGTTGGCTACCCACTCCAAGAGGGTGAGATGTACAACATAATCATTGATGTGACGCATGCATCCGACTTGGATGACCCCATCTCAAACGATGAGCAGATCTGGAAGAGTGCTCGCAGTAATGCCGAGTTGGTCGAGCGCTTTAAAGATTGGTATCCTGAAGTGCGCCGCTTGTGCGCGATGACTGGAGACTACCTCAAATGGAAGCTGGCCGATTTTGATCAGCTCGACAATTGGGTGCATCCGAGTGGCAAGGCGGCGCTCTTTGGTGATGCATGCCGTCCAATGATGCCGTCTGTTGAGATTGCGGCATCAAACCCCCATTGCCTGCATATATGCTGATACATCCGCGCAGATACATGGCACAAGGAGCAGCTCAAGCGACCGAAGACGCCGCGACCCTCGCAGCTGCGCTGAGACATTGCGACACTATACCTGAGGCATTGAAAACGTACGAAGCACAAAGAAAGCCTAGGACGACTTACATTGCTCGCAACACCCGAGTGCTTCAGGACTGGCTACACGTTTACGATGGGCCTGCGAGAGACCGCAGGGATGAGATGATGCGGTCTGATAATGAGAACAATCCAATCTTCTGGGGCTGTTCGGAAAGGAAAGACTGGCTCTTTGGGCATGATGCATCGCAAATTCATGAGGAAATTCGAGTGCCGAATCTACCGCCTCGGCCTTCAAAAGAGGCTTCGGTTTATCGTATGGCGAACTTGTAGGGCATATGGTCAGCTGGAGTTTGGCAGCCGCCTTGCTACAGGAGTACATGCTCAAGGAGTCTAAAGACTTCAGGTAGACCACAAACAGATCTCCAAGTCATACACATAGACTTTGTTTCAAGTGAATTGATCAGTGAGTATACCCTGGAATGGGATATGCCACTTTCAGCACAATTTCACCGTGTTCGTCAGTCTTCACGGCGATCTCAAGTCAATATGACCAAGCCGATTGCCAGACAGGTGATAGAAATGTAAAGTGTGAAAAGGGAGTAGGTGAAGTTGAGACACGGGTAGTTCCGCGTGGTGTAAGCTCAGATCAGTTTGGCCGACTCATGTTGTCATCCGTTTCAAAGCACTAGGAAGATCTGTGCCATCGCCACTCATTCGCCCTCTGTCCTCCCCTTCCTCCCCGATTCTGATGATATCCAACCAGCAATAAGGTCCCCGCTCGACCGACCTGCACAAACACCACGTCGACCACGATGGCGTCGCTCCTCCGACGGCCGCAAACTGTCGCTCGCTCCTCGCGCCAAGTCCTCGAGGCCGCATCGCTATCACAGACTCTTGCGCGACGACCCGCATCGTTACCGCGACCGCTGTACGCCTATGCGCGCAGCAGACAATATGCCACCCAGCCCGAAGAGCCAAAGGATGGCAAAAGCGCAGACAAGTCCGCGGGCTCGACACCCAAGGGCATGGAACATCTTTACTCCCAGAGTTCACCCATGTCCTCAAATCCTCAACCCCCCAAGAAGCCCGGAAATGAACAGGAAGATGGGACTCTACCTGGACGGACGAAGCTCAGCGCGGAGGAGGAGAAGGCTTTGGAAGATGTCTTCAAACTGGTGAAGAAGGGCATGCCTGCATCCATGGCCGAGGATATCGACAAGGCAATGCAGAGGATAAAGAGAGAAGGTCTGCCACAAGAACTGCGCGATACGATATCAGAAGTCCACAAGGAGGGCATGTCGCCTGCGAGAGCAGCAAAGCTATGGCGGTTAACCACTCAAATTGCAAGGCAGACGGCAGAGCGAGAAGTCAATGACAAGACGGAGAAGGTGGAGCCGCAGCAGAAGAGTTCTGAAGACCCTGGCCCGGCTGGTTCGAAGAAGGACGGCAAGAAGGGCAAGAAGCCGGATGACATGTTCAGCAACATCACAGAGTTCAGATTCGACTTATCAAACTTTCTGGTCGCGGCATTCGTCAGCTACCTATTATACAGACTGGTCGTACCCAGCGAGAATAGCCGAGAGATCACCTGGCAAGAATTCCGCAACACCTTCTTCGACAAGGGCTTGGTGGAGAAGCTGGTGGTCGTTAATGGCACTCGGGTACGGGTATATCTGCATCGCGACAGTGTTGCGTCCATGTACCCTGAATCTCCCGCTGCACAGCCTGGATTCCACTACTATTTCAGCATTGGCTCAGTCGAGGCATTTGAGAGGAGAGTGGATGAGGCTCAGAACGAACTTGGCATTCCCAACTCTGAGAGAATACCAATCTCTTACCACTCGGAAGGTAGCTGGTTCAATACTGTACTGGCTTTCGGACCTACTCTACTGTTCATCGGTGCGATCATGTTCATTTCGAGAAGAGCTGCATCTGGCGCAGGCGGTGGCCAAGGAGGTATATTCGGCATGGGGCGAAGTCGAGCCAAGAAGTTCAACCATGAAACCGACATCAAGGTAAAGTTCGCGGATGTTGCTGGCATGGACGAAGCGAAACGAGAAATCATGGAATTCGTCAGCTTTTTGAAGGAGCCTGGCATCTACCAAAAGCTGGGTGCCAAAATCCCTCGTGGCGCCATTCTCTCTGGACCTCCTGGAACTGGTAAAACACTTTTGGCGAAGGCGACCGCTGGAGAGAGTGGCGTGCCCTTCTTCTCGGTATCTGGATCTGAATTTGTGGAGATGTTTGTGGGTGTCGGTCCAAGTCGTGTGCGAGATCTGTTCCAGAATGCCCGAAAGAACACCCCCTGCATCATCTTCATTGACGAAATTGACGCTATTGGAAAGGCTCGAGCGAAGCAGTCATTCGGTGGAGGTAACGACGAGCGTGAGAGCACGCTGAATCAGATTCTCACAGAGATGGACGGTTTCAACACGGCGGAACAAGTTGTTGTTCTTGCAGGTACGAACCGGGCAGACGTTCTGGATAAAGCTCTGATGCGCCCTGGTCGTTTCGATCGGCACATTGCCATCGATCGCCCGACCATGGATGGAAGGAAACAGATCTTTGGGGTACACTTAAAGAACATCGTCACACACGAAGATCTTGACTACCTCAAGGGCCGTCTTGCGGCGCTGACTCCTGGATTTGCTGGTGCCGACATTGCCAACTGTGTCAACGAGGCGGCCCTCGTTGCCGCACGAAGCAACTCCGAATCAGTCGCCATGACTCACTTTGAACAGGCCATCGAACGAGTGATTGGTGGTCTGGAGAAGAAGAGCTTGGTGCTCACTCCTACCGAGAAGAAGACTGTCGCTTACCACGAAGCAGGCCACGCCATTTGCGGTTGGTACTTCCAGTTCGCTGACCCTCTTCTCAAGGTCAGTATCATCCCACGTGGCTCAGGCGCTCTTGGATACGCACAGTACCTCCCAGGTGGTGGCAACGACGCCGTTCTCATGAACGTCAAGCAGCTTATGGACCGTATGGCCATGACCCTGGGTGGCCGCGTGAGCGAAGAACTCCACTTCGACACCGTCACCAGCGGCGCCAGCGACGACTTCAACAAAGTAACCCGCATGGCCACCGCCATGGTCACCAAATGGGGCATGTCCAACCTCGGATACATCTACTACCCCGACGGCTCCGAATCGCAAGAAGCCCAACTCCAAAAACCTTTCTCCGAATCCACCGCGCAGGCCATTGACGCCGAAGTCAAGCGCATCGTCAACGAAGCCTACAAGCAATGCCGCCAACTCCTCGAGGAGAAGAAAAAGGAAGTCGGCGTCGTCGCCGAAGAGCTCCTCTCCAAGGAAGTCCTCAGCCGAGACGACATGGTGCGGTTACTCGGCCCCCGACCTTGGGAGGACCCAGGCGAGTTCTCGAAGTACTTTGGTGGTGGGCCGTTGGGGCCTGCACCTGGTCAACCGCCCGCTGAGCCTGGGTCGATCGAGCAGCCGAATGGAGGGAGTAACTTGCCTCCGCCATTGAGGGGTCCTGGCGGCGAGGAGCCTGCACCGACGCTGTATCAGCAATTCGAGCAGATGTCGCAGCGATGGCGATGATCCTGGTACTGATCCTGACATGTGCTTTCCATATGTATAGCAAGCAGCATTCATCCTGGCAAGGCGTTTTCTGGTCTCGACCTCCTTCTCCCTCCTCCCACTAAGCTGTATATCAAAGATCATGGACGGGGGGTGTGCATCGCATGGCGTCGGAGTGTGGGTTTAAAGTAGAAGGAGAGAAAGGATGGAAGGAAGAAAGAACGAGAGGAATGGCATGTTTTGTGTAGAGCCCAAGGTCAAAGTGCCTTCTTGTGAATTTTGTTACATACGTACTCCACTTTGCAAAAGAAGACGCATCTGATCGAGGCCATCCTTCCATTCCATTCCCGTGCTTCCGCTCTATTCACCACCCTTTTCCTGGGTTCCATCTGCGTTAGATGAAATAACAAACTCCTACGGTTGAGCCGAGTAATCGTTCGTGTGTTGACGAAATCCCTCCAAACGAAACGCCTTTTTGATGACCACACCACACCACACCCACCCGCCAGAAAGAGAAACCTAACCAAACACAGCCGTGACGTCGTCAAGAACGGTGCAAAAAACAATCCCTCCCACCACATCCCAACCACACACAAACTCCTCGCCCACCTGAACCACCAACATCCTACTGCTGCCCCCCAGCACCACCCATCCCCTGATGACCAGTCATATCCGGAAACCCCCCACCGCCCACCGCCCCACCGCCCGCCTCAAAAACCGCCGGCGTAAAACTCCCCAACCCCAGCCCCTCGGCCCAATCCCATTCGAGCGTCATCGGCATCTGCCAAAGATCCTGGGGCACGAAAGGTTGCTGGAAAGCACCGCCGGGGCCGGAGGACATATCGGGTGGCGGGCCTGTGAAGGGTCCGCCGCCGCCGCCGCCGCCGCCCATGGGGAAGTCGCCGGCGCTGGGGGAGAAGTTGGTGAAGGGGGCGCTGTCGGCGGGGTTGAGGTGTGGGGCGGAGAAGGGGGGTGGTTGGGGAGGCGTGCCGGCGAAGTGGTGCGTGTCCATGCCGTTGGGCATGGAGGGGAAGGCGGCGGGGTTGAAGGGGGGTTGGGAGGGCATATAGGCGTTCGGTTGTTGTTGCTGTTGTTGGAGGTGGTTCGAGGGCCGGGCATTGCTCGACGAGCGCTGGTATTCTGGGCCGGTGCCCCCGGGGGGACTGTGGCCCCAGCTCGCTGGGCTGTTGCCCGTTTGGGAGCCTGCTTGACTCCCTGCGATGGAGGCTCGGAGGCTCGGGGTTTGGACTGGGCGGCGGTAGGCGGCTTGGGTTTCGACTTGCATTTGCTCGAGGCTCTTGCCTTCTTCGAGGCCTTGGGCGACTTCGCCGCTGATGCGCTCTTTGAGGGCCTTGTCTCGTTCGCGTTCGGCTTGCTTTCTCTTGCCGCGGCCGCGCATTTCTCGCTCTGCTTTGTCCAGTGCTACTCTTGCTATTCGCTCGAATTCCGCGCAGACGGAGAGCATGCGGCGGACGTTGCCATTGGCTTCTGAGACATCTCGCTCCAGCATGGTTAAGAAGGATACAACACTGCTCATTAGCTTAAGATCAGATCTGGCTCGTGCATCTTGAGGATTTTGAAGTATGTTTGCGAAGAGTGTGACCAGTGCTGAGACCGGGTAGTAGAGTACGAGCCTAGTCAATCGTCAGTATTCTCACACTTAGCAAGAGGACCTGATCACTTACCAGACACAAGCGTAGTCACCTTGCGGAATATAGCGAATTAGCCCAATACTCGTCCTAGCCGCATTCACACATAGCGCAGCACTCATAAACACTCTTGGATTCAGCGGTCTCGCATTAAGCCCTTGAATAGCGTAGTCACTCAGTCGACTCGTCCAGTATCCGTGATGTACACTCATCCTGTGGATGGTCGTTAAGCAGTTGTAATATGCAAAGTGCAGCACAACAACATGCAATATCAATGGCGTATGCGCGGCTTTGATCTCGTGCTCAGGTCGGAAGTCGATCGGTATGCTGTCTTTCCACTCTTCCAATGAAGCGTCCAACTCGCCAATGGTATTGAGGAGCTCGCCATCGCTTTGCCGACTTGCTTTGACGGAGTACAGCCTCTTGTACACGCTCGATTGGATCTGAGCAAATTGACACATGAGTCGGAAGAGATTCATGGTTGTCTTTCCATCCTTCTCATGCGCTAAAGGCACGTTGCCAACATTGTCAGGCGGGTCTTCTGAAGGGAGGTCAACGTTCATGTCATCGTCGTCTTGCGAAGGCGGCCGTCCAGAGCGCAGACATATGTCCTTGTCCATGAGATACGCAATCCAGAACACACGCTTGCGCTGCTCGTTCTCGACTTCATTGAGGTTGAATCCCGAACCACGCTTGTGCAAACCGATCGAATGTGCTAATCGAATAGCAGCAGCGACGAGGAAGAAGCTAGGCTGTGGGTTAGGAGTGCCTTGCAGGAAGAGAGCCATTCCCAGCAAAGCCTGCACAGACAGCAGATCAGTATTGCGCATCGTCAGCTCAGACATGACAGCCATCGCGTTCTTCAGATACGCCCACGCGATCTCATCCTCCTCTTGCCCGACCACATTGCTCATTACCCTCAGCCTGTGCCCTATTGCAAGCGCGACGTTCAAGCTAGCCCACCAACCTGACCCATCGTAGGGCTCCAGGGAGTAGTGCTTATCGACGAGATGCATGAACGTCGGTTCATGGAAGAGGGGAAACATGCAGTTGAAGTTCTCGAAATAGTCCTTCAACAGCGCGTAGCATTCCTGGCGACCGGGCAGAGGCTTGAATATCCGTCTCTGGAAGAGATCGTTAAAGACTTCTGGTTTCCAATGATCCCATCCTTGCTTGTCCTCGGACGAGGCGACCGCGATCATCTGCTGAAAGCTGTTGTCCCCCGTCTTTTCATTCACCCATTGTATACCCTTGGGACTGAATATACTGAACCCGGATGATGAGCCGATGTAGCGAGTCTCTCCGCAGTTGTTGGTGATGAGACTGCACATCTGGTCCGCCAGCGCATCAACTTCTTTCTGATCCCGCTTGAACACGTTGTCCTGGCCATTGGGCACATTAGGCGACTTCGCATTTCCATTCTGCGCCGGGCTCCCATTCTGTTCATTAGATTCCTGCACTCCCGGGGTGTTGGCGTCTTGATTTTTGCTTATGCGTCGATTGGAAGAATCATTCGAATTCGGGCTCGAAGTACTCTGATGTTGCCTCTCCGCCAATCTCTTCTCCAACGTCCCAAGATCTGTCCGACCGCCATCGTCCTCCGCCAACAAGCCAGACAGGCGCAACAAACTCTCCATCCTGCCTAAACGATTCTCCAATCCTTCAATATACTTGGCACCTTTGGGTGGCGCCCTCTTCTTCTCCACATGCGTGAATATGCACTCTGTCTTGTAATTCTCACAATGGCTACACTTGGGCATCTTCCCATCGCACTTGATCTTCTTCTTGCGACACATGTCGCACGCGCGAGCAATTCTCCTGCGCTTGGGATCGCGACTTTCCCCGCCTTCATTGTCGTTGTCGCCAGCGCCGGCATTGTCGCCGTCGCCGTCGGCATCCTGGTCGTCGTTGTCGTAGCCGTAGTCGAGATCCTGGGGAAACCAGTGGGCGCCGTTGCCGGGCATGTTGGCCATGTCGGCGGTTTGGTAGCCGCTGAAGACCGGAGGCTGCGGGTTCATGGAAGCGGTGGTGCGGGGAGGGTCGGGTGGGTTCATAGTATGAGAGTGGTGTCAGGCATCCAAAGGGTAGATTGTTCGGTCAGACTGCGGGTGGAGTTCCAGACGGCGGAGCGGTGCGCGGGCGAACAGAGGAGGATTGGATGGGCGATGCAGGGCCTGGGGTAGCAGGTGGGAAACGATTAGCTTGCGGCCGCTTTCGCGCTCAATGTGGTCATCAAAGAGGTGTGCTGGCGGCGGTGGTGCTGCATGACTGAGTTGGAGCTTAGCGGTGCGTCATGCTATGGTAAGTAAGAGAGAGCAGCCAGCAGTGATGAAGGAATCATCAATGAGTGTCCCTGTCGTTGCGCGCAGGTTTCTAAGCAGGCGTCTCGAGCAGCTCACAGGCAGTTCTGATCGACCGGCATGAGTCGACACAAGCTTCGACCACCCCAGGCCACGCTACCACGACCACCTCCAAATCATTCACTTGCCTGGCCTGAGTTGGGCGGGTTCCGCGCGGTGTAGACGTACGCCAAGACGAGATGCCCTTCGCTCCAAGCCTGATCGGTCGGAGGCGGAGTTTGCGCCATGTCCGCTCGCGTTGCAGCGAGATGGAGAACCCCTTCTCTCGTACGTTGTCGTACAGTATATCGTATTTACTCACAATCGACCCATCCTGATGCTGTTCGCTTTCGCTCGTAGGTAGGCAACAGCCTCGTCGCCAATAATACACGCGCCAGTCCCCCTATCCCCTGATTCTCAACCTCAAACCAATGCCCCAATCCGTCCAATGCCCAGCAACGCATCTAATCTTGAAGACTGGTCTTCCAAGAAGCCGGAGTACACCCACTGGCGTGTGCCCAAGGACCAGGTCATCGCATCCAGCCTTCGTCCGGGCCCGACCATCGTACAAGTCGCGGCGAAATCTGGCCGCACACGCGCATAATCGCCGAGGTCGATCGACGCAGTCTCACGCGAGAGTGCTAGGAACAGGTTGGTAGTAGGTGTTTTGTCATTATTGTCGGCGTGACCGCAGCAATAGGAAAATGGCTACTAGGTCTGCAAGGTGAGGTCTGGCAAAGTCAAATACACTGAATTCGAGGTTGATGTTCTGTCGCGTGGCAGATGGAACGCTTCTCGGATGCTGGAGTTGCCGGCCGAGTCGAGTCGTAGCAATTGACAGCTAATTCTCCGCATGTGCTGTATGTACTCGATACAACACTCTCGACATGCTCATGTCTCTTGTCAATCACATGCCATACAGTACAGGTCGTCAGATGTGGTTGAACGGGACGAATTTGAATCGAGGAAGCTTTCATTGTTCTCTTGACGTACACTGGAGCCATACTGACCGGACTCCCTTTTTCGTGCCTGTGATACGAAACCAACCACCAGCACCATGCCATTATCAACAAGAGCCATGTCGTCGTGCAAAGGACCCATCCAACGCCGACCGCCATGACCACACCCAAATGCGAAACGTACCAAACATGTAGACAAACGAAATTCCGAGCAGAAGTCATGACTACCGCCTCTTGATGAATGGACTAGGCATCTCCTCTCCATGGACGATTGGATTCCACTTGGCCGGACTCTGAGAGAGCTCCACGAGCGTTCGGCCACGGATGGGTGGTCGGTTCTCCTTCTCTATGGCCACGCTGAAGATGTTTCTCTTCACCGGCTCATTTGTCAGACGCTCCTGGAGTCCGCCATTTCGCCGAGGTGAGAGGCCGAGGCCTTTGTAGTGGTTGGGCATTGGGCTTGGATCGGCCATGTGGACGTCCATGGGCGAATCCTTAATCGTATTGCTGATGGTGTTGCAGTTGGCAAATGTCTTTGCGCGGGTAAAGGGCTTGCGAGCCGTCTTCTTGGGAGGCAGCTTGGACGTGCGGCGAGCGAGAGGCGAGACCTCGTCTTCCACAGGATCGTTGAGCGACAACGATGTCAACTCTGTGTCGAGCACCGAATCTTCGAGCACTTCGGGCAAGGAAGAGGCGTCAGGGTCGGGGATAGTGCTGATGAAGTTCTCGAAAGATGAGGCAGCCGCGTTCTTGCCTGGAGGTGGTGTACTTGATCTGACGTGGAATGACACATCGGCCTCCTTGGAAGAGCTGTGATGGCTGCCCGGGAGAGAAGCCAGATGAAGGGAGAGCTTCTCTTCGGCACGCTGATCGACGGCCGTCTCGAACTGCGAAAGCAGCTCCTGCTTGTTCCGGTCACAGGCCTCCTGGACCTTTTGGTCGATCGCCAACGTGGCTCGAGCATGCCACTCCATCTCCACCTTCTTGTTTGCCTCGCGAAGCTTGCCAACCTCGTTCTGCAGCTCTTGTATTTGCTTCTGAGCTGCCGCTAGCTTGTTGAACGCACTGTCACGCTCCTGTTGGACCTTGTCGAGCTGACCAAGAGCCACCTTCGATTCGAGCTTCGTGCGGGCGACCTTGATGTTGCCAATAGTCAACAGCTGTGCACAGTCCGGACGTTGGCGTGAGTCGGTCTTGAGACACCAAGAGATGGTATCGATGAGGTCTTGGCTATACTGGGGCGGCAAGGGCTTGATGCGGCCTTGCTTGATCTTCATCACAAGCTCCATGTGACTGCGGGCCTCAAAAGGCACCTGTCGTGTTGCGAGTTCGTAGATGATGCAGCCAAGGGACCAGATATCCGAATAGTGCGAGTAGCGTTCTGCCGCGCAGATCTCTGGACTCATGTAGAAGGGAGTGCCGACGTAGGTGCTGGCGAAGTCGTGAGCGGCGATGATCTTGGAAAGACCAAAGTCTCCCAGCTTGACACTGTTCTCCTCGCCAAGGAACACTGTATGGTCAGCAAACGACGCAAAAACTCATTGGAGGAAGAGGTTACCATTCTCTGGCTTGAGGTCTCGGTGCAGGATGACAGTATGACCCTGCTTGCTCTGAAGTGCCTTGCCCTTCCTCACGTTTCCCTCCTTGCCTGGTGGTGGTGGGTCCTCGCCATAGTGACACCGGTAGAGAGCACCAACCAGCTGCGCAAATATGGTCCAGATGAACTCCTCATCGGCGTATCGATTCTTCTCTTTCAGCTTTCTGATGTATCCACCTAGGTCTCCGTTTCCGCAATACTCCATGTACAAATGAAGGTCATGAGAAGACTTGAGGTGCTGTCGATGGTAGTACTGCACGATGTTGGTATGCCGCAGTGATTCGAGGATGCGCAGCTCGGCGTGCAGCTGTTCCTTTTCGCGGTCCGTCATGCGTGTGTAGGAGATCTCTTTTCTGCATCTGATCTCGCCGTCACACTTGCGCCTCACTTTGCGAATGACGCCAAACGAGCCCTGGCCGATCTTCTCCAATACTTCGTAGTCGGTATCGGTCGCCATGGCGGCGATGAGGGGGTGAAGCTGCTGAGTTAGTGGGTGTCGTGATGTAAAGAAGGACTAGGGGATGCTGAGCATTAACGAAGAGCTCTGCTGTGCTGTATGTATCGTGTACATGTACGAAGTACCAGTATAGGTTGCTGCAAGCAAGATGGAAGCTTGAGAGACGGTTGACAGATGACAACACGGCCGGCCGTTGCGCCGGGTAACCAAGATAGCGGCCGATAAGCGAGGAAAGTTTGCCGGGTGGCGCGACGTCATCTCGACTTGAGATTCACAGAAGATCGTCTAGAATCGCTTGCCATTCTACTTCATGACTGTTGACCCTACGTTTGAGTGTTGGAGAACCTCCGTTGGACCTTCAAGATGGCAGAAGCCGGGATCAAGGGCAAGCACCAGATCGAAAAGGCGCTCTACGAAGAGAAGAAGGAGATCTCCTCTGGACGATTAAAGGACGAGAACCCACTGGATACCAGCCCCGAGTTTCGAAAGTTCTGCGAGGCGTGTCGAAGAGGAGACCTGAAAGTGTGTCAAGAGCAGATCGGCACAGGCATCAACATCAACGCAAGAGACGAATACGATTACACGCCTCTGATTCTTGTAAGTCACCGTAGACTTCGTTTCCTGGGTGAGAGCTGATGCTGATAAGTCGGGTTGAGGCGTCGCTATGTGGACATTACGAAGTTGCGCAGATGCTGCTGGAGCAAGGTGCTCTTTGGGAACGTGACACTTTCCAGGGCGAGCGTTGTTTATACAATGCCTTGAACGATCGGATACGGAATTTGCTCCTGCAATATGACTACAGCAAGTCTACGGATCCTCTACAGCCACTTGCTGCACACATAACCTCCTTGCTCTCTCGAGAAACGCCTAAGACGACCGATATCGTTGTACAGACTGGAGAGACTACGCTCGATCTACACAAGTTTGTCCTCGCCGCGAGAAGTCCGTACTTCGCGCAGAAGTTGTCAGCCGCACCCGAAACCACGCTTTGGAAGCTCTCCCACACCGTCCCTTCACAATCTTTCGAAACATGTATAAGATACCTGTATATGAGTGAAGTGGGTGCGGGCTTGGGAGAGGGCGAGGAAGAGCAGGCAATCTTGACTGGCATTGATAAGCTCAGTCGCCAGCTGGAGATACCACAGGTGTTTGAGGATATACTTGCGTCTGGAGATCGGAGACAAGCACGCCAAAGACGGACAGATGAGGTTGCAAGAGGGAGAGATCAACTCGCAAATTGGTTTCAGGACAATGTGCTGAAGTACAAAATGCGCGTGGAAAGCAACAAGGCAGATGCTGTGAAGTGGGACAAAGATAATGGCATCTTCGCTGATGTGCTATTACGGGCGGACGAGGACGAAGAGGACGAGGAAGAACCCGAGCAGGCTGAGGACAACAGTGCTAAGATACGACAAACGAACGGCCCTCTAAATGGAATCCCCGTTGGACACTTCCAAAATCAAGCATCGAGATCACCGTCACGGAGACGGAATCCCAAACAATCAGTCCTCTTCCCCTGCCATCGAGCTATGCTGCTACGATCAGAAGTCTTCGACACCATGTTCGCATCACCATTTCGAGAAGGCCAGGAAAGCAAGCACCTCCAGATCATACCTGTCGACTGTTCATCCGACGTCCTCGAAATCATCCTGACCTTCCTCTACACCGAAAAGGCCGACTTCCCACTATCGATAGCCTTGGAAGTCTTGACAGCCGCAGACATGCTCTTCATCGAAAAGCTGAAACAACGAGCCGCCCTCCTAATCAGCACCCTTGGCAACGGCACTGCCAGCGTCGTCGAAGCTGAGAACCCGCGAGGAGAGACCAGCGTAGAAGAATTCATCGACATATACGACGTCTTACGTGCTGGATGGGATACAAGAGTCCACCGTCTGGAGGAGTTTGCCGCAAGATACATTGCCTACCGGCTAGAAAGATACATCGACGAGCCCGATTTCAAGGACTTGGTAAAGGAGTCTGCATCCCGAATCCAAAGCCGTCAGGAGACGGATACAGTCGAAGTCATCGACGATATCCGCTACTACCTCTCCGAGCGGTTCAGATTACGCTTCGAAGACTCAGGCTTGGACGAGATGATGGATGAGACTGTCCCAGCCGAACTTACAGAAGATACCGATGAAAAGGAGAAGGGCTTAGAAGACGAAGGCGTAGATGTTACGTCGGGTCTCACACCACCCCAACAAGAAACTGGCTACAACGCGGAGGAGGGACAGGGCGTGGTACGGACTCTGGACGGCGAGATTGCGGGCGATGAGTTCGCGCAGGATGCGATGAATTATCAGATTCTGTTGGGCAAGATTGAGACGTTGATGGATGGGTTGGGATTAGATGGGTAGAAGCAGAAGTAGACGTTATGAAGTGGGTCTGTTTTGTTCATCCATGGATTCATTCATTGTATCTCTATGGGGTGGGTATCTCTCGCTTTCAGTGCTGTCAATCGTGTGCATGCTTTTGCTCTCTCTCGGTGTGGAGAGCTTTCATTCATGGGGACAAAGGAAAAATCAGTCATCGTCATCTTCGTCGTCTTCTGCGAATGTCCCCCTGTCTCGACATTCATCCACGCCTTCAGACAAGTATCCAAACTCTCTCTCGCTTCACGACCGGCGGAGGTAATCCCACAATCGATCCCTCAATCTCAACAACCGCTTCAGCTCCTTCTCATCTGCATTCATCTATCCGGAAAGAAATCCCCGGAGAAGTCCAGTTCTCCAGCAGTCAGTTGCGGGTCGATGACTCCGGAGAATGGTGGAGGTTGGAGGTTTGGTCCTTGGCCTGGAATGGGGTTCAGGCCTGGGATATTGGTGGTGTTTGGTGTAGGTTGTTGAGGAGGATTGTGAGGCTGCGAACCACCTCCCTGCTGCAAGCTGGGATCGACGTTGCACGTCTGCTGACTCGGAGTCCGCACAGAACCGTACAGCCGCTTCTCTTGCTCTGTATCTGCGCCCAGGTACTCTGTCACGTTGGAGAACTCGTCTGGGCCTTTCCCGTTGTATGGTGCTTGACCAGGAGCTTGGGAGATGTTTCGGTTGGCTGGTTGCTGGGAAGCTAAAGCGTTGAAGCTAGCGATGGCGTCGAGATCGTGGGGCAGGCTTGAGTGGCTGCCTCCGGCGGATGATGCAGTGTGGTCGGGCTGGTAGTATTGGGAGTTGGCCTGGAAGGGGTCCTGTGGTGGAGGTAATTGGGAGCTCTGACTCTGGTCCTGGTTGTTGTAGTATGGAGCCTCGCCCTGAGGCTGAGAGCCGTCAAGTAGGTCAGGATACTTGGACGGGGGTTCCTGATCGCAGCCGAATGCGTCGTATTGCCGTGATGAGTCCGCATTCTGTGCAAACTTCGGGTCGTTGGGATACTGTGGCTTGTACCAATCCAGGGGGTCCCCGCACTCGTGCTCGTCGATTTTATTATTCAAATAGGCGTTCTCTTCCTTCAACTCGGCGTTCTCACCCTTCAACTTGGCGTTCTCATCCATCAAATGCTGCTTCAACTCCCGAAGCTTAGTGGCAGCGTTCCCTCGGCGATGAGCCTTCGTCTCGCTCTCCTCCAAAGCGTCCTGTGCCTTGTCGAGTGCCTCTTTGTCGGCCTTCTTTTCGCGGATGAAGCGATTCCTCGCAGCTAGGGTATCTGTGAGCTTGCTCTGTAGTACTGCGACCTGTTGCTCCTGCTTCTGCAAATCCTGAGCGCGCTGGTCGAGATTGTGGGTGAGCTGCTCGTTGTTTGCGTTCAGGTTTTCGATCTGGCGCTTCAGTCCTCCCACGTCGTTGTGGTACTGCTCCATCACCTCGATTTGCTGATTGAGCAGGCCATTGTCTTGCTGCACGCAGTCGTAGTCGGCCTTGCTGGCCTGGGGATACTGAGCTTGCTGCATGAGGCTGGCCTTTTCCGCTTGCAGCTGCTTAACGCGATCGATGAGATTCGTCTTCTCGGCATCTAGCTCCACGAATTGGTTCTCGCGGCCGGTGCTCCAAGTAGCGAGCTCCTCATTCCTCTTCGACGCGTCGTCAAGCATCTTCTGCAGCTCCTCGTTCTTTCCAGACGCGGCCGTGATATCTCTCTTCAACTTCTCATTCTCCTCAGACGCGCGCGCCATTGTAGCTGTCGACTCTCCGTTCTGCTTCTCGAGGCGATCACACTTGGCCTGCAGCTCCCGAAGGCCGCTGGCTCCAAGCTCGTTCTTCTCCACCTCGAGAGCCTTGATGTTGCATTGGAGGGTGTCATTCTTCGCCGCAAGGTCGTTTTGCGTCTTCTCCGCTGCTTCCGCTCTCTCCTCGGCCATCTCTGCTCGTCGTACCTGCTTCCCTTTCTCCTGATCCGCTTGCTGCAGTCTCTTCTCGAGCTGCTTGATCTTCTCCTCTGCAGCATTCAGACGCGCTTGATCTTCTTCCTTCGTCTTCAGCTCGCGCTCCAGAGACACATTCTTCTCCTCAACAGTGGCCTTGGCCGACTCTGCTTCTTCCACCTTCTTCTGCGCCTTCTCCACAATCTCCTCCGACGACTGTGCCGTCTTCAAGACTTGCGCAAGCTTCGTCTTGGCCACATCTTCGGAGATCTTCGCGCTTTTCGCCTCTCGCATGGCTGTATCGCGCTCTCGGGTGAGCTGCTGGTGCAAATGGCCTCGCCGCAACTTCGAAAGCTCTACCTCGAGGTCGGAAATGTTGAGTCTCTGCCACTTCAAGTCATTGCAGTACGCATCGCGCTCCTTTCTCAACGAGTCTGCTTGCTTCTGTCTCTCCACGATCATCTTGTTCGCGTGCTCCTTGTGCGCCAATAGCTCCTGAAGGCCATGTCGTTGCGCAAAGTCGTGCTTCTTCTGCTGGTCGTGCATGCGCCACCGGAGATCCTCGATTTGCTGGTCTCGCGACATCAGGTCGCTTCTGAGCGATCGCATTTGATTGCGACACGTCTCTTCATTCGCGTGTGCGACAGGCTTTCCTCGAAGTGGGTAGTTGGGGTTAACCCAAGTGGTGCGGCTGGTGCGGACCAGTTGTGGTTGATGTTGAGGCTTCGCGCAACAGGCGCGTCCGCAAAAGAATGTGATGACGGAGGCGATGATAGAGACAGCACACAAATACCACACAGGATTCGACATGATGGCGGACATGGCGTTGGACGCGACGTCGGAAGACATGTCGGTGGTGGTGGTGGTGGTGTGGTGTGTGTGTCTGTCGGAAGAAAGCTCGAAGTGCAAACTGCGACAAGTTTGTGTTGCCCGGTGGCGGGCGCGCTAAGCGGGCCGCTGCACTAGCGTCACTAGCGCCGCGAAGTGAATGTTGACCGAAATTTCGCCCATTCACTCGCTGCTTCCCACGCATTGAGGAAAGGGCGATGCCAATGGTACTGCTATGATCTGGTTAGTGTTCGCATTGGCCTCGGGGATATATGCTGTTATCCTGGTCTGACATTTCGTCCTGGGACGCTGGCTGCTCCCTGATCTTCATCAGCCCTCCTTTCCTTCCTTCTCTTGGTAAGAATGTGGTCATGGCATACAGTAGGCTCGCATTCGTCTCGTTCTTACTTCGTCCCTCATTGTATTCCTCACTGTCTCCCTTACTCGATCCCTCACTTTCTCCATCACTCTTTACTTCACTCTTTACTTCATTCTCTCCTTCAATCTCTTATTCAATACCCCCTTCCACTGTACCTCACTATCTCCCTCATTCTATCCTTTACTCTATCTTTCAGTCCATCTCTCACTCTTCCCATCACTCTAACCCTCACTCGAATCTTCACTCCATCCTTTACTCAATGCCTCACTCTATTGCTCACTCCGTGCTCTCTTCTCAAACGCAAGGGCTGTTCCCCCTTTCAACGATGTCCAAAATTGACGATCTGTGGTCCATGGGTTTCCTCGCCAGTGGCACATGCACATGGGACGATACGCACCTAGAAACGACAACAATCTCCGGCATCAGTCCCTTGTCAAGCCTACCAGCAATATAATCAGCAGCAGCGCAGTCTTCAACGATTCGGGGATGACACAAAAACACGAGTCCTTTGACAGCGCAGCACAAACATCCCATTCTCCATATCTACCTCATCACCTCCCCATCCGCTCCGCCCTCTTCCTCCTCTCCTCATCCCTCCTCTGCCTATCAATCCGCTGCCTCAGCCTGCTCCGCGCCGCATTCTGCCGCCCCACCTCAGGGTCCAAATTCGGCTGCAAGTTCACATCCTCCCAATCCGTGATTTCGTCGTCGTCGAGATCGTCGGGTGGGTCGCTCAGGGGCGATGACCCTCCGGATTGCGTGCCGGGTTGCTGGGTGGTATCGACGCCCTGCGCCGCGCACTCTTCTTCGAGCTCTCTCTGCAGTTTGGCGTCGGGGTCTTCTTCTTCTTTCACTTCTTCGTCTTCGTCGCTTAGCTCGGCGGCTCTCTCCAGATCGCCGAGGTGATCTTCATCATCATCGTCATCGTCATCATCATCTCCGGCCCCTGAAGCCTGGGGCTCTGTTTGAGGCGGAGCGGAGGCGCCCGAGCTCGGTGGCATTGTGTTGCCGCCAGTCGTATCCCCGATAGATGGACCAGGACCAGGCTGCGGAGCTGTGACGCCAGGAGTTGGTTGATGAGTTGCCGGCGGGGATGCTGTGACGTCCTCCATAGCCTGGTCAACCGGCTCTGGTGGAGCGGGCGCTTGCTGTGGTGCAGTCGGTGCTTGCTGGGGCGCTGCTGGAGCGGCCATCTCTGTTGGTGCCGCCGGGGCATCCTCCATGTTATGATCTGGCGCTTGCTGCGCCGGCGGGTTTTGCTGTGGTGAAGTAGCAGCAGCCGTCTGTGGCACTGGAGCTTGGAAATTGAAGTGAAGACGTGCCTCTGGGACACGGAAAGGTGCTGCTGGAGCCGCCGGGCCAAATCTAGGGCTCCTGGGTGGACTGATATTGAACAGGGTCGCCCGAGGCTCCTGCTCACGTTGTTCTGTTGCTGGCGCAGCGTTTGCGCCTGCTTGTGGAGCTGTAGCATCCTGATGTGATGGGTCAGGTGCGGATGATGAAGTGGCCGTGACGTCCCTCATGGGATCGTCAGGCACCTGTGGTGCGGCATTAGCAGCCATATGTGTGGCTGTAGTCTCAGCATTGGACTGACCATGCACCTTGGGAAGGGGCTGGTTTCCAGCACGCCTTCCAGCCCGGTTCGGCACTTGGACTCGCGTACGACGAGAGCCATTTCCTGCTCGGTGAGCTAGTCTACCACCGCGTTGGTTTGCTCTCCTCAGGGGGCTGGCATTGCTCGACCCTGAGCTGGCTGATTGATTGCTTGAGCTCGGCGCTGGGCTCGCGGGCTGCGTTGCATTGGCGCCTATATTGGCTCTGTGCTTTGCCAGTAAGGCATCCCACTTAAGCGCTCCTTTCGCTCTGGCTTCGGCATGCTCATCGTTCTGCGTGCTCTGGGGTTGAGGCTCTGCTTGCGGGCTTCCCTGTTGCGAAGACGGACTTGCGAGGCTCTGTGGCTCTCCTGTTGGCGAAGAAGGGCTTGCTTGACTTGAGATCGGTGCTTCTGGGACCTGGACAGGTTGCAGCTGCTGTGGCTTCATCTGTGGTGTGGCGGGGGGCGGAGTGGTCGTGGTGGGTACTGCTGGTGGTGCAGGGGCTTCGGCTCCAGCTTGGGTGTTGTTGGGGGTGTTTGCCGAAGCATTGCTAGGCTTCTGTGCTGGCTCTGGCTCTGGCTCAGGCTTGGGCTCAGGCTCAGGCTTCTGTGCCGGCTCTGGCTTGGGCTCTGGCTCTGGGTGTGACTCTGCAGGCTTAGACTCTGCAGGCTTCGTCGTTGGGCTCATGGGAGCCGGTGCTGCTACTACTGCTGCTGCTGGTGCTGGAGCTGGAGCTGGAGCTGGTGCTGGTGCTGGTGCTGAGCCCATCGGACTCGGCGGTAGCCCCACCAGCACGGGGTCAACAACGGCGAGCTGTCGTCGGGCGAGGAGGAGTTGCTTCTCAACAGCCTGTCTCTGAGCCTCGGATGTGCGCTGTGATTGCTCCAAGAATGAATTCTCGGCCCTCAACTGTGCAATCTCGTCCGGAAGGCTCCTCTCCCTCTCTGCTGCTTCCTCGAGCTCCGCTCTCATGTCCTGGCGCTCCTGCGCGTACGCCGCCTCCAAGGCCTGTCTCGCCCTGAGGTTCTTCCTCCCTTCCTCCAGATCGGCCTTTTCGGCTTCGAACTCCGCCTCCTTCTTCTCCCTCCACTCCTTCATCTCCCTCCTCGTCCGCACGGCCTCCCACCTCGACTCGTGGGATATCGTATGGAACGCATCGCGCTCCTTCTCTGCCTGCTGCTTGCGCTTGAGGGCCACGTCCCTCTCACTCTGCAGGATGCGGCGCACCTGGCCGGCCTCAGACCTCACTTGATGTGCGGTCGAGGCCAGCTCCCGGTTACGCTTCCCCTGAGCTAGCAGCTTCTTCTCGTACTTGGTGCGCAGCGCGCCCATCTCCTCCTCGTGCACCTCCTCCAGTGCCTCAGTCTCACGCTCGACGTCCATGACGCGCAGGGCCGCCTCCTCGCGAACCTGCCGACGGAGTCGCGCATTCTCCGCTTCGACCTGACCTATTCGGTCGCGTCGAGAGACGGTGAATTCCACGGTCAACGGGGGAGGAACACGCGGGCAAACGCCTTTGCGCCACGGGACTGCCTTCACGCGAGGTGGTGGTGGGCTTCGCAGCCAGAAGAAGAGGGCGACTAAGGTGAAGAACATGAGGGCAGCGGCCAAAATCGTCCATGATCTCTCGTCTTGCTGCTGGAGCCAGTTCTTGATGACAACCATTGTTGCCATGGCTGCGTGCTGTGCTTGCAGGGATATGATGGAGATGATGTGTGTGATGTCGGTGGACCAGCTAACGAGGGAGGCGAAAACAAATTCAAGCACGGTGTGCGGGAAGCGAAGCGAGGCGGCGTCTGCAAGCGGGTGGAAATGCGGCGACGGCGGGGGTGAGGTCGCCGCGATGATGCAGAGATTGGGTGAGATCGTGTTCTTTGTCTCAGATCAGATTGTGTTGGTTCCTGCGCTTTGTTCACTCGTTCACGCATGAGTACCTAAATCTAGCAGTTGGTCTGGATCTCCTTTGACAGCAGGGTCAAAGAGCGCTGCTGTAGAGAAGACCACAACAAGGAATTATTAGCTTTCTATGTCTCCAGCTATGCCAAATCTACGAAGTCGGCGATACAAGACACGTTAGCATGGCTCTTGTCTAGCTCAGGGGGCTATGTACCTGGCCTACGTTTCAGGGGTCGAGTACCTGACCGCCATTGCCAGCATGCCACTTCCATCCTCCGCCTCGAGTCAAGAAAGATGATAGTGACGATGACAGCTTTCGTTGACGAGGGACTCGGTCAAGTAGCGGGCAGGCATATCGTCTTTCCACTACTACGGACTCTTCTCCTTCTTTAACAGCTCCTGTTCCCGCTTCCACTTCTCCCCCAGCTCATTCACCTCTGTACGAAGTTAGCCATGATCGCTACCTTCATTGAAGATCATCACGGTAGTATACATACCTCTATTAGCCTTAACAATCGCGTCCCTCGCCCCAGGCCAAAACTTCCGCCCTCTCTTCGTCACAAAAAGCCTCAGCGCGAAAGGCGTATCCGGCCCATCCATGATCAGCTTGTACATTGCTCGGTCTGTCCACCAGAACTTCCATCCCGACCAGCCCCAGCCTGTTCTGTCGTACAGTTCTGTTCCTGCTACGTCGTTGAACCAGAGATCGTGATCGAGTTCGTGGCTGAACCCGGCATGGCTGATGAAGCCTTTGTTCAGCTCGGCGATGAGCCATTGGAAGTGCTTTGTTGCGTTGCGTTCCATCTATCGGCGAGTAGGAATGGTTAGTGACCTTCGGTGTGGGATATTGGGTGAGATTCGTACCTCTATCTTGGACGGCATTGGGTAGTTGCCCTGCCAGAGCTGGGCAAGCGCCATGCACTGCCTCTCAGCTAGTGGAAACCATGCTCCTTTGTAGATGAGATGACCAATAAAGGCGAGCGAATGGGGATGTTGAATCGAGAGGAGATTGCGGTACAGCCATGTCGCGGGACGGCCTTCGGAGTAGTACTTCGACGATCGAATCTTGCTGAACAGCTCCGGCGCTAGCTTCGTATTGGTTGGGTCGTCTTCAGGGTGAAGAAGCGCAGATATGTCGAAAGACGTGCCAGTGGCACAGATCACGGCATCGATATCCTGAAGTACCGTCCCATCGATGAGGGTGATCGAGTTCGGGCCGCTAAAATGATCGATGGCCTGAACAGACTCCGCATGCCCTTCCATGAGGTTGGTCGGGAGATTGTCCGATACGTTGGGGATAGACGACAAGGGTTGCGGGTGGGCTCTTGACGGACCGAAGGCTGGATGCTCGAGCAGCTTTGGCCAGGTGCTCTTCTGCATCGACATCAACAACTTGCCCAGTACGAAACCAAGTAGCGCAGGCGAGACCAGCCGCATCGACTCCAGAATACCGCTAATTCGACGTGAAAGGCTGTGATCTACCGCCTTGCCTCGAAGCGTTCGGGGCATCTGCCAATGTCAGTCCTACGCAAGCGTTCGGTTATGCATGACTTACGACTTTGATAGAACGGCGATGCGAGATGTATATCTTCTTAGCTCCTGCCAGCCGGAGGAACTCGACGCTGTCTGAAGCTGTGGAGCTTATGCCTACAACCACGACCGTCTTTCCTGCGTATTTGTGTGGCTCCTTGAAGCCCTGTGAGTGGATCAATCGGCCTTCAAACTCGTCCTTGCCTTTCAGAGCTGGCCAGCTGGGCTTCGTGTGCGGCCTTGTGAAAGTCAGTCTCCTGGTGCACTATGACAATATGTCTGGGTGGTTCTGCAGTCCAAGACCTACCCAGTTGAGACCAATACTCGGTCGAATGTGTGCGTTTCCTGAGTTGAGTCTGCTTTGTCTCTCGATCGGGTAGTCACCAGCCATTGGTCCTCATCTTTCGCTCTTCGCAACCCCAAAACCTCAGTAGAGAACCGAATGTGGCGTTTGATATCGAATTGCTCTGCGTAGGACTCCAGGTAGGCTTCCAGCTCCTTTGATGTGGGGTGCGTCTGCTTGATTGCTGCGAGGTATGAGTACATACTTTGTGGTGTTGGAAGATGGGTACACTTACTGTCTGGCATTGGAAAATCAGAAAACGGCGTCTGGGATACGTTAGACAGCGATCTGCGCGGATGGATCTCAGTACCTCACCCCTTGCTTCGACACATTTACCATCGTTCCTGGCAGAGCAGTCGTCTGGGTGGGGTCGGTGGTGTAATGCCAAAGACCACCGACATGGCCATTTCGCTCGAAGGTCGTGACCTCGTAGCCTTCTTCAACGAAACATTTTGTTGCAACCAGGCCAGACGATCCAGCCCCAACGATGCACACTCTCTTGCCCAAACCTCCTGACATGGTGCCAAGTTCTTCACGAGACTACAGTCAATCTCCACGAGCCAAAAAAGAGTGAGGACTGGAAGTGGATAGAAAGAACATTATATCACCTATCGTATAGTATCCAGCCTGAGCGCGTGGCATTGCACGCTTCTGTCAGCTCTGCCATCTGAAAGTCTCCATTCTCTCCGAGATTTCAGTGATAGGTGGCTAGTCGATTCAGTACCTGACACCCGAGCTTTGTCAGATGTCAGGATCCAGCTGAAGAGTGTAGCGAATGCCCGAACGAGGATTTGTGGGCGGAAAATACGAGTTCGAGACGTACAGCGAAAGAGGTGAAGTTCAGGGATAGTGGAGCTAGGTGAAGTTAGAGTGTCTGTGCGTAGTTCGAGTCACGAAGTCACGTTGTTCGCTTCTCCACGAGTCAACCGTTCAGTCGTTGGAGTCTTTTGTTCGCACCCAAACGATCACCATCCTCTCTCCCTTGTATACCTTCAAACTGTCTCGACAGGCGATTGCGATCAGAAAGAACAGGCACAGGATCGAGCCGAGCAAAGCGCTGGAAGGGGTCTTCCTCCTAGGTATCACCGTGGAGCAAATGTCCCTATTGCTTCCATGCTTTCCATCAAGATCCTTGTGCTGCCTTGAATGGACAGCATTGCACGGCATCTTGTACGTCGAACGGGCACGAGGACATCGGACAAGCTGGCTTGTATCAATGGTGCATGGCTGGCATGTCGATGACTGCGGGGCTCCGGTCACAAGAGCAGCAGATGGAACGCGGTGTGGTGCAGATCTGGAGAGAACAGGCGGAGGAGGACAGCATCATCAGCATGGGCGGGTGGGGAGATTTCGTCAGGTTGCGTTGGCGGAGCTGGAGCTGGTCCTTGCTGGAGCTGTGCGGGCAGTTGATTAGGTTAGCCAGCATTAGCTCTCCGTGTGGCGCCCGTCATAAGAGTGTGCCCCCAGCCAGTGCAATTAATCAATCAATAATCTCGTCCCTCAACCAAAGCCGCCTCTTGCTCGTTGGGAGATTGGTGACACTTTGCAGCGGTGCCAGCGTCTTGTGATCGTTTCCCCATCACGAGCCTTCCGTGGCCCGCAGCGTCCAGGACATGGCCGAAGCGAGAGCGGTCTGAGCGCCGAGTGCCGTACCAAACACCTGCCCGCCCTCGTGTTTGTTGAGCCATTGACCCTCGTCTCTGGCACGGGCAGCCACCATGGCCGCCGAGGAGGATGTCTACTGCACGGTATGTTGGAGTGAGAAGCGAGTTCGGCAGGCCAATGGCTCACAGACAGCTCGCAGCTGGTGATGAACGATGCCTATCTTCCAGGCAAGTCGCAAACCCCAATGCTGTACCAACAAGAACATATCTGATCCGCTTCCTTCACAGGCGTTGCAGTCCTCGCACATTCTTTACGAGACGCCGGCACCAACAAGAAGCTCGCCTGCCTGATCGTGCAAGATGGACTACGAGCGAGCACCATCGAGGAACTCCAGGTCTCTAAACCCCACCACTCTTGACTCGACATGAAACCGTTTCAGGCTGACGATCACACACAGTCGCTATACAACTATGTCATTCCTATCGACCGCATCGGCAACCCGAACCCCGCCAACCTCTACCTCATGAACCGCCCCGACCTGCTCTACACCTTCACCAAGATCGAACTGTGGCGTCAAGTCCAGTTCCGCAAGATCGTCTACATCGATGCCGACGTGGTCGCGCTGCGCGCGCCGGAAGAGCTGTTCGACATACCCGAATCGTTTGCCGCTGCCCCAGATGTTGGTTGGCCAGATGCATTCAATACTGGTGTCATGGTCATTTCTCCCCACATAGGCGACTATCATGCACTGAGAGGACTGGCAAACGCTGGAGACAGCTTTGATGGTGCAGATCAAGGCCTGCTAAACCAGTACTATGAGCATCGCCCATGGAAGAGATTGAGCTTCACATACAACACTACTCCGAGCGCGAACTACCAATACGAGCCAGCATATCGATACTTCAAGAGGGACATCAGTTTGGTGCACTTCATTGGTAGCGACAAGCCGTGGCAGCGTGGACGATCGAACCACGGTATGCCCAATGCCTTTCAAGAGATGCTGAGCAGATGGTGGGCAGTCTACGACAGGCACTTTAAGGTCTCGGTGAGTTATGTGGCACTTTTGAGGAGTTCAGGGCTGAACGAATGTTGCAGACCGACGATTATATCAACGGGCAGAGGAATCCGCTCGCGAGCTACGTTCAGGACAGTCAAGCCACCGCGCAGAAACCAAGTGAGAGCTATTCCTCGACAGGCTATCCTGTGGCTACTACGCAGCCTGCACCACCACCTCACCAACTCCCGCAGCATGATATACACTATCATCAACCGCACCACGAGTCACGCCACCATGACGATATCTCACACCAGCCCTCGCATGCTGGCCCTGCGCTAATACAAGTCGCAGAGCAAAGCAGCCATGGTTATGTAGCACCTCCTCCTGTCGAACAACGAAGATTCTCAGCACCGCACATGGAATGGGACGCAACACGAGGGGCACCACCCGTTGAGTCTAGGCCTGAAGCTGCCAACTTCCCCACTCAGACCTACGAGTTTAACACCGATCCAAAGCCATTTCGACCTCCACCGTCATATCCAGAGCCGCCCAAGGATATGTGGTACACTGTGCCGGAGAAACCCAAGGTCGAGGAGAGACCCAAGCCCATCTTTCCGTGGGAAGAGCGTGAAGCGCCTCGTCCAACACGCAAATTCGTTGAAGACGAGCCGCTTCCACCACCTCCACAACCGTATCCTGAGCTCGAGCCATACGCGGACGAATTGGAAGTTTCTTCCGATAGCAAGGTCGAGCCACTGACACCTACTATCAAGATCAATGACTCTGATCCTTGGGCTGCCTTCAATACCAACAAGAACGCATGGGACGACGTCAGCGGTATTGAGGATTATGTCCGGGCTCTGACGTCTTTCCAGAAGAATCGCGGTAAAGTGCAGGTTGTGCAGCAAAACTTCCCTTCGACAGGCGACCAGCACATCCTCTCCCCAGCAAATGAGCCGGATCCTGATGATCTTATTGCGGCAGTCAGCAAGAGGCGAGAAAGCCTGATCCTGACCGACTTTCCCACATCTTCAGAACGTCCTTCTCTGCCGGTCACGCCAGCGCCGAGGAGACGGCAGAACTTCTGGGGCGAAGAACGCGATGAAGCAGGAGAACTGCCACCCGCCGAGGGGGTACCAGAACAAGCGGACTGGGTATGTCCTAAATGCCGCTTTGTCGTGCACGCGAAGCTCCCCACCCCTGTTGTCTCTAATGTTCCGCTTTCGTTCGAAGCTGTGCTCGATGCGTTCTGAATACGGCAGTCCTTCAATACTTACAATTGATGCGTGCGCGTGGAATGCAGCATAGCTTGTTGCAGTTGGAATTACCATCGAAGTCCAAGCTAATCACAATCTTCTACTATAGGACCCTTCCGCTCAACTTGAAGAACTTCGCCGTAACTCTCTCATAGGTCCTTCTGATCTGAAGTTCCCCGAGAAGAGATTGTCGAAACGCCAGATGCCTTCGACCGCCGTCCGAATAACAGAAGGGGCGCTCAACCATCCACACGTGCCAATCGTTAACAGCGATGAGGTAGGCAGTACTGGCATCGCACCACATGCTCCGTTCAGTGGAGGAAGCAGCCCACACGGAATTGATGGAGCGAATGAGCAGAGCAACGTGTATTTCTCTTCCGTGAGCAGAGAGACTGCTGTTAACACAGCGGTCAACTCTAGCGCTACGACCATCACTGCGTCAGATAAGCCAGTGTTCTTTGAGCCCGGCTTTGACAAGCCGTCAGCACCGACGGTCCCAGCGGAAACAGTGGTAGCAGACGAGGTCGACATGAAGAATGCCAGTGAGGGAGAAGGGAGAGACTTTCCACTGGAAGCGACCCAAGACGAGGAGGCAGCTGGAAGCTGACTCAGGCATCCTTTTGCATATTGAACGAAGGCCAAAGGAACGACGATCAGACGATGACGAACACGACCGAATCATGTGCATACTGACATATTGCATTCAAATCCGAGACCGGCAGCATACGAATCGGCAGGCACGAGTCTTTTTTTCTACCATTCGAGCATATGGAAAAGCACGGTCATCACCAGGGATGGCAGTTCTTCACGTCTTTGGGCTATTTGAATATTACATCTTCTCAGAGCGTTTGTGAACGGACGAGGGAGCACTGTGTACGATTGATTCAATGGAGCGTTTTGTTTCGTGCGTTCATCAGATCACTTTTGAGGCGAGAGAATGCATAGCAATCAGCGAGAGCCGAGCCTCTTCTAGGGCAGGAGAGCAGATATTCAAGGGATAAGACTTTTGTGCAAAGGACTAAAGGTACTCACATCTGGTCCAAATCCCCTGAAATCGAACCTCTTCGATCTCGTTGCCGGGGAATCTTGTTGCAGGTGAGGTTGTCGACGACGTTGAGAATAGAGTTACGGAAGGATTCGGGCCTTTGCCGAGAGCAAGACGTCAAGTCGCCCCTTTTCCCAGAGAGAGATTCTTCTTGCGCTCGTCCACCATCAGAAATGCTCACTTCCATGTTCATTGTCGATTGTCTGGCTCGATGAAGTGATCACTTCTCCAGGATCCGAGATGCGTCGTACAACACGGGGACGGGGATGCAGGCCATGACCCGAGTGTAACGTACGCGTACTCAACAATCGCTTTGTTGTTTGCTGGGAATGTTGAGGAAGAGGAGGGGGCAGATTTTTCTTGTTCTTTCTTTCCGTCGATTATGGTAATGGTCCTTCAGTGGTGAGAGATGGATGGATGGATGGGTGATATGGGAGCAAGGTATGAATAACTCTTTCTTCATTTGACACTTCTTCAAACGAGCAGGCAAGATTTTTATCTCCAAACGCCAAAGGAGACTATCAACACGACCAAAGGTCAAAGAATTTCTTCTGCAAAAATCTCACAAAATCAGACAGCGTGCATGCATGCATCATGTATTACAAAATCTCATCCTCATCCTCATCCTCATCATCACCACCCATCCCCTTCTCCCCCCATCCTAACCCAACTCCTCCCCCGGCGCCCAAGTCGGCGCCAACGTCGCATTAACATCCACCGGACTCTGCGCCACGCCGGCCCCCTCATAAAACTCCCTCATGCCCCCGACGCCAAAATCCCCCAACGCCTCGTCGAAATGACTCTCCGGCAACCCGCCCCCACTCGCAACAGAAGCCGCCATCGCCGCCTCGAGCGACGGATCGATGGCCGCCTGCGGCTGGGACTGCTGCTGCAGGTACTGGGCGTGTTCGTATTGTTGGGTGCCGGGGAGGGGCGTGTAGGATTGGTATTGCGGGTGGGGTGCGTAGGAGGGGTAGATGGGTTGCTGTTGGGGCTGTTGTTGGTGGGGGTATTGGGCGTAGTGCTGCATTGGGGTGCTGGTGCGGGAGGTGGAGAAGAGATCTTCGGAAGGGTTGCCTTGGCCGCCGGGGAGACCGTAGCCGCCGAGGGTTTGTTGGCCTGCTCCGCCGCCGCCGTTGAGGGAGCCGGGCGGGGAGACGCGGGCGGCGGGCATGTCGTGGAGGTAGGTTGGGTATTGGGGTTGTTGATGTTGATGCGGGCGCATGCTGGTTTGGAGGTAGGTGTTTGTTTGCGGGTTGTAGGGGAGGCCGTTGTGGTCGAAGGCCACGTTGGAGGGGAGCGGACGGCCGGGGTTGGCGTATTGGTAGTGGGATTGCTCGTAGCCCGTGAGGCCTTGGTGTCCGTAGTAAGGATGGGAGTCGAAGCCGACGGTGCTGGGAAGGTACGCCGCCTCGTTGCGGTCGTGGCGTCTTTGACGGACGTTCCTTCCACCGCGATACTCGCCATCTGGATCGCCGTCGAGATCGCTGGGCTCGCCTCCATCTTCGGACATCTCCTCCTTGCGACGCTTGTTGGTCGACTTGCTAGGCGAGAACTTGTAGTTCGGATGAGCTTCCTGGTGGTGCTGCCGTTCGATCTTGGCCCACTCGTCGAACTGGTTGCGGATCTCATCGGGCTCCATCGGCCAACTCTCTCCTGAAACCGAGGACACGATCTGGTGGTTGTTCTGCGAACACCACGCTTTCGTCCGCTCCGAGTACGCTGACCGGTACAGCATGAAGGAGTTCATTGGACGGGTGATGTATCCGTTGTTCTTCTCTTTCTCCTTCATGCGGTCTTCGACGGAACGGTTCACCCACGCCCCGATGTCCTTGACGGGGATGGCCATGTCCTTGGTCAGGACGGATAGGGGCGCGGTGAGCTTGGGCAGTTTGGACTTGTCGACTTTGCTTTTCTTCTCGCGCTTGGAGCGGGGTGGCGCTGGCGACTTGGAGACTCTGGATTTGCTGGTGCTGAAGGGAGAGTCGGTTCGACGGGTGGAGCGGCCGCTGCGGGTGCGGATGCCATCGCTGGCGGTGTTGGATCTTGGAGTGGGGGGGTTGTGGATGTAGGACTGTTCGTCCTGGTAGACTGGTGCGTATTCATCTTGCTGGGAGAAGTTCAGTCTTTGTCAAGATCACAAGTGGATGAGGTCGACTCACATAGATGCCCAGGCCCTTGGTGTCCTCCTGATAGGAGGGGAACTGCTCGGTCGAAGTCGCAGCATTGTGCTTCGCAATCGCATCAAGGCCGTAGTCCTCTTCAGGAGACGGCCCTTGTTGGACAATGGCGGTGGAAGTCATTGTCGTCGGATCGAACGGGAAGCGGTCGGACCTTGAGACCTAAGACTGGCTGGCTGCTGCCGAATTGGACAAGGAGATTAAAAGAGCCTTCTGAAGTAGACCGTGGACGGTCGTCTGCATGTCTTGTAAGCATGGGCTTCCATTGCTTCTGGCCGCCGCCTTGCCGCAGGTTTGTCTCTGGCACGCGTATGTGCATGAACGTCCTGCGGCGTGGGAAGAAGGGGCAACAATACCTTCTGTCCGTTTGATCTGCGCCGCTGCAGGTGCACTTTGTTCACGTATCGCCGACGTGCGTGGACGGCCGTTCTTTGCTGCTGTGCGCCCGTTCAATGGATGTCCTTGTTGGTCTTTGCAATGGTCGACGGGTGCTTCAGGTTCGTCCTTTGGTATAGTCGTTGTCAGGTGACGGGCTTTGTCTCGGGAGGCCAAAGGAGTTCTTGGGCAAGCAGAGACAGAAAGGAAGTTCAGGAAGAAGTCACACAAGATCCTTTGTGTAAGCAGACGGGTAAGATACTTGTAGCAATAACTGCTGATGCTGATGAAGACCAATGCAGGCAAGATTGCTTCGCTGCTGAAGACGGCCGGCCGATCCAAGTTCACCGCATCCGTATGTTGTCTTGAAGCCCAGGCCCAGAGGGAGTCTCAGATGGCCGCTTCCGGAAGCCGACCACTTTGCACGACCTCGCCGGGAGCATAGCGAAGGTCCTTCGCGGCGAGATATAGACGATTCCTTCTTGCTCTCGCGCAGAGCAGCAGCTCAGTAGTGGTGATGGCAGCCGGCGCCTCTACAGGATCCATCATTTCCCAAACGGTCATCAGCTTGGAAGCACCACGCACCGCGCCACTCCCACCGTGTGGGACACACTAGGCCCGATGCTGGCATGCACGCCCTCTTGCCTTTCCTTTGCTTGCTGTCCGTCTGGTCTGTCGGTGGACAGCAGTCTACTGTAGCATGTGCCTGGCGATCCAAGGGTGCCGCTAGCTCGCGGCGCCGTTGACGTGCAGTAGTCATATGAACGGCGAAGCTTGATAGTGCAGGGATGCCCAGCGTGATTCTGGGATTGCTGTCGACCTCTTGCGTGCGCGCATTTGTTTGTTACACACAGCGGCCCCGGAACAGCTCGATAGATGCATTCCTCACGCTAGCTTTCTGCGCTCGCTGAAACCGACGCCTGGCCATCCAATCCCCAGCCTTGCAGCTCATCTCGCACCTCTCACACCCCCAGCCGGATGCGGTACTATGATTGCAAAAGGTACCTGCGTACCATCTGCGAACGCACGCAGCGTGACCTGAGCACACCCGTCCGGATGCCTGCATGTTCGACCCAACGGCTAGGCGCTCGGGGCACGTCCTCTGGCGTTTGAGCTTGCACATGCCCACCATCATCCCGATCGCAGATGCCCGCGAGACCGGACTGCTTGCGGTCTCAGGGCCGAACTAACGACCTGTGATCGTGCACGCCAAAGTAACATGCAGTGGGAGAGGCGTGGGCGTTACTCTAGCGTCATGAGCTGTACCTGCAGGGCAGCCTAAACGTTAATCTCACAGCAGGACTTTCGCAGATAGCACGGCCCGACGCTGCGTTCGATTAAGGACCGTGAGGGTGAAGTCGACGCGACCGCGCCGCAGACCTAAGCCACCCCAACCAACACCCATCATCTCCCAGAGGGCTGCAGAGCAGGGAGGTTCGGTTGCTACCGAGCAGGATGCATTGCGCGGTTGCATACCAAGAGTCCACGCTAGCCCAGATGCATCACAGCCTGTGCGACCACACCACGTCTCAAGTTCTGTAGAGGTTGGCGCTCGTTCCAACAGGTAGCACTTCGCTTCAGCAGCGACGGATATGGCTTCGGGTTGCCGGCTGCAGTTACTGTACGTACGATTCTGCTGAGGAGAGGAAGGAGAACGAAATTGATTGGGTACCGAGCATCGAATTCCATCCCATTTTTTGTACGCCATATCGGATATTAATCGGAGTCGTCGAATGCAGCCACTGCAGCAGCGATCTGCTTTCGTCGTCCACGGGCAGCTGCACTGACACACGCCTCTTCCAACGTCCACGTTGTACAACGAAAGGCTGACCCCACAGACTCAATGTCTGGTAGCCTCAAACTTTCGTCTCCATACCGTCCTTTGATGCCGTCTCGATCAAGTCTCCGCAGGCGACGCCGTCCAGCTTACCACTTTTCCCGTCTATTCGTCGTCTCAAGTTTGGACAATCTTCCGAAGGCCCTGCATAAAACAAGGTTCGCTAGGAGGGCTGTTGCGCGTGTGGCGGATGCGCCGAAAGTCTGCGGCTGTGGAGAACTTTCGATGTCGTGTGCCTCAAGTTTGACGGGCGCCCGATGATGTGGAGGACTTGAGCGTCATTTTGGCGGTTAGAGGCGGCAGAGGTGTGTGTTGTGCGCTTGTCGCAGGTGAACTCGCCACAAAAGGGGACATCCCTTGCCACGAACAACACAGCATCAGTCCAATTGACCGCTCCTAAGAATCCTTCATCTGTTGGTCCTCCCCGTCATCTTCTTCCTCTTCTTCATCGTCCTCTGCGATGCCTTCCCACTCCTCTCCCCATCCCTCTTCATCTCCACCTTCGGCCTGCGCGTCTTCCGGGCCCAGTACCGTGTCCAACTTAGCGACGAGTTCCTTGGCATGCCCGAAAAGCCGCTCATCTTCGTACTCCTGCTGTTTGTACAGCTTGAGGGAAGTGTTGAGCCACCGGCGGCTGCCTTTTAGCGCAAGTTGCATTTTCTCCTGATTCGCCAACGCCTGGCCTTCTGCTCCAGTATCCATAGCTGAATCGTCCTTCCAATCGGCGTTGTCTTTGCTGCCTTCAGCAATCAGGTGTTGGCACCAGCCACCCAAGTACCATGCTTCAACACTTTGGTCATCTTCCTGTATCAGCCGATCCAGGACTTCCATTGCCTCCGTCTCCAGCTCTGCCTCCATGAGCAGTCTTGAGAGCGAGATCTTCGTGGCAAAGTCGGGTACAGCTGGGTCCTCCGGCTCCAGGTCGATCCATGTTGCAAGCGAGCGCTTCAGCGCGGATCGTGCGTCTTCTTTTCGCTCTTGTGACAATCGTACAGACGCCAACGTCTGCAGCACCTCAGGACTAGTCTCGTCCTCCACGCTCATGGCTTCTGTGATCAGGTTCTCACATCGAGTTTCGGCATCATCTTCCCACGATAAGTCCGTCATGTAGACCTCCACAATACCACAGAGTGCGTTGGCCAGTTTGCGCTTCTTGTCGACACGCATCATGAGGAGTTGCTCGTCGGTCAGACCTTGAACCTGCCGGTTTTCGATGGCCTCGATTTCATACTGCAGAGCCTTGGCGCCCTTCTCAAACCATGCAACACTCTCCTTACCACCCTCTTCAGAGAGTTGTGCAAGCCATAGGAACTTCTCGGCGCCGCCACCGAGAGCCTCTGGAACCTTGCCTTCAGGGTCGAGTTGCACGGCCTGCTCAAAGTAACCACGGGCCGAATCTACCGCGCCCAGCTCTATGCTAATCTCTCCGAGCAGGTTGACGGCGGGAAGTGCTTCAGTGGCCGATCGGTTTTGCACCTGAGACCACAGCTGCTTTGCGACTCTGAGTGCCTCCTCTGGCTGAGACTGCTCGACCAGTTCCAGTGCCGACGCGTAGAGCTGTTCCGGGGAGGGTGTTGATTTTCCGTTGGCCATTTTCTTCTTGCCGTCTTTCTGATTGTTGCCTGATGTTTTCTTCGTCTTGGCCATGCCAGAGTAATCCAGACCTTTTCGCGTTATTGGCGTGTTGGAAATTTTGTAGAACCTCGAAGTCTCGAATGTTTTTCAGGCTAAGTCCGTAGCGGCGGCTACTCCCGCTATCGATAAGGCCAGCAACCACCCAGTCACGGTTGTGTGCCACCGCAAACGTCGACGATGCGAAGGACTGTTAGCCACAAAGCCTACTCGCGACTCAAGACCAAAATTGCCATGAGCTGATGCAATCCGAATCGCTTCAATTGCAACAAAATGGGACGAGAAGAGCAGCAAGAGGAGCGCGAGGTGCTTGACTCGATCTTTCCAGACGAAATCCAAGACATCTCCGATACCGAATACCGCATAACGATTGTGGTGGAAGCCCCCAAAGATTTCGGCGAGGAAACTGAAGATCCGGTCATCATCCTCAACGTACGATACCCAGAGGCATATCCGGACGAGGCACCATTCCTCGATATCACACAGCCGCCCAATGCATCCAAACATGAGCATCTCGACATTCAAGAAGACAAGGCACGATTACTGGAGGCGCTTCAGCCAACGATAGAGGAGAGTCTAGGCATGGCTATGGTGTTTGCGTTGGTCAGCACACTAAAGGACGCCGCGGAGCTGCTCATAAGCGAAAGGAAGCAGGCTATAGAAGCAGAGAAAGAAGCTGAGGCACAGAAAGCGGAGGAGGAAGAGAACAGGAAATTTGAGGGCACAAGAGTCACGAGAGAGACCTTTTTGGCGTGGCGGGACAAGTTCATGAAGGAGATGGAAGAAGAGGCAGCGAGGAGACAAGCCGAGCAAGAGGCTGAAGACAAGAAGAAGCGAGGCGGGAAGACGGAGGAAAAGAAGCTGTCTGGAAAGCAGCTTTGGGAGCAAGGTCTGGCTGGTAAGGCTGCTGATGATGAGGAGGAGGGAGAGGATGCTGTGGAGAGTCTGAAGCAGCTGAAGGTGGAGGAATGAACACTGCGAAGCCCAAGCCGTATTGCAAACGATCGCATGGGAGGCTCTTCCAAGCATTTTGGTCAAGCCAGGCCATCACCAGCCCGTATTTCACAGGCAAGAGGGTCATGCAGGGCCTTTCCTCCGCCAGCCTGGATCACCACGAGACGAAGCTGTGCATCACGACATTCGAGGCGCACGCACAATGCTATGTGAAGCCCGAGATGGACTGAGTGAATGAGCTCACTGGGGAAAATTCGAGGAGCATGTAGACAATTACAAGTGTTCTAGACTTAGATCACAAGATGCATGAAGACACCATCAATCTTCACAACATTCACTCGTTCATTTGTTGACGTCGCTTCTCTCTTCGTCAGTCACGTGCCTCGGCTAATTAGCGTGGTTGCCTCGCGACTTGCATCGCGTCGTCCAAGTTGCTTCCGCCTTCTTCCCACTCCACTCACCAACACCACCACCAAAATGGACGAAGACGCGAGCGGCGGTGCACTTTTCGAGGACGTTGTCTTCACACTGATCCCTAGCGACGACTATGACGACGAACATGTCCATGGCATACGCGAAGGGCTGGAAACGAGCGGCGGACGATTTGTGCCACTTCGCGCAAGCGATCAAGAAATCGACGGCATCGAAAACATCACGCACATCATATCAACCCACATTGATTTCCCGCAATACGATCGCGCCGTCGAGCTTGGAATTCACGTGGTGAAGCCATCATGGGTTTACACGAGTCTACGAAAGAGGAAGCAAGCGCATCCACGCCAACACAGTCCCGATCCCAGCCAGTATTTCGGAGAGATTATCCTCACATGTGCTGAGCTTCCAGAAGGAGATGCCGAGGCCATCATAGCTGGTGTTGTCGCTTTGGGAGGCCAGCATACATACCCATTGACCAAATTGGTCACGCACATCGTCACAACAGACCTGGACAATGAAAAGTGTCGGATTGCTCAAGACAAGGGACTGAAGGTCAAGATTGTACTGCCTCATTGGTTTGATGACTGTCTGCGATTGGGGAAGAAGATCAGCGAGAAGCCGTATGAATTCCCTAATCCAGAGATTCTTCGCAAAGGAAACAATGCGCATGTCAGGCCCACTTCGTCCGCACAACTCGAAGGTGCAACAACAGCATCTCCACCCGAGCTCCCCGATTCAACACCACCGCCAAGCCCAACGGCATCTCGCAAGTTCTTGAATATCTTCATGTCCAAGAAGATCTTCTTTGCTAAGGACCTCGAACTATCGGACCGCTTGCACGAAACCTTGATTAAGCTGATCAACCATGGAGGTGGCGTTCTTACTAAGGACGTGAGCCAGGCTGACTATTATATCGGCTGCTACAGAGACGGCGAAGACTATGTGGCTGCATCGCGTGCTGGAATCGACGTGGCGAGTCTGGCCTGGCTTTACCACGTCATCAATCGCAACAGATACAGCAGCCCACGATCGAAGCTGTTCCATTATCCAGTGCCAAGACATGGTCTCAAGGGTTTCGAGAACTTGAAGATCAGTCTCTCCAACTATGGCGGTGATGCTCGCACCTATGTCGAGAACCTCATTCGGGCTTGTGGCGCCGAGTACACCAAGACGATGAAACAAGACAACACGCATCTTGTCAGCGCTCACAAAACTGGTGAGAAATGTGAGGCTGCGCAGGAATGGAATATCGAACTCGTCAACCATCTGTGGCTGGAAGAAAGCTATGCGAAGTCAACGATGCAGAGTATGACGAACCCCAAATTCCACTACTTCCCCACGAGGACCAATCTTGGTGAGGTAGCGGGACAGACAGCTCTGGACATGAAAAAGATGGAGCAGCTTTTCTTCCCCAAACCACGCTCTCCTGTCAAGCCCAAGCAGTCACCACGCAAGCCAGTCCCGGCTTCGAGCGCCCTTACAGGCGATGCGGCACCGACCGATTACGAAGAGCCTGGCATTCCTGTCACTGTCGCCGAGCCCGACGAAATGGACGTCGACCAAGACCAGGGACCGAAGACAGTCAAGAAGAGTCGGGGCAGACCCTCTCGATCATCGATGGCCACTCCACGCGCTGGCATCGACGATGAAAAAGAGAACGAGTCTCCTGCGCCCACAAGCACTGGCCGTGCAGCCAAGAACAAAGCCTTGAACACACTGCACACTCAGTCTGTTGACATTGCTCTGTATCAAAAGGAGTCGAAACGTAAAGGCGGTGTAATTCATGGTGGACGACGAGGCAGCCGCCCAGACGACGCATCATCCCCCGTACCAGCGCGGTCTTCTAGAAAGCGGCCGAGCGAGGAGTACGATGTCACTGCTGAGGGTAGCGATCTGAGCGATGGCGAGACTCAGGAGCCTGCCGCTGCGAAAGAGACCAAGCAAAAGAAGAAGGCAAAGCATGGTCCCTCGCCGACGTTGCCACCAATAGAGTACAGGATGATGATCACAGGTGATAGCCGTTGGGCTGAGAACGACAAGAAGGAGTCTGCCGACAAGAACACCTTGCGAAGCTTGGGCGTGCTCTTGACCCAAGATCCCAAGGACGTCGACATACTGGTTGCACCGAAGATCTTGCGAACGAAGAAATTTGTCTGCGCACTTGCATGTGCACCCCTGGTTGTCGACACCTCATTTCTCGATATTGCGCTTAGTAAGAAGAAGCTCATTGACGACCCTCCGATGCTCAAAGACAAAGACGCAGAAGAGCGACTTGGCTTCACTCTGGCCGACGCCTTGGAGCGGGCCCAGAAGAGCAAGCGGAAGCTCTTCAAGAACTGGGCGATCTGCGTGACGAAGGAGGTCAACGGAGGATTCGACACCTACAAGGACATCATCGGGCTTAATGGAGGCGAGGCCTTCATGTATACTGGTCGACCGAACATGCGGTTCTCGGCTTCCCCAGAAGGTGCAAATGATGACTTCGACTACGTTTATCTGGTATCCGGAACAAGCCCGGCGGAGGTCGAGCTCTGGAAGAAGTTTCACGACGACATCGAATCTCGAGGCTTGCAAGCGAGAGTGGTATCTTCGGACTGGGTGCTGAATGCGGCGATGGGCCAGCAGGTGCAGTTTCAAGAGAAGTGGTTGCTGTCATAGGAGCAGGTCATGAGTCAACGAGCTGGTTGAGCTGATGGTATCCTTTGTTCGCAAGTTGATGTTGACGAGACTGCAGGCTTTCGATGGTACTTCCGACCAGTGATCAGGCGCAAATGGCTCGGCAAAAACAATGCCCACGATTGCGGGAGGTAGCCTGACAGGTGCATGATTTTAGCGTGGTGTTTCTCGGATTGATTGATGTTGATACTCATGATGCATTTGAATTGGTTTCATGTTCATATTCAAGATTTTCACATTCATGACTCGTCTGATTCAAGCGCTGGTTCCGTTACAGCATGCTTCTTCTCACCCTCTACAAATGCTAAATCGCCAGTCTCGCCCAGCTTGGCAGCAGCAGCTTCTTCGAGAAGAAGGCCCATCGCCATCAAGGCTGTCTCGTCCATGCTCCCCCAGTCAAGATCGCAGTCCTTCAGCATGCCGCTCCCATAAAAGTCAGATACATAGGCATGAATGGCCTTCAGGAGATCGGACTCCGGCAGTCTCACTGCGGGTGAGAGACGACGGTGGGCAAAGTAAGTGTCGGTTTCTTCGTAGCGGACGGGCGCGTTGGCTCGACTGAAGAGGACCTCGTCTGGTGGAGCGGGCTTTTGGTCGCTGGAGAGGATGGAGCCATCTCTGCTTACTCGGCCGGCTACGGCGTCGTAGAGCGTCGATTGGGCTTTGATCTCCGGTTCGGAGGCGTAGTCTGGGCCTGCTTCTCTTTTGACGCTGAATTGTCGTTGCGTAGACTGAGACTGTGCGGGTTGGGAGTGTCGTGGTCTCTTTGAGGGACTCTTGCCCCCGGTAACAGCTTTGCCACTCATGTCAAAGTCGTTTCCTCCTCAGAAGAACTTGACACCGGCGTTCTCTTCCTGACCAAAAATCTGACACTTCCCTCTCTTCACGAGCACTCCCAGAATCTTCCTCAACAGAGTCTCGTCAATATCCTGCCACTCTTTCCCTTTCACTGCGTCGCCTTCCCTCAACTCGTACACCGTCAAGACAGCGCCTTTCTGTCCAGTCTCGTCGACCCAAGTGTAGATCGTGTCTGCCCACTCGGTCAAATTGCGCCAGTAGACCCAGCAGGTATTACTCTGTTCTCCACGAGATACCGGTGCGATCCATTCAATCAGAGGTCCCGTAGAGGGCTGGCTCATGTGCTCCAGTACAGTGCGGATATCGGTGGGTTTGAGAGAGCGTTTTATGGATGTGTTGTTGAAGAGGTCCGACGGAGGCGAGGAGAGTGAGAGTTTGAAGAGTCTGTTATGGGCACAGTAGGATGTTATTAGACTTGACCAGAGCTCGAGTTGCCGTGCGCGGGTCGTGAGGTTTGGTTGGAGAGTGTAGAAGGGTGGAAAGCTGGTGTAGGCTGGAAAGGCGAATCTGGTTGGGTCGGAAGTGGAGATCGATGCTGTTGGGGCGTAGGTTGTGCCTGAGAGCGAGAGTGCATCGAGCGATGACTCTGCTTCTGTTGCCGCCATCAGAAGGTGAATGCGACTGTCAGAGTATGTGGTTAAGGTAGAGGTGAAGTTGGGAAGGTTGCCTTAATCAATGTCAATCAAATGCGGGCCGGACTCGCTTAAAGCCAGTACGGACGGACTTCCTTCTTCTTGTTTACCACTCCCTCTTCAACTTCAACATACACCACACAACCTGCGGTTCGCCGCCACAAAGCCGCCACGATGCCGGGCGGACGGCCTCGAATGGACCTGACCCAACACAGAGACTACATCCTCGAACAGAAGAACGCTGGCAAACCTCACGACTCAATCCGAAAGGACCTCGAAACGGAACACGGCATCAAGATCAGCTCCAGCACCTTCAAACGCAAACTCGCCGAATGGAGCGTCAGAACGAACCGAAAGAAGTTGGAGGACTCAGAGGAGCTGCGCGCGCGAGTTGCGCATTGCTTCCACGAACTACGCCTCACCGACGATCAAACGTACAAGAAGCTCGAGGAAGAGGGATTCAGTATTGGGAAGTCGCGGCTGGCAAGGTTCAGAAAGGAGATGGGCCTGTTCAAGAGGTGCCCTGCAGCAGATAGTGAGCTTGCTGAGGGTGCCATTGCGAAAGCGCTGCTGCAGGAGATTAAGAATGGTGGCATTGAGCAGATGGGCCGGAGGAAGCTGTACGAGTACTTGAGGGCCAAGTATAATGTGGTGGGACGGTAAGTCGTGGCACTTCGTTCTTGGCTGTACCTTAGCTCATTGTTTACAGTGACCGGATCTACAAGATTGCCGCCCTGTTCGACCCCGACGGACCAAGACGTCGCAAGTCTGAGAACGGCAAGTTGTCAGCGAAGAGACGCACGGCCAAGAAGAAAGCCATGACCGACCAGGCTACCATCGATGCCGCTGCTGCTCTTCTTGAGCAACCTCAGATGTCACTGCCAGCCTACCCACCACCACCCATGCAGATGCCACTGCATTACGGAATATAATAGCTGAGGTCATTGCCCTCGGCCAATTCATATTCTGTGAAACCATTCCCGAGGAAGCGGAACCTATTTGCACTTCGATAGCGGATATCGAAGTCTTCAGGACGCAGTCGGCCGTTGACGAGCTTCTCGTAGAGGATGGCACTTCCTGCGAAGGTCGCTGTTACTCTTCCGTCCACTCGATTGGCTTTATACCAGCTGCGGCATCCACCAGTCCAAGTCAAGGTCTTGTGGATGGTGTCTCCATAACGGACAAACTCTTCCACGACTTCCTGCTTTGGAACGATGGAAGCAATATCCTCCTCTGCCATCTTTTCCATCCATCGGATCATCCACTCGGCACTCCAGTCCAGAGAGAAGATCAAGGATCCGTGACCGACCGTGGCATTAGGTCCTGTAAATAGGAATAGATTTGGCATGTCTGCTGCAGCAAGGGAAATGTAGCTCTCGGGCTCATCCTTCCACTTCTCAGCCAGCGTAATACCATCTCTCCCGATGACTGGGAACGTGGGAACCTGGGAGATATCGAATCCGGTGGCACATATGATCACATCGACCGGATGAAAGACTCCGTCATTGGTATGGATACCTTTCTCGCTCACACGAGTAATACCGCTATTCGTGAGCGAGACGTTTGGCTGAGTGAACGCCTTCAAATATCCATTACCTGGGGTGACTCGCCGACAACCTAGCTCATACTTTGGTATCAGCTTCTCGCACAGCTCTGGGTCGTGGTTCAGTGCTGTCGCCATCTGGTCCCTCGCGAACTCCGTCATTTCGGCATTGTACGGTGAATCCTTTACAAAGAGCTTGAAGTTCTTGTTCGTATTTCCTTGTATGAGCTTGCGGTACTTCCTTAGCTCTTCTGGATCGCGGAGTCGTTGCTTGTCTTCGTCGGTATAAGGAGGATTTGGATCTGGGTCGTTTCTCCCCATGAGCTTTGCTGGCTGGTGCCTCGCCACTACCCAGGTAGGACCTCTCTGGAAGCTGACGACTTTAGTGCCCTCCAATTTGGTCATCTCTGGAAGGATTTGTATTCCCGAAGAACCATTCCCTATAACTGCTATCCGCTTATGAGAGTAATCATATGCGTGATCCCATGCGGCTGAATGGACTTTCTTGCCCGCGAAGTCATCGATCCCCGGGATGTCTGGCCATCTCCAGGTCGATAGGAAGCCTCTTGCGGAGATAAGGATGTCGACCATATCCTCAAATACCTCGTTCCCGTGGCGGACCACCAGCTTCCACTGCGCGGCTTCTTCTAACCACCTGGCCTCCTCCACCCTGTGGTCAAACTTGACATGCTTGTCCAAGTCCCACTTCCTGACTGTTGACTGGAAATACCTCTGGATCTCATCTCCCGTCGAGAAGTAGTGCGACCATTCTGGATTCGGCTCGAACGGGAAACAATAAATGTGACTCGGCACGTCGCAACGCACGCCTGGATAAGTGTTGGCGTCCCAAGTTCCACCTACAGTGTTTCGGGCTTCATATATGACAAATTCCGACATGATTCGGGACATCTTGTCCTTGCGTTCGTGCTGTAGTTTGTGGGCCATCATCATTCCTGCAGACGGAAGGTGGCGTGTCAGCATATCGCGAATCAATCGTCCTGCTGAGGGAACTGATACCAGAGTACCCAGCGCCAATGATCGCTATGTTCAACTTCTTGCTTGGCGTGAATGCTGGGACGTTGTTAAGTGGTATGTTAATACGGTCGAGGTATTCTTGATGGTTTGCCACTCCGTTGTGCAAGCCATTGGTGACACGATGACCGTTGGGTGTGCCGTTCGCCTCTGCCATATTTGATTGCTTGATGGTGCTTGAAATGCCGGAGATTGATGGTACAGAAGAGGTGGCAGATCGAAAAACCATACAGTATACCTACGTTGCCGTGATCCGTGGAGCATAGCAGAGCTGTCTTGAACTCCATCCCGGTCGGCTACAGGTGAAGTCGATCGTGGGGTACATTCTGCGGAGACTGGGGCAAAGGCAAGGATGGAACTCAGGGCTGTCTCGTAGACCTACCAAACTCAATCTAATGTATGCAAACGATCCGTACACATTCAAGGACCTTGCCTAATTGTTATGTACTATTCCAGGGTGATTAGTGAGTTCTCGTGTTGTGTCTTTCACTGCCGAAGTTGACGTCCACCGGCAATTGTCGGTAGACCTCGGCCAAAGTCGAGCCGATCGCGTCAAACGACTTGCGATTGTTGACGGCCACCAGTCTCCTGCCTCGTGGTATCAACCCTACGGTCCGACATAGTTGACCTTCATTTCAAGCGGAAAAGCATAGAGAGCTGCAAGGTCAACGAGAGCCATGGCCACGGCACACTTCCGGGTACACAAACACACGCTCCCAACGTGCCACATTAGGGAGTACCCACGAGGAACCGCAGACGACCAGGAAGATGTCCTGCACCTCGCCATCAAGCAATATACCCCAAAGGACCAGAGCAAGGCCGACGAAGGAGACGTGACCATCATCGGCGCACACGCCAATGGCTTTCCGAAGGAACTCTACGAGCCGCTATGGGACGACCTCTACGAAAGGCTGAAAGCGAAGAACATTCGCATCCGAAGTATCTGGATAGCAGACGTCTCTCATCAAGGCGACTCTGGGGTTCTGAACGAGAACAAGCTGGGCGATGACCCTTCGTGGATGGACCATCCGAGGGATTTGCTCCTGATGGTCAACCATTTTCGCAAACACGTGAAGCGGCCGCTGATTGGGGTTGGGCATAGTATGGGAGGGAACAACTTGGTCAATCTGTCGTTGATGCATCCGAGGCTTTTCACGACTCTTATACTTATCGACCCTGTCGTCCAGCGGCTACCGTCTGTGGAAGGCAACTTTGGACCGGCTAAAGCGTCTACTGTGCGAAGGGATCGGTGGCCCAGCCGGAAAGAAGCAGAAGCCAAGTTCAAGAAGTCGAAGTTCTATCAGACCTGGGATCCGCGAGTTCTTGACAAATGGGTTGAATATGGCCTACGAGAGCTACCGACTGCCTTGTATCCCGAAGTCAACACATCAACAACAACACTACCTACAGTCTCTGCCGATCCGAGTACAGCTTTAGTGCAACCTGACAAGGATGCTGAAAGAGAGATGACTCTCAAGACCACGAAACATCAAGAAGTCATGACGTTCCTCCGGCCGAACTTTAAGACCTCAGACTATCCATCGCCCTCACTGGAACCCAATCCAATCACCCATCCGGATGTCGATCCAGCCACAGCTCCAAGCTCGCCTTTCTACCGACCAGAGCCACTCGCCACGTTTCAGAAACTACCGCACCTCAGACCAAGCGTCTTCTACGTCTTTGGGGACAAGTCTGATCTTTCTGCGCCCGTCCTGAAAGCGGATCGGATAGCTCATACTGGCATCGGCGTTGGAGGTTCTGGAGGTGTGAAGAAGGGGCGAGTCGGTGAGGTCACTTTTAAAGGCATTGGACATCTGATTCCAATGGAGGTTGTGGGTGAGACTGCGGACGCGATGACTGGATGGTTGAAGCCTGAGCTGGATAGGTGGAGGACGCTGGAGGAGGCGCAGAGGAGGGAATGGGATCAGGTACCGAAGGCGAAGAAGAATCAGTTGAGTGAGGAATATGTCACGACCATGAAGAGTGATTGGGTGAAGGAGGTGAAGGAGTCGGCCAGGACGGGGTCGAAGTTGTGATGGCTTCATACAGGCTTTCTATCAGCTATGTACGACACGTTCAATCGGCTCCAGCTCCAAGAGTATGCGATATGGAGGTCTCGAATGTGTTCAGCCCGTCATGTCGGTTATTAGACCAGGACAGGGCAATGTGTTCGACTAACATGTGACAGTCAAAATCTAATCAATCGCTTAATCAACTTCGATGAAACTTTGATGCAACCCTGAAATTCCACTAGCTCGAAACTCAATCTGCGGAGCTTGAATCGACCTCCGTTGAACTTCCTCCGTCCCATCTTCGTCCATCTCGCATCTCGATCTGTAGCAACCATGAAAGCTCCTTCGACATCCTGCCTACGGACACTGCAATCGATACTATACCCATCAGCAACCTTAACAACGAGAAGATGCTACGCCACGATCCCCGACCGACCACCACCACCTCCTCCCAAACCACGCGCATCTCCTCCACCACCACCAGCCCGCAGCCTCGCCGACTCACAGCCCGGCTTCGCCAAACGCTTAAAGAAAAACGACGATGAAGACTTCGTTCCTCAACCTCTCAGTCGGCCGATTGGCATGCCGAACCCTCCTCAACTAGGAGAGAATATGGGCCTCGACACTCGAACTCTGAAACAGCGCCGAGACGACTTCGTTGACTACGATAAACATCTCGTTAGACGTGCACGTATGACGCAGCAAATTTCGAAGCCGTACTTTCGCGATTGGAGTAATCTTCGTTTCCACAAGGGCAAGATCTTCAAGAGTAATGAGAGGCTGTTCCGTGGGGATGTGAGTCTGTGGTTTCCGAACTTCTACGGGAAGTCGTTGAGGAATGATACCGTAGCAAAGACGTTGGAGGTCGGCGATGGATACAAGGGGCGAGGGAGAGATACGTGCGCGGCGATGTATGGGAAAGTGTCGGTGGTGAGCATTGTGTCGAGTATGTGGGCGAGTGCGCAGGTGGAGACGTTTATTTCGAAGGAGAAGAATCCGGAGCTTCATGAGGTGTTGGCAGAGAACAAGGATGTTGCGCAACAGGTGTGGATCAATCACGAGAACAACCTCTTGAAGTGGTGGCTGTTGCAAATGTTTCGGTATAACCTGCGCAAGGAGAAGAGCTTGGAGGAGCAGGCGAGGTACTTCATGGTCAGGAGAGGTGTCAGTGATGTCATGAAGGAGGCGATTGGGATGTTGAATGACAAGGTTGGGTTTGTGTATTTGGTCGATTCGGAGTGTAGGATCAGATGGGCGGGGAGTGCAGATGCTGAGCAGGGGGAACGGGAGAGCATGGCGACGGGGTTGAGGAAGCTTTTGCAGGAGACCAGGACGCCGAAGGCTGAAAGAGTGGATTCGAAGCAGCAGTTGATGGATGCTGTTGATGAGGTTACTGAAGAGCCCAAATCAGCTGCAATGGGGTAGAGTTGTGATGAGATGAGAGCTGAGACTTCTACCAAAATGCCTCCATCGATTCTCAGCAGGCCGCAAAAGTTTCATGCAGACCGATCGCTTCATCATCTGGATGCCGTTTAGTATTCGTTACAACTCCCAGGCCATAGCTCAGACGTGGTGCGATGCGTGCCAATGAGCGGCATGAAGAGGACAACAATGCAGGCATCACTCCACGCGGCCCCATATCGAAAGGATCGAGGGAAATGTGCCTGCGTAGAACTGGCTTGTGCTTCGTTTACGAGAGTTAACCAGTGCTGAAACACATCAAAGAGCGCATTTGCGCAATTACTGGACCTCCATGGCGCCGTTGACACACGCGATTGAACATGCACAGGAACCCGCAGCACGGCGGCTCCGAAGACTTGCCCTCGATTTAGACCTTCCTCGCGACAGACTCGAGCCATGTGCTGGAATAAGAATAAACAGTCCTCGCGGGCTGCAGTGCGTCATCCATCGTTGTCCAGATGTTGATCGTGAAGTCGCACTTTTTCTGGTTCGATAAGCTGCGTCCTCAAAGGGGTGCGGTCCAGCGACAGCGACCTTCACCATCCTCCGCTGGCGGAAGGCACGAAGGCCCTGCGACTAGGTGTCCCTGATAGAGTGAGTTTACCTTTATAAGTCTACTGAAATCCCCCTCCATCACCACATCAGTAAACACCTCTGATGTGGGAATCCGCTGGGTTAACATGATCCCGAGTCAACACGGATTGGCGCAACGGTAAAGCGAACACCCCCGAAGACTCCATGATCTTGCAAAAAAGGTATGAGTTCGAATCCCGACAATAATTTCGATCAAATTAATAAATTCGGTCGGGTTAACTTAGATCCCAAGTCGACACGGAGAAACTGGATCTGGACAATCAAAAGTAAAAACCATTCAGTTGATTTTCTCTATAACCTCCTGGCAAGGGGTTGTAGTTCTTTTGCCATTTTTTGGCCATAGGGGTGGGCGCTGGTTCGATCCTTAGGGGCCGCCGCTGTTTGTGGTGGCTTGTTCTTTTTTGCTTTGTTAGATTTGGTGGAGGGTTCGATTCGAGATTGGTAAGTATTGGAATTGGCATCTCGTTTGTTTTGCTTTCGTGAGGACTTTGTTCGTATGGACTTTGCGCTACCTGCAAGTTTGACTATGAAGGCACTAATTCTCTCGACAGACAGACCTTTACCGTGTCAGGCATCATCGACGGCCTCCCTCTAGTTACCCCTGACCGGGTAGACAGCATCAACATCGGCATCAACACCCTCCCTCTTACAAGCCCTGATGGGATAGATTGCGACCGCATCGGCATCGGCATCAGGAGCTCTGACTGGCGCGGCCACTGCGGACAGGCGATTCGAGAAGCAGGAACGGGGATAGTCTGGACTTACTACACAGGGAGGCCAGAGCCGTCATCAGCACAGTCAAGGCAGAGAACTTCATCTTCGGAACAGAAGCTAGACTATCGTTGTATGCGGAGAGGTTTGGAGTCGTCTCTTCTTCAGCGAGAGGCAATCGGCGCTTGGCAGCCTCCCAGCCCACTGCATCGACTTCCTCCGCCAATCCGCCCTTTGCCACGCGGACACAGGCCTCATAACCTACGAATGGCATCCCACCTCCCGCATCCCCCTCGCGAACATCACGAGGCATCAGTGCGTGGATTGGGGCAAGCTGAGCGGGTGGGTGGAGCAGAGGAGTGTGGATATGTTGAGGCCTGGGTGGCTTATCCATCCGACGTTGGGTGAGTCGAAAGATGGTGCGGGAAGGGGTTGATCTTGGAGAGCTGACTGATATGTGCAGGTGCTGCATATCCAGATGGGGAGGGGGATAGGATTGGGGTTGTGGGGGATTGAAAGGGTTACTTTGTCGAGATGTGGGTCGTGGCTGGCGACGAGGTGTCGTCAAGAAGACAATCGAGAAGGGGCGTTACCCAAGGCTGAGATCGCTTTGGAGTCGCCGCGTGGGGAACCGTATGTGTTCAGGATGAGGCGTCTGTTGCATGTCTCTGGGAGAAGAAGATCCTCTCTCTGCCTTAAATATGCAGTGGATTTGATTCGGAGGACTTGTTGTAAAGCCCCTGAAATTGGATTTCTCATTCCTCCTCGAAGCATGCGTAGCTTCCGCAAGTACCCCTCTATGCAGAAACCTGTAATACCAAAAAGAAAATTTCAAGAGCGCGATGCCACGCGCTGTAGTCCCACCAACACCATGCGAATGCAAGCTATGCCCCCAACGATGCCGCCAATCGCGAAAATCCTCATTCACGTACGAGCTCAAATGACCGCCAAAATCAAAGATCTTCCACATCGCTTTCCTCCACGACGTCCTCCGCCTTCTTTCGCCTCTCCTCGTCCATTTCTTTGTATGTGGCCCAACTCAACAACAAGAACGCGAAGATGATGAGGACGCCTCCAGCGACGGCCGCGAGGGTCAAGGGGCTGTAAAGTGGCGGTGGTAGAAGCTGGTCGCAGAGAGCCACCAAGAAGATCGTGAGCAGCGCTGCGACTGAACTCAACACTGGCGATGTAAGGGAGATGAGAACCAGGAATGACCCGCTGAATGTTGCGTTGGACAGGACTGAAATGGCCAGCATCCAGGAAGCCCGTCCGCTTGGAAACTCGAATCGCTCGATGCCAGTGACGTGCAAAATTGGAAGGGGGATCCATAGAACCAGCAGAGTGAATATGCCGATCATGCTTCCAAAGGCGTTGGCGAAGAGCATGCCGCGGACTGGGGAGCAGCCATCTGGTGGACAAGCGACGCGCTTGTACAAGACTTCGTAGAATCCATAGAGGATACTTCCAACCCCAATCACCAGGTTGCCCAGAGCTCGGTTCGCTGCCTCGGAATCATCGGGCGCAGAAGGGCCTCCTGCTCCACCACCTGACTTGTTTCCATGCTTGGCTGTGGCTTGATCACCGTATGCCACCACGAGCACTCCAATGATTGCGATGCCAACGGCAGCGACTTTGCTTAATCGCAGCTTCTCCTTCAATATGGGCACTGCAAAGGCGTATGCGAAGAAGGCAGAGCAATTGTAGATGGCGGTCAAATCTGAGGCGGTCGTCAAATCCACGGCAACATACCAACTTCCTCCGGCGATTGTCAATGCGCAGGTGACGAAGGCTGTGGTCCGGATGAAGTATGGAACAGGCGATTTCTTTTGAAGGTGACTCGGCACGTTCAGCGTTCGATGCTCAATCATCTGCGCGGTGGACCGGATGATGGAGAGATGGCGCCGCCAGAAAGCATCCCATGGCTGATTCCACTTCGAAAGCCTGAGGATCAGGAGCTGCACCGGCCATAACAACGACCACGAACCATGCGTGAAATACAACATGCAGTATGGTTTTGTCCAATTGAGGTCATGCTGGATGTATACGGCCGTTTCTGTCTGCACAGCAAAGCTGATCAAACTCACAAGCAAGAATGCGCCTGCAAGTGTATATCGTTTTCTGGTGTCGTTCTTGGGCTCCACCTCTGGCGGATCTCTTTCTCTGAATCGTGTTGATCTTCCTCCGGACCGGCCAGGGGGCTCATACTCTCCATTCTTGTCTCCTGCTAATAACGGCTGATGTTGCTGTGATCCCGCTCGGTGCACCGAAGGCCGCTGTGGGCGCAGGTCGGAAGGCATATCTGAATGCCAGGCCTGCGATGCCTCCTCTTCTCCCCAGTTCTCAAAATCACTGTCGCCGTCCTCTTCGTGTCCGTCTTGTCTCGCCGTGTACTGATCGGGGTGAGGAAGGTCGCTTAAGGGGCTCGGCTGGCGCGAAGTGTCTTTGCTAACGTGGACTAGATCAGACGAGTCGCCAGCAGTGGAAGAGTCTTGGTCGTGGAAGTGGTCGGGAGGCAGCAGTGACGACGAGGATAGCTCCAGCGAACCTCCAGCGCCTTGCGGTTGTGGGCTAGGCATGCGGTGGGAGTGTGTTAGTAGGACGCATGTGACAGCCGCATGCTGGACATGGGGTGCAGATTTGTGTGAGGCGCACGCGCTTGTGATGGGTGTCGTCGAGTCTCGCAGACCCTGAGATTGGATCCCCTGCGAGTCCGGAGTCCACGCGCCCGTTTCACCAGCCCTGCGCTATTCTTGTCCCAATGACGTCCGTTCTCGCTTTCGAACAGGCACGTGACAGTTTTCGAATCGTCGTAGGGTTGCTTGATAAAGTTGAATGTGCGACACGGACATAGACAGGAGCTGACGAATCCTGATAGTCTGGAACAGACAACATGCCGTGCCTTTCACCTCACAACCATATATCCATGCATACCATCTGCCAAGACCGATATCAACTAACCAAAGACCCGTAGTGGCTTGCTGAATCAAGAAGCCCGACCGTTATCAGAAGCCTGCAATGCGCGATATCGATTGTAATAGCGGTTTTGTTTTACCGCCGTCTTCTGAACATGCACTTCACTTGTTAGCAACGGCGACATCTTCAACCTCGTTTCGCGTGAGGAGCCTACACGTTTGTGAGTGAACTCTACAGCCATCATCGCGGTCGAAGTGGCTCAAAAGGGATTGCCCTGAAAACATCCAAACGCAATTGCATCATCAGCCGGCAAGTCGACGACTATCTCCTCTTTAGCTCCTTCAACTCCGTTTTCGAGGCAAGGTATTAATTAGAGTCGTGCTGTCTTGCTACTCAATCTTTTTCATGTTCAGACTTCTTTCCAAACCCATTTCTCGTTCAACTTCAAAGGTCGCCAGCAGAGGTTTTACGTTTACGAAGATCAGCAAGATGCCATTGATAACTGGAACCGGCAAGCCCAGGGTGAGTACAAGCAGCATACGGCTCAATGTCTGGTGCGGCAAAGGCTCTAACCCATCTCCTTTCAGGTCATCCTGGGTACCATGACCTTTGGGTATTTCATCCACATCTTTTCTCTATCTTCCAGGTCCTAACCCATTACCAGCCCAGACCCCGAATCTGGCGCTCGAGTCACTTCCCTGGACGAGTACAAGAGCTGCCTCCAATACTTTCAATCCAAGGGTTACAACGAAATCGACACCGCCCGGGCGTACATCGCCGGCAAGGGCGAAGGATGGACCAAGCAAGCCGGATGGAAAGAGCGCGGACTTTCCGTCGCCACGAAACATTACCCTACCCAAGCGAACCACCATACCGGCGAGAATGTCGAGGCGACGTTGAACAAGTGCTTAAGTGAGCTTGGGACTGACTGCGTTGATAGTATGTCGTTTCATCTCCTCCAAATGAAGAGTATGCTCACCAACGCCTCACAGTCTTCTACCTGCACGCCGCAGACCGTACCCTCCCCTTCACCGAACCCCTGAAGAAACTCGACGAGCTGCACAAGAAAGGCAAATTCGTTCGACTTGGCCTGAGCAACTTCACCGCCGCCGAAGTCGCTGAAGTGGTCATGCACTGCAAGTACAACAACTGGGTCAGACCGGTACGTGCTCCCTCACCTAAACGACAAAAGCCACCCCATATCAACTAACATCCCATCCCCTCCCACCAGACCATCTGGCAAGGGATGTACAACGCCATCCAACGCAGCATTGAGCCTGAACTAATCCCCCATGCCATAAATACGGCATCGACGTCGTGATCTGTACGTAGAGACCCCATTCCACGTCTGTCCGAGACACTCACTGACCATCAACCCAAGACAATCCAGTAGCAGGCGGCATCTTCTCCGGCAAAGTCAAATCCAACTCCTCCATCCCCCCCACGGGCCGCTTCAGCGACACCGCCAACTCCGGCGCCAACTACCGCAAACGCTATTTCCAAGACGCCACCTTCGAAGCCCTGCGCCTGATCGAACCCGTCGTAGAGAAACACAACCTGACGCTGATCGAGACGGCGCTGCGGTGGGTGGTGCACCACTCGAAGCTGGAGATCAAAAGCGGCGACAAGGACGGGATCATCATCGGCGTTTCGAGCCAGGCGCAGTTGGAGGGGAATTTGGAGGCTTTGGAGAAGGGCCCGTTGCCGGAGGAGGTGGTGAAGGTCTTGGATGAGGCGTGGTTGGTGACCAAGGCGACGGCTGTGCCGTATTGGCATGGGACGTTGGAGTATGATTATGATACTGTCAAGGCGTTGTTGGAGGAGCCGAAGTTGTAGTTCGGAATTATGCGCTTACCGTATCGTTAACTTGAGGGAGATCGATTGAGTACTTCCTTCTTCGTGCGACCACATAAGCGACCAAAGCACGTGAAAAATCCATCCATCCATCCATCTCCTTCAGGCCAACCCCCACGTGACAAACCTCCCCAAATCCACCTCCCACCTGACGCAACTCGTCTGAAACAGGGATCATTCATAAACACATTCGCATCTGCTACTCATTCAAGCAAGTCCCATGCGCTCACCCACCTGCCAGAAGCAGTTGAGCACTGTATCAAGCCCCCCAAAACTGAGTGCGGATCTCTTCTCCTGCCATGCATCTTCCTACTTCCTCTAACCTCCCTATTCGCTCCTTTCTTCCATTTGTTACCACATCCCCACAAGACTCCACAGCTCCAACCAACAAGCCATGCCTACGAGAGACTACTCGCGCAAACATGTCCGTTTCCAAGACGACTTCGCTCCCTCGTCCATCATCATCAGACTGAAATTGGGCCCCAAGGATCGGCCGACGGCCATCGTTAAGATCAGCGTGTACTTTGAGGAAGGCCGTCTGCCGCGCATCAAAGTCAAGACGAAGCGGCCGAATGATCGGACGAGGAGCAGAGACCTTTGATGAGGTGGTTGAGAATGGATTTCCATGATTTTTCGCATTTCGTCAGGGGGGTATCTTCGATTCCTGGGAAAGGCACCCTTAACGCTTGACGGAATCCCACAACACCAGCGCCAAACCCAGCTCTTACAACGCCTGCCCGGTCACGCATCTACGCAGGATCATCGCCCGGTCACTCCGTCCGTCCTCGAATCGGCACCACCATTGGCAGGCTCCTCTTCCTTGCCACCAGACAAGTAATCGGCCTTCTCAGCCTCCTCGTACTCGTTGATCAAATCCATCACAACTTCTCGGGAGGTATCGAACTCGCCGAACCCGTCTCGGAAAGGCTCATGTTTCTTGTACTGCTCGAGGAAGGCGTTTCGTTTTCGCAGCTTGTCGAATTGAAACACGATGCGCTTGAACAGCGATGCGATGCCGGTGTGATTCGCCAGCATGAGCCCAGATACTCTAGGTGGGGCACGGGTGGTGTATGGAGGCTGGGTGTATGGGGAAGTTCGAGTGAGCGCGACCTGGATACTGGCTGGTCCCCAGGGAATGAAAGAAGCGAGGTTTCGTTCGCGGATTCGCAGGAGCGATTTGTGTACCTAGTCATCGTCAGCATAGTACTATGAGTGTTGGGGCAGATTTTGACCTACATCTGTTGGATCCGCATCGCCCATGATGATGTTCAGGATGGAAATGTAGCAGCTGTTCTTGGTCGGCTTCGTCGAGACCATTTGATTCTTTGGTTGTAACAATCGTCTCATCACATCCAGAACAGTCGTCTTCCGGACCGTCTTCGCAGCTTCAACGTTGTCGCCAGTGAAAGGAGTGTAGCTCGTTTGGAGGAAATGGCAGCGAGGGGTCGGGATCAAGCTCGCTATAATTCCAACCAAGTCGTTATGCATGTAGCCAGGGTATCGTAGAGTGGTCGTTGCTGCAGACATGACTGTGCTGACGAGTCGGTTGGTTTGTTCGAAAGACGGCTCTTGTACGTGTAGTGTATCCGCTGCGATTCTCGATAGCGCACCATTGTCGAGGACGGTAACAGCATCAGCATTCTCTGTCAGTCTTCGCAGTGCCAGAAGAGCGTTGTAAGGCTGTACAATAACATCCGGCGCATTGATCGTGTCCGGAGTCACCGAGTACGTCTGGATGATCTTCTTGGGGAAGTGGTCATTCAACCGCTCGAGCAGAAACGAGCCGAGACCAGAGCCTGTCCCTCCAGCAATCGAGTGCAGCAGCATGAAGCCCTAGACATCCGTGAGCACCATTCTAGTATCCCGCGTCTCATCGTATCCTACCTCCAAACTATCACTCCCATCCGCCTCCCGATCAATCATATCCAAAACCTCATCCTGCACCTGACTCCCCATATCATACCCCGCCGCCCAATTATTCCCCGCTCCTGTCCCCTCCTTATGCACATAGAAGTTCTCCGGGTTGTAGATATTCTTATACGGGCCCGTCTGGATCCCATTGATCACGCGCGGTTCGAGGTCGAGCAGGATCGCGCGGGGGATGTAGCGTGTGTCGTCGGATTGGTAGAAGAAGACGTCTTTGCGGTCGCCGCCTTCGGTCGCGAAGTCTTCGAGGTTGCCATCTTGGTTGATGCCGTGTTCGAGACAGAGCTGGCGCCAGAATTGGGAGCCGACTGGAGGGGGTTGTGTCAGTTGATTGTCGCATGTGATCAGACTTGTGCGCCCACTCACCGCTGTTGCCGCACTGGCCGGCCTGGAGCGTGATGATTTCACTGTGACTGTGTCAGTTGAGATACAGCATCTCTTTGAAGGGCGTACTGACCGCGGCATTGTGTTGTATGTTCATGCGCAGCGTGTCTGGAGATTTTGGAGGGTAAACATGGGTGGGTTGAAGACGCGGAGGTCGAGGTGGGGCAGTCGCGTCTGGCGCGTGAGGTGGCAGGCGTCTCAAAGATTCACTCAAACATCATCATCAACATTACATACAGTATACTGCTGTAAGCCGTCTCTATATGATCTTCTACCTTTACTGACGCCTGGCTTCTGAACAATGAGCCCCATCACCTCGGAACCCTCTGTATAAGATCTGGACTTGCGTCCGCCCCAAGTCTTCGTCTTCTCCTGAACAACCAAAACATGCATGTGATGCCAATATAAACACGCATCACTTCCAAACAGGTTCTCAGACTCAGCGTCATCCACGAACCCGTACTCTGCTGGTCGTACTCCTCGCGCATCCTCGCAAAGATTGCTGGATCGTCAGTGACAACACCATCCAACTGCCGCCGGATACACCACTCCATCCTGTCTCTGTCGTTCACGGTCCAGGAGAGCACCTGCCGACGTTGCACCTCCCTGCTTTCGCGCACGAACGCCGGCCCTCCTGGCGCTATCAACATGGGAAGCAGCATGTTGAATCCGACGTTGGGCACAGTGTGGAAGTGTCTCGCGTACGAAGTCTTGAATCCAATGTGCAGTACTGGAAATCCGGGCAAGTATTTGGCGGCGAGAGGCAGGTACTTTGCGGCCCATAGACCTAGCACTATGCGCTCTTTCCAGGTCCTGCCAGGAGGCTGCTTGACACGCTCCATGGTAGCGCCCAGCAATCGCATAATGTCCTCTGCGTCGTTGTCGAGCTTGATGTCGAGCAGTACCCAGATCTCTTCCATGCCAGGTTGCGCCAGAAAGTCTAGTAGATCTTCCATTCGTGGCATCGGCACATGCGGCGGCGATGTAGTCCTCAGGTCTTTGATCTCGTCCCAGTTCCGATCGAGGATCTTTTCTTTGCGGCCGAAACATCTCCTCAACGTCGAATCATGGCTGATGACAACAATATCGTCCTTGGTGAAGTGGACATCTGTCTCCAGCCCCGTCGCGCCAGCTTTGATCGCTTCCTCAAAAGCCAACAACGAATTCTCCGGAAATCTGGCCTTGTAGCCTCTGTGAGCAATGCATTGTGGCCTCCGTTGTTTTCGCTGATTCAAGGTGGCCTTCGCAAATACAGGCGCCGGAAAAACAGTGTCTTCGGGTATCGCAACAGGCGAATCGAGCTTTTCAACACCAGGCTGAACCACTACTGGAGGGACGACAGTCGGCCGTGTGCCCGGGGGTTGCTCAGTCGTATCGGACGGCATTCTGCCAGGTCGCGTGAGGCAAAAGAGAGAACGCTTAGCTCGAGGCTGCTTTGCGGCACATGCTGCGTTTGAACAGCCACCCGTGATCCTTCGGCCTCGCTGTATTGATATTGTTCCGATAGGTGTGAGAAGAGGGTAGAAGTGAGAAGGAATGCGACGAGAGCAGGCGAGGACATACATGTACGCCGCCTAGTAATACACTCCGAGGTTGTGCCTATTCATCAACCCCGAGTCGTTCGGCGGGCGGCACGAGGTTGGTCGAGCAGAGCAAGCCACTTCCTGCTGCTATCTCACAAGTCAGCCGCTGCTCCGTCCTGGTTGCAGAGAAGCATTGCCTCGTTCGGTTAGTACGTGCTTGCGAATGCGGCCTCGTCGTCGTAAGTGTCTGCTGGCACCGAGGAGTTTTTCCCGCTGATGGCTTTCTGCAGTCGAGCGGGCCCGGCACGATCTGTAGGACTGCTACCTCCACCTCCTCCGGTCTAGTGGGATCCGCTGTCAAGTGGACAGAGTTTTGAACTCTGTTGCTGTGCCAGCGGTGAGCAAGTTAGAAACCTCCGACGCATATCCCTCTTGCGGTCCAAATTGAAGAGGGACAGGCGGAGTGGGCAGACCTTGTCTCAAGACAGACCAGGATTATGCTCGCCTGTCAGGTCCTTGTACAGCGAGGTGACTGGTCTCCTGCCCGCACTAAGTTATGCTTAGGAGTGAAGCGTACTTGTTAGCGCAGATGACACGGGGTTCCGTAGCAGGCGGCGTCGAGGGCTAACGGATAGTCGTTAACGGCATCCCGGATGTGATTATTGGGCAGGGTACGGCATGATCTCGAGAAGAGAAAGCGGTGGTCCGATGCTCTTGTTGCTCCAGAAAGACGACAGCTGGATCTGTGGCAGACCAGTTATTCGAGTGCTTTCTTCTTGCGCTTGAAAGTATGCAGTGTTGGCCGACTTCTGGAAGAGACCGTATCAATCCCGAGGCCTTCTTCCGAGGTTCCATGAAGGTCTGGATGACGCGTTCAACAGGTAGACCAGGCAGTCTTCGATCCTCGTCGCCCGCGGATTGGACTTTCACTCATGCTAAATCGGCGGTCTCATTGTTGTATGAAAGAAATGCGCCCTCGAAGAACATGCTTGTAGTCGCTCGTTATATACACTGGAGAGGCTTGTTAGCGATCCCTGCACCAGCGCCCTCGGATCACAAGCTTTCCGATCGCCCACGTTGTACCAGATCCACAATCATGAGTCTGACCTCACATGGCTTGTGAAGAAAGCACACAGGTCGAAGTTGAAGCTGTGAGAGGGTGATATGAACGACAAAAAAGGATCCGGCCGTATACTTCAAGTGAAGTAGTGTGAATGAACTGGCATGAGCGCAAGTTGGTGCCTGTCAAGGCTGTGCGGCTTGGCAAGAGCGTCTCTGCGCCTGTCCGCTTTCCGCTGTCCTCTATACGCGGATTCGAAGGTGAGGGTAAGTGCTTTCTGTTTTTATTAGTATCGACATGGAGGAGAGGCTTCAGCAACGCACTGCCTTCCATTGCTGTAGATAATAAGGCATCTGCGACCAGCGAGGTAGAGTAGAACAAATTTCCTTCGCTTCGACATCCTCCTGCACAATCCATATTCCTTTAGTCACTCCTCCATTCAAGACAGCAAAGATCCAAAGAGACGAAAGCGCCGAACCACAATGAAGAAAGACCTAACACCCTTCTACCCACCTCTCGGGCCACAGCCCTCTCGAACACCGCTCTACGCCCCATATCCCGTGACGCTGGTAATGAAAGAGAAAGTCCTCTCCCTCAGCGGCGACGACTTCAAAGTCGAAACCTCCGACGGCGCCCAGATCCTCAAAGTCAAAGGCAAATACGTCTCGATACGCGACAAGAAGAAATTCAAGGACGCTTCTGGCCGCGAGCTGTTCACGCTTTCCAACAAGATGCTCAAGCTCCACAAGAGCTTCAAGGCTCAATCGCCGGATGGGCATGACTTTGTGGTCAAGGGGCATTTTTCGTTGGCTTCGTCCAAGTCGAGTATAGAGTTTACGAATCATGCCGATGGGGCGCCGGTCGAGTTGCGGCTTAAGGGCGATGTAAGCGGATATACAAATGTTCCTGGAGGTCGCCAGTACTGATTGGGCTTGTAGTGGTTTGATCGAAAGGCCAGCATCAAGTTGGGTGACCGCCCTGTCGCACACATCACCCGCAAGCTGATAAACGGGAGAGAGCTGTTCTTCGATAAACAAACAGTAAGGATGCGTCGTTTTCAAACATGATCAAGAAACGTTTTGCTGATGAAGTGCAGTACTTCGTCTCCGTCGCGCCGAATGTCGACCTCAGTCTGATCGCCGCTATCTGCGTATGCTTGGATGAACGCGAGAACGAGGACTAGTGCCAGGACTATTTGCAGTGGGAGAGTTGGAAGAACCAGTGTTATGAATGGCCCGCATGAAAGATCTGATCGTTTGCCAATGCAGAAGATCCCATTGGCCTATGGGTGCGAGGAGAAATTGCTACGTCGACGCTGGCATCTGCGGCAGGGAGGTCGAAGATGTCGGCGTCGACGTTGCCAGTCTCCATAGTCTAGCGAGTAGTCAGTGAATGAGACAAAACATTCTTCGTCGAAAATTTCCATCTCCATGTCTTCGCTGTCGACACTGCGGCTGTGTCTGCGTATGTCGGCATGGAAAGTAGTCGTCTGGAGGGGAAAGCACGAGCAGTTATTGTCGTTGTCAACGCCTGACTCTCGGCACTGCTGCTGTGTTTGTATCTCGCCGAATGAAAAGTTCGAGTCTTGAGGTAAGGTTCTTTGGTCGGACCATAGTATCTCCAATGCTTGGCTCCTAAGAGTGCAGTTTTGCTTGTACTTGGCGGCATGGGCACTCATCGCCTTGCGGAGAAATCTGTCTGGAAGAGCGATTGTCGTCGTCTCCAGCGCTTCGCTCTCGACACTGCGGTCATGCTGTTATCTGGAGGCATGGATAGTGATCGTCTTGGGGAGAGAGCGGCTGGGTGAAAATATTCATCTCCATAGATTCGATGTCAACACTGCGGCTGCGCTTGTACCTGGCGGCATGGAGGATAATTTACTTTGGGAGAAAGCTGTTTGGTCCGCTTGAAAGTTTTCGAACTCCACTTGCGTGAGTGAACCAAGGTCGACAGCGCTGAATTCGTCCTTGATGATGGGAAGCTTCAGAGGGCACTCTCGCCCTGGCAGAATAAATATCACAGGTGGTGCTGTCACTCAGGTCGGCAGCCATCACACAAAACAAGTGAGCATTTCAAACACCCACATCAAACAACCATCCCCAAAACAACAAAACCGATCAAGCCACCACCACCAACACCACCAAGATGGCAGCCATCAAGCAGGAGAACGTCGACGATGGTGAGGCTCACCTCACTGAGGAAGCCCGCCAAGCGGACGAAAATCCCGCGGCCGTCGACGCTGCCCCTGCTGGTGAAGCTGGCCCAGCTGGTGCAAATGCCCCGGCTGTCGACGCTCCTCCCGCTGGCGAGGCTCACCCCCAGCGCACCACCCTGAGGCTCAGGATCACCCCGGGCTTCACCTTGAGGTTGAACCTCACCCAGCCCCCCAATCCTGCCAGGCTCGAGGCGCTGTACCGCGCGGGCTTGCTGCGCTCGCCGGTGCTCCGCATCTCGCGGCGTCGCGCGCGCCTCAACCGCCAGGCGAGGAAGGACCAGGCGCAGGTGAGTTTGACCTTCCCCTCACATTCTCATCATCATCCCCGAGACTGACCACCATACAGAACAAGTAGTCTGCCCTTCAAGAGCATGGCATCTCGGCCAAGTGCCGGGGATGCGAGCGCCAGCCAGACAGAATGGCGGCGCCAACGACCCTCACGTGAGGCCCGTCATCAAGGGACCTCATGTGCAGCAGCATAGCGACGGCGAAGGGCGTCCCTCGAGAGGCGCAATCGTGGGATTTTCGAGTTTTGAGTTTTGCAAGCGCCTGGTGGAGGTTAGTGGTACGCACCAACGATGGTAGCGTGTGGAAATGTACAACTTAGAGTTATGTGATGAATGCACCAATGTGGTTTTGCCTAACCGTCATGCCCATCCATGCCTTCTCAGCGCTCAGGTGCGCTTAGACAATGGATTTCTGGTGAGATCTCTCGGCGTCATCGTTGCCGTCGTTCTTAGTTGAGCTCATCCATCCTCACGCCTTGGACCAAGGGGCTAGGGCCGCTGTGCTTCATGGAGCGCTCAGGATTTTCTTCTTCACAATGGACAGTATCTCCGTCATATCGTGCTTGGCCGTGCCATGATCATGCCATTCGTTATACTAGAGGCAGTAGGAGATTCGGGGATTGATCGGAATGCAGGTGATGTTGAATCTTGCATCTCATAGTGCTCCATAGCGCCTCGCCAGTCTCTCTAGAATTTGCCCCTACGAAGCGATCGCGTCTCCGTTTGATAGTTGCTGGCCAAGCTGCCGACACAGCATCTCAGACTATATCGAAGGCGTGAGATTAGAGATAAATTACTCAAGACGTACATGTACCTAATCGTATGAGCGTCCTTGCGTCCTTCTGAGCGGAGCTGTGATGGCATGACAGGATCCCGACACTCATTGAGCTATGATTAACAACCCAACAAGCGATTCAGATATACAAGAGATGATGAATCAACGAATTCTTCGATCAATCTCAGTATTCGTAATAGAGGTGTGGTCGGGAACGGAAGAGAGGCCGCACACGACTCATGGAAATTTGATGGACGTGCTCGGGCCGTCTTCAACGCCTCCGGCCTCGGCTGATGATTCCGTCAGCGAGGGACCTCACTTTTGACGATGATGTGAAGCTGCATCTCGCCCAACTTTTCTCTGCCGCAGCTCTCGACATGCCCGACTTCCCTTCCTTGGCCTCGCCGGCCTTTGGTGCGGCACAGCAACCCAACGACGAGCCGCCCGTCTCCAATCTCGACCTCGACGGCGATTTCTCGTCCAGTTCCGCTGCCCCGCCGCCGTTGATCAGTCCCGCTGTCACTCCGCCGCATACCCCCTCTGCAGACGGCCAGCGACATGACAGATTACCCAAGAGCGTGCCGGCTGAGCAGGCAAATGGAGAGGAAGAGGGCGTAGCTCCAAAGCTGCTGGACACCCTGCCAGAGGTACAATGCGAAGTCAGAGCACGGATCCCGACAACAACAGGCCAAGAAATGTTTCTTCATCTATATCACAACAATGTCGATAACAAGGAGCATCTGGCGATCGTCTTTGGACCTTATATCAGGAGCAGGAGTCTTGATGCGGTGCGGCCCGGCGAAACGGAGAGAGATCGTATGATCAGAGGCGCATATACCGGAACATTGTTCCCTGGACGAACACATAGCAGATTGGACCAGATCCGTAAAGATGCTGGAGTGCCTCCTAAGCCCAATGGCAGCGCCAGTCCGCAGTCAAACACTCCTCCACCCTCTGAGTCAGGTTCTGACTTTGACAATTCGTACTCTTCATATCCTCCCGAGCTTGGCCCGCCCATGGTCCGCATACATTCAGAATGCTACACCGGAGAGACTGTGTGGTCAGCACGTTGTGATTGTGGAGAGCAATTGGACGAGGCTGCACGACTAATGTCACTGCCAGCACCTACACCAGCTGGCACTCCCCAAACAGAACATCCACATCTCAGCCTCCCCTCCTCTGGCGGAGTCATTGTCTATCTGCGACAGGAAGGGCGAGGGATTGGACTGCTTAGCAAGCTGAAGGCTTACAACCTACAAGATCTTGGACACGATACTATGGAAGCGAACATCCTTCTGCGACATCCTGGAGACGCCCGTTCTTATGGACTAGCAACTGCAATCCTCCTTGATCTTGGCGTTGGCGGAGACAGGGGTATTCGTCTTTTGACGAACAATCCTGAGAAAGTCCGGGCTGTTGAAGGTCCAAACAGGGAGGTGCGCGTGGTCGAGCGAGTGCCCATGATTCCTCTCGCGTGGAAGACCGGTGGCAAGGAAGGGATCAACAGCCCAGAGGTGGAGAAGTACATTTCGACCAAGATCGAGAAGTTCAAGCACATGTTCACGTCTTCATGAGAAGAGTCGGATCGGGGTTGACTCCGAATCTCTCAACACAAAAGGACGCTTCGGACTATCCGCAATTCGAATATCCCACCAGCCCTGACATCCGGGCGGAGCAGATCTCTTCTCTGGCATCGACAGATCCTGCTGCTCGTCCCTGGTCGCATTTCTCTCTAAACGCCTCAGAGCGTTGCATGCCTCGAGACTGGACAAGATCTCCATTGGAACGCCTCCAGCCCGAGCAAATGGACAGGTGTTGATCTGTCGCGAAAGGTATACGTCGGCCTAAATGGTGAAGTGTCAATGGTGATCACACATTTGACAAATGACCAGCTTCATCAGATCACTCAAAAACGAACAAGAAGCTCTCAAGCATGAGGAGGTCGGCGTGGGTAGTCAAAGGAACATCTCCTGGGCGTGGAGTACAAGAGTTTGACGATCCAATGCATCTGAGCAGTCATGGTATGGTCTGACGGGGCTGTACAATCTGGGTATCTAGTGTTTGTACATAGACTCGCCATTGTGGCGCTATACTCTGTACCACCGCCATTTCGAGTGGAACTCCCAATTCCATCTCTTCCAATTCCCTTTCCACGCGATGCTTCCCTGACCCTTTGCTTGTGGAATCATGGACTTTTGGTGGTGGGCATGGCAGACTCAGGTCATGCGATATCGAATAGCGCCGGGACCAATGTCACCTGCGATGGCCCGGCATGTTGGTCTGTGGTAAAGAGCGCTATCGCTCGTCGGAGCACTCTTCCCCATGAATTCGAGGCGGTAAATACCACAGCACAAAGTGGTGGAGACGAAGAAGTATCACATCAATCCACCTCTTTCATCCCCATCTCATTCAATCCTCCCTCCATTCTCCCTCCACTTCTTCACCCTTCTCTTCAAATCCCCCGCACTCCTCTGCATATAATTGATCTTCATATCCCTCGCCATCTTGCCATAATCATCCCCATACTTCCTCACGAGCTCCTCCACAAACGCCACCTCGCCCTCGGGCTGCTTCCTCTTGTACTTCGCCGCGGGTTTCCGCGCTTCTTCCTCTAGTCTCCGGACCGTCTCTGTCTTCTTGCCTTCGGAGTCGATCGATGCGGAGGGGTTGGTGTTGCCGTGCTGTTTCTTGGGGTTGAGGAGATCTGTCTCATCTTCGTCCTCCTCGTCATCGGAGGACGAATCAAGCTCATTCAACGGATCCCCCAACGGATTCGCCCTCCCACCCTCCTGCTCCACAACCCTCAAAATCGCCCCCGACACAGGATCCCTCTCAATCCGCGCCTCGCCCACCTCCAACGTCTCCCTCCTCCGCGACGAACTCGCAATATTCAACGTATCCACCTTCCTCTCCCCGCCCTCCTTCGCCTCCCTCAACACATCCGAGACGTTGCGCTCGACGCCCCCCGTGTTCTTGTTCAGCTTCGCCGTCAGGCCCAGGCGTTTGTAGTTTTGCGCGAGGGATTGCGACTTGTCCCAGGCGGTGGCGATGATAGGGTTGGTGAGGATTTTCTTTTTGGATTTGGGCTTTTGCCGGGTTTTGGAGATGCTGGAGCGGTTTTTGCGCTTTTGGAGTTCGCGGCCCATGTTTTCGTTGTGGTGTGGTGTGGGATGGGATGGGAGTGTGTGGGTGTGGTTGTTGGGTGCGATCACATGCGAGGGAATCTTTCAAATTTCTTGGACTCGCGATTTCGGAGTCGCTTGACCTTCCTTGCTGGGGAGATCGTCAGACTTCACTTCATGTTGCTCGTTCTCCTGAATGTGTTCAGTTTGTACATACACAAATACAGATTCCAATGATGCCGTCCAGAGGATCCAAGCTCGCTACCGCAGCGACATTCGTCGCATTCGCTTGTGTGGTCCTCGCTGAACTCAAGCCCAAAGTCTACGATACCAATGTTGCTTCGCTGAGCACTCAGGAGATCGAAGACCAGCTGCAGGTACGCAGGTATACCCTCCAGAAATATAATCTCAGTGCTAATAACACCTCCTAAGCAATGTCCCATCATCGAATCTCTCACGGCCCATAAACATGCCACCGAACCTGCCACCTCTTCCTACCTTCAGCAAGCCTTCCAGGTCCTCTTTCCCTTCACCTCGCCTGCTCTGAACGCCCTCATGGGCACCCTCTACATCTCCGGACCTCCCAACTTCCTCCTTGCCCTCTGCCCGCCCAACATCGACCCATCCAGCTTAAACGTCATGGTCGCGTTCGCCGTCGGAGGGCTCCTGGGCGACACGCTATTCCACCTGCTGCCGGAGATTTTTCTGGGCGAGGTGCCTGAGGGCGAGGTGAGGGCTGTGCTGGTGGAGCCGAACAAGAATCTGTTGTTGGGAGTTGCGATCATGGTGGGTTTTGTCACGTTTGTGGCTATGGACAAGGGATTGAGGATCGCGACGGGTGGGGAGGGTCATTCGCATGATCATGGGCATGGACATGAGTCGTCCAACGGGCACATCGTAGACAAGGCTTCGTCTACGGGTTCCTCTGCGAAGGGCAACGATACCCAACTCCGCCAGCGAAAGCAGGACCCCTCCAAGACGAACGTAGCCGCCGCAGCAGTCAAGGAGGACCCGAAGCCCTCCGTCAAGCTCTCCGCGTACCTCAACATCATCGCCGACTTCACGCACAACATCACCGATGGCCTCGCCATGTCCTCTTCCTTCTATGCGAGCCCTACGATCGGCGCTACGACGACGCTGGCAGTTTTCTGCCACGAGATTCCGCACGAAGTGGGAGATTTCGCTCTCCTCATTCAAGGTGGTATGAGCAAGCGGACTGCGATGGGTTTGCAGTTCGTGACTGCGCTTGGGGCTGTGCTTGGGACGGTCATTGGGATTGTGGTCCAGGAGCTGGGTGGTAATTCAGCTTCAGTGGTGGACACGGCTGTTAGTGGCAACGCTGGCATCTTCGGGACGAGCCTACAATGGGGCGACATGTTATTGCCTTTCACCGCAGGAACGTTCTTGTACGTGGGCACTGTCGGCGTCATCCCCGAGATGCTCGAGACGGGCCCGAATCGTTGGAAGGAACTGAGAAGCACTGCACTTCAATTCTTAGCCATGGCGGCCGGTGCGGGTATCATGCTTGGGTATGCTCCATTCGACCTTCAATTATCTAATGCTCATGCTAACGCTGCTCGCAGAATCTCTTGGTCTTGAGCAAATCCAAGTCCCGTTTTTCCATGCTATGCATTCAGCGGAAACAGTAGTGCGCCATTTGGACCGCGAGCTTCGGCCCAGTCTTCATACAGAAGAAGATGAATCGAGACATCTGAAGACTTTCTGTGCCCTGGTCCATCATCGTATCCACTGTATCCCGACTCCTGCGACCCCAATTGATCCTAGGCCTTGACCGTTCGATGCCGCTCGGATCCCTGATGAGGGCGATGTTAACCGAAGTTTGGCATCGCGTAGTACGTCTTGTGCTGCTCTGCGCTCTTCGCGCTCTTCTCGCTCTTCACACTTGGGGCCTTCTTAGCCTTTCTCTTCGTCTTCTGGATGACCTTCTTGAATCCCTTGCTCTTCGGCTTCGGGGTGTCCTCGACGACGTCGCTCTTCGGCTTGGGAGTCCGCTCGACGTCGATCTTCGGCTTAGGTATCTCCTCAACATCGATCGCTCGGTTCGGGGTCTCCTCCACGTCGATGATTTGGACTGGCGAGGTCTGGGTGCTCGCGTCGACCATAGTGCTTGCTTTGAACTTGGGAAGACTGGACGAACGTGGAGCCGTCTGGAAGACAACGGCGCTCATCGACGCGCTCAGATCCTCTTCGGTGCTGTACTCTCCGGCGCTGTGGTCTCCAGTACTGAACTGGGCATTGCTGTACTCTCCAGTGCCGTTTGGTTCAGTACTGTAGTATCCGAGGCTGTTCTCTCCCGTGCTGCGGCTGTAGACTGACGAGGAAGCCGAACGATTCTGTGGGAAGAAGTCGAACTCGGAGACGCTGTTGCTGTTGACGGTATCCGTCCAAGCGCTATCGCCCTCCGAAGCGGACGCCGTCGGCTGGAAGACATCGAACCGAGAAAAGTTCTTCTGGTCTGTGGGGCCGATCCAAGGCCTGTCATCGTTGGGTTCAAAACTGTACTCCGACTTCGTCGTGCTCACGAACGAAGGCTCGCGCTTGATTTCGACGCTGTCCGCAACCATGTCGTCTCCGCCCATTTCCTCTTCGATTATGTCGTCTTCGAATCGGACCCGCGTCTTGGTAGGAGTGCTCTGAATTGGTCGCTCCTGAGGATTCCAGACTGGAGGCAATGGTGGCACGTTGACTGGGTGCATACCAAGTGGGTTGAACTGCGGGCAGTTGTAGCGAATGCATGGGAAGACGCGGATATGGCCGCCGTCTACGGTCTCGTCGCCGTCGTCGAGTGGCTACAGCAAGCAGGTTAGTCATTGTTCGTATCTTGCAAAACGCTAAGTTCTTGAAGCACTTACGTTGTAGTCGGCAGCACCCGTCATGTCGTACCTAGGTATGAGAGTCAGTCTTCGTCGGTGCGGTCTTCAAGGGATCGAATGATTTACATGAATCCTCCAGGATACAGGAAGTCGTCTAGAACTTCGCCTCCGGCCTCGAGGACCATTTGCTTGCACTCCCCTTCAGCCGCCTTGTGATCGGCGGAGTTCTTCGCATGGATTTCGACCTATCCACCTTCTTAGCGTACGCGCCAGGACTTCTATGATTCAAGAGACTTACTCTGAAGGCAGCTACATCCTTCAACGGAGCCCTCGCACTACGCCGCTTCCAAAACGTCTTCTTCTCTTTCTCTGGCAGCTCAGTGCCACGTCCAGGACTCTCCTTGACGTCCTTGGTGCCAAAGACTGGCAGCGACAACATCGATCCGATCGACGGTCGGCGGCGTGTGACCACCTTGGCTGGCGAGGAGAAGATGCCGCCGGCGAAGCCTGGCGAGTGGCCCTTCTCGGCTGACTTCACCTCCTTCGCGATCTTCTTGGTGGTCTTGTCATCGAGCGGCTCGAACTGCTCTTGAATGCGCGGGGACCAGTGGCGAAGTTTTGGCGCCTGAGCGTGAGCGGCTTTCGGGATTGGCCAACTCGTGGGCCATCCGCCTGGGCTACTGCCCTGGCCTGGATCCATGGCTGAAAGAGCTGATCGGAGGTGAATGCGATGGCTGTGAAGATGGAGGTGTCAGCGTCAAAGAACGGGTGCCGAGGCGAGTCACGTTGTCGTGTGCTGTGGCGAGCAGCTGCACGGTCACGGCGGTGCGGTTGGCTGGCGGTGTCGATGGTCGCTGTTCAGTAACTCATGCGGATGAAGAATCATGCGCTGTGAGCTGCTGTTAGTGGTGTTGTCGAGCTTGGGCGCGAGCGACGTCGGCTTCAAAAGTTTGGCGCTAGCTTGCACATGACGCCAAGACGTGAAAGCGCACTCATGAGGAAGGAGCGGTAGATGCCAAGACAAAATATCGAAAAACGATTGGCGCTTCAGTGTTTCAACTTGGAGGTTACATGTTCATTTTTCAGCAATTGACGGCTATCTTGAAGTGGTAGTCGTGCTTTCCGTCTTCTGCATCATAGCGAGTTGGAAGACCGAGCCCGTTTTTAGACTCCTGTCCCGATACCCACGCGATCTTGGGTCAGCAAAGAAGTCCAACAGCACATCCGCTTCCCCAAAGCGCCCTTCTCTGGCAGCAACAAGCATTGATACGAATGACAAAGAAGAGCAATGGGGAATACAATGACAGGGAATTGTTTCAGCGCCGCCGAATGGAATCTCACACCATCTACGATTGAGACCCAGCCTGGATTCGATTCTTAGCAAGACATTCAACACCAACACCCGCCGCATCCAGACACTTTTCCCTGCCAACAGAGTTCGACCACAGAGTGCAGGACGAGACAGATGAGAACACGTGTTGATGGAGATAGATATCTTCAACAGTAACGACAAACCTTCCTCAACGTGCTCTCATTGGAGTCCCTCATTCTAGATCCACGAGCCTCGCACCACCTAAAGCAAAGAATCTAGTTTTCAGGTGGCCTACATCCTTTTGTTCTCAGGCCTCGGATGACGGCAGCTTTACAATAGCCGGCGAATGCTATCTATACCACTTCGAGGAGACTGAAAGCTTTTGGGGACTTCAGGCTCATCTGAGACCAGAAGGCGTAGCATGCAGACATTCTGGGGTCGTCCCTTTGCCTTTGTGGTGGGAAAAGACAGGTGAAGGCTTGTCCCTCGTCTTGCGAGCCGCGAAGTCTGAGGAATGGACGAGTGCAGCGTCGTCAATCATAGCGTGAACAGGTTTCAGACGAGGCGGCGTGATCAAAAGCGCAGAGGTCGTGAGGAGTTTCTGGTGCTGGATAGTGGGTATATTTGTTTGGAGTGTGAGGTTCTATTTTTGAGGAGAAAAAGGGGTGGCATGCAACGCATAGATGGACAACAGGAGGACTGCTGCTGCAAGACGAGCGAGCTATCAGGCTTGAAGCCGTCTGTCGTCGGTCGCTATTGATGGTCTCGCTCTTCGTTGTGCTTCATGTCTTTCATTTACCACATTGGTACTGGTACTGATGTACCACATCCGGGTCTACGAGCGTATAAGGTATGGAATCGCACTCCCACTCGACGGGATCCAGTGCTTCCCAAAACCCACCGAACTCACATCCATCGCAAAGAACGTAAAATCAGATTCTGATAAGCGCCTACTCACATCAAAGACTCTTCCTCCGGCGAAGCTCTGATGTCCATCGAAGAAAAGAGGGTCATCGCTGCAAGTCGAACGAAAGTATACGAAGATCTTTGACAGTGTAGCACCAGAATCACAGGATCGGGCAGTGATGGTCAGATAGGACAAAATAGAAAAAGAAACAGCAACGAATTGATCCTCGCAAAGCACACCGCATGCATGCATACGGTACGAAAATAGCATCGACTCTCTCTCGCACATCTCACGTTACACGTATGCGTTTTCTTTTTCCGAACAGCATCAACTTACCAGGCTCTCGGTACAGGTATCGTCTCATGACGTCGGAGTTTTCGGACGTGGATGATCGATCGAACGAACGGATCAAGTGGCTTCCTGTATATGAAACGCGAAACACACCCTTTTCTTTTGCTTTGGTGATGATGAGATCGTGGGCTGACTGACTGACGACATGCGACGACGATTTGCTTCGAGCCACGTAGATCGGGGTTTCGATTTCGATGCTGATACTTGGAGTGTGTCCAGTGTTTGATGATGATGACTGTGTAGGGCCTCTTACGTTGGAGATTTCGACGGCGGGTGCGGGTTCTGGGATGTAGGGGTTGGGTTTACTGCTGGAGGTGACGAAGATAGATCTTTTCTGGTGCTGCTCTTCGGAGGATGGCGGGTGATGAGGTTGGTATCTTGATTCCGGTGGTGGTGATCGTTTTGGGTGTCCGGTGTTTTGATCCCTGATCCTGTGAACGATCTTTGAGAGGTTCAAGGAGCTGGTGTCGCATGCAGCTCGGATTGGGACAGAGGCCATATTGATATCTTGAAGATGTCACTGCATGCCCCAAGTCAATGTCATAATGGGTAATGGTTGGCCGGCCTCGAGGTAGATATTGTGTGAGCTTTGGCAAATCCCTTCGTCCTAGGTTGTGATGCTTTCCAGAATGAGACGTCTATGTCCAGAGGATTTCCGATGCTTCTATATGAGTACGAGCAGTACGATGCCGAGAACAGCGGTGAAAGCGAGACCGTCTCCAAGCTCCGACTTACTTCTTGGACAGACGGCGAAGTCTTCTCGCAAGAAACCCGACATCGTCGGGCCCGACGCGACACCGACAGCTGAAATGAGTGAAAGGCAAAAAGGAAATTCATCGGTTCCCTGGTTGAAGTTGAGCCTTAAAACCCGTCCAGATCTGGTCACAAAGAGGCCTCATCCTCGTGCTGGTGAACCTTGCTGCTGCAAGCATCAAGGTGTCCGGCCGACCAACAAGCAGCGAATCGCCAAGCTGGTCGATTCGTTGGCGATGAGAGGCAGGCCTATCTGGGATAATGCGAGATGAGACGATGGAAAATGGCCGATGGAACGGGGAGGGTCCTTGTTGTGTGGGCGTGTGCCGACATTATGCCAGACGATTGATGACGATGAGAGTCTTGAATGTGTTGGAGATGTCTCAACACGGACGCGCGATTGACGAGGTGATGGAGAAGAGGGCTCTGGATCGTGCGTGCTCAGGCCATGTGACGGGACCATGATGGCACAAGCTGCTGCAGTGATACCGTCGCAGTGAGGTGGACAGGGAGGTGTTGTTGTCACAGGACGTTTATGCAGTCGCTGGTACGTACCCAGGGTCTGACATCTGCCCTCTCCGCATCTCGCAAGACATCTGCGGCCGTTGCAGCTAGAAGACTTCGGCTCCTGTTAGCTTACCGTCTGCCGTTGCACGCCTCCGCGGTTGGCGATTCCCCTTTGTACAGATCTGTCTCGGGAAAAGATAATGGAAAATTCGAGATCAGATACACAATTCTTCGTGTGACGATCTGCTTTCTGCTGGGACTGGGCGACAGAGGTATGGTCGAGCAAGATTCATGGCCTGCTTATGATGGGACACCCCGGCCGTCGTAGCACTGCAAGCAGACAGCAGCACGCGAACCAGCATATGACCGCTGTGTGCTGCGTATTGTAGCTGGGAGCTTTTCCTCGTTGAGAAATGACAGCGGCTGGTTGCAGGGCATAGCGAATGCAAAGCGGGTCGTGCTTCGGCCGTACTTCACACGTGTTCCAAAACTCGACGTGCGACCACGACAACACCAGAGCCAGCGATGGAGCAGGAGATGACTGCGACTGTACCACCTTTCCTCTCCCAACGCAAGCGACAGCCAGATAGATGAGCGTGGGCAGAAGTGCAGAGTCTGCAGGGAGGGCACGAAATGGACAGCACAAGAGTCGATCAGATCGCGCATCGGGATCCTGTTGAGCGAGTCAGCGAATCAGCGGACGCAATCGCATCAACCCCGGCAATCTCGACGGATCTCCCCGGAAACCCTGCGTCAATGAGATGGCCGCCGGCTCGCACAAGTGTCCGAGTGTCGTCGGCGCCTTGCTGGAAGAGGCGAGTGCCGTCGCTGTAGCGTGGCGGATATGGAGCATGTGCACGCGATCCAGAGCATCAGGAATCGACACCACGATCGGGCGCACCACCCGCCACCGCGCCCTCTCCAAGTGGCAGGCACCGGCAGATGCGCTGCCAATTTAGCGAGCGTCGGTCTGCGAGGCCAAGATTATGCAGTACCAACCCAATGTTATGCAGGCGTGGCGACACGAAAACAGAGAGGTGCAGACAGACTCGCGACAACACCCGCGCAGCGACCATTCGAGCCCGTTCGCATCACCGCAGCGCCGAGGAGCAGGAGCGGATACGACGATTCTGCAGCGATTGCGTACCTGGCGCCATGCTGCCTTTTTGACAGGCCAGCAATCCCCGTACCCTGCCCGCATGTCGAGTGCGCGGCGGCCGGCGGCACCTTGCGATTGGATTGGTCAAGGTTTGGATCTCATCAAGATCGCCTTTCCACGCGCTAGCAGACGTCTGCGCGGATTCTGTGCGTGCTCGTCACGCTCGTGTCGTGCTGGCGGCATGACTCTGGCTGAGCGGAGGTGCTGCTGCAGGGAAACACGACTTCATCAGCCCGTCGCTGACCTGATATCCTCCGACGTCGCGTGGACAGACGGTGTTGGGTGGGAGGTTGGTGGCCGCGAGCAAAGGAGGGCGCCAGGCGAGCTAGGATCGATCGGCAACCAACACCTGCCTCGTGGAAGATAGCACCACCGAATTCTGCGCCCGTCCGTCGTGCTGCTGAATCCTGCTGAGCGTCAGCCCCGACGACCACGCTGCGATGCCGCGCAGTCCACTCGCGCAGTCGCTGCTATTCGTCGTCGTCGCGGTGGTGCTGACCATGCGGCACTCGGTTATCGAGCTGGCCCTGCTGCTGCTGCTGGGAGGTGGCATGTCTTCTTCTGCGCGGCCGGCGTCGCTAGCTGCTGCGTCGAGGCACTAGGTCATCGTACACCTTGATCCTTGCCGCCAGCCGATCTTCGATTTGTTTCGGAGCGCCCCTCTTAATCTCGACGCACCACACGCTCCTCTGCTTCTCGATGCTTTCGATCTCTCTCTGCTGCTGCTGCCGCTGCTTACTACTCACCACCGGTGCGCTCCCGAGCCCACGATTCTTGTTGTTTTCTGCCGTACCACCCTCTCTTTCTCCCGCCCACACGCCTGCCCAGCGGCCTGCCGACCTGTGCACCGCTCAACGCCGCCGTCGTCTGTGCTTGCCGTGGCTCAGGGACCGACCGAAAACCGCCTGAACCAGCCCGGTGCGCCGCGTTTGGATCGCGCGCCCTCCCCTCCCACCGTGGTCCTCTTCCTTGACCACCCTGCGGCAAACCCACGCCAAACGGCAGAGATTGCCGCTGCCCACGACACCGCCAGCCCTGCCCTCCTCCTCGCTGCAGGCATTCCTCGACCCGCTGCATCTTCAATCTCGTCGATACGCTCCACCGCGCCATCCTGGACGCCGCGAACCCGCCCCGATTCGGCTGCCGTCCACTGGACATCGTGATCTTTCCTTTCCCTTCTTGCTGCTACCATCGCCGCCGTACATAGTCGCCCTGTCGACACCCGATCTACCTGCCTTGCACGATGGATGCCACAAACCGACGGTACGTGAGCGGTCTTGTAGACGACGTTGTCTTATTGCTTTGCCTCGACCCCGAATTGTGACAATGACGCTGACATATCTCCCCTTCAGACCTCAATTGCCCGCCCTGAGCTATTTGGACGTGGACAAGGTCAAGCGAGAAGAAGAAGCTGCCTACCAAACCCGAAATACAGGCACGCCGCAAAGTTTGTCCACCAGCGCTGGTGCCAGCCCGACCTATCACTACCCACCTGGTCCTCCGCCGCCTTATAGCCATGCCCACCGCCCACCACCGCCAGCACAACACACAAACACCTGGGCGAATAGTCATGCCGCCGCGCACACCCCGCCTGAGTCACGACGGACCAGCGAAGACGAGAAAGATGGTGCCAAACAGACAACGAGACAATCACTCCCCTCCATCTCAGAGGCCCTAGGCGTGGACAGTCAAACTGCATTCGCATCTGCCCCACCGCCACCGTCATCTTTACAATCTACACATCTACCACATCCACAATCTACGGCACCCGCATCGCCATCTCCCACCGCGAGGCGATCATACCCCATGGAACCACCGCAAGCACCGCCTAGCTCATTCTCCACGAGCAACAGCTATTTCTCGCAATATCGATCTGAACAAACGCAACCACCTCAGCCAACGCCACCGGAACCAGCACGCACTCCTGCAGCATATCCGCCGGTTCACGAGACGAAACCACTCCATCTTCAAACTTCCCAGCCGGCATCTCGTCCGGCCCCGACATCCATCTACGCTCGTGCTCCAGAACCTCCAACATCATACGAGCATGCGTCCTCACAACAACCTGCTGGGTCCATGGCACCTCCCAGCAGCTTTGCCTACGGATACACTCCCTACCCATCTCGATACGCCAACCCAACGCCACCTGCCAGCAACGCATCTGGACCGATTTACCAACCGTCGACCACTTATGGTGCTCCTCACGCAGGTACTGGGAGTTGGAAATCGGAAAATGCATCGCGATATGAGGATCGCTCGGCTGGTCAGGCAGCCTACGGCGATAATGTCAAGCGACATCTGGATTTCTACGATCTGGAGGCAGCATTGAATGAAGTACGTCGTGAATCAAGCGTGGACAATATAGCGTACTGACTTGCCATAGATCGCCACCACTAGTGGAATTCTCAGCGACTTTTCTCGTCGATATGGAGACCGAATGCATCAAACTCAGCGCTCTGGAGCGTCCATTTCCACTTTGCCCAGTATGGTGGAAGTCGACGATATGATTTCCAAATCACGCGTGCAAACAGAGTCACTTGGGAAGATACGCGAAGTTATCCTGGCGCAACAAGCTGTTTACGAACAGCAAGCGGCTGATCAGCGTAACCAACACAAGGCCTTCAGCGAAGCGCCTCAACCTCCACCTCCCGAGCAGCATCTCCAAGAAGTCGACGACAAGCAGCAGACTGGATTCGCCGGAGTCGACACAAAGAAGCGCAGAGGCCGTGCCGCTCCACCAGGTCGTTGCCACAGCTGCAACCGCGCTGAAACGCCGGAATGGCGACGTGGTCCAGACGGAGCAAGAACTCTGTGCAATGCATGTGGCTTGCACTACGCCAAGCTCACACGCAAGAACAACGGGGCAAACAAAAATGCCGCCGTTGGCAGTTCGAACCTGCGTCCGAAGGAGTAAATCACCCGATACCTCTCGACACGTGCCACGACATTCTTTCGCCAAAATTTACTTTCTACGATTTCCGTTCTGGAGCATTGATTTGCTGCGAAATTTTGCATGCCTTTCAGCGATACCCATGGCGCTTCGGCCTTTTTAGAGGTCCATACAACGGAGAGTATGCTGGCGAGCTCTCCGTGCGACGACGAAAAGTTACCCATCCAGCGTTATCAGACGCTACGAATTGTACATGGCCCGGCACATGATGTCCTGCGCATGCGGCCTTGGTGTTTTTCGATTACCCTGTCATTGGCGGCCTGACGACACGACCGCCGCGGGCTCCTTTTACGATTGCTGTGCTGTGCTATGTGTGGGTGTGGCTGGGATTTGAGGCGTTTACATGATATTTCGGCATGGTTATACCACGTTGGGTCTTTCAGGACCCAATCAGCATGGACATGGGCGTTTATATTTTCACTTTGTTTTGAGAGGGACATGGGAGGGCAAAGAAGGAGGATTGCGTCAGCACGGCGTGTAGTATGTCTGAGGCGCGCGGGCCATACGAAAATGCGTGGTCAAATGTGGCAGCATTTCTTGTGCGGCGGCCGGCGCTTCCATGCGGGAAAATTATGACGAGTGGTGTACATAGACTGTGTGCGAGAGAGTGAAAAGAGAGAAGAAATGGCCAGACTCTTTTCCGAGCAATACGATCAACAATCGCTGCCCAAGGTGACACTACATTGACGCCACTTATGATGGAGTGATGAAATTAGGTGAGCGAGCAGTGAAAGATCGACGGGCACACAGGACGGAGGAGGAGCTGGCTGCAATTGCCGTTTTTTGTCTGATTGACAGGTTGGTGGGACATGTGTTTGTGTGCTTGTGAGGTTGCTTTTGAGACGGGCACGACTGATTGATTGAGGGGGATCTTGTGGGGCGGTGAGATGCGGGAGGGAGCGAGGGCGAGTGATCATGATCAGAGGGGAGTGTTCCCGCACATCTTGGATGCGGTTGTTGTTGTTGTGCGAGTTGGCAAAGGCAAAGTACTCTATGTACGTGTGCGACGCGAGAGGATCAGATGGGTAGCGGGGTTGGGGTGTGTAGGACGTAGAGATTGGATGTCATGCTATAGGGTCTGGTAGAGAACTTGGAAGATAGTGCAATTAACATGTGAAGGGAGAGTCGAGGTGAAGTCGGGTGAAAGTCAAAACCCGGTCGCGACCCAAGCGAATTCGGATGACAATGGCATCATGGTTTGTAATCCGACATCAGAGCAGAGTGGTTCGCAATTGAGTTTTTCACGCGCTTTGAATGTTTAGGCGGGCAATCATTGACATAGAAGTTAATGACAATACTACCCTTCAAGGCCTCGTCGATGCCTCTATCCAGCAAACCTCCGCCCACCGTTCAATTCCTACCCGTGAGAATTGAGGATTTCCAATTTGCCCGCTTGAAGCTTCCACATCTCGAACCCCACCTCACGTCCCCTCCACTACGCGAGACGCTCGAGAAATTATTCTTATTACTACATGCATGCATGCACACCATGCCGCGATAAGGAAGACGAATTTCTCATCAGCACGTCAGAAGGGCGCGCGCCGCGCTAGTGGCTTGGTTTACAATTCCACAACAAGAGTTCTGGTTCTTCGTGAAGAGTCGGGTCTTGCTCTGCTGCTGCTCTTGTGCGGGAGGAGCGAGAAGCAGAAGACATACTGCGGCCTGGGCACATATATGCGAAGGTGGTAGCACAAGGCTTTGCCGAGAAGAGAAGCTGCAGGAGCTGCAGTTGCAGTTGCAGAGATGGGGTTACTGTACGCGATACATCCCTCTCCCTATTTCTCGTGGGAGCCTTTGAGGATTGATGTCTGAAATTTTGCAGAGCTGTCGGCACGCCGCTGGATTGGCCCGAGGCGAAGAAAGTCGCAGACCATGTTAGAGAATGGGGGATCGAGGTACGATCATCATCTCGAACGAGGTTGTGAATAGTTGTTTAGCTGACGATGGTGGATTCCCAGCAACTCCTCGCCATCTGGAACCGCGCCAAAGGCAAAGAGCGAGACGCGCTTCTGTGGGGAGATGAGGTATGGTAAGCGCTGCGCTGGTCGGAGGGAATGATTGGTGCTGACTTTGGGTTTCTAGATTGAATACCTGGTCGTGTCGTTTGATAATAAGAAGAAGGAGGTCAAGCTTTCGCTGAGACAGGCGGATATTCTGGAGGCGTTGGCGAGCGATGCCGAGCTGTTGAAGCAGGGCGGTGGGGTGCCGGATTTGGCGAGGGGAGAGGCGAAGTATGTTTGGATGGTGGTAGGTTGGGTTTTGGGGGTTTTGGCTAATGTGTTGGTTAGGTCTGCACGGTCTGCGCCGACTTTTCATCCGGAGTTTGGGAGGTTCATGCTTGAGGCTACGCCTGGACGGCCTTGGGGGATTGGGTTTAAGGACTTACTTGATGTGGAGCAGGACATGAAGTGGAGGTGAGTCGAGCTCAGATGATGTTTGAAGGAGTCGACACTGACGGACCAAGACGACAAATCGCAAAGGACCACATCTTCGAGTGTGAGTATCCAGTCACCTTGACGACGTTCCCCATGCTGGGCGACCGGAAATCTATCACTCCCTTCTACGAGCCTTCCGGCCCAAAGCTTCGATCTCAGTTTGTGCCAGACGAGATTGCAAATCCACATATTCGCTTTCCGACGCTTGCTGCCAACATACGGTGGCGAAGAGGACGGAAAGTGGAACTGAATGTTCCCGTCTTCCATGACGAGAACACGCCCAAGCCCTGGAAAGATCCCACCGTCAACTACGACCTTTACAACTGGCCGGAGGATGACGATGTTCGAAATGGAGCCGCCAAGGACGACTATATCTACATGGATGCCATGGCGTTTGGCATGGGCTCATGCTGCCTGCAGATCACATTTCAAGCTACTAACATTGCTGAGGGAAGGAAGATGTACGATCAGCTTTCTCCGCTGGGGCCGATTTTGCTCGCATTGACAGCCGCAACGCCTATCTACAAAGGCTTCCTTGCAGACACGGATGTACGATGGAATCAGATCAGTGCTGCTGTTGACGATCGGACTCCTGAGGAATTGGGTGAGAAGCCGCTCAAGCATGACCGTTGGCGGATACCGAAGTCGAGATATGCTAGCAACAGCACGTACATCTCGCAAGACCCTCGTCTGCGGCCGGAATATCTCGATCCAGATCTTGTGGTAGACGAGAAGCTGAAGGCGCGGTTGGTTGAGGGCGGCATGGACGACATTCTGGCTACGCACTTTGCACACCTGTTCATCCGAGATCCTATCGTTGTGTTCGCCGAGGACTTGAAGGAGTTGGACTTGGACAAGACCGATCACTTTGAAAACCTGCAAAGCACCAACTGGCAACATATGCGCTTCAAGCCACCTCCTCCAGGAAACGATATTGGCTGGCGAGTTGAAGTACGACCGATGGAGATCCAGATCACCGACTTTGAGAACGCGGCGTTCTCAGTCTTCGTCGTGCTCATCACTCGCGCCATCCTCAGCTTCGACCTCAACTTCTATCTCCCCATCCCACGAACGACCGAAAACATGGAGACTGCGCACAAGAGAGATGCAGTGCTGAACGACAAGTTTTACTTTCGAAAAGACCCACTACCAAGACGTTCGGCAAGGACGAACGGAACAGCGTCACCACGCTCAGGCCCGAACACTCCCCAGCCTAGCAGACCGCACACGCCTGGCCCCGTCGAAGACGAATACGAACTCATGACCGTCGACGAAATCATCAACGGCAAACGAAACGGCGGCTTCCCTGGCCTCATCCCTCTCGTCGAATCGTACCTCGATAGCGTCAACGTCGACGTCGAGACGAGATGCGAGCTCGCCCAGTACCTCGCCCTGATCCGAGGCCGAGCGAACGGGGAATTGTGGACGGCGGCGAAGTGGATTCGACATTTTGTGAGGGAGCATCCTGAATATCAAAAGGATAGCGTGGTTACGGATGGAATGGCTTTTGATTTGGTCAAGGCGGCGGAGAGGATTACGGTGCATGAGGGGAGGGATGGGTTTGCGAGGCAGATGTTGGGGAGGTGTCGGGAGGGGTGAAGGATGATGCTGTTTGAGGTAACGGCAGGAGAGTTGAACTTGATGATAGAGAGGTATAGTTTGAATCATGAAGACTTTGAATATGGCCCCCTTCTCCAAGGTGTGGTGCAGGTGGGAGGTGAAGTCAGGGGTGTTGGCGATTGAGTTTGAACTCAATCTTGTGGCGTTCCTTCCCATGAGACGGTTCTCTCAACTCATGCATCCTAATCGACTAGAACTGGACGGCCTCATCACTAGCACGGTCAGCATTCTTCATCTGCGGCAACACGCTATTCACCTCCACCGGCACACATTGGACAGCATCTCATTTGCTGGATTCATTCAACGAGGCCACGAATACATCACATTCAACTCAGGCTCTTGCTACTTCAGGCTATGTCCCGTACACAAAGGAAAAGTCCGCATGCTGCTCAACGCCCGCTCCCATTATCACCCTGGAAACTTGGAGCGAAATTGCTGATGAAAACGACCAATACCGCACAGTAAGCGGCAGAGGCGGCGAAGAGCTCGTGGCGTGTGGCCTGGAGCAAAAAGCAGAAGGTCAGCGTGCGACTCCAACACAACACCAATGTCAGCAGAGCTGGGTCCCATACCTTGGTCAAACTCGACATTGCGCAGCCGAACAAGAGCGTGAAGACAATCAGGACGCCGATTGCCTGGTATGGGGTCGCTGCGCCGTTGTTCGATACCTGGAATAAGGAGAGGACTGGCAGAACCATCAGTGTGAAGATTATGAAGGTGATTATTGTGTTGACCAAGATGTCGAGCCGGTTGGGGGCGTAGTAGTGGATACGCTTGCTGGCCGTCTTTGCTTTGAGTTCTGGCGTCCGGAATATATTCTGCCTTCATCGTCAGCACCGGACAACCGAATGTAACATACCGCAGTGACGAGAGTGCATACGTGGATGATGTGCCAATTGAACTGATTCTGGAGCCATCGATCGAACCAAGTCAGGACTCGCTCTACGAAAGAGTCGAACGCTGCGCTCTCTCTGCCAGTTCGCAGGGTGATGATATCCTCTTTGTGTAGGATGTACTCGATGTCATCCTCGATAAGAGGCTGTTCATCCATAAGCCAGCCTCTCACGCTTTGATAGTCTTTGCTGGATGGTGTCTGCAGCGTCAAGACCTCTTTCGCCTTCAGGAGTACATTGTCTGCCCAGAGGGTGTCAATTGATTGGCTGCGATATCTCACGGGAATAGAGCCAACGAACCATACTCCATCAACTTCTCCCTCAGCTCGCAAATGACTTGAGGTCTGGTCTTCTTGAAATGGAACTTTGGATTGGCTATCTGCTCCACGGTGGCTTGCTTGTCGTCTCTTTCCTTGTCCAAGAGCTTGCGTTTATTGCCATCCTCCGAGGCATCAAACTCGTCCAGCCCGTCTAGCTGCCGCTCCAGCATCTCGACGTCTTGTTGCAGAGCCAGGATCAGGCGAGTGTGAAGGTAGCTGAAACTGCGAAACTGAAGGAAGTTATGGTCGCTGCTCATCAATGTGGTGACTTGAGGGTAGCCTTCTGGAGACTCGTCCACTGCGAGGACGGTTAGTAGCGAACCCTACATTGCTCGCGGCTATTTACGTTGTCGTGTGATGGTCGGATATCGTTCAGGTTGCTTTGAGCGAGACGTTAACCTGGCCTTCGACAATTCGAACGTACGATACAACCACGATCCTTCAGGGTATTAGCCAGGCCACGGCCCAAAGGCGGAAAGCAAAGGCTACGAGAACTGACTCTTCTCCCCAGGTGCGCACGCTTCTACATCATGCGTCGCATCTGACGCCGATGCCTTCGAAGTGTGACCACTTGCAGTTGGCGAGGCTGGCCGAACATTTTCTTTCTCTTGGTCAAGTGGCATAGGCAAATGAGTATATGTGCAGAGAATGGACGACGGACGTGGAACAGATACGTGCTGGTTGCTTTCATTTTGAATGCGACATCTTCGAGGATCCGCCAGCACTGCCTCTCAAGCAGTGCAACATGAAAGCCGGCACACTCGGTCACTCAACTCCACCCTAGCAGGCCTTCCTGCACGAATCCGTTGGTCATCTGAGGTACGCATTTCCCCGTCTCCATTAGACCAAATCAAGTTCCTTCTGCTCGAACCAACGCTCCTCCTTATCCACCGTCTCAGACCCCTTCTTCTTCAACTGATACTTGAAAGTATTGTTCTCCCGCTCAGGAGTTTTCGCGACTATGTAGCGGTCCCCCTCTCTGGAAGTGTTGGTATCGACTTTCAACTTAACCTCGTCGTTTTTGCCCCACTTGGAGTTGGGCTTGGTCATGTTAATGTGGTGGTTATCCATGAGCGAGAAGTTTACTTACATTCTTCGTCTGGTCCTGCGGCAGGGGCGGGATGATAGGACCCTTCGTGCCGACGTTCTCGATGCTCTCGACACCAACTCCTGGCTTCGTCTCTTGCTTGTGCTCGTCGGTTGGGACAGTCGTGGTCTTGATCGGGTTCGTAGGTTGCACCATGTTGTCGGGAATGCGAATGCTTGAGGCAAGTTGCTTTGGAATGGCCGGTTGCTGAGATGAGGATGTAGGACGTCAAAACCCAGGATCTTATAGTCCAGAGGACGATCTGGACTTGTTTGCGCCATCTCATCGATCTCAAAGGGAGAAAGGCCAGCTTTGTCCAGATGCTGCTAGAGCGCTCTTTGGGGAGATTTCTGTCTTGAGACAGGCCCAGAAAGATCTGTCCTGCGGATCGTGGGATTTCTATCTTTGAGGACAAAGGCTAATCGATCCTGTTCTAGAAATTGGGGAAAAGACAACCTGAAGGCCGTAGCAGCGCTGTTCCGTAACAACAAGACATTATTCGAGGACTTCCCGTCGGGACGAAGGCGCAAGACACAGCTCTTGGGCCAACGTTATCGTCGTGGTTCACGTCGCTTCGGGGAAACCCTCTGCTTTCTCGTCTTCTCCCGAATCATATCTCTATCTACTTCGGTCTGTACCTTTCCCTTTACTCTGTTGTTTACTTCTCCCTTCACTTTCCCCGTTACTTCGTCCTCCACTTCTCGCTTTGGTTTCCCGTACTCACCCATTACTTCTCCCTTCATTAATCCCTTCACTTCTCCCTTCAGTTCCACTTTACTACTCCATTCACTTTCCCTTCGTTTCTAGATTTACTTTCCTTTCACTTCTCCCTTTACTCTCCCTTTACTCTCCCTTTACTTCTGCCTTCACTTTCTCCTTTAATCTTCCCTTCACTTCCATGTTTACATTTCCTTTCGCATCTTGCTTTATAGTAATACTTACCCCTTGTTGCCTCCAAGACACAGTGAGACGAGAAAGATCCAGCCTGCAGCGAGCTGGAGGCAGCAATTCTTCACGTCTCGCAAGCATGCGACTACCTTCTCGCGTCCAAACGAAGGATCTAGAGCGTGAGATCTGGATCTGATTGCCCTCTCGGGTTTGTGGCATGAGAGATCTTGAGTGTTCACCTCAAGCGGTAGGTTCTCCTTCAGGACGCCTTAGCAAGGCTCGTAAAATCAGATAACACGCACGTTGATGACCGAACAACCTGATAGTCTACTGCGTAAGCGTTGGACGAGCGCCGTGCACACGGAGCTGAATGCGCCTGACACGTACCAGAAAGTTGCGGTCTTGATAATCAGATGGCATGAAGCTGTGCACAATGACCCTCAGACGAAAGATGAGGTCGGTCGCAGGACGAGTGAACGACTGCGAAGTCTACTGACATTGATCAGGCTGAGGAGCTCGAGAGCCTGTTTCGAGATGGCTTCCACTATGAGATAAGATCTCTAGTTCTTGATAACAGCAAGCGCCCTCAGGTGCTGCTTGACGCCGCTATCGCGCAGTCTGTTGCGGACTACGATGGACCTTATCGAAGTCATCTGCTCGTTGTCTATTACACGGGTCATGGCCTGCTGAGAGCCCCAGATTATGACAACCTCCTTATCGCTGGGGACGTACCTACCATACCACTGTTCAGGGTCATAGCTAATCGTACGCAGGAAGCTGGATGCCGAGGAGGAAGAGCCCTATCCACCAGAAGCAAAATGGACTTAGGCTGAGGTAACACTCAACGATGCTGAAGCCGATGTACTGACCATCATGGACTGCTGCTATGCCGCCAGCGCGATGAGATACCCAACAGAACATTCTCTGAAGTCACACGAGCTACTCGCAGCCTGTGGCAAGCGTGAGAAGACAGAAAATCCCGGCAAGTTTTCCTACACACGAGCTTTGATCGATTCTTTGAATGAGATCTTGCAAGGGGACAAGCAGATCTCCACTTTCGATCTCAATCAGATGATCCTCAGCAGAAGGAGTTCCAACATAAGGCCTCGCGAGTCTCGCCTTTATAATCGCTCGCAGACGTCTACGCGGCATATCATCCTTGCCTCTTTATCAAAAGCCATTGACTCGAGGCTGTAACCACCAAACATCATTGCGGGACATCTGGATCTTCGCATCACGCTTCGAAATCGCCACGAGATCAGCGAGCGGGACGTTGTACAGTTTGCTACGAACATCTCCAAAGCTGCGAAGGCGTCTGATGGCTTGGGCGTTTCCGCGATTGCGTGGTTGGGCTTCCAGCCCGGGAGAGTGCCCAGGCGTCTGAAGGCATTGGTTTGGCTTGTCGTGGCTACGCAGCGATGTGTGGGGTTGAAGCATGGATGCCGGAGGCATGATGAATGAGCAGATGGTGATTGCTGAAGGTAAGTTCGACGACTTCGTTGGACGTGGGCTTGGTGTCTACATGTCCGACGAGTAGGTGAGGGCTCCAAGAGTATTTGGACGAGTAATCGAGCTCTCCTCAAAGCCATTCTCTCTCCAACATCTCGCATTGTCTCTCCGGAACGTCAACCCGAACGAATGTCAGATCCGCATCGTGTCCCCGGAAGTTCCACCCGGTCCAATGTCTGCTCGAGCGCACTGTTGCTCTGGACAGCGAGGAAGCTTTGGGGATTGAAGGGGAAAAGTTGTAGGTCTCGACAAAAGTCCTCAAGGCTATTCCCAGCCCCCAAAAATTTGGCTTCAATCGATCGTCCTTGTGCCGTCCCAACGGCTCCTCCATACTGGAGCCACTTCAGCCGCTCTCAGCATCTATCAAGTATCTCTCTTGTCTTCCCCTTCCACCTGCTCCTCAAATCCAACAATCGCACAATGTACCTCCTCACCATCCTGTCCCTCCTGTTCGTCAGCGCCCTGGCACAAGTCGGACCCCAAGCCCAACAGCTCCCAGCTTGCATTGTAAGCCACCTTCGCAGAATCCACCACATTTATCGAGACTCATGATGAACACAGAAAACCTGCGATCCTCCTGCGATCGCGTCGGTGAACTGCACAAACGCCGATCAGTACTGCCATTGTGTTCGGCAGACGGAGATCATTTCAAACATTTCGGCGTGTGCGGATGGGGAGTGTATGAATCCGAGTGCGAGTCTGTACAGTGAGTATTTCAATCGTGTTGTAGCGATGATTGAAGCTGACAGGGCTGGGAAGCTTTCACAACATTGTTCGGAGATGTATGCTCGAAGTTCAACATCAGCGTTCCAGTGGTTGGAAGCAACTCCTCCGCGAATGGCACCACAGTGACTCCTCCCTCACCGAGCGGCAGTATCGTCCCGTACACCGGATCAGCGACATCGACATTCACGATCGGATCAGGAAGTCTGAGCATCTTCCTCCTCGGAGCATTCATTACAGCCCTATCCAGCATCACCATATAAACCGCGTAACAAAAAGCAAATCAATCAAACCCCAACCTGACTACTCATCATCTTCGCCCTGATATTCGGCAGATCCTCCGCGCCCCGCGGCACCACATCGCCCTGCTTCTTGATCGAAGCCTCATCCTCGCCCGACTCCACCCGCCTGCAGAGCTCCTCCGGGTCGTAGTCCATGCCCAGGGAGTTCTTCGCGAAGGCCTCGGTCAGCATGCTCGCGGTGGCTTCCTCCGCGGTGTCGTAGTTGTCGACTTGCGTCTCGATCATGTTGCCGTCCGGGTCGCGGTAGTACATTGATGTTGTGGGGCCGTGGTTCTGTGTTTTCGATTAGCAGCCTCATCGCAAGGCTTCATATATGATTAAACTCACCACACACCATCCAGGCGTGATACCCAACGCCTTCCTCTGTTTATAGGCCGTGCACAGATCCTGCAAGTTGTCGAACGTGAAGGCGATGTGTTCTAATCCAGAGGTAGTCCCGGGATTGTCCTGCAGCTGTGGGTTCGACAGCAACGCGATGCGATGGTGCTCGTCGTCGTACGTGATGAAGGCTAGATAGTCGTTTCCATGCACGACGTGACCGCCGAGGAAGTTGCAGTAGTAATTTCTCATCTGTTCGAACTTGTTCGTGCGGAGGACGATGTGGGCGAGCTTTGATGGGGAGAGGACTTTTTGCGTGCCGTTTGTTGGAGCCATGGCTGGTGAGAGAGCAAATGAGGGAGGAGGTGAGGGAGCAAGTGAGGGGGAAAGTGAGGAGCAAGTAAGGGAGCAAGTGAGGACCAAGTGAGGAAACAAGTGAGGAATAAGTGAGGAAGCAAGTAATCGAAGAACTGAGGTTCGTGTCTTATCTCGTTCAATGTGGTGTTGGTGTTAGAGCAATAAACCCAGCTGAGTAGGAGGTCTTACATTGAGTTATATTGGTAGGGCAGGGTTGTAAGCATTGCCCTAGCCCGGGACCGCAAAGGCGGAGTGCATAGGATTCGATGTACCGTATGTACCTCCTACCTTCTACTAGTAAGAAGCTGAGCGGGAAGGTAGTCATACGCAGTAACTAGAACGCCGAATCAGCCGAAAGGTGTCTACTGTCGTGTTCTTGGAAGGAAATTCTAGGAAGAAAACGACATAGACTTCATGTGTCCAGACACATGTGAAAAAAAGTTCGATTTTGGGTCCCGATCCTGGATGTTGCTAGACATATGGAAGATACGAATAACATAGGGTATCTCTTTAACGAAAAGTCCACGCTTTCTTCTTCGCCCACCGTGTCGGCAATAAGCAGTAGTGCACGAAAGATTAAAGGCTGCACCAGCAGCTGCCGTGATTCAATGCAGACTGTAAAACTCCTTGATCGTCCACTCAATGGCTCTCGCAACTTCGCGACCTTCGCTCCAGACTTGGTCGTGCTTGCCTTGGAGCTCTATGAGTTTTGCTCTTCTTGAGCCAGAGTCTTTGAACCCTTGACTTGTGAGTGACTTGATCATCGACTCTGGCTGCTCCCATTCCACAAGCTCGTCGCTGTGTGAATGAGCGATGACAGCTAGCTGTCCATTCTCCCAAGTCTCCTCCAAGTTTGATTGAGTTGGACTGGCAGCCCCCCAATCGGCCTCGTTCGGGCCGAAAGCACTCTCAACGAAGTTGTGGTACATGTGCTGTGAGAGCTTGTCGTGGTATTTGACTAGTGCAGGCAGGTCGTACAAGCCCTCGATGCCAAGTATCGCCACAGGCGGCACAACATTGAGCTCCAGCGCGTAGGTCGATTCGTATTGCGAGCCCCAATACCTTTTCATGGCGACCTGGAGGGCGAGAAACGCCCCAGCAGAGTGACCGACTAAGATGTAGCGATCCTCGAAGCGATATGTCTCCTGCAGGTGCAGAATGGCCGCCAGCACATCATTGATATGATCAGGGTGCCTCGCGTTACGGGCCGGGTCAGCCGGGTTGGAAGGATTGGTCGGATGTGTAGGTGCAGGCGAAAGACGGTAGTTTATTGAGGCAAAGCCGGCCACGCGGTCGGCAATGGGAGAGTTCAAGAGCTGTTCCTGGGCCTTATCGAACGTCGAAGCGGTCTGTTCCGGGTCGAACCAGGCGCCACCGTGCACGTAGACAATCCATATCCGGCTGCGGTCGTTGGACGAGGTCGGGCGCGGGATGCAGGTCTGGAGGGTGTTGAGGTTGGACTCGTTGCTGTAGGTGATGTCCTTCCGGAACTGGGGCCACTCGTCGGAGAAGGCCATGGCGGCCGTTGGTCCGGCGCTCGTCGATTCTGTGTGCTCGGCGCAGGGCAGAGGGCTCCGTCCTCAGCGGCTCGAGAGTTGGAGTCTGGTGAGTCAGGCGCGGCGCAATCGACTCGGGGAGGGAGCAGTGGTGGTGCGCGTCCAGCAGCGCAGCCAGCAGCAGCAAATTCTGCAGGGGGCCGGCGAAGGGAATTGAATTAGGAGTGAAATGAAAGGTATACGAGTCTAGATTACTGCCGACTGCCTAAGGTACCTTTTTGAAGCACCCAAGCACCAGCAAATCGCGAAATGGCACGCTAGCCGCGGCAGCAGGAGCTTCAAGGTTTCGGTACGGTACATGCGAGCCATCCCGCCGTCGCGCCATCGTGCTGCAGCGCGTGCGTGTTTGAGGGCATTGCTACGTGCGACGGGCGAGCGAGCACGGCGAGGCGCCTGTGAGAGGGACTGATGGGTGGAAATACCGCAGACAGCCAGCAGCAGCGACGGGCGGCCGGCGCGATGTGTGCTGGCATCATTCCTGGCTGCCCATAAAAACCGAGCAGGGGTGCCGAACTGCAACTTCCTTGACGTTGGGCAGCGGGAGAAGGCGCCAAGCGCTAGCTCCAGCGACAGCAAAACGGCAGGCGCGCTCACGACGCTGCGGTGACGTAGCCGCCGCTTCCTCGTTTTGCGTTGCCTTGCTTCTGCGCGCAAGTGACGACTGTTTAAACCCCGTCCCCTCGTGCTCTGCCTCCGCCTGGAACAGACACTCCGCAGCGACAAGGTGTCTTGGCCACGGTCCCATCCGCCGCCGTTCACCCAGACAGGGCAGGCTGCCTGCTGAAACACGGCCGCTCCCACGCTCCTTCCCTCTCGCGCTCGCCGCCCGCACCCCACCAAAACCTTCCGCCCGCTCAGCCTCCTCCAAGCTTCTTCAAACCTACGGACCTAACTTCACTCGCCCACCTACCTTGACTCGACATCTTCTGTTTGCTGCAACACCTTCTCCCTCTGATTGATCACACCACCTACCATGAGTACCTACGACGGGTACGGCTACGACGACGAGCCGCGGCGATACCGCAACGTAAGTGACGGATCAACTACATTGCGACCGCTAGACATGACTGACCGCAACCAAGGTTCGCACCCGACCACGTGAGAGAGACGAGCCGGACTATGTGAGAGAAGAGACGTACATTGAGCGCGGCAAAGGCCCTGGACCACGTGGCGCTGAGTTGGTCTACCGCGGGCGCGAGGATAGCGTCGAGGACATCCCGCGAGACTTCCCACCACCAGGCCGTGATGGCCGCCGTCATGATGACTACGCCTCGCATCGACGTAGCAAGAGCGCGGGCGGCAGACGTTACTCCGACGACTACGATGACGACAGATACACCGACTACGGTCCCGCAGCTGCGGCTGGAGCAGCTGGCTACGCAGCAGGCCGACGCAGGGAGCGCGACCGACGTCGCCATGACAGAGACTACGATTCAGAATACGACGAGTCACCACCTCGCCGCGAGCGCAAGAAGTCAGGCGTTGGCGACATGCTCGAAGGTCTCGGTCTCGGCGGTCTAGTCGGTGGTCTCGTCGGCGGTAGCAAAGACAAGAAAGACCGCTCTCGTTCTGGCTCTCGCGGAGGCCGCTCAGCAAGATCTCGTTCTCGAGCTGGCAGCCGTCGTGGATACGAGTCGGATGAATCAGGTCGCAGCCGTGGCGGCGGCAAAAAGAGAACCGAGCGCAAATGGGCTCAAGCTGCACAAGCTGCACTTGTCGCTGGCGCCGTTGAGGCCTTCCGTTCTCGCAAAGAGCCAGGTCCATGGACGGGTGACAAGGGCAAGCGCATCGCTACTGCTGCCATAGGAGCTGGTGGTATCGACGGTCTCATCGATCGAGATCCCGACAAGAAAACCAAGCGCCATCTCGCCGAAGCCGTCATCGGCGGTCTTGCTGCCAACCGCCTTGCAAACGGCCCTCGCTCCAAGTCTCGTGGTCGCGGCGTCGACTCTCGTGACATCTCTCCTGACAGCCGTGTGCCTCGCTCCCGCTCTCGCAGCATCATCGACAGATTCCGTGGTCGTTCTCAATCTCGTGGTCCTGGTGATGAAGGCGGTGGAGGCGGAGGCGGAAGTGGTGCCATCAAAGGCCTAGTTGGAGCTGGTGCTTTGGCCGCGGCGGGCAAAGCTGTCTATGACCGTGTCCGTTCCAAATCCCGCAAGAGACGCTCACCCTCAAACTCAAGCGCAGATTCGTATGTGCCCTCCCGCAACCGTCGCCGAGACAGGCGTGGCTCACCGAATTCAGATACCGGGACTACTCGCCGGACCGACGCAGGTACCGGTCGCGAAGTCGCTCGCGGTACTAGAGACCCCAGTGCCTCAGCTGTCGCAGCTGGTGCTGGTGCTGGTGCTGGCGCTGGCGCTGGCGCTGGAGCTGGGGCGGCCGCTCGTGGAAATGGTGAAAACAATGGCGATAATATTTCCAGCGACAGCAGTAGTACTACGGACATGGAGAAGACACGAAAACACATGCGCGGAAAGGAGCTCATCACGGCCGGTCTTGCCACCATTGCGACAATACATGCGGCCCACGGAGTCTATTCGAGTATGGAAGCACACGAGAAGCGTCACAAACTAGTAGCAGAAGGCCAAATGTCGGAACAAAAGGCCCGAAAAGAACAAACGAAAGCGTGGATTCAGGACGCCGCAGCTGTCGGTATTGCCGCACTCGGAATCAAGGGCGCCTTTTCGGAATGGAAGGAGATGAATGAACAGAGGTATTGTTTTCCAGTGTACTTTTTGAACCGTGAACTGTACTGATCATCGCTCTTTCCCAGGCGTGAGATCCAGGAGATCGAAAAGCGGAAGGCGCAACGTCGCAAGAAACGCGTTGCTCGCCAGAAGCAGGAAGAGCGCGAACGCCACGAGCGCATGATGAACATCCTCGAGAAGAACCCACAACTCGCCATGGGCTACCACATGCAGCAAAACGGCTATCCTCTGCTTCCTGGCCAAGGCGGCGGACAAGGCTCTCAGGCTCCACCTCCCCCAGACCTGAGCGGAAACCCGTATGCACCGAGAGACAGAGGACGGTAGAACCACTTTGTGGACGACCTCGAAGACGATTGGGACCCCCTTGGACGACCTCACCGATGACCTTTTCTTTTGTTATTTGAAGCGTTAATGTTTTGTTTCTGGATTACAGCGGCATGGAAACAAGAACTAGATACGATGCATGATGAGTTGGCGTGGCTTCGAATGGACTGGGACGCTGCATGTGATACCAGAGTGAGACGACGGCCGTTGCTACGAGCAAAACGACTTATGAAACGAAAAACACGAGTAGGTAGCATATCCGAGAGATCCGGCGAGGTCTCTTGGTGTCAATGGGAATGGTTACTTGAACATGAAGGCACCGTTTCTTCGGCACTCTCGTCCATGCTTTTCCTCACATTTCTCAAACTCGCGGTGAATGGCCCTCGTTACAATCCTGAAGTTACTGTAGAGGCTGATCGCACCTCCGCCCTCCCCCATCGTCTGCAAGCTCGCCGTACCCGTGTCATGTTCCTCGTGAGACAGACCACCTGCACTGGCGTTGAGTCGACTCCGGTCTTCCAAGCAATGGCAGTGCTGGGCTGGGGAGATAGGAATGTCGTTGGCCTGCTGCTTGAGACGCGGTGATTTTTCGCTCGCTCGCTCGGATCAGTTGCGTTGTTGATGAATTTTAATACGCTTTCTTCCGTCGTGGCCGTCGATCACTTCTTCTTCTCACTGGACTTTGACTGCGATGCCGATGATGAGGATGTTGAGGATGACGAAGAAGAGGAAGGCCGCGATGATGAAGGCGTCGAAATCGGCGGGATGTAGATTTGTCCTGAGGAGGGCGTGAAGGCGAGGTAGGAGGCGAATTTATCCATTTCGATTCTTGAGTATAGTCGATTCACGGTATGTATGGTTTGGGGATGTTGGTTTTTGGGATGACGAACACTTTGTATATCAGATTTTTCGGTTCCTTGTTTCGTTGGTGTGTTCTTGAAGGATGAACAACAGTGATGAGATGACTCTCTCGTTATGATGTATACTGGGTACCTATAACAAGTCATGCTCACTCGCTCGCGAATGGCGTGATCCCCCCTTGTGATTCCACACTGCGGAGCTAAAAGTTACGGCCTGGGGGGTTTTCTCTCTCTGGGTTCCGTGGCTGACCAATCCTTTCTTTCTCCGTGCAATGTCGTCGATCGATACATCCACCCTTGCTATTTTGAGTATCGTCATCAATTCCGGGTGGGGATCGATCTGTAGTATTTTTATAGACTAGTGGAATCGATTCCGATGGATGTGGGAATTGCCTGTTTTGGAGCGTGCTTCTGCTATGTGTTTTGTGAAGCGTTGTTTGAGTAGAGACCCTCTTTCGTAGGAGAATGCATATTGTTGTCTTGTTACTCATTCCTGAAATGGTATGGAAACGCGTTTCAATCGTGACATCTCGTCAAGCACGAAGAGTACTATGCCTTTCAATCTTCTCCGTCAACAAACAAGTCTCAACCCGCTCAACTGCTCCCCCCAGCCTGAGCGCGGATGAACTGCTCAAACTCATCCATGTTGCGGGTTTGAATGTAGACGGTTCCCGGTCCAGTAAAGCGGCACACCAGACCCTCGCCACTCTTCATGCTGGACATTGCACCGCCGCCAGCCTTCTCGATCTTGTAGTCGCAACTCCACGCCACGAGATGTCCGTTGTCGACGATATGCTGCCCACCGGGTTGAAGCTATATCAAAACGTCAGCATTCAAATCTCCAGATCGCATACAAGGACATCTCAACTCACATCCAACCTCTCCACCGCCCCAAAACTCGTCAACCACAAAAGTCCCTGCCCACCCACACGATAGATGAAAAGATCCTCCCCACTGAACATCGCCTTCCCCAAACCCTGCGCCTTGGTATCCTTCGTGACCTCACTCGTGCACGCCAAAAACGCATCCTTCCCAATCGTCCACCCCTGCCGTCCATCCACATGCACGGTGATGATATCCCCGAAGAGATTCGGCGCCAAAGCGACTTTGCCGTGACCCGTGTACGTCGACTCAGAGAGCTCGCCGCCGGTGAAGAATTTCTTCATGGAGAATTTGATTTTGCCCGCCAGTTGGATTGTGCTGGACATGTGCACCATGGCGCCGGATTTGGAGCGCACGGTGCCGCCTTGTTGGAGGTCGATGTTGAGGACCGAGTTGGTGTCGCGGTGGGTGATGGTGTAGTTGCCGCCTTGGAAGGTGCCGGTGTCTGTTTGGGCTGGTGTGTGGCCGGTCTGCGCTGGGGCTTGGGCTGGGGGAGCTGCTGCTTGTTGGTAGCCATGTTGTCCGTAACCTGTGAGGTGTCAGTTGGCCGCTTGAGCCTGATGTCGAGGTCCATACCTTGCTGCTGCTGGCCGTACTGTGGCGCCTGTTGATAGGGCTGTTGGTACTGTTGCTGGCCGTAGCCTTGATGCTGCTCATATCCTGGTTGCTGATACGCCATGATGTTCGTTTCGTTGCTGGATAAAAGGTTGGAAGGAGAGAGTTAGGTCGAGCGTGGGCATTCAAGCTGAAATATTGGCATGCAACAGGTCGCCTTATATCAGAGCGGTTGTACAACAACCCTGCAGAGTCAAGAAGCTTGCCGTGCAACATCTAGCGCCGTGTTCAAGCGCGAAGCTCAGGTGTATTGAAACTTGGAAGCCATTGGACGCTCCATTACCGTACCCAACAGGCCTCAATGCCCCTCTTTGCCGCATCAGGCGGCCAAGATTGTGGCTGTGTATGCCATATACAAGACCATTTACCTTGCACAGCTTGCAGCGCTAATCGATTTGTTGCTAGTACTTGCTTGGTGGAAGACGGCATCTCGGGCTGCTCAGCCTTCAATTCAGCTCGAGCTGAAGTCGCGAAGCACGGTGCCAGGATTGCAGATCTCCACCAGGAACGTGCAATCCACGTGCGAAGTTCGGAACAGAGTAGCTGCTGTGCAGTGAGTTGATATGAGCATCATTGCGAAAGCTCGATTGCTACAGAGGTGAGTATCTGAGCTATTGTTCAGCAGCCACTTTCTTCGGTCTACTGTTTTGCCCGCGATGCCCTGTTCCAGTTGTCGTCCAGGCCCGGCACATTGGCGAACGTCCAAGAATAGAAGTACATCCATCCATATTTCACCATCGCTTTTGTACTCATTCAGTCGCATATCGACTTTTTCTGATGGAAGCTGTTAGCACGCCACAGCGCTTGCTCGTCAAACGCGATGGCATCGTTATCACTCACCAAAGACACCAACCCATCATGATTATTCCAACGTTCTGTAAAGTCGAACTAGGAGGGGACACGCAGTCGCCTGATGGGACACGCCAGAAAGCAGGATCCAACAGTGATCGTGATGAATTTACATAACCACGCAAAGTCCGCAGCACTTGCTCTCCTTTTGCTGCGGCTCCTGTACTTGCATAGGCTGCTGGGGCTGTCCAGGGTATCCAGACTGGCCTCCATACTGCATCTGTGGCTGGCCATCGTAGCCGCCGTGGTGACCACCAGCTGCTTGGGCATAGCTGTAGTTGGGCGCATTCCCCATTGGGTACGCAGTCTCGTAGTGAGGCTTGCCGTAATCGTTGTGCTGTGGTTGATGATGTTGCTGGTAGTCGTATGAGGGCATTTGGTGGACCTGTCCGCCTTGAAGGTCGATGTACATGCGGCCTTCGTTGTGCTCGGTGTGGTATTGAAGCCCCAGCTCGCGGCAGACCTGTTCGACTCTCGGCTTGATCTTCTGCACATGATCGGGGCTGTGGTTACCTGTGTATTCTTCAGTCAGTGACTTGTCCTATGTCCACACCATGTCGTTGCTAGGCGTTACCTTTTCCCACGATGACATGCAGATGCGATTGTCCAGTCTGTTTCGCATATCGTATCCGTTGCTCCAATATCTCTTCTGCCTCTTCGACAAATTGACCGTGTAGATCTATGGTGTCTCCAGCAACCTTGCCCATAGCGTTGTTCTCACGAAAGATGAACTCGGATGCTTGCTTGTTGTACGCGTCTGCTTGTGCAGCATGCTTTTTGCTTTGCTGAGACGCTTCATGCGCCTGACCTCCATCTCCACGCTCATAAGCCTTTCGTGCTTCGGCGGCGTAGTGCTGGTGCTGGCCTTGTTCCTTTCTCGCAAGGTCTCGTAGTCGATCATACTCTTGCTCGGCGTCAGATGAAGGTCCGTGGTTGAAGGCTGCGGATTCGGTTAGCTACATTGAGAAGTGTCGCATTGCGATGAAAATACCGTGTCCGCCCAAGCGAGTGCCTGCGTGAGCCATACTGTGAACAATGAGGTCGAAGATGGAGGAGGTGAGATGCAATGCCAAAAACAAGGAACGGGTTGGCCTTCATTTGGTCGTCTCCATCGCGACGAAAAGGGCAAGGTACCAAAGTCTGTTTGACCTAGCTTCTCAGGTAGCCTCCTATGCGCATCGACCTCACGCTCTACATCTCTCACCACCTTCACATCGAAGTCGTCGACATGGACCGTTTACCTGAAGAGCTGATCGTACAGATATGCGAGTTCTGCGACCATGCTTCGTTGAAGAATGCACGCCTCGTGGGCAGCCGATGGAAAGCCGCCAGCACGCCAGCCACATTCGAGCACTTCTACATTGGCCTTTTCGGGTTTGGAGTCACCAAATTGGAGAGTCTAGCCAAGTCGCCTTTGTCGAGGCATGTCAAAAGATTTACCATTTATTCAGAGGTCTTGCCAGACTGGTCCAAAACAGCCTGGCAAAAGGCGATCGACTTTCGACCTCCGTTCAGTCAGTGGCTTGCCCCTGTTAGAGCTGAGGCCACGCGAGAGCAAGCAATGCTGAACCCGGCTCTGCAAAGTCTACGTGAATACAATCTCGCGGAGAAATATGAGTCTCTGCCGCGGCACTCCTTCAGCGATGAGAAGCTTGAGATGGGTTACGCGGCGTACAAAGCATGTGTGCGCGACCAAATCAGCTGGCGAAAGAACTTGCTGGGGATCGCCTTCAAAGAGTATGTTGCAATGCTACCGAATCTGATAGAGGCAAGAGTGCAATGCACTACGCCTTTCGCTGGTCGAACGAACCAGTGGCCTGTATGGAAAGCTCTCCGCCAATACATACTTGTTGGACCGGACGACTGGATGTATTCAACTGATTTTCAGGAAGCCAATTACGCATATCTATCAGGACATGCTGCACTGTCTCTACTCGAGGCTGTGGCATATCGAGCATCGTTCTCCGGGACCAAGCAATTGACATCGCTCTACGTTCACTCTGCCCATCTTGATCCGTACCGCAAACTCATGAACGAAGCGTCCGGCACCATCTTTGAGCGCGAGTTCCACAATCTGGGCATTCATCAACTGCATGAAGGCTTTCGCCATTTGACAAGACTCTACCTACACATTCCACATGCCACGATAAGTGCCAGGCTGAACGGAAACTCGATGGCCAAAGAGACGATGGAGTTTCTGCGTCTGGCCCGGCAGATCCAAAGCCTCGATCTCAGGTATGGTGATGATGAGCTGAGTCCAGATGATGATGCATCGCAGCTTGAAATACTCTTCCTCGATGGTTCCGAAAATGTACTGTGGCCAGACATCAAACATCTGGCACTCGCCACAAACATTCCTGCAGAGATTCTGGTCGGATTCCTGCGAAATCATGCCAAGACCCTTGAAAGCCTAGAGCTTCGCGACATGCTCGTTCATGATGTGGATTTGGCGCTTGTGCAGATACCGAAAGTTGTGGAGTTGAAACGAGTATATGTCGAGCAGCTTTGGGATGATGCCTCTGAGCACGACGGGACTTCAGTGAGCCATCTGTGCGTGCTTTCGAGGGGTACCGATTTCGATGATCCGTATGAGCAGGCGGTGAAATCGTATCTGCTGGGCCAGAAATCCATGCTCCCAGTCATCGAGAGAGATGGCGGCTTTGGTGATGTGATGGATTGGGAAGACGACGATGATCCGCCATAAGTATGTAGTCGATGCCCAGCAATGATATGTGACCTTTTCCCAAGGCACAGTATAACGAATCCAGATGATGTGAACTGACGTGTTTGATCTTCTATCCTTCTCAAGGCTGGATTTTTAAGTATACTAGCAAGTGATATAGAAACATTGATGACATTCCGAGAAGATTCACTTGTAGATCGGCATATGGGCAGTCTTCGGGCCGACTAGCCGGTCGAAGCTTTCGAGCCACTCTCACACGACACCTTCCATGGACCTCTACCGACAAACAACATCATACACCACATATGGCTCCATCAGCCAAGGCGCTTGAGCCGGCCATGGCACTGCTCGCATCGTCCAGACCCGCCCTCTCTCGCCGCTCCATCGCTGCCCTGCAAAACTCCCGCTATCCCATCGTCTACGCCGCCCAACGAGCAGCATTCTCATCGACACCGCAGAATGCATTACCGACGCCGGGAGAGAGCATGTTTCGCTCCTCGTCCACTGTCGGTGGGCCACCAAGCACATACTTTCAGCGCTCCTCGCTCCCAGCGAACACGGTCGTCAAGTTCGTGCCACAACAGACTGCTTGGATAGTGGAGCGGATGGGTCGTTTCAGTCGGATACTGCAGCCTGGTCTGGCGATTCTTGTGCCGATTATCGATCGCATAGCCTATGTCAAGAGCTTGAAGGAGAATGCTATGGAGATACCCTCGCAGAGTGCGATTACTGCAGACAATGTGACATTGGAGCTTGATGGAGTGCTCTACACGAGAGTGTTCGATCCCTTCAAGGCGAGCTACGGAGTGGAGGATGCGGACTACGCTATTTCACAGCTTGCTCAGACGACCATGAGAAGCGAGATTGGACAGTTGACGTTGGACCATGTTCTCAAGGAAAGAGCTGCTCTCAACACCAACATCACCCAAGCCATCAACGAAGCAGCAGCCGATTGGGGTGTGAGATGTCTGCGGTACGAGATTCGGGATATCCACGCACCTGGACCAGTGGTGGAGGCCATGCATAGACAGGTCACGGCAGAGCGAAGCAAGCGTGCGGAGATTCTGGAATCTGAGGGTCAGAGACAATCTGCCATCAACATCGCCGAGGGTCGCAAGCAGTCTGTCATCCTGGCATCTGAGGCCATTAAGTCTGAGCAGATCAACGCAGCTTCTGGTGAGGCCGAAGCGATCCTCCTCAAAGCCAAAGCCACCGCCGCAGGTATCGATGCTGTCGCGAAGAGCCTGTCAGAAGGCAAGCAATCCGCTCAAGGCGCCGTCTCGCTCTCTGTCGCCGAGAAGTACGTCGATGCGTTCGGCAAGCTCGCGAAGGAGGGCACATCCGTGGTCGTTCCAGGCAACGTTGGCGACATTGGCCAAATGATCGCCACCGCCATGTCCGTCTACGGCAACGTGAGTCAATCGCAAGCCAAAGCGCAAGCACAGAAGCTGCTCTCAGATGAGAAGGACACCTCAGAAGGAGAATCAGACGAGACTGGCGAGAAGAAACAACTGAGCAAAGCCGAGATCCAACAGAGCGTACTGGACAGCTTCGACCGAACGCAGCAGAGGCATTGATCAGACGACAACGAGAAAAGCGAACACCTTTCCATTTGTACTTGTAACAAAGCAAGCCAGGCGTTGAGGGGAGTTGTAGTATGACTACTACGGGAACAGCATGAGGAGCGGAAAATGGGCTTCGTTGCGAATAACGGCTTTCGTTCTTCATTCTGCTCAAACTTTACGGCTTCGAGACGGCCAGTGTGTAGATAGTACAAAAGCCTTCACTTACTTCTATGTGAGTTCATCAGTCTTAAATCCAACTCAAAGAGCACGCGAAGTGTGAGTTCAAGAGACGACACCGAAGTCTCGTTCAAGGCTGAAGCCTAGCAAGAGGCCGCCATCCGTCACCAGGCGCAGTTGCAAGCAGTGAGTCAAAAACAGGCAGAATGCGAACACCACCAAGAGCCACCGGTCAACAATCAGTAGTAGCCAGCAGCAGTGGGCAGTGGGCAGTGGGCAACAGCTGAGGACGATAGGCGGCCTAGGCGCACGAGGCGTCAATGCAGCGAGTGCAGCGGGCTGAGCTGTGCGGCACAAGCAAAGCAAGCAGGCAGGTAGGCAGAGAGGCGCGGAGACGGGACGAGCTGAGAAAAAGATATATATAAAGGACTTCGCGTTTCCCGCCGTTCAATCTGAAGTAGCCAGCCTGATCCCCATCCCCATTCTTTCTTTTCTCTCTCTCACATGATGAAGAAGAAGACATCACCGCCTGCGGTCTAAGATCTTTTTTCTTTCTTTCTAAAAAAGTGTGCTGTTCCATCCCCATATGATCACATCAACAATCGTGGTCTGTTTCCTTCACTCCAATGCGCCGGTGTGACGGCGTCAGTGGGGTATCTTTGTGCTCGTCTTCTTGTCACAACGCCGGAATCCGCAAAAGTCAGCAATATGAGCCCTTTCTCGACGGCCTAGTGGCGGGAACGGCGACCGTGAGTCGAGGGGGGTTGCTGGCGGCGGTAATCTTCTGGGCGACGGGGCTGCGCTGGATGAGGTTGGCGAGGCGGTTGTGCGATGTAATTGGCGTGAGTATTTCCAGATTGCGAGGTTGAGCCATTGACAGCAGGTTGGCCATTGATGGCCGCCGCAGGGTTCTGCTGCGGGTAATGCGAACCCGCAGCAGGAGGGTATCCGCTAGCAGAAGCTGGTGGGTTAAACTGCTGTTGCTGCTGCTGCGTTGGCACACGAACTGGAGGACGCGGTGCGACAAGAGTAGAGAGGTCGCCCATTTCAGCCTCCCGACCAAGCGTAGGCCCATATCCCGCGAAAGAGAAGACGTTTGGATCGTTGTAAGGCGGAGAGACGTTCTGCGGGTTGCCGTTCATGCCGGCAGGTGGCTGGTATCCGCCATTGGCATAATACCCAGCAGGGCCTCCGCCTGCCATTCCTTGAGGCGGTTGCTGCCCGTCTGTGAACTGATCAGTACATCTGAGCATCTACGGAAGTGGAATGATCGTACAGTCTGGACGCCCAGCGGAGCCGCCGTTGGTAGCGTTAGCGGTGGAGATGGAGCCATAGTTGCTCGTGCCGCTGGCTGGCAAATTCTGTGAGTATAATCCACGTTGAAGACTGCCACATGACTCACTTGAGGGCGCTCGTCGAGAGCCACGGCCCCCGTTCGAAGGGTTGGAGGGCATCTTGCGACGGGGTGGTTGGTGCGGGTCAGCAGGTGAATGCGACAGACTCGGAAGGACCCGAATGAAGTGAAATGTTCTGGAGCAAAGATGATTGTGTTGCGGGAAGCTGCAGAGTAAGGCCTGGCTGCTCAAACAACAATTTGTGGAAGTAAAGGGGACCGGTTTGTTCAAGATGACGAGAAAAGCTGGAGTGGACGTTTCCGTGAGTGGCGGCACTGCGACGACACGACACCTACCAAGGAGCGAGAAGCGGCGGGGTTTGGCGGCGACGCCCCCTCTCACGCTGCAAAGAGTCCAACCCGCCCTTCTAGGGAGGGCGCAACAAGCGATATCGAGCCGACTTACAGCATTCGCGCCCTCCGACAAGGATGTAAACCCTTCATTGTACAATACTCGCAGCATTGTAGCCCATTCATCTCAACTCGCAGTGAGACATAATCCATTGCGAGCTGAGAACGAGCGGTGCCGAAACATTGGGAGTCCCAACTACGAGCTGTACGTCCAGAGCTTCATTCCGATGGTCGGAGGTATACCTGTTCGCGACCAGATACTTGAGAGCTGCCGCAGAGAGCTCATTGAGCTCGAGTCGAGCAGGCCGGACGGAGACGGCCACTCGTGCAGCCAGTCGACTTGTTCGGCTGTCCGCACCCTACCTGCTCCGCCGTTGGGCCAATCGGCCATGCGGCGACTGTAACAGCGACTGCGAATGCCACTGAAACGGCTATCCAGAAACAGATTCCATGCCTCAGTGCTTCGTCACGTGGTGGGGAGGTGTCCAGCTTGCGTCTAAGTTCTCTCTTCTCTTGCACGCTGACGACATGGCTCGGTCTGTCTGCTTGTTCTGGCGAGCCTGAGGATACGATCCCGCCTCAGGCGCCGTGATTCCTGATCTTCGCATGCGTGAGACGAGGTGTGACGACCGTCGTAAGCTCGAAGGGTGCTATTCGCTCGATCTCTTGCAGGGGCGGCCTCCGGGGGGACGGGTCATGCGTGAGACGAGGCCGCTTCGCCGTGGTGTTGGTCGTGCAGTCGCCGTGGCTGAGCTGCAGTCAGGTGTGCATCGGCTTGTAGTGGCCATCGACGATTGGCATGGTGTTAGAGGACCAGGTGTGGGTGTTGTCTCGAGCCATTGGGCCGCGGGAGGTCGGTAGCACTCGAAGGATTATGCAGTCCAGAAGCTCCAGAGTTTCATGTCGCCCGTGTGTGAGCATGTGAACAGTCCCATCGAGCAAGAAGAAGCGAGATGTTGTCGTGTGCGTCCCGACCGGTCAACGCGGCACCGAGGGGGGCGTGGGCGGTTCACGCGTAGCAGGGCCGGGCAGAAGTTCCTCTTTCGAAGCAGACAACGAGAGCAGGACAAACAGCAGAATCCCCATTTCAAACCAAGCCAGATGCCGCAGAATACTCGATGGGATTTATCATTCGCAGTGGTGGGCAGTGGGCAGTGGGCAATAGGCCGCGCTTGGGGGCAACGAGGTGAAGTGCAGCCCCGGCGCTGACCGTCGCCGATCATTGGCCCAAGGGGAGAGCTCCTGCAAGCCCGCATCAGACCATGGCCCTTGCGTCGAGTGGCCGTGGTCCTTCGATAGTACGACACGCAGGATACACTTGTTGGGACGATGACACTCTCCCGACAGGCTAATGGGCTCATCCCGTGAGGTCCGTGAAGGCGAAGGGAGCCTGTGCTTTGTTGTCTCAAAGCAAGCTCCGGGGATCTCAGAAGGGTATATAGGAGGCCTCTTCAGATACTGCCGAGTTTTGTCCCAGATATGTTTTCTCTGCAATGGCAACGCCTTTTCTTTGCGCGAACGACACTCCTTTTGAACATCTGAACCATGCCAGGGCTCTATCTACCCAATATGCCGGAATCGAGGACTTGCTGGATGAGGATCTCTGCAATGAGAGGCTCTTGCAGCTGAACCGGCTGCAGCCGCGAGAGGAGAATTCGATTGCATGGGAGAATCCGGCTTGTTCGCTCCAATACGGTGCGCTCGAATGCTGAGAACTCGAGCATGGTTGTTGCTGATATCCAAAAGGCTTCGTACCCAGCGAATGGTCCCCAACGACGCACGAGACGTATGCCAGTCCACACGACCAGGAGGAGAGCGCCTTCTCAGACTGCTCCTTTGACACGTTCAATTCGGAATCCTCCTATACATGGGGACCGGCACAATCGGAGGAGCCGGAGCCTCAATCGACCAATCTCCCGCGGCTGAGCTGTCGCAAATGTTACAGGAAGTTTGAGAATGCGTACTCGTTGGAGCAGCACGCCAAAGTATCTGGACACCGCATATTTGTTTGCCCTGTACTTGGTTGTGACATGAGCTATACCAGAAGGGATTCGTGGACACGGCACAAGAGATCGCACAATTTGGAGCTCAGGTGCGACCTCTGTCCGGAAGGTGACCAGAAGAGGACGTTCAAGAGGAAAGACCATCTGTTGACCCACCAAAGGAATTGTCACCCGCAAGCCTGTGGGTCGCCGGAAGCGTCAAGCATGTCGAGGCCTTTGCAGCCGACCCAGGCTCCGAGCAAGTGCTCGTGTGCGTGCTCGAATGGTTCAGGCATAGCGTCATCAAATGGGGAAACGCGCGCCACTCTTGAAGATATTGCGGAGATCAAACGGGAGCACCAGGATCGAGACCAGGTACTTCGCGCGCTGACAGAGAAGTTTGACCTGAAATCTTCATCAACAACTGAGGACTTCGCATCCATTCTAGCAGACCTCGTGACGTCGCAGGCCATGAAGCCTGAGCCTTAGAGAGGCGGCGTCGCATCATAGATGATATCGGAGTTCTGTCGTCTTTCGGGCCTTGGCCTTGTTTAACTCATACGAACGTGAGTCGTTGTCGAAGCGACTCACTCCTCTCACACCATCTTGTTCCATCCTAGTCGTGAGCAATTGTAGGTTCAAGAAGCGCACCTTGAAACTGACTGAGGTCGTTTCAGCTTTGCAGGTCCGATTCCATGATCCGGTCAAGTCGTACGGCATGGCTGAGCATGATCTAGGCACGTTTTGATTCGTAGTCGCACAGCCCAGGCAGAGTTTGTGGAGATTCCACACGCCAAGAAGCAGGGGATACGCTCGCTAGGGAAGAAGGCGCGGACGCTTGAGAAAGCGCCGCCCAAGAGACACAGAACTCGGAGACAGGGATGTGAGAGGTGAAGCCACAACAACAAACATTAGAATTGGACCAATTCTTGAGCGCAAGCCGAGAAAGAAAAGTTACTATCGAGTCCAAAAACTGACGCTTGCATGACCTAGAAAACACGTGACAGCGCGCTCCTTCCTTTCTGGGAAACCCATACAAACGCCTGTACACCAGCCCCGCAACCCACGCTCGTAGAGCGCAACCCCTGCTCTCAAATCATGTGACTGTTCATCGAACGACCTCCATCGCCACCATTCACACCACCCTCCTCTGCAGGCAGAGTCCAACCCAGCGGCCTCGGTCCACGGTACTTCTCGAGCAACCTCTTCCTCTGCACATCCTCATCTCGCTGACTCCAAGTCTCCCATGCCTCCACATCACCGTCAAGATCAGACATCTGCTCGCTTGGATATTGCACCACATCGGGGCCAAAAGGCTCGGGAAGAGGTGGCAAAGAAGGCAGTGTGTTTCTCCACGCATCGATGCGCGCTCCTGTCGGTGCATCGCGCACGCTGTCTGCTGGATTATCATCGGGGTGGTCGTGGTAGCCGTATATTTGGAATGGCTGCATTGGCGAGAGGCCGCCAGAATGAGCATCGTCGATGGCCTTGAAGAGGGCTTCTTCCGCTTCTCGCAGAGCCGTCGAATGTTGCATGGATAGGTGCAAGTGGTAGGCGTCGAAATCAGCTTGTGTCCAGGAGGCATCCCAGTCTGGCCAGCCAGGGCTGATGCCTTTGAGATGGTTGCTCAGCTGATTCGTGTATTTTTCATGGTGGGATTTGAAAACAGTCTGGGCTTCTTCGTAGATCGCGAAGGCTCTTAGCCTGGCAGCTAGAAGAGCTTCTTTGCCTTGTTGCTCGGCAGAAGCCTCAAGTTCTCCATTTTTGTTTTCATCTCGAGGGGCTGTGGCGATGCGTTGCCTTTGTTCGGGGAGGAATATGTCATTTTCGGGAAGGGATGCAAGCAGTCGCGCTCGAATGGCGTCCTCATCCATTGCGTCGAGGAGGCGAGCTTGCTCAAGCCGTGGCTTGATGGATTTTGTGATTCCATTACATGCCAACATGAAGACCCTTGATCCGTGATTCTCTTCATCGTTTAACCTGTTGTGATTTGATACAGCTGCTTGCGCTTGCGCTCTAAGGTCAGACACTCGCTGCCTGTCGCGATCTGCGAAACTCAGCGCAACCATGTCGCGTTGCCCTTGCGCAACGATCAAATCGTTCTGTATATTATCGGCTTGACTCCGTAGACTGCGCACTTGGTCGCGCAGGAGCCGGCATTGCTTCCTCTTCTCCCGTAGAATCTCGCCACCGCGAAGGGTGAAGATGATCTCGTTCAGAAAGTCTGGGGAGCGCAGTAGCTGAGTGAGAGTCTCTATGCTGTCATCGTTCTTGCGTTTAGGGGAGCTATACCACGCGCGCTTGGGCGGTTGGGTGGCTGTTGAGACTGATCGAGGTGATGGGCTGGTCGCCGCCCTCTTGCAAACCCCGGCAGGTCTCCAACAACTCTGTGCGCTGCCCTTGCGTGCGTCTATATTGCCCACACGGCTCAAGAGGTTGTCGTATCTAGACACCCTCTTCCATGTCGGCTGTCGTGTAAAGCGCCTCAGCAGACTGGCCCAGCCAGAGTGCAGGTGAGGTTGATGATACTCGGCGCTCAGTCTGAATATTCTCGCCATTGCTATGCAGATGATTTGTTGGAAGACTGACTCGTCAAATCGGTGAGATTCGAAAACGATTTTGAGGTGGACGGAGTTGCTGGTGAAGAGAAGTTTCTTCTTTGTGACAATAATAGCCTTTTCTCATTGTCCTCAAGACTGTTGCACCTATTGTTGCCATTGTTGCGGGTGATTGCCGGTAATAGGGTAGATCAGGCTTTGTTACTGTTAAATTAGCAAGCAAGTTGAGACTTTACTTCGCAGTTTCCTCTAAAGGATCTTAAATTGCCTCGGGATGGTCATGTTTGACGACTGTCGCCCGAAGAATTGGGCTCCTGGCTCTTTGAGCGCAAGTGCGTCGAATGCAGAACAACTTGTTCCCTTCGCGATTGAGTGCACGGCACTTTGGAGAACAAGCGCGACGCGTATCGAGCTGGAACGTCTCATCTTGTAGCCTACCAGTTGTCGTAGGTAGTACCAATAGTGCCATGAGGTCATGAGAGATCGGGGAGTTATGCTGTGCAAACAGTGCAGTGTGCTAGTGAATGAGCCCCGCCCCTTTGGGAAGGGGTGGACGGACTGGCCACGTGATAGAAGCTCATTCACTTTTTGGATGTGCGTCGCGCTCTCAGTCTTCTTCACAAATCCCCAATCTCTCCACAGCTACAGTCGGTCCATACTGTACACCACTTGCGCAGTCGCTTTGCGCTTGTCGGAGATCGCCATGTCGCATGAGAAGAGATTGGCAGTCTCGTCGCGCTCGAGGGGCCCGTCAAACGGTCGCCGGGGAGCTCGACCGGCACAGGTTAGTTCTTTCAATTGACGCACCGAGACCACCTAACGCCATATAGACCGGTCCAAGACCTGTAGAGGAGCAGTATCGAGTCCATCGTGGGTACCCTCCACATCGCCACGCCCGCATTCTACCAGCTAACGACCGCTTCACGCCGAGCCATTCTCCTGCACCATCTGGACCTCGCGCAGTACCATTCGGTGCTCCTCTTCGTCGCCAAGATCCGCCTCGTCGGCGCCGCCAAGGCCCAAACCAAGTCACAAGTTCAAGACTTATCATCCCTCGAGCCAGTGACCTCAGGGAGTTGCTCAGGTCGTCGAGTGCCGAGACCATCTCCCAAATACGAAGAAATCTCCACGAGTTACAGGACGAAGTCAGCAGCCATGTTTCTCGCTCCCCTCACCGCTCAAACTGGTCCACGGATGCTTGGTATAACTTCGCAAATGCAATGCCGGGCATGATCATCGAGACCCCCAACTTCGAGCCACTTGGAGATCCTCGTAGCAACCCTGTCGGATCTAATAATCGTACCGAGACACCCAACGGTCCGATATTCTGTGGCGTTCACCCTCCATTGATCGTGGACAAGCACAAAGACATTAACGGGAACAAGGTCTTGACCGTGGCTTGGTGCGGCACCTATGGAGGCAGAGCATCCGAGCTTATCGAGCTTCTGAAGGGTACTCCAGATTACGAAGCGGTTGCATTCATCGTTGCAGAGGACGGTCCTGTGCCAGAAGAGATCCCGCGGGGTGCGAGAGTTTTCAAGGCGCACACGTTCGAAACATTCTTGAGGGACGAAAAGCGCTACACACTCGTCGACTTTCGCAAGGTTGGGCTGGTGTATTGCCAGAGTGGCATGCGCTGCAGGGGTCGTATCCTGGGATCTGAAAAGGATGAGATTCTCAATCTCGCACATCATCGGCCTGGTCGAGACTTGCAGGACCTACAAAGCAGAGCGACCACCCTAGCTAGCTAGCAGTCGACAGTCTCGTCTTCATCGCCGACGCCACCAACGCAAGACTCTTCACCAGATCACCAACCGAAATCAAAACTTCCTACTGAAGACACCAATGCGGCAGGAACGCCAGTGCAGGTCGTTTCCACGGCCGCCAATCCGTCGGACATGACAAGACTCGCCCAAGGCTTGAACCAGACAGGTATGGACGAACCCACTGGCGAGCTTCCGGCGGGCATGAGCGACCAAGGTGCACCGACAGGTGAGCTTTCTGAAGGCTTTGGTGAACAAGGCGGTGAGGGTATCTTTTGAGTGTTTCAAAGCATTGGTAAGTCTGATGCGAGTCTCCGAGAAAGAACCACTGACAATAATATTCAACCTGCTAGTACTTGTTAATAGGAGAGGATAGACGAGAAATGGACAACCGATGGATGAAGTGAAGTCTGAAGCTCCCGTCCGCTCTTGGCCCAAAGCAGTCGATGACGTAGCTTACTCATACGACCTCGAGGCGGCGGCGAGGTCGAGAGATTCCAAAGCGCGTGAATCAATTGATTCCGTATCTTCCAAATAACTCCAACCCACTGCGCCTCACGACCTTCTTCTTAATGCGCTTTCCCTTCCCCCAGGTCTTCGTCCGGACACTCCACACGTTCAGCAACACCACATTTCGAGCTCCCCCAAGTCCGTTCGCCTCCATAGCCAGACCAGGAACAGCACTGAGAGTTGGCATGCCCATTCCCTTCATCGGATCCCTTTTCTCAACCGCAGAATCACGCAACATGTCGCATCCAGTGCAGAAGAGTGACGGGGAGTGGCAGGCACAGTTGAACCCAGGTATGCACGGCAAATCCCGCTTGATACCCATCAAGGTCAAGGGAATCATGTCCTTCAAAACGCGTACTGACACGTCCTCCCTAGAACAATTCCGCGTCCTCCGCCAAAAGGGCACCGAGGCTCCTTTCAGCGGAAAATACGACAAGCACTACCCCGAAGAAGGCGTCTACACCTGCGTTGGCTGCGAAGCACCTCTGTACAAGGCCGACCAGAAGTTCAAGTCTGGATGTGGGTGGCCGGCGTTCTTTGATACCGTGCCAGGAGCTGTGACGAGGCATACAGACCGCACGTTTGGAATGGAGAGGACAGAGATTGTGTGCAGCAACTGTGGTGGGCATCTGGGACACGTCTTCAAGGGTGAGGGATATCCTACACCAACAGACGAGAGGCATTGCGTGAACAGCGTCAGTCTGAACTTCTCCAAGGGAGATCCTGTGAAAGAGTCGAAAGCATGAAAATGCGGGTTGTAACGATACTATGGCTTGAAGATACCGAAGGAAGCGACATCCTCTCATCGCGTCAGCGAATGGAGTGACATTCTCTCACCGTATCCCGCGCAGGAGGCGTTCGACGTGCCTGGCATGCCATGACCGTGACCGCGACATGTCATTCGCGCTTGGTCGTAATGTGTGTAAGCTTTGGTAATTGCGCCATCGCCGTGCAGGTTCAGGGTGAAACCAAGACGGCAGCATGTAGGAATCCAGACCGCCTCGTTGACCGTGACTCGATATGTGAACGACACCATGTGTTTTCTGACGTCTCGAGACTGCGGCGAAGACTGGCAGGAGGCTGCTGACGATGAGCGAGTGTTGGCTGACGAGGAGGTGGAAGAAGGTGAGTAGTCGCGAAGCAGAGAAAGGAGATGGCGGCGGTAGCGCCGGTACCCGACATATTCACACTCACCGCGACTCTGCGTTCAATCTTCCCTTTGACTGCGCCCACTGCACAAAACATGCCACCCAACACCCTTCCCCATAACACCGCCATTCATGTCGACGCTGGGTGTTCGCGGCAAGTCGCTGACTCCAACCGTCAACCCAGCAGGATCCGAAACCGATGAACCGTCCTCCAGCGTCCTGAGCAGACAGCCAAGCCAAGATGTCGGTGACGCAGGCAACGTCCTTCCCACCTTGAGCCAGCGCCTACGGCATACGAGCTCGATACTCGCAATCTCAATCTCCGAAGAGCACATCTATGCGGGAACACAGGGCGGGGAGATCCTGGTATACAGCTTGAGCACCTATGAGCGGATTGCAGTGATAGAAGGGCATCGGGGCAGCGTACTGGGGCTTTGCCTGTCACACAACCAGTACTTGCTATTCTCCAGTGCTGGCGACCGCATTGTCAACGTCTGGAGCACCAAGACTCTGAAGAGAGTGTCCTGCCTCTACTCGTCCTTCGACGTAGGGGATGTCTTCTGCGTCGCCTACTCGACTGCCCTGCAGACTGCATACCTTGGGGCGCAGAATACCACCATCCAATGGTGCAAGATAGCACAAGAGGGAGCTAAAGGTTTCCCACTTTCTCTACGCAGCGAAGATCGCTTCTTCGACTCTGCAGGCCCTGGAGGTATTAGAACACCTCGGCCACCAGGGTCGGACATCACCCCTAGACATGCAAAGGGAGGAGATGTGATAGAGATTGGGAAGGAGAATGTCAGGCACTTTGCACATTATGGCTATGTCTACTGCATGCTGTTGACAAGAGATGGAGTGCCGGAGTGGACAGGAAAGGAGACTCTGGTGACTGGAGGAGGAGATGGCGTGGTCAAGCTCTGGAAGCTTGATGGGAAGAACGGCGGTGCCATTGAAGAGCTCTACACACTGGACGATGGGAGGGAGGAGGGCCATGCAATACTTTCCATCGCCTTGGAGGGAACCTTCGTCTACTGTGGCAGGAGCGGTGGAGAAGTCGACGTGTGGGATCTCGAAACCCGTCAGCTTGTGCGAAACATGAAGGCCCATCGAGACGACGTATCCACCCTCTGCTTTGGTGGCGGCTTCCTCTTCACCGCTGCCAACACAGGCTACGTCAGGAAGTTCGATAGGCAATATCAGCTCAAGAACCGATTAAAGGCTCACGACGGCCGAGTACTGGCATCCGCATTCTCGTGGTACAAACAGAGACCGATCTATGTGACTGGTTCCAATGATCAGAGCGTTGCCGTCTGGGACGTCAGCGATTGCATCCGAGCGACTCCTGCTGGCGGGAAGACGAGCAACGAGCAATTGGTGGAACTACTCGGACGCTTCGTATCGCACAGGACAGTCTCTTCTGATCCACGGCACAAGGCAGACTGCCGGAGAGGAGCTTCATTCCTTCGCTCAGTCTTCAAGAATTTTGGTGCACACACTGAAATGCTGCCCGCCGACGATCCTGCTAATCCGATCATTCTGGCTCGATTCCGTGGCAACCCAGCAACTGCTGCGAACCGCAAGAAAATCCTGTTCTATGGACACTACGACGTTGTAGCTGCGAATAATACAAGCGGCAAGTGGATCTGCGACCCATTTACGATGGAAGGCATCGATGGCTATCTGTACGGACGAGGCACGTCTGACAACAAGGGACCGATCATGGCTGCCATATTCGCGTGCGCTGAGCTCACGAGTCAGCAAGCTTTGAACTCAGACATCGTCTTCTTGATTGAAGGCGAAGAGGAGTGTGGCTCACGTGGGTTCGAAAAGGCTGTCAGAGCCAGCAAAGATAAAATTGGCCACGTCGATTGGATCCTACTCGCCAACTCCTACTGGCTCGACGACCGGATACCATGCTTGACGTACGGACTACGGGGTGTGATTCATGCCACCGTGCAGATTGAAAGCAGCCACCCAGATCTACACAGTGGTGTGGACGGCAGTGCTCAGCTGGATGAATCGTTGAAAGATCTTGTGTTGTTGCTAGGCACCCTCACTGGCAAGAATGGCGAAGTCAAGATTCCAGGCTTCTATGACCCTGTACCTGAAGTAGGCGAGAAGGAAGCTGAACTATACGCCGACATCACGAACGCTCTTGTCCAGCGAAACCCAGATCTGGGTGATCCTGATGCATTGGCTTCATCTCTCATGAGACGATGGCGGGAGGCCTCTCTCACTATTCACCGCTTCCAAACGTCTGGACCGGACAATGCCACAATCATCCCGCGAATGGCGAAGGCGGCGCTGTCCATGCGGCTGGTACCGAATCAAGAGGCCGCAGAAGTTGCGCAGGCTCTTCGAGATTATCTTGAGGCAAAGTTCGAGGAGCTTGATTCAAGCAACCGTCTTACCATAACCATCGATCACTTGGCAGAGCCTTGGTTGGGGGACTGGACCAACGAGATCTTCAAGACGCTGGAAGAGGCCATCATGGAAGCTTGGGGTCCTGTCGACCAGAGTCGGCGACGAAAATCTTCAGTCGCGCCATTGAAAGTGACCATCCCTCATCACACAAACGGCTACTTCGCTACAAAACCATCGCCAACGACTTCGGCCTCATTGGCTAATGAGAGTCTGACTCCAATCCCTACCCAACCCTTGACACCTCTCGCCGAAGTCACAAGCAAGCTCGAAGAGATCGCACCCACATCTCCGACGAGCAACTCAAGACCGAAGCAGCGCAGAAAGCCGCTGTACATTCGCGAAGGCGGCTCGATCCCTGCTATACGGTTTCTCGAGAAAGAGTTCAATGCTCCCGCAGCCCATCTTCCATGCGGACAGGCTAGCGATTCGGCGCATCTGGACAACGAACGTCTCAGGCTGAAGAATCTCTACAAAAGCAAGGAGATCTTCTTCAAGGTCTTCAGAGACCTGCCGCAGAAGTGAATTGAGACACGGCGCTGTCTTACCATCCCGATGACGACGTCTATGTCGCTTGTACTATTAGGAGTGAGACTGTTTGCTGTCTTGATAGAGCGGCAAAAGACATGTCTTGACGACGCAATTGCTGCCGTGGCTTTGCACGGTGGTATAAATGTAGACTATTGGAAACCAGAAAACATGGCATCCATCATCCCGTCGTTTTCCAAATCATTCTTGCTACCATCCACCATGACTACAGAGTACGAGAACGAGAAGAAGCGCTTCACAGAGCGGTACCTCAGTCGCGATACCAAAGACCAACAAGGCGGACGTACAGAAGAGATCCGCATGACACCACTCTGCTCACTTGCCGTTGCGCATACAGCTACACAGTCAGTCCTGCCTCAGTATGGTCTTCTGGGATTCCACGCTGGTCAGTCAGAGGAGATCAGCGAGAAAGAGCCGATTCTACTCAACATCAACGCACCCAACTCGACCTTCATCTGCGGCTCTCAGGGCTCAGGCAAGAGCTATACCTTGAGCGCGATGCTCGAGGATTGCGTCCAGAAGAACAAGTCTTTGAACAAGCTCAAGGAGCCTCTCGCCGGCGTCGTCTTCCACTACGACAATGACTCTCACACCGTCGCTGAGGCGGCTCACCTGTGTTCCCTGGGAATCAAAGTCCGCGTCCTGGTGTCCAAGAGCAGCGCCGCTACGAATCTCAAGCAACGCTACCTGACGGTATCTGGCGCAGCCAAGAACCTGACCGTGGAAGACTTCGTGCTACAGGACCGCCACCTCAACGTCGAGCGCATGCTGAAGATGATGGCCTTCGACGAGTCGGAGGGGACGGTGCCTCTGTATATGGAAGTCATTCAGCGCATCCTGAGGGAGACGGCCATCACCGGTCAGCAGTTCTCATTTCAGAAGTTCATGTGGGACCTCAAACAGGAGAGGTTTTCGCCAGGCCAGGAGGCTATGATGAACATGCGCCTCAACTTGCTCCAGAGCTTCATGCCGAAGTTCGCCACTGAGCTTGGCAAGGATCTCTTCAACATCGCGCCAGGAACTCTCACTATTGTTGACTTCAGCGATCCACTCATCGACCAGTCGAGCGCCTGCGTCCTCTTCGACACTTGCCTAGCCCTCTTCAAGGAGAACCGTCCCAAGTCTGGCCTAGTCGTAGCATTGGACGAAGCCCACAAGTTCCTCAACAAGGGCGCTGCGGCCGCGAACTTCACAGAGCGCCTCCTCCAAACCATTCGAGAACAGAGACACAACGCAACTCGAGTCATCATCGCCACCCAAGAACCCACCATTTCCGAGACCTCGACCTCTGTGGGACTTCCATTGTCCACCGCTTCACATCCCCTGCATGGTTCAACTCGATCAAAGACCATCTCGGAGGAGTGTCATCTCTAGTCACCGGGGCTGGTGATCGAAACGAGGTTTTCAGCAGGATTGTGGATTTGAATGTCGGTGAGAGTTTGGTGTTCTCACCCAGCTCGTTTGTGGGACTGGAGGGAGAGGAGAGGAAGCCGAAGAAGTTGGGGAGTGGGATTTTGAAGATGAAGACGAGGTTGAGGGAGGGGATTGATGGTGGGAGGAGTATTATGGCTGCTGGGGCTGGAGAGGGGAAGAAGGATGAAGAGTAAGTGCCTCGCAAACGTTGCTCAGGCTTTTGGCTAACAAAGAAATGCAGTCCTACGCCGGTGCCAATGTGCGATACAGGCTTGACTGAGTCTTTCTAGACTACTGCACAGCTGCTCTCCGATCGACTGCACGCCAAAACGAAGCCTCAGCAGCCACCTTCGGCCTCCTCGTTTCCACGACGACATCGTCCAAGGCTTTGCAACCCGCATGCAAGCCTTGCGCAAGCCTTTTACGGCCCTTCTCATCAAGATCGACTAGCCATGTATTTTGGCTGGACTTGACTTCATGACATCGTGCTCCGAACATGTCCACGAGTGCTCGGTTGGTGTTCTGATGGCATGGCGTTTAGTTGGGTGGGAACGATGAAATTTGCACGTATAAATGCACCGGCCCCTGTTTGTTTTACATGTGAGGGACACCGAAGGACTGGACAATACCTAGAAGCAGTGACAATGAAACTTCTCTTGCTGGTCTCCCTCCTCGTTCCGGCGTCATACGCCACAACTTTCCCAACATGCACCAAGCCTGATGTCGAAACTGTAACTTTCTCATCTGCTCATCCCCAACGACCGCTGCCAGACTAACAGCGAAACGAACACAGTTCGGCTCCGAACCCAACAACCCTCTCGTCCAGCAAGGCAACAAAGCGCCCGTCATCAACGGCATCGACTTCACAGAATGGGTTCTCGGCGTAAGTCACTCCCAGCTGTCCTTCGACTACTCCAACATCTTCCCAGCTAACTTCACCCTCCCCATTCCAGCGCACCGCCCCAATCCTCACCCCAGCATCGCCCCCAAACCTCATAGGCGTCAGCTTCATCGGCAACCTCCTCTCCGGCAACCCCACAGTCTACCCTCGCGCCTCCTTCTACGCCGTCGATGCCGTCAAATCCTTCACCCTCTCGTCCCTCCGCTACGGCTGCTTCATCACCAGCGCCGTCGGGTCCGGCCTCGCCGCGACGCCTTGCACGGTGAGCGTGTCGGGATACACGCCCGATGGAAAGCAGACTTCAGAGGAGACGTTTTCGTATACGCCGGGGACGTTGCAGAGTCCGCCGATGGGCAGCAAGGTGTTTGAGGGGTTGAGGGGGTTGGTGAATGTTACGTTTGAGGTTGTTGGGGCGGGGATTGTGCCGGTGCCGATTGTGGTTTTTGCGTTGGATGATGTGGCGGTTTGTAGGTATTATAAGTAGAGGATGGAGTAGTTGTTGACGGTGAAAGAGCTATCGGGGGAGTAAGAGCTCGAAGCTGGGGAGTTGATATGACAGGTTGCCCGTGCTCGATGCTTTTGATCTTTTGGTACACCCTTCAGTCTACTCATACATGTCCTTCTCAACGCCAGTGATCCACTCGTTTACGCAGGCTTCGTGTACACGCAGTAAATGCTGCCCTTATCCGCATCCACACCTCCATTCACATACGTAGCATCGCCGAACTCTTCCCTAGCGTTCTCGATCCAGTACTTGCAGAAGTCCTGAGCTTGGTCGTCTGAGGTGATCTGCCGAAAAAAACCATTAGCGTTCCAGACAAATATCTGGATCATATTGAGTACTTACCGCACAAGAGCACTTGCCCTCAACGCAATGCGAATCTTGGAATCGTCTCCTGGCCTCTGCTTGCACGGCTTCATTTGGAGTGACGTTCACGCCTTGGGCTTCGATGCTGGGTGCCGAGCAGGGCTCTTTGCAGGCATCGTCGGATGTGCATTGATCTTGACGGACCAGGAGGCTGCCAGCGAAGGCAGCTCCGGCGAAGATGAGTTGGCTTAGGAGGCGCGTCGAGACCATGGTTGTGGTTGATAGATGTTCGAAGTTTGGGATGTTGATCTTGATGTTCTGTTCAGTTGAAGATCTAAGAGACAGTTAAGCCAGCGTCTTTATAAGATTTACGCTTCTCCTTTCCCATCCTAAACATGTCCTCCCGTCTGGTTTCCATGATCATCCATCATGTTTCGCATCCAAGCCGAAGTAATGGCTCCTCGCGGGTACCGAACGCCCAGTCGCATTTTACCATAGACTTCACAATCCCTGCTAGACCACTCTGTTAGCCTCCTGAATCATCTCGCGGCAGAAAATATAAGTAAGCCCTAAGGATTCGAATGGTATAGACCCGCTTCAGGGCACTGTAGACTTGGGTTTGGAAATTTGGTCAATGCCTTGGCAGGAGGCTGTATCCATGACCGAATACGAGGTATCTGGGGTTATGATGACCATATGGCCGCCACGATTGCTGATTCTGGGATTATCTGGAGATCGAAATGCTCATTGCTGTTTGGTTCCGTTGTGGGCTGCGAGGCTATGGCAGCTTCGGTCATGGTATTGTGTGTTGTTCTTTCCACTCGAGTTCTCCCTCTCTCCGATCAGAATGAAAAATTCTTGGCACTCGATTCGGATATGTGGCTCTCGAGACGTCTCTCTTCTGGACACAAAACCGGCTGTTGTAATCGACGTTTGGCCAAAAGGTGTTGCTGTTGGATGCCGAGACGAGGGGACTACTCACGGCCACTCCGTGATCCAAACATCCCCTAAATATGCAGATGACCAAGCCAAAGAAAGTCGGACGTGAAGCAGTCTTGGTCGAACTCTTGCGAGTGGTGTTGTAAGAAGGAGAAAGATGCCTCAGGCTGGCCAGATGTTTCACAGCCTCAAAAATCAAGCCACATCCCGTCCCTAGTCCAACAACCCAACCTCCTCGGCCTCGGTCGAACCATCTTTCCTTCCTCCTCCCCCTCCCCACTGCAATGCACTGCTGCACCTCATCCTCAGCATGTCGCTAATGGGCAGCAGCAGCGGCACCAACAACATGATCTCTCGCCTGAAAACCACAACCCTCACCGCCTGTTTCCGGCGAGGCTTCAAAGTGCGACACAGAACTCGCGATGCATCACCTTCATTCACCCTCTTTCTAGCCTTACCCGCGGAGATCCGAGAGCGCATCTACGAGGCGTGCTGCGACAACGACCGCAAAATCCTCGAGGAGCATTTCATCTCAGCCAAACCACCGCCGGAACCGGCTGTTGCGTGTGCGTCGCGACAGCTCAGGAAGGAAGCACTGCCTGTGTTCTATCGGCATTATCGATTTCCCGTCACATTCAGTTCTGGGACTCTCATCAACAATGGCTATCTTTCCCCATCGCTGGAGTGGCGTGCGGCGAGGTGGCATCACCGACTGGACCCTGGCAAGTTGAGGATGATTCGGAGGCTGGAGCTACATTATTGCTTTGGGAGGTTCCAGGTCGACTTTGATGCGAGGAGTAATACTTATTCTGTCGAGCAGACGGCCTGGGGTTCGAGGAGGCTGGTTGATGTGCATCCTACTGAGGAGAAGCAGCAACTATTGGCGCTTGTGCAGTCTCTTATTGATCATCTTGTTGCGGCCCCGGGAGTTGGTGCTTTTACCGCGCATGATTTCGATCGCTTGGAGCTGGAGGTGGTGCCTGAGCATGACCAGTCGAAGAAATTACACTGAGAGTCGGTGCTAATTCAGAGGATTCTGAACATGAAGTGTCGCAGAGCTTGCAGCAAGGAAAGCAAATCTCTGTATCTGGACTGGGCATCCTGGACGATCTGTTGCGGCACCATGACCAGAATCGAAGTATATCTGGATGGTCTCACCTGGCCGCATATAAGGTCAAGACTGGCTAGGACGACTACTGCGCTCGATAAAGCATCAACCTACCTCGAGGGCTCGAGTAGGGGGACAATTGGACAAGAACCAATCGAAGGACGTTCGAACGAAGCATTGCCAGTGCAAATGGATACTTGCAAATGGTAGTAAGGCCTCATAGCACATTCTGTTCGATCACATTGATCGTATGCGGCACTGGAATCAACGGCGTCGTCGAACTGGTCGCCGAAGAGGTCGTCGACAACGTGACAGGCGGAAGCACACAGCTCCCGTTCCCCTTGCCGCCACCCGCGCCGGTAGGACCTGCAGCCGTGCTCGTTGCGTTGTACAATGCAAACGGCGGCGTCGACGTCGACGGCCCGGTCTCGTTCTTCCTCAAAACCTCATCTGCCGGAATCAACCACGTCGTGACCGTCGAGTTGGGCACGACCCCTTCCCAGACGTTGGCACTTCCCGTAAACTCGAGCCTCACATTCTCGGTGCGGTTCAGGTTGTTCACGAACACGATCGCCCAAGATCTATCTGGGTTCTGAGCGGCGATGAGGTTGAACTGATTCGGCTTGAGGTGGTTGCCTTCATTACCTTTGAGCACACGGTAATTGAAAGCTCCCCGGCGGATGAAGCGGCTGAACTGGCCGACGACGTAGTAGTCGTTGGTCTTGAGGTATGAGGTGGACGAGTTGACGATGATCTGGGCGAAAGTCAGCTCGCTCACCATATCCAGAAGAGCCATTCGAAAACTCACAGCCCCTTGACAACCAGCACAACCACCATACGGCGAATGAGGCCCAAAATCCGGATCCGTCGCCAAAACCCACATGCTCGCCCCCGCCGCCCCATGCTGCACGGCGGGCACAAAAGCATTCACGACCTGCCAATTCAACGCCGCTGTCTGCGGCAGGTAATTCGAGCATTCGGTCATGAATTGCGGCGTCTCCGGATACGCATAGTTGAAATCATCCATCACGGAGTAATTCGCGAGATAGGCATAGCAATGCCACGCCGCGGCATCGACGTACCCCTCAGCGCGCTGCAGCATTTGCGAGGGGTACATGGGCTGGTCGGTGTTATGGTCATAGGCGAGAAGAGCGATATCACGGTCCTTCAAAACAGTTCCAAGACCGTGATTGAGGATATCCGCGCCGTCAGCGCTGTCGAGGTACATACACGGATATCCACCCTTATAATTCAACGGCTCATTCATCAGCGTCAACCCATTCACCCGCACGCCACGGCTCGCATAAGCATCGAGATATTTCGTGAAATACTCAATCGCCTGCGGGATATACTGCCGATCGAAGGAATTATTCAGCACATTGTAGGACGTGCCCGCGTCCAGGTTCGGCGCGATGAAGAGCCCGTTGTGTTTCATCCAGCCGGGATACGACCACGGGGATCCTATCCGGAAGACGTCGGATTTGTACGAGCCCATTCGGGCGAGCATCTCGAGCATCGCTGTGCCGTCTTCGCCGAGATCGAAGTTTGAGAGGGAGAGATCCGGTTGTCCTTCGTTGAACCCCGGGCCGTTGTCGTCGAAGGAATACTGTCGTCCGCTCATATCTGAGGAGCCGATCGTGTGGCGCATCATGCCCATGTTGTTCCCCTCGGGGCTGAACAGCTCTTTCAAAACTTGGTCTTGTAATTCAGGCGTGAGGCGATTCAGGACTTCGACGGAGGAGTCCGTCCAGGAGTAGCCGAAGCCTACCATTTCCTGCCTCTTGCCGGGCAAATCGTCGATCAAGATCGTCCGGGGTGGAGGACACGCCTGCGTTGTGTTTGTGCCATCTTCGAGCACGGGGGGTTTGCCGTGCGCGAGTTGGCGGGTGGTGTTTTGTTTGAGGGGGATGAAGGCGTCAGTACTTGGTTTTAGGTGACGTTAGCTACGTGATGGGAATCTTGAAAGTGGTATGGTCTTGTCTTACACGAATGACTGCGCCTTCAAGACTGGATTGTTCACATCTCCAATTCCACCGGATGGACCATTGCCACCAGAACTTCCTAGATTCTTGATAGACTGCGCGAAAGAGAGGAGTGGAAGTAGCGTCGTTAGAAGGTAGATCAAAAGCATGATTGCATTTGGGAGAGTCCAAACGAGTGTGTAAGGGAGAGATGCAAAAGAGTGTTTGAAACGAAATACTAGAACAAGATCATAACGAGAAAGAGTGTTGCGCAGAGCTATAGACGTTGAAAGACGTTGAAAGAGAGTGCAGAGGTACTTGTATCACTGTGACTACTCAGGTCCCTGAGCACGACACCCGCAGTCTCGGCGTGCAGCGTTGACATGGTTTTGAGGAAGCTTGCCGTCTCGGGGGAGCAGGATAACCTGGTCGACAGCGAGAGCTTATCCAAAACGCATGGTCAAAATCTTAGACTGAGTATCGCGAGTTCAATGGAGATGTTCAAGAGGCCAAGTCGACAAAAAGTGGTCGGCAATTTCCGTGATTTTGATTTCCCCTGCCTTTGAGGCAAGACAAAGGCTCGCAAAGTTCCACGACCACTGTCTCGTCGCTCCAGAGACCGTGGCTACTACTCTACTTCATAATGTTCGCTCCAATGCGTCTCCCGCTGAGAGCTGCCAGTGCAGCCGTGTAACCGTAAGAAGCCACCTCCATGAGCAGGCCGTTCCCTCTATGCATCGTTAGTCATTTAAGTGCCTCCAGGTGCGATCTGAGTGGAATCTGTGATGAGCTTTGTGATCTTGCCGATGGCAATGGTCTGACCCTGATCTCTGAGGGTGAAGCGACCAAGCTGAGGGTAGTCCTCGAAGCGTTCAACACAGACCGATCCAGCACCACCGATGACCTCGAGGCGAGCGATGATGTTCATTCCTTGCTTGGCGAAGCCCGGTGGCTTCTTTGACTTTCGGTTGGTCTTGGGCTCGAGTTTGTGAAGCAGCTGCGCGAAGGTGACTTCTTCTGTGGCCGAGTGCACGTGAAGCACACAGTTGAAACCAGCGGAGAGGATAGACTTGAGCTCCAGTAACCGAATCTGCGCCTCGAAAGATTGGACGCAATGCACGGGGCGCTTTGGGGAGCAGAGCACGAAACCGGGGAGGATATCTTCTTCTTCAGCACCCTTGATGCGCATGCGAATCTGCTCACCACAAACAGCGTGTGCAATTTCGTCTTCGGTCTCTCCATACAGAGCCGAAATTTGAATCTCTGCCTTGTTAGGCATCATGAGGTATTTGTTCTCCTTCTTGATGAAACCAGCCTCGATCTTGCCTTCGATCATGGTACCCATATCCCTGTACTTGGCGGCAATGGGCATCATAAAAGGTGCGTTGAGCTTGCGTTCGAGCGTCTTCATCGAATCGAGGTAGTCGAGAAGTGAAGGGGCATCGTTCCAAGGAGCAACTTCTTTGGGCACCCTTGTCCTGATACCAACCGTGGTTTGTGCGGAGATGGGCATGAAGGTAAGATCTGTCTTTGGGTTGTATCCAAGACCCTTCAAGAAAGTCGTGAGCTTGGTTGTGCATTCCTTATATCGCTCTTCAGACCAGTTGACAGTTGGATCGTCCATCTTGTTGACCGCGACGACGAGCTTGTTGACACCTTGAGTCTTGGCAAGCACAGCGTGCTCTCGAGTCTGGCCTCCCTTTTCGAATCCCGTTTCGTACTCGCCTTTACGTGCAGAGATGACAAGAACACCAACATCGGCTTGTGAAGCGCCTGATACCATGTTTGGAACGTACGTCTTGTGTCCAGGGGCGTCCAGGATAGAGTAACGTCTTGCCTCCGTCTCGAAGAAGCCTCGTCCGACTTCGACAGTCTTTCCCTTTGCTCGTTCTTCCTTGGTCTGATCCAGAGCCCATGACAGATACCACGACTCACGTCCAAGTTCCTTTGCGTCTCTCTTGTACTTGTCCATTGTTCTTTCGTCTACCATGCCAGTCGCATAGAGAATGCTGCCACCCAATGTACTCTTTCCAGCATCAACGTGTCCCAAGAAAATAACATTGACGTGCTCTTTTCCGTACATCTCAGAAAGTGCCTCTTCGTCAACTTCATTTGCCTGCTCCTGAGCGACCATGTCCGCTCTCCTAGCTTCGGCACGCTGTTCAGCCCTGGAGGGCGAGGATCGACCAGAGGCAGTTGGTGAAGTGTTGCCGCTGCCGCTGCTTGCTGGGGTTGATTCACCGGTCTTCTCGATGGCCTTGGAGGCGGTGACTTTGGTTCCAGCATCTGGAGTTTCCTTGCTAGCAGTCTCTGCTGCTGGTGCTGCCTTGGTATCTTTGGTTTCCTTAGCAGGGGCAGCAGCCGGCGTACCCAGAGATAGGACCTTGGTGCCACCAGTCTTCTCAACCTTGGGCGCTGCAGCTCCAGTGTCTGTAGCGCTCAACGAGAGGGTCTTGACGGGAGCAGCACCGGTGCCATTAGCTGGCGCGGCAGGCTTGGGCGGTTGTGCGGCAGGCTGTTGCTGTGCAGTTGGGAGGGCCTCCCCTCGCTTGGCAATCATGGGCGTCTGTCGTTGGTGAGGTGGAACATATGCCTGCTGCTGCTGCTGCTGAGGTGGTTGTTGATACTGCTGATACTGGCCGCCATAGCCCTGGCCCTGGCCTTGTCCATACTGAGGATAGCCACCTTGCTGACCATAGCCATACTGCTGGTACTGCTGACCGTATCCTTGCTGGCCGTACTGCTGGTAGCCGTTGTACTGCTGGCCATATCCGTACTGCGAATACTGCTGGCCGGGCGTGAAAGACTGGGCGCCTGGCGTAAAGCTTTGTGCGCCTGGTGTGAAAGTGTTGCCTCGAGCAGCGTTCTTGAGGTTCATCTGCTGCTGGGCCTGGTTGGCGAGGTCATCGGCGGCATCCTCCCACGAGTCTGGCTGTCCGTTGGCCATGGTGAGTCAATCTTCAGCGTCCTTGGCGCACGCAGCGGTGGGAGTGGGTGAAGGTGGGTGGTCGACGAGGAGAAATTCCTCGTCAGCGTCGTCGTCGGCGTCAATTCGGCTCGCGGGGTGTTGCTGGTGAGGAGGCGGTCGAGGACAGGCGTTGGGCCGATGACGATGGTTGGATTGAGAGGGCGAGGTGTCGGCCATCTTTTTCGTGCAGTGGCGGGGTTGGGCTTCACGTGCTCGTGTGAAAGCTTCGTGTTTTGGTGGGGACGGCTCTTCACCTGTCACTTGTTTGCAGCTGCAACTTTTCCACAGCAACGTGTCCGCTCTATAAATCACCGCCCTCTCTCGTCCTGGTGACTCAGTGATGGACACCACCGTCTGTCGCAGCCGCCTCGACTCATTCGCGTCACCGGTCCTTTGAGTCACCTTCAGTCTTTGACGCCCAACCATGGAGGTGCTGCTGTCGAGAGTGACGCAACACGCCGTCCAGTACGCCATTAGGTCTGGCGTGTCCATCACAACCGGCTACGCCATCAAGCAATGCAGTCGCCTGCTGAAGGAGGCGCCCAAGGGCCGCGAGCGCGAGGAGCTCATGCAGCTCCAGCTCCGTCTCGAGAGCAAGATCAGGGTCATATCGCCCTCGATTGACATGATCGAGCTGATTGCTGCCCGAGGCAACACTTCGCTGGAGTCGGCACTCTCACTGACCAAGGACATTCGTTACGAGATACAGAAGCTGGGTGTTCGTCTGTCCAATGCAGCCAACGAGGAGGAGCTACTACGCCGGAAGAGCAGTCGAGCCAAGTCTCGCGAGGAGACTGATCATGAGCTCAGAGCGATTGTCCAACAGATCAAGCTTCTTCTTGCCCGCATTGAAGATGCTGTCCCTCTCATCAATCTGGCCATCACGACATCTGGGATCAATCTTTCGACAAACCTCTCTGGCACTATCAGCCCAAGCAGGCTGTTGCAGGCATCGACCTTCTTGACATCTGCCGATAGCAAGTATACTGGCGATCCTTCGAGATGGCAGCAAGTTGGCCCTACCTACGTCTTGACCTTGTATATGCTCTTCGCTGGCCATGCCTCGAGACCGGTGGATGAAGACGGCGTTCGCGAGACGACGTGGAAGGAGGTCATCCACAAGGCTCGTGTCAAGTTGTGGCGGGTCCCGTTGGAGCAGCTGTACTCATTACCGGGAGAGGCAACCGATTCAGATGCCAGAAGCAACACGGTCCGTGCAGACGCTGAGGCTGGCGAGTTCGCCTATCAACTGGCCATGGTGGAGGATCTCGACGATGACAGAGTCCACACATTCGAGGACGACAAGCCCCAGCCGGGACCGTTTGATGATGTTCAGAATGCTGGGATTCGCGATGTTATCCCGGTTCATGAAGTATCGAAGGTCTTCTATGCTGACACTGGAAAGATCCTGAACATTGGAGGTGACGGAGACAGCAACAGTCCAGTTCTGTTACTCAAGCGAGACGTCCACGCAGAGCCGCCGAGAAGGATGCTGCAGCGATCGCAGTCTCGGATGAGCATGCAGGATGAGGACTTGTCTAATGGTGCTGGCGAGGTGGATGCTCAGAGTGAGATCGATGCTCAAATTGAGCGTGAGTCCGCTCCGCCAACGCCGATGAAGTCGTCCAACGGTGCTTCACACGCTACCTCCACAACATGGCGACTACCGGCAGACTTGGATCCAGAGTGGATGGCCCTCGAAGTGTTTACAGAAGAACCTGACTCGGATACTGAATCTGAACCTGACGAAACATCACGGCCGTCTTCCAGCAGAGCAGACTCTGGCCTCACTGGGGCCCTGGCACACCTCAACCTTCGATCGTCACCCTCGCCCATCTCTGGAGCTCATAACCAAGTCGCGTTGAGTCAGGGACCAGCACTGCAATTCTCACCAGGAAAGCGTGCAGGTCCACCTATTAAGAGTAGTCTGTCTCTCCTCGAGATGCTCATGAAGCTCGCAGCTCTGCAGCAGTTCCGTCAGGAGTCTCACCTTGCCATCGAGGATGAACTCCTCAACTTCTTCCTCGAAGACAGCGCCACGGCAGGTGCGGGCTCAGACAAGGACTATCGCCAGCGTCTCCGACACGCAGCAACTCGCCGAGTTGGCTTCGACCCCTACGACGAGTCGCCCGTCAAGCGCCGCGGTGAAGACTACATCCGCAACGCCAACGACTCTCCAAGAGGCTCCCCTGCCCCAGATGACTACCCCAACGAGCTGGTCTACGACGATGCATACGGATACAACGACTCTCTGATGCAGAACCCCATCCCCCGACTCGATTTTGCGCGACCTTCTGTCGAGAGAGCTCCATCTGCCAGAAACTCGTCCTCTCCCCGACTCTACCAACAAACGCCTTCGCGAACGTCAACCCCCGGCACCAGCGAAGACCATCGAAGTGCCGTACACGCAAAGTACAATAATAGTCGACCTTCCCCTCAAGGCCAACCATTGGCCACGCCTCCTAGCACGGCGAAAACGAGGGCTGCAGCGCTGAGAGCTCAGTCGGAGCCCAAGCCACGCAGCCCATTACACGAAGTCACGACTGATGATGATTGATTCGATTTCCAGCGTTTTGATTAGCGAGGATTAGCATGGGGCCATGGAGTTTTTGCTTTTTAGGAGAAACATGCATAGATTAAGATACCCCAGAACGTCTCGCGTCCGAAATTCAAAAATGTTTTTTACTGCTTGTTGAAGCTGTTCCTTTCCTTCCATGCAAGTGCAGGTCTATGTCTCTGCCACCCTCAATCATGACTCTATAAAATCTATGCTCTCTACCTCTATCCCCAACCCTCAACAAGAAACCTCCCCTCTATCCAACCCTCCGTCTCCAACCCCAACCCCCATCAAACCTTCGCCTGAATCCCCTTCATCTCCTTCTGCTCCTCCGTCGCCGTCCTCGCCAAATTCACATGTTCCTCCCGATCCAGGCCCTTCCCATCCCCCTTCCTCCGCTCCCGACTCTCATTCGTCTCGATCAGATGCGCTTCCGTCGGCTCGTGCGTCGAGAAGTAGTAGCTTCGAAACTCCGTGTTGGCCCAGCCCGTCCCCGCGAACTTGTCTTGGTCGTGGAAGTCTTCGGTGAAGTAGTGGAGGAAACCTAAATACACACGGAGTTAGATGGAATGGAGTGAGGTGAGGAGTTCGGGGTGATAGTGTACCTACCTCCATGCGTCACAACAACAATATTCTTCTCCGGCCGACCCTGCAACCAAATCCTCGCCTCCCGCGCCCTCTTCTCAATCGCCTTCGAGTTGGGCGCCCACTTCCCCCGTTTGTTATTCCACCCTTCCTTGACCAGTTCCAAATCCACCGGCTTGCCCTCAAACTCCTTCTTCAGCTCCTCGACGTCACTGCCCGTGTCGCAGGGCAAATCGCTCGTCTCTTGCAGTTCGGGCAGGCCGATCACTTTGAGGTTCTTTTCCGCGATGATGTGGGAGAAGGAGAGCAGGGCGGTGTTGATGGTCCGTTTTATGGGGCTGGCGACGATGAGGTCGATGGAGGATTGCGAGGGGAAGTTGGCTTGGAGGTCGCGGCATTGCTGTTCTCCGTATGGGGTCAGGAGGGGGTCGTGCATGTGGTGGTTGGCGGTGGTGAGGTTGTGGTAGCCTTGGGCGTGGCGGACGCAGTGGATTGTTGGGGTCATGGTTGGTTTGGGTTTCGGTGGGAGATTGGTAGAAATGGGTGACCGGTGCTGCTGGTGTTGTTTGGCGGTCGAGGTGAGATTGAGCCTGGGCAGCTGCCAGGAGCGTAGGGAATGGAGGAATTGGTGAAGAGTAGAGAACGCCAGGTTGAGAGATTGAAAAAATCAAACAAAGAAAGTCAAGTGGTGGCCAGTGCCGCTGCGGATGACTCTTGCTGTGTTCCAACGCGGTGGTGTGGATTGATAAGGATGAGGGTGACTGTTGTCCGTACCTTCTTTTCCCACTAGAATGTGCCTACAGGCGGTGAACGCAACATGACGAGGATCACGGGCTGCTACTGCTCATTCCACTGCTTCATGTCCGAATGCCGAAACCCATCTTGTGACTGTTTCCTCGTGAACGTTTCCAGAGCAATGGGTGAGGATTGCAGAGCAGGTGTGAAGCACGATGTGGAGGTGAGGCTCAGGATTGGCTTTCGACCCAAAATCTCACATCGGCAGCGCCTTGCGCCATCCTCGGCCGACATCCCAGGGATCCCACCCACCTGATCTGCATGTATCGGTTGTTGAGTCGAGGAAATATCTCTCGCCCGCATTGCGATATGGCACTTGAAACATGGTGTGCAGATTTGTCGAACTTCGCATTGGTCCACGACTACTGCCAGGACCAGAGCTGCCTCACTGCTCAGCCCAGCCACTGTTGCACCACTTCGAACAACGTTGACAGTCGTCCATTTTGCTCCTCAATCAGTGTTTAGTATTCCCGATGGTCTTATCGTTCAGACTCCTGGCGTAGCGCTGGTAACATTCGGAGAGCCTGGTACGGGCTTCCTCGAAAGGCCACGCTGCATCGGCTGTGTCGGAGTATTCATAGTCGATTGAACGTTAACCGTCACATTTAGGGATTGTCCACCAGGGGCAAATGGATCCTGTGCCTGGACAGACTCTGCTCTTGACTGCACTCGCGCCTGCTGAGCAATCTCGACAATTCTGCGAGCCTGCGTTGTCCTCACCCGGATTTCCAGAGAACTGCCTTTCGTGCCAGTTCCAGCAACGCCCAGATGCACCTTGAAGATGACCCTATCGTTCTTGTCGCTCGTCACATCCACTGCTTCGCGCCATCGTGCATCACCGAGTGGGATATCGATCTTCTTAGCGCCCATGGCCATCACAACCAAACGCGCATTCGGGGTCACTGCTACGCCGGCGCGCGTGGGATTGTGCGTGTATTGATTCGGCTCTCTCGAGATGTAGGACGCGTCCAGATTCTCTTCGAACACGAGAGGGGAGGTAGCCAGAAGCGCGTCGCGAAGCTCTGGTGAGAACCGCGACTTGGAGATCGGAAGGATACGTGAGAATGATTCCATGGTTTGTTCGGCAGTCCAGACATCAATGAGGTGATCTTGTCAGCAAGGTAGTGGAGAGGGCGAGGGGGCATGCTCTTTATGAGCACCGCGTCCCTGGACAAGATCGTCATCCATGGCGAAGGATACGTATGCCTTGGCAGCTTTAGCTCTCAGCTGGATACCGAGCAGGAAGCCGGGTCAATGGAGTTGATGGTGAATGTTTTGAGAAGAACAGAGAGGAGGGAGCATGCGAACACAAACATGCAGGCGCTGACTAATGTTGCACAGGGATCGCGTTGTGATCCTTGCGGAGCCAACTTCGACTTCACATCTTCGTCTTCAACGTCAACAACATCAAAACGCATGCATCACTGAGACATGTCCAGTTCATCGAATACGTGCTGGAAAGCCGTGACGCTCTAGGCCGAGTCATCTCCATACTTCTGCAAGCTCGACTGCAATGCCAGAGACTCGCGGCACCGCCGTTCCTGTCGAGATGGCAGCCAACAATACCATCTGGAGTGTTACCTTCCGACATTGACAAAACAGATAGCGAAGATAAGGCATTTAGATATCGCTAGCCAAGGGAATTGATGGCTGCATACTCAAGCCACTTACAGCAACGATAGACGCCGCCAATTGCCGGATCAAGCAGGAGCAAGCCCACCTTCGGCAGTATAATTCTTTAGGCGAATGGTCATCCAATGATGCTCATCGCCTATAGAGAAGATCATCCGGCCAAGAGAAATGCCCAGGAGCCTTTTCCGGAATTTTTACTACATTGCCTTATAGATCCGCTGCACGTTCATCCATGAGACGACGAGAACTGTTGCGGCCTCAATGCAACGATGATGATCTTGCAACTACGCTGGATGGTTTTTCTATTCGAAGAGAACATAGTTAAGTATATATGGCGTTTTCGAAAGATCCGTTCCTCACACAGTTGTCAACGACTCGACCTTCAATCTACTTGCTCTCACAATGCTCTTCACAAAAGCCACCATTCCAGCGCTGCTTGTGCTTGCACAGCAGACTTCCGCCCAGTACGGATACTGTACTGCTAACGGTCAGAACGGCGTCTGTCAATCTACGAGCTCATGTAGCGGATCCACCACGGCCGGTCTCTGCCCTGGATCATCAGACATCCAGTGCTGCACATATGGACGCTGCACGGCTAGCGGCGTGAGCGGAACCTGCGAGTCTACCGCTACTTGCGATGGCACTCCGTGAGTCAATGTATGCTTATGAACGCCTGCCAAAACTAACATCTGGAACAGCTATTCCGGTCTCTGCCCTGGCTCCTCGGACATCAAGTGTTGTATCCGAGGCGGCGGCGGTGGAGGTGGTGGAGGAGTATGCCCACCGCATGTGCAACCGAACATCACCGACTTTATCAAGCAGTTCGAAGGCTTCTCTGCTACTCCGTACAACGACGTTGCTGGCTACCCTACCGTTGGCTATGGTCATTTATGCAGCACCAGCGATTGCTCTGAGCTACCATACAGCTACCCCATGACTCAAGCCGAGGGAGAAGAACTGCTTGCTGACGACGTGAGAGTACGTTCATTTAGACATTGGAACTCTTATTAGATGCTGACCGCGAAGCAGGAATTCGAAGTCTGCCTAGGCAACGCCATTTCATCTGTCCAACTCAACGCCAACCAGTATGGAGCCCTCGTGTCTTGGTCTTTCAACGTCGGCTGCGGCAACATGCGCTCATCAACACTGGTCAAGAGACTGAACAACGGCGAAGACCCCAATACGGTCGCAGAGCAAGAATTGCCGAAATGGAACAAAGCCGGCGGCCAAGTAGTCGATGGCCTTACTCGACGCCGTGCCGCGGAGGTGGACCTCTTCCAGACGTACACCAGCACCGGAGCTCTGCCGTGCTAGGTGATAGATACTACATGTTGAGACACGTAGCGACCGTAAAAATCTTTCTGGCGGAGTTCGCGGCCATCTACCTTAACAACGATCATCAACAGATTCAATTCGGTATGAAAAATTGCCGCTGAGAAACATATCCTCCTTCACAAGAAGCACTTGAAGAACATGTGTCCGCGATGCTTTCAGCTCTATGCACTAATGCGCGATAGGTAGGCGACATGGACACCTCCATGGCCTTGCTCGAAAAGGCAGCCCGCCGTGTGTTGTTGCCTTCCGCAAGACTCGATGGCTTGGTGACCTGGTTCTGAACACCCCAGCTGATATACTCCACAGAGACACACGCCTTTGAGCCACACGCTGTTCTTTCGCACCGTCCAAGTCCCTGGACACAAGCACTTTCCCAGCTGTGTCCTCGGGAGACTCGAACCAAAGATCGCACGAACGTGTTCAGATGGCCAACACGTGTGCTGTGGCGCGATGCAACAACAATGAGAAAGATCTGGTTCCATCATCAGGCCTCTCACAATGTTGCCGCGCGCACCCATACCACCTTCCACAAAAGGGCTCATCTACGGACCGATCAAACGATCACTGAGGCTGTTACTCTCCACGAGCGACAAAAGCTTCACGAGACTTCAACGGAGCCCACCGCACGCAGCCGTGTAGAGACTCGGACAACAGCCACGTGCAGACGACCCATGTAACGGTATAAAGACCAAAGCAACGAGGAGGACAGACGTCGTCGAGACAAGCTTTTGGCGAAGCCTTTCGTCGTTTTTGAAAATTACTTACTTGAGAAGGAGCATCCAAGTTCATCACCTCTAAGCATTCGGGCCGCTTGTTAGCACGTTCGGGATACTCACTTGGACTAGTGTATTAGTCCACAACTACGCTTTATGCAAACGCAGACACTATGCCAGCGCGATACGAGACAGCGGGACGCCTGAACTCGCTCTCAGAACAACAACAATGATGGCAGCGATGCTCAGCTTTGGCTTTGAGAGGAAATCCGATCTCGAAGATGGATTATCAACCAGCTCGACAGTTGCTGCGAGTTGATCGACGATGTCACTAACAGCGAACGAGACATGCTCCGACGACAATGGCAAGAGATCTGCTCGCGAGCGACTATAAAGAAGTCGAGGATTTCCCTCCTGGACGCAGATGATAGAGCATCAAGACATTCCAACTCCCGCAACGAGACAAAGCAAACCCCAGAGGAAGAGTACGTCCTCCACCGCGGAGCACAAGCGAAACAACTTTCTTACTCCTTGACAGATCCTAGCCACAATGCAGTTCACTCAGTCCTTCCTGGCTCCAGCAGCCCTCACTCTCCTCGCCCTCGCCCAAGGTGTCCGCGCCTATGATGCCGTTACGATCCAAACCTGGGTAAGTTTACCCCCCATAACGTAAGAACATCCAGGGATCACGACTAACACCTTTCTCTGCGAATAGGGCCCCGGAACCGACTGCGGCGCCGACGTCTACGGCGAGCAGCAGTACCCGGACACCGGCGAGAACCAGCAATTCACCGCTCCAGGTCTCCCCCCGGGCGTCACCGAGTATGACATGAGGGTCGAGTCCGGCGACACGCTTCCCACGATGTACGTGTGCCCTTCCAACACCCCCGAGGGCGACTACACCAACTGCGCCGAGATCACGACCGGACCGGACTATGGAGGTAGCTATGTCGATTGCATCCACGTCCACAATGCTCCGCAGATTCAGATCGCCGAGTAGAGTGATGGGGGCATGCTGGGGCAAGAGGAAGGACACTCGCTTGGGTCGTACGGCTGGGAATGTGTTGGTGGACCTGATGGCCCGCGGTAGTGCTTGGGTCTGGAGACAAGCGTGATGTCGTTCTTAATGCTGCAATGATTGAAGAGAGAAATGAACGCAACGGGCTTGCCCTGACTTAACATCTCAAATTACCTACGTCTTTCTTTCTGAAGGCTTTCGACTGCCTCAGGTTTGGAAGATACCTCAGGTTTGGACGACTGCCTCAGGCTTGGACGACTGCCTTGCCAAGGTTGAAGGTCTAGTTCGACATCCTACCGTACAAGTCGCCCTCTCCCAGAAGTTTGCTGTCGCCTAAGCTCCGCCATGTCACACTCCCTAGGCTAGAGGCTTTACATTCTGACACTATTAGCAGTAGAGACGTCTTCTCGACTCAGGGTGCTGCGGGTACCTGCGTTGATGGAAGTCCTGGATTGCCGAAACAATTGCAGCAGACAAGTGTCAACTTTGAACTCTATCGTGCCTCTTCACATGAAGTCCATCAGCAAGAGTAGTCAACGACACTACCAAACGTCGGCCAGTTCCGTACGGCTGCAGGCTGAGCATCACACCTCGTCAGAGATCTGAGATCGTCAACATTAGGCAGACAGTTCGGAAGAACTCGCAGCCATGTTGGCATGTTGGTGCCACAATTTCATCGCCTTGTACTGCGCAGGCCAATCGCACAAAGCCGCAGATCAGTAGGGGTGGTCGCAGCTTTCGAGCATGTGACAGTCGACGCCACAGCAAATTCTGCCGTCATCGTGACGTTTTCTCAAAAAGGAGAATGCGAACACCTCCACGCTCCACCAGACGCGCTCCACAAACCGAGCATGCGGTCCATCGAGCCTCATAACCCTCCTCGCAGCCAATGAGTGCGACGATAAGGCAATCTTTTGGTCGTTGGATGCGTTCTGCCTAGGGATCTGTGATCTGGGCTGGCCATGACGTGCGTTGCCAGTCACGTCTTGAGACGCGTGCACGCTCATCATCGTCGTGGATGTGCGTGTCGCCTTGGAGGGGCATCATCGGCGGGGTCTCTATCGTGCTCGTGCTCGTGCTGGATGTGTGTTGGTAGGTGTTTATAAGAGAGGTCTTTTTATTTGTTCGCAGCTTTCTCTTTCTTCCCTTGAACATCGCATCAACAGAAATATCACACTTACACCACTTCAAACAAACCAACCAGTCAACACCGCCAACATGACCGACAACCTGTAAGTATTATCTGACCAGCAGGCCATCGTCGCTTGCTTGGACATGTGAGCAGTTCTGACACCCTCGCAGCCGCCAGAGCACCACTGACAAGCTCGAGTCCAACCTCAAGCCTGACTCCCAGAAGTCCACCCTCGAGCAGGCACAGGACTCCGTCAAGGGCACCGCTGACTCTGTTGCCGGCACCCTCCAGCCACGTAGGCATACATACCATACAACCAAGTAGCATCACACTGACACGTCATGCAGAGGGCGAGAAGTCTCTCGGCCAGAAGGCTACCGACACCGTCTCAGGCTCTGGTGGCGATGCCACGCAGCAGGGCGAGAGCTACTTGAAGCAGGCCCAGGATGGTGCCACCAACCTCGCCAACCAGGCCAGCGACACCCTCAGCTCTGGCGCCAAGCAGGCTCAGGACGCTCTGGGCTTGAACCGTAAGCTGTTCGACTGTTCATCATTCCTGACACGTGCTGACAACCATTGGCAGAGCAAAAGTAGATTCTCATCTACTCTTCGGCCGCTTTACCTCGATACCCATTCCATGAAGACGGCTTAGTTTTTTACTGCTTCCTTGGTTCAGATTGAATGAATACCTCTTCGTGGTGGACTTGAACACGGCATCTGAGATGGATTTTCTTGGGTCTATTTCCTTGGGTTGATTGATATCCCACAGATACGATGGAATGAGCGACGGTCGTAATACCAGTAGCATAGGTCCTTGAATATCACAACATTGGGACGAACTTGATGATTCCTGTCGTGTGATGCAAATGTTGACGTTGTTGTTCAAGTTGGCGTAAAAGTCGGATCTTAGGCGCCGAGGCATCAGATAAAAGCTGATGCCTCAGGCCACAACGAAGACCAAACGATCTGCAGCACTGGCACTTCGGAATTTCCAGGAGCAGGACGAGATCCCAATGCGCTTCACGAAACAATCCTCCCACGCCTCCATCACATACAAATACGCCCTGTGACCCTCATACCACTCCTGCCGGCCATGTTACGGACATCCATCCCTCGAGTCTCTGCCTCAGAGCTCCAACTCGCCCGCGCGTTCTCATCCCAGAGCTCTCAAGCAATCCCCGCCACGAGAAGCTTCACTACTACTGCACCTTCGCGACCCATAGATCGACGACCGCCTCACCGATCTCCCCCCCTCTTAACCTCTACATCACCCGCGAGAACGTTCACGAGCACCGCAAAGATGGGCCGGAAAGAGAGCGATGCCTTTGGCGAGATCGAGGTCGACGACAAGGTCTACTGGGGAGCCCAGACCCAGCGCTCCCTGGGCAACTTCAAGATCAATCAGCCTCAGGACCGCATGCCACCGCCCATTGTGCGAGCGTTCGGTATTCTCAAGGGTGCTGCGGCGACAGTCAACATGAAATTCGGCTTGGACCCGAAGGTTGGCCAGGCTATTCAGCAGGCGGCCGGCGAGGTTGCTTCGTTGAAGCTGGTGGACCATTTCCCTCTGGTTGTCTGGCAGACTGGATCGGGTACTCAGTCGAACATGAACGCGAACGAGGTCATCTCCAACAGAGCCATTGAGATCTTGGGCGGACAGATGGGCAGCAAGAAGCCGGTGCACCCGAACGACCACGTCAACATGTCTGCGTCGTCGAACGACACCTTCCCCACGGTCATGCACATTGCGGCTGTTCTGGAGTTCGAGGAGCAGCTCTTGCCTGCGATCAAGAACTTGAAGGAGGCATTGAGGCACAAGGCTGAATCTTTCGAGAAGATCATCAAAATTGGACGGACACACTTGCAGGATGCTACTCCTTTGACTCTGGGTCAGGAGTTCAGCGGATACGTGCAGCAGCTTGAGTACGGCATTGAGCGTGTTGAGTCTGCTCTGCCACGTCTACGATTGCTCGCTCAGGGTGGTACCGCTGTCGGTACTGGCATTAACACTTTCAAGGGCTTTGCCGAGGATATTGCCGCCGAAGTCACTAAGACGACCGGCCACCAATTCCACACCGCACCCAACAAGTTCGAGGCTTTGGCTGCTCACGACGCGATCGTCGAAGCACACGGCCAGCTGAACACTCTGGCTACGTCGCTTTACAAGATCGCACAGGACATCCGTTTCCTCGGATCCGGCCCACGATGCGGTCTTGGAGAACTCAACCTGCCTGAGAACGAGCCTGGTTCATCCATCATGCCAGGCAAGGTCAACCCAACTCAGTGCGAGTCCTTGACCATGGTCTGCTGCCAAGTCTTCGGTAACCAAGCCGCTGTCACCTTCGCCGGTTCGCAGGGTAACTTCGAACTCAACGTCTTCAAGCCCGTCATGATCCGCAACCTGCTGCACTCGTCCCGCCTGCTCACAGACTCCATGAACAGCTTCCGTGAGCACCTTGTCCTCGGTCTGGAAGCCAACGAGGCCAAGATTGCGTCGATCCTCAAGGAGAGCTTGATGTTGGTCACTTGCCTCAACCCAGTCATCGGATACGATATGGCCTCGAAGGTGGCCAAGAATGCGCACAAGAAGGGTATCACGCTCAAGGATAGTGCAATGGAACTGAACGCTTTGAGCAGCGAGAAGTTTGATGAGATTGTCAGGCCCGAGTTGATGATCGCTCCTAAATAGATGATGGCAGACAAAAAGTGTACAGACGGGAAAGGCGAGATATGTGTGCGACTGAGATCTGATGGCTGATGTTTAGTGTAGAAATTCGAAAGCTTATCAGCGCGATGCATTCATTGCTAGCATATGCAACCCAGACATTGCTGTTCATTTCGTCGACTTTACGAAAGTTCATTCTCTCGAACGACTTTATTGGAATAAGGCACTAGTGACTGCCAGAAGCAGACTTGTCCACTACCTGTACGCCTTGTTCATCGAGGGGTTCCCCAACGCCCCAGCTGGGTCTGCACTGCTGCTCGGCCAATACCTTCTCCCGGTCTAATCGCTCGTAGAACTGGGTAGCTCGAGTCGACTTGCCAAAAACGAGATCCGCTGGCCATGTACGCTGTGAAGGCGTTTCCTCCTGCGCGTACTGGGCTTGGAATTTGAAAAAGTAAGACTTTGGGTTCTACCTTGATGCTATGCTAGACTCTAAGTCCCTTTCGAGTCCTTGGGTATCACAATAAGCAACACCCTTGCCTCTGCCCAAGAAAACCATAATAACATCCACCTTTCCCATCTCCCCCATCCCAACCACGACCCGCAACGCTGTCCTCTAATCACTGAATCCCCTCCTCAAGCGCCTTGACCCTCTTCCCCGAAAACGCACCCCTCACATCCCAGCGATCATCCACATCCGCCGAATCGACGACCTCCCAATCCTCATCTTGCAGCTCCTGGCGATCGACGAGAGCTTGATCCACGGCCTTTTTCTTTTCCTGGGATCCAGAGTCAATCAGTACACACATCCACAACCATACAACCATGTTCTACACTTCAAGACATATCGGCTTGCCCTGCTTACCCCCAGTCTTCGAGTACCGCGCAACGGCCTCTTCATGGTAGTCCTCCACCATGGCGTCCGTGACGGTGGCACGGTGGGTGATGGTGGTGATGGTGCGGTTTTTGGCGTCGAGGATTTTGGTTTCCGTTTTTGGGAGGGGGCAGTTGTGGCGGATGCGGGATTCTAGCTCGGGCGAGGGGCGGTAGGTGGAGTGGGACGGGTCGCCGCATTGGAAGGGGGAGAGGGAGGGTGTGGGTCTCTTGGTGGTGGGTGACGAGGACTTGGGTTGGGGTTGCTTGGGTTGTGTCTGCTTGGTTCCCGTTTGCTTGCGGTGGGGTGGGACGATGCTGTTCTTGGACGACATGTTGGTCGGAGGGTGGAGTCTTTGAGTTGCTTGTGCGGAGGTTGAGTGTCGTGTATCGACGCTCGAGGCTCGGGGCTCGAGTTAGGCCTGTGAGAGTATAATATCGAAGCGGTGCGTAGAAGACCTCTTCTTCAAAGCATAAAGACGAAGCGACCGAAAAGCAATCTGCGCGGTGTTTGTTTGTGTCGAGAAGAACAACCATTCGATGAAAGGTAGTTAAAGAGGAGCGAAGCACGGCCCCGTCGCTAGCTGAAACGCACGGCCGCAAATACTACTAGAGCATGTGAATGCAGGTGAATGAATCCATTCACCTGATTTTTGGCGTGTAGCTATGCCACTGCACATGCTATGACACAAGCATAATCGGACGTCTAAGAAGTTCGAACATCTTCTTCGTCTTGTTCAGAGCGTACTGCCTCTTGTAGTCCTCGGTTGACGACTGATGCCCTTGTGTTCATCGAGAAAGTCGGTGGAGTCTTTGCAGTCTTTGGTTGTGGGACATCCAGGCCTCACGCCGCATACGATGTAGCTGACGTCTTTCAGATGTGTTCGTCGACTCGTTCGTATTTGAAAGCAGCATGTAGGAAGATGGCCTTGGGGCTGGTAGACGATGAAGCTCTGTTTCATATTGCGATCCGCGCCTCTATCGCCCTTGAAGCTGCTCGCTATAATACATCCACAAAAGGCGACAAACAGCCAGGTATCTCTATCCCAAAATCCCACCAAACAAACGCCATCATATGCATCATATCTCTCTTCTAAAACGTAAACGTCATCAAAGCCGGATTCAACGCAATCGGCAACAACAAATGGCTAACCGCCACCGTGCTCATCGGCAAAATCGCAATGAAATCATCAATCCTCCAGCTGTAAGGAATAAACGGCCCGACGGCCAACACGATCATCATGATGATGACGAAGATGGAAAACGCAAAACTGCCCTTGAACCGCTTCAGGACTTTGGGCACCTCGATGAAGAAGTTGGAGAATTCGAGTTCTTTCGCCGTCGCGCCCCAGGTCATGTTGATCTCGAACATGTGCGAGAGGAGGGCTTGAGAGACGTGGAGGGAGAGGCCGCCGAGGAAGATGGCGAGGAGGAAGGTCCATTTGAGGTTTTCGAGGAGCGCGTTGAAGAAGGTGCGTTCGCCGATGCGGTAGCGCATTACGGCGAGGGAGAGGTTTCCGAGGCCGTTGAAGACGATAACGATGGAGAACCACACTTTCCAGGAGTCGATGTAGTATTTGTCGAGGTAGCCGTTAAACCAGCCTATAGCGAAGTAGTTGGCGACGGTCAAGATCCAGGCGGCGCCGATGGCGTAGTAGGTGCCGATGTAGGAGATGATTGTGATTTTGGAGGTGATGCGGATGTTGGAGAAGAGGAATTGGCGGAAGAGGGGCGTGAAGGGGCCGCGCCAGAACCAGGTTCGCATGGGGTGGAAGAGGAGTTCGTTGCATCTGAGAAATGAATGTCAGCGGGTGTTGTATTCACAAGAATGGATATCGTCACATACCCATAGGCATACTTCTCCCATCTGGCCAGTTCGTCGTACACCGTCAGGGAGACGCCCTCCTTGAAACCACCCTGATCCCACGCGGCGAGACGGATGATGTAGCCATTGCACTGCAGCTTCAGCGACATCTCAAAATCCTCAGACACGTGAGCCTCAGACCAGAACTTTTCGTAGCCGTCGTCGTCAAAGTAGCCAATCTCCTGGATGGCTGACCATCGCAGAATCGCATTGTGTCCGACGAATGGTGCAACGTCTCCGTTGCTGACCGTGTATCGAATAGCCGTATAGATGAGGTTGGTGAAGAAGGTGATGCCGTTTTCGAAGTAGTTGTGCACGACTTGCATGACGCCGGAAGCGAATTGCATGATGGCCACTTCAGGCGATGCCTCCATCTCACTAACAGCATCGAGCAGACAGTCGGCCGGAACACGAGTATCAGAATCAATGATCAGGATGTAGTCGCCAATGCGAACGTTTCCATCCGCCCAGGCTCTGCCATGCTCTTCAAGGACTTCGCCGAGGCAACGCTCGTATTCGATCGCTTCGTCGGTTTGCGTCCACTCTTCGTGTCGTTCCACTTCCGCGAGTTTGGCCTCGACATTGTTTGAAATCATCAAGCCAAAGTTCATGTTGGACGCCTTCTTGAACTTGCCTTTTCTGACGAAGCCATCGGATCCGTGCTTGGGTCGGGCCGTCCAGCCAATGCAGTTGTCGGCATAGAAATCGATCCTCGCTTGGCGTTCCTCCTCATCCAGGAGCTGCAGACCGTCGTCGTTTACCAGGATGTTCGCACTGCCTCCTTGCATCTCATAAGTCGAAATGGCGGCCTTGATCGATTTGACAGTTGGTGCGATGACGGATGCGAGACCTTCCTTGTACACGGGGCACTGGATCGTCATGTGGGGCAGCGGGTTGCTGGTCAGCCTTACTGGAAGCATGGCAGAGTAGAACCGGCTATTCTGTTTCATCTGTTTGATGGGACCGATCATCTGAGCGAGACACCCGACGATGACTTGGGCGAAGAACTGTATTCCGGTCAGCCAGGTTCTCTTTCGCCACTTCAGCCAACTTACCAGGGTGAAGAAGACTTGAATGGGAGTCAGGAGGATAAACGCGCAACGAAGATACTGCTTGTCAACCACCACCTCGACCGCGATTTGCCTGAAGCCGGCGCCCAACATGGTCGTGACCAGGAAGCTGATTTGCCAGGTTAGAAGAAGATCATGGCCAGAATTTCAAGCGCAACTCACAGCGTGAAACCGACCAGGATGGTATTCATCAAGTGTGTGGGTCTGGCTTCAGGTGCCATTTCTCCGCTCTCTTCATCGACCATGACGGCCGCCACTCGGGGCACCTTCTTCTCATCCATGACGACCTCCTCTTCACCGGCTTGCGGATCGTTCGTCTTCCACACCATGTCGATCAACTCGGATTCGATCGCCTGTGCTCGAGGAAAGAGGTTGGTTGGATCTGGATGCAATGATCAGCTCAGTCAATCATCACGCCGTCCGCGGAGTGCTCACCATCATCCCAGACCACCAACAGGCCATCGTGGGCAACGAAGGCCGCGAACTGGAACTTCCTTGCTCGGACAAGATCGTCCATCGTCGGTAGCACCTGCACTCGTAGGCCATTTTTCAGGGGCACATCCACGGCATTCGGAGCCCATGACAGGAAAGTCTTGATCACTCGGCTGTTGACAGTCATGCAGCAAGGAAGATTCAATGCAGTGACCGCATAGCCAAAGGCTGAATCCACGAGGTCTGGCGGACAAGCAAGATACTGGTCTCGTGCCTTACGGACAAGTACGCCCTCCTTCTCGCCAGCCCCGTCGCCGATCCATCGAGCTGTACATTGTTGCTGGAAGAGGTAGTTGACCTGCACTTCTTGCTTGAGTTCAGACATGAAGTTGGACTTCACGGAAGACTGCAGCGAGGCTCGAGATGTACCGTAGCTGTACGATCCATACGGCATGCTTCCTGGCGTGGGCGCACCAGTTTCGGCTCCATCTTGCGGTTTCTCGCTTTCTGGAGCATCCTTTTGGTCCTGTTTCTTGGAAGATTTGAAGTAGTTCTTTAGCCCCATTGCTGCTGATGTAGCCTTCCAAGGCTGTAAAATGGAACTACTCCTTGAGGCTCAGCCAGGAAACCTGTCCTGTGTCAGTCGCAAACCATCAACCAACAGTGGACATCGTTGGGTCTTACCTCTGAATCGAGATACTGATTGATCGATCTATTCCAAGGGATTGATGCTGATATCGATGTCAAGATGAACGACCTTCTGTTGCAAATGCGAAACGAGAGCAAGACAGCACCCAAGCAGTCTACAGGAAAGAGTGACTGATCTGCAATGGCTTCCTACGAGGCGCCCAGCGAAGGAGGACTAGGAAAATATGCCACGAGGACCACGAGGCGCTATCATGGCGCACCCGCGGCGTGTCTGCAAAGTCAAGTCCCATAACGGCCAGCCTCTATCGCATGCGTTGTCTAGACCGTGTTTCGCGACAGAACACACCTAGCGGAAAGTATGGAGGAGCATGCCATGTGAAAGAAGCCTCAGGACCGGGCTGTAATGCAAGCCATCGCGCCTGTGCTGACGGCTGGGCAGCTTCCATCGTACCTGGACTGGACGGGGCGAGGCATCCCAACTCAAAGTAGGACTCAACGCCGGGTCTGCGCTCGATGAGCTCCGCGACAAAGTGCTGAGCTCGATGCTAGCCCAAGAGAAGGATGGAGAGATTCCAGAAATGGCCGTGCAGGAGTCAAAACAGTAGTCTGTCAGAGAAGCTCGAGCTGGAATTGGCTGGAAGGAGCGTGGATGCATCCATGCACACGATGTGCCTTAAGTGCATGCATAATAATGAGAGCCACTTCCCAACTGGGATGGTTTCGTCCAAGATGGCAGGCCGCCCTTCTTCGAGCTAAGAGGCTAGCTCCATGCGTCTGCATCTACATGCCCCGTGCGAGTATACAGGTCCGGGGACGGCGGACTTCAGCGGCTATGGACGTTCCGCCTGCGCTGCTTCAGATGTGAGGTTTGTAAGGCGGTAGTTCGGGCGAGTCTAACCGTCCTGCTGGTGTTCGGCATTTCTCTCGTTGGAGCCTGGTTCCATGGGACTGAATCTGTCGGCTCAGGGACAGCTCGAACTCGGCTAGGCTTTGTCATTGGTGGTCTGGCAGATGAACGGGACTGATCATGCGTCCGCTTAGAGAGAGTTTTGAAAAAGCTCTGAGAGCAACCGAAGTGTAGTCAAGCTCGGGACCCGGCAGTAGCGAACGGTGTGTCGTGTTCGACGGGCACTGCCTTGGCGCCACAGGTGTCAAGGACGTTGCGATTGTACGAGCCGTGCGAGCGCCACATACCAAAGCAGGAAAACAGCAGTCTGTCCCAGTTCGGCTCACGCTCACGCAGTGATAGCCATTGGCCGGAGACTCTGACCGTCCAAACGCGCTCCTCTGCACCTGCATACTGATGACTTGGACTGTGGATGGTTTGGCGTTGTTTGGCTGGAAGACGATCCAGGCTTCACGTCGACAACAAGCTTCCATCTCAATCCCACGCCTCGTGGGAAGAAGCATCTCATCGCAACGTCCATAACATCAGCGATTAAGCACGTGTCTGCCGGTGATCAGTCTAGCCTTTCCGTGGGGCTGGGAGCGTCTGCCGTGTCGCCGCCGAAACGCCGCACGAGAAGGGCGCTAAAGACAGCGACAAAGCGCCTCTTTGCGGAAAGCTCCCAGGAACGAGGTCTCAAATGGGAAGGTGAATTTTCGCTGCTTGCCGTGTTGAGCATTCGCAGGCCGCATCTGACAGGTTGAGACAAATCGTCGCAGCGGCCTCCAGGCGCATTTGCAGCAAGACGTATCTTGTTTGCCAGCGCTTTGCAGCCGCTGATGCGCTGATCCGGGCGTCTCAACCGATTGTTCAGCCACAGCGTGAAGTTGGAATGACTCCAGAAACCGGGCTATGAGGTCCATCTGTCAGATCCACCAGGATACTGTCAATGAAATGTTTGACCAGGGTGTGCGGCTATTTTGGTGCTCTGATACTGCATCGCTGCCATCTCATGTGCAGTCCACGACAGGCAGATAGTGGGAGGGATTTTCGATAGCGCTGCTGGGGAGCACCCCACGCTCGTGTCTTGTCAGACGTTTCCAGACTCCAGTCGCTGTCGCTGCTGGCCATCTGCCTCGCTGGCCTGCCAGCGCTGCTCGCTGCCGCACTGAGACATGCTGCCCTAAGACCATGACATTCGAGGACATTCGTGATGCCCGCGGACGTCCTCGCGGCGAAGTCTATGCGGAACCAGCACGTCCAGCGAGTGGTACGCACTGGAGAGAGCCGAGCAGCGATGACAATTGGGCGGGAGGCGAGTGCGAGGATGGGCAAGGTTTGAGAGCCCAGTGCGGATGAGGCAAGGCGCGAGGCGGCTGCTGTCGCCATTGCAGCGGGCCGCAGCGCTCGATCTCGACGCTCGGCTCATCTCCTGCCCAGTCTTCCGCGGCCTGCTGGACGTCGTCTCGTGCTAGCTGCGCGGTGTCGCATCTCAAGCGCAATCTACGTGCGTCAAACTTCGTCCAAAGGAAGCAAAATGTCCTCGCCAGGAGGCCGGGATTCGATCCAGCAGGATGCCATCCCTCTGTCGCCGCCGCCCGGACCTGGTGCTCGCCGCCGCAGTTGGCTGGGAAGCGTCGCAGACTCACTCCGGGCCTGAACCCGCCTCTGCGACGACACGGCACAGTGCAGCAGTGGCAGCGCGAGTGTCAGAGAAGTCTGTAGTCTGGACGGCGCAATCGCGAACATCTCCATCGCCAGCGTCGCCGTAGGGGCAGGGAAGAATGCAGGCTCCCGGGACATGGCGTCGTCAGAGACTCCCAGCGGACCGAGTTCGAGCTTTGGGCCGCCGAATGAATTTGATACAGCTCTCGCTGACATGGCCTAGCCCCCAACTCTATGCCCTCCCAATCGAGTAGTCGACCCCCTCTAGTGTGCCTATTCTGCTAGCGGACATGGCGGCTACTCTCCTTCCAGACAACCTGTGCCGCCATGCACGACTCGGGGCCATCTTCGCTAGCATCACTCAACAGATGCCTCGTCGTTCCAAGCTCTCGCGGCGTCTGAGGCCTTCTCTGCACCTGCAGCCATGCGCTTGATGTGATACCAGCGACTCGCCCTTTCTGGCCGGTTGCCGAGACCTCGTTCTTGCACATGCGGTAGGTCAACGGGCCATCCGAAGCCAATCTTCCCAACTGAAGTCCATGAGCCTGGCCGTTGGCGATTGTTCCAGCAGGGCTGCTGCTTCGCTGCCGCGGTGCCTTTATCACCTCCCAGCTTTGGCCCTCTGGGAGGAATCATCAACTCCCACTTGCCCTCCCAGCGATTTCTTCCTGTTTGCTGGTCACTGTTCGTTTGCTGTTCTCTGTCCATTCGCCGTAGCCGCACAGCCCATTCGTTTCCTCCTCTCCCATCCATCTTGAGGCATTGACGTCTGTCTGCCTGCGATGGACTATCACCACGGCACGGCCACCACAACGGCCACCAACAGTCCCCGCCCTGGCACGCCAGACGAGAACGACCACATCGAGCCCGCTCAACAACACAACCCCTTCCAAACCCCGTACGGCTCCATACCCGCCTCTGCTGTCGGCTCGTCGACAGGCTTCCAAGTCCAAGCACCTCCAAGATACTTCCACTCGAGAAGAATAAACCGAGCAGAGATTGAAAAGCCATGGCTAGACAAGAAGGATCCCAAAGAGAAATGGGTCACCATCATCCCCATCCTTGGCATGGTGCTCGGTATTGCCCTCACCGGCTTCTTGATCTATGAGGGTCTGCAGACAATCTCAAACCACGTCTACTGCCCTGTGCTGGACGAAGACTTCTCTGGAGGTCTCAACCCCAAGGTCTGGACGAAGGAAGTTGAGGTTGGAGGCTTTGGGTAAGCATACTCCATCATGATCGTCGTCGACTACGACTAACAACATCTTCTAGCAACGGCCAGTTCGAGCAAACCACCAACACCGACGAGAATGCTTTCATCCAAGACGGCATGCTTCACATCAAGCCCACCCTCCAAGACCAGAAGCTCATGGAATCTAACAATGTCATCAACCTGCTCAAAGACGGTTCTTGCTCGTCTGATATCTGGTCCAACTGTGTCGCTGTCACCAACACCACCAACGGCACCGTCATCAACCCCGTCAAGTCCGCTCGCGTGAGCACCAAGGCTGGTCCCCGCATCAAGTTCGGCCGTGTCGAAGTCGTCGCCCAGATCCCCGAAGGTGACTGGATGTGGCCCGCCATCTGGCTCCTCCCCGCCAACGACACCTACGGCCCCTGGCCCGCGTCAGGTGAAATCGACATCATGGAATCCCGCGGCAACAACTACACCTACCCACAAGGCGGCAACAACATCGTCTCCTCCGCCCTGCACTGGGGACCTACCTCGAGCGCCGACGCCTGGTGGCAAACCAACGTCAAGCGCGAAGCCCTCCACACGACCTACTCCGCCGGCTTCCACACCTTCGGCCTCGAATGGACCGAGAAATACCTCTTCACCTACATCGACACCCGCCTCCTCCAAGTCCTCTACACGCCGTTCAACAAACCCTTCTGGCAACGCGGCGACTTCCCCGTCGCAGACTCCAACGGCACCCGGCTTGTCGACCCGTGGAGCCAGACGGGCCGCGACGCCACCCCCTTCGACCAAGACTTCTACCTCATCCTCAACGTCGCCGTCGGCGGCACGAACGGCTGGTTCGAGGACGGCGTCAAGAGCAAGCCTTGGGTCGACGCCAGCAGCACCGCCAAGCGCGACTTTTGGAATGCCCGCGACCAGTGGTATCCCACGTGGGAGAAGAACGGCCAGATGGTCATCAAGAGCGTCAAGATGTGGCAGCAGCAAGGTTACAATGGCTGTTAAAGCACTACTACTGCATGAAGTGATGTCGTTGTTTGCTATGAAAGAGGCGTTTTCTGGATTGGGGTCGGGTGGCGTTTAGATCATGAGGGGCTTTTGGGGGACTTTGACTATACTGGAAGCAGATGATACCTGGATACCAACCAACCCTACTTGAAGCATGCAACATTTCCACCGCCACACGCACTCGTTTTTGGGGGGATATGGTTGTTGCTGTCATGTATCATTAACGAAAGGAATGACCACGTGGGATAGAAACACTTTGGAGCTTTGTTTTCATCCTTTAGGCCAAGAGTAATGAGAGTTAGCGAGAATGCATCGCATGTTTGTTCTAGATGTCCTTTTCTGTCCCGTCTTTTCATGTTGGTTCGTTATCTAAAGTTCTTCTGTCCGCGGCACATACATTCTCTATCTACACCACATGGCCATCTTTTCTAAACATCGACGAAACACGAAAGGAGTTTGAAAGCCAGCAGCACTTGGCAGAAGTAAACTCTCGCACGAAGCTGAGGAATCGACGTCCTGATCCCAAGCACGTTGTGGCGTCTGATGAGGCTTTCAGCGGCACGCAACGAACATCGGTGGCGACGCCTCGCTGCCCTGCCCTGCCGTGCCGTTGCCATCTCCATACCCCAGACCCAGCCATGCGCACATCCCCAGTCCCCAGCCACGTGCGCAGGGACGGGAAGATCAACGCTCTCCTCTCATCCTCTCTCATCACATCACAACCTCACCTTTCCCCCAACAATCCCCTTCCAGTCGCTTTCAGTAAAAGGCACATAAGTCTCCCCACCAGGCCTCACCCAAAGCACCACATCCTCGGGCCCCGCACTCCCCTCTTGAATCTTCCCCAAATCAACCCCTTCCTTCCTCAGCGGCACTTTATTCTGCTTATTATTATGCATCGGCGTCGGACTCTTAATCACCCTCAGAAAGATCGGCAACGCATACTTGGGCAGTCCCTTCCGCGCATGGCGCAGAAAGTCGGCGTAATCGAACGTCCCGCGTTTGTGCGGTTCGATGTAGAGGGCCGCGCAGCCTGCTCGCCCGTCGTGCCCGGGCACTTCGACGCCGTAGACGTTCGCTTCGACGATGTCGGGGTATTGGCCTAGGACTTCGGCGACTTGGGCCGTGGACACGTTCTCGCTCTTCCAGCGGAATGTGTCCCCGAGACGGTCGAGGAAGAACCAGCGCCCGTCGGCGTCGCGGCGCAGGGCGTCGCCCGTGCGGTAGTAGACATCGCCTTTCTTGAAGACGTTTCGCTCGAAGCGTTTTTCCGTCGCGGAGGGGTTCTTCCAGTATCCGACGAAGTCCTTTTCTGTTTTGCACGCGACGAGGATCTCGCCGCCTTCTTCGTAGGGCTTTCGTTTGGCGAAGCCGGTTTGCGGGTCTCGCCAGATGGCGTCGCCGTTTTCGTAGTCGATTTCTACTGGGATCAGGTGGTTGCGGGTTTGCCAGCGGCGGAGGGCGCCGTGGTGACCGACGTGAGCGACGTGGAAGGGGCCACGGCAGACGTTGAGGAGGGAGAGCATGCCTTCGGTGGAGTTGAAGAATTCGTTGACGCAGGGGATATTGAAGCGTTCTTGGAACTTGACCCACACGTCTGGCCGCATGCCATTGCCGTACATTGTTTTGAGTTTGTGGTCTCTGTCGAGGGGTGATGGAGGGGCGGCGAGGAGGTAGCGGGCTGTCTCGCCGACGTAGACGAAGGCGTTGGCGTTGGAGTCATGGATGTCTCTCCAGAAGTTACGGACGCTGAACTTGCGACCAATGGCAAGAGTGACGCCCGTGATCATGCATCCTAACGCAGTTGTGCCCCCAGTGCCGTGATAGAGAGGCATGCAGTCGTACCAGACGTCGCCTGGCTTTAGACCAGTGGTTCGCAACCGAGGTGGACCCAAGACCATTGCTCGCTGTGTCTCGAAACCACACGCCTTGGGGAATCCCGTCGTGCCTGACGTATAGAACAAGAAGATGGGGAACCGTCCAACCACCCCATTCCTGTAGGTATTGTCCAATCGCTCTGTCGAGTATGTCCTGATCTTCGCCTTGGCCGCAGCATCAAGCAGGATAATGCGCATGCCCAAAGCCTCAATCTTCTCTTTCGACTCTGCCACTCGTTCCTGGCACCCGGCGTCTTCATCTACCAAGAGTACTTTGCTGTCTGCGACTTTCAGACAATGCACCAAGCCCTCTCCTGCAAGATTGTAGTTGATCAATGCTGGAGCACACCCAACCTCCCAGCAGCCCAGCAAGTTGAACATGAACTCAGGTGAGTTCTGTAGATAGGTCCCCACGAGCTCGCCCGGTCGAACACCATTGTCGAGGAGGAATCGTCCGAATTGGTGACTGAGTTGGTATGCTTCTGTCCACGTGTATGTCGTGACGGGTTCGTCGGGTTGTGTGCGATACCATATGCATTGTGTGTCTTGCAGCTTCAATGCCTGCTCTTCGAACTTATACCAGAGGGAGAGTTTGTTCTGCTTGGCTAAGGGGGATGTCAGTCAAACGTAACCGTCTAAGAGTGACTAACCTCACCTCGTTGCTGCGTTTCCTTGGCCAACTGTTTCTGCTCGCGAATGACGGGGAGATCAGTAGAGATGTGGTACTTGGCGTCGAGGTAAGCTGCTGCGGCACCAACGCCTGCCACAGCTGCTGCTGCGCCTGTCGCTGTTACACATGAAAGTCAATGCCATGCTCTCCCTGTTCCTGACTCATGGCATGCTACATACCTAGATCCATGGTGCTCGTTTCAAAATCGGAAGCTCACAGCAGTCACAGCGAGACAAGAGGGGAGCAATGTGGATAATGTAAGAGATCGAGTATGCTCAAAACGGTCGCAGGAGCGAGCGTGATATCTTACCTCCCGTCAGCCTTGTATCGTCACATCACGGACGGCATATGAGGTCGGCCTTGTAAGCGCAGCTGTTTCGCAGGCAGATTGAGCGAGACTTGACCTCGGGCGCAGGCGGTAAAGAGCACAGCAGCAGGCCGGTATTTGCTCAAGGGACATGGGTATGGGTTCGGGCCCGCAGGAAAGCTCGGAAAGCGTGACCGAGCAGCCGAGTCCATTGGTAAGAAAAGTCGTTTTCGCGAGCAGACCAGTTCTGTACGAGATCCTGCGTCGACACATTCAACGTCACTTCACCTGGGGTGCTTGAGGATTTGTGATCGTTGGTAACCTGTACGCGCTGCGCTATCTCTGCTCGTTCTTGCATGGGCGCGTTGTTGGGAGAGGGCAACAAGAAATCACCATCCGCGACTCGACTGGACGTTTTCTCTGCCTTGATGGACATCTGGTCGACCACCCTGGCCAGCACAGCGGAGAACAAACGTGTGGATTCAATGGCCGTCTGCATCTCGATAAGAGGAGGGCATACTCTGCGCATGAGGAAGGCTGCTCAGCGATTGCGATTGCGATGACAAGAGAAGAGAAGAGAGATGATACAGTAGCAGCACTGCGCGAAGACATACACATCTTTCGAAATGTTGGCCCGGTAGATGACGACAAGGATATCCTGGCTCTCACGGCGAGATCGATGCCAGATTCGATGTTGCTCGACTTCACTTGCTCACTCCGGCCGAGACAGATGCTCGTCTTGTTCTACGCATGAACATCACCTGCGATCTGCGGATTTGTCCTTTTTTCTTCGTGTTGATGGCGTTCACATCGGCTGTTGTGCGCTCCAGACCCAGTCAAGGCAAGAATACCTTTCTCCCATTTCCTTGCTATGCGTTCTCTTTTCTGGCTACGTTGTTGGCGAAGACGGCATTCTCCTCGAACGGGGGTGTGCATCCCTCAAACGAGCCCTCTCTACCAAAAGCCAACACCCTATTCAGCTTCCACCGCTAAGAGCCATTAACACGCTTCGATGCTCGAATAGTGGAATGCTCGCTTGCTTTACACAACTACTGTCAAATACGCTTGTGGCATTGCAGAGTACGTATCATTGGCCGGCTAAGATCAAAGAAGATCGCTTAACTCCAGCTGCACCCAGCCCTCACACCTCGGTAGCGATGCCCTGGATGCCCTCCATTCATATCGACGCACGAAGAAGTCGCAATTACTCGCCTATAAGCTGGAAACAAGGGCGCATTAGCCACCCAACATGGTATAAGGTCCCATGCCGCGTCTGAATAAGTAAATGCCAATGCTAAAGCTCGTACAGAAGGCTAAATCTGGATAGCATGGTTATGATGCAGACCGACGTCTACTGCTTATAAAAGAGCTCGACGGTTGCACTACAAAGATGATCACTGTGCATCACACATACAACTTGTGTCCCCTCCCGTCTCCTTGCACTAGATCCTTTCAAAGAGGTTAGGGCAAACTCCAGCTTGTACGAGGATACTACAACTCGAAAGAAACCGTGCCTCGCAACAACGCCTTAATCCTGCCAACCTACGACAATGTCCTCAACCAACAGACCGGCCGTCGTCTTCGCCCATGGCGCCTGGCACCAAGGCCTGCACTGGTCCAGCGTAGCCTCCAAACTCGAAGCAGCCGGCTACGAAGTGTCCACACCCACCATGCCCTCCGTCTCAGGAACCGCCCTCGAAGACGCCCTCCACGCCGACAGCGCGGCCCTGAAAACCGCCCTCGAAACCCTCACTCACCAAAACAAAGACGTCGTCCTCGTCATGCACTCCTACGGCGGCAAATACGGCAGCGAAGCCGTCGCCGAATTCCACCTCGATCCCGCCAACACACAACAACCTGGCCAAGGCCGCATCCTGCACCTCCTCTACGTCTCCGCCATCATCATCCCCCAGGGAAAAAGCAACGCCGAAGACGCCAACACCTCCCACACCGTCTCCTTCGAAGACGGCCTCCTGCACCACCTCGAACCCCACCACCGGTTCTACGAACTCGTCCCGCCCGCCACCGCACGGCACTGCATCTCCCACCTCCGTCCCCAGTCGGCCTCGGGCTTCACGACCAAGACGCTCCACCGCGGCTGGGCCGACCACGATATCCCCGTCACGTACCTCGCGTGCAAGCAGGACAAGGCGTTGGTGTATGATCCGGACCTGTTGAAGTTTGCGGGACGGATACGGGATGCGGGGGTTAGGGGCTTCGAGTTGGTGGAGATGGAGGCGGATCATACGCCTTGGTTGAGTCGGGAGGAGGAGTTCATGGGGGTGGTTTTGGGGGTGTTGAAGAAGGCTGAGGAGGAGGCGAGGCGGGGAACGGCGAAGATTTGAGGAGGGTGAGGGGTTGGGTTGGATTTGGACGGCAGGATCTAGGAGCATTGTCAGTGTGCGTCGAATAGGCAGATTTTGGAATAGCCTTGATCAGATATCCTTGATCCCAGAATCCCTGGTTAGGAAGGGAAGCTATGTGTAGCAATTGATGAGCTCTGATAAGATGTATAGTCAACTTGCACGTTTGTGGCTTGTTTTTTTTAGTTAGGTACTGTTGAAATAACTGCAGATAGCCATCCCCTTTCGAGGAGAGTATAAAAGGTATTACTCTCCGTGTTCAACCGCTCACCACCCAGCCCTTGTCCCCATGCATGCATGCAGTAGTAATAAGTAAGTAGGAGACAACACTCATCGCTAAGAGGCAAACAGACGCAATCCGAAAAAACAACCACCCACCCACCCACCAGCATCAACCTCCCAACAGTATGCAGGACGATCGAGCTCACTGTATAGAGCTCAGCAACCATCCAAATCATCACGCACGGCTGTACTTTTGCTCTACACCTTCCTTTTCCTCTAAACCGAGATCACAACTGCGCCTGCGCCCCAGGGACAGCCTCCTCCCAAGACCGCACGTCTTTCCTCTGGCCACGGACATCCAGTGCCCCGCGGACCATTATCGTCTGTCTCTCCCTCCTGAAGCCTTCCACGCCGTAGGCCGCCGGGTCGAAGCGCAGCTCGTTGACGGTCACGAAGCCGTGGCGTTCGTAGAGTGGTTTGGCGGTGTCGGTCGCTTCGAGGTAGCATTCGAGGCCCGCGGCGTCGGCTTCGGCGAGGATGTCTTCGAGGAGCATGGTGCCGGCGCCGTGGTGTTGGTAGCGGGGTTCGGTGGCGACCATGCCGATGTCTGGGGAGGCAAGTGGTGTTAGTGGGTTAGGCGGTTTGAGGAGGATTTTGTGAAGGACATACACATGTGCTGCTTGGTGCCCATGTAATCACGCCGTGACTGCTCGTTCAGAGCAAACCAATCCCGGTTCATTTGCGGATCCTGTTCGTGGCCAATGTCTGCTGGGCTAGCTAGCTCGTCGTAGCTATACGTCTTCAATTCGGTCTTCGCCCAGGAAACAACCTCCCCGGAATCCGCATCTACAACTTTGCGGAATCGGGTAATGTCCACTCGCGGCCTCCAGGATCGCTGAGTCTTGAGCCGGCGTGTGAGAGCATCTGCTTTGGCCATTGAGGCTTCGTAGGATTTGACGGCTCGGTCAAAGTGGGCGGGTTGCTCGTAATCTCGGTATGAGAGGATCTGATTTGTTTTCTCTTCTTCAAAAGCCAGAAACTCGATGTCGACCAGTCGTCGAATATCTTCGTATTTGGCTCTTGCCACACCAAAGGAAGCTGAGCGAGCTTTCCGCCGCGGTGAGCCCTCGGGGCTGTATTGTTCGAGTATGAGAGGTGACATTGCGAGAGAGTTCTTTCGTGGTCTTTGCTTCAAAGGAGAAAGGATGTGGGAGATGTTTGATCTCTCAGCGTTATCGGAGATCCAACAAGTAGTTCAGGCAGTACACAGCAGACTGAGAAGTGGACCTGGACTTGCGGAGGCACGCGCTGCGCATGTTACGCGCAGCAGAGGAGGGGGAGGAGGTGGTTCTTGATCTTGTTCGCAAGGCACCGGAGTGGCGATCCATGGCTCGAGTAGCGACTCCTGCTTGGATATTTAAGAGGGCGACGTCAAGTCACGCGTGCGTTGCGGCAAACGTCAGCCCTGACGGCGTAGGGCGATGGGCCATGGTTGCGTGTGGCCGGACATGTAGTCTCGCGTCCATCCCACGCTGCCTTGCCCGTCCCAAAGGCAATCATGTGGAGGGGAGTCGACCGCAAATAGAAGCGCACGCGATGGATGACACACAGGCAGAGTTCCTGAGCAAAAGCGTGGAGGGTGCAGGAAGGGGAGGCCAGGCTAACTCTTAGATCATCGAAGTGGCCACACGACCAGCCGAGTCTGCGCAGGCCATCAGCTAAACTGTACGACGCTGCCCGCGAGCTGGAGGGAGAGAGGCTCCATAGGCGATGCGCGGCAGGCCAGCAGCCAGCTTTGCCAGCATCGACAACCAGCATGGGTTGCGACTCGGCTGAGGCACAGGGCGTGACCACGCGGGACCTGCGCAAGAGTCTTGACAAGAGGGAGTGCGGTGCTGACTTGACGAATTCCGGAGCGCTGACTGGTTGCTGGCAGTGGCGGTGTTCAAGGTCCGGAGAAGGCGGCCGTGGGAGGTGTCATTGTCGTCTCCACCCCCACGCGAGCGGTGCAGCGTGCATGGAGGCTCGGGCTCGGGCTCTGGCTGCATCGACCGCTGTTCTGCTGCTCGCGCTCTCTGCTGGAAATCGTCCGCCGCCTGCCCGCTCGCATGCGACGGACATCCACTGCTGCAGTCGTGGTTGGACTGCGTGCGAGCTGTTCCCATACAGTCAACTGCTCGCGTGCTCACTTGCTGTCTTGCTCAGCCGTAAGGCCGACGTGGTGCAGCAAGCCTCGCTCCCTGCCTGGCCGAGCACTCCCCTGCTCCAACATCATCTCCCCGCAATTGGCGTGCTGTATGACCAGGACTGCTGGGTTGCTGGCATGGTTGCACAGCAGATTCAGCCCGCGAGACTGGATGTGACGGAGAATGGCGTGAGGGGGAGGAGCTATGGGGTGGGAAGATGAAGGTGGGTTGCAAGAATGGTGGAGAAAGAGAGGAAGAGTAGAGACGTGTGAGAAAAGAAAGAGAGAGAGAGAGCGACGACAAAATGGCTGCCATCCAAGCCCAGCTCGACAGCGGCGCCGTGCCGAACCACATCTCCAACGTCTGCCCAAAGGTGACGCTCAGCGAGTAGTCAGGCGTTATCCAAGCTGACGTACGGCTCAAGGGAACCAAGTTTTGGATGTTGGAAGTTGGCTGGCTCGAAGCAGATGAAGGCTTCGTGGTAAGAGGCGGGAACACCTCGCTCTGGTCCACCAAAGATGCCGCCTTCGTGAACAAGCGCCGCCAACTGCCCATGTACTGCATCCTCATCGACCACCCAATCGAAGGCGTCATACTCTGGGAGACGGGCTGTGGGAAGGACTACCCAACAGTCTGGGGACCACAGGTGTCCGAAATCTTCACTCGTATCAAGTACGAGCCATGGCATGAGTTGGATGCTGCTATCGAAGCCACCGGACACAAGCTGGAAGATGTGAAGAAGATAATCATAGGCCACTTGCATCTTGATCATGCTGGTGGGTTGGACATGTTCCTCGATAGGAAGGACATTGAGATCTGGGTGCATGTGGGTTGTCGTATGTCTTGAACGGAGGCGGTCTGCTCACCAAGCCTAATTTGCAGGACACGGAGTTGAAGTCTGCTTTCTGGAGTGTCGCAACAGGCGCTGATGTCGGAGTCTATCTCAAGCACTACTTGAAGCTCGATCTGTGCAGTCTCCAACCAAGTGTTACTTTGACGGAACTAACACTTCTCTTAGCAACTGGAAGACCTTCGACGAGCGAACTCTAGACTTCTGTCAAGGCATAACCCTCCATCATCTCCCAGGCCACACCGACGGCCTCATTGGAATGCAAATCAACATGCCAGAAAGCGGCACCTTTCTCTTCGTCAGCGACCACTGCCATGTGATCGAGAACTGGCGAGATGGTATTCCTCAAGGCTGGCTAGCCAGAGATCACCCTGCCTGGTATCGTTCACAACCATTTCTTTCAAGAACTCCTTCAGACTGACATATTCTCTCTTTCTCCAGGTTCCGCAGCACCCAACGCCTCAAACAACTCGTCCGTCAAACCCGCGGTCGAGTGATTCCAGGCCACGACGAAGGAACGTTTCTAGAACTGCAAGGTCAACAGAAGAAGAACGGCGGATACTTTACGTGAACGTTTTGAGCGGTATGTAAAGAGTTACTAGTATGTATCTTTTTTGCCTTGTTTACACCCCACACGTACCAAGGCACCGCATCGTCATGCTCTCGCCATTCTTTTCCAACCCACATCCCACTCAGCCGCATCGAGCCGAAAGATTACTCCTCACGAGACAGCCCTGATCTTCACATGCCAAAGCTTGTCCTGTCTACTCATTTCAACGTCCTCACGCAACAAGCACATATCCACAAAGCCTTCACAAATCAATGTACTGTTGCCCTCGTCTTGCCCACCGTCCATCATCACACCAAAACCATCACCGTCACACAAACTCATCGAGAAGTGTCACCGTCCCAAAACAGCTTCTCCAAGCGAATCCTGCAGCTCGCCTCCTCACATTTTCCCCTCACCCCCATCCCACGTGTCTTGCTTCCTTCTGGCTGCACCAGCTGCGTCTTGGCGTATATGCAGGTACCACTGACGAAGCAATCCATCAAGGTGCTCAGAAGGCCCGAATGTTCGGTCACCGGGTTGCTAGTTCGGGGAGGAAGCTGATGAGGTTTTGTTGCTGCTGTTTTCTTGTTTGAAATGCGGCGATGTGTGCTTTTGTGGGTTTCGTGATGATGCTCATGGGATATAGTCATTCGAGCTGGTAGCGAAACAATGCAGTGCTGTGGTCCTGCATCACGCCGCGAGGCGACTCCTCTTTCATCGCTCGGGACACTGCGAGGCTGTACTGACAGCAATGAAAGGGAACAAAGGCCCAAAATCCAAACACGCTTGCAGAAGAAACCTCCCTCAACTCCTCACCCCCCTCCACTCAATATAAGGCTGCGACTTCCTCTGTCGATGCAACGTCTCCAACGCCAGCGCCTCATAATCCTCCAGACTCTTCACCAGCCTCGCCTCATGATTCACCGTCGAAAACGAGGCCGCAGGCGAAGAAGACTCCTCAACCTCATCCTCCACCGAAACGTCCACTCTCTTCGTGATCCCCTCTCCCTCCTCACACACCTCCAGCACATCCCCCTGCCTCCGCCGACCAAACCCCACCATCCCAATCGCATCCCCACCCATCTTCGACTCCCGATTCCCGCTCCGTCCCCCACTCGTCGACCTCCCGCTATTGATCGCCCTCGTGATCGGATCGCTCAAATACCTCCGAAAGAAAACCCTCAAGGCCGGCGCACTCGCGCAAATAATCGCCAGTTGCACCTCCAGCTGACTCCAGACGAAAACATCGAACCCCAGCCATGTAATGTCCCAATGGCTGCCCAGCCTCTCCAGATACACCGTGCGCACGATCCCGGCGACCACGACGAGCAGGCCGAGGCTGAAGACGGCGTTGAGGGCGAGTTTCTGCCGGGGCGTGGTGGAGAGGCTGCGCAGCATGAGCATGGGGAGGAGGACGGAGAAGAAGTCTGTGAGGACGGAGAGGGCGCCTTGGATGGGGTTCAGGATCGTCGTGTCGGTGCAGTGGTAGGTGTGCGTGGCCGTCCAGGCTGGGGAGTAGGATTTCCAGTAGGCCGAGGTGGGGGTGCAGTTGAAGATGAGGACGAGGATGAAGGCGAGGCCGTAGGTGATTGTGAAGGTTATGGCGGCGATGGTTAGGTACTGTTGATGAGAGGGTTAGTCGAGGGTAAGGGTTCGAAGGGTAGGGTGGTGATGGCTTTACCTTCCAGATTCTGTTAAAGGTACCTTGGGTGAGGCGCCGGAAAAAGAGCAGGACGGAGACTTTGGTGCAGCAGGTGCTGAGGACGAAGGCGATTTCGGCGGCCCAGCCGATCAAGGCTGTGTACTCGAACGTCGACGCTCGAACGTCCCAGATGTGTCGGTCCATGCCGTACTTCTCTGTCCCAAGGATGATGAGGACGGTGAAGGTCGTTGCTCCGAGGAATGAGGGTACGAGTAGAGCCTTTGACCATCAGCGAAGCCGTGTTGTCCTTTGAGGATTGTCTTACATCGTCTAAACCCAATGGCCCAGCTTTCATCTGCGCTCTCAGAACCAGCCTCGTCCCCAACATCAAGGTCATGATGCCTTGCAAGATACCCGCATAGGCAGGCATCCACGTTCGACGGACTGGATCATCGTAGTTGGGCGCTACTCCAGATCAGCATCGCACAGCAATATATCTCGACAGTGGATCATACTCGGCCACGAAGCGATGACCGACGGCGGTATACTCTGCAGATTGCCAGGCATAACGACGAGCAGGGAACGAGCACGCGAGAAGAAACTAACATGCGAGAGAAACTGGGTCTGCTAGGCGCACGAGGCATTGAAGAGCAACACAAGCGATGAAGGAGGAGCAACGCCCACAAACGAGGGTGGCGAACGAGCACCTGCAGGACGGATGAGGTGCCCAAAATCGAACCACGCATAGGCACGCCCCTAACCTGTAGCGACATCGTTGCGCCATTCACATGTGCTCGCCCCAAGGATGTCGTCGATCCTACAAGCACTACTGCCAGGGCTGCGTGGTAGTGTGGGCTCGCTAACCAGGCGCATGGGAGTCGTGAAACCAGCACGAGCGCCGTGAGAGTGAGACTCCTCCACATGGACAAGTAGCAACTGCCAACGAGCCATCGCACTCCACTACAGAGGCATGGGAATATGTCGGCCCTGGGGAGATCAACATCGGGATGTCCCCGAGAAGATCTCTTCGTTCCAAAACGACCCAGCACCAACGACTCGAATTCTCCACGCATTGCCATCGGCACCCTTCGTCGGCTGAGAGCAGAATGGAAAATCGTCTCGCCCACACGGCAGATCTCTTCATCACAAGCAAAGGCGTGCGTAGCAAGGGGAGCACCTCGGTAACCCTCGGGAAAAGTCCCTACGTTGCATCCGCACCGCCTGCTGCGCGCGTGAGCTGTTTCCTCTCCAGGCACTTCGTCCGAAATTGAGCGTGCCGCTTCTTCCTCGTCGCTTAGAATCAATATGGAACAATAATTATTAGGTCACTGGGGAAATGTGGTACGCCAGAAAGGCAGTGGCTGAATCTCTGACACGCGAGAAATGGTGCGGCGCGCTCCGTTCATGGGTTCCGCTGATTGAAGTGAATTTTTCTGACGGGTCGTAGGTTCCTCTTCGGGTTGTGTGGCGAAGGTGAGAGTGGCACGTATTTGCCGGCGTTCTGCATGCGAGTTGACGACGATTGCGTATGTTCACGGTCAGCATGACTTGTGCTTCCTGAGGGAAGCATGGCGTGGTGGGCCAAGGCTGATGGGAGAGAGTTATGTCATGAGCGATGGGGAGTTTTGATGGAGAGGGAAGCGTTCCACGTTGATGACATCCCGCGTTGATTTAAGGTTTGACGCTTGCTTTATCTGGGAAGGAGCGGCAAATGACGGCTCACGAAAGGCTTCCTGCATTAAACATTGGCGACATGACTCGAGAGGGACGACTAACGACGACCAAACAATGGGCGAGGCAGCTTTGGATACGGCATTTGCATTACTCTCACCGCTGGGGAATCGTTCATATTGAACATCTAGTCTGGGATATCTTCTTGTGCTGAACCTGTGCTATGTTTCCTCACCATCGCCTCGACTGGACGACAGAAACAGCGGCGGCGGAGGAGGCAGGCTAAAGTCTATGAGCCCGCTCGACTGTGTCTCTCCTACCCTTCGTTGAGATCGCATGGCATACCCTGGAGGCAGCGGGAATGGCGAGCTTGAGAGCGTGTCTGGCCACGCAGGTACCGATTTCTGTGTATAGCCGTGGGCAGAATTGGGTCGACTTCTTGGAGACTGCGTGTCGTCTACAACGGTGCTGATTTGTGAGGGTCGAGGGGCGCCGTTTTCTGCAAAGAAGGGTGCAGCCTTGTTGCTTTTGGCGGTCAACTGCTGGCTGCTGTAGCCAGAGTCGTCCACATCGCCAGCTGGCGATTTGTTTTGGATCAAGCTATTGATCGTGGGTAGTGCGTCCGCTTCCTGAGAGCTTCGGATTCTGATTTCTCCTGGTTGACTCGAAGGGACGACTTCTACCTGTTCGGTGCCATCTTCCATCTCCAATCCCCCATCTGTCTCTGCTATGACCGACCCTTCGTCATCTGCATACTCCTGGTCGGATTCGTACTGTGTATCCCTGCCATATCTTGCAGCATCTCGCTCTAGTGCAGCGCTGACGGGGTCGTAAGTCTGTGGGTATGTCTCGTCATCCATATACTCGTCGTCTTCGTCGCTATCGTGTAGACGAGGGTTTAGGTCGTCATCGGTCTCATCATCAAGGTCGTCCGGCTCCTGGTATTCTGCTACCGATCGTGCTGTTGGCGCCGGTGGAGCTTCGACGTCCTGGTACTCGAAAGCTTGCGGCTCTGCAATTCGAACGGGCTCAGTTACTGCACAGAATTGGGCGTCGTCCAAATCAGGAGGCGTGGATTGACTAGCACGCTTCGGTGACAAGTCAATCTCAGGAGGATCAGAAATTGGCGCCTCCAGTCCCGATTCCGCCATAGTGTGATGTTCTATGGTTGAGTTCATGTCTTTTGTTGAGAGAGGTGCAGACTCTTCGTTCCTTAATACTGTACGATCCAGAGGTGTGGTGTCATCCGGATCTATTAGATCGGAACTGTTTTCCTCGGAATCTTGAATTGTCGTCACGCGCTGCAGTGACCGTCGCCGGCGCTGTACAGGCTGTGGGTGTACAGGCGAGAGATCAGGCGCTGGTAGGTTTCGAATCGGTGATGGCTCTATTTCCAAGTCAGAGGCATCGGATTCCTGAATGGTTGTGATCCACCGTAGCTGACGCTTCCCCGACACAGAGTCCTTCTTAGGAGTGATGGCCAACGTTACTTTCCATGGTGATGCTGGGGCTGGCTTGACATCTTCCTGGTCTGTAGGCAAGAGTTGCGGCTTGATATCGACGTCGTGCATTTCTCCCAGCTCTGGAGACCTTGATCTCTTGAGCGAAGGCAGGTTACTACTACGCTCTTTCAGAGGCGATCGCTCATACATCTCGTGTCTCTTGGGAGAATGCGTCGACAGCTTCAGGCTCGAAGGGGTCTCTGATGACGGGATGACTGTTCGACGTGGTCTCTGAGGCGTCTTCGGATTTGCTGTTGAATCGGCAGTGGTCGGCCTTGTGCTGATTTTGTCCACGTCTGAAGAAGCCGAAAAGGCGACTCGTTTGCGTCGTCGTGTGCTGGCTTCAGAATCCGAGTCATTGTCCAGATGCGCACACAGTAGAAGCTCGCTCTGGGTCTGCGTATGTCCTTTCAATTTTGGCTTCTGGGGCTGGAGCTCAGCGGCCTTTTCTTGTGCGATGTCCCTATCATCCACCGTATCCAGGTCATCCTCGCTTTCCTGACTATCTCTTGCCGCAGCCATGGCCTTCCAGTCCCACTTCTGGGTTAAGGTGGATTGATCAGGCTTTCGGCCACTGTTCTTCTTCGCACCGCTGAGTCGCACTTTCTTCTTCGGCTGCGTCTCTTCGTATTCGCTGATTTCCTCCTCCTCCTCCTCCTCCTCCTCCTCGCTCGAATTAGGAATCGCTCCATCGCTCCGGATATAGTCGATCTGCGTCAAAGTGGATTGTCGCTTTTGTAGAGTCGGAGGCGAATCACGGCGGCGGGTTAATGGCAGGCTTCGTCTCGAGGAAAGTCTGGTCTGCCTCGGCGCCGGTGCGACACGGGCATAAGTTGTCTTCTTCTTGGGCGGCATTGTGATAAGTAGGAGATATTGGATGGGTATGATGGGAGTTGTCGCCTTCTCGGACTTCCAGACGCGTGGGGAGACGCGACGAAAAGCTTGGCGCCGTCATCGGCACGTGATCCGGCCATCAGATGAATCTCGAATTTTGGACTTCACCTCAACCAGATCTAGCACTACCAAGAACAAACACCATGGCAAATGACCTGGACGCCCACGCGAAGCCGCCTGCGAAGTTGCGCGAAGTCTACAAGGAATATCAAAAGCTGAAGCCGGCCGCCTTGACCAACAGGCCCGACCTGATCCAGTTCGACGAGGATACTAGTCCATCGAACGATCAAGTGCTGGTGGCCAAGGGTACTCAACTGCCACAAGAGCTACGGCAAATATTCTTGGACTTTCTCAGCGAACGACCAGAGCATCTGGAAGATATCATGCCTGTTCGACTTGATCAATCTCCCATCTACCAAGTACCAAACCTACCCGGTAAGACTGTCTCCTATCCAATCCATCACTCCAACATCTCTGAAAAAGGTAGGCCTCCTAATCTACCCATCCCTCCTCCAACCCCAACTCCAACTCTCCCTCCTCGACAGACTCCTTCACCGGGACATCTCCAACACAGCCCACAAAACCAACGTGCACCTCCACCACCACGTCCCATATCCTGAAGCATCGGGCACTGGAGTCCCCGGCCTGCGTGCCTCTTATTTCGCCCCCACTTCCTCAGATCTCCTCTTCACCCCGAAGGACCCTGCCCTCCATAAACCCCTCACAACGTCCCAATTCCTCCAGAAGAAACTCCGCTGGTGCACCCTCGGCGGCCAGTACGACTGGACAGCGAAGCAATATCCCTCAGATGCACCGCCGCCTTTCCCGCCAGACCTCAAGGACCTCATCGAGAGGATTTTTCCCATGAAAGCCGAAGCCGCGATCCTCAACCTCTATTCGCCCGGTGACACTCTCAGCCTGCACCGAGACGTCAGCGAAGAGTGCGCGGCGCCGCTGGTTTCGATCTCGCTGGGTTGTGACGCGGTTTTTATTTGTGGGTTGGAGAGAGCCGATGGGGAGGCGGAAGTTGCTGTTATGAGGTTGAGGTCTGGGGATGCGGTGCTCATGAGTGGGGAGAGTCGGTATGCGTGGCATGGGGTTCCGAAGATCGTGGAAGGGACGTGTCTGAAGGAGATGGAGGAGTGGCCTGGAGAGGAGTTTGATGAGTGGAGAGGGTGGATGAGGGGGAAGAGGTTGAATTTGAATGTTAGGCAGATGTTTGCTTGAGCTGGATATACTGTCAAGTAACTATGATCTTGACCACGGAGAACACAACAAAAGACCGAAGTCACGGAAATGAGACGCTTTGGCTGTGAATCGAATTTCGTAAGAAGCTAGCTATCAGATGCTTCGTCTATGAGAGAGAAAATAGGAGCCAAGACCGTTCCATACTCTATGTCTCCTCAAAGGCAGCAAGTAAAGCATCGTCTCATGTAGCTGAGAAGCCTCATCTTCCCACGGCTCCAAATCATCATAAGCCATATCTCCATATCTTACACCCGTTTCGTCGTTTCCCATACATACATGACTTCGTCTATCTTTCGTTTTTGAGTCCATCTTGATCTTGGAAGATGCTCTGCCCTCCTGTTAAAAATATGTTCGGTCTGTCGTGATCGTACCAATAGTCGATGAGGTTGTGGCTCCTGGTGGGCGGTGGTCTGTCGAAAGAGGCCGTGACGCAGATGTCTTTCCGTATGTGGCTCAAATTCTGTACTTTTCGGTGGACGGGAGATAAGATGGGCTCGCTGGGTCGTACTCGATGTCGCGGTCTTTCGGCCGGTGGCGCTCTATGAGCTGGTCGAAGACCGTCTTGATGACAGCGCCAACGAGCATGCAAAAGCAGGCGCCGTAGAGAAGGAATTGCCATCGCACATCCACTCCTTCCTCGAACACCGTGTCGGCGGTAGGGTTTGTCTTGATCAACGAGACCAGGGGCAAAAGAAATATATGTGCAACGGCTGTGAGAATATGTTAGTCAACGGCAGGAGTACATTCGAGCGACGGAAACTTACTGAATCCCAGTAGAGCTGAGACGATCATGGCGTAGCGCAGCTTGATGCCGAGACACGACAAGCAAAGCATCACTAGACCAGTAGCCGTCGCATAGTACAAGCCAAAATCTGAGACACATTTCGTGGTCGATATGAACCCCTCAAGCAAACCACTCCCAATCGTGGCCCAAGAGTGGATCTTTTCCACCTGCTCGTTGAAGAGCAGCATCGTCTCCTGGGTGTCATTAGCTTGGAGTGCCATTTCATCGAGCTGCGTATGTATGTCCCCCATCTTGTACTGAACTCCATCGGCAGCGATGCTGATTCCTTGCAGTGCAAAGAACGTGCTGTCCATGCCAGTGTTGATGGAAGCGACGAGGCCGGCCAGAGAGGCAACACCCTCGTTTGCGCGTGTAACGTCTGCAGTAAGCTCGTAGACCCTCTTAAAGACATCTTCGAGCATCTGCTGATACTGCAACTGCACCCTGGCTTGAAGCTCGCCAAACTCTTCACGAGCGATGGCCACGCCAGTGCTGTAAGTTTCGACGTTGGTCCCAAGGGATACCATGCGTTCGAAGATCTTTTTAACTTGGACCAGGTGCTGCTGAAGTCCTTGGTCGACCTGACCCACTGAGTTGAGCAGTGAGTGGACGCCTTGGCCCATGAGTGACATGTCCTTTGCCACTTCACTGAACGACTGCTTGATGCTGGCGTGGTACTGCTCGGTCTCGTGCTGTAGTAAGATGAAACTTTCACGAACTTGAGTCTGTAGTCCCTTGGAGAGTTGCAGGATCTGGTCGATAGTCATGCCATGATCTTGAATGACATATCCGATATTCTGCAGCGCGGCAATCATCTTGCGGAAGTTGTCCAGTTGTTCATCCTTGTCCATCTCGGCCCGCATTGCAAAGCACATGACATCCCCGGAGTCCTTGTTGTGCACATACGAAGTCCAGGGGTTGATTGAGTCATGGAGAGAGCTCAGACAATCCGAGATGTAGGGACGCGGGTCTTGAGCAAGTGGTTGGAGGAGTGGTTGGCAAGTTGCAGGCATCTCTTGCTGTGCTTCGTCCATCTCGCATGCCGTCATCTGGATGGCGAAGACGTCTCGAAAGGTCTTGACAGCCTCATCGGTGCTCCTAAAGGCCTGGTTGCTGTTTCTGTCGTATGCTCCGCATGCGTTGAGTAGGGTCTTGTGGGCGAGGCGACTGCATGCAGGCTTTGACTCCAGACTCTGGAGCGTAGCCTGCACCTCAGCGATGTATCCCGTGAGAGTCACGTTCGGTTCGATACCCAGTTCTGGAACCGTAGGGGCGCTGGAGAGCCAGCCCGCTGCGAGGTCGTTAGTGAACGACGTATGGAAAGGAAGAGTGGAGGAGAGTCCTCACCATGAACCTGGGTGCCCTGCTGGAGAGAAAGCACCAAAGTGCAAGCCAACAGAATCTGACTGACGAAGACTGCAAACGACATCATGATATCGCGCAGTGAAGATGTGTTGATCAGTCACGTTGCCGAAGCTGTTGAAGCTCTGGCGATGACTTCCCCTGGCGAAGATGTTGACCTCGACGATGTTGAGTCGGTATTGAATGACTCCACAGCGGCGAGTCAAGCTGACGCTGATCTAAGTGTGTGATGAAACCAAGTTGTTGTGATCAACTTGGAGTGTCGTGGTGGAAGAGAGAAAGAAGAGAGAGACGTTGGCGGAAGAGCAGTAAATAGATAGCGCGCGAGCCGGACCGCAGTCATTGCATGGCCGCTTTCTGCTTCACTCACTGTCGCGGGCTGAATGGCGTGCTGTGCACATTTGCATGTGATGTTGGTTGGTGTTGAAGTGAGTGTGTGAGCAGCTGAAGTCGGGATCTTGAGGCAAGCCGGGCCGAGCTCCGCGGGAGAGAGTGCAGCGGCTTCAGGATATCGCTGGGATCTTCACCAGGAGAACTGCATCATTCTGCGTCGATTGGCACTACAATATCATCGAAGCTGACATGGAGCCGACAAGACACTGTATGCGTACCTCGCAGACGCTTCTACGGACATTCACCAGCTCTCCCGCACGCGACACCACACTCCCTGCTTTCCTCGTCCCAGCCCTGGCCCAGAGACCGCAACAAACCTCACGATTCTCGACGTCGTCGCCTCACCGGTCCAAGATTGGCCGTGCGCCGCTGTCATTGCCGCCAGGTGTCACATTCAAAATCCAAGAAGCGCCGCAGCTGAAAGACGATGCACGTGTCAGTCGCAATCAACCGGGTTCTACCGTCGAGATCGAGGGTCCATTGGGCAAGATGACCATGCAAGTGCCGGCATATGTGAATATACGGCATGATGAAGAGACAAGAACGCATACAGTGAGAATTGTGGATCAAGAGGACAAGAAGCAGAAGGCAATGTGGGGTGAGTAGTGGTTCGAAGGCTGAGTACATCGGATCAAGGCTAACGTTGTACGTATGTACAGGAACCGTAAGGGCATATCTACAAAATCACATTCTCGGTGTCAGCGAAGGTCACGCTGCGATTCTGCGTCTTGTTGGAGTAGGATATCGAGCTACGATCGAAAGCAGCGCTGTCACGAAAAAGCCGGAATACCCAGGGCAGCAGTTCGTGTCGCTCAAGGTTGGCTATTCGCACCCGATCGAAATGGGAGTCCCACAAGGTGTAAAAGCTAGCACACCGCAGCCTACGAGAATACTACTGGAGGGTGTGGAGAAAGAGGTGGTGATGCAGTTTGCGGCAGAGATTCGCGCATGGCGACGGCCTGAACCATACAAAGGCAAGGGTATCTTTGTGAATGACGAGACGATCAAGTTGAAAGCGAAGAAGATCAAGTAGAGGGAAAAAATTCTTCAAAATATGCTATCTGTATCATATTGGATGTCTCGCTGCCCAATATGCCCGTGAGACGTCGTCCTTCTGAGCTCCCCAACTACAATTTGTAGTTCTTGCGATGCACTCGCGACGTAGACTTTCTTGCGTGTATCAAAGTTCTTACGAGCATTAGCATTCTAATTGATGTCAGTTGAGTGCATCTGCTGTTCAAGTAAAGTGTTTTCCCCGTGATTGGCTCTCGCGGGGGTCGCGTGCCCTTCTCCAACACGTCTTTCAGCACAACTTCTCCAACATTCAAGCCCCAACAACGATGCACAACAAACACGACCGATAGCCATACGAAAATGGCGCAAACGCAGCCGCCCAAGATAGGCGAGAAACGAGGCCCAGGAAGACCACCAAGGTCCGCCGCGCCCCCGCCTAAGAAACAGAAGATCACAGCTCCCACTCCTCCATCGCTCGCCAGCCCGATTACGAGGTCGCCGGCCGTCGACTCGCCTGCACCAGAGAAAAGAGGCCCTCGACTGCCAGCAAAAGTTGTTGACAGCAAGCCTCTGCCCAGCCTCCGAGAACCGCAGTCACTCACCCTCTCCAATGACGAATATCAGACCATAGCAGCAACCGCAGTGTTGCCATCCTCCTTGGAAAGATCAAGACAAAAGTGGGTGCACGATGGCATATTCGAGAAATACTGGGTCAAGCCAGAGCCTGTCAAGTCTGGCAAACCGAGCAAGCCGCTCCCACCGAACAACCCAGACCACAAGTTGCAAAAGCATAAGGGAGAATGTAGGATACGCATAGAGCCCCACATGCTTGTCGCGGAGGTCTACGTGGACGAGAAAAGCAAACCACCTGCGCCTGCGAAGCAGTATGCACAGAATCATGGCCAGCCATACCGAGCACCGCAGCAACCGTACCAGCAGCCCCAAACGAACCAGAACAGAACTCTTCCACCACCGACCCAGAATGGCGCGACCTTACCTCCGCTCCAGCACCAACCACAACGAAGTCAGCCGCCTGCTTCTCCTGCTCCTGTACAGCAGCAAGATAAGAAGGCTCAACCAGATCCAGTCATCAGCATGCTGGCTAATCGAGCATCGTCTGATTCCGAGCTCAAAGCTCTAATGAAAGAGGTAGCCACCGGAAATGCCACGCAAGACCAATTGAAAATCTTTCAGAAGCACATCGATGAGCTCACGTCTATCATACAGAAGCAGAAGAAAGACGAGGAAGATCAAGCGGCGCGGGAACAGCAACAGGCAAACATGATCCAGTACGATGGTGCAGCAGACTTGAAGCCACAAGCACCCGCCCAACAACCAATACAGCCGCAACAATCGCAATCGCAGCAGTCGAGGCCACCCTACCCTATTCCACAGTCGTCAGCCCCGAGCTATCAAAATCAGCAGCCGACGTGGACACCTCCACCGCCGACCAACTTGCCGGTCATCTTACAATTCACCACCCAAGGAGCAAGCGAAGATCGGTTCTTATTTCCCCAGAACAGCATTCTGGAATCGCTATCTCCACAGCATCTTCTCGTTAGCTTCATGCTGATACGGAAAGGACGCGAGGCAGTTGATGCCAGCGGACTGGAGCCCGACCAGGAGTACTGGCAGCCGATCACGATGATGATCGAAGTCGCATATGGACGAGAAGAAATCATGAACTGCATCAGGAGGTGGTGCAAGCCGGCGGAGGAGGTGCGAAAGGGTATGGAAGACACAATGTCGCGGTGTAAACGAGCACCTGAGAGCTATCTGGCCTTGCGATTACCTTTCAAGAGCACTCTCACCACCGAGAGCGAAGATGTTTCGAAAGAAGTCACGCCCGTCTTGGCCGGTGAAAAGCCAAAAGCCGTCAAATCTTCTGTAAAGTACGTGAAGAAGGCGGTGGCGGGTCCTACAAAAGCTTCTACGTCGAACGACAAGCAGGACACCAATGTGGCGAGTAGTAATGCGAACGGTCAGCTCAAAGAGGAGGCGTCCACATCCGTAGGTGACGGCGTCAATGCCGCAAACGACGAGATTGCTGTATCACAAACAGGAGATGGTGCACAGCCCGAACCCAACGACTCCGGACGTCCAAGGCGGGCAACGCGCAAAAGCGTCCGAATAAGCGAAGGTTAATGAATACGAAGGTCGAGTCACGAAGAGATGAGTCGATGTGCAAATGCAAACAAACGATAAATGAGTGCTCACTTCCAATTCCTGACTTCCAATGCTTGAGGTCGACTGCCTCACTTTTGTACTCAAGTGCCTTCATCTTTTCGGAGTTTCTACTAACAATTCTTCCACCGCTAGACAACCCTAGCAGTGTAAGCTCAATTATGACCTCCTCTCCAGCACCCGTGATCTATATCAACGGCTATCCGGGCGTGGGTAAATTCACCATTGCCAAAGCACTACAACGCCTCATCGCCGGCTCGATCCTAATCCACAACCACCAGCTCATCGACCCCGTTGAGAAAAAATATGCCCGAGACAGTCAGCTCTACAACGAGAAACGCTCAGCCGAACGCCACAAAGTTCTATCGCCTATTGCGCATGATTCGAAGACCAGAGACACGGTCTACATCTTCACAGATAGTCAAATTGAGTACAACGACTGCGTAGGCGACTACACCGATCTCGCTCTGTCAAGCAATGGAAACGGCGCGAGACGCTTCTACAGCGTGGTGCTGGAATGCGAATTTGAGGAGAACGTCCGACGACTCACTGCGCCTGGTCGAGGCGGTGAAGGAAGCACGAAGCTGAAGGACGTCGAAGTGTTGACGGAAATCAGACAGCGATACAGCCCGTGGAAGTTCGAAGATGGGGATGAGCTGGTGTTGGATGTCACGAAACTGGAGTCAGAGCAAGCAGCGGCGAAGATCAAGGAGTTCTTTGACGAGAGGCAGAAGGATGGCAGGACTTTGAGCACGTGGGATGAGGCTTGACGATGCGACGATATGGCTGATGATATCCTGGCGATCTCTACCAATGGCGACGATAACGACAACGACAGCCACGGACGTACGAGTGTCGATGAAAGCAGCGTGTGCGCTCTTCTCGGGCTCTTTATTCTCCCAGCCTCATTGCTCCCTGCAAGTCAAGCCGACATCGCCACCCTTTGTCTTTGAGAAAGCTACTTCACGACAGACATACTGGAATCACCTATCGTGGACACGACAAATGTAGCACCTATCGAAAATGCAGTACATACCGGCCATCCTCACTTTTGCAGTCCTTCTCGTCATCCAGCCAGCGTCAGCCATTACCGAAAGTCCAGGCTGTGGCAAACTTCTCGCCCCTGGAATCAAGACCGGCGGCACTGGTTTCAGCAACGACCTTACTCTCACAAGCAATGGATTGACAAGAAATTACCTCCTCCATTTACCGACCAACTACGCGCCTACCAGAGCTCATGGCCTCATCTTCTCATTCCATGGAAGAGGCGAGACAGGCGCCTATCAGGAGAAGCTGTCGAAGTTCTCCAACGGCGATTTGAATCCGCACATGCTGGCGGTTTACGCCGATGGCATTGACGGACAGTGGTGAGTGAGAGTGAGAGTGAAGCGAGAGCATGTGCTTGACATAAAAGGGGCTGACGATTGCGATGACAGGCAGGGCGATCCAGCTGCGACGACTGACGATGTGAAGTTCACGTTGGATATGCTGGAACAGATCTCGAAGGAGTTCTGTCTTGATCTTGAGAAAGTATATGCTAGTGGGTTCAGCAACGGCGGTAAGCATTATCGAAAGTGTACTCCGAAATGTCGTTGTCGATGCTGACCGTCATTTCAGGGGGTTTCGCAGCCAACATCCTCGCCTGTGATCCGGTCGCCTCGACCAAGATCGCCGCTTTCGCCGGCTTCGCTGGAGCATACTATCAAAAGACAGACAGGAGCTGCGATGCTACTACCGTGCCCATCACATGCAACCCAGGACGAAAGCCCATTCCGATCTTCGAGATCCATGGCTCAGCGGACGGCGTCATCGCGTACAACGGCGGCCCAAGACGCAATCGATGTCTGCCATCGTTGCCGCATTTCATGACTGAGTGGGCGAAGAGGAACGGGTTGGGGAGTAGGAACGAGAGTATCACTCTAGATGACGGAAGAGTTGTGAAATATGAATACGGGAAGGGAGAGAAGAAAGGGGCCAACACGCACTATTGGGTCCAGGGGCTGGGGCACGCCTGGGCATCTACGAAGGCTAATGTCGGTGGCTGTTGTTCTTTGATTAATGGGTCTAGTCTGGCGATGGAATTCTTCGAGAAGTAAGTTCCTCCCAGCACAAACTGGCTGCTTGCTAAACTGAACTCCAGATGGACGCTGAACGGCGTTGCAAGCCGTTCATCGGCTTCACTTCCATCGTCTTCGCCAAAGACAGCAGCCGCGACCTCGACGATCAAACCAAGCACCGCAGAAACAAAGACTGCTCAATCTTCTAAACCCACCAATACAACCTCCTCGGCATCATCTCCCTCGCCGGTCTGTCCTGCGGCGAACGGCACCACTTTGACGACGACCGAGAAGACCAAGTTCCAGATTCTCTGTGGCTACGATACCACGGCTTCGTACTATGGCTCACCCATCTACGACCTTCGAAGCTTTGGCAAATGCATTGCAGCCTGCGAAGACGATGACGATTGTGGCCATGTTTCGTATAATGGAGTATGTTATTTGAAGAGAAGTGTGAAGGGGTTGAAGAAGGCTGGGGGCAGTGCCAATCGTGTTGCAGTAAAACTGGGATGATAGGACATTGAGATACTGACGTCTATCCAAGGAATGTTTATCTCACAGGTGTTCGCTCATGAGCTTTTCAATGCTGCCACGGTCTCGGATCAGCTCGTAGCTGTTCACAGCAGCTCGTTCGAGTAAAGTCAATGACCTTTTCGGGCCTCTGACGATATCAACTGCAGTACCATAACCGCGAGCGAAAGGATCATGGCGTGCTTAGACAACAGGCTGACCGATGTCGTCCACCCCATTCATCAATTTAGGCTTTCGGGGAGAACACCCCATAGGTAGCTCCAAGCTCGGCGTTCACACCGAGCTGTGGTGAGTGAGTGAATGATAGCTTTATCTAAAGATCAAGCCAAGAGCGAGACCATTAAATCGAAACACCCTAAGTATACTCGAGAGCAAGACCAATTCAATCAAAATGCCCGGAATCCAAACCTCAACCACCGCCTTCGACCCCACCGACCTCGCCTACACTCCCCCCAAAGGCGGCATCCGCAAAATCATCGAAACTCCTTTACTCGAAGCCACCCCCGAAAACATCAAAGGCTACGGCTCCATCGTCGACACCCCCAAGGACTTCCCCATCGAAATCACCCGCTGGCCCGCCCAAGGCTGGCGACCCGTCGACGACAACTCGGGCGACCAAGGCGGCGTGACAGAGGGGATCTTCGAATTCTGGTGGAAAGGCGACACACTCTACGCGCGGAACAACGCCGTCGGAGACTCGTACCTCTTCGCGTGGTCGACTTACCCCGAAGAAGCCCGCACGAGCGGCTCCTCGAGCGTCCCACGCTCCAAAGCGCTCATCTGGCGCGCAAACTACCACCCGGACGGCGGGCAGCTGTTCTTCCCGCTCGACGGGGCGATGAGTTTCGTCGTGCCCCTGGCGCTGCCTGGCGATGATGTGAAGCCGGAGGACTTCAGGACGTTTCGGGTGAGTGGTGGGAAGGGACTGTATATCCATCCGAACATTTGGCATGGAGCTGTTGTGCCGGAGGGGGATGAGGGGAGGTTGTTGGATCGGCAGGGACGGGTGCATGCGAGGGTTAGCGTGGATTTTGTGGAGGAGTTTGGGTGTTATTTGGGGGTGTGCAGTGGGGCAGCGACGGTGTCTTGATGAATAAGCTGGTTCTGGTTGGCTGTCACATTTTGAGCATGTGCCACGCACTTTCCCTCAGACCTGGAATACATATGACACCGTTCGATAATGTCCTCCACTTTACTTTCCCTTCACAACAACAACACTCCTGCTCTGATCACTGCACTATTCCTGCCTCTCTTGCAACAGTTGCTAAACTGCAAATATGGCTCCGCCGTTTACCGACCCTGAGCAGCAACATCGCCGGTACATGAAGTTCTCGCGCATATTATTTCGCCAGCCTCACCTCGCGCTCAAAGAACCGATTATTATCGCCGCTGCTATCGGAGAACTCCTTCCATTCATGATATTGATCACGAACCTTGTCGCCTACCTCGACAATGAAGCTTTCCCTGATCGTCATCGCAGCAACATTCTTTGTGCTGCTCAACTCATATTCAACGAGTTCGCTATCGATCGCAAACGACTCTCCCGATCGCTGGGCTCAAATTGACCTTGAAGCGCCTCTTACCAACACATCTCACGTCGGCGTTCTGGAGAAGCGAAGACATATCGGCGTCTGCGAACTAGTCTCAGTCGCAGCCTCTTGCGTGGTCCTCATCAATTGGGGCTATAGCCTGGTCTCTGGGTACGTTGGTCCTTGCTGTCTAAGTCCATTCACATCGCTAACACCATGACAGCTCGTTTAACTACATCAGCAACTTCATCTACGAAACCGTTCACGCCGACTTTGCATGCGAACCTCATGTCGGCGCTTACAAGGAGCTCAAGTTCAAGTTCCAAGCCTATGGAGGAGACTGCCACACCTCTGCCCAGAGAAAAACTATCATGAGCGGCATTGAGAGTCACTTCAAGGCGAATGGTGGGAAGATCTGTGGCACCGAGTGCTTGAGACTCGATCATAGGAGATGGAATGGATATCTTCTGCTGGGGTTGGAAAAGACGTTTGATAAGAGTAAGTATTGCGGACCCCATCTGGACTTTTCTGGATGTGCTGTTGGAAAGCACACGCAACAGCCGGCTCCGGCGGTGGTTTGGGCGGGATGAAATACTCCTCGAGGATTTTACGGTCGTTGTCTCGCGTTGTTTGCGAGGAGCTGCTTCTTCTGATGGCTGCCACCGAAGTCCGTGATCATGTTGACAATGCGCTTTGTGAGAGTCCTTGGTTTGTCGATTTGCTGCTCTGACTCTTTGTCGCAGATGATGATATGCTTTGTCTTGGCCGTGTCGGTCTCGCTTTTCATCTTCTTGGTCTTCTTCTTTCCGAGCTTCATCTTCAATTTCGTAGACTTTGGGCGCTGACGACGATCCGTTCTGGTGGCCTGGTCATGGACAGACCGCTTGAGATGGGAGTGGTAGAGGTTGGACGCGACATTGCCGAGTGCCTGCACCACAGCGCAGAGCGCAACGGCGTCTGCCATGGTTGGTGTGGATGGACGTGTTGAGCGACGTATGTAGCTGTGCCTTCCGAGGTCTGAAAGTGCTATGTTTGAGGGTGAACAGTGCTGTCTTCGGGTCTGAAAGTTCGAGTTGTGAAGATCTGCTGTGTCGAGGAAGAAGAAGTGGCCATTGGAAGTATTTGAATCGGGCGATGGTAGGTGGGTCTCGTCTCCTTGGCAACGCCGACAGGTGAATATCATGGACAATAGCGACACCCGCCTATTGTCGACCACCAAACAGCATACTATGACGTCTTCCTATTCCTCTCCTCATCCTCTGCTTTCTCCTGTTTCCCGATGTCGACTATAGCTCGGGTCTGGAGCCACTCTGGCATCATCCAGAAAACGTTCGCTTGGATCTCGTGCGCCCAGTAGGCAAAGACAGTACTCTTCCCACATCCAATCTTCTGCAGACTGTACTTCGCCAATTGACGAGCACTGGGGACGAATAGAGAAGCAGACCTTGGGACATTGTCCGTTGCCACGGATGAGATCCACAAGCAAGGGACCTCAATATCGACACCTTCTGCTTGCATCTCGGAAGCCAGCGAGCGACTCCAGGCTCGATTCGCTGCTTTGCAGGAAGCGTAAATGGATAAGTACGGGATTCCGAATTCACTGCTCGTACTTCCAACGTTGAGGATCAGGGCAGGAGTGTTAGCACGGAGCTGTGGTAGCAATGCTTTAGTAATCTCGATGGGAAAACGGGCGTTGATGTCCATAATAGTTCGTATTTGATCCGAGGGACGTTCGTGCAGCGCCATGAAGGATAGGAGGCCCGAGGCACCCCCAACATTGTTGACAAGAGCCTTCAGGTTTACTTGCGAGAGCTCCTTTGCGGCCTTCTCAAATGCAGCCGGGTTATCGATCTCTTTGCCGGCGTCGAGAATCAATGTGCGGAATTGAATGTTGGGATGTTCCTCCTGAAGCCTCTTCTTGAGCGTCTCGAGCTTCTGCTCATTTCGACCGTGGAGAAAGACGTTGAAACCACGAGCGGCGAACTCTTCAGCGAAACCACGTCCAATTCCATCAGTCGCTCCAGTCCTGAGAGTTGTCTGTCAGCTTGGAGTAGAAGGCAACGGGAAAGGGCACAGCGCGTACACAAGCGTCCAGGCAGAGCCTTTGTCACTATTCGTTTTGTACCTATCCAAAGTACTGCTGCGGAGGAAATGAAGACGAAGAAACGACAATGTCTTGAAAGAGTAGTACGTTGCTCCCAGCCCTCCGAGAATGGTGAGTAGCCATCTTGCGAAGTCCGGTACTACTGTAGCCATTGGAATCAACGAGTAGGTTGTAAACGTAGAAAGGAGATCAAAAAGTTGAGAACTTCTCAACCCGCGCGAGAACTGACGGTCCTATAAAGGGCTTTGCTGCAAATCTGCTGTCGGAAGGGGCTCGTTCCGGAGCAAGGAAGCTTGCTTTTTGCTGGTGGGTGATCCCGTTTCGATGTTGGTTAATTTGTGGATATATGTAGTTGAGAAACAATAACGCTATCGTGAACCTGGCCTGTACTCCCCGGCGAGCGAAGAGAAGAGCTGTAGTAGTTGAATGACGGAAAGAGGTCAGTGGAGGAGGAGGTGACGTTAAAGGCTGTTTTTGGCTAGCCGTGCCAAGAAATGGACAGGGGGTTGACCTGAACTGCTGAAGGCTGGTATGGCATCTCGTCCATCCTCACAGCAACTTACCACTCATCGACTTCTGTGCACACTGTCGAGATGGGCTGGGTGCGGTCTTGTCCAGGCCCCTTCTTACGAACATATCATGAGCGACTATAGCCGCTTGCCGCCCGCCTGCAGTCGAACGAACTCACATCAGACGCCTGCTGATCAGGCTTGGTGTACAGCGACAACAGAGCAGCAAACCGCTTTATTACTATGGAAATGCCAAAGTACCCTGCGATCGGAACAGCAACTACGATGCTATCGTTGTCCAGGTGAAAACGATCAGAGGCCGACACTCCTGGAGACGCCGACTTCCACCTTGGGACCGCCCCGAACAGAACGCTATTCGACCGGTAGGTCACGATTTTACGAGGATGTGGCTGTAGATTCGAAGCCGCTGGGCCATGCAAAGATCAGGAGTATGTGTTGGGAGAGAGCGCTTATGAGGGATGTTGGACTGTTCGGCGCGACACATCACAGTACCAGTGGCCAGATCGAGCATGGAGATGCTGGTCGAACGTGCCACCAAAGAGATCATACAAGCACGGCGCTTCGGTTCAACAGCTGCAGGTACAGTACTAGCCGGGAGCGAGATTATCGTGATGTTGGTGGTATGGATAGGCAGGAATGCGTCTCTGCTCTGATCCGTGATATGGTGAGCAGGATACTTCATCAACAGCTCGTGTTGGAGCATTGGAGTTGCGATTATCTGTCAGAAGGACGACTGTGCACTTTTCTCCAGACTTCCCTAGTGGCTGCGAAATCGATACTCTGCGTCAGGCATTGTCCGCGGTCTGGAACGCTTTCTGCAGTCCTTCTCGTCTTGATTGCTGTCCTCAACAACTCCTTCTTGAAGTCAAATGCGCCAACAAGCCATCACGACTCTTACGATCAGAAGTGCGGTTCGACTGTGCGGTGAAAGAGTTCAACAACCACCAAGACGGTACCCAATGGGACTTCACTCAACGGGTCTTGGCAGTTCTCGGCTGCTCCCGGGCGCGTAATCACTTCACCTCGTTCGCTGCCAACCTCACTCGTTCACCCACACGTTGTGCTTCGCACAGCGGAGAAATGCTGTCGTCGCAGTCGGTTCCGATGGCTTCTTGTGCTGCTCTCGAGGCCCTATTCGCCACTGCCGACGTACGCGACGTCGAGCGACGCTATTGTCAAGTGGAGTCCGTCACCTTTTCCCGAGGCATGCATGCCACTTCCACGAATGCTGTCACTTCAGGAGACTGTGAGTGCTGGACTGGCCACTTTCATGGTCATGAGGACCGTAGCATCACGTCGTACTGCCATCTGGAGAGCATGTCGTGTGACGGCGACGAGGCAGGTCCCTCTCTCCACGTTTGCACTTCTCGAATTCACGAAGTGTGGCGTTCTCTAGACTCAAGTCACGCAAATCGCATGCGTGCCATGCGGCTCGGGTCATCCCTCGACCTTAAAGACCAACCCACTTGTGGATCTTGAGTTGCATCTTTTCCTCTTTGAGAACTGTCCAATCTTGCGATGCCACAAGCGCTCGAATTCTCCTTCTTCTGCGCCTCAAAGCAGGCGCATACAGGATCATCGAAAGTCTACGTTGCCAGACTCAGCGCCGTCATGAGTCCGAAGATCGTGCACTGCTCACTCGAGGGACTGAGCCGTTTGATCCTGTTCGCCATGATCGTTTAAGGTTCTGGCGAGCACACACCTGCATGCAAGTCCCGCAAGTCCCATGCATGAAGGCCCTTGCATCCGTACCTGGCCGTTCGCTCGCGCTGCGGGTCTACTGGGATATATGCACCTCTACTTCACATCTGCTGGCCTGTCTGAGGCCCCCATTTCAGATCATGCCCCCCTCTCGTTATCAATTCATGGTGTCTCGTCAAACAACCTTTCTGTTGAGCACAACAGAGCCCGATCAACAACTGTGACCTTCGAAATCACGAAAGGATCAACGAACGTGGACAACTTCAATGCGTACATGACCAGGTTCGGTCCCGAGACACACCACATGGTATCACTACACACATACATGAGACCTGTACGACTACGACTTGGTTTGCGTCACTGTCGGACAATCGCTTAAAACCATCAATTGGGAGAGGCATTGGGGTTGCATATAGGCGACCAAGCACGTTGCAGCGAGATCTGGAGACTTGGAAGCTTCATCCGCAAGATGCCCGCAATCGCAGAGCTACTGGCCAAACGTGCCGGTCTGGCATTGGACTTTGTCCTGGACTCAGCTTCGCTCGTGGAAAGTAACATCCTCGAAGGAGAAGCAACGTTAGACAAGCGGGTCTTGATACCATGTTGCAACAGTACCAGCCCACCAGGTTTAGTCGAAGCAGTGACACGAGATCCATGGCAGAAGTCGGGCAAATACGCACTCGGGTGGGTGTACTTTGCAATAATATTACTGGTGTTCACGATAGCTCTGCAATGGTACCACTACTGGAACGACAAGATTCGAGTGGCTTCACACAAGGAGATGGTCGAGGAGTACGCGAAGACTGCATCGCCGGCGACAGATTATGAACATTCGGCGCTGAGCACCGATCGATCGACGAAGAAATTCTTTTTCCCAAAGGAAGGTCCAATTCCAGAGCCACGACCAGAGGACGATGGCCCAAGATCAAGCTGGTTGGTCAGGAACATATTTGCGCTCTCTCGATACGTATTCTATCGGCCCATTCCAAACTTCAGAGCACACAAGAAACTGCGACCGATTGTGTTCCCGACCATAGGAGTCTGCGTGCTCGTCTTCGCGGCGCTGGCCTTCGTGTTGCTTTACAGCTTTGTACCTCAGCCACTGTACTGGTCCTCGATTCAATTCGGCTCGCCGCCCTTGACAGTTCGGTCTGGCATGATCGCGGTGGCAATGTTGCCATGGATTGTTGCATTGAGTATGAAGGCCAACTTCATGTCGTTGCTTACCGGGATTGGTCACGAGCGACTGAATGTCCTACACCGATGGCTGGCCTACATCTTCATGATCTTGAGCATTATTCACACGGTGCCATTCTATGTGACGCCTGTGTGGGACGAAGGAGGACTTGCGGTGTTTCACAGACTTCTGAAGCAGCAGCAGTCTGGGGTTTACATCTATGGAACAGGTGAGCACGAGTAGTCCCGACGATCGTAACAGCGAATTGACATTTACAGGCATCGCCGCGTTGGTACCTACACTTTTCCTGTGCGTACACTCCTTCGGACCCATTCGACGGCGGTTTTACGAGGCCTTTGTCGTCGTGCATGTTCCCGTGGCCATCGTACTCCTTGCCATGATGTTTTGGCATTGCCACAACTACCTCACTTCCTGGAGCTATCTGTTCGCCACAATGGCCATCTGGCTGGCATCCTACGCGTTCCGTCTCTTCTACTTGAACTGGGCAAATCCTTGGAGGATGTCTTTCTGCATTGGAGAAGAAGCCGCCGTGACAGTACTCCATGAGAATGCCGTCAAAGTCACAATACCGACACAAGTTCGATGGAAGCCTGGCCAGTACGTCTATCTGCGAATGCCTGGGATCTCGCTATTCGAGAACCATCCCTTCACCATCGCTTCCCTGTGCAGCGACGACTATCCTTCCGAATACGGCGAGAACTACCGCGACATGGTGGTAGTCTTTAGACCGTTTGGCGGTTTCACTAAGAGAGTGCTCAACAGTGCTCTCGACCATGGACCATGGTGGACGTATCGTGCCTTTATCGATGGCCCATATGGCGGCATGCGTCGAACACTCCATTCCTTCGACCACGTTGTGCTAATCGCCGGAGGCACAGGCATCACAGCTGTGGCATCGCAACTGCTCGACCTCATCAAACGCATGCGAGACGGCAAAGCCGTGACCAAGAATGTCCACTTGATCTGGGCCATGAAACGACCAGAAACAATGGAATGGTTCAAAGAAGAGCTCCGCATCTGCCGTGAGTTTGCTCCGCCAGACACCGTCAGCTGCCAGTTCTTCATCACCGCCGCCAAACGCCAGATGCAGACTGGCAAGATTGTCAGCGCGCAGACCCCGAACCGGCCTGTCAGCATGGTCTTCCACGACAAAGTCAACGACGTCTTCCAAAACATCGCCAGCAACCGCTTCTCGATGAGCTCGCACCGCAACTCAGCCCACATTCGCGAAGAAGCAGAAGGCGACCCGGAGCGCGAAAAACAACTCCGCGAAGAAAACGAAGACCGCATCCGTCCCCTCCCAGAAGCCCACCTCAAACCCGTCCGCCAACCCTCCCGAACCCACCTCGCTCCACCCCAACAACAACAACCACTAGAAGACTACACCAACACCACCGAACAAACCCCTCACCTCCCGCCACACCCAACGCTCCACGAAAAACGCCGCTCAAAAGCCATCAACCTCGACATCTCCTCCGCCCAAAACCTGCCCCCAGCAGCCGCGCAACTCCAACACCACAACCCCACCTCCCCCACCACCTTCGACAACATCGGCTTCCCCTCCACACCGACCGAATTCCAGAAGAACCTCATGCGCTTCGCCTTCATGCCCGCCGCGACGCGGGTGAAGCGCAGCGGCTGGAACGTCGAGTGGGGACGGCCGGAAGTGCCGTATATGCTGAGGGAGTTGAGCGAGGAGTGGAAGGGACGGGGGAAGCGGGCTTGTGTGTTTGTTTGTGGGCCGCCGGGGATGCGGGTTGATGTGTCCAGGACGGTGGCGGAGTTGCAGGGGAGTTTGGTGATGGGTGAGGGAGGGTGTGAGGAGGTTTATTTGCATACGGAGAATTATGCGCTTTGATTGGGGGTGAAGGATTGTGGAGAAGAGAGGCGTGATTTGATACCCCTATTTATGACTTGACAGTCTCTTTCATGAAGTTATGTATTCGTTGTACAGAACTTGAAGCACCATTTCACCAGACGATTTCAACTGTCGTCTCATATCAGTACATCCCCTCATTCAGGATGCCTTCAGCATGCAGGGGAATTTCGCAGAGGGACAAGATTCGACAAGCCCATATCCAGCGATGACCCGCTGAAGACCAAACGGCGACGAGGACAAAAGACAAAGGAGTGAAATAAGCAATCAACAAGCCAATTCATGACATTCCGCTTTTGATGATGTGGCCGCCAGCAAAGCAAAAGAGCAAAGCAAAGCCCTCCACATCTTTTCTAGCTAAAAGTACACGTTTTGCTGCCTGTCGTTTTTCTTCTCATCAAGTGGTGGTGTAGTAGGATCAGACAGACTTGCGTCGTCGTCGCTTCCAGTTCAAGTTGCAATGCATGTGTGTGATCACTCTCGTGAGTGACCTGGTGGTATCTCATTCATCGACCATCTCTTTCGTTCACAGTATCCCTTCCCATGGTTGAAAATCAAGCCGTGAACACCATCAAAAACCCATCCCATCGCCAAAACACCTCTTGCCAAGAAGAAACGTCGAAGTTGAAGATGTGAGCAGCAGCGATAGCGTCGATTGATTGCTTTTCGGGGAATCAAATGCTGCGTGTGAGATTAGGAGGAGTGAGTGCGAGTCGAGGAGCCGTTGCTGCCTTGACCGTTGCCGCCACGACCATTGCCGTAGCCTGGGCCGATGAAGGTGGGCGCAGATGGAGGCTTGCCGTTGCTGTCGTAGTGACCTTGGTCATGGCAGACGGTCTTGAGGAGCTGCTCGATCGTCTGGTATTCGACTGCAGCAATGTCCGCCAAGGACAGCGTGTCGGGAGCATCGCCGTAGGCGAAGTTGAGGTTGCCCATCGGCTGCATCTCGTAGCCAGTCGCCTTGGCCATCTGGCGAGCAGCAAGAGAAGATGCACGGGAGCCAGACTTGTTGGCGGAAGTAGCCTCGCGGAACAGGCGGGCGTAGTACTCGACGAGGTTGTAGCTGACTCCTGGGTAGATTGACAGCGCCGAGAATGGCCAGTGAATGGCGAGGGGATGAATGCCTCCGACAGCGATATTCACGCCCTTGCCGTCAGCGATGGCGCCAAAGCCCTGGCTCTTGACGACGCCGTTGAGGTACGCCTTCTGCTTCTCGCTGAAGCCGGGACAGAAGAGTGCGGCGGAGACGAGCTCTTGGAGGAGGGCCTTGTTCGGCTCGAGAGGCTGAGGATGCTTATCATACTCGTGCTTACGAATGTAATCGCAGAGACACGTGATGAGCTTCGTAGCGGTGTCGTACATGGCGCGGCGCTCACGAACCGTGACGAGGTCGGCAGCAAACCATGGGTACTTGTAGAGCATGGTGATCATCATCTCATACACCCGGCAGGGGCTCTTGGAGATGAATGGAGCACGCTCGCTCTGGTTGGCATGCTTGATCAGCGCATGGAACTCCTCGGTGTGAACAAATCCACTGAAACCATCGGCAGGCGAGTCCTCGTAGTACTGGCGCTTAGTCTGGTCGACAATGGGCTGGCCTCGAACCCAGCGGACATGCTTGGCTCGTGGGAAGAGTTCGGCCATCAACTCATCTTGGGTGCAGGTTGTGACCTTGACGTTGCGAGAACCGACCTTTGGTGGACGCCCATCTTCTGCCCGCTTGTTGAGCTGACGCGTGCACCAAATAGCCTCGTTTGCCGTTGCGACTTCAATGTAGCAGTCAAGCGTCTTGCCAGACTCACGCTCCATCATGATGTGCACAGCGTGGTAAGGAGAGCCATCTGGCATGCGGTTGATCTGAGCTTGGCGGCCGACGAAGGCAGTCAGCTCCTGCTTGGTGGCCGTGTATGGGATGTCCGACACGCAGATGACACCAGCCGTTGACGGGTTGATGGCACGGCATAGCTCGGTCATCGGCAGCGAGTCGAAGGCCTCGTCGAGATTGGGCTTCATCATACCGCTGATGGCAAGGTCAAGCCAGTCTGGCTGCGGTGGTGGTGGAAGCTCTTGGTGAGGACGCATTGCAAGAGCTTCGATCTCTGGGACATTGCGGTCGACCTTCGCAAACATCTTCAAGTCTTGGTATCGAGCAGGGCCCATGATGGGTGCTGGCAGCTTGGCCGAAGTCGTGTAGCGACTCATTCGGGCGTAGTCAAACGGGTCTTCAGTCTTGCCTTCCATGATCTCCTCAGCCAAAAAGCGCGAGCTCGGAGTGTGAGAGACCTGCGACCGAGAGAATGACGACTTGTCACTGTCACTACGGCGGGCCAAGGCCCCGTTCTGAGCATTGAGTCCGCCGAAGACGTCTTCGTTGACGGTGCTCGGGTTGACAGTGCTTGGTGGGCCGTATGGCTGGTGAGCCTTGATGCTCAGGTTGTCGAGTCGAGCACCCAGGCCGTTGGTGCCATCGCCGAAAGCTTCAGGTGCGGTGAAGTTGTATGTGCGGCGTGGGGTCGGATGTGCCATGTGCATTGAGGACATGGGGCCGCGCTGAGGAAGCTGAGTGGCGAATGTGTGGTTTGAGATGCTGGACTCGGGACGCACGAAAGGCTCCAACATGACATTCTGTTGAGCGGGCGTTGGCACGTATCGAGGAGCCTGCGGGTTGAAGCGCATGTTCGATTGGGTGTGGTGGTACATGGAGCCACCTGCTGGGGATGGCGCGAACGTGCGATTGGCACTTGAGACAACAGACGGAGCTCGCGCTCCACCGAAACCGCCATGGCGAGCAGTGTTGCCGTGACCTCCGCGTCCAACACCATTGGGTTGCTGGTATCCGAAGGCAGGTGGAGGAGCGATGCTGGCAGGTGGAGGGAAGGCATGCGTCTGCTGGCGACCAACTGTGCCATCGCGGAGGGTCGGGTAGCCATCATGCGTGGCATCGTCGTAGTAGTAGCGGCCATTGTAGGCGTAGTCGGGCTTGCGACCGTACATGTCCTCAAGATTTCCGTACATCTTGCTTGATGGCCACTCGTCGTGGTCGCGATTCTGCTCTACTGACCAAGTGGTATCCGTGTATTGGATGGTGTCGACCACTGGCTTTTGGTGCGGAAGCTCAACGACGTTCGCAGGTGCTGGTGTTTCCGATGTCAGTGCTGTACAAGGAACTCATCACCTGCATGGATGGCTGTTTGTGACAAGGTGGTGGGTGGTGTTGGAGGAGGTGAAGGTGATTGAAAGGAAGGAGTGCGGACAAGTGACCACGAGGTGACGCCACGCGTCATGTGACGGCGCGCACGCGCGATGCATGTGGGTGAAGTGAATGTGTGCATGTGCATGTGCATGTGGTGAACTTACTCTTTCCGCAATCGGCGCAACAGTCTTGGTGGTTTCGGAGCGACCAATTCTTGCCGAGATAGTGGTCGTAGCAGAGCTTGTGGCCACACGGTTCGAGGGCGACGGCGGGTTCGTGCTTACAACGGAGGCAGTTGTAGTTGACGGCTCGGATGTTGATGCTGGGCATCGAAAGGAAGTTGGCGAGCGCGAACGAGTCACTGTGAAGAAGAGTCGTTAGAACCGTCGCACCTTCAAAAGAAAGCACGAGCAAGCGAGAGCTTGCTGTTGTGGTTGCAAGCGCCCTGGCAGGGCGCTAGCAAGACACTGACGAAGCCCTGGCAAGGCACTGGAGTCTGGCGAGACTGAAGACGCCCTGGCAAGGCACTTCGGTCTGGCAAGACACTGGCGGCGCCCTGGCAAGGCACGGACACGGTTGGCAGTCGGGCTCGAATGCTGTCACTGTGCAGTGAGTGTGAGTGTTCGGGTTGTCGACAAACCTGGAGGAGGTGCCCAGGAGACGGAGTGGTTGCTGGGTGCAAGCCACCAGTCGCTGGAGGGGTGTAAGGAGAAAGGGGATGTATCGAGTGTGGTGTATCTTTTGGAGAAAAACGAAGCTCGAGGTTGGTGTGTTGGAAAAGAAGCAAGCTGTTTCTAGAAAGCAGCGGAAGAAATAGGTTGTGTGCGAGCCCGTGCTCTGTTGACGAGCCAATGAGCCGAATTCCGCCGTGAGTGAATGTTGAAGCCAGCGGACGACAAACGCTGCGCCCAAGCCGAGCAAGCCCTCCCAATGAATCAAGCAACTATAGGTTTGGGTTGATGGGAACCTCTGTCATTTTTCATACGTACTCTCATCATTGGCTTCGGTTTCATGAATTCACAACCGCCGGCCACGCTGTATTCGCTTTTCGAACTTCGTCCCGGGTTGACGATGTTGGAGAGACACAGTCCGGTTATGCTGCAATGTCTCCAACCTCAACCCGCCCAAGTATCTGCATGCTTACTCTCGTAGTGGTGCCAGACTGACATTCTCGAGCGCGTGGAACATGCATGTCGCTTGCGGTATTCTCGTCCGTCCTGTCGCAGCATTTCCCCTCCGCGAGTGGGCAACATTCATACACCCCTTAGTCAAACTGTACGGGTAAGTAGCTGCTCATGATTTAATCATTGGGGATGGAGACGCACCGGAGTCAAGAAGCTCTCTGCCACAAATCGAGCTCTTGCGTTCAACTGCGAAGCGTTAGCCAAGGGTCTCAGGTGAAGATACAGTCGTTCTCCCAGATCTGTGGGTACTCACAAAGAGCTTCATCTCCGAGATCTCCTTGTCCACTTCCTCCATGAACTGAATGATGAAGTCCACCAGCTTGTGCTTCAACATCTCCTCCGTGTGGAAGTTCGTAATCAAGAACGAAATATCATAGCCCTGCCCCATAGTCAGTATCCCACTCTGCTTTTCGTCTGTCCCGCCATCATGATAATTCATCCTTCACATACCGGCACCGGCTTTCTCCTCAAAATAAAGAACGCCTCCGCTCTCTGCGTCAAGAACCTCGTAAACTTGTGCACCAGGATATGCTCAATCTCATCCGCCTGTTTAATCCGCAAGCTCACTCGCACGCTGTTCACCGACGGCTCAACCAACACTCGCTCTTCTTGATTTCGTGAGACGGTCAGCGGGTTGAGGACGACTTCGGGAGACGTCTTGGCTTCGATCTCGGGGACATTGTGTCGCTCGGAGGCTTGCGATGCGAAGTTGGAGAGGGATAAGGCGGCTGTGAGGGTCGAGCGGACTGCTGAGAGGTAGGGACGGAGGGATTGCGACTTCGAGAGGTGAGTATTAGGTAGCAGCTTTCACGTGGTTGTGTACGGACCATTGTGGCTGCGGAAGCTGCGCTATCGCATGAGGTGGATGGGTGAGCCTTCCAAGCACTTCAAATGCCTTGGTTGAGTGTCGTGGGTTTCGAAGTAGTGGTGATATGGTAGTTTCAATGTATTGAAGCTGCCGCGCAAGTCGAGGTGACGTCTCATCAGCCAACGTCGGCGATGTGGGGCTGAGGTCTTGAATTTCGGTGCCTGAGTCCAATCGTCTCAACCTGCATCGACCTGATCCTACAACGGAGTGCCCGACGCGCGAGGTAAACAAGCACGGTAAGGATAAGTAACGCCAGTTTATCTTCTATCCCTTCGTTCTTTCCTATCTCCTTCTCAGTGTACTTCTCACAAGCTATACAGCGACCATGTCGCGCCTCATAGACCTTCCAGGAGAATTGTTATGCCAGATACTAGAAGAAGTTGGAGGCAGCCATCTCAGACGCGACAACGGCTCAGCAAGACTATGTGTATGCCGCAAATGGTACGCAGCCGCAAGACCAGTGTACCTCTCAGGACTCGGAACCACAAAAGTCAACATCTTCGGTCACAACCTAGGCGAGCTGGAGACCAAGTACAGCTACTCCAGCCTACGACGCCTGATGCACAAGAACACGCGAGAAATGCGAATCAGACTGCTGGGTCATTACTGGGACGAGAACTCTTGCCAAGCATTTGACTCTGAATACGTAGAAGACGACGAGGAAGGCGGAGCAGCAGGCCCTCCCACCCCAATCAATGAGCCACCCATCGAATTCGAAGAACCAGAGCACATCGTAGCTCTGGAACAATGGCGAGATCGCTACCTTCGCCCGCAGCTCGACGCCCTCTTCACTGACCTTCGCCATTTAGAGGCCCTGGAATCACTCACCTTTGAAGCGAGCGCCGACCCTGAAGTAGGCCATGAACGCGGACCACACTGGGATTACCTCTACCAATCCACAATCCTCACCTTCCTGCACAACCTGCCCGTAACTCACGACCTGAAAGACCTGACCCTCGACATAAGCGGCCTGCGCAACGGTCTCCTCAATGACAGCGAAGCAGACCACCACCTGTGCACCTCCCTCGCCAAAATCCTCCCCAGAATCGAAAACGTCCGTCTGCGAATGCCCACCCTCTGCGAAAAAATCTTCGCACTCGACTCAAACCTCCAACCCAATGAAATCAGACTAAGAACCCTCATCATCAAACTCCACCTCCCCACCTTCCGCTACACAGACGAAGCCCGCGTGCAACGCTGTCCCCTATCGCCAGGAACACGGACCAGTCAAGCCTTACTACTAACATTCGCACGCAACTCAGATATCTTCATGAAGAAGCTCGCCCAGCTGCGAGGAAGTGGGACCGGCCATGGAATAACGGGTTTGCGAATCTCGTTTGCGTTTCCGGTGACGCCTTCGGTGTCGACGTTGGATTGCTTGACGATGCGGGTGCAGAACTTGCCGGAGGATTATTTTCTTTACGAGGATGATGGGAAGCCGAACTGGTATGAATTGAGCCAGGCGGGGAGGATGTTGAATGGTGGGGCGTTTAACATAGGAACGACATGAAAAGGATCGAGGTCGTGGAAGGCCTTTAAGCCTCGAAAGATTTTCTCTAGCATCCCGTCTTGTCCACAGAATCTATGTCATGTACTTCCTCAACCCCCTCAGTCTCTCCTTCGCCTGCTCCAACACTTTATCGTCCTTGCACACCGCAAACCGCAGCCAATCCTCCACAATATGCGCATTCTTATCGGTAAAGAACTCGGTCGGTGGAATCGCCGCCACGCCGAACTCCTTGATCAGGAACCAGCTCAGCTTGAAATCCCTCGGTCGACTCGCCACGTGCGGTGGGAAATCGTAGTCTTGAGGAAGTTTGACTTTGGCCAGGTTGACGAGAACGAAGTAGCCGCCCTCGGGATCGGAGTATGGCAGACCAAGCTCGTCCCAGACTTGGTTGAAGAGGTCCATTTTGGCTTTCATTTCTCGCTTGCTTTCGTCCCAGAAGCCATGCTTGTCGGCTTGTTCGAAGGCGACTGCTGTGGCTTCTTGCAAGGGGCTGACGCTGCTGTAGCAGATCCGCGTGTGTGCGGCGGAGACGTATTTGATCAGATGCTCAGGGCCAATGAGGTAGCCCACTCTCCAGCCCGTGGCATAAAAGTTCTTGCCTGCAGATCCGACGGTGAGGGTCAATTTGGCAATTTCCGGGGAGAGAGTCGCGACGCGGGTGAAGGGGACGTAGTATAACCGGTCGTAGACTTCGTCGGAGAGGATGATGATGTTATGCTTGACGCAGATATCCCCAATGGCTTGCAGTTCCTCCTTGCTGAAGACCTTGCCGATGGGATTGTGCGGACTGTTCAACACGACCATTCTCGTGCGGGGTGTAATGGCCGCTTCAAACTCTTTCATATCGATCTTCCACTCGCTGGCACTGGTGGTCTTCGTCGAGCCTTCTTTCGGTGGGTGCATGGGGACGTAAACGACTTTGCCGCCGGGCATTTCGATGTTTGAGATATACTGGTCGAAGTAGGGTTCGAAGACAATGACTTCGTCGCCGGCCTCGAGGAAGCCCATGAAGGCTGAGAGCATGCCCTCGTTGGCGCCCGTGGTGATCGTGACTTCGGTGTCAGGGTTGATCTCGCGGCCGAAGAAGGGGGAGTAGGCGTCTGCGATAGCCTTCTTTAATCGTGGTCGGCCCTATACATTCGCATCAGTTTTCCTGCATTCTTCACATGCAAGTCTTTCCTAGATAGGAAGTAGCAGACATATACCTTCGTAGGTGAATACTGATTGCACTCCACCCGATCCAGTGCCTCCTTGGCAGCATCGATGCAGAACTTCGGTGGATTGTATCCAAAGAACCCTTGGCCCATGTTCACCATTGGCGTCACCGTGGACGCCTGAGCCGCCTCATTGACAATGCTCCAAACATCCTGTCTCTGCCCGGCCACGCGCTGGGCGGGCTTGAAAGGATCGCCTTGGACCATCGATGCCGTGAAGGTTCTGATGTGCTGACTTGAGAATCGTTTGGAGTGTAATGCTTGGCTTGCGATTCGTCCCAATGGCTTCATCTCACTGCATGTACAGGATGAGCTCTCTCTCACAAGGAATTGAGTCAGCCAATCTTCACAAGCACCGAAGTCGCAGCAGCTCCTCGAGTCACGTCATTTTACGGCCGTGAAACTTCGACGGGAAGGAACGGGCCGCTTGAATTGTTGCGCCACGTTTCACTCCCCTGTCGTTGCTGATCGTGTGACGGCAGGTTTGACGGCGTGGATCCATTTGGAAGAAAAATGTCTCGAACAAGCCGTACTCGAGTGCTATATCTTCAACAACGCCGGTGGCTCTCTTGGTCTTGTTGTTGACGCAGCTGCTGGCATAGATATACTGAACTCCAACTCCCTTAACTCCGCGAGCAGCAAGATGTCACCAGCTTATCAGACTTCCCTCAACGCATACGCCATAGCTCACCGAATTCTCGCCGGCCAGACGAGCCCCATTCCCGCCCAGGCTCGTGAGCGTCACGACGAGAGGGCAGCTGACGTCGTCCCGTTTTGCTGCAGGAGGTAATTCGGTGGCAGGCGGAAGGAAAGCATAAAAAATGTGATATATGTGGGTGCGGACGTCTGCCGTGAAGTAGGTTCTTGGGTGATCTTTTTCAATCCAATCTCCCATCATCTCGACTTGAAGAAGACCCAACTCTCCTACCACTTCGACTTTGGCTGCAGGCAGCAATATTGAGACGACACATCCACGATGTCTTCGAATGTGTCCCGGTCTGCCCTCTTGTCACTCCCGCCAGAACTACGCAATCAAATCTACGACCTCGTCGCTAGCGACACTGAGCAAATCACAATTCGCAATGGAACCGTTCTCCCACATTGCTTCAGTCAAGTCTGCCGGCAGATCAGGAACGAATTCGGTCCTCTTTTCAAGGCGATGACCAAGCAGAGCCCACCATATCTCTCGCCTGCAACGATCAGAATCCAGCTGGAGAACTTCGACTTCAACCAGACGGTCCAAGCCATAGATCGATGTCGGCACGATTCGAATACTCGATTTGAAGTCGAGATATGGGTGACGAAGCAACTCCATCGATCAGATTGGGAGAAGATGTGGTCTTGGGTTTCCTTTTGCGATGAACTGGCGTACCGGAAAGACGCATATGATGAAAATATCTTGGCGACTTATGAAATCGGCCAGAAGTTTGGATCATGCAACGTCTATGCGGCCTGCCATGAGATGTATATCGAAGTCGTCCCGTACATCTTGAATGGGAATGCTCGAGGAGGGTGCACGTCGGCTGGGTACGAGCAGATCGAGAAGATGAGGTTGGCGCTGAGCACTGCCATTGGGAATTGATGGGAGGTTAGCAGTACAAAGCAGCGATGTGTTATGATAAATGAATCCATGTTTCGACCAATATTATCCACGACCCAGCAGATCATCGAGAATGCGCTTCTTGTAGTTCATGAGCAGACTGAGATGTGTCTCGTCAGGATTGTGCAGTGTTGCATTTTTGCCGATCAATGTTGCCAATTCGTCTCCAATCGCAGGTGGAACATTGGCATCTTCCATTCCGTACCAGAGGCACATTGGCAAATGGCCGATCTGGGAAATGTCGAAATCGACCGGATTGGTAAGAACACGAGCCTCGTCCATGAAGCCAGCCACGCCCTGTCGGAAATGCTCTCGTGTTGAAGGCATCATTCGCCTTAAGAGGGTTCCATCTGCAAGAAGCGGTCTGTCTTTCTCAGGTTGTGTGTCGAGCTTCTTTGCAGAGGCTTCGACCAAGACATTGTCAGAGACATTGATCCGTTTGGAGACCAAATACCAGACGAGTTGCTGGAGAATACCCGGTGTGTAGTTACTCGCGTAGAATAAGATCTTAGTGCCTGTTCGTATTCCTCGAAGACCAATGCCAGGCAGCCATACCATTCCAGCTAGCAGAGCCACTGCTTTCAACTTTTCAGACGAGAAACGAGCGCTTGCCAGCCCGTACGGACCACCGCCAGAGACAGCCAAGATCTTGTACTCTTTCAGTCCGAGTTCTGTGGTCAAATGATTGATATCTCTCGCATGATCACATGGAGTTAGTCCGGGTTTAGGTGTGCTGTATCCAATGCCAGGCCTGTCGACAGATATTATTGTGGCACCGAGCTCTTTGCCGTCTTCATCGAGCAGCTCTCCTTCGAGTCTCGAGCCTGGATGTCCGTGAAAGTACAGGACTGGATACCCGTCGGTTGCTCCATACTTTGCAAAACTCAGCGTGCGTTGATCTGGCAACGCAATGGTTTCACGCTCTCCAGAAGGTAGGGCTGAGTAAGAACGGTATTGTGGCGTAAAGAGTCCCGGCGCGTTCTTCGGGTCAGGGAAAGGCCTCCTGAGCAGGAAACCAGCTGTTCTTCCTACCCTCATCGCCATTGCCTGTGAGAAGTCATCTGGACGACGACTCGAAGTCGACGTCGGCGTACTGACGCGTCGACTCGGCGAATCCTTACCGAGAACGCGAACGCAATGCGAGGGTCGGAAGTTTGGCAGTACCTACATACGTCTTGCAGGAGACTGCCGACTCTGCCTCTGCCACTGCCAGCCACATGCCCGGCGTCGAGATGCAGACCATGTGGTATATACGAGGAGGAGACAGCAAGTGCCGTGAAAGTTCGGCGGACACAGGCCGCTGGCAGACGATGCGAGGGCGGTGAGTGAAAAGCTCTGCTCTCTCTGGCGACGAGCACGGCGGTCTGCACGTGAAAAGGACGACGCACCAGTCAGAAGGGTGGTGCTGCAGGCGCAGGTGGAGGACTGTGGAGAGGCGATCAACAATCGTCCGCACAGCAAGGGCCGTCGTCGAGCAGAGCTTGGTGTTTGTTTGTTGCTGCTGGCTGTCGCCGCCGCCGCCGCCGCTGCTGCCAATGCAGCGCACGCCTGCTTCGAGCTTGAGCTTGGCCACAATCCGCCTTCCTGCCACTCTCGTTTCTCGACGTCCTCCCCTCTCAACCACCAAACAACACCTCTCCTCAGATGACAATACACACCAACTGAGAGCAGACCCCACCACCGCCGCGCACCCGTCCTCTCTCCAGCACGCCCGCCTCGTCCCCTCTCGCCCTCTCCGCCATTTCCACCGCCGTGGTGCGTTTGACCCCACTTTCTCAACAGCTTCGATTTTGTGCTAATCACCACTAAAGCTCTCCCGACTCTCCCAGCTACCAAAACCTTCCGCACCTTAGCCCGGCCATATCCCACGGCCTGCACCACCCAATTCTTCCTGCCAATTTCCCACTCCCCTCGCCGACCTCACCATGTCCGCAGAAGACGCCTCGCCTGCCGTCGACTCTGGCATTGACAACCTCGCCGATAAGATAGGCGCTCTCAACACTGACGACCACCCGCGCACAGAAGAGGAGTACGCCCAAGCACAGCTCACCCTGCGTGCCATTGTCACTTCCAAGGAGGCTGGTGTCATCATTGGCAAGGCCGGCCAGAATGTTGCAGACCTCAGAGACAAGACTGGCATCCGTGCTGGCGTCAGTAAGGTCGTTCCCGGCGTCCACGACCGCGTCTTGACCGTCACTGGCCCATTGAGCGGCATATCCGACGCGTATGGCTTGGTGGCAGACAGCTTGGTCAAGGGCGCACCGCAGATGGGCATGGGAGGAGTCGTAGGCACGCCTGGCACCCACCGTACGAAATTCTACTCCACCTACACACATTGCCCCAGCTAACTCGCTACAGCAATCCGCCTCCTCATTTCGCACAACCAGATGGGAACGATCATCGGCAGACAGGGTCTCAAGATCAAGCAAATACAAGATGCGTCTGGTGTGCGAATGATTGCGCAAAAGGAGATGCTGCCTCAATCCACTGAGCGCATAGTGGAAGTACAAGGCACGCCAGAAGGTGTTCAGAAGGCCATCTGGGACATTGGTAAGTGCCTTGTCGACGACGAACAGCGCGGATACGGTACGGTACTCTACAGTCCTGCGGTGCGAGTCCAGGGAGGTGGAGCGCCGCTCAATGGAGTCGGTGGTGGTGCCGGTCCTGGCTATGGCGCACCAAGAAGCTACAACCGCACAGGCAATGGTGCAGACTTCACTGGCGGTGCCCCTGCCTCGTACTCACCTCGACGCAATGGCCCTGGCGACGGACCGCCACCAGAGGATGGAGAGGATATCCAGACGCAGAACATCAGCATCCCGGCCGACATGGTTGGCTGCATCATTGGCCGTGGAGGCAGCAAGATCAGCGAGATCCGCAAGAGCTCAGGTGCTCGCATCTCAATTGCCAAGGCTCCACACGATGATAGTGGCGAGCGCATGTTCACCATCACCGGCGGCCCCGCTGCAAACGAGAAGGCGCTCTACCTGCTCTACGAGAATCTCGAAGCCGAGAAGATGCGTCGCAGCCAAATCCCAGAGGCCACGGCATAGAATGCCGCCACTCTCGCAGACATCCGGATTCCTATTCCTGCTCATGGCTGTCCCTCCCCTGGCCAGCCCATCCCCGCGCACCTCCTGGGTCATTGACGGCCGACATCCCAACAACTTCATCCATGAAACTGGCAAGCGACTTCCATACGTCAACACTACAGCGTTTGGACACGACATGATCATGTTTTCTTCATGCCTTACGACCATGACGACTATTATGCTTCGATGACGACCCCTCTCGAACGCCTAATGCACACGCTCCCGCATCCACCATTCCCTCCACTGATGGCTTCTCTCCAACACGTCCTGCCATCATCGAAAGTTTTTCCCACCCCCGACGACGACGACCACCCACGAAAGTTTATGCGACTAAACTTAATGCACTCATGTGGATTTTGCTGCTGCTGCTGAAGCGTCGCATCTCTTCATACCAAGAATCGAAAAAGGTGGCGGGCTTGCATGGCTGTGTTTGCTACGGACTTTTTCTCCTCCAAGCTAGCAGATTTGAACGTTGCAATTTTTGCATAGCGCTTATACCAATTTCGTTATGTACTACAGCCGCAGACGCTGGAAATGGAGATTGACGTGCAGTTTCACATGATGTTTGCATTCATGTCTTTTGAAGGTTGTTGTTCTCCAGTGACCAGTGTTGTGTTGACTGTCCAAAGTACCAGCCTAGTGTCGTCCAGTTCAATAACGCCATGCCGCCTCCCAACCATGCTGCCTCCCAACCCATCATTCGTAATCCCAAAAACCGTCCTGTAACTCCATGCCGTGCCTAATCCCGTCATAATGCATCACAACAACCACCCACTCTCAATTCACCTGACACAACAACTCCTGCTCCAAGATGTATTTCCCCTCTTTATACTTCTCGGTGCTCTCGAAGGCGCGGTCGTACTTCCACCCGACAATCTCTTTGCACTGGCGACAGCAGATGTCGCGGACGATGTGGCGGCCGGTGGTCATGTTGCGTTCGCCGGCTTCGCCTTGTTGGATGTTGACGACGCTGTTGAAGAGGTAGGCTTTGCCGTGTTGGCCGCGGAAGTTCTGTAAGAAGAGGGATGGGGGGTTAGTTGAGGGGGATTTGGGGGAGAGAGAGGGAGAGGGTGGTAGGGAACGTACTCTACTAATGATTTCATCGTGGTCGGCGAGGTGGGTTTTGCAGTTTTTGCAGCCGTAGATTTTCTTGGCGTCGAGGTAGATGTTGTAGATGAGGCCCATCGTTGGAGGGTGAGGTGATGGGCTCTCAACTCACTCGGCCCTTGAGAGTGTGGTGGGAGATGGGAAAGTGGTTTTCTGCGGCTGCTATGTGTCTTTGCTCTTGTTTCTTCGGATTCGATGTCTACGTGGTGAGAGCTTGCAGGGTCGTCCCTAGGCAGCCGTGTCTTAGGCGGGGAGACGTGAGGTGAGGTTGGAAGGTCACACGGGGAGGGAAGTACGAGCTCGGCTTAGGCGTTGAGGACAGCGGCGGAGTTTTGGTATAGCGAGGACGGGAGGAGTGAGTGTGAGTGCGGTTCTGCTACGACTTCTTGCTGTTGAAGACGTCAGAGAGAATTCCAGGTTCAAGGAAGTCAGGTGGTTGTTGGAGCGAGTTGGAGAGCTTCAAGGGTTAGGTAAGGCTGGCCGGTCATCATCAGCGTTGCACAGACCGGTCCAGCAGTGGGGTCGGTCGACTGTGATTGCGGGACATTTCGGCCCCAGCTTTTGGGGCGGCGGATTGCGATGCTTTCTCGACATTGGGTTGTGTCTGCGATGGAGTGGCAATCTACATGATCAAGAACAGTCCTTGCTCGGCGTCAGATGTGCACGAGCGAGCGGTATATTGGACTCCATGTCCATGTCAACCGGGTAAAGTTACACCACAGCCGGTTTGTTACAACTTCGCCTCTCGCGTCTTTCGGGTCGTGTTGAACATCCGGGGCTGAGGTGAGTTCTTCTGTTCACCTGTCAAGATTTCAAAGACTCGGCGATATTTTCTCTCGTCATCCCAGGCTGCAAGAGGATCAAGAGGTATTATAAGCGTGTACGAAGTTCGACATTCAGAAGAGAGCAACATCCTCTGCACACGCAGAATGGCACCCAAAATCACAGCTGGAAATGCTCTCATCGTTCTGGCCAACCTTTTCTATTCGATTGGCGCGTTCGTCTTCGACTTCAATGAGACGCATGTGAGGAATCCTCGATGGCCTCCTCACGCGAGGTTTCATAACGGTAGGTGGTCTCAATGACACCTGCATTACCAGGCAACAAATACTGACATTGCTGCTCAGGCCAAACCATGACCCTTGGGCTCTTTTTGTCCATAACCTCGATCTACTTACTCCTGAGGCCAGCAGCGACGAAGGCCCAAGCCCTCGACAACTTGTTCATATCGGCTCTCATCGGTTCCTTCTACTGCACGGCTGGAATGAGTGCGATTCTGTATCCTGGGACCGCCTGGCAGGATCCTGAGTTTGCTCAGGGAGGAGAACAGAGGTTTCTGTTCTCGGGAATTGTTGTTGCTTTATGGATCGGGTATTGGCTTGAGGCGTCGCGATTGGCAAAGGTCAAAGGTTCTTGAGATTTTTGAAGGCAGATGCTCTGAAGGTGTTGGTAGCCGGGGTGTGAGTCGAAAGTATGGGCTCTGGGCGTTCAGTCGTGGTATGGCTTCCATCGATATGTTGGGCACGGCAGGAGAAGATGAGGGGACGATCGAGAAGAATCAGTCAGACACACAAACTCTCCTGTGTATACCACTCAACTCCTCTGCCAAGCCTGATATCGGTAGACCTTCCCCACCGCGAGAGCTGTCCTCGGCAGAAGCAACAATCTCAACCTCATCCTCTAGCGACGACATCATCGACAAAGATGCCATACGCAGGCCGTGGCGGAGCTGGCAACATCCAAGCCGTCGAGGAAGCGAACAAACGAATCGCCGAAGACCTCGAAGCGAACCAGCAAACCGCCGAAACAGACAGCCAACCCCATCCACCTTCAGACGAGCAATACGCACGAGTTGGACGAGGAGGCGCAGGCAATTTCTACAACCCTCAAGATATGAATGATACCGATCGGTTAGGTCTTGGGGACGGGATCAACTCGTTGGGGAGTGGGGCTGTTGATACGTCTAAGACGGCGACTGCTGCTCCTCCTCCTCCTGAGCCTACGAGGACGTTTGGAAGAGGTGGAGCGGGGAACTTCTCGTTTGATTCAAGTGAGAATCAGGAGCGAGCTGTGAGGAGACAGCTCGAACAAGATGAGCAGAGGAAGCAGGTGTTGAAAGAGCAGATTGAGCAGGTTGTAGAGGAGAAGCTGGCGATGCCGCCGAAGGCGCGGTTGCCGCGTGAGGAGCCTGAGCCTTGATACAAAAGTACTTGCTGTCTGGTGGTCACTCTATCTTTTCGAAGAAGGCCAGCTCGTCGGCCATATCTGGCTCGGCCTGGTACCTCATCCGTTCGACCTTGCCATTTGCACCGATCACGAACTGGACTTTGAGGGCTTTGTCGCTGAACCAGCTGCTGGGCCCGGTCGTCTGATGCGACCACCAATGCTCACCGTTGACGTGATGAAGGGTTCCAACCCGAGATATGTAAGCCTTGGCCGAGGCTGGAGGCGCCAGATATAGGAGTGGAGTCTCATTCTGGCCACGATCCTGCTCAGTTGCTCCGCTGCGCTCTGGCGTGTCGCTGGAATTCCAAATTCGAATTGGTCTTGCGGAGACCTGGATTTGTCGATATCCCGGATGTTCGTAGACACCCTCGTACGCAGCGATCGGCAATCTTGGTTCGAGGTGTGAGTCCTGAGCCGATGCTCCAAACAGCTTCTCCACGACTTTGTCAGGCTCGAGCGATTCCTGCGCCTTGGCTTGCTTCTTGCGCATTTCTTCGGCGACATCGTAGCGTTCGCTCCCCGGCGTTCCTAGGAACTCATCCAGGAGATGCCAGCAGACCACATCTTGAGCCACGCTATAAGCATTTATCATCGTCACCACCGCCCAACCGCTATCCTTCTCCCCTCGCTCAATTTCGGTAGCACTTGGAGGGACCATGACCATATTAGCCATGTATCCAGCAATAGCACCAGCATGCTCGATCACTTCACGGCCCTGATAAACTCGCGAAAACAAGCCAAGGCCATACGCCTGTGGTCCCGTGAAAGGCTTCTCGGGCTCAATCAACATCTTTGGCGTGCGGATCGCTTTGACGGCGTTTTCGCTCAGAGCTGCATTGAGGTTGGTCGGCTTCATCAAGTGTCGCACCCATTTTGCGTAATCAAGCACATTCGAAATGATCCCGCCAGCCCCTCGCGAAGGAGGAATGTCGGTCCAGGGGACTTGCTCATAGTCGTGAGTCTCTGAGTTCCAGAGATAGCCAGTAGCCAGGTCGATCTCGTGCTCTTTGACCACCTTCCTGGCATCTTCGATATCATACGTGGTATCGTGCATCTCCAGCGGATCGAAAATATGCTGCTTCAAGGAGTCTTTGAACGGACAATCCAGGACTTTCTCGATCGCATAAGAGACGGCCGTGTAGGGATTATTCGAGTACTCGAATTTCGTCCGCATGTCCCTGTGCAAGGGGAGCTAAAAAAGCAAGCACAAAACGATTCAGAAGGCGTTCGTCCAAAGACCGAATGAACAATCAAGTCTTGAAAATAAAAAGATCGGATAAGAAATCTTACATATCTCAACCTCCTCACAACCTCTCCAATCTCCTCAAACCCATTCACCCACGCCAGATCATGTCTCGGCAATCCCGTCCTATGGCTCAGACAGTCCTCCATCGTCACGGTCGCCGTCGCCCACGGTCCCCTCGGCGTCGTTTGGTCCAGCACGAAATCGTCCCGGATCATCTCCGCTAGGGGTGTCTCCCAGGTTATGGAAGGATGGTCTTGCGATTCGACAAGGTGCGCGGCCAAGGACGCCGTGAAGGACTTCGTTGTGCTGCCGGTGAAGAAGAGGGTTGACGGTGTTATTGGGGTGCGGGTTTGGAGGTTGGAGTAGCCATAGCCTTTGGCTCTGATCTGGTCGCCGTGGATGACGAGGACGGCGAGGCCTGGGGTGGGGAATTCTCGCATGGTTTTGGCGATGAAAGTGTCGAGGGAGGGGTCGTTGAAGTCTGAGTAGTGTAGGGTAGTACTTCTGTCTGCCATGTTGGGAAGGTATGGGGTTGAAGATAGGAGGAGAGGGCAGAGACTGATGGACGGATGGCTTCATGGAATGCGTGACTGAGTTGTATGCGTTGTAGCTCTTTTATGTACTGCTTATGGCAGGTTGTGCGACATACAGCTTCCCCTCGAGCTGATGTGTCGTATTCGTGTTGTGTTCATGCCGGGGTCGGTGTTCGGTGTTAAGATCAAGATTCTGCACGTATAAATGGTCTTTGAGTAACAACGGAGGGAGGCTGAAGGGAGTGTTATTCCTCCCGTCGTGTAGTGACCGATGCTGTTGTTGCCCGCCTGTCCACATCTGAAGACGGCGTGAATCCCCCCGTAAGGCTGTATACTCGTGTCCAGCATTAGTAGAGAAGCTACAGCCATACATAAATGAACTGTTGCGGGAAAGTGATGTGACATGCCTCGTGAATGGTGCGTTCGGAGTTGGCGATGTCGTCGTCAATTATTGAAATTGCGCTAATCCAGAATCAGACTTGTTGTCACGTGCAGCGAATTCCTGCCCTGTGAACTTTGCGTTGCTGCTTTCCGTCATCAAACATCGACATTCTCCCATCGCTGGGACCGAACGTCAAGTATGATGCTCATTGAGCCACCCTCTAAGAACCTCCAGCATGCCTGGTAATCAATTCTTATCGCCTCACATTGGATCTCGTTTCTATGTATCATGTCCACCAGTCATGGGAGGCTCTTCACAACAGACAGTAAGTGGTCTTCCCTCCTATCGTCTTCATCTAAGCACTATGGACACGCATTCGTATTCTTCTGTTACAAAGTCCGATTTTTTTGCGTGAGTTGCTTGATTTGCGCATACAGTCCATTATACGTTCCGCGATACTTGAACGGCCATCTGGATGACTTCTCTCGACAAGATTGAGACGAAGGCAACACGCTCGTCTGCCGAGAGCACCCGGTCAGACTTCGTCGAGCGAGTTATCACAGCAGCGAGCAGCATCAAGACCAAATTCTCTAGCCATGCCAGTGGACCGGCGGCGATCTTCAATCCTACGAACGTTCGGCTGCGGGTACATACAAGCGGCAGCGATGGCATACAGCACCCGGCCACGGACATGGCGTATCTCTGGCGTTCCAGAGATAACCGAAAAGGCCGCACATCTATCGCTGTTCCACGCGATGACGGACGAGATCCGTTAAAACGACCTCGCTTCACAGCTAGCCGTGGCCAAGTCGCCAAGGGTATCCTGAGAATGTTCACTGTCTTTCCCTACTACGACATGGCGTACTTGGTGGGTGTCTTATTCGCTATCGGTTCTGCCATCTTCGTCGCAAATGGGATCATCTGCTTGCTACCTATCGCATACCCTGACCTCAAATTTGGTCACGAAGCCAGGCACCTATCAGGTGGATTGACGTGCTTCCTTGGAGCTCTTGCGTATCAATTCGGGGCGCTTGTAGCGTACCTCGAGGCTGTCAATGATGGATCATTCCATGGCTCGGCTATGAAGAAGTTCCTTCAAGGACACGAAGACGAAGAGAAGCAGCTCGTGAAAGCCAAGCTATATGCCTTCTTCGACCACTTAACGCCCATTCGAGGACGAGAACGACGCGCCATGTTTGGATCAGAGTCTGGCCTACCTACACCATTTACAACAGCTTCAATCTCTCGACGCGGTGCTATGGACCTAGGAAGTGAAGACACAGGGTCTCATGAATACTCACGCTTTCGCTGGTGGCCAACATGGAAGAGTCTGAAGAAGCACTGCATATTCGAAATCGGATGGCTGGCATGCTCGGTGCAACTCGTTTCCGCGACATTGTACATGGTGGTGGGAATAGTCGACTTGCCTGGAATCATGAATACCCTGGAGCCGTGGCAAGAAAATCTTGCCTACTGGATCCCCGATATGGTTGCTTCGGCAGGGTTCATCTTTGCGAGCCTACTTTTCACGCTTGAGATACAAGACAAATGGTTTAAACCGCAACCTCGCATCCTTGGCTGGTGGGTTGGTTCTTTCGCACTACTGGGCTCGATAGGTTTCGAAATCTGTGCAGCTTTTGGTCCTGCTACGTACGGTAACGAGGACATCGAATGGCAGTCGTCTATCGCGACAACTTGGGCCTCGGCTGCGTTCCTCATCGCGAGCATGTTGCAATGGTGAATTCTCTTGCGCGTTAAGATGGATTTGACATATTGGAAGACTTTGCTGACTGCTGTGAATATGATGCTAGGTACGAAGCTGTCAATAAAACTACAGTTGAAGAACTGCAAGACGAGCCATCGGATATGACAGCTTTCCCTGCACATACGGTTCATGTATAAGTTACAGCCGCGGTCAGATGACAATCTCGTGATCTCGATTCATTCTAAGGCTGAGCAACAACAAAGGCGACCGAAGATCATGAAGTACAGCAAAACCTTTTGACATGTTGTCCGACTCGGCCTTGTGGAGCTTGGTCTAGAAGGATCACATCCATGCGTGGAATGCATCACCGGATCTAGTGGTATGATCAGGCCATCCACAGATCGTGCTCCAAGGAGCTTCTTCGTTGGCCGGAAATGCGCGGCAGCTAGTGGTTGTCAAGATTCTCAGTGGCACAGATTGCTCCAACACAAGGGATCCCACGTGGCGAGCTCTCACCCGACCCCAAGCCCCGCAAAGCTTGGATATCAGAAGCAAACAGGCGCCTCAATCACACGGCAACATTGTGGCTCTCTCAGAAGAAACAGTCAGGTTACATTCCCACTTGGCCCAATGGGATTGCGCCTAGATTTACAACAGTCACATTTTGTCAGCTGTCGGAACATTACTACAACGTCGTCTAGAGCTACACGGCTTTTCTGCAGACGGCAGCCACGGCGGTGTTCGATTTCGGACACCCTTCGTGGACTCGGCCTCCATTGGCAGTGACAATGCCACGCAACCCTCAACATGCAGCCGGCTGTGGAAACGAAAGCAGACAGCAAGTCGTCCATATTGGCAGACTACTTTCCGGCATGCCATGAATTCGAACTCATTAGACTCCAAGGGGCCTATCATTGCATTCCAATCTACCAGACAGTATCGTGGACCGTGTTGAACGGAGCAATAAGCGTCAGAAGATCTACACGATCCCTGCTGCCATGTGCTGCGTCCAGACGCAACTCAAGTCATACTAACTGCCCGAAATGGAATACCTGTTAAAGGAGCCGCCTGCGAAGGATCCCCGCGAAAGGCTGCTCGTGCCTCTCAAAAGCTTTACCTTGCTGTGAATACGGTACTTCAGCCCTGTGGGCGGTATATCCAGTCAAGGTTTTGAGACGAAGCCACAGGGATGCCAAAAACACAGCGCTAGTCTACATCAAGCAGTTACTGAACGTGCACGGATCACCGGCGGTCCCGAATCTTTCAGCGCCTCGCATACCTTGCCAAGACGCTCTCACGAGCACATTTGGCTGGGCACCTACTGCTTGCAGTATGTATAGGCAGGCGAGAGCACGAAAGCTTCGTTTCCAGAGATGACTTGCTTTGGTGGAAGCGCAGAAGATACCTCGCGTTCCAACGCTGCACAGACATGAGCCAGAACGGAGTCATGTCTAATCCGCATTGGGTACTTACTGGTTATCTGTGACCGTCTGGGTGCTTTCTATGCTTGGTATGTGTGCAAGCCATAGCAACAGCCACTACATGTCGCCAGATCTCACAATAGTTCGCACTCGCAGAAGAGAGCCAGACCCTGGCCACGAAAGATATAAGGCTGCAACATCTCACTGACGTCCTGGCCTCAACTTCAAAGACGCATACTCTAAGTATTGCTTCAACAGTTGCAAAGCATCACGACTATATCGACAGAAGACTACCCAGTCACACAACTTGCAGCATACAATTACCGGCACCATGACGAGCCATCCGAGCACATATCTGTGGGATCCAGAGATGCCAAACCTCCTGGTGGACGATATTCAAGACTATCAACAGCAGGCTCTCCAACCTCTGTGGCCATGGGTAAGTCACCGGCCATGTCAAACGAGCAGAACTCGGTTGATCGACTTTCCAGGGCTACGACCCAAGCGGTTACGAACCACATTCCGAGAATTCCATGCCATCAACACCAGACTCGTCATACCATGACACGTCTCTCGAATTACCGTTCTACAACCCAGAGGACTTGATCGATCTGCAGCGAATCGGCACACCGATGAGTGATCAAGAACCCGCTGTCAATGTTGACACTACTGGGACGGGTGCGAATAAACGTATTCGACGGAGAGAGCAGAATCGTGCTTCGTATGTTATGGAAGACGGCTTCCAAAAAGTCCAATCACTAATACCTTTTGCAGGCAACGAGCTTACAGGGACAGACAGCGAGGCAAAATCGCTGAGCTGCAGTCCAAGGTCGTAGCACTCCAAACACAGAACGAGAAGCTGCTGGCAAGAAACAACATGCTTGAGGCTGCGTTTCAGAGAGATAGACCGCAGACTGCATCAGGCCACCCTACCCAGCAGACCCCGACAAGCCAAACAAGCAACCGTAGGACATGAAGCTCTTCTCTAGGACGACGCGTTCACGGGCAATGAGGTCTGGCCTGGTCTCGACTCCGACGTACACAACACGACACAGACTGTTCAACATCTCAAGAATGGTACGGAGCGTGGTCACCGGTAGTGCCGGTGCAGCGGCTTCAGCGGTCTCAAACATCCGATATGCAGGGCAGAAGCGGCTTCGATGCCGAGCAATGAGCGTTCAGCGACGGCAGACTTCACTTGGATGAGTTTGGATATACCCTGGTACATGCTTTGAAAAGTTGCTCTATATACAAGAAAGCTCTCTGGTATTTTCAAGTATAGTGCGACTTGAACTAAAGGCGCTTTTGTCTACTAAATGTCTCATGCTAGCAATACAGCGGTGCCGGTATGACTGCAAAGTCGAGCATTGTACGTCACATTTACAACTGTCGGCGCTTTCACACATGTCGGCGTTGTATCGTAGAGAATGTCAACGGGCATTCTTGGAACGGTAGTACCACCACTGACACCCAGCTCAACCAACCCCCCTATCGACGACGAGCATCTGAACCAATCACGAAATTCAGTACCAGACCAGAACGCCATTCGCGACTCGACCTCCAAAATGACATCGACGATGCAGGCACGAGCTGGAGCTCAACCCTGATGGGTCGGCTTCTCTCCTCTCACTCCCCGACCACTGCCAGGCGACAACCTCTCGAACACAGACCATGGCTTAGCTGTACGTTATGGTTGTCTCACTCACCTCCCTTACTCACCCACGGTCACCAGCTGTCGAAGACTCCTCAGTACCTGCGGCAGCCACCTGGCCCAGCGGACAACTGCCAACGATGGACCTCACGACAATGTCCATCCTCACTTCACTGCAAACGGCCGGCCATGCATTGCTCGGGCGCGCACTCCTGGACAGCGACACGCGACGTGGATGTGGCAGGTATATGAAGAGGACGAAGTATCGAAGGCAAGTACTCTCTTTCAGCATCAGCATCACAGCCAATACCATCTCATCAATCGGATCGGTTTCTTTTTTATCTTTACTCACCTAGTCACTCTCTTTTGGCACGCTCGCCACTACACTCACTTTATTTTCTTCGCGAAAGCTCCTCGTCAGGAAATCTTACAGAAGCCATGTGGCATCTAATCGTTTCGTTATTCTTAATCTCCTCCGTTACGCTACCTCTATCCGTTGCAACCGCAACGCCTTACCAGCTCCGACGACAGGCTCCTTCTGCCGACCTCAAATTCACTTGTCCGAAGACTCTCGGCAACGCCTTGTGCTGCTCAAATGACCTGCAGTCCAATGGAGCTGTCAAGGATTGTCAACAGAGTCGCTATGTCATTCCCAATCCAAGTAAGCTCAAGGGCCTCAAATTGTTTCTATCGATATCACGGCTAACAACATTCTGCAGGCTCCAGCCACGGGGAACTGAAAGACAGATGCACAACCTCGCAACTCGGGAACGGCTACGACACGCCCGTCTGCTGCAACATCAAAGTCCGCACCTTCAAGTTCGAGAACGGCGCCCCGATATTCCTCGGCGTCAACTGCATGGATGCTGAACACGTCTCCGTTGGACTCGAAAAGCGTGATCCTGAACGTGCTCCAACGACGACCTTCGATACGAGCAAGTTCACTAGATACTCGCCCCTTGACCACCGACGAGAGACCCCTCCGACGGCTACTTTGCCTCTCGCCCACCCTCACGCTCCTAAGGATGTCCATGCAGACAGCGCGCAGACCCCACAGCCTCTGTGGCGACGACGCGCTGCGAAGCAGGCTGCTCGACGGAGTTTGAGGAAGCGCTCCGCAGCTTCAAAGTCGAAGAACAGCGTCGCCAACACGATCATGAACGATCTGAACTCCGCCAGCTCTCGCGCGATCGTACGAAACACAGCAAGCAAAGCCCGCGCCCCCGCACGCAACCAGATCTCCAACAAGCCCACTACAAGCCCCAAGGAGACGAGACAGTTGCCAGGTGTGAGTTCTTTGGGCGGTCTGGGATCCCTGACCAAGCTTCTGGGAGGACTCGGCAAGAGTGGCGTCAAGCAGGTACGGCAACTACCTGGCGTGAGCTCTTTGGGCGGATTGGGCTCCCTAACCAAACTTCTTGGTGGACTGGGAGGAAGCAGCGGCGTCAAGCAGGCGAGGCAGCTGCCCGGTGTGAGCTCGTTGGGCGGTCTTGGGTCGTTGACGAAGCTTTTGGGAGGTTTGGGTGGGAATGGGACTCTGGCGCGGAGGGCGGCGATGGTTGGGAATGTTGCTTGAAGGGACACGTTGTGGTATGGCCAACCTTGGATCTGCAGAGTGAGTTGACGAATGACGACGTTCTGGGCGCTTGGGAGTTTGGTTTTGAACACGGGAAAGGATCTTTGTGCCAACTCAGGTTTGGCCCGCCAGCACTGCTGGCAAGTACATGTAATCCAGGTAATTGTACAGACATTTCTTCAAAAGGACAGACGATCATCGAATTCGTTCCATGTCATTCGCCCTGTAGCTCGACTCGGACTCGTGCCTTGCGTCCTTCGATATAAGTACCAAGGGCTCGAGTTCCAGGCGCCAGCTCGACCTCCCTCAAGACCGATCCTGCGTCCATGGCTCCGTCGTTGTCGCTTTCGTCACTGCTGTCCCACCATTCTGGCCCGCCATGCGCATCCCCCTGACCCAAGGGATCTCGTTCTCCTGTTTCCCAGACCAGGCGAAGCTGGAGCGGCATTATGCCAAGTTTCTTGCCGACAAGGCCGTGGAGAGAGTAGATGTTGAGGGTTTTGGATATCTCGTGCTGCCAGGTGCGCGTAGAGGAATGAGGGAATGCTTGTGGGGCGAGTTCAAAGGTGACATTCAGTAATCGTGCGGCCAGACTGTTTGGGTCGAGTTCGTCTGCTCTTGGCACACGTCGAATAGCTGGCTGTCCATACTCCTCGCAGAGGGCTTTCCATCGAGGGTGGCGGCGAAGGACCTTTTCCTCGTCTCCGACAGGGTGATTGGCTATCTCTGCGGCAATTTGACCCAGGTAGTAGGTCTCGGAGTTCAGTCGTTCTTTCTCCGTGATTTTGCTGTAGTTTAGCATGCTTAGCTGCGGTAGCCGAGCGATTGTGAGCATGTAACCATCCTGTGTGGAAAGTGGCTTGCCCTCGGCGGATCGTAGGCCTTCGTATAATGGGTTGCCGGTCGTTATGAGATGCTTTATAGCAGGATATGCGCCCTCCAATGAGTCGAAGAATGACCACGACGATACCGCGTTGTGGGCAAGATCAAGCGTTTGGATGGTCTCGCTCAAAGAGCCGGCATCTTCTGATGTATGAACTGCTTCCACACGACTGCGTTTTATAATCAGTGTCTGCAGAGCAGGGCAAGAATTGAGATCTCTCAGATCAGACAGCCTGGAGAAGAGATTGTCGGACAGGTCAAGATCTTGCACACCAGCTGGCAGCAAGCCAGGGCAGATTGAACTAAGTCCATTTCTTGCCGCAGCGAGCTTCCTAATGTTTGGGAAGCTTTCTGTCAACGAAATGATCTTGGTCCAGTTTAGCCATGTGTCTGAAACGTCTAGTATCCGGACAGTAGAAAGCACACCAGCGTTAGTGCCAACGACGAGGCGATTGCCACTGAGGTTGAGATTCGAAAGCTTTGGGAACAAGCCGGCAAGGCGAACGACCTCGTCCAAGGACCCAAAGAGGTTACCGCTCAGATCGAGCTCGGTGACGTTCGCACAGAAGTTCGTGATGGTCTCATCTTCTTCACGGTCCCGACTTGCACGAATCTGCATGCGGTCCAAGACCAAGACGTGGATGCCTTGCAGCTGGGCCTGTCGTCGAGCAAACTTGTCGAAACCGACTTCCTCGGCTTGCTTGGTCGAGAAGTAGACGATCTCTGCTCCAGTTCCAGCATCTTCCGGCATGTACTTCTCCCGGAGTGCTTGAAGAAACGTCCTGGGTTTGTCCCAGGGCTGGCTTGGCTTGAGGAAGGACGCTGCTCTAGGAGAAGGATTTCTGCCTGTACTGTAAGTTCCAAAATCTGATCTTCGCCCAACTCGGAATCAATAGAACGTACATTCGAAGTACTTCTTCCCATCGTGAGTGCCATCATGCTTGCCTCGTTCAGGGTCATCCCATTCCACGCCTAGCCAGATGCCGGGTTTGTCTGCCACAGCACCGACATATTGCACAGTATAGGGCTGTCCTTTGAGACTCAGGCGCTGCCCGACGTAGTGATCCGTCATGGCATGTTGTTGTCTCGTGATGATGTTACAAGTGAATAGATCGCGTCGAATTAGACTTTGCTGTGGCGGTGCAGGTGATTGCTTGCCCCACAGCATCTGAGACATCTGAGACAGCTACACCTTCACTTCAACTCCCAATTCAAAAGCGAACACATCCTCCCACTCCAGGAACTCCTACTCCCACCGCCTTGTTCGAACATAGCGTCATTGACACGCTCTCAACATCCACGGGACCTTACCAAAACGTCATCACACCACGCCGCATCCATATAACATGGACATGGTACAAGGTACGTGCTTATACCACTTGGAAAAGGATCCACGCCAACATAGATATCAGACTGGGTAGCATACGCCATGGGCGACCACGCCGGAGCTCTCCCATACGCCAGACAGGCCTTCAGCGCCATCTCCACGATCAAATCCTACATCGTCCCGCTCGTGGACCAAATCTCGCAAAAGCCCGACCTCGCGACCATCGCACTCCTCCTCATTATCGTCCTCGTCTCCCTCAAAATCCTCGACATGCTCTACCAGACGGTGCTCTTCTGGGCGCGTCTCGTCCGGCGCGTGGTGCTCTGGGGTGGACTGGCCGCTCTCGCGCTATGGATGTACACGCGGGGCCCGGATGGAGTGGCAGATGACATACAGTACTGGTTCGAGACGTGGAACGGCGAGTATCGGAAGTTTAAGGACCAGGAGCGTGTCGCGCGGCTCATGCATCAAAAGGCGGGGGCTGGTAGGAGGCAGGCGAATTGGTATTGAGATCCCAGTAGGGACACGAAGGCGTTTGGTGGGCAGAAGAACGATGGATTATGAATGATGATGCATATGGACATGGGACTTTGGATTAGCGAAGGCGCTGTGGTGTTTCAAAAGGATGGATCGAGGTGTGCGGAGGGCTCAGTAGGCGTTATTGTTCATGAGGAAGGATTACATCCATGTCAGTTCAAAAGAATCTTGTTGTCCCTCCCTTCGCACGTTTGAACAAGCTTCTGATACTCGCCGCAGATGTTGACACCCTCAGACTTCCCTCAAACCCTCCTGGAGGACGCGAGGCCGGCATCCCCATCACATGCGATCTATAGTCAGAAATCTGTTGTCCCCCCCGCCAACTCTCAAAACGCAAGGCGAGGCGTTCAATTCACTGGTTCCCGGCTTTTCGTTGCAGTTCCAGCGAGTTCTGGGCGCCGCGCAAGACTGGAATTTGCCGTGCGCAAGTTTGTCGTCCGTTTGCTCTCCGCCTTCGCACTTCTTCTCACAGACTGATCGACACAACGCACAACACACCGTCTGACACTCCATCATGGACTGTCCCAATTTGCCTGCCATGAGGCAGGCATTCCGCGAAATGATATTGGACCACGGCCATACCCACGACCATCACCAAGAGGGAGACACTAGTTCTGACCACATGGCTGAGCTACCTCTCAAGACAGTCGAAGAACGCACCGCCGCTCGCTTAGATGGCTTCTTTTCCGAAGAGGATGGCGCACTGCTCGACCAGTTCTACTACGCGAGAAAGTGGGCCCACATCCTCGACCTCAATCGTGCTTACTTGCGCGGAGAGAATGTAAGACTCCCAACACCAGCTAGACCTCACCCGAACACTCTCTAACCACTTGCAGGAGATCACGCTGCACTGCATGGCCCCAATCCAGAGCGAGACGATCCCTCTCGTTCCAGGACTACTCGCCCTCCACGATTACGGCATCTACACCTACATGTCCCAGCCCGCCTGCACCAAGGGCCCGATCGATGAGACCGGCACCTGTGGTCAGAAGCTGCCGTGGTGGCAGGTGCAGCAGCGAGCGTATCTCACCTTCGTCCTACCCAGAGGCATATGCCGGTGCGAGGACATACCTGCTTGGCTCATCGTCAAGTTCCTCGACACACTCATGGCGGACGACCGCATCTACACTTCTATCATCTCTCATGATGGTACGTGCTCCACCAAGCTGTGTGCTCGGAACTTCGAGCACCGGGACAACTTCCCCGAGGAGTGGTCTACCAACATCTGGAAGGAGGTAAGATTTGAGAACACTCACATGTATCGCTGACTCGAGTCACTGACGTTTTACAGGCCGAGCCAAGCGATCTTCTCTTGACTGCCCCTGGCAGGCACGACAAGCTCTTCGACTTCGATTGCCCCTGCAAGCTGAGGCGGCTCAAGAACAAGAGCGACCTGATGGATCACATGAGCCCTTACATGGTTCATGTCATGGCCAGATCTTGGGACGAGATGGACATCCAGGACATTGTCAAGGCTGCTGCGGAGAAAGCTGGTCTCGAGCCGATCTACGCCCTAGCCAAGGAGGAGAATTTGGAGACGGAGACTTCGGTTAAGGACGATGAGGACGATGAGGACGATGAGGATGATGAGGACGTGCCGGAGCTTGCGGACGGTGAGGATACGAACAAGAAGGGAGGCTCGGTGGAAGCACCGGAGAGTGGTGGGATGGCTTGACATTTGGGCACGACGAGCGACGCACAGGTCCTTGACTGCATAGCTTTGGTCCGACCCAGACCTCGTTGGTCAAGCGCTATGAACAGAGGCTTTGTCTTGGAGTTTTGTATAGCGTAGCCATTGGCGAGAGCTAGTCATCGCAGCGATATGGCATCAGTTCATGTTGACAAGCATTTCTCACTGCGCAGCCACTGGGCGGCCTTACTTTCAATACCACAACTTCACATAAGAGACACGGTGGGTACGATATTGATGGGCGATGACTGCACAGCCACTCTTGACTCCACGGCTGAACAGCCACAATCCACAAAGCTTCACAGCCAACCTCCAATTCTGACTGTTTCATCACGGCGACAGAATATTCACTTCTGGAGTCCGCCTTCTCAGGTCACGCGCGGTGTCTGCTTCCTGCCAGTGACTCAATGTCGCTGCCTCAGGACGTCAGCTATAACTAAGTTCTGTCTTGTTTGCATTCTCGCTGCAAGCCTTTTCAACAACACACCACCGTGACAACATCCAGGAAACCTCAGATACAATTTGAGTCTGGCCACAAACAAGCAAACACCAAGTCCGCGACATCACACATCCATCATGGCGGAAGCAGCGCCATATCGGCCGCAAGACCGCCACGAGGTTGGCGAGATGCTCCGTGGCCTCGAGGCAAACAAAGGACGAGGAAAGGGCAAGGGCGGCTTCTCGTGCAAGAAGAACACTTTCGATGTCGATGGATCCGACATCAAGGTCGACTCGTGGAAGATGCAAGACTGGGACTACAAGAAGTCCAATCTCCCAACTTACGCCCGAGGCCTCTTCACTACCACGGACCGAAAAGGGCACCCTGAGATTGTGATCAGAGGCTACGACAAGTTCTTCAATCACGGTGAAGTTCGCGAGACTGAGTGGGAGAATGTTGAAGCCAACATTCGGGGGCCTTATGAACTGAGTGTGAAGGAGAATGGCTGCATCATCTTCTTGGGCGGCCTCGAGGACGGGACTCTTTTGGTCTGCAGCAAACACTCGACAGGATCGCGAGGTGATACTGAAGTCAGCCATGCTAAAGCAGGTGAGAAGTGGGTGGAGCGGCATCTTGCCAGTGTGGAGAGGACAAAGGAACAGCTCGCAGCACGACTGAGAGAGATGAACGCTACTGCAGTGGCCGAACTATGCGACGACGAGTTTGAGGAGCATGTACTCGCGTACACTCCCGAGACTGCTGGACTGTATCTTCACGGCATCAATCTCAACTTACCTGAATTCGCCACCTACCCACACAACCTCGTCGATCGCTTCGCGGAAGAATGGGGCTTCAAGAAGACCACATACATCACAGAAGAGGGCATCCACAACGTCAAAGGCTTCCTCGACCGGATCGCAGAGACTGGTAACTACGATGGACGTGATACGGAAGGTTTCGTCATCCGCTGCCAGTCGAAGGCGAACACTGGTGTCTGGCACGATTGGTTCTTCAAGTACAAGTTCGACGAACCCTACTTGATGTACCGCCAGTGGCGTGAGTGCACCAAGGCTGTCATCGCAGGCCGCGAGCCAAAGTACAAAAAGCACAAGAAGATCACCGAGGAGTATCTCACATTCGCCCGTAGACAGCTTCATGCGAATCCTACTCTGGCCAAGGCCTACAACGCCAACCACGGTATCATCAAGATGCGGGACGACTTCCTCGCTTCTGTCGGCCTCAAGGGTTCGGATATCATCAGACAAGAGGAACAGGACGGTGAGGTCTCGAACGATGCTGTCGCCCGCGACATCGTCCTGGTGCCTGCTGCTACAATCGGATGTGGCAAAACAACAGTGGCTTTGGCACTGTGCAAGCTCTTCGGCTGGGGCCACGTTCAGAACGACAACATCACGGTTCGAAAGGGCAAGCCACTCGCATTTGCGCACGCTTGTACCCAAAGCCTAGCCGAGCACCCTGCAATGGTTGCTGATCGCAACAACCATCAGCGGCGCGAGCGACAGCAGCTCATTCAGGATGTCTCAAAGGTCGTACCGAACGCTCGCTTCGTTGCTCTCCACTTCGTACATGACCGCGACAACTACGATAACATTCGCAATGCTCTGCGACATCGAGTACTCAGCCGAGGCGACAACCACCAGACTATTCACACCAGCAAAGGCTCAGAGGAAATCATCGGTATCATGGAAGGCTTCATGGGCCGCTTCGAACCTGTCAACCCTGAGGCTTCGCCAGACGATGGCTTTGACTTGATCATTGACCTGGATCCCACCTCGAGTTCGAGAGCCAACCTGGAGACGGTAGTCACCCGCCTGTACACCGAGTATCCCAAGCTCTTTGGCGATCAAGAGATGCCTGGCCCCGACGATATGGACGCTGCGATTGAGGCTGCCATGAACGACTATCAGGTCGACATCAAGCACGAGATCAAGGGTCGCGATGATCGAAACAAGGTCAACAAGCACGGAAATAGTTTCAAGGCACAACCGAACGGTACAGCAAAGCCCAAGGAGCGCAAGCTCGAATACTTTGCTGTGCAAGTTCCTCCTTCGCAGGTCACATCCATCCTCGACTCCATGTTTCGTGAGGTATCTCCCGATATCGCAAGGATGTACAACACCCTCAAGGCTCAACGTCGAGTCCAGGCCGAATTCCACGTCACCCTCATCCACCGCGCTACTTCGAACCAGTATCCCGACCAGTGGGCGCATCTCTCCGACTTGTATGCCAAGGCATCAGCAGCAACCCCTGAGCGGGACTATGTCCTTCCAGATCCCAAGCTCGGCATGTGCAAGGTCCGTCTCGAGCGCTTGATCTGGGACAACCGTATCATGGCATTCTTGGTGCGGTTGAGTCCATTCGATGCACAAGGCGAGCAGTTCACTACTGTCAACAAGATGGCCCACATCACGGTCGGAACTGCCTCGCCGGATGTCAAGCCCAAGGAGTCGAACGATCTACTAGCTCGTTGGCTTCAAGAGGGCAGCGGCGCGAATGATATCAACGAGTTGGCTATCAAGGGTACGGTTGAGCTGGACGGCACGGTGAAGGGTGTTTTGGGCAGGTAGAGGATGATGGCGATGAATTGACGACTATGAAAGCATGGAATGGAGGGCACTCGAGAGGCTCGACACACACGAGGCATTTGAAGCATTTGCAGGCGCAGTCGATTAGGAGCATTCACCCAGAATACCCAAGCATGCAGGTGCAGATGACATGCAAGAAGTACGAAAGCGCTTGTTATCATCACCGTCTCAGATCACATGCCCTCTTGCCCTTTCCACTGACCTGGCGTGACTCCGATGAGATTAGCTTTTGCGCAACCAACCCCGTCCCGAACCATTGCGCAATTCCTTCCGTTCAACCATCTGCAGGGTCTGTTCTGCAAAATTATGTTTGAGTGTTGGAACTGTTTGTGTCGATGCTTCCTGGTCGGGCACCGAGACATGTCTCATGCTTTCCTCTCTTGTCTGTTACTTGCCGAGTCCTCGACATCACTTCCTCTTGCACTACTCTCCTCGGACAATCTCATCCCTACGTCCCCATCAGACTGATCATTCCACTGCCAACGACGTCTTGGCAGCTGCGGTTGAGGCATTGGGCGGTTCTCCCCTCTACGCGTGAGTCTCTCGCTACCGTTGTCTCCCCCACCCATTCGATATACCACAACCAATGCTTCACAACAATCGCCAGCTGTCCACTCCCCAACAGCATACTTTCCACTCTGGCGTCACAAAGGCGGTCATGCCTGCTGCCAGCGCGGGCAATATCCACAGCCAAATCATCGAGTGCCCGATTGGCCTCTTGGGAGGTGTTGTCTGCAGAGCTCCACGCCTCGGCGAGCGGGCAGGTCGGAAGCTACTGCAGCCTGCCACACCATCTCACCATCCTCAACTCGGCCTCGAGCTCGTCCAGTGGCAGCGCTGCGTCGAGGATTAGCTGCAGCCGGGCAGCGACCCTTCTGCTCGCCGTCCTGCAGGCCCTGCCGGCGCTCCAGCAATCAGCAGCAGCAGGACATGGCGGTGAAGCTGGTCGCCAGCGCGCAATTGTCATCTGGGCGGGCAACTGCGCTGTGAGTGGCGGCGCCAGTGCGAGCAGGGCCATGTTGCGCAGGTGATTGTGCATTGCACGAGGCACGCACTACTGTGTACACTGCTTGCTGCAGCGTGGTGTCTTCGGCAGCGCCAGTGGGAAAAATCTTGCGGTGCAGCGCTGCCAGTCCCGGTCTCCGCCTATGCTGCTATATACCGCTGAGCGAGATATCTTCGCTACTTATACTACTACTACAACCACGCCTCTTTCTGCTGCTGCCGTCGCTGGAGGTGGTTGCTGGCGATCAGTAGCGCAACGGCCACATGACGGCATCCTGTTTCACCAATTCGCTTCAGCTCTGGCCAATCCGATAATCGATACACAAACGCCTCCTGGCTTTTGCAGGGGGTCTTTGCTTCTCCCCGGAAAACAGCGACACCACCCATCTGCGAGACTTCTCCTGGATCCCGTGTCTTCTGGCGCACACAGCCTCCTCCCTGCTACCATCTCACCATTCCCACCCATCCTGCTTGTGCGAGAGGCATAATCCTCCCATCGACCTAATACCAACATTTCCCGAAAGCTCGACGCGAACCCTGCCACGCTCGCCCAGCTCCAACCGCCTTCAATGATATCAGCCTCGTCGCACGATTTCGATACTTGGTCGCTCCAACTCAATGGCAGTCTCTGTCGCAGCGTATCGCGAAGATCCCCTTGCCCTCGAATCGCCCAGACGCGACATCCAGCCACCGAAATTTCCACGGGGTGATCGAAATGGATTGAAGACGCGTATCAAAGCCCTGGTCGGGTTTTGGGAGAATGTGACAAGCTCTAATGGATTGGATGCGAGGCGTAAGAGTGGTGATGTCGGCGAGAGATCCGTGCGACCGGCGAACGAGGCAGATATCGTAGCACGCGACCTCTTCAGACCTTATCAAAACCATGTTCTTCAGACTGCCGCTCCACCATGCTATGAGGATTGCTTGCAAGATCTGCCGCCGGACTATACTTCAACGGATAGTTGCGCGATCGCACGAGACCTCAAAGATGTGGAAATTGTCACCGAGGCTTGCATAGACACAGATAAGTCTGCTCGGCCAACACAGCTGCTGGGAAGCATATTTGATGTAAAAGTCGACTTGTCTCAGATTGAAAATGTTCGGTCTCACGCGAACAAGAAGGCGAAGAAAGCCGCCAAGGCTGCGCAGCGTGACAAGTGGGCAGACAGCGACAACGAAGAGAAGAAGGAAGGTGGCGAAGGAGAAGGCGGAGAGGGAAACGGTGATGGAGACGCCGGTGCAGGAGGTGATGGGGGTGGGGATCCTCCCGGCGGAGGAGGTGGAGACGATGGAGAAGACTGGTGGGATACTGGCAAAAAGGGCAAGAAGAAGAACAAGAAGTCAGTGTGGATCATCTATGGAGCGAGAGTCGCAGACTAACACATACTACAGGAAGAGCCCGTGGGAAGAGTTAGAAGAGGAAGAAGAGAAGAAAAAGGAGGAAGAAGCGAAGAAGGCTGAAGACGAAGCTGCTGCGGGCGCTGGCGCTGGCGAAGCAGATGCCCTCGATGGTATGTTTTTTAAGGTACTCTTATCAAGGCGTCGCGATAGCTGACCTGCTACAGAGTGGGGCTCATTTGCGACTGTGGGCAAGAAGGGGAAAAAGAAGAAGGGCAAAGCTGATCCAGACCCATTCCCAATCGAGCCTGAACCAGCGCCAGTCGAACCTCCTCCGACTGCTGATGCTGGTGGAGAGGATGGTTGGGGTGGTTTTACAACTGCTAGCAAGAAGAAGAAGGGCAAGAAGGGCAAGGTCGAGCTGGAGCCAGAGCCTGAACTGCCAAAGGACCCGGAGCCTGCATTGGACACGATCGATCTTGGTGCGGGTGCAAATGCAGATGCTGCTGATGACTGGGGCGCTTTTGCGACAGTCGGCAGGAAGAAGAAGGTATGGAATGCATTTGCGATTGCATGACTACATGTATTGACCTTCCTGCAGAAGAAGAAGGGCGAACCAGATACGCCACCTGAACCTGTGGCAGAGCCTCCTGCTCCCGAGCCAGCAGCAGCCGACGATATCGACGATTGGATGTCTTTTGGCAAAAAGGACAAGAAGAAGAAGAAAGGCAAGGTATGTGATGGATCTCGTTGTTTCATTTACGGTGGCTGTCGCTCGAAATATGCCTCAGCGAATCGCGTGACCCAGACCCCTTTCTGCAGCTGCGAACGTTCCGGGGCGTGGCTGCCGTAAGCTCAGACCTCCGCAATCTCACGCAGGCATGCGTATCGATACCGCGACCTCCTAACCGCAACGGCGCGATTGATCTTGGTTATGTGGCCATGTGTTCTGTTCCACTGATACTCGAACCTGCAGACCGATACCACAACAGACGCGCCCGCAGATCCGGCGAACGACATGAAATTTGACGACATCAATCTCAATGACGACAAGAATGCACCTAAACTCGATCTCGACTTCGGACTAGGCAAGAAGGCTGAGCCAGAAAAGTCCAGCGGCTTCAGCTTTGGATGGGGCAGTGGATGGGGTGCAGGCACGACATCATGGGGGTTCGGCAGTGCGGCTGACGAGAAGCCGAAGGAGGAGGACACGTCGTGGAACTTCGCGTCCGATGACAAGAAGAGCAAGAAGGACAAGAAGAAATCCAGCGCGTTCGACTTCAGCTTCGACGATCTCGATGGCACAGGCGACGCGAGCCTGGATCTTGGCGCGCCCGCCGTGAAAGAGGAGCCGAAGGAGGAGGATCCATGGGGAGGCTTCACGTCTTCCAAGGACAAAAAGAAGAAGAAGAAGGGCGCGGTCGCTGAGCCGGAGCCTATCGTTGAAGCTCCTCCACCTCCGCCTCCAGTCGAGGAGAAGCCTCCCGAGGATGATCCGTGGGCCTCGTTCTCCACCAAGAAGGACAAGAAGAAGAAGAAGGGCGCGTCGATGTGGGAGCCGGAACCTATCCCTGAACCAGAACCTATCCCCGAACCCGAACCCGTCAAGGAAGAGAAGAAGGAGGAAGATGATATGTGGGGTTCTTTTGGCATGTCTGCGAAGGACAAGAAGAAGGCGGCCAAGAAAGCAGCGAAAGCAGGCAAGGAAGAGGAGAAGCCTGTCGAAGAGCTACCTCCTCCTCCAGAGCCGGAACCAGAACCTGTCGTCGATGCCTTCGATGGATGGGGCACTGCTGGAATGAAGAAGAAGGACAAGAAGAAGAAGGCTGGCTTTGGATTCGACTGGTCTGAAGAACCCGCTGATCCGGCCTTAGACGTTCCCGCTCCAGCTGTCCCCGAGCCAGAGCCTGCTGCCAACGACTGGTTGAGCGGCGGTTGGGCCGATACCACGAGCAAGAAGAAGAAGGGCAAGAAAGACGTGATCGAAGAAGTCCTTCCGCCAGCTCCTCCTCCACCTCCGGCGATCCCAGAGCCAATCGCTGACGACAAGCCAGCCGACGATTGGTTTGGCGGATTTGGTACGAAGAAAGACAAGAAGGGAAAGAAGGGCAAGTTTGATGCTTTCGACCCCCCAGCGCCCGAACCACCTGCGATGATCGAAAATGCCTTCATGATGCCCGAGGCTGTGGTTGAACCCAAAGCTGAAGAGGACGACTGGATGAATTCGTGGTCGACCGGCACGAAGAAGAAGGCGGGCAAGAAGGATAAGAGCAAGGGCATTACGGAAGTGTCTGATCCGAGCCCTGGAGCCTCTGTGTTGCTTCCTGAGTCCGTTCAAGAGAAGTCTGCGGAAGATGATCCTTGGGCATCGTGGACGACTGGCAAGAAAGCCAAAGCCAAAGGCAAGAAGGGCAGCGCCTTCGATCCTATACCGCCGGCCGTTCCCACGCCGCCCGACTTCGACAATGACCCTGCTGCGGATGCCACTGCAGGTGCCGATCTGCTGGACATGGCAGCACCACCAGCTGACGATCCATGGAGCTTTACCACGTCTACCAAGAAGAAGGGTAAGACGGACAAGAAGGGGGCCAAAGTGGCAGAGCCAGTCAAAATTGACGAAGTCAAGCTGTCCAAGACGAAGTCCAAAGACTCGAAGACGGCAGCCGATGACATGTTCGACTTTGCGGACGAAGCACCACTCGCACCCGATCCAGAGCCTGTCAAAGATGAGAAGAAAGACAAAAAGGACAAGGATAAGGACAAGGCATCTTCTGGCTGGGGTGGTATTTGGGGCAGCAGCACGAAGACCAAAACACCCAAGGAGACTGCGCAAGAGCAGAAAGAACGCGAGAAGAAGGAGAAAGCCGAACGCGAGGCTGCTGCAGCTGAGGCACAACGCAAGGCCGATGAGGAAGCCTTCGCTGCAGCGCTCGGAGAAGATCCAAACGATATGCTCGACTTCGAAGAGGACCCTCTCCCGCCGCCACCGACCACGAAGTCTTCCAAGACCAAGGATGCCAAAGACAGCAAGAAGAAGGGCGCCGACAAGTTGAGCAAAGTCGACAGCAAGTCCAGCAAGAAATCGGAACCGAAAGAAGATCCTATCGTCGACATGCCGGAGCCAGATCCCATGCTGGAGTTTGACGACTCCAAAAAGGCCGACGGCTGGGGATTCTGGGGTTCGTCGCTCAAGTCATCTAAAAAAGCCACACCCGCTGCGGCAACGAATAATAAAATTGGACTTGACCCGTGGGCCAATCAGAGCGCGGGGGCGAACGGTTTCCCGAAGATGCCAGATCTCTCTTTTGGAGGACAGGACTTCACGTCAGCAATGTCGCCTCCCAAGGCAGAAGCAACGACGACGTCCAAGTCCAAGGGCGCTGTTAAAGGCGCCAGCATCCACGACCGCATCAAAGCCTTGCAGGGCGACGCACCAATCGACGCCAAACCCTCGAAGTCAAAGAGAGACGCTAGCTCCGTCACCCCACTTTGGGGCGAGCCTGCATTTGAGCCAGAACCTGAACCTGAGCCAGTCTTTGAGGTACCAGCTCCAGCTGCTGACAAGAACTCGAAGAAGGCTGCTGCCGCATCCAAGTCCTCCAAGAAGGACAAGAAGGAGCCTGCGCCCGCTGACCCTCCTCCGCCGCCATCTATCTCTCCCGTTCCTGGCGGATTCCCTGTTGACGACTTTCTCGACGACCATCCTGAGATGGTGTCATCGCCCAAGAAGACGTCGTCTAAGGATAAGAAGGCTTCCTCCAAGTCTACCAAGAAGGACTCCAAGTCCAAGACTGAGCCGGCCATCGTTGAGGCACCGCCTGCGACTGATTTCGACGACCTTCTTGGTCCAGCTGACGAGCCGCCAGAACTTCCCACTCCACCTCCAGAGGAGAAGAGGTCTTCCAAGAAGGAGCGACCAAAGGTTGTGCGCGACCAGGGCACATCTTCGTGGGGCTTCTGGGGTGCGACGCCGGCCAAGAAAACGTCAACCAAGAAGGATTCAAACTCGAAGGATGGGACTGTGTCGCCAACCTCCAAAGACCGACCTGCTGGCCTGACTCGATCGAAATCAGAGCGGAAGTCGTCGGCCAAGGACCCCTTCGAGAAGGCTTCGAAGTCTTCTGGCTCCGACAAGGATGTCAAGAAGGAATCGAAGTCACGACCGAGTACCTCTCGTGGATTCTCGCTGTTTGGTGGCCCGCCTCCGTCGCGCTCCAAGTCGACACGACAGTCGTCGTCCGCCGCTAAGCCAAGCTCTCGTCGCCACTCGACCGCCGTCGATGACAACGGTCTGATGTCGCCGCCTCCGGATGACCATGAGATGTCTGCGAAGGCCGCGAAAGTCATGGGTGTCAGCCGATCCAAGTCTACCAAAGAAAAGAGTCGCAAGGTCCCTGACCCTTACTCACTCGACTCTGATGACCTTGTCATGGTTGATGGGCCCGAAGACTCCGCCAAGGACATCGCAGAACCGAAGGAGCGCAAGAAGTCATCGAAAACGAAGCGCCATTCTTCGTACATGTCGGGCGGGCTCGGCGCTGCTGATGATGAGGAGATGATTGATGCACCACGCCAGTCAGACGAGGCCAAGGTCTTCTCTGGACCTGATGACCTGGCTTTTGTTGAACGGCCTACTCCCGTCAGGCGCACTACTTCCAGCGCGAAGAAGCCTGGTATCATGGGCGGCATCTTGGGTGCTTTCTCCTCGCGACCAACGCCCGATCGCCGCCAAAGCAAGGCCTACGAAAGCGAGGATGGTGCTGCACGCCGCAAGCGAGGATCTGTCTACGACGACGAGTACACTAAGCGTCTGCGACGGGAGGACCGCAAAGTCAACCGTCCGCGCAAGGCTTCCGGTGGCGACGGTTTTACTGACGCTGCGCCCGTGACTGATTTCGAAGACGCAGAAGCCAAGGAAGCACGTCGCAGGGAGAGACGCGAGAGGCGCGATCGGGAAGCAGCTGAAGATGAAGCCAGAGCAGCTCGACGACGTGAGAAGGATGATACTCGCCGCGCAAAAGCTCGAGAGGAAGAAGAACGCCTTGCACGGGAGGACGAAGAGCGCGAGGCTCGGAAACGGGAGGAACGACGTGCACGCCGTGCTGAACGCGAGGCTCGACGTGTTGATGAGGATCGCGCCGCTCGTGAAGAAGAGAGAGCACGCGAGGAGCGCCGAGAGCGAAGACGTGAGAAAGAACGCCAGCGCATGGATGAAGAGGCTGCGGCATCAAAGCCAAAGACCGACCGTCGACGATCGTACATGGATGCACCAGAAGACGACGAAGCTCGACGTATCAGACGGGAAGAGCGCAAGCTGCGCCGCAGTGTGGATCAGGGTGCGGATAAGGAGCGACCGCGGACTTCACGTCGCCGCTCTGATTATCCCATTGATGACTACTTTGACAAGCGCAATGGTGAGCAATCCCCTCGTGAAAGTGGCGCGATTCCAGCGCCGATTGCTCACGCTATCAAGACCGGCGGCGATAAAACCGCTTCATGGGTCAACTCGGTCAACGATGACCCACCGCCGCCTCCTCCGATCGAGGGCACCATCATCGATGCCCCGGTGCATTTCGCCGAAGACAATGCACCCGATCCGCTCGACGAGACGACGGCTCGTGAGTTCCGTCACCGGCGGAGACGAGAGCGGGACAGCTATTACGCAGACGAAGATAGCGAACGTCGTCGCAGGAGACGCGAGAGGGAGAATGTGAAGAGCAGCGATGGCAGCTCGCACGACCGCCGCAGGAGCTATGCTGGGCCTAATAACAGCATGGGCTTCAATGACATGGGCGTTCGGACGTGGGATGGCAGACCTGCGATGCCGCCTTCTGGCAAGAGTTGGTTCAAGAAGATTGCTGGGTTGTAGTATGATGGGCGGGTCCCTGTGCATTGCGATGGATAGGGGAGGAGTGTTGCATTGTTTCACGGCGTTGTGTGGGAATATGGATGATGGATGATACCCTTCTTGCATTTTGAGCGGGCTGTAGGATTGCGATTTCTGGTTGCAGGACAGCACTGCATGATGTGAACTTTTAGGTAGTGTGAGATGAATGGATATGATATATCTTGTCCTTGCTCATTTCTATATCGTTTCTCTTTCCGTGAGACATGAATCGTAGATTCGTTACACTCGTCACCGTCGCCCTCCTGAGTCTTCGGTACGACCCGCCCCGATATCAACCTCACCTCCTCTTGCAGAGCTTTAAAGTTCGTCAACGCCGCTGAACCCCGATCGCGGTGACTGTTTCCATTCACAGCCTGCTTTGCAAATCCATCACATACACACACATATCTAAGCCCACGCCAGTAATGGCCACAAAGCGGAATCCTCCAACCCCCGAGCAACCCTAATGGACCACTACAACAAACCCCACCACAAAAATGGACCAGCAACTCCCCCTCTCCTCAGCCTCAGCTTATACAACCTCCCCATCTCTCGGGTCAGGCGACACGGCTTGCAACGAGTGCAAGCGCCGCAAAGGGCGCTGCGACCGCGTCCTGCCCGAGTGTGGGCCTTGTGCGCGGAATAAGCGGCATTGTCTTTATGAGCGGAATGCGAAGACGCCGCTTACGAGGAAGCATTTGACGGCTGTGGAGGAGAGATTGAGGATTGCGGAGGGGAGGTGTAGGGAGTGGGAGGGGAGGGCGAGGGTGGCGGAGGGAAAGTTGGGGGAGGTTTTGAGGGGGAGGGAGGGGAGGGAATCAGTCGTCACTGGCGGTCACTCGGCGGGCACGTTTTCTGGGGAGCCTGCCGCGATGGATTCCTTGCAGTCTCCGCCTTTGCCTCTTCAGGACCTTGCTGCTGCCGACTGGCAGTATGTTGGCCTGCCGTGGGCGCCGCAGACGGCTGAGCACGATTCTCGGGATTATCGACTTGAGGAACCTCCTTCTAATGCGGATGACTTTAGCTGGGATGAGCAATCGGCGGCTAGTGATTCGGAACACAGACAGTCCCTGGGGGTGGACGATGCCGAGGAGTCGAATGTCACTGATGGGATGGCATCGCTCTCTGTCGAAGACCGGGGCACGGGATATCTTGGTGTGGCCTCTGGAGCGGCGATGCTGAGATTGCTGCTTCCGGATGCGCAGCATAGACGACATCTGCGAACTCGATCTAGTGTGCCTAGAGCCGATCCTATCGTACCTCAAGAAGATGGCTGGGTGCCCACTTCGCTCTTTGCTGAACGCAATATTGGCAATATCGACTTGGACGGCGCGATCAACTCCTACTTCCGGTGTTTCCATGTGGCGTATCCTGTTGTCCACGAGCCTACTTTTCGAGCACAGTACGCTCAAGTGATACCGCGGCCGAATGGAAGGACGTGGAATGCTCTGGCCTACATGGTCGGTGCCGTAGGTCTGTTTACGACCTCCAAAGGCCCTAGCTCGCAGGATGTGGATCTTTTCGAGGCAGCAAAGTCGAACATATCGATCGGAAGTCTGGAATCTGGAAACATCACGCTGGTTCAAGTACTTGCCTTGATGTCGAACTACCTTCAGAAACGCAACAAGCCGAACAGCGGGTACAATTACCTTGGTCTGGCTCTTCATGTTGCGATGGGTCTTGGACTCCACAAGGAGTTCAACGGCTGGCAGATCGCTCCTCTTGCAATGGAGATCAGGCGAAGAGTTTGGTGGACTTTGTTCGACTTCTTCTCTGGCGCGACTGTCACTTTCGGGCGTCCCCTGTCGTGGCCGAGTCATGGTATTGAGGTGGCGCTCCCGCTCAACATTGACGACAGAGATCTCACCCACGCCTCTGCTACGCTTCCGCCTGCAAAAGCTGGACTAACCACTCACTCGGGGGTCTCGGTACAAGCTCGCTTCCACCTTGCGACCAACGATATATACGCGAAAGTCATTGCGCTGGACTTTCCTAGCGCCCAAGAACTGCTCAAGCTCGACGATGAGAGATTGGAACCCTGGAAAGCGCAATGGTACAACGACAGCATAGAAGTGCCTGAGAGACTGATCCTATCACGAAACCTCACAGCATGGCGATGCTCGAACTTCCGCATCATCATGTACCGGCCATTTCTGATCAAGCACGTCTTTCGACTTCGAAACGGGGTGCAGAGTACGACATTGGATACAGCAACTCAAAGTGCGATCGACCGATGTCTCAACGAAGCCGCCTGGTCGACTGCTTCCATTCATGACTTCTGGATGACGAAAGAACGGCACATCATGTCTGCTTGGTACTGCTTGTACTTCATTTTCCAGGCGTCCCTGATACCGGTTATCATGCTGCGGAACGATCCCATGTCTGAACGCTCTGTCCAATGGCGTCAACAAATAAAGGCCGTGCTGCAAGTCACCGAGTCTATGCGATCCATTAATCCGGCAAGCAAAGACTGCCACACTGTGATTCTCCGTCTGTGCGGTGACTACCTCTTACAGTCTCAAGATGGCCTTGGGGCGATACCTGCTGATCTCCTCCAACCTGTGGAGGAGTCTCCCCAAACTCAGCTGTCCTCTGTATACTCCATGATGTGGCCGAATGCGAATACCGCGGATTTTGATACTTTGATCACTGATGATAGCTGGATGGAGTTCATTACGGACTTTCCCACAGAAACGCCTCTGGTTCCTGACGCCCAATTCACTGATGCCGGATGACGACCGAGTGGACGCTATGCAGACTCAACACGCTCTTCGATGTGCTCCTCGTAGCCACTCTTGCTCAGCTTCCTCTCTGGATCTGCGATGTCTCGTGCGGCCTGTGGGCCATCGAATACTTCGGCGATTTGCTCCAGGGAGTAGCCTCGAGTCTCGGGGTATGTGAAATATGTGATTGCGAGGAATACGACCTGAGCGAAGTCAGCTACGAGAGGAACCTTTACGACGGAGGGCGCATACCAAAAGACAGCAGAAGACGATGTAGTACCGCCAGCCGATGTTCTCGAGGCCGATGGGGTTCACAAAGGCTGCGATCACCAGGGAACTGTAGATCGCTAGCAATTCACAGGTCAGGCCTTTGGATCTGTTTGATGTCAGCGACGCCAATGTTGAAGGTCGAGCGAACGACTGGCCTTGTGGAGAATGGGAATATCTCTGTCGGATACGAGATGAGAAGCGGCGTGAAGCTGCAGTCGTAGCCTGGAATGATGAGTACATGGTGGAGAGACACTTTCATAGGGGCTCTCACCGAGATAAAAGACGAACAGACAGACGATGACAACGATACCGGCCGGCGTCGAGCCGGTCTCGTTGTTGACTTAGCATCTATCAGCACAATGTCCCGCAATACAGATCACGGGAGACTTACCTGCTGAGCAAGCGGTCCACACGATATACGAGAGCAACATGACGACACCCGAGAAGTTGAAGAGCGTTCTTCGACCAAGGCGATCTACCAGGAATGCTGCTGTCAGGGCGACGATGAAGTTGAAGATCTTGGACGAATTGTCAGCCTTGACTGCACGGTCGTTGGTCTGGTAATGCTTACTTGTAGCAGACCGTTGATCAACGTTTGCATGAACGGGTCTGTGATGCCGACCGTGTCAAGGACGAGGGTCAGGTAATACGAGACTACGCCGATGCCATTCCACTGGGCCATGGTGCCGAGAGAAACAGCAATGAACAGTCTCCTTCGATTTCCGGGAGTCTTGATCAAGGTGCCCCAGCCCGTCGACTTGGCAGCCTGTTCCACTTTGATTGTATCCACGATCTCGCTCATCTCTCGAACCACCAATGGACTTTGCACATCGCCACCGGCATGGTACTTGGCGAGGATATGGAGAGCTTCTTGGTTCCTATCTTTTGAGACCAGCCATCTCGGCGATTCAGGAAGAAAATAGAAGAATGCGAGCTGGACGGCAGGCCAACCTGCTTGAAGGATCGAAGGGATTCGCCAAGACCAGGTTGACTGATAGCCTTGTGTGCCGAAGGTCGTCCACGATGCCAGGATCGCCCCCAGATAGTAGAGCGTCCAGTACGCCGAAGTGTACTTGCCACGATGAGTTGGATACGACAGCTCTGCTAGCAGAAGAGGACTCGGCTGGGCTGCGAACATGCCCGCAGCACCCACGACCAGGCGGGATACGACGAATTGGGCCAGCGTGGTTGAGGTGGCCTGGATGACTGTGGCGATCATCACACCGAGGATTCCTGCTAGGAGGACTGCTTTACGGCCATATCTGTCTGAGAACGTTCCGACGATGGGGAGAGCGAGGACGGAGCCGATGCTAAAGTGTTTCAATCAGTGTATTACTGGCGAATGCTGCGTTGAAACTTCACATACGATTGAGCAGCATTGACCAGTCCCAAAAGAGCTCCCGCTGGGTTGCCGAAGTAAGACTTCCACTGCTCCAGAGACTGCAATCCATTCATGAGCGATCCATCGTATCCGGCGACTGAACTCCACATCAACGGCACAAGGAGGATGAGATTGAGTTGGAGCAAGTGCGGGATCTGGAACCACCACTTGTCGGTCTCAGGCAAGACTTCCGCAAGCGCTCGTCCGACAATGCGTTCGTTCTTCATCTTCGCTGAGGCTCTTGTAGTATCCCGAACGATGTACGAGTCTGCAGCAACATCAGGGCCGTTGATGGGTTATAACAGAGCGCATTCGGCAGGCTCGTGTGCTCAGGAACATGGCCTGACTCGGAACGATGCATCGGCAATTACATCGAATCGAACCACGCGAGCGTGTCTGGGGAAGGGAGCTACTCCCCAGTTGAATCATGGGGCTCCATACTTTCACGCCACGCCAGGGCGACTGTCGACCTGCGGTACGTCTTCCTCGGGGGAGAGGCTGCCGAGAACGGGATCCTTTGCCGGCCAAGCGCAGACAAAGGGGACGCAAGACGATGTCGGCGCAACATGCCGGAGACTGATTGCGAGAGATGGGTTTCAGAGGCATTGCCGACATCAACTGATGAGGAGGGCCAGCAGGTGGTGCTTGAAGTATTTGTCACGATTCCGGTCACAATAGAAACTACGCCATCGAAACGACGAATCGAATCTGCTCAAAGCGCAGTTTTGTCTACCCTATCTCAACCGCTACGACTGGACGCCTGCTATCATGACCTTGAACACATCCGGCTTGCTAGCCTTCACAAGTTCAAAAGCGTCCTCAGCTTTCTCGAACTCGAAGCGGTTCGTAACAAGCCGCTTCACATCAATCTTGCCCGAAGCCACCAGTTCGACGGCTTGCGGGTAGCAACCAGTCGTATACCTGATACTGCCTTTGATCGTAAGGGCCCTGATACACGCCGTAGTGATGGGGAAGACGACGTTCTCCTTGCCCATTCCAGCCTGGACATAGGTGCCGCCCTTTCTAGCGGCAAAGACGCCCATTTGAATCACGGGCTCGGCTCCTGTGCATTCGAGAACCACATCCGCGCCCTCACCAAGCCCAAACTGCTTCTTGATCTGCTCCGCGACCTTTTCAGAGTGCTCCACAGGATCGATGCCTTGTTCTGCCTTGGGCGGTAGGAAGACTTCATCCGCTCCAAAGGTCTTTGCAAAGTCCAGCCTTGACTGAACAATATCGACACCAATGACCTTCTTCGCCCCATATGCTTTGGCAATCGCCTGACACATCACACCGATAGGCCCGCATCCCATCACCAACACCGTCTGCCCAGCTCTGAGATCCGCGACTTTAGTGATTTGTACACCCACCGCAGTTGGCTCGACCAACGCTCCTTCTTCCATGGTCATGTGGTCTGGAATCGGGTAGACGTAGTCGCTCGCGACGATGTAGTACTTGGATAGTGTTCCGTCCCATGGCGGTGTTGCTGCGAAGATTGTGTCGGCGCAGAGGTTGTAGGCGCCGCTGCGGCAGTGGTCGCAGTGTCTGCAGGGGACGCCGGGTTCGATGGCTACTCTGTCGCCGACTTTGACGTTCTTTGCGGCGGATCCGGTTTCGACGATGGTGCCTGGGTTGTCAGACATCTCCTATTCAGGGCTTGGATGTCGTGCGCTCACCAGATGATTCATGGCCTAGAACGATTGGTCTTGTGAGGACGAAGTCTCCTATCCGGCCTGAAGTGGCAGAACTAGTCAGCCTTGCACATCGCAATCTCCCACAGCCTATCATTTGGCTCACCTCTCTGCCAATAATGTACCTACGACCGTCCGATCAGCCTTCAAACTTTTGCCCGGCTACTTCAACATGGAACTCACATCTGAGCCACAGATGCCCGTTTGCTGGATCTGAACGCGGACATCATGAGGATCGCGTAGCTTTGGAATTGGTCGTTCTTCGAATGCAACGTCCTTCACTGCTCGCAACACGAAGGAAGGGTTCTATTTTGATCAGTTGTGCTCTTTGTTGCTATCTCGAACAGCGGCGAACGTACTCTATCGACCTCCTCGGCTTTCATCTCGAGATCTTTGGAATTGCCTGGATACATTGGAAATATATCTCAGGCACGATACGGCTTGTTCTTGAAAGATCGATGGTAGGCTCTATCGGTCAATCGAAACAGCTAGGTTCGGACGGTCCACACCCTCACATCTGCAGCTTTGAGTAGAGCTGATGTTCGACGGACTGTCTTTGGACCGTCAAAAGCCGAGCGTCGACAACAACAGGTGGAGCAAGAATCGGCTTTTCGAAGGTCAGTCGAACATGAACGCAAAGCTGAGACGAAAACGTACATACTACGGCCAGTTGCATTGACATCACAGCGATGCACGAAGCTCTCTTCACATCGGCCTCTGTCGCCCGGTCTCCACCTGAGAGCTCCAGGGCCAGCTCTGTTCCTGCATGAGCTCTGTACTGTCGTGACGAGGTCGAGAAACAAAAACACTGGCATTGTTTCTTCCATTCCAGTTCGTGGTTGAGTTCACCTCTCGTTTCGATATTTCTCTCCCTTATCAGCTCATATCACAATGCCTCTCGCCAAACCAACCAACGTTTCGAAACCCGTCCTCTCCCAATTCCAACTCAACGGCAAAGTCGCCGCAGTAACAGGCGGCGCACGAGGCATCGGCCTCGAAGTCGTCCGAGCCCTCGCAGAAGCCGGAGCCCAAGTCGCACTCATCTACACCTCCAGCAAAGACGCCGACGCCACAGCCAAGAAGATCTCTGGAGAAACAGGATCAACCGTCAAGCCCTACCAATCCGACGTTCGAGACAAAGCAACGATCACGGCAACGATCAACCAAGTCGCGAAGGACTTCGGCAGGCTTGATATTTGCGTGGCGAATGCCGGCATTGCTTCGCATTATGATAGTCTGGAATATACGGTGGAGCAGTGGCAGGAGATTATGAAGGTCAATCTTGATGGGGCTATGTATACGGCGCAGGCGGCTGGGAAGATTTTTAAGGCGCAGGGGCTTGGGGCTGGGAGTATGATTTTTGTGAGTTGCCAAGGGTTGGGAGAATGTAAACTTTTGTTGACTTAAATGGCAGACGGCATCGGTATCGGCTACGCTTGTGAATGTTCCGCAGAGACAGGCTGCGTATAATGCTTCGAAGGTAAATCTACGTTGCGATCAACGAGTAAGTTATGCTAACGGATTGTGAGGCTGCTGTTGTTCACCTGGCAAAGTGTCTCGCAGTTGAATGGGTCGATTTCGGAAGAGGTAGGTAACAGGTTCAGCAATTATAAACATCGATGCAGGAGCTTATAATATTGTAGTCAACTGCATCTCGCCGGGCTTCATCGAGACCGACAGTATGTGTACTCACCCGGAAACTTAGACAACGAGCTAACAATGCCTGAAGTGCTCAGCGTACATCCCAAGGAATGGAGAGACCACTGGTCATTGCTTGTTCCAGCTGGACGGAATGCTGATCCAGCAGAGTTGAAAGGCGTAGGTTCATCGTTGCTGGCAAGACCTGCAATCTCGTTGCGTTACTGACCGCTCTTTCCAGGCTTACGTCTTTCTCGCGAGCGATGCCTCATCGTACATGACAGGTGAGTAAGGCAGTTAGAGGTCGAGTGAACTCAGGCTGATCGTCCTGTAGGTGCCAACATTGTCATCGATGGCGGATATACGTTGCCGTAGATCTGATCGATCGATTTGATAGACTTCTTCTTCCATTCATGCTCTACCAGCGCTACCACATCTATGCATCCACAACTCAGTCAACTTCACAACCTTCTCCACACCTTCTTCCATGAGCTTCGTAATTGGTGTTGTAGCAGCAGCAGCCTTCAAATACTCGTTATAATCGTCCAAGACCAGCTTGTTAACGTTAATTTTCGACACGCCCCCTTTGATGCATTTCGTCATGATGTCTTCTGGGAAGTCGTTCGTTCCGTGCAAGACTACTCGAACGTCTCGCTTCTTGCAGTATTCGTATATCGAATCTAATCGGTCGAATTCCAGCTGCGGGCCTCGCTTGCCGTATTCTCCGTGAACGTTACCAAAAGCTGGGGCCAGGAAATCGACACCAGTATCTATGAACTCCTCCACTTCGTCTGGAGTAGTGAGCAACCCGCTCAAATCGGCTGTGTCAGCAATTCCGTCCTCCCCACCTTCGATGCGACCCGGCTCTGCCTCTGTCGAGATTCCTCGCTCGTGGCAATACGAGACGAGCTCCTTAGTCAAGGCCAAGTTCTCTGCTTTCTCGTGATGTGACATATCGACCATTATAGAGTCGAAGGGAAGGTTGTCTGCGGCGTGCCGGACCATCTTCTCGTCCTGGCAGTGGTCCAGATGGATCGATATGGGTACTGACGCTCCTCTCGCCGCGATTGCAGCGGTCTGTACGAGGAGGCCATTACTGAAGGCTATTGCCCAGGGGAAGAATTGGAGGATCAAAGGGGATCGTGTGTTCTCGGCGGCTTTGACTAGAGCAAGGATTTGCTCGATGTTGTATCTGAGGGTCTGTCAGATCAATTGAATGGAGTCAATTGTTCGAAAAAGCGTACGCGATGGCGGCAATGACTCCATAGCCTCCCTTTTCAGCATCAGCCAGTATCTGGACTGTTTTGTTAGAAGATAGCAGCTTCGCGGCAGGCATTTTGGATGTGATGACCAAAGAGATGATGAAGAGAGGACAATCAGCAATGACACTTAGCTCTCCATGAATTCAATGCCATCTCCGGACCTCTTGACGCGAACTTCTGTTCATGCAACCAAGGCTTGCCGTTACGCGTGCTTGACAATGTCCTCGTTACGAGGCATTTCGGCTGGGTGGCGTTCAGAAAGGCTTTCTTGCCATCTCGAAGCCTCGTCACGGTGCTTGTTTCCTCGAGTACTCTCTCAAATGTCCTGTCAACTTTGGCATCACGAGTCTGCGGTGTCAAACGCTTTGCAAGAAAGAGTCTCAGTTTGCGGACCAAAATTAAACAGTGGAGAGCACGGGCATGTCAGACCGGATGACTGCATCGAGGCAGCCGACAAGAACTTCCCCTCGTTTTCTTGGGAGAGCTTCTTCCACCGCAGCACTTCCGACGTGACCTCGCGGGACAACGGGCCCTTGACTGACGTGTTTCTGGATACTGTGGTTGTTCTGGAGAGAGCTCTGGGTGGGGTCTGTTAGCAATGCGAGTCTCACAGCTCGTGTGATGGTAAATTGATGGTTTCCCTGTCTCTTTTGTATTGTCTCTGCCATTGGGTTCTCTTTTCATACGTGACCGAGCAATCATGAGTACTAAGCATTTCTTCCCCCATAGCGAGGGTGTTGTCGTTCAAGGCTTGGACTCGCTGGTTGCTAGGAACAGCCATCTCGCCCTCGATGCTCCGAACAAAGTTGTCTATTCGAAGACACACCATCCTTCCAAGGTCACGGTGATTTCAGGAGGAGGCAGTGGACATGAGCCAGCATGGAGCGGCTACGTAGGCGACGGTCTACTGGCAGCGGCGGTCAATGGCGAGGTCTTTGCCAGTCCTTCCACGAAGCAAGTCATGGCAGCAATCAAGCACGTACCCTCAGATGCCGGCATCATCCTCTGCATTACGAACTACACTGGCGACAACCTGCACTTTGGCTTGGCAAGAGAGAAGGCTGCAGGAATGGGATACAACGTCGGGATACTTCGAATGACAGATGATGTTGCTTTGGGGAGGAAACAGACTGAGAACACCGGGAGGAGAGGGTTGGCTGCGAACATGTTCGTTCTCAAGCTTTGTGGAAGTGCTGCAGAGGCTGGATATGACTACGACAAGTGCATGAAGATTGGCCTTTCGGTCAATGCCAACGCAGTCACTGTTGGATCGTCTTTGGACCATTGCCATATCCCTGGACGAGAACACCATCGATCAGTTCCGCAAGACACGTATGTGTTGGGAATGGGCATCCACAATGAGCCAGGTAAGAACACAGATAGTCTCAGAACCGTCAATAGCTGATGTAGTGACCTTCCAGGACTCCACGAGATTTCACCCATACCACCTGTTGAACAACTTGTTGGCGACATGCTGAAATACTGTCTGGACCCCAGCGACAAGGACCGAGCTTTCGTCGAGTTCAAGCAAGACGACGTAGTTGCTCTCTTGATCAACAACTTTGGCGGCATGTCAAACTTTGAGCTTGAGGCTCTCACGAGTGTTTCTCGAAAAGTTCTTGAGCGCGACTGGAAGATTTCACCCAAACGAATCTATGCCCAAACTTTCGAATCATCTCTCAACGCTCCTGGCTGGTCTATCTCATTGCTCAACATATCAGGTATTGAGCGGGAAACGAAGACGACGATCAACACTCTCCTACCCTTGCTCGATATGGAGACAACAGCTCCCTCGTGGCCGCGAAACGGCTACAGAGATATTGAACCTGTAAAAGAGAAGGCGCAGTTGGCGAATGATGGAGGAGCGGATGAGGTGGCCCAGAAAGGTCCCAAGGTAGATCCAACGCTTTTGGACTCAGCCTTGAGGACAGCCTGCAACGCAGCGATCAAGGCTGAACCTGACATCACCAAGTGGGATATCCAGATGGGAGATGGAGATTGCGGCGAAGCTGTCGTCGGCATGTGTCAAGGTGTGTTGAAGAAGCTCGACGCTGGCCTGACCAAGGACGGCTCATTCTTCCACATTCTGGACGAAGTCGGTGAGGCAGTCGAGGAGATTGGTGGAACGCTTGGTGCCATCATCAGCATCATCCTGGCATCCTTCACAACGAATCTGCGTCAGGCGTACTCGAAAAATGAGAGCAGTTTCGCGATAGACACGAAGAGCGCGAGCCAGGCAGCTGGGGCTGCGTTGAACAACCTGATGGGCTATACAAGTGCCAGAGTAGGTGGGAGGACAGTCATGGATACTCTGATCCCCTTCTGCCAGACATTGGAGAAGGATGTCGATTTGGCCAAGGCTGTGGATGCTGCAGAGGAAGGTGCAAATGGCACGTCTGGCATGAAGGCGAAGTTTGGACGAGGTAAGTCAATTGATTGTACCCCTGTCCCGGCCCTGACATCGTACTCGGATCTTGGAGAGCGGCGGCTGACTTTGCTGCAGCAACGTACGTGGGAGACAAGGGCGAAGCTCAGGACAAGCCCCCAGATCCAGGGGCTATGGCTGCAGCAATCTTCTTACGCGGGCTGTTGGACGGGATGAAGAAGTGAGCTACAACCAAAGCGATATTCACCGGTAGTGTAATATAAGCCCAATGTTCTGCCGAAACGAGGCTTCCATTGTGCCCTTCTGCACATTGAAGCTGGCAAGCATTCTCTGGAAGACCGACCGGCTATCCAAGAATCTGATGTCGTGCGGAAATGACCGCCGGATACCTTATTCCCCTAACAAGCTGTCAGAGCTCCACAAAGGTGTCTCTCCCCGCTCACCAACACAGTCATTGCGGGGTCGTCATGGTGGAAGCACGAGGCCGAATGGCGAGGCTAATTGTTATATCAGGAGTCTTTCACGCTCAATGTTCTTGTAAACTACTGACTTTCCTCAACACAAAACACATCCAAAACAAAGAAGCAATCCACGAAAATGCCAGGACGACTTGAAGGCAAGGTAGCCATCGTAACGGGTGGTGGAGGCGGATTCGGCAAAGGCATCGCCCAAAAATTCGTCGAAGAAGGCGCCAAAGTCATCATCGCCGACTTCGTCGAAGAAGTCGGCAAGAAGAGCGCCGAAGAACTAGGCTGCGAATTCCACCGCACCGACGTCTCGAAGCGAGAAGACTGGGAATCGATCAAGAAGTTCGTCGACGAGAAGTTCGGACGACTGGATGTGGTTATCAACAATGCTGGGACGACGTATCGCAACAAGCCGACCAACGACGTGACGGATGAGGATTTCGATAAGGTGTTTGCTGTGAATGTGAAGGCGATTTATTACTCGGCGAATGTGCTTGTGCCGTATATTCAGGATAAGAAGAATCAGGCGTCCTTTGTGACGATTGCGTCCACGGCGGGGATTCGTCCTAGGCCTGGGTTGACGTGGTATAATGCTTCGAAGGTATGTTATGTGCTATTGTTTGGAGAAAGAATGATTACTGAACTTTTTCTTAGGCTGCCGTCATCAATGCCTCAAGAACAATGGGCGTGGAATATGCAAAGGACAAGATTCGATTCAATACCGTCTGCCCTGTTGTCGGCTTGGGTACTGGCCTCTCTGACTTCTTCTTGGGCAAGCCAGAGAATGAGAAGACCTTCTTGGCTACTGTTCCTATGGGTCGGGGTTGCACGCCGAAGGACGTTGCCAACACGTGTGCATTCCTTGCCAGCGATGAAGCCGAGTTCTTGACAGGTGTTGATATCCCCGTGGATGGAGGTCGCTGTGTGTAGAGTATGTACAGATTGAGAGGGGATTTACAAGCGTCAACTATGGGATGATTCATGCTCATCATTCAACGCCATCAGACTCAGTGTCCACGAAAGGTATTGCCACCGCATTCAGGCCAGCCCAGAAAACCTCCCACATGGCTACAGTCCGCATCTGAACACCATCGTTCCAAAATAGATACGCTGCAAGCAGTCGAAGTCCTATGTTGACGCCCAGCGCTTTACGCCATAGACGAGGCTGACCAGCTGAGAGCATGAAGTAGGTGCCCATGGTGATGAGTTGCAAACTGCTCGAACATCAGCTTCAGGCACTTGCAGATTGTACATTCCCCTTTCAAACGAGCCTTGAACTATGTATGACCTGTGCCGGCGTGCCGCCGAAACCCATCGGCTCCATGATTTCCATGAACCTGGCGGGGCTTGCTAGAGCGTAGACTCCCCCGGCCATGGTCATCCCGCCCTGGAGCAGGAATGTTGCCGGGGGGATGTTCTTTAGAATGCTCATGTTGCCGTCTCGAAGTTTGTTTTTTCTTAGTCGATGCCGATGATATCCTTGCACGTCTCACAAAGAATGATGCAGAGAAGGCGTGTAAGCTGAGCGAAACGCGTGAAAAGGGCCCCGTCTCGAGGTCAAACATTCACTCCCCGAAACGAGCCAAGCATGGGGACGCCCCACTCGGAACTGTCGTACCTCAGACATCACCTCGCAGACCATGCTCGCACATAATGCTCTGCTCCACGTGGAGTTGCCGGCGGCGCCAGAAAAAGTACCACGCCTCGGTGCTGGAGCATGGCAATCATGTCTTCCTCTTCAGTCTCTGCTGCAGCTTTCACTCGCACCGCGGCCGAGCCTCCCGTGAGTTTGCGCCTCTGTCCCATTGACGCTTATCTGCCTACTTAAGCAGCCCTCCTCTCGAAAGTGTAAGTCAGAGCTATCCTACGGCGTCCTACTCTCCTGATCTTGTCCTGAGCGAGTGAACGAAGTCCTCCAAATACTTGCCCTCCTCCTAAGCACTCACTCCTCGATCCACATCACTCACGATGGTTCAAGCAGTACCCTTAGAAAACGGCGGCCCAGTCAACGGCCACACGAACGGCAACGCAATGGACGCCGAACACAACGAGAACACCCCGACTCTGTCGACGCTGCCCCCTCCAGACTTCAACTGGCAAATATCCCTCAAAGACAAGGTCATTGCAATCACAGGCGCCAACAGGGGCATTGGTCTCGGCATAGCGGAAGTCTGCCTCGCCAATGGAGCAAAAGTTGTCTACTCGCTGGACCTGATGGACCCTTCAGAAGACTTCGAGGGACTGGCAAAGAAGAACCAGGGACGATTCAAGTACAAGCAGATGGACGTGACAGACGAAGAGAGCGTCAAGAGGGTGGTCGATGAGATCGTGGAGGCAGAAGGCGCCATCCATGGCATGGTATGCAACGCAGGAATGACCAAGCACCAACCGGCTCTGGACTTCACCATGGACCAAGTACGCAAACTGTTCGAGCTGAACGTCTTTGGCGTGTGGAACTGTGCCACGGCTGCGGCGAGGAAGTTCATTGCCCTCGGCATCAAGGGTTCGATCGTTTGCACTGCTTCCATGACCTCCTACCGACCCAACCGTGCGGCACCCTCTGCACCATACGGAGGTACCAAGGCTGCTGTCCGCAACATGACACACACGCTTGCGATGGAGTGGGCGAAGCACGGCATCAGGATCAACAGCATCAGCCCTGGATTCGTCAGGACCGCTATGACATACTACGTTGAGACTGCACCAGACTGGGAGACCAAGATGAAGTACTACGGAGGCATGCCGAGACTGGCCCTGCCTCAGGAGTTGGGAGGAGCGTATGTCTACCTGTTGTCCGACCAGGCATCGTACACGACTGGCATTGACATTCCTATCGCTGGTATTGTCGGAGCGTGGTAGGTTCTGAAGCATGAGAACGCATTTCCAGGCGCAGGATTTTTCGGGCGAAAGGGCGGTGATGTTTGCAAAGCCGCAGCTATTTTAGATGTGATACCAGAGGAATGTGATCTTCAATAAGTGATCTAGAAAGACTTTCATGAAGCTGTGTGTGCGACTTTGAGGGAAGTCTGTGACACTCGCCAAATCCCATCAGACAAGTAAAATGGATGGCAATGCCTGCATCCAACCATCGGCTACGAAGCGACCTTGGAAATGACCTGAGAGACGGACCCGAAGTGTGACTGCCAACGTGACTCTTCTGTGGGACCTTGACTAGGGTCATCGGTGCCATGGGGATAGCCTCGTCTCGATCCCGCATGTGAAATTTGGGGGCAACGCTAGGCTGTGCTACCGAACTGCACGATCCGAAGCGTCTATGGGTCCATGTATGTCAACGATTGGCTCAAGCCTTTTGGCAAGGCTCTGGCGACGAAGGACAAAAGGTACAAGTATAGTTGACATATCGTGTCGTAGCATACACCGCTATTGATAAAATACCCTATTCCTCGCTTTCATTGTCGTTCAAGTAGAAGTTTTCCAACATGGCATCCTCACCACCAACCCCAAACCCCCAAAAACAAATCACCCTCGCCGGCAAAGTCATCGCCATCACAGGAGGTACACCCACCACTTACCTCCATCTCAAAAAAAAAGACATGACGACTGAACACCTCCCCAGCAAACCGCGGCATCGGCCTCGGCATCGCAGACTGCTGCCTCTCCAACTCCGCCGCCGCAGTCTACTCCATCGACATCGGCGACACAGGCGACGAATTCGCCTCCGTCTCCAAACAACACCCGGGCAAACTCCACGCGATCAAAGCGGACGTCACCAACGAGGCGAATGTCACTGAAGCCGTTGAGAGGATTCTCAAGGAAGCGAGGGGACTGCATGGGATGGTGGTGAATGCTGGGCGGACGAAGCATAAGGCTGCGTTGGATTTTAGTATGTGTACTCTGCCGGAGGATGGAAGGTATCCTGGACTTGTGGCGGAGGATGATTGCTGATTTTTTGGTTCTTTGCTTGCAGCTACGGAGGAGATTGAGCAGTTGTGGAGTATCAATGTATGGTTGATGGAGGCGTCGTCTGAGGGATTTTGTTGACGAATGTGTAGGTTTACGGGTCTTTTTACTGTGCGCGGGTGGCGGCTCTGGCGTTCATCAAGCAGGGCGTGAAGGGATCGATCGTTTTCACGGCGTCGATGGCGTCCTATCGGCCGAATAAGGTTTTTCCTTGAGACAGTCCAAGTCCTGCAGACGATGTTAACGAAACAAACAGAGAGTCCCCTCAGCGCCCTACGGAGCCTCCAAAGCAGGTGTCCGAAACATGACACACACCCTGTAAGTTTGCCCCTTCCCAAACCTGGAAACCTTCATTGACCACCTGTCTCTCAGAGCTATGGAATGGGCGCCACACAACATCCGCGTCAACTCCGTCAGTCCAGGACTCGTCAAGACGGCGATGACATACTGGGTGCCGCAACAGCCCGACTGGGAGCAGCAATTGAAGTATTACGGCGGCATCCCGAGACTGGCTGAGGTCGAGGAGCTTGGAGGCGCGTATGTTTATCTGTTGAGTGATGCTGCGAGTTATACGACTTCGATTGATATTCCGGTGAATGGGGTTATTGGCAGTAAGTGGTCTTGTTTGATTTTGGTCGTGAGATGAGAGCTGATGTGTGCGCAGTCTGCTAGAAGATGGTTGAGAAATGGCTGCGATTCAGCTGGGATGTCGTAAGACAAGGCGGCCCTAGACGGTGGTCAGCAGCATTGCATTCTTCGAAGTTGTTGCTGTTCCTTTTCCTGGCACAGGAATCCATCACCAGAGTGTTGACGGACTGGTCTCGAGGTCGCCAGTAATAGATTGCCCCAGACAGTGAAGATGGTATGGGAGAGTCGTTTGAATGCCATTGTGGCATGGATGAGTGCATATGTCCTTCTGTCGTATGATTCTTGGTTGTCTGTACAATCCCTCCGTATGACCCAAAAGAACGCCTCTCCAATGTCGCTGAAACGCTCAATCCAGTAGTACTGTCTCCAACATCATACATTCCTCACCTTCAAAATCCATCGCCCTCTTTCCACTCCCTCCCACTCTCCTTTGCCCTCTGCTCGGGATCCTTCCCCCTCTCGAAAGCCTCTTTCTTGCTCTTGTCCAAGTCAGCCTGCAACTCTCGAATCTTGTTCCTTAACTTCACATCCTTCCCGTACTCAGGCACGAACAACTCCGCCTCTTCCAAGAATTTCCCGTCCTTCGTGTCTTTCCTCCACTGCTCGATCTTATCTGCCTTCTCCTCCCACACTCGAAGGTCCTCTTTGTACTCGTTCAAACGAAATCGTGTCTCGAACCATCTGTCGAAGTTTTCAGGAGTGCCGAAACATAAACCGTAGCCGTCACAATAGCACGCGCTCATGCTGGGGCAATGGATCGGCGCCGCGGAGAAGATGTATTGCCAGGTGTATTCAAAGATCCGTCCGCTCAGGTAGTCGCTCAATTCCGTCCGGGTAATCCAGTCCCGCATGAAGATGTACCTCATCTTGGGGATCCTAAGAATCGTCTCCCTAGACACGGCGAATTGCGCACAACATGGCTGCGCTAGGACTGTGGGTATGGGCTCGAAAGGAAACAGCTCACTCCAGCAGTCGCCCAGGATTACCTCTTCTTGCTTGTCGCTGTTCCGTGTTGTTTCGCCAGGATGGATATGGTCCGGACAGCCAGGATCCCAGTGACACCTCAAATTCATGTAGCCTTCCCTGGTCACTCTCTCAGGACTCAAATGCCTCACCATCTGCGCCGCATCTGTATCCATAATCTCATTGTTATGCCACGCGAAACGATGCGCGTGCATGAAGATAGAGACATCCGGCAGATCCTCATAGTTGTCGATGATAAAGCTCAGATACACCATCACCTCATGACCCTTATTCTTCGGCGGGTGCAACTTCGCCTTTCGATCATCCACCGTATACACCGCCGTCTTAAGCAGCTTACTCTCGATCAAATCCCCAAGCTCTTTTTCAATCCACCCAACAGGCTCACTCTTTAACCTGGGAACGACCAACGTCTTGGTATAATTACTCCCAGCCGGCTTCGTCTTCCCCTGCGGATACGGCGACATATTCTCGATCTTCGGCTCCTTGAAAGTCCTCCATTCTTCTTCGTCCGGTTGAGTCTTCCCCTCCCTCAGATCCGGTAGGATGTTCTCCCCACTAGCAATCTGCTCTACCGTCGGTCCATACCCTTCGCCAAGACCTATGAGTTGGGGGATGTTGCGCCATGAGAGCTGGCGGCCGGAGAAGACGCTGAGGAGGAAGAGGGTGCTCAGCGCGCCGACGAGGATGAAGGGTAGGAACCGACGGAACATTACTCTACGGCGAAAGAGGGCCGTGGCGGCGGGAGCAAGGGATGGGACTGTGCGACGTGTGATTAGACGGGTATGGCTTGGCGAGAGATTTTGGGACAACTTACATTAGTGAGGGATGATGAAGGGAATGTGGTTTGGAAATGCTCGCCATTGAATGATGGATGTCAGGGAGTATCTCACACGGAGTCGCGCGGCCGCGAAGTGACACGCGCCGTCGAAGGACAGGTCGTAACCCTGGGAGACTGCTGACGCAGCTTGGTTGAGGATCTTCAGGGATCGCGACCAAGCTTTCCCACCACGCGGGCTTCAGGGTCAGGTTGACATATGAAGAGAAGAATCTCGCGACTTGAACTGGGTATACTGGGACGAATGACCACCGGGCTATAAAATAGTTAAGGACAATAGCCTGCCCAGAAGTAAGCCTTGCGTGGCATCTCGGAACCATCCTTCTGCCAACCATCGCTATCCTTCTCATGAACGCTTTCTATCATTGCTAAGCACTAATATTCAAGCCTTCAGTGCTTCGCAGCCGTCAACTTCACCATGAGAGGACCCTTGCTCCACACACCCCAAGCCCTCTGATCCCACCAATTGCCCGTCGCCTTCTCATCGAGCTCCATATCGAAGTTGTAGATGACCTTGGCCAGAACCAACCGCATCTCAGCATACGCCAGATTCCTGCCGATGCAGTTCCTGTTGCCGATAGTGAAGGGCTGGAAGGCAGCTTTGTCGTCGTTGGCGAACTCTGCTGGAGCATCGTCGAGCCAGCGTTCGGGAACGAAGTCCCATGCACGGTGGAAGTTCTGGGGCATGAAATTTACCGCCATTTGTGGGACGTGGAGAGTTGTCTGCAAACGTTTCATCAGTACATAAGGCAAGATTGATATAAGCATGAAATGACTGTACCCATTCAGGGATGAACTTGTCGTTAACGACACCACCGCCCGCCGGTGGAATGCGTTGGGCTTGATCCGGCACTGGTGGATAGAAACGCATTGTCTCCTCGAGGACGGCAAATTGGTAAGGAAGGCGGTTGACAGAGTACACATCTAGTAGCGTTTATGGTCAGTCATAGCTCGTTGCATTACGATGCGGTACTTCTCACCGATGTCGTCGCTTGACTTGAAAGTAGACCTGGTCTCCTCTACGAGCTTCTTCATAACCTCTGGGTTCTTAAGCAACAAGTACGTAGTGGCGGACAAAGTTGACGCGCTTGTCTCTGCACCTCCCAGAACCAGAACGGCAGCGTTGTTCACCATCTCTTCCTTTACCATACCTTGTTCAGTGTCAGCGATAGGCCATTACCACGGGGTCGAATCTCGTCTTACCTTCACCACTGGAGTTGTCATCCGCTGATTTGATCAAGACCCTGTCCCAGAAGTCTCCTCGAGATTCGCCTTTTTGGGCAGCTCGCTTCTCAGCTTTCTGTGCAGCGAGAGCAAAGTTCTTCTTGCGCGATTCGAGTGTCTTGTTGTCTACTAGCCAGTTCTTGAAGTTTCCAAGGCCCTGTAGCAATATTAGCTCACGCGAATTCACTCTTTTTAAGCTCCTTTCTCACCCATCGTGTCAAGGCCGATGCCCGGAAGACATAGCGTGTGTTGCCCATTACCGCTGGTACCCATTCGTGGACTTCTCGATTCTCCAGCCCGCCGAAGGATTCGCCCCAGCTCAGATCTCCAATGACATCGAATACACTGAGACCGTCAGTCGAGGTTGTCAAGCTCGGGTTGATCAACTTACCAGGACGTATACCAGTCTACCATGTTCGTAGCATGTCCTGATCGGACACATTCGTTCAAGCGATCGACCAGCAAGTCCATATATTGCCTAATGCGTGGCTCTTGTTCGCGCAATCCCTGCGTCACCATCGGCATCAGAAATCACCTTCACGTTGAGAGCTTGTGATGCTTGCTTACCTTTTCGGAGAATGCATGAGCCAGCAGTCTGCGGAACCTCGCATGTTCATCCTTGGGCGCGTTGAGAATGCTGTAGTAGCCATTGGGAGACAACGCGGTCCTTCGATGGTCCTTCGGAAACTCTGGGTTTCTTGCCGCGTAGATGTCTTTCCAAGCTCTTGATTGTGTGAAGCTCAACTCGTTAGGACTAATCCGAACTGACTCGCCGTACTTGAGGTGAATCTCTCGTAGCTTGAAGACCAAGGTGCCGTTGAACGAGTGGTAGTCGGACGGGAGACTTGTGAGGCGCCACAACAGCGGGCCCGGGTATTCTCGCAGTGGGTGGAAGAACAGCTTGTAGGCAACATTTGCGAGTAAGGCGATCAGCAAGCCGGTGACACCGACAAGAAGGGGAATGCTGCTGAAGCGGGTGGCATCTTGCAGCCAGCTATCCTGTGTCGACGTCATCTTGAGTCGAAGGTCTGCGAGCGAGAGAGAAGGAAAAGAGAAGCGAAGACAAGTGAGACGAAAAGGATTACTACGACAGCATAAGAGTAATACGCGACGTCAGAAATTACCCAGTTCAGGATGATCGCGGTCGCAATTCCCATAGGAAGGATCACATAGGGTACATGTATTTGTATGCTGGCCGGTTCGCGGCACTCTCGCCGTTTCGCAGTTTCGCAGCTGACAGTGGAGCGTCATCTTCCGTAGCCGACGGCCTTGACAGGGTCCAGCGATTGTGCGGGTGCCTTTCACGATAGGACCAAGCAAGGGAGTTCATACCACACGGCGTTCGTTAATCGCTCCCAGGAAGGGTTGGCATTCGAGCCCGTAGGATCCGGGTCCAATCCTATGCCTGACATACCATCGGACGGATTGCTTAGCCTGGCGAGCACAGGATCATGTAATGGGCAGGAATAGGTAGCGATACCGAGGCCTTCTGCTCCGACGCGGCTCTTGTGACAGGCGATGTTGTTGTTGTGGAAGAGAAGGCTGGCTTGTCGCGCGCCAGCCACATGTTCGCACTTGCGGGGCGGATTGTGATCCCTGCACCTGCATCTTGACTTCTTACGCGAGACCACCACCACCATCAACAGGCAAAAAAATACATCACCCACGATGGCGTCCATCCGGCCCATGACGCCGATGGACCTGCTCAAGTTCAACCCATGCAACTTGGACCACTTGACGGAGACCTACAACATCGGCTTCTACTTGGAATACTTCACCAAATGGCCCCAGCTCTGCAAGGTCATCGAAGGTCCTTCAGGTCAGATCGAAGCTTACAGTATGTTCATGCGTCGGCCTGTCCGACTCACTGCCCAGAAGTCACCTACCATCCCCTGCCATTGACTAATCATTGCCGTGACAGTACTTGGAAAAGTCGAATCGTCTCCATTCCCTGCTCCAGTAGAGCCATACGATCCAGGATTGACCATCTACCGGAAGAAATGGCCCAACTACCTTCCATGGCATGCTCACATCACATGCTTGACGGTATCGCCGGCAGCGAGACGCCTCGGCTATGCCACGAAGCTGTCGGAAGCACTGGAGAAGGTGGGCGATGAGGAAAACGCATGGTTTGTTGACCTGTTCGTCCGGGTTGAGAACGAGGCAGCCATCAAGCTCTACAAAAAGATGGGGTGTGTACTAATCCGCGGCCAAGACTTGCCCACCGTAACTTATGCTGACTGTATCTTGTCCTGGCAGCTACTCCGTTTATCGCAGGATTACGGATTACTATAATGACGGTAGCGATGCATACGACATGCGCAAGCCGCTTAAACGAGACAAGCAGCGGAAGACCGTTCGCGCCAATGGCGAGAATATCAAGGTCGACCCGTCGGAGGTTTGGTGAAATCGGACTGTGAATGTCAAACACCCCAAAAGGCAGCTTCGTCCGGCTTCAGATGAGGGTCAGGGAATGTCGGATGCGGCAAGTGATGGCTTTCCGCGCAACACTTGAAACAGAAGTGATCACTGGTGGTCATAGTAGAGGCTTGGTGTCCCAAAACGTGGTGAGACAGCATGACCATCGTCACATCCGGAAGCACGTCAACGAGCCGAGGGAATCGCATGGAATGGCATGTGAGTCCAGAAAGACGAGAACAGAACTGATGCAGCCGTCGACTCTGATACACGTGAGTGTCTATCTGTTCTGACGTGCTTCAAAACGAAGAGCCATGTCATGAATGCAACCTCACGATCTACGAGGCTTCGTCCACACGCTCATCGCCAACACCGAGCGACAAATCAAGCCGTGCAAACATGAATTGATTCCACATGCCCAATACGGCTTCCTCGCTTTCGAGTTGACTGTCATCAAATCTGTCGCCGAGCTTCGTGTGCGTGTAGTACAAGAGACTCTGCTTTCGCGTCTCGAGCCCTCGTTGCCATCAAACAACATGAGCCTTTCGGATGCATGCCAGCATTTGACCACAACCGCTGATTCGCTTTCCGAGCGATCATCGATCGATTCATAGATGAATGACATGCGACCTGCGGAAGTGATCTTAGCCGTTCAGATCACGACGGAACTTTTGCTTTACAATTCTCAGTAGCATCAAGGCCAGGCTCCCTCGCAGGCTGTATCCAATCCGCTGGGAGGTTTTGTATGGCATGGAACCATTGATTAGCCATATGTTCGTATCCACCGTCCGTGGGATGGATGAAATCAGGTTGTATAAGATCTCTAAGCATGTGTGAGCATTCACGTATCTGTGCATGACTTGCTCATGACTTACCCCGAGACTCCGAAATGGTCCACTGCTTGGACCTTGAAGCCTGAAGCTCGTCTCTGCTCTGCGATGATCTCCACTTTCTTGTTGAACCCTTGAATTCGCTGCGATGCATTGTACTCCTTGTTGTCGACGATCTGGCCCATGAGAAGAACAGCGTCAGGACATTCGCACAAGATCGTGTCCAGAAGCGACTCGAAGCGCTGCGGAGTTTCCTCGTAAGGATCTTGAGGTGGAAGCCAGCCGAAAAGCCAAGTCAAATCGTTGGAGCCAGCATGCAAGAGGATCAAATTTGGATGTTGATTGAGGATGCCGTTTTCAAGAATCTTCGCTTGAATCTCTTTGATGTGGAAGCCGCCGTGCCCTTCGTGCTCGCCATCGGGGTTGTCTTCGCCATCGCTGAGGGAGCCAATGAAGTCGACTGTGTAGCCGGACTGCAGGAGTTGGTTGCGGAGGTTCAATCGGTAGCCATTGTTGCCTTGGCCAAATCGGCCCTCGGTGATGCTGTCTCCAAGCGGGAGAAGTCGAAGCGGGACCTTGTCCAGTTTTGCAGATAACGGCTTTTGTCGTCGCAGTGAAGGGCCATACCATCCATAGCCTGCAGGAAATGGCGTGTTAGTCCTTGCTGGATGAGTCTGGCTGGAAGCATACCTGTGTAGAGTAGCAAGACAGCCACGAAGACCAAGAAAGTGATGGCTACTCGATTGCGGACTGACGGGAGACGGAGCATCTTCAGGAAACAGCTCGTCTCGCGTTGTACAAGCGACAGTCGTAGCCTTTTACATAGACGTCTTCAGATGGGATTCATGTTCAACACGCAACGAGGAGGTTAGATGAGTGGCGCTCCTTTCCACCAATGCGGCGATCGCTGGCCGTTCGGTTAGTATAGAGTTTATGTACGAAAAATCCGAGGCAAGTCCTCTGGAAAAGACATGATATGGACGCAAGTGCGAGGCAGGCATAACCGTGGATACTCGCGATATACAATTATTCGCTAGACACTATATATTGCATTTGCATGTGACAGTGAGGAATGCGACTGGAAAGTGAATCTCATGTTCGATGCCAAGCCATGTGATCAAGCGGAGTGCGCTCCGACCCTTGTCGCGTTTCGCGGCTTCACGCGACTTCGAGATGTTCACTCCACTTCACTCTGCCGCCTTTAACAACCCACTTTCTTCTCAAGCCATCGACGTCCTCACCTACTCACCCTCACTCTGCAACCTGCAGCTCGTCGGCCACTTCGCACACCTTCCGTGACACCCTCTCGAGTCGGCGACAACCCAGCTCTTCCTGGCACCTTCCCTTTCATCGAGGCGGCAGTCACCCGCTGCGCGCAAACACTGACTTCTGCCTACCTTAAAGCCGTGCGCGACTTCTCTGAAAATGTAAGTTGCTGCGATTGCGCCTCATCGACCTCGATTTTCCACCAGTCACACCTTCATCATGGTAGTTGCAGTTGTTAACAAGCAAGCCAGGGAGTCTTTCGACGACATCTACCTCGACCTCTCGAAGCAACCCGGCAAGTGTAGACTCGCCGAGTCTGGACTGGGCTGGAAGCCATCCGGCGGCACCACCTTCACGATCGACAAGGCCGAATTCCAGAGCGCACAATGGAGTAGAGCGGCACGAGGATACGAGCTGAAGATCTATTCGCGCAGTCATGGCGTGGTGCAGTTGGATGGGTTCAAGGACGAGGTGCGTGCGACAAGATGTGGAGGTAGCTATGGATATCTGACTTTCAGCGCAGGACTTCGACACGATCTCGAAATGCTTCAAGGTCTGGTATGGCGTTCCGTTCGAGCACAAGGAGCACGCGCTGCGTGGTTGGAACTGGGGTAAGAATGAGTTGGGTCGCAACGAGCTCACTTTCAACGTGCGAAACCAACCTGCGTTCGAAATACCCTACACCGAGATCTCAAACACCAACTTGGCCGGCAAGAACGAAGTAGCAGTCGAGTTCTCATTACCCGCAGACAACGACGACTCCGGTACGAATGGCCATCTCGGTGGCGCAAGAGGCAAGGGCAAGAAGATGGGTGGTGCCTTGGACCAGTTGACCGAAGTGCGATTCTACATACCCGGTACAGAGAAGAGAGCCAAGGAGGACGATGCCGACGAAGAGGAGGCAGAGGAGCAAAATGCGGCCAACCTCTTCTACGAGAGTCTCATGAACAAGGCTGAGATTGGAGAGGTCGCGGGAGACACATTCGCCACCTTCCAGGAAGTCCTGCACCTTACGCCCCGTGGACGATTTGACGTGGACCTCTACGAGAGCTCGTTCAGACTTCGCGGAAAGACATACGACTACAAGATCTCCTACGAGAGCGCCAAGCGCTTCTTTGTTCTACCCAAGCCAGACGACATCCATCAACTCATCTGTATTGGCTTGGACCCACCTTTGCGGCAAGGTCAGACACGCTACCCATTCTTGGTCATGCAGTTCAAGCGGGACGAGGAGGTGGCGATCGAGCTCAACATGACCGAGGAGGAGCTCAAGGAGAAGTACGCCGGCAAGCTTCTACCTAGGTACGAGGAGCCAATTGGCCGAGTCATGTCCAAGATCTTCCACGGCTTGACTGGCAAGAGACTCATTCAACCCTCGCCCGAATTCGACAGCCATCACCACCAGAGTGGCGTCAAGTGTAGCATCAAGGCCAATGAAGGCCACCTCTTCTGCCTGGACCGCGCCTTCCTCTTCGTTCCCAAGCCCGCGACATACATCTCCTTCGAGCAAATTGCTACAGTCACCATGAGCCGCGTGGGCGGAGCTGTTAGTGCCAGCCGCACATTCGACATCACGGTCTCACTGAAGAGTGGCAACGGGGAGCATCAATTTTCCAACATTAACCGTGAGGAACAGTCGCCACTGGAGAACTTCTTAAAGGCGAAGAACATCAAAACGAAGAACGAGATGGACGGTGACACTGGCATGCTGGCTGCGGCTCTCGCAAACGATCCCGACTTGGTTAGCAGCGATGACGAGGAAGTCGTAGCAAGAGATCGTGGCAGTGCCGACGAAGACGATGAGAGTGTGGACGAGGATTTCCAGGAGGAGTCAGAGTCAGACGTTGCTGAGGAATTCGACAGCGATGCTAAGAGCTCAGGAGGCAGCGACGTGGAGATGGACGATGCAGACGGCGATGCGGGCAGCGAGAGCGACACAGAGGCCAAGGTCGAGCGGCCGAAGAAGAAGACAAAGACGGGAAAGTAAGGGTGAATTGAAGAGCACGAGAAAATGGGACTTGTATTGCTTGGTTGAGGCGGTCTATTTGGAAAGCGTAAGGCGCAAATGGGAGGCTTGACAGTGCCTCGCCAGACAGAATCAGCAACATTGGAGTGTGCGAAAGCTGTCTCTGCGTTTCATGTCAACTGCGCTCCTTCCTCTTCTTCAGATTCGGCAACACCCGTCTGCTCGTTGGCATTGCAACCACTTTTGACACCGTTTCTTTTGTTTTCTTCCGCTTGAATCTCGACTGACACCCTCACGTTCGACTTCCAACACAATCGCTCGCATACCAAAGGGGGTTTTGGTTGCACGTCCAAGTCTTTACATCCGTGCACGCGGGAGAAGACGGTACCTGTGAAAGCTCTCACCGCTTGCACTAGAGCGATCATTCTGCCGCTCCTTTCACACCACCGCCATACCACCACCTTTTCACGCTTTTTGGGTGCTCGCCCAGCATGGGTCGTCGGCCCAATGCCGTCGTGAGGTATGTCATTCGATTCATTTTTTGCCAACGCACAAACAGCTGACACTTCGCAGTGAGTACTTCACTCGCGGGAACAAAGTGGCCGATGCGAGCAATCGATACTCTCATACTTGGTATGTTCGATCATCGATTTGATTGATGTGACAGAGTTGCTAACGTTCGTGTGTAGTCGCAAATGCGATGAAGTGGTAACGTCGAATTCCTCCAGCTTCAAACGATCAACACCTGACCAGTCTGCAGTTCCCCAAGGGTCGTGCGGACAACCTCATCAGCCACTTGCTTCGACGCTGTCCGTTGGTCTCTCACGACGAGAAACAGAAAATCTATCAAGCGGTCCATCAGCAGACTGCAGAAGCCCGCCGCCATCGCGAGCAATCCGAACAAGTACCTAGTCCAATCGAGTACCCACTTGTCGACTACACGGCCGGTCTGAACACTTCGTTCTTACCTGCACAAGACGAAGATGGACTCCTCACACTAGCGGAAGCATCCCAACTGGCTGGTGGTAATCCTCCAGAGCATCCAGCAGCTGTCAACGACTTTGCTGATGGCGTCGATTCACAACTCTTCGTGCAGCAATTGCAGACCGCTGCAAATGAACCTGCATTTTCCATCGAACCAGTGACCGATCCAGCCATAATGCCTGCCAGCGAACATGCCAGCCATGCCAGCCAGCCTTCGCCGCCTGTGGATGCGGTGAACGCTGCATCAGTTCCTTCACCGCTCATGCAGACAGCCTCAGCTGCGAATGAGGAGTTAGAACATTTTGGCTCACATGCTTTAGCTCCAGGTACCGATCGACCCCAACCGAGCGATGCTAGTGCAGATGATTCCACGCCGACTCTTCATCCAACTCAAGTCAATGGCAAGCCAGGTCGGAAATCTCGGAGGGCTACAAACGCTTCCAACGCTCGGACGTTTGGCAAGATGACTGGTGAGTCTTGCAAATCGTTCCAAGTGGATATAACCTTCGAGAGAGATATTGTTCTGACCGTGTTGTAGCCACGATGCGAGTGAACCAGCCTTCTGATGGCTCGAGCTACTTGCCCCCAAATCCCAAGAATCGCACCAGAGCCCGCTTTGAGACCACCAGACGTCAAGAAGTCCAAGTTATGCGCAAGCAAGGCGCTTGCATGCGATGCCGGATGTTGAAGAAGCCATGCTCTGAAGGCACGCCTTGCAACACCTGCAAATCGGTCGATTCGGCTCGAGTGTGGAAGGGAAAATGCGTGCGCACCAAATTGGCAAATGCATTTACCTTGTGGTCGGTGGGCTTGTTCTATTCCAAGGCCAAGATCGAAGTGCCAGCAGCTGTTCGTGGACTGGAAGAACAGCAAGTACAGGTATGTCCTCATCGGAAGCCACACCGGCATCATTGAAGAGTCAACGGCTGACTTCCTCTCAGGGGCGTATTGAAGTTCGGTTTTTCTTTTACTCGGACCTCGCTATGACGTTCCCCGTCAAGAAGCACGTCTCAGGACTCGTGAATTACATGTCCTCCATGGAAGAGAACATCCCACCTTTCATGAGAGACGAGAATGCCAACACGACTGAGCCTCCACGGACGGACATTTGGCTACTCGACGACCGCGAGGGACTGTCTGGCAAGATCGAAGAGTACCTCAACCGCGTTGCAGATGCATGCATTGCCGAAGAGTCCTCGCCGTTCCTCAGGTCCACCCTGGAGCGCGTTCAGGACATGGTTAGACAGGAGCAGGCCAATGGATACAAGGCTCTGCAATCCCAGACTGGCAGATCATCCTACACCATCCAGAACGAGCTGCTCAAAGACACCGTCGAGCTCTGGGTGGGGACCTTCATCCTCACTTTACGAAACTCCGCAGAACTCGAAGCCGTCTACAACACAGTAGAGGCACCCAGCGATGAAACCACGCCGAGTCAGTGGGCGGGCCAGCAAGATGGCCAATACACCGCACTGCCCCCAAACAACCGCGAGCTCATCTTCACCCAGCTCCTCGCAGCCATCGAATGCCGCTGCTCCAACCTCGCCAAATCCATCCTGAACGAACTCGAGCGCCGCCTCCTCCAGCGAAGCCAAGTCTCCGGCTTCGCCACCGTCATCTCCTCCGCCGTCCTCCTCAACTGCATCGAACGCATGTCCGGCCTCTACAGAACCTTCGACGCGGACCCCGCACCACCCCAAGCACCGGACGCCCCCATCGACAGAGACATGCCCCTCCCCCTCGCCTTCCCCGTCCGCCCTTCCAACTGGCCCCTCGACCACCCACCCCGCCACCTCTGCCCGCAAGGCTCCCACTTCGCCGACATCCTCATCATGCTCCTCCGCACGCGCAACCTCCCGCCACGAACCACGACCACCCCGGACGGTCGACTGATCGTCGTCCCCGGCCTCACGCAGCCTTTCAGCTGCAATCGGTCGTACAGAGAGCAGGCGGACGATGTGGGCAAACTCCCGGCTCTGTGGCTGAATCGTCTGGCGCTGCAAGAGGCGGATATGGTGCGGATTCGGGATGCGAGGGTGTCGCCGGGGGATATGGGGGTGAGGGCGTGGGATTTGAAGTTTGTTGCTAGGCTGTTGTTGCCTGAGGTGGAGAAGTGAAGATCGAGAAAGAGGGGAGCTTACTGGGAGTTGTTTTGATGGGAGATTGTTTTGTTGAGGAGGGTTGATGAGCGTGCATGGTTGGAGTAATGGCGGCGTTTGTTGACGATGATGATGAAAAGGCGCACATGGGATGAGATACCCTTCAGGATTGCTTGATGCGAGGGCATTGCATCAAGGACGATGCATCAAAAGCGACACATGGTAGATAGACATAGACATAGAACCCCATACCACTAATGGAACAGATTGAATGAGAGCGAGTCGACCAAGTATTTTAAAAATCTCTGGGTATCATTTCAAGCAAATCTCAGTACTGTTAATTCCTACATAGGAGAGTGGGGACCATTCAATTTGCAACCGAAAAAAAGCAGGCCAATCTCGTCGGTCTACCTGCGGACCGCATCGAGTTCCTCGATGAATTTGTAAATTCCTTCAAAGCCCTGGTATTCCAGTGGGCTGTGTTTGTCTGAGCCGTACGCGCTGCCAGAGCGGACGGAGTGGTATCCCGAGGGCGAGGAGAGCCAGGGATTTGCGTCTTCGAGGACGATGTCTTCGAAACCGGTGTCGGATTGTGTCGAGTACGCTGGGCTTCCCGATGGCGTGAGCATATCCTGTAAGCTGATTACGTGCCTTTCGGGAGCCATGAGCGGCTTGGCTTTTTCAAAGAGCTCGCTGTATGCCGACTCCTCTGTGATGGAGGCTTTGTTGCTAGGAGCAAAGGGGAAAAGCAAGGCGATCTCGGTTCCCGCGAAGGAGTCAAAAGCTTCGTCTTGGATGACCGTTCCCCGTTGTACGTCCAGTTCTTCACATAGCTGCTCAACGGTTTCTTTATCGCACCCAGGAAAGTGCACACGCAGGTGAGAGCCTTCGTATGTGATCGGGAGATCTCCCAAGGCGGACAAGCGCTTGAGGTCATTGAAGACGGCAGCCAGATCCTTCAGGCCACGGGAGAAGTCGACGGAGAGCGCGTCAAGGAGACCATCGGTGTTGAGGTGGTCGGCAGACGCAGTGGTGGACGTGGAGTAGCCAGCGACGGAGTTGAGCGATGTGAGTGCGGTGATGGTTGGGTTCACCTGGAAGTCGATCCAAGAGCCAGGTGTAGCCTTTGGGAGATCACGCATCTTGCGGCCAGTCTCCTCTTGCAGGCTCGAGACGGCCTTGAATCTCTTCTCCCCATTGGCAGAGACGCCGTCGAACTGAGCCTTTTGGCCGGATACGAAGAATGCCCTCACAGCTTGAGAGACATTCTGTACTACCTGGGCCTGGCTAACTGGTCCATGAGAGAAGTATCTCGCTCCACCGACTCTGCCCGAACCTGTTGTATATCCTCCAGCTGTTCTTCCAAGCGTACCACCAGTCAAGTTGGGGCGCAGAGTCGAAGCGAATGGGGCACGGCCGGATGAAGATTGAACTTTTGAACCGATGGTCGACTTTGGGAAGGATGCGCGGTCATACTTGACACCCGAACGACCAGACGCAGAGGAGAAATGGCGGACGGAGTTGTCAATCGACCGGCGGGTGGTAGAGAACCAGCGGGACTGGCTCTGGCGGATACGTGCGAGGGGGTGTAATGGTTGTTTGGGAGCGTTGCGTGCAAGCACAGGTTCCAATGCTGCTCGTTGCTGGCCGGCCTGTGCCACCTGCGCGTCAATCGCCTTCAGGCCCTTGGACAAGGCAGCCCTGGGATGCGTCAGTCGACGTGCGAGACAGAGCTGATGTTGATGCAACTCACTTCAGGCTCTTGGCGTGCCTGGCAAGCAGGCTGTGCCAATGCACCATGCCCGGTATAGGCGGCATGATGCGTACGGGGTGGTCTCAGCTCAGGAGTAGAGAGGTGGTGTTGATGGAAGAGAGCAGGTCCTCGAGTGACGAGGTGCGGAGTGATGAGTGGCAAACGCCGGGACCCTGGGATCGGCATGTGTACGTGCAAGTGGCTGATGAGTGGCTGATGAGCATCTTGCCAAGCATCTGAACATCAAACTCAAACCTCAAACATCCGACAAGCACAAACATCGCAAACCAGAGGAGAGATCCATCGACAGAATGACCTCCCTCAAGCGCTCATACGCGTCCTCGACTACGCCGAGCACGACACTGAGCAGCAAAACCTACCTGCGGACACTCAGGTCTGGAAAAGTCCAAAAAGTCGTCCGCGAACTCTACCTACGACAAGACATCCCCTGCTCTTCGCAACTCTGCTCAACATGCATCGATCTCGCTCCTGCTGGATTCCATGGCAAGTCAGATCCGCCTATACTGTCGGCGACTCCAGCCGGAACGACTCAATTTCCACAAGGACATTACCTGGTCCCAGACACTAATGCATTTCTTTCTGCTATGGATCTTTTCGAGGCAGAGGATGCAGCTCGGGACGTGATCGTGCTGCAGACCGTTCTCGAAGAGGTCAAGAACCGGTCACTACCCTTGTACCACCGCTTGATTGCCTTGACCAAGAACGAAGGCAAGAGATTCTACGTCTTCTTCAACGACTTTCGGCTAGAAACCTACGTGACTCGGGACGCAGGCGAGTCCATAAACGACCGCAACGATCGTGCTGTGCGAAAGGCATGCGCTTGGTACGCTGCACATCTGCAAGATGCAGTCAAAGCTCGCAAGAACGCACGGTGTCCTGCTGTGGTCATGCTTTCTGATGACAGAGAAAACTTGCGAAAGGCGAAAGACGATGGATTGATTGCCTTGGGTCTGCAAGACTACGTGTCCGGGCTACCTGATGCAGACCGTTTGCTCGATATGGTTGCTGCAAGCCGCGATCAGAGAGCAACACGAGACGCCAAGGCCAAAATGCTGTATCCCGACTACATGTCTATGTCTGCGATGCTCACTGGTGTCAAAGCTGGGTCGCTTCACCAGGGGACTTTCAGCGTCTCTCCATACAACTACCTCGAGGGTACGGTGCATGTGCCTGCATTTGATCGGCCACTCATTATCCAGGGTAGAGAAAATAGCAACCGGGCGGTTTCTGGTGACATTGTGGTGTTGGAGGTGTTGCCCAAGGATCAGTGGAAAGCCCCCTCAACCAAGGTCATTGAGGAAGATGACTTGACCAAGAACGAGAACGCAGAGAATGAGGATGAATCTGCCGAAGCGGTTGTTTCTGAGCAGGAGCGGCGAGCGCTGCAAGAAGAGGTCAAGCGTGCGCATGGAAAAGTTGCTGAAGGCAAGCCACAGCCTACTGCAAAGGTCGTTGGCATTATCAAACGCAACTGGAGACAATACGTTGGCCACGTGGATCGGGATTCTGTGCGATCGGACGCGAAGCAGAGCCGAGCACAGCAGACTGTCTTCCTCATACCCATGGACAAGCGCATCCCAAAGATCAAGGTTCGCACACGCCAGGCTGGAGAGCTGCTCGGCAAGCGTGTGCTGGTCACTATCGACTCTTGGGACAGAGAGTCACGCTATCCTATCGGCCATTTCATCCGTAGCTTGGGTGAACTGGAGACGAAGGGAGCTGAGACTGAAGCTCTGTTGCTCGAATGGGATGTGCAATACAGACCTTTTCCCAAGTCTGTCCTCGACTGTCTGCCTGCTGAAGGCCATGACTGGAAAGTACCCGCCGATACTTCCGATCCTGGCTGGAAAGGCCGGCGAGACCTCAGAGACCTATTTGTCTGCTCTATCGACCCGCCTGGATGTGTTGACATTGATGATGCACTGCATGCAAAACTTCTGCCGAACGGCAATTTTGAAGTTGGCGTTCACATCGCAGATGTCTCTCACTTCGTCAAGCCAAACAACGCCATGGACAAGGAAGCAGCGCTGAGAGGTACAACTGTCTATCTCGTCGACAAGCGTATCGACATGCTGCCGATGCTCCTGGGTACTGACCTGTGTTCGTTAAAGCCCTACGTGGAGCGGTACGCCTTCAGCGTCTTGTGGGAGCTCAATCAAAACGCCGATATTGTCAACGCTATATTCACCAAGAGTGTCATCAGAAGCCGAGAAGCGTTCAGGTACGAGCGTGCTCAGCTGCGCATCGACGACCAGTCCCAACAAGACGAGCTCACCCAAGGCATGCGTCACTTGATGATGCTCTCCAAAAAGCTGCGAGCAAAACGCATGGCCGCAGGAGCACTCAATCTGGCCAGCCCAGAAGTCCGAGTCGAGGCCGAAAGCGAGACTTCCGACCCCGTAGACGTCAAAACCAAACAACTCCTCGACACGAACCAACTCGTCGAAGAATTTATGCTCCTCGCCAACATCAGCGTCGCGGGCAAGAACTACTCCGCCTTCCCCCAAACCGCCCTCCTCCGCCGCCACGCCCCACCCCCCAAATCCAACTTCGAAGAACTCTCCAACCAACTGAAAGTGAAAAAGAACCTCGAACTCCGCTCCGACTCCTCCAAAGCCCTCGCCGACAGCCTCGATACCTGCACGGACCCGACTGAACCCTTCTTCAACACCCTCGTCCGCATCCTCGCGACCCGCTGCATGATGAGCGCCGAGTACTTCTGCTCCGGCACGCAAGCCTACCCAGAATTCCGGCACTACGGCCTCGCCTCAGAAATCTACACGCACTTCACCTCCCCGATCCGTCGCTATGCCGACCTCGAAGCCCACCGCCAACTCGCCGCCGCCATCGACTACGAACCCCTCGACGCCTCCCTGCAATCGAGATCCAAACTCGAAGCCGTCTGCAAGAACATCAACGTCCGCCACCGCAACGCCCAAATGGCCGGGCGCGCCAGCGTGGAGTACTACGTCGGACAGGCGCTCAAGGGACGGATCCTCACCGAAGACGGCTTCGTGATGCGCATCTTCAGCAATGGCTTCGTGGTCTTCGTGCCGAGATTCGGGATCGAAGGGTTGATCCGTCTGAGGGATTTGGGTGGCGATGGAAAGGAACCGGAGAGTGTGTTTGATGCGGAGGAGTATAGTTTGGTGGTTGGGGAGAAAGGGGAGAAGAAGGTGGAGCTTTTCCAGAAGGTCCAGGTGAGGATTTCGGATGAGGCCGAGGAGAGTACGGGGAAGAGGAAGATTAAACTTAATCTTGTGTGAACGGGAGAGGGAGAGAGGCTGTCACATTTTTGAGCAGAAGAATGAATGGATGGATGGGTGGGTCGAACGCTTGGTAGTAGCCATTGATGAAGGTGGTGTGAGGAGTCGTAACCACACCACCACCAACAAACACAACCTCCCAAAACAGTCCCACACTGCTTTCCCACCCACCACCTATCGTACATCACACATCACACATCTAACCAGCAGCAAGCAAGCGTGTGATGGAACGCAACACACGCGCATACAGGAGGAGCGCAAGCGCATGGAGGACTGGAGTGGTGACTTGCAAGCGCAGCAGCCAGCCAACACGGACGGAAGACGGGGCTGCTGCCACGTCAGAGCACACCACTACGGAGAGAGGTGAACAGCAAGCAAGCAAAAAGCAGAACAAGCCAAAGAAAGTTAAATATTGGAGACGGGGGAGAAACGGTCATATAACAATGTCACTCATCACACTTCTCTCGTCCTGTCACTTTCCTCGTCTTCCCAGTTCGTTGTTGCTCCTTCTGTCGTCTCTCTGAAACCATTCAAGTTCGTGTTCAATTGAGCTAAAAAATCAACAAAATTTCATGCAATCATATACCCACTACGCTACCTCTCTACTTAAAAGAACAAATTGGAAAAAAGCCCCATGCATCGCATACGCAGCAAATAAATGACTAAAGGTTCAAAATAAACAAAAGCAACAATCTGGGTATCGTCACCTGTGTTGGAAAAAGTCTCTTCCCTCAAAAATCAAAATCCCCCAAAACTTGGACCCGAATCGCTATGCTATTACCGTGATGTGACTGACAGACCTTCGAAAACAAAAAACCCAGGAGCAGACGCGACAACAAGATGCAATTCAAACGCAGAAGTACCTGATCCCGCACGCACACGCACGCACGCACCCGCGAAAGAAGTCCAGATAGCCGAGACCGTCGTGAGAGGAGGAAGGAAGCAGGGATTTGGAGCCGATGCCGATGATGATAGTGGTGGTGGTGTATCGATGTTGATAATGATGATGATGGATGAGCTGTAGCTGACATGCAGACAGACAGACAGGGCTCGCGCTTTATCGATCGAGAAGATGCATGCATGCACGCGTAAGGATCCCCACCCCGTCAAGAACGCCTTTCCGCATGCAAGGATGATGATGATGAAAACGCGCGCGAGATGCCGATAAAGCCATTTCGATCCAAGGATTTACAGTCGAAGGGGTAAAGATAGATGTTCGATCTTCTTCATCATTGATATCCGTATTGGGGCATGCTGCCGGAACCTGGCGTCGACCAGCCTTGCATTCCTGGCTGATGTCCTGCAGCTGATTGCGGTCCCATGTTGAACTGTTGCGGGCTGGGACTTGGCTGGTACATGCTACGGTTCATGCCAGCGTAGGCCGGGTTGCCCATTTGGCCCATCTGTGGGTAGCCCATGCCGGGTTGCGGCATTTGCGGCGGTGGCATCTGAGAGTGGTGTTGTTGCTGGCCATACCCAGAAACATGCGACTGCGACAGAGGCGACGGCTGAGGCTGTGGCGGCCACATCTGATTTTGAGGATATCCGCCGTACGATGGAGTCTGACGATGACTCGACGATGCACTCATTCCCATAGAAGGCGAACCTTGGTGCATCTGGCTGGGAGGTGGCTGTCGGTGAATGGGCTGCACTGGAGACGCCATAGGATTCTGTGGATTCTGGTAGGCTCCATAGTTCTGGCCGATCATCTGTGAGCCACCTTGCGATATCGAATCCTGGCCTCGATGGTGAGACATGCCAGTCACAGCATGAGGACTCTGCAGGTTCGGGGGCGCGACGGTGTTGGCATCGCCCTGGCCTGGCTGAGGCTCTGTCGTCGGCTGTTCATGCGGACGTTTCCAGTAGTCATCGAGGTACTTAGCACGGTGTGCACGAGTAGCGCCCAGCTGCTTGTTCCAGTCGGTGGCCTGGTTGGCTTGGGTCAGAATCTCGGTCGGGTTGCTGGCCTGAATCCGATCAGCATAAGGTGGACCAGACACCTCCTGCCTGGGTCGTATTATGTTAGCACCCATCGTGTTCGAGCGCAGTTCATCACTGGGCAGGTGGATCATCGGGAGAGGTGCCAGCGATACAGCACCCAGACCGGGCGGCTGACCATCAAAACCATGTCCATGGTTGCTGTAGATGATCTCGCCTTGGGGTAGAGAGGTCAGGGTACTGGCATGGGCTTGCTCAGCAGCTGCCTGCTCACGAGCCTTTGCAGCACCAGGTCGCTTCTCTCCAGCAGCATCTTCCTCTGTGAAGCCTTGCTTCCTGGCTTTGGCTTCCCAGTAGTCGTCTCGCACACGACGTCCACCCTCTATCAGACGGCTGCCGAATTGTCGAAACATTGATCGGGCCGTCACAATCGCAATCTGTCGCGAACGGTAAGAATAGGGTAGGATTTCCTGATGAATGAGGTTGTCCTTTTCCTGTTGGTTGGCAATAATCTTGTAAAGTGATCTGTTCTTGTTGAATAAGAGATACGAGTCACGGTAGCCTAACACGCGAGCGCATTCGGTGGCGAGCATGAAGAGCTTCTCGCCACGGTTCGGTACCTGAAAGGTTCGACATTTGTATTTGCGGCCTTCCAGCGGATATCCATCCTTGGAGACTTTCCTTTCGCCATCGGGATCGATTTCTCGTGGGATGTACTCGTCACCTTCTGGGCCGAGTTGGTCAGTGGTATGGTCCCTAACCGTGGGTAACGCTTTGACCACCGGGCCCTTGGTGGCAGAACCTGGCGTTGAACGTTGTGGCGAGGCCTGCGATGGCGACGGCTGTGGTAGAGATTGGGTCTTGATCTGCGGCGTCTGCACCGGCCGGTGTGCAGCGGCGAGTGACATATTGATATTGTTTGAGGAAGGTGCAGGACTGTCGCTTGCCTTTATCTTTTTCGGTCTGTTCTTGGCGTCATCTGGTTGCAAGACGTCAGCATTTTGGGCATCTCGATGCCAGTCCAACTCTATCATTGTATTGTCCATTGTACGTACCACCTTCGTTGTCATGTACAGACGCTCCGTAACCATCAGACTCGGACCGGCCACGTTTTTTGCCTGCGTGTGGGCTGGGTTGCGCGAAAAGGTCGGGGTGGATTGTCGTTGCTGTAGCGGAGAAGAGTCAGAACAGATTCTGTATCTAGTGGATATGGCAATGGAGGGGTTTCTGTCACGACATGGACCATGACATCCATCGCGCGTGGCACGGCAGGGCCGGTGAGGCCAGTGCTGACTTACCCTGCGAATTGAGAGCGGCTGGATTGATCGTGCCCGACTCTTCCATGGCACGGCGGTGTAATGTAGAATATGCTTCGGAGCTGCGATGCGACACGGCCAGCATCACATCCCGCGACCTGGCATGAGAGAGGGCGCGGTTCGGCGGCGATGTTGCACAAGGTCGCGGCAATCAGCGACGATGTCTCGAGCTGCGCGCCGGTGGCGGTGAGGGACTGGATATGCTCGGCGGTCGCGACAGTATGGATCGGGGCGGTCGTGGGATATTGTGAGGTGCCGGCGACGAGGACGGCGCGCGATGAGGTGTTGTTCGCAGAGTGGAGCAGCAGCAGCAGCAGCGGTCGGTAGTAGCTTCGCGACCAGGGCCGGAGCGCTCCCTTCTGCACGATCCCAAAGTTTGCGCGCGGTGCAGATAAGCTCGCTGCGTGCTGGAGAACCCTGCTGGCGGGGCCTGCGACGGCGACTGGGATGGCGAGGGCGGGCGCGAAGGGATGGTGCGGGCGCGAGGCTCAAGCAAGGCGGATGGCGGGTGGCAGGCAGCGTCGCGAACAACGGGCGACGGATGTGGATGGGCGAGAGCAGAAGTGAGGGCTCGCAACGACGCCGAGCGGCCGGCGCGTGGCACAAGCTCTGTCTGCTGCTGGTCGCGGGCTGAGATGACGAAACCCCGCCTGGCTGGCTCGCTTTCACGGCTTCTTCAGCACATTTTGTCAGCCTCATCCATTCCAACAGCACGCACAAGAATAACCACACGGCCGACGAATTTGCGGAGAACCGGCGGCCAGGAGATGCTCCAACAGCACCGTCGCCAATTTTACCGGCCAGGAGCAGCCCCGACCAAGCTCGCATGAACAGTCTGGTCCCGTCTCGTCTCGTCTGCTGGAGTTGGGGTTACACTCCAGGTGAGGTCGAAGCAAGGGATGGCCAAGACGCCGGTCTGGGTCGGGCAGCAGTGCCAGATACCAGGCCAGCGACGCCGGGCAGATGGCGCGATGGGGGGCAGAGTGGGCGCTGGGCTGCGCTGGCGAGGATGGAGTCTGGGTGCGGGAGAGGAAGATATTGCACTCACCTGTCCAATGCGGCGCCAAGAGGCAGTGTTGGTGAGTCGGTGTGTCTCGCCTTGGGTGCTGCGAATGGGCTTATAGATGAGCGCGTGTCTGATTCGATGCCGTGCTGGGCACTGTCCACGGCGGCGGTAGCGACGGGAGCGGTGTACTACAACAGACAGTCGGTGCTGCAGCAGCGGGCGGCGTGTGGAGTGTGTGTGGCCTCGTGGTCCAGAGGAGAGGTGATGATGGCAGGACCTCACTTGCTGGTTGGAGATGCTGCTCACCTGTCTTCAGCCTGGCCGACCAGATCTGATGTCGCTCGGCCTGGTGGTGGTGGTGGTCCAAGTGTAAGTTGTTCCCGACGAACGGTGATCTGCGCGGGCGCTGCCGCAGCGAACGGCCTCGTGGACGACGGCACTGCTCGTTGGTCGAGGGCCCGTTGTTGGATCGGGGACCAGCAGAGATGACTGGCGTGATGGCGATGCGGTCTGCGTCTGCGGCTGCGGCAGCCAGCGAAGCAGCAGGAGAAGCAGCAGCAGCAGCAGCGTCTTTTCGTCTCGCGGGAGGGTAATGCAATCAATCAATGCAGTAATGCACGCCTTCTGCACGCTCAATATCCGAGCACGAATCGAACAGCTGGCCCGTCGACGACGGGGCGTGGCTGGTCTTAACCCTACGTATGTATCCATCCTGCCGATGACTGACGGCCGGCCGCACCTCACATCATTCACTCGCGCGCTGCTCGCCCACCCCCTTCCATCTGCGATCTGCCCGTCCCGCGACGCATGAGCAGCATGATTGCTTGCAGAGCACCTCGACTAGCACCATGCTGCGCTGCGAGTCTGAACCCTGCCCGCCGCCTTCGCCATCGCGTATTCGCCCATCCAACAACGCTCCCAGCTCGCCCGCCGAAACGCCTTGGCTAGATAATGCACCTGCGCAGACTGCTGCTGCTCACTGCGTTGCCTGTGTCCAACTACAGCTCCGCCGCCGCCGCCTATCTGCGCTATTGAGGAGTCATGCAAGGGTGCCTCTGTCCAATCATCGCCGCCACCCGCCAAACGAGGGGTCTGCCACCACCACCCACAGCTCCACACCTCCCGCGCTTTGTCTGCTGCCAGCCTGGGGACGCGGATGGCCTCGCTCACACTACTATCGTGGCCACCTCCGTCCTCCCCCTGCTCCAGCAGCATCTCTCTATCCGCTTCGAGCAATCGCAAAATACGGCCTCGTCGAGCGCCATCTCCACTGACGTCGACGTCGGATGCCTGCATGGCAGTATGCAGATACCCGGTGCACTCATGGCCTGGAGATCGTCCGTACAGCCATCCCACGCGCCATGGCTGCAGCCAAACCTCGGTCTGAAGCTTCCTGTCCGACCCGTCGCGTAACCCGCGAAACCGATTTTATTATCTCCCCGAATTACCTCAGATGGACGTGACAAGGGCAACGTTGACGCTGAGGCTCAGCGGAAAGTCTGGTTGCTCGCGAGCCGTCCTCGAGTTTATGGCCCTCCCGCCCATAGCTTCCCACGTCCGCCAGCAAAATCTCCGACACGTTCGCTACCGGCATTACATCATTGGTGCGCGCAAGAGGTGCACATGGCCGCTCGGGTAGCTGCTGCGTGCTGCAAGCAAAGCGAGCTGCAGCAAGCAGACGGAGATGCCTCTGTGGCCAGTGGCGTTGCTCGTTCGCGATCCTCAGTGGATCCCCAGATCATCAGCTGCCTGTTTGACCCCAGGTTGACTTCCATCAAGTCGCCTTGCGGGCCGCCGCGGCCGAGCACCACCAGCCTAAAGCACGACTACAGATGCTCGACCAAAGTCGATGACCATGCAAGTCGCAGAACAGGAAAAGACACGCTCCTGCCTGTCCAATTGCGACCATCCTTGATCACACGACAATGACGGTCTTCGGCTTCACTGCCGAAACACTAGATGGCTCGGCCAACACTCTCTTGGGAGGCAACAGCTTGCGCAAGCCTTGTGCCTTCCCGGCGTGTCTCAGATGAGTTACGAACAGCCTGGGGCTGAGGTGGTCGACGCCTCCATGGAGAAGATGCCATTTTAACATGTTACGACTGGGCAGCTGCAATTGAAGAGGAATCCATTGGCTGACCGTCATCATCGAATCCTTGTCAGACTGTCGGCGGCGGCGACGATCCAGGACTATCTATGGCTGCCTCCGGTTTAGGCCTCCCTGCCTGTCTGCCCACGCTGTTGGTATCTTGGTATCTCACCTTGAAGGACCAAGGGTCACATGCAGACGCGCAGGTCGCAGGTACTTGCTGCAAGCAATCATGACTGTGATGATGGTCGAATCATGTCGACATGGAGATGCGTGCCTCGCGTCTATGGCCGATTGACAAATCAAAAGTCACTTAGCCGCCGGACTGCACCTCGAACACTGGTAGAGACAAGCCTATTTCGCGTGTCGAGATGCATACGCATGTCGTTCGTGTCGGGCGTCCTCGATGTGGTTTGTGGGTAAGCACGGAATCCGCTACATTTCCAGATATCACGACGCTTTTACGACAGGTGAGCATTGACGACGCCTGCTGCTTCGTATTCGAGCACTGACACTTATCACTTCCTTCTCGTCGGAATGCGATCGCTCAACTGTAGCACCTGCCAAATAGCGCAGGAAGTGGCATCACAGCCGGCACCTCTGAGCAATTAATCCCATATTTCTTACAGTCTGGCCAACTTTCTTCCTGCAGAGTCATCTGCCGCCGCCAGCAAGCTTTCCATCTTTCATGCTGAAATATCTCTCGCGCCTGCCAACCATCTTGCAACATACTTTCCATCGTCCGCGGAGAGATTCCTCACTTCTGACGTCTCCATTCGATGTGCTGCCCTTCTCGAACAATCCTCGAACGCTAGATCTGACTTCCTGACGAGGCGTTCAATGTCTCACCTCACACGAGAGAAAGCGATAGAGGAGCGTCGTCCTCGTGGGAGACTTTTACGGTCTTGTTGCTGTGCCGCCACCAACGATGAGCGACATTCGATCCTAGAGGGTGATCTAGATCGTCGTGCAGTCGTTTCGGATAGATCCGGCATTCCCTTTAGCTCTTGTGAATAGGTGGGTGGAGTGGAGGGTCATCTGATGGTTTCGCCACTTCCCGCATGGTCCAGACATAGGGTCGAACGACTGATGAAAGTTGGATGACGAAGAAAGTTTGAACGAACGGTTGGTGGTAGTATAGTTGTTGTAGAAAAAGTGCCGGGAGGAAGATAAATACGCTCGCGATATGCACGAGCTAAACTGTCAAAGAGGCGAAGGGTCAAAATTTTAAGAGTCCACTGTTCAGAGACGTACAGTATCAAAGATCACAGAGATCAAGAAGAGATATATCCTCTCCAGATAAAAACGTCAAAAACAGAGGAAATCGTTCACGAATGAACACCCTACGTGCTATTATCTATTAGCACAATGCCTGTGCAGAGACGACGCAGTATGAACTCACGGACTCGAACCTATGCGAAATTAGTTATTGCGCAATGTGATATCGCAGGCAGAATGTCCAACATACCCACAACCTCCAGATTTCAAGTTGGACGCGGCGGTGAAAGGACTTTACAGACCTCCCAAACCTCATAATAGAAGTCTGGCGCGCTACCATTGCGCCAGCAGGGCGGAAGATTTGACGGATGATGTTGGAGTCACCGATCACGTCGGAATTTACCGGAACTCAAGTCAAGATAAATTATAATAGCTCATGGAGATTTTCGAAGTGGTGCTGGGCGTGTTTTGGAGCTGTAGTGTTCCTGAAATGGTTTAGAAGGCATGCGTAGAGGCTAGGGGAAACTGGGAAAGTTGCCTATCAATTCTGTAAGAAGGTTGGAGTGCAATATAGTTCGTTCCATTGAACACCAGCTATCACCACTCTCTGACCTTGCAACGCCACATACTCCCTCGCTATGCAGACAAAAACACTCAACCACGGCCATGAATTCCCTCTCGAATAGACGGTTTAATCACTGTCAGGATCATCAAGCGCCTCATCCACCATCCCACTCCTCTCCTCCGCCTCCTCCTCCTGCTCCTCAAGGGCATCCTCCATCGTCTCATCCACCCCATCATCGTCTTCCTCATCGTCAACATCATCATCCACCGCTTCATCATCTTCATCGTCCTGGTCATTGGCGTCGTCTCCGCCATCATCGTCGTCATCCGCGTCATCCGCATCCAGTGGAATGGTACTGTCGCCGTTTTCGCGCTTGAGTTTCTTGGAAGGCGGTTCTACGCCGTCTTCTTCGCGCGTGTGACCATTGGCAGTGGTTCCGTTGGTGGGTTCGTTGGGGTCTAGGGGAAGGGTACTATCGCCTTCGCCTTCACCGTCGCCGTCCTTGGCTGCGGCGGCGGCTTTTTCTTCTTTGACCTTGCGCCGGTAGGTGTTGCGCTTGTCGCATTGGGTTTCGTTGTATTCTGGGTGGGATGGATCAGTATATGTTCTGATATGAGGGTCTTGGAGAGGTCTTTAAAAGGGGCGGAACGTACTCTTGAGTTCGGCCTCTAGTCTTGGCAAGAACATCTCCAACTCGGCGTCTTTGAGTGCTGCTATCACATCGTGAGGCGCGATGGTCTTCTTCCCGCTTGCTTGTGCATTGTCGTTCGAGCTGTTTACGAATTAGTAAGGTTCATTATCCTGTGGGCAGAATAGGAACGTGGCGGCATCCAGCAGTGAACAGCTGCAAGACGGTATAAACCAAGAGTCCTGCATTTATTGACGTACTTTGAAGCGATATAGCTCACAAACACCGTAGCGCTCTTGTGCAAAGCTAATAGCGCGTCCTTGTGGATCTGGGTGTTGGCAGGCAGGACCCCCTTGGCAAGGCGGGCGACCATGGATTTGGGGAGGCTCAAGTCCTAGTGAGGTATGAGACGACGGTACAGCGTTTCAGCAGTATTCAGACTTACATCTACGCTCAAGCCGTCCTTGTCTTTCGTCTGTCGTGATGGCGTTGACTCTGCGACCTCCTCGGGACCGTTGGAGGTCGCGGAGACGTTGCTCTTTCGTCCGGGCATGACGGCGTTGTGCTTGAGGTCGCTGTGTTAGTGAGGCCACACAAAACAGTCGAAGCAGGTTGGCAATTTGATGAACGGCGGTATATGGAAGGGCCGAGTTGATGTTCAAATTTCCATTAGAGATCCGACACGTGAGACGCGAAGAAGCGCGATGTGGCCCGTGCAGCCACCGTTTCATCGACCAGCTCCTTCTCGCCGTCGATCTTCAACTTCACCTCTTCTTCTCTCAACAACACCATTAATCGTCACCTTCTACTGGAGACATGCGGCACAGTGTTCGTTCAAGTCTGCATCTACTTTATTCACGGACCCTTTGCAATCTCAATCACACATTGACCTTCCGCCCGCCGTGCAACGTAATCAGCATGGGTTGACCTCAAACTCACTGCTGTGCAATCTCTGCGGAAGTCTCCACCGAATGCACGCACGCACGCACGCTGGCCCTGAATGATGCCTGGTGTGATATGCACAATCAATATCAGCTGATACTCCAGTCATGAGGGGGTAAGGCTTTGGAGCTAGACATGGTCACACTCGTCCAGCAAGCAAAGGTGAAAACTGCTTGCTCCAGATGAGACCATCTCATCATGATCTTTGACTTTTGAAAGACATGCATGCATCTCATAAAGTTTAATGCTGGCGACTCGGTTCAAAGGCACGGCGATTTCCCTCTCTGTGCTTTTCATGAACTGCTCATTTCCATCATGTTGAAAACTGCTTCAGAAACACGTCGTGCCAGCGGACGACCCAAACTGACATTTCCATTTACCAAATCCTCTGATCTGGACAAGCAGGCCAAGAAAAATCATCCTTTCCAACATGGCGCCCCTGTCTCGAAAACCCAGGTCAGGGCATTCCAACGTCCGGCATCAGAAGATCGGCTCGGCCTAACGACAACAATGTGGCTTCAAAGGGGTTTGAACGAGATACCAATTTCTCACCCGATGCACGCAACATTGCTCGACAGACTTCAAAAGGAGCCGCCCTCGCCTTCCTCTCGGTCGTGCAGCTCTTCGTCGTCCCATACACCAAGAAAGAGCATGGCCGGATTCGACCTGTTGCCTGCCGAGATTCGAAACCTCATATATTGTCACTCGCTCTCCGAAGAACAGCCAATCACCCCTATTCTTCCGCCCCTCGAAGGCGATCAGAACGGTACTAAAACAAGATATCTTCAGTCAGGTTTCCCAATTCTAGCTGAAGTATTTCCACATCTTACAGACGAGATTCAGTCCATGATGCGTCCATTCTACCAGGCCAACACCTTTCAATTTGACTTGCGAGAAGATGGCGGCATCGAAAATCTGTTGCGCTGGCTCCAGCAGCGAAAAGAGGAAGTCGATGCGGCGCGAACGATCAGTGTCATTCACTGGACCTGGTATTGGAGTACATCCGATTTCTGCTGGAACTTCGTGGCCGACGCTACCATCCTCTCTCTCACATCAAGCGGCCATATCAAGTTGACGAGGACTGCTGGTGCCCTTGACGCAGATGCGTGCAACTGCAACATAGAAAAGCTCATATCTACGCAATGCTCAGATTGGACGATGAACAACATCTGGAGTGTGCCAGATTTCGTGAAGGCATTGCGAGAAGACGAGGAGCTTCTGACACAAGCTCTCACAAAGTTCGTGGACCTGATCCAACAACACGACGAGAGCTTTCACGCATGGCAGAATGGACCTAAAGCATGTACGGCATGTGGGAAATCGATGATCTTCTTGCGGACGTTCGATGAGGTGGAGTGGACCTCTGAATAGAGTTGCTGGTTAGCTTCCACTTGGGCGGGACATATCGCTTACTCCAGTCGCACACATTGGACGACCCATAGACTCACGATTTCATCGGATCATTGCCATGGCCGCACCGTACCTTGCGGCTCTGGGCAGTCGAAATTCGATACACGGCCTTTATAGATCACGTTCGAGCCTGGCTTCTGTCCAACACACCAGACAAATCGCCTAATACAGCAGTTTACGTGCCTGATATCAAGTCACTGTCCAGTACAGAGTGTATCGCCAGCTTTTCAAGTTCAAAATGACGCGGCTATCAATCAGGTGGACCAAGCCTGCTGCCAAAAAGCTTCGAAAACAGAACATACCCTCGGCCACCAACCCGGAGAATGGCAGTCGTAGCAATGTTGTGAGCCGTCTTGACGAACGTCTCGACAATCATGATGGGTGGTCCCTCGTCTCATCGACTGGGTCCAGTCCCGTCCCTGAGGAGGAGTCCGTGGAAGTACTTGACGAAGCCAGGCCTGGCCCTCCAGCGAACAACTCAGCAACATCACACATTCAACAAGATTCGGGAAGCCCAACATGGAGTCTCGTCGAAGCTGAGCAAGCCCGAGAACAAGAATCGCCAGAACTCGACTACGACGACTGCCTCGTACACCCAGACCTTACGACCCTAGACGAAGGTCAACGAGAACTCGACCGAGATGAGTCTCTGACATCTCCTTACATCACTGTCGACCCGTCCACTCCAAGCAATCAGAATCCATCAAGCGACAAGCCATATTACCACAGGCAGAAACCTCTGCCAGCCCACCTGGTCGACTATCGTGGCGCTCGTAGCTACTGGGCGAACCCTGTCGACTTGAACGACCTCGGTGAGCAGATCAAGCAGTTGAAGATCAGCTACAGAAATCTGTCCGGTGCATCACGCGAGCTCTTCAAGAAACAGGAGAAGCAACTCAGCGAGTTGCAAAACACTCGATGGGAGATCGAGGCCTCTCGCGACGAAGTGGAGAAGCATGTCGAGGAGCTCAACAGCGACAAGGCGTCGGTGCAGGACATAGAGCTGAGGTCGAGGGTTTCACCTGCTCCCCTGAAGATTGATCGCACGAGGGACAGCACCTTCGATTACGACGATAAGACCAGATCATTCCTGGCCGACTTCAACGCCAGAGAACGAGCCGTTTTCAGCACCGTAGGCAGGTATGCTCAACGTAAAAGGTCCAACCTCACACCATGCAAGCCACAGCCGCGATCAATCGAACACGTCACGAGCAACTCGCGCAAAGACTTCCCCTACAAAACCGGCACCTTCATCCACCGCGATGTCCAGCCGATCTACGACCACAAAGGCATGCGCGTCGGGTGGAACCACAAACACATGCCATCGTACAAGCGACCGCAGCCTACTCCGAAGACGTACACCAGGGATGAGACGTTGATAGAGATCGGCAAGCTGCCTGTATCGGAGCGAATGGAAGCACTCTTCAACTGTCAGAAGTTCAAACAGGCTGTTTCGACGACCGATAAGAAGAGGAAGAGGCAGACCAGGTGGTATACTGAGCGGACGATGGCGAATTTGTTGTGGACGGGAGGTGTGGCGAGGGATAATAGGCATGATTCTGTGCTTGGCGAGGTGTGATTTTTGATTTGGTGTGGATTTTGCTGTATCTACTAGCGGGTATTCGTTGCAGCGTTTCGCGGCTTTGGTGAGTGTTAGCTTGGGATAATCTTAATCTTGATCGAATGAGAGCATCTTACACCCATAGTCCGACTTGCTTCGATGGAAGCCTTCTTGCTCTAGTCTGACCCTGACGCCGGACGTCTTTCATGGCATCGTAGTCGTCGTAGTACTTTGCCCTCATAATGTCTTTCCTCGATTCATCTCGAACTTTGCCAACCCCGTCTCCGTATCATCCTTTGTGATCATGTCCAACTCTCATCCCATCCTCTCTCACCGTCCCCTCAAAGGCGCCAACCCAGGCACCCCACTATACCTCTCCTCTCTCTCCGTCTTGAAATTAATCTGCACCCAGAACGTCTTACTATCCCCATCGAACCACGTCCAAAACTTCTCCTCCCGCTTATCAATATCCCTCGCCTGGATCTTAAACCCACACGTCTCGTACGGCTCCGCGGCAACCAACAAATACTGAAACGCCTTATCCGGCGGATCCTCGACTTTCTGCTCGTACGCCGACATGAAGCGGATTTTGGGCTCCACGTCCTGCGCGATCTCGGGGACTTGCAGCGAGAAGAGCAGGCCGTCTTGCCGCGTGATCGGGTCGCGCGTCTTGGTGATGGAGTACCCCGGCCGGCCGATCTTAACGATGTTCTTCTTGACCTGCACGGCGTTCGCGCCGGTGTATCCTTCCTCCTGCTTCTTGCCCAGCTGGGCATCTTTGGCGGCGCGCCGCGCGAGGTTGGTCTGATGTTTGCGGCCCTGGGTGTGAGCGAGGTAGGAGCCGTCGTTCTGGTGGACTGTGAGGCAGAGGCGGCATTCGAAGCTGCCGACGTGGTTTTTGAAGAAGTAGGGGTCTTTATCGAGATCGATTGTTTCGAGAGCGAGTTTGCGCAGGCGTTCGCGGCGGTCGGCGTTGGTGGCGGATTGGGAGGCGACGCCGCCGCCGCCGAATTTGGAGCCGGCGCGGTTTTGGTAGTCCATGTTGTGAGGGGTGGATGTGGGTGTTGTGGTGGAAGTGGGTTGGAAGAAGTTGTGCAGTTCGAAAGTTCAAGGTTGGACGCCACACGCACCGCCACAGTTTCGAGCTTGGACGCTTCACATGAACGTCAACACTTCACCATCCATCGTCTCCGGCAACTATACCTGAGCCCGGCAGAGCAGGACCAGTAATGAATCAGGAAAACAGCACAATGTCGACTCCATCAGAACAACCCATCTCGCCTGCCAAACAGGACGCAAAAGAACTCCCACCCGCCCTCCAACTAACCCGCGACTTGCTCGAACAGCAAACCCGCGAATTCCTCGACGCCTTCAACACGCGCAACTGGGAAACCCTCGAAACGCAATGGAGCAACCTCGTCGACCACGACCGCTTCACCGGCACGGTCGGGAACCACGCCCCAGCGCTCTCCTGGAAAGAACACATCGACGTCTACCGCCACATGGCCCATGCCAAGCCCAACCTCCACATCAAGCCCATCCAGATCGATTCCCACATCAAGGACGAAGAGGGCACGGCGGAGCTCTTCGTCTTTGCCGAACTCACCGGCCACGAAGGCGGGATCAAAACGCAGGGGTTGAGTAATCTGAGCTGGAGGCAGAAGAGAGGCGGACAGTGGCTTTGTGTGAAGCATACGATTCTGCAGGCGATGGGGGATGTGGAGAAGTTTTAGTTTCATTATCTGATTATCTGTGGCGCTCCTTGAAGGGTATTGAGGAGGCCGGGTATCTTTTTTGCGAAAACGCGAGTCAATATTTACGACAGGAAGCTGAACAGGCAGGTCCAGGGTATGATGATTCACGCCATCTCGTACCTTCCGAAGACATTATCGCCACCGGGCTGCCATCCATCTCCGCCATCCGTGAGACTGGTATAGCTTGGACGACGGGGTGTGGAGTCTCCCTCGTTAAATTCGAAGCCGCGTACTTCGTCGAAGGAGGGGTAATGAACCATTGGGGAGACTCGTCGTTCTGGGAAATGCGGCGAGGGTGATGGCGAGAAGCCGATGGTTCGAAAGTTCGGTGATGGAGAGTTCGAGATGCCTGGGCTGCGGTATAGAGGGGATACACCAGGAGAGCTGTGGTCGTCTTGGAAATGGACGAGCGGTGCCAGTCGTTGGTCTCGGAAGCGGTTGTTCGCAGAAGGAAGTAAGAGTTCGGGTGGCCTTCGATCCCGATAGCTGGGTATGGGTGTCACTATGGGTGTGATCTCATCCCGAGACTCCCCTTGGCCTGAGGACGATGTTGCAGGCCCGTCTCTCGAGACCTGGCCATCCCTGGATGCCAACATATCTGATGACGACGTCGTGGGGCTCATAGTCACCACGAGCGGTCGTGCAGTACGTGCTTTCGGCGTGGTCTCTCCATCGTCAAAGACTTGACGCAATGTGCCCGAGGATTGAGTCTTCCGCCACGCCGCCTTCTCTGTGGGAGACTCCGCCGACAACTCGGCCCTCGCTGCCTGGTCCCCCTCCAACTCGTGCGGCTTCACTTCAGTCCACATGCCTCTCGAGACCAGCCGTTTCGACCTCAGCCGCTCCACCGACGGCCGACTCGAATATGTGGACTCCGGCGGACTGGACAGATCCACCGCCCGAATCGTGCTCACGCGATATATTGTCGGACTGGGTGCAATATCGCCCTCATCACCCTGCTCCAACCGCCTCGCCTTCTCCTTCTCCAACTGCCTGGCCCCCATAGGCGAAATCCACGACTGGCCCCTCCCCATTCTCCCTCGAATCGTCTCTGTCATGACCGACGAAAGCGAATACCGCGCCGGCTTGAAAAACGTCCCCGTGGAATTCTTCCTCCGCCAGAGAAGGCACATTATCACCAACAACATCGCCAATGCGATGAATATAATCCCCACCCCGATTACGATCCCGACTGTTCGATCTCCGCTTCCGCCACCAGCATCATCATCCCTCGGCGTCGCACTGCTCGTCGCCTCATGCACATCCGACGTCGACTTCGTCGATATCCCACTCGTGGTGCTTACTGTACTCGACGAAGTCCGGCTCTCGCGACTCAAAGTCGGCATCTCCCCCGGCTGCACCTCCAACGTCAACCCATTAATCACAAGCGTCTGCGGCCAGGACTGCGTCGCGTACTGCTTCGGCTTCGTAGAAGGATAGTACTCGGACAGCAACCCATTCGCAGCCGCCCAGATCTCCAGCGGCAGGTCACTCGGCGCGGGCGTCGTGAGGGGTTTGGCGGTATAGATTACGACGCTTTGATGGTTGGAGGTCTGGGTCGCGAGCGAGAGGGTTTCGGCGTGAGCGAAGATTGGCGTTGTTAAGAGGAGGGTTAGGAGCGAGGTCTTGTGAAAGATTGTGGATGGGTGTCGCGAGGCCGTTGTCGTCGTCGTCATCATCATTAGCGATTATCAAAGCCGTCAGGGAAGAAGCATGGTCCGGTAGGGAACGGCACTGGACTTGAGACCAGCGGTAATAGTAGGCAAACGAGTGTGGATGATGATTGACCGATAGAAAGAAACGAATGACTAGAGCTTGTCTATCGACAGAGACAAGAAACGAGAGCGTGTGTGTACAGTAGTGCGCAAGAGAGTATGTGCACAAAAGCAAAAGCAGAACAGAGGTTGGCATTCCGACCAACGACGGCGGCGGGATCTCCATGATCAGACAGACAGACGGTCTACCTACGCACATGCGCAAGGCAGAGGATAATTGCAACGACGCATGATGCCTGCACAACCGCGCCGGAATATAGCAGAGACCTCATCTCGCGAAGGCTTGGGATACTGCCTTGTCCGGCCGTGGGATCCGAGGAGGAGAGAGAGAGTAGTGTGTGGCTTGTGCGGATAATCATAATGAGAAGGGGGATGAGGGAGGGGAGGGAGATATAAGATCCAACTTCTGCGCAACAGAGTCAGGGACATGCATTCGTGTCGCTCTCACGCGGGTGTTCGAAGGCGTGAGTAGCGAGAAGAAGAACGAGGGATTATCAAAAATTTGCGGAATAGATGCTGTTGCACTACTACAGGAGACTTGGGGAATGACTTGATTCGAGTCCAGAGACTCGTCGCTGGCGAGAGATCGCTTTCAAGTTGATGCCAAAAGTGTTCTTGGATCACGTTTCACATCCCCTTCCTCATCAAGCACCTGCATCCTTCCCTCGTGGCGTGCGTCCCCAACGCCACACATCACATCAACTCATATCCACCCCATCCCTGCTATAATCGATGTCCACCTCAAATCCTTCTAAACCTGGAACCGGAACTGCAACGTCATGAGCAAGATTGCCCTCTCTTATCGACTATCGATACCGTGCGCAAGAGCAGATCGATCTCCCCCCGCCCCTCTTCTCTTCAACCATGAATGACGTTGCAGAGAGCGTCGGCACTCCTCACATTCACCATCCTCGAGCGAATAGCACGTCACCGATGGAGTCGAGAGAGTGGGATGTGAGACTTCGGTCATATCCGCGTCTCCTCGAAGGACGAAGGGCCACGACGACGAAGAAAAGTTGGTAATGAGGTTTGTTCAGACTCTCCCATCATCACGATGGGAGGTAGACGATTACCTTAACTCTAGACTCTTCACTTTCTCTTCCACCACACCTCGATCTCTCCGCCGGTCAAAGGCCAGAATGCCACGATTTCCATCATCCATCCGTCATCCTCCAAAAACACTATGTAACTAATAGAACAAGGAGGTATCAAATGAATCTCCTTCCCACTTCAATCCCCATCTCCATCACACAAACATGCAATGCACGCTAACTTCGAGAAAACAAATGGTCTGCAATCCTTTCTTCCTCTCTCTTCCGCCCGCAAATATTGGTACACGGGTAATCCAAGAAGAAAGAAAAAATCAAACTCCATCCCAGAAGACAACAAGATTAAAAAAATCCAGTTCCAAAAAACGCCAGGGGGCCGTATTCGTCTGTCGTAGTAGTAGTAGTTGGTGATGGTAGGTCGGTTGGTCAATAATAGTAATACATCTCGCAAACATCAAGTCTTTCTTTCTTCTTCACACTTCTTTTTCGTTCGATCACGGCATCAAAGCCTCAGCCTTCTCTCTCTCCTCGACGATCAAAACTTGGAGTTTACGCATCTGGATCAGCGCGGCATCTCGCTCGGTCTGCAGGTCGGCGACTTCCATCTGGCTCTTGTTGACGCGTTGCACGACGACTTGCATGTCCTCTTCGGCTTCGCGGAGGAGGCCCTCGAGTTCCTTGACTTTCCGTTCGAGCATTTGCGTGCGGCTCATTTCGAGAAGGCTGGTCTCGCTCAGCTTCTTGTTGCCGAGTTTGGGGCTCTTCTTGAGGAGAGGAGACGATGGGCTGAGTTTGGTGGGCTCCGGGATCGAGATTCTCAGGCGCTGGAGGTGAGGTGAGGAGGCGTCCTCGAGTCGTCGTACTTCGGCATCGTGGTTGGCCAGGGTCGTCTCGGAATGTTGCTGTGCTGCAAGAACGCTGTCTTCCATGCCGGCCAGTCGTCGTTGCATCTCCTCAACCTGTCGTGTGGACTGCTTCTGTTCGCTTTCACCCTTGGCAACTGCTGCAGCCAGACGCTCTCGCAGTTGCTGGTTCGCCTCGGCCTGTTTCTCGAGCTGGTCGGCCAGTTGCTCCATTCGCTTGGCAGAGTTCATGAGCTCATCTGCATTGCCTCCTGAAGATGACTGCGCTTTCTGCCGGTACTCTTCAGCAATCTGTCGTGCATGGTCTCGTTCATCCTCAGCCCGCGATATGCTCAACTTCAACTGCGCGTCCTCATCAGCCTCAGCATCGCCAGAGACACTGGCCTCGCTCGGTGCACTGATATCATTCTCCTGCAGAATGATCCGAAGACCACGAGTCTCCTGCTCAGCACGATCGAGATCCATCTTCAAGCCTGACAGATTCTTCTCATACTGCCATTTCTGCTCAAGAGCATCTTCGGTCCGTTTCCTCAAAGTCGTAACTTCCTCCTTCAAGAAAGAAACCTCCTTGGAGTACGCTGTCCGCCTGGGAGTGATTTGTTCTGCCTTGTCTTTGGCGCTCGTAAGCTTCTTGATAGCACGTTCGTGGTCCTGTTGTTGCCGTTCATGACGCTTGATCAGCAGCTTGAGTGCCTTGTGCAGAGCATCTCTCTGATCTTCAATCTCCTTGACGGCAGTATCGCCATAAGTACCATTCATGGAGCCAGATCTTTGCCGGCCGCCGTCCTTTTGACTGATCGAGCCACCGCGTCGAAGACTGCCATTCCTGGCAAGTGACCCACTTCTGCTGAGGCTCGCACGGCCTGCGTTCATGACACCCTCTTCAGCAATGCTGTTGAACCTCGAGTGGTTTCCGTCACGCATGGCGGCGATTTGTTGCTGTAGACGAGTGTTCTCGGAAACGATGGCCTGAGCGTCCGATGCTTCCGCCTCCAGACCCTCCACGCGGGCCTTCAACTGTGGAACGACCTCATTTCGTAGATTGTCTGCCTCATTCCTATACTTCTCCAACTCTTCACGCGTGGCACTGTATAGATCTTCAAAGTTCTCTTTGGTCATCTTCTCCTGCCCCAGTCGTCTCCTAGTCTCATCAAGGGTGGATTCCAATTCTTCAACTTTCCCTTCCGTGTTGCCCCGTTCTTCTCCTGCTCGATTATGTCTCGCAAGTTGATCTTCCAGATTTTGAACAAGTTCTTCCAAATCTCTTCTCCGACTCAGCTCGGTCTGCAACCTTGAGGCCGTTTCGACTTTCAGATTAGCTTTCTCTTGTTCAGCTTTCCGTACCTGTTTGTCCATCTGCTCAAGCTTGGCGTCGACATCTGTGATCGGGAACTTTGTCGAGCTGGCCCCACTGTCAGAGAAGTAATCACTGCTTCTCCTGAGGCTGAGCTCTGACTGTGGGATGTTGGGCAGCTCAATCCGTACTCTGTCGAGTTCATCTTCGAGCTCCATCTCCCGGCGGATGGAGGCCGCGAGTTCCTGGCTGATGTGTTGTAGCTCACGTTCCAGTTCCCGCACGTGAGCATTTGATGCGGTGTCCCCCAAGAGCAGGGGAGTCTCTGGGTTATCAAAGTATGCCCCAGCGCCGTTCGCCTTTTGGATATCCAGGCTCGGCGGCGTGAGCCGAGCGGAAAGCCTCTTGACATCCATCTCCACGGGCAGGGTCTTAATCAGCCGTGGTGACGGGAGGGGTGATAACGATCGTTCAGAGAACGTCGTCGTTGGGGAGGAGTCTCCCTCCGACTTCTGTTGGCCCTTCCAACCGAATAACGTCCCCAGCGGATTAAAGGGGGATTTGGGTCTCTTGGCGGAGCTATTCGAAGCTGCGCCTATCGAGTCGTCGGACAACCTTCTTTGTACGCCGTCGTATTGTAAAGTCATAGTAGGTGCTCGTTGCCCTGCGATCATGGATGAGCGGCTATCCGGGGAGAAGTGTTCGTCAAGGCTGGACGTGGTCGAATGCTGCGGTGCGTGGGTGGTGGAATGTTCGTGAGCATGCTTTGCGTTGGCGGGTCTATTAGATCGTTGCGGACTGCTAAAGGCGGAGGAGAGGGCGGTGCTGGCGATTCGCGAATCTATCGAGTCGTCTCGTTCGTGAGATGGGCGTGGAATTGTGTATGAGGACCTGCCGGGGTTAGCATTGTGTCTCAGATATCGTGTCCCACAGTCCTACCTGTCTTGAAGCTCGTCCTGTCTCGCGGGGGTATTACTACTCTCCCCAGGCAAGGGCTCACTGCGACCAACCTCGTGCTGGGGCGGTAGCGGGCTATCCAGGGACAGTGGCCTGACAGACGGGTCGGCAAGCCGAGGGGAGGCCTTCTCGGAGAAGGAGAAGGAGGCGGCGCGCGGCGAAGGGTGGTGCTGGAATGCGGCGTTCGGCCGGGGGACTTGCGAGCGGAATGTAGAGAAAGGCGGCACGGTGATCTGAGCGAGCGAGGAGGCCGGCTTCCTTGCAGATGTGCTGGGCGGGTGCTGCAGTGAAGGCGGAGGGGCCTGCGAGTGTGCGGCGTGGCGGAGGAGGTGGGCTTCGTGAGGGTCGTCGTCGTTGTCGAACAGGCGGTCGTCGTCGTAGTACCCGTCCGCCAGGGACGAGGAGGCGGATGAGGGGCGATGATGATGGTGGCTGCTCGGATGGGCGTCGCCAGACGACATGGCGGTGACGGGTGGCCTATGTGTTTTGATGTCTGGCTATGGCACTGGCACTGGTTGGGGATTGGTGGTGCCAGGCCAAGTTGAGCAAGACGAACGGCGGCGGATCTTGCCAACGCTAATCGCGAGCCATTGACGGTGCAGTGCGCTGGGTGATGGGCAGCGCGCGGGCCGGCGACGGGAGATGCTGGCGAGGCCGTTGGGTGAAAGGAGCAGCTAGGCGCCGGTGGGTGGTGATGATGGGGGTTGGCTTTGATGGTGAATTACTGGGTGCCCGCCGATGAATTGGTTGATCGCGGTGCACGCGCCGCCGGTGAATGCGCGGCAGTGTGGGAGGTCGTTGCTGCTGCTGCGTGGTTGGAGGTTGGAGAAGGGAGACGCTGCGCACGTGTCGAGCAGCGTGCCTCTCGCCCTGCCTCTCCACACACCACCGCAACGCACTACCGCCGCCGATACAGTCAGCGCTCGATCACCGCCGCCACGACAGTCCTCTGTTGGCTGCCCTCATAATTGCGATGCCATCACCACCGTCCACCACTCATTCACCATTTCTTCTCGGACTCGGCACGCAGCCTCGACACCTCCCGCGCCAGGCGCCACGCCGCACAGGGGTTGCGTGCAGCACATGCGCCATTCGCTGCAACTCTGTTCGTGCTAGCCAGGCACAGTGCGTCGCTAGCCCTCGGCACAAGATAGGGGTCCTCATTTGAACTGTGGCACAAACCGTTGATCGTTTCGCCCATCCCTCCCAGGCGCCGCCTCTGATTCGTGCGCATTCGAGACGGACCTCTGCTCAAGATTGTCCTCTCCAAGGCGCGTGTACATCAGTATCTACACTATCATTTCACGTGACGCCTCAGGCTGCGGCATTATATCGCATCAAAGACCCTTTCGCCTCCCTTCATACACCGACTTAGGCGCCGTCGAGGTCCGCGTAGAACTTCCAGCCAAACGACTCCGATGGGTTGTTGAATCTCAATTTCTTATCGAGTTGATCAATCTTCTGGACGTCGTCAGCGTCAAGCTTGAAATCACCTTCCAAGTTCTGCTTGATGCGATTTTCCGTCTTCGACTTGGGTATGACAGATCGCCCTGCAAACCAAAGGTTAATACGACTGGATTCTTCCGCCAATAATGAACACATCTCCAAAACTCACCATGCGCAATCCCCCACGCAAGCGCGACTTGAGCACCACTCTTGTTGTACTTCTTCCCGATTTCCACCAAGACCGGCTCATCCATCAGTTTACCAAGGTCCTGTCCCTTGGAGTAAATCGCATTCTGGTTGCCAAAGGGAGAGTACTGAGTAAGGTGGATGCCCTTCTCCTTGTGCCAGGCGTCGAAGTTCGGTTGCTGGAGCCAAGGGTGCAGCTCGAGTTGATGTGCAGCCGGCTTCCTTCACGTCAGCATCCGATACGTGAGAACTCATCACCACTCGACTCACAACAATGGTCGTCTCCTTCAACAAGCGTTCCATCTCACCCTGACTGAAGTTCGACACGCCGATGGCCTTCGCCTTACCCTTTCGCTGACATTCTTCCATGGCCGTGTACGTGTCAACATAGTCGGCAGTACCAGGAATCGCCTTGCCATTGTCGTCCTTGGGAAACTTGTCCTCGCCCGCCTTGAATGGGCTCGGCCAGTGCATCAAGTATCTGGAAAGCTGTCAATAATTCGCCCTCAATATCCTTTTGCAAGTCGTTCTCACAGGTCAACATAATCCGTCCCCAAATCGTTCAAACTCGCATCGAGCGCAGGCTCAACATCCTTGGGCTCATGCGAGTTGTTCCAAAGCTCTGCCCATCGAATCGTCAGCCATCACACATCTCCTTCCAATCCATCGTGTAACATACTCGTCACCAAAAAAATCTCACTCCTCTTCACCCCACTCTTCCTAATCCCCTCGCCCACGGCAGGCTCAGTGCCATAGATCCTCGCCTTTCATCAAACAATCAGCCCCCAATCACCCAACAAAACATACCCATCATCCATCGAACTTCAAAACTCACCGTATCAATATGTCTATACCCCGCCCTCAAAGCCGTCAAAACCGCATCCTCCTGCGCGTCCTTATCCTGCCATGTCCCGAACCCAATGGCCGGGATCGTGGCGCCCGTGTTGAGTTTGTGGGTGGTTGTGGAAGCCATTCTTATCTGTGAGGCCTGATGGATGTGTCGGGTGAGTTGGGTGGCGCGGGAGAGAGGTGTACGGATGGACATCGTAATAAAGGAAGAACGGTAGACTGGTATGTATATGTAGGTATCGATGGGTTGACTTTACGACTGGACAACAATAATTTTTTCCCTGTGACGGGAACGTTACCTCATCACACTGTTGCAGTCGTAGTATTTCCTAGCAGATGCAATGCTTCTGTGCCAATGACAATGTTTGAGCGCCTCGATGTGGCCAGCGATTTGTAAAAGTGATCGAACGGTGACGTACTTGGCGATGGATGGACGGCCACAGGCACGCGGATGATCGACTTTGATGAACCCGATCAGTGAACATACTTTTTCAGGCTCTTTTCTGGAGCTCGATGATGATGAGCTCGGGTATGCTGGGATTTGGAGGGGCTTCAACGACTGGATGCAGCAGTCTTTGGATTTCGAGGTTGACGAGTAATGTTCTGGGCTTCAATGTACTCACGACGTCTTCCATCTACAGTCACGATGATGAGCATGAGTCTTCATTGTTGTTGAGAAACAAGGCGGTGCATCTGCAACAGCAGCAGTATCGAGCTTTTCTGATTCCGAACTATTCGTTCGACAAACACATTAAGTACTTCATGTCCCATGATCCCATCACCCCGTTATGACAACCCACAGCGCCGAGGCTATGCCAAAGACGACGATATGCAACCCACTCCGAAACAAACGCCCCAGCTTTTGCTGTCAACCCATTTACAAGGCCAACACACCGACCAAGCCAACAGCACCGGCAAGTCCCAATCCCATGATGTTCGTCGGCATCGACGCACCACCGGTAGAAGATGAGCTCTCGCCCTGCGTCGCCGAAGCGCCGTTGTTGCTACCACTACCCGATCCAGAGTTCGTAGCAGTGCTGGTGATGGTCGTTGGGCCGCGAGTAGAGGTTCGTGAGAGGGTGGTCGAGTTACCGGTGGAGTTTGCAGAGTTGGTTGGTCCAGCGGAGATGACAGAGCCAGTCGCGTTGGGAAAGCTCGCGACGGGCACGAGGTATGTCTGAACGTCTGAGGGGAGCGCGGTGAACCACGCAGGCGTTGAGCCGGCTGAGAACTCGGAGGCGATTTCGCTGGAGACAGCGGCCGAGTTGGTGAGCGCTTCTTGAATAAGGGAGGAGGGGAGGGCGGTTTGTAGGACGGAGATGACGGAGACGCTGAGTAGATGTCAGTTGGTGTTGATGCCAAAGGTGAGCTGTCGATACTCACAGGTCCTCCACGCTCTGGCTGGCGCTGGCGCTCTGATTCTGCGCAAAGGCAGTGGCCGCGAGGGCGGAGATGGCGACAAGCTTGTACTGCATCTTCATTGCTTTGCGAAATGTGTGTGCTGAAGCGAAAGTAGTCGAAGTCGTCTGCTGTGTTGAGAGAAAGGCGGAAAGACTCGTATGCTTGTAGTAAGAAAAGACGACCTGCCTGCGAGTGCGTGCTGCACGACGAATGCGCCTTTTCTATGAATACGAGACCAGCAGCAGAGCCTGGACGTGGACCTGCAGCGCGCATGCGATTCAGCGACGAACAGCAGATGGCGTGGATGCTGGCCTGGCTAAATTAAGAAGTAAAACCCGGAACATTTCTGTTGGAATCCTTGCAGCTAGCGGGCGCACGGCTCTCGACACGCGTTCGAGATGGGACGTTAGCGCGTGGCGTGACTAAGGCGAAGCTCGTTTCTCCACCTCACGCGAGTCTGCTGCACACTGCGGCTGTGATTCTGTGAGACTCTCGTTCCGCTGCTGCTGACTTCCTCCACTGGTTGACATCTTGCTGTTCGATGGCGAACGACGAAAAAGTCACATGCTCGTTGCGGGGCCCGTTGACGCGGCCGGCCACAGCCATCCACGATCCAGCGCACCCATGCCAGCTGAACAGTATTGTCAACTGCAGACAGCGTAGTACGTAGTACGACTGCGGTCTTGGCTATATGTCGCTTACGACAGTGTCACGACGAGGGAATGCCATCCTTGTCGGGCGTTGGTTTGAGCGTTGAAACTGGACCAGCCAGCAGACTTTGAGTCTCCACTCCAGCCTAACCAACTCGCGCATTCCAGATGTGGAAAGGAAACTGTGAATAGACCTTTGGCGAGCTGCTGAGCGAGCACACCGGTGGACTTTGCCACAGCTGCCGGGTTGTCTCACTTATCGATTGCTGAGCGGTGGATCTGTGTCACCACGAGGTCTCTTCGCTGGCTGCATCTCTTGTTTAACTCATCGTGCTCTTCGTGAAGTGACACGCCTTGAAGTCGAGGACTGCCTCTCCAAAGACGGCCCGGCCGAAATGCGGTTGATAGAACCTCTTCTCGAGCTGCGGATGATCCTGACGCTATTACCAAAAGCCACCGCCACAGCCTGAGGATCCAAAGGAACAACAGGTCCGGCGTTGTTGACGTACAAATCCGTCTCTTGTCCGGCAAGACGCGAATCTGAGGCCGAAGGAATATCCGCAGTCTCCATGTCGCCGTCTATAGAGATCTTGTAGGCCTCCCACTCCTCGCGGTCTTCTTGTGACTGCGCATTCTGACGCGCATGCCTTCTCTGCCGGAGTTGCGTGGTCGTCATCCTCCGGCTGTCTGTCTTTTCAGAAGCTTGCTGCTGCCTTCGCCCTCGCATGCCCAAGATAGCTTGAGACTTGACGACACTCCAGGCATCAGGATGGTTGATGGTGATGGTATCTTTCGTCGTGCTGTCGAATGCCAAACAGACCGAGGAGCTCTGTGTCAAGCAGAAGCAACCTTCGTCATTGTCGACGGTCCATGTGGTGACGACGCGGTCGTCCTTACCGCTACTGGAGGTAGTCGCGGCGATGTTTCGTAAGGCGAGACCCGAGCAAGCAGGACACTTTCGTGAAGCACCGATCAAGATAGCATCCAAATGACTGCCAGTCTGCGCCAGCTCAAGGGCTGCGACTTGAGCCAGCGAAGAGCTGTCGAGGAAGACCACCATGTTGGCCGTTTTCACCACGACAAGTTCAGTATCCAGGTCCGAGTATAGCTGTAGACTGACTGGACCGGCTAGCCTCCCAAACGCGGTTTCCAGACCCAATTTGTGCTCATTGATCTGGCTCCAGCTGTCGCCCGTCCAAGAATGCGAGATGACTTGAACTTGTTCGGTAACGAACAAAAGTTGTCGTCCCTGGGCGCTGTCTGCGATAGTGGCTCCCAATAGTGGAGTGATGGACAAATCAGCACCTATCGATTTGCCATCTTCGAGGCAGCTCATGGCCAGTCGACCTCCAGAAGTCAGCACAAGGAAGTAAGGCTTCGAGCCAGTAGCTGTCGCTAGAGAGAGGAATGCGAAGAGAACAGCTGGATGGTCGTCAGGATATTGGACCAGAGTCGGGATGAACGACCCTGTAGAGCAATTATATGCCAGTATGCTGTCGTTCGCGCAATGACATGCCACCCACTCTCCAGTATCATCGATGGCAATATGATGGATAGGCCAGCTTATGCCGTTCAAGACTTTCGTCGGCATCGCCACGGTATGATGTGTCTGCGTTGCTCGATCGAACATGGATATGGCGATTGTGCGATCGAGGGCGACTGTCACGAAGTGGCCACTGTCGCTGCTGGCCATCTTTACAATGTCGAGTTTGTGTGGGAGGCTGACGGTGTGCACCACGAGTCGCTCTTCTGCTTGGTCAAAGGCCATGTCGTTGTCCTCATCGCCGGCCTCGTTGTAGAGCAAGAAGTTCATGAGGACTGCCACAAAAGCCACAGCGAAAACAATCGCCACTGCGACTGGGTAGAAGTGATGGATTGCAAAGCTGCGTAATGCGTGTGCCCAGGCCTCGCCAGAGCGAGCAACACCAGTGCGATCGGAGCCCCCAAGAACAATGACCAGGGGCGCGAATACTCGAACGACAAAGCTGTCGGCGCCGGGCTTCGCCAGCCTCATGACCTCCTTTGCTGTGTCGAAATCTTGCATCCGCATCCATTCGCCAGGAGTTAACGAGGCGTTCATCGGTGGTGGTGCGAATGTCTCCAGATCTCCAAGGCTCGGAGGTCCTCCTCTGACCATGTCAAGTAGATGGCGGAGATTGGTGGCCTTCTCCTTATGCTCGAAGAAGTGGTAATTTAGCGATAGAATGAAGGCTGTTGTGACTGCAGTGCCGGCCATGCGTGTGCTGAATGGCAGTCGTCCCTGGACAAGGGCATCGAACCAGGTATGATGTGAAGGAGCTTGGCGTTTTCGATGGCGCGGCTGATTATGTCTCGCTGCCAATGCATCTTGGAGTTCAAGTCTGTTGATGTCGACATTCAGGACCGCGACGAAAAAAGTCAACAAGAAGAAGACGTCAAACAAGGTGGCGATGGCCGCAAATGCGCAAAACGCTGCCACGCCGGGGGACACGACAGTCGAAAGGAGTGCGAGTATCGTCAGATTCTGCGCGGCTGCCGCGACTGAAATTGGACCAACTTCACCCAACGCATTGGCGATGCGAAGTTCAGTAGCCATCGTCGGAGGATATGCCAAAACGGCATTGATCAATCTGAACATATTCTCGACTCCGAGAACGAGGACCACGAACGGATAGGCGTTCTGAGGTACCATGGAGAGATTGATCTTGAGTATCCCGCAGATCGTAAAGCTGGCGAGAATCGAGCATGTCATCTGGGTGATGGCAGTCACAACCAGACCGAAGCGGCTGTGGAAGGCCTTCATCCTACGGAGACTTAGAAGAACGTACAACGCCATGCAGCTGTACGCAAACGTTAAGGCAAGATGCTCTGAAAAGCTCAAAGGTGTAAAGCTGAATTCGTAGACTCTCTGTCGTGTAATGTGGCCGTCATGAGGGAAGAGGGTGCAGTCTCCACATGCGCCGTCTGTCAAGGAGCGCATATTCTGTTGCCATTTGCTTCCAGCGCCATCCGTGGCCTTGTTCATGAGCGTGATAACAAGTGCATCTGCAGCCAGTAGACGCCGCCTCTCGAACTTCTTGCCTGCAAAGACGGAAGCGGGTCGCAATACAACGTTGAGTGATGAGTGTGCATTTCTCTGGTCATTGATCGTCCTCAAAACATCCGTGTCGGCGTCGATGGTATCCTGTGAGTTGTTCCAGTACATCAATGGAGAATGATATCCCCACTGCAATGAGCTTGATCGAAGCTTGTCGTTCAACGCTGGAATCACGTTGCTCAACTTCTCATCGCCCACCAGGCTCTGTTGAACGGCTAGGGCACGTTTGAGAACATCCTTATCCAGAGCATTCATGTAAGAGCCATGTACCCAGATCTGCCGCATCTCCACATCAACACTCGTACTGGCGTTGTCAATGGGTTTTGCGCTCGTCCAGAAAGTATGCGGGTACGCAGCAAATCCTGCCGTCGGATTCTCAGACAGGAAGATTGTCGGATAAGAGAAGCCCATGGCTATGGCAACAGACACAAGCATAGCCACCAGCCAATGCTGGGCAGTCGTCTTGCCATGGCGGTAGAATGACCTCCGGATGGGATGGTTGGCCGAAAGTCGAGGAGGCTGCGAAGTACCCCGTATGGGCGAAAGAAGATACCAGAGCATCAGGACAATGGCTCCGGTGATCTTGCAAGGCATGTATTGGAAGAGGAGGAAGGAGTGATGCCAAGGGAAGGGATCAGTCTATGCTCTCCATGAAGGGTGGGCGGCTCGAAAGTTTCGCCCGTATACGAACAGAAAAGTTCAAATTGTTGAGCAAGAAGGTCTCGTCCTGCATTGGAGAAGTTATAGCGATGGATGACAGTCCGTGCAGAATGGACTGATGTCTGATGCTAGCGCATAGTTAAGGCTCGTCCCGAAGTCGAGGTGAAAGCTCCAGCCACAGCCACAGTCCATGCACATGGCAGTACGTCAGGTCTTCTCCAGCAACATTCCCTCTCGCAATCCACCTCAACACCATCCGTTCAGCTATCCAACCCGATCAGAAGCTCCAGTAGAGGTGCAAGACCTCTCCTCCACCCACAATGTCTATCGACCCGCCCGCGTACATTGTGTCCTTGCAGAACAACATCAGAGCGCGGCCCATCTCATGGGAGGGAGCTGTCCGGGCGAAGACAATCACCGATGAGGACCTCAAGAAGATCAAGGCCATAGACAAAGTGCGCAAAGAGCAGCGAAAAGCAGTCATCGAGGGCGATGTGCAGACATACACCGACCTGCTGCTAGGCAATGCCGAACGCGCGAAAAGCATATTCGAAAGCGCAGCAAAGCGGACAGACATTCTACAGTACATGCTAGTACTGACCGGCGACCTGATAGATGGTGAGTACAATGGAGCCACGTTACTTTGCGAAATTGCTGATCGATTTGTAGACATCCCAGCTCTCACAGATTCTCTGGTCAAACACGTGCACCCGTACAAGCCGTTCCTCCCACTCCTGAAGCAATCGAACAACCCCGAAGATCCAATCCCGCTTCTGACCTCGTCTGTGGTGTCTTCACTACTCTCGCACGCACTCATAGCGCAGTCCAAGTCAACGCAAGAAATCGACGAGGCGCTACCGAAGCTGTACTCCTACATTGCCGAGCTCGCAAAGACTTCAGACTCCAACCTCCAGGATATTGCTGTACAAGAATATTCTGCTCTTCTTCGAACGTCTAAATCGAGACAGCAGTTTTGGAAGCAGAGAAAGGAGACGCTAGGCCCACTCATTGATGTCTTGCGCAGCGCAACAGGCGGAAAGGACTCGGACAGCACAGCTTACAATGGCAATTCTACTGGATCGAGTATACGCAGCGTGGCAGACTCCAGCATCAAGATCAGCGGCGTTGGCTTGCAGCTGCTCTACCACGTCCTGATGGTCATCTGGCAACTGTCCTTCGAGAGCAAGCTTGTAGGCAAAGGTCTCGACGAAGAACACGACATCATCCCGCTCTATACGCAGCTTCTGCGAGTATCGCCTAAGGAGAAGACGACACGTTTGCTGCTTGGAACATTGAACAACCTGCTGTCGTACAACAAAAGCACCCTCATGCCTGCTGCGCTGCCCGCCAAATTGCCTTCGATCCTCTCGAACCTCAAGACTCGGCATTTCACAGATCAGGACCTGCTCGAAGACCTTGAAAGCCTGACCAATATGGTAGACGAATACACAAAGACGCAGACCACCTTCGACGAGTATGCGGCAGAAGTAAATTCTGGCCACCTCCGTTGGTCACCCCCTCACAAGAACCAAGCATTCTGGAGAGAAAATGCGCAGCGTATCATCGAAGAAGACAAGGGCGCACTCTGCAAGCAGCTTGCCGACATCCTCAGCAAGGACTGGCAGAATGACAAGCAGGTGCTTGCAATCGGGTGCAATGATGTGGCGTTTCTCGTCAAGGAGTCTCCTGACAAGCGCCAGCAGCTAGATAAGCTGGGATTGAAGGCACGGGTGATGGCGTTGATGCAGGATGAGAACGAGACTGTGCGGTGGGAGAGTTTGAGGGCCGTTGGCGAGTGGCTTCGGTACAGCTTCGATCAATAGAGTGTGTGAAGTATTGGGACTTGTAATACAAAATCTGAAACGGCCAGAACCGCTTTTACCTCTTAATTGTACATCCATCGCCCGTAAATCCTAGGTACATTCCGAGTCAATTGATTTCAGCGACCTTCTCGTGCCTGCCTTTCTGAGCCTTTAGGCCTTAGTCAGCAGCCGGGGTTGCAGGGGTCTGCGATTTGGCTTTTTCGACTTCGGCAAGCAGCTGCACCTCTAGACACACCACCGCGCTGGCCTTTCTATCAATCGAAGCGACATCCACCTCCATTCTCCGACACTTTGTGCCCCCTCATCCGACGCGGATGGCCTCGACTTGATCCTCCGATTGTTAAACGTCGACCCGCCTGTGCATTTCCAACAACATGAGCGCCTGGGCCGCCGCGCAGACCGCGGACGGCAGAACATATTACTGGAACAAGACCACGAAGGAGACGAGCTGGGAGAAGCCGGCAGACCTTGACGTCCCTGCGACACCTGCTACGCCTGCAACGCCCTCCGGCGGCAGCGCAGCAGACTGGAGTGAAGCCAAAGCACCAGATGGTCGTTCGTACTACTACAACAAAATCACACGCGAGACCAGATGGGAGATCCCGGAAGAGCTGAAGCTACAGCGACAGCAAGCTAACGGACATTCTGACTTTGTCGCTGGTGGCGGTCGACCTGACTTTGGCAGGCAAGGTTTTGGAGATGATCGCCCGCCGCGGAGAGAAGATCGCGGTCATGGACTGCCACAGAAACCGAGCTTTGAGGGTCCACGAGACGGCGGCGGCGGAGGCAGACCGTGGGAGAGCAGACAGGAGAGCATGGGCTTTCGTGGCCCAATGCCTGCAAAGACCGACGAACCTGAATACGGCTCTGCAGAGGCAGCTGAAGAAGCCTTCTTCAAGTTGCTGAAGCGCCACAACGTCACCCCCGACACAGAGTGGAACGACGCCCTTCGCCTCGTTGTCCGTGAGCGAGACTATCGTGCCATTAAGGACCCAAATGAGAGGAAGCAGGCGTTCGATAAGTACTGCCAGGAAGTTCGCGCACAAGAAAAGACCAGAGAGAAGGAGCGGAAGGAGAAGACGAAAGAGGAGTTCCGGCAGATGCTCACGACCCACGAGGAGATCAAGCACTATACACGATGGAAGACTGCGAGACCGTTCATCGAGCGGGAGGCGGTGTTTAAGAGTGCAGGCGACGAAGATGAGAAGCGGCGCATGTTCGACGACTACATTCTCGAGTTGAAGAAGAAGCACGTCGAGGACGAGGCTGCCCGGCGCAAGATTGCCCAACAAGAGCTTGACAGCATGCTGAAAGTGCTGATCATTGATCCTGACACTCGATGGGCCGATGCAGAAGACTTGATCATGAACAACGACCGTTTTGTCAGTGATGACATCTTCAGGACGCTCAGCAAAGTCGACGTATTCAACTCGTTTGAATCACACATGAAGGCACTGGAGCGACTCGCCAACGACACCACTCAAAAGGAGAAGCGAATGGGCAAGCGCCTGGAACGGAAGGCTCGCGACGCATTCAAGCAACTACTCAGCGAGAAGCTCAAGGAGGGCAAGATCAAGGCCGGCTCAAAGTGGCAAGATGTACGTCCGCTGATTGCGGAAGATGAACGCTATTTGGGTTACCTTGGAAGGCCAGGAAGTGATGCTTTGAACCTGTTCTGGGACTTGGTCGAGGACGAAGAGCGCAAGCTGCGGTCAAAGCGCAATGATGCTCTTGATGTACTTGAGGAGCGGCGCTGGGAGATGACGCTGGATACTTCCTTCGATCAATTCGTCGAGGTCATGCAGTCCCACCCAAAGACTTCCTACCTCAAAGATGACGAGATCGGCATGATCTTTGATCGACTCATGGACAAGATCAAGAAGCGCAACGAGGCGAACAAGGCGGACATTGAGCGCCAGAAGAAGGACACTATCGATGTAATCCGATCGGCCATGAAGAGGGTCGAGCCTCCCATCAGTGTCGAGGACACTTACGAAGAAGTCGCACAGCGGCTTGCTGGGCATCGGGACTTCGAAGCAGCTGACGAGGACATGCGAAAGAGTGCCTACGACAAGTACATGCGTCGCCTTAAGGAGCGAGACGATCACGAACGCGAGCGAGCCCGCCGTGAGCGCGACCGTGAGCTAGATCGCAGAAACGGCTCGAGACGTGACGATAGAGACCGCGAGAGAGACCGTCGGCACCGCACTCGAACGCCCGAGGTCGACCCCTACGAAGCCGACCGGCGTAAGGCGCAAGAAGTTCGGGAGAGACAGTATAGGAAGGCGTCGTTCGGGTTGTCTCCACTTCGCCGCGACGATAGGTACGAGCGGGACCGTAGACCGGATCCTCGCGATTTCTACGACTGGGAGAGACGTGAGAGGGAGAGAGAGCGGGAGAGGAACTACATCGATCGTGCAGACCCACGTGACAAGAACACGAATAAGACTCTGGACTATGGAGATGATGATGTGGTCGGAAGCCGTCCCGGATCGATTCGCAAGCGCCGGGACTCGGACGGCAGCGTGAGCAGCAGGCGGGATCAGAAGGTGCGTATTCTACCTAAACGTTCAGGAGGGATTGATGATGGCTGACATACCTTGCTTGACAGAGAACCCGACGCGACCGCCGCACCCGCTCGCCTGAGCCTGAGGGTGTCCTCAAGGAGGAAGCACCAGCTCTCCAGAGCGGTTCTGAAGAAGGCGAGATCGAGGAGATCTGAGCTGAGCAGAGCAGGGCAGAAGACACTTTCCAAGGCGACCGACCACCGATGGCTTCAGTAGAAGAAGCCGACATACTCTTTCGCTAACATGGACATTTGGCTAGGATCCCACATCAAGCACCGAGACTCTCCAAGGCATGCGAACGTCTTTTGAAGGACGGCGGGCGACACAAGAAGCCAGCAAGAACTTTTGTCTGTCATTGAAAGGAAAGTGGGGAGATGATGATTGAGAGAGAGGTGTTTTTGAAACTTTCGCGGCGTACGTCCTACACTCCTTGGTGCTGCTTGATACAACTGCGACTGAGGCATCACATCACAGCAGAAACACATGCAATAACAAAAAGCAAAGAAAAACAAACAACGACTCCTTTGGTTCCGAGAGGATTGAAAGGAGTGACTACAGTCGGTACGTTTCTCAGCTGCGCAGTCAACATGCGCGCGGTCTAATCCATAAAAACAACCACAACTCATGTCAATCTGCTTTTCATCCTCCCTGCCCTCCCCTTTCGAGAACTCGTGATTCGCTGGAGGTGAGCAGCGTATCACAAGTTATCTCATCCACATCCTCCCTACTCGAGTGACGCGGCGGCAGCAGTGTTTCCTGACAAGCATCAAGCAGCCAGCTCATCATCGTCATCACTCATCATCATCATCACATCGTGACATAACAAGTCGTTGGTTTCCGAGAAGGTTGAGCTTCCTGGCGAGCCGACGGACGAAGGCGATGGAGTTGATTTTGCAGGCGGTAAGATGCCCTCATCGTCGTCCTGATCCTCACCAGCTTGCTGCTCTAGTGCCTCATCGGCGCCGCTCTTGACGTAGCGGCGACGCTTGGTGCCGATTCTCTTGAGAGGGATAACCCTCTTTATGATGAAGAAGACCTTGGCGGCGACTTTCAAGATTCGTCTTCCAGGAAGAACTGCGCGCACACAAAAGTCAGCGAATCTGTACGTTTGGGCAACAATGAGTAGAGTGGTGACTCGGTGACTTACATAATTTCCTGCAGCCTTCTGTTCGTTGTCGAGCTGGGACTCCAGCTTGTTGATACGCGGGCGGTAAGTGTTTGGATCCCGACGGAACGTGACATCTAAGCTCTTCAGGAATCTGTTGCAGCCGGTGAGCAAGCTCTCGGGCGTGTTGGCGCGCGACTTGATGGATGGCTGGCCGTCGAAGACGATGACTCGGTCGGCGAGGTAAGTGGCCATGATGAAATCGTGCTCGACGATGAAGGCCGTCTTCTTGGAGTGCATGATGAAACGCTTGATGACGCGGGCGGCCACGATACGCTGCTCGGAGTCCAGGTAGGCGGACGGCTCGTCGATGAGGTAGATGTCGGCTGGAAGGCCCAGGGCGAGCACGATGGCGACACGCTGCAATTCACCACCGGACAGGTTCTGGACTTCTTGGTCGATGAAGTCGTCCATCTTGAGCGGCTTGTAGACGTCGGTCTGGAACTGTGGGTTCAAGAAGGCCGCCTTGATCTTCTTGAAGAAGAGCTGTCGGACGGTGCCGGTGAACTTGGGCGTGATCTTCTGCGGCTTCATGCTGATGTTCATCTGCGGGATCTTCTGGCCGTCGTCGGGCTTCTCTGCACCAGCCAGCATCTTACAGAATGTCGTCTTTCCGGTACCGTTCTCTCCCATCATGACAATGATTTCTGAGTCGGTGAACTCACCCTTGTTGACTGTGAGGTTGAAGCCACCAAGGGTCTTGGTCATGTTGGGGTAAGAGTAGCCACGGGACTTGTCGACAAGGTACTCCTCGCCTGCTTCACCCACACGGAAAGTCAAGCTTTCGTCACGGAATCGCAAGTTCTCGGTGGGGATGTTGCCGTCCAGGAAGATGTTGATACCTTCACGGACCGAAAAGGGGGCGGTCACCACACCGTAGACTGCTGGCTTTCCGTAAAGAACGCAAATGTAGTCGGAGAGGTAGTCCAGGATGGACAAATCGTGCTCGACGACGATAACGTAGCAGTCTGGACGCAGCAGGCTGCGGATCATACGACCGGCTGCGAGACGTTGCTTGACATCCAAGAAGGATGACGGCTCGTCGAACATGTAGCTGTGGCGAAGGTCAGCGCAATTCGATCGAGGTTCATTTAATCCCAACATACACATCAGCCTTCTGCACGCAGACCATGGCAATGGCGAAACGTTGCAATTCTCCTCCAGAGAGGAGGTCGACATCACGGTCCCAGACTTGCTTGAGTTCTGCGAAGGATGTCAGAGTAATATTCATATCGCCATTGTCTCGACGTCAACTTACCCAAAGTCTCCGTAATCTCCTCCAGCCTCTCCTTGTCGACTTGAGATCGTGTGGTGATTTGGAAGCCAACGGACCTGTTAGTACCCTTGACTGCCCTGGGGATCTGGTCCACGTATTGCGGCTTGGTGACGGCCTTGAGGTTGTCTTCGAGAACCTTGGTGAAGTAGTCTGTCCCCACATCAGCCTAGTCCAGTACTCATCATATATCATTCTCTTACTCTGCAACTCAGATCCTCTGAAGTATTTCAACACCTCCTCCCAATCCGGCGGATCATCATATCGGCCCAAGTTGGGCTTCAACTTGCCAGCCAAGATCTTCAACGCCGTGCTCTTTCCAATACCGTTGGTTCCCACCAGACCCAACACTTGTCCTGGTCTGGGCATGGGAAGTCTGTGCAGCTTGAAACTGTTGGCACTGTAGCGGTGGGTGACTTGGGTCTCGAGGTTGGTGGGCAAGTTGATGATGTTGATGGCGTCGAAGGGGCACTTCTTGGGGCAGATACCGCATCCAATGCACAGGCGTTCAGAAATGAAGGCGATCTTGGAGTCGGGGGCGACTTCGATGCAGAACTTGCCCGTCCGCACGACGGGGCAGGACTTCTTGCATTCTTGCCGGCATTTCTTGGGCTTGCACTTGTCCGAGTTGACAATGGCGATACTGCGGAGTGGTGTCAGTCGTTGTCATGTGGCTTGGACTATTCCACGCACCGAGTCAGTTTGTCGCTCATGGTTGCGGTGTGTGGTGGTGAATTGAATTGGTGGTGGGCGGTATTTGGCGGGGCAGAGGGCGGACAGCGGTGGACAATATCAAAGACGAGCAGCCGGGCTCCACGGGACGTTGCACGCGGAAGGGCGGGCTCTGTCGCTGGCGCCGCTGGCCGTGAAGGTGGTGATGGGGGAAAATTTGGTGAAGTCGCAGGTGGCAGCGATTTGCTGTGCGTGGAGGCTGACCGCAAGAATTGATTGCCTTTCTATAGGCCGGCGCTGGTGGGGTGCGGTGGCCTGGTGCGTGCCTGAGAAGCCTCTGGGACTCGAAATTCAAAGGGTCACGCCCATGAAATTGTTATACCTTTCACTTTTTGCGACACCCACTTTGGCAACACCACTGAAATCGCCGAAACCACTCATTTTCAACTCATCGCACCTTTAATCACTCGGATCGTTCACCGTCGACCACCCTTGCCTACCAGCGAAGATACCAAGCACTTGCCCACGACTTCTGCGATCGACGCTCGGCCGCTGCCACAGTCGCGGCTACGGCCTTCGTTGCTCGTGCTCGTCTGGACATCCCATTTCCTCCACCCATTCACCCACCCTCGACACCGTCCGCTCTCTGGATACCGCGCCGACCGAGGCCACTGTGACCATGGCCTGTGAGTACAGTCCCTCTTTGTTTCTGTGATTTTTCTGCAGCAAATTCGGCCCACGTCGTCCCATCTCAGCCTGCCAGGTCAGCCATCAAAGGAGCCTCATATCTAGCGTATATCATCACTCCACCGCCTCAGTATACTCCGAGACGCCGATAGCAAGCCGTATCCGATATTCTCGACCCGCCGAAGCGCTCAGAACAAGTCGTTTGCTGCCGGATGCCACCCACCACCTGCCACGCCCGACGCCCGTCCATCCACCACGAACCCATCTCTATCGGTCGGACTTGATATCATACCATCATACCCTGGAACCTGTGTCGTTTTGGCGGGGGATGGGGTCGCGTAGTACTTGCGGACGCACCTGCCAAATTTCAGCTCGCGGTGCCTGCTGAATCCTGAGATATCGTGCTGACCTCTTCTCAACACAGCGGGGCCTCTACTCCTACCTACCCAACCGCCTCCGTCCAACGACATGTCTCTCGCCAATGGTCACTCGTCAGAAGCCGATGCCGACGCCGACTTATTGAAGCCCTCTCCCCAGCCGCAGCGAAGCGAGAGCGATCTGTCCGAGACAAACGACATTCCTACCACAACCTTATCACCAGATGCACCACAAGATGGTGCACACTCGGACGATGATGCCATTCACGACATGGCAACCTCTGAGCTTGATGAAGATGAGGATGCACCGGGCGAGGAGGACGCAGACTTCGACGAAGTAACGCCTCCGCCGGAGCAGGCTGACGCGGCTCACAATGCAGCCTCGTCGTCTGAGTCCAGTTCAAGATCAGGGAAGCGAAAGGCCGACGTTGATGATGAAGAGTATATGAAACAGAATCCAGAGCTCTATGGTCTGAGACGCAGCGTACGTGTCGACTTTTGAATCATACTTTTCCGCTGCTGACTTGCTGTCTCCAGGGCCGCGCCAAACCTGCTCGGCGAGTGGTATGTGCTCAACACTAGACAAGTGGACCACATGATACTAATTGTCCGGATAGATCGATAGTTCCGATGAAGAAGAAGACGACGAAGACGAAGTCAACACCGGCCGACGGCGGAAACGCCAAAAGATTACTGGTGGTCGTCCTGGTACGTTCGCAATGCCACTCCTTACCCCTGGCCACCCAATGCATACTGATTCACATGTATAGCTTCCGCTCGTGATGATCGAGAGTCGTCTCGACCTGCCTCGGCCTCAGGTTCAGAGTCCGAAGAAGATGACACCTACGGAGGCCAGCGCGGCCGCACCTTCGCCAAAAAGCAACGACAAAAGATGCAGGCCATTGCCTCTGGTAGTGGTACGCCTCAGTTGAGTGAGGTCCGCTTCTCGACTCGTCGCGCTGCAAAGGTCACCAACTACAATGAAGAAGAGGACCTTGGCCTCAGTGACGAAGAGGACACGGAGAACATGACTCCCAATTACTGGACCTACACCGAAGAGAACACCGCTGCCATCGACCAAGTGCTCAACCACAGGCTCAAGGAGGGTGCAGGTGCGTACTTGATCGAGATGGTGACCACTTTCTTCGCGTTACTGACCATGCTCTACAGACCCTTCAGATCCTGGCAAGCAAGACTACGAATTCTACGTAAGTACCTGCCATATCACGTGGGCATTGAGCATTCACTGACACTCTCCTCAGATCAAATGGCAAGGCCAAGCACACTATCACGCAACATGGCATCCATGGGCCGACCTCACAACCTACCGTGGATTTCGGCGACTCGAGAACTACTTCCGCAAGGTCGTCAAGGCAGAGCTTGAGATGAAGCAGGATCCCGATTTCCCGGCAGAAGAGAAAGAGCGATGGAATCTGGATCGTGAATCATACCTAGACTCGCTCAATGACTACACTCAAGTCGAGCGTGTCATCGGTTCAAGAGAGAGCGAAGAGGGTACAGAATACTTTGTCAAGTGGAAGGCCCTCTTCTACGACTCTTGCACTTGGGAGACTGCGGCACTTGTCAGCGAGGTGGCCCAGACTGAGATCGATCGCTACCTCGATCGTTCTGCCAGGCTGCCGGTCTCGGACAAGAACGAATCCAACCTCAACACCAGAGCACCCTACAAGCCGTTCCGACATCAGCCTGACTACATCAAAGGCGGCCAACTTCGAGAGTTCCAAATACACGGCCTCAACTTCCTTGCACATCACTGGTGCAAAGGCAACAACGTCATTCTCGCAGATGAGATGGGTCTCGGCAAGACTGTACAGACCGTGTCCTTCATGGACTGGCTCAAAAACGATCGTCGTCAGCAAGGACCATTCATTGTTGTGGTGCCCCTGTCGACCATGCCCGCTTGGGCGGACACCTTTAACCACTGGACTCCCGATATGAACTACGTTGTGTACAACGGCAACGAAGCAGCTCGCAAGATCATCCGTGAGTACGAGCTCCTTGTCGATGGTAACACAAAGAAGGTCAAGTTCAACGTGCTCCTCACGACCTACGAGTACATTCTAGCGGACTCGACCTTCCTATCACAGCTCAAGTGGCAATTCATGGCTGTCGACGAGGCCCACCGTCTGAAGAACCGCGAGTCTCAGCTCTACGCCAAATTGATGGATTTTGGCGCCCCAAGCAGACTGTTAATCACTGGAACCCCCATGCAGAACACCTTGAGCGAGCTGTCGGCCTTGATGGACTTCCTCATGCCTGGCAAGATCCACGTCGAGGAGAACATCGACTTGACCTCAGAGCATGCCAGCAAGAAGCTCGAGGAGCTCACCAGCGCCATCTCGCCGTACATGATCCGCCGTACCAAGCAGAAGGTCGAGAACGACTTGCCACCAAAGACTGAGAAGATCATCCGTGTCGAACTTTCCGACGTGCAGCTGGAGTACTACAAGAACATTCTCACTCGCAATTACGCCGCATTGAATGCTGGCCCCAGAGCCCAGAAAACATCACTGCTCAACATCATGATGGAGCTGAAGAAAGCCAGCAACCATCCGTTCATGTTTCCCAATGCAGAAGACCGCATCTTGGGTGACAACGCAAAGCGCGAGGAGCAGCTCAAGGCCCTCATTACCTCCAGTGGCAAGATGATGCTCATTGATCAACTGCTCACCAAGATGAAAAAGGATGGCCACCGTGTTCTCATCTTCAGCCAAATGGTGAAGATGCTGGATATCTTGGGCGATTACTTGACCCTTCGTGGCTACCAATTTCAAAGACTTGACGGCACAATCGCGGCAGGCCCAAGACGTATGGCCATTGATCACTTCAATGCCCCCGACAGCCAGGACTTCTGTTTCCTCCTGTCCACTCGTGCGGGTGGTCTCGGCATCAACCTGATGACTGCGGACACCGTCATCCTTTTCGACTCAGACTGGAACCCACAGGCTGATCTCCAAGCCATGGCACGAGCTCATCGTATCGGTCAGAAGAATCCAGTCACCATCTACCGACTGGTCTCCAAAGACACGGTCGAAGAGGAGGTGCTTGAACGAGCGCGCAACAAGCTCATGCTGGAGTTCATCACAATCCAACGCGGCGTGACAGACAAAGATGCCCGTGAGTTGGGCGACAGGATGGCCAGGGTGGGCGCCAACTCCATTGAGCCAACTTCTTCGGATGACATCTCTCGCATTCTCAAGAAGCGTGGTCAAAGGATGTTTGAGCAATCAGGCAATCAGCGCAAGCTTGAAGAATTGGATATTGACGCTGTGCTCGAAAACGCAGAAGAACACAAGACCGAGCAGCCAGAAGGCATGACCACCGACGGTGGCGAGGAGTTCCTGCGAAGTTTCGAGTACACCGACGTCAAGATCGATCTCGAGTGGGATGATATCATTCCAAAGCATGAGCTCGACAAGATCAAGGAGGAAGAGCTTAAGAAGCAGGAACAAGACTACCTTGACAGCATGATCGAGCAAAACGCGCCGCGGAAGCGAAAGGCTGCCAACGACGACAGTCGAGAACAGCGAGCTGCAAAGAAACGGGCCCGTGACATGATGCCCGCCGAAGAGATCGACTCTGGTGACGACGAGTCGGATCACGGCGCAGACCCGAGGCGGCCGTTGGGCGAGAAAGAGTGCCGGCACCTCATCCGCGCCTACGAACGGTTTGGTGCGATCGAAGAAAAGGAAGAGGAGATCATCAAGGAGGCTCGGCTCACTGGACGCGATGCCGAAGTCGTCAGGACTACACTCCAGGACATCATCGACACCGCCATTCGCCTGCAAAAGGAGCACGCCGACCACCTGGCCGAAATAGAGCGTACCACCAACAAGGCAGTGACCAAAAAGGAGAAGAAGGCTGTCCTCTTCGACTTCCGCGGGGTCAAGCGATTGAATGCGCAGACGCTCACAGAGCGGCCAGAAGAGATGCGCATGGTCCGTAATGTTGTCGACGGCATGTCCGACTGGAGGAACTTCCGAATTCCAGAGGCCTCCAAGCCTGCTTCATACACCTGCGATTGGGGTGCAAAGGAGGACGGCATGCTTTGCGTTGGAATCGCAAGACACGGCTATGGCGCCTGGGTACCTATTCGTGATGATCCCGATCTTGGTTTGACAGACAAGTTCTACCTCGAAGAACATCGGGTCGGTGCCAAAGAGGAACGAAACAAAGGTGGCGAAGACAGCAAAGTGGCCAAGTCCCCGGGCGCCGTCCATTTGGTGCGTCGTGCCAACTACCTGATCAGTGTGTTGAAGGACAAGACTAGCAACGGCACCAACGCCGCGGCCAAGAAGGCACTGGAGAACCATCACCGCAACAATCGCAAGCACCTCGGGCAATTCCACGGACGCATGGCAACACCAAATCACGGCAGTCCAGGACCTAACAGCCACCGGAAACTGCACAGTGGTGATGGTCGACACATGCACCAGTCCGACATTCGCAACAGCATGGACCGTCGGATGGGCCATGGGTCTCCAAACGGACATCGGAGACTGGGTGAGGGCTCGGGCAAGCACCGTCCTTCTGAAGAACGCAGACCACAGCACCAGCGTCACGGCAGCTCGCCGATGAACGTCAACGGCGCTACGTCGAAGCCGCTGTCAGAGGCTCAACAGCGGGCCCAGAAGATCTTGGATCCCATCAGTGCTACGTTGATCAAGGTTTCAGGCGCTACGAAGAAGCGGATACCGGATGACGACGCTCGGTTGAAGTTGATCAAGCAAGGTCTCGTGGCTATTGGCAACCATATCAACACGCAGGTCCGCCAACGCGCTCAAGACTCTCTGGAAGATCAACTCTGGGAGTATGTCTCTGAACATCACTGGCCACAGTCGAAGTCGAATGACAAGCGCGTGTCTGGCAATAAGCTTCGAGACATGTACAAGAAGATATCCGGCAAGGACAGCGGCGCAGGCCCCAAACCAAGTCCAGCCAAGCCCAAGCCTTCTGCAGGTGATGCGCCTGCGACGTCTCCGGCGAGCAACGGGACTGCAGCAGCCATCAAGACCGAGCCGGCGAAGACTGCGCCAGACACGACCGAATTGAAGAAGGAGAATGCCACACCGGAGGCAGCCAAGGAATCCTCTGAGCTCAAGGAAGAGCCCAAAGTAGAACCATTGTCCGACTCCAAGCAAGAGAGTGAGGACGTCACTGTCAAGGATGGGCAGTAGCGCCGTGCCTTCCTACGATACAGTTGACATTGCACATGACATACATCGAGATTCCATCGAAATACTGGAGAGGGGGTTACAACAATCTGGAAAGGCGTACAGTGAACATTGACATGGCGCAAGTTTTTGAGCAGCCAAATGCATCAGCGAGCTACAGGTGGGAAAAGCGACGGCGAAGGGACGGTATGGTGTTCATTGCTACGCAATTGCATGAACAGAGATGTCGGCGGACGTCTCTTGTTGGCGTTTAATTGATTTTTGTGAGAGGAGATGCTCGGAAAAGGGCCATGAAAAGCAGATGAGTGGATACGATGAGCAGCTACCTGTACTACTAGACTAGCCGCTATGTGCTAGATGGCAGAAGATGACTGCCCCCAAGCTATAACGCTGCTGCTGTGGAATGCAAAAGAGTTGGTGGTCGCGCACAGACCACCACGAAGCTTGCGAACAGTCTCGTAAACCTCTCGACTTCTTCTCTTCTCTGCGCGACATGCACTCGCGACAACATCCACCGTGACCCTCCCCTCGCAACCCTTCAAGCAGTCAGACACATCGAGCTTTACGCGCTACTACGACATCCCATCGCCGACACCATGTCGCTGAACAGCTACCTCAACAGTAAGTCTTACCACAAGAGCCGCGCTTCACATCCAACCAAAAACCACCCAGCTCACAAAGCGCTACAACAGTGCCGGTGCAAGATCACTAACTCGTTCAATCTACTCCTACAGAGAAAGTCTGCCTCATCCTCGTCGACGGCCGCTGCATGGTCGGCAACCTCATCTCCTGCGACCAAGTCACCAACCTCGCCCTCGAAAACTGCGTGGAGCGAGTGATTCGAAGCCCCGACGAGGAGGAAGAGAGCGAGGAGGAGCCGAGAGGATTGTTCATGGTAAGAGGAGACAATGTCGTGGTCTGCGGCTTGGTGGATGAGGAGCTGGATGGGAGTATCGATTGGACCAAGGTGAAGGGAGCGGAGATTGGGACGACCAAGCATGTGTAGGTGAGGGGAAGAGGGGATGGATTACTGGACACCGGTGCGGCGCGCGAGCAGAGCGGACCAGAGCAGAGCACAACATGCGACCGGCGGAAACGGCAAGAGACTTGCGGATATGGACACTTGTGGATGGATGGTCAGGGTATGTATGGCCAGATCCACATTTTGGCTGCATGTTGACGCGGATATTAAGAGTCATGCCCTGATACTGTGGCCTCTCGCTCATGCAGAGCTCTCGGAGCGAGAATGGAGAACGTACCGCCTGCAGTGCTTGGCCCACCGACACCTGGAGTGGTTGAGAGGTAGACTCTGGAATGCAGAAATGGATATCAACGCCAATGGATGATCAAAGCGCTCAGATGTATTCTCCTCTCTATCCCACGTCTATCAAAGCTAACACCAAGGAGTCCCACGGCGTTGGGCAGCCTCTTTCCTGTCTACGCCTTCGAGTCCTGCAACTTCTTCTCAAGCTCCCGTTCTTCATCCTGGGAAATCAAGAAATGCACTCCTGCACCAGCCGCGCCACCCTGGAACATGGCCGCAGTCACCTGCCGCATCAAAATGCTCGCATCACCGGCAGTCAAGACGCCTTTCACGTTCGTCTCCCCAAAAGGCTCGTTCCGCTTCAACATCTGACCACCAAATCCATCATCAATGATTTCCACACCCAGCCCGCGAGCGATCTCCGGGGAAACGATTTCAACATCAGGCTTATGAACCAGAAACCCAAGCCTCTCGCTCGAACCGTCCCCGAACCGAATCTCAACCCCATTCTCTTCACCAAGATTCACAAGCTTCTCAATCCTCCTCTCGTCCACCACCGCGCCTTTCAACTTCGCAATCTCCAACGCCTTCCTCGTCGCCTCATCTTTCACCTCCAACTCCCCATCCCCAAAAATCGTAACATTCGGACATCCCATCTGCACCATCATGCCCACATTATGCCCCGCCATAGCATTCGGAAACCCAAGCAAACCAGCAGGTCTGTCAGACCGTTCAATCCCATCACAAAACAGACACTGATAAATATTCGTCCCCCAATTCTCCACATACCCTTCTATCCGCGTAGGAAGAACATCCCTCACCCCCATCGCCAACACAATCTTCCTCCCCCTCCACTTTCCCCCTTCCCCATCCTCCACCTCAAACCCCCCATGCACCCTCCTCGCCTTGACAACCCCCCGCTCGATGAACACCGTCGTGCCATACGCTTCGATCTGCTCCCTCGCGACCCGCCGGATCTCCGCGGGCGGCGTGTGGTCCCGCGAAAGGATCGTGTGGGCGTGCTGGGCGCGTTCGTTACGGAAGGTGGCGGTGGTGAAGATTGCTACCGGGTGCGCGAGGCGGCTGAGGGAGAGGGCGGCGCTTAGGCCGGCGGGGCCGGCGCCGAGGACTAGGGCGGAGAAGAGGGTTGTGGGGGTTAGAGGGGTTGGGGGTGAGGTTGGGGGTGGCATTTTTTTGTGGTTGTGATTGGAGAGGATGGGGTTGGTTTGGAGATGGGGTTGGTGGTGTTGCTGTGCTGTGGTGTTGTGGTATAGTGTTGTGGTTTTGGTAAGGAAAAGCTTGTTCTCTGTATGAGATTTTTTGAAGGAGACTCGGATTAGATCCTGTGATCCCTTATATCTAACTGTATACCCACCTATCTTTTCTCTTAGCCTCATCGTAGTCTTCCTCGTGGAGAGCGTCTGGAGACATGTCGTCTCCTCAGACGAATGCCAAGACCCGTATACGCCAAAGTGAAAGTCTCCGAGAGGATGGAAAGGCTCCATACACATACCTAGTACCCGATTTGTTCGAGGGATGCATTCACTAGACTTATTTTGATGGTTGCGGCGTTCGGAGACTCGCTGGGTGGCGGTGTTTAGGTGAAGTGGAAAGAACGATTGGCTTGATACAGGCACCTTTCTCGTACCGTTCTCCTATATGTAGAGCACGTACCTCCCGCACGTACCTCCCATCGCGCGCGAACAGCGGTCGATTTGTTGTGAGGCGCCCCATTCGCATCAATATGTACAACTTTACATCGCCACTCGGTGCTGTCTGTGCTGAGTTGCAATCGTTCGTCAGAGGCGTTTGAACGCACTTGGCAAGACTGCCATCGTTGATGAATGGGTTAGATGTATCACTGCCACGTCCACTGGCATCCCGGGAGGCGAAAGCCGCATCACGGCTGATTGATGATAGCAATGACTGTGAGGGCTCAGATGATGAATAGAAGCATAATCATGCGAAGATATGACCATGAAGAGAACGTACAGAAGGGCAGGCCAAGCTGCGTCAGGGGTATTACAATAGGAAAGGGGCAAGACGCTTGTAACGCCGCAGCGAAGGTCGACCGGTCTTTTCACCATCCCGATCAACTTGGAGCATTTTTTCCCACTGGTCGGGGATTGTTACCTGACCTTTTGCAACGACCTCAGATCCTCTGCGCTGCGCTGCAAGACCGACTATCTGTACTCGTCCGTAACCCCGATCACACAATCGTCTCGCTGCCTCGCGCTTCGGAGTCGCCGCTGCACGGGTACTGCAATCACAGCGTACCTACTTATCTCCTGCGGTTGGTTTCTGTCGCACGCACTATGCAGGCCGCGCCATGGCGCAATCGTCTTTCCCTGGACAATCAAGACTTCTTGACAACCATCTGTTGGATCCCGTGGTGGAGGTTCTGTGCCAGGTACTCGGTCTGTTCCCGTGGGTAAATCGGACTTAAACTTCTTATACCAGAGCTTGCTGCCTGAGGCATGTGTGGAGCGGAGTGAGATGGGTAGCCAGTGCTTCGTCTGCAATGGTTTTCTGAAACTTCGCAGCCTTCATTCTGCTGAAGTGTTCTCTTAGGCGAGCGACGATGATGCACTCTGAGTGCTGCCAGAGTCCAGTCGAATAAGAGCGTAGATAGAGGAGGTTGTGTTCATGTTCTCGAAAAGATGCATTTCTGCATCAGCCACAGTCGCACGGGCCTACGGCCTTGTTTAATGCCTCAGGCATCTTCTCCTTTCTCAGACCTCACTCAATGCAATGCCTCGGCCCGATCATACATCCGTAGGCGATTCAATGAGTGAAAAGATTGAATACTGGATGCAAAAGCAGTGAAAGCGTAGTTCCACCAAGAAGAGTATTCTAAATGATCGTGTTATCTGGCATCTTCTAAATATCCATGAGGCAGGCCTCTGCACATAAAAGAAATTTCCAATCTCTCCATCAACTTGCTGTTCAGTCACAGTGCTTGGCTTGTTGGACCCAGTACGTACACGCAGCCCTAGATGTTCCCCCTGTCCTTCGCAGCTTCTCCCTTTGGGGTCCTGGCGAAGCCCACGTGGAAGTCCAGCTTAAAGAAAGCTGAACGTTCAAGCCTTGTGCGCGGCAGCTGGTGCATCACGCTTGGCATTCGAAAACGTCCACGCCTCGTCTGCGGCAGCTGGTGCATCACGCTTGGCTGTTGAGAACTTCCAAGCCTCATCCGTAGGGGCATCACGTTTGACTGTTGAGAACTTCCAAGCCTCATCCGCAGTGGCCGGGGCATCACGTTTGGCAGATGAAAAACTCCAAGATTCGTCGGGAGCTGGGGCATCACGTTTGGCAGATGAAAAACTCCAAGCCTCATCTGCCAGAGCATCACGCCTGGCCGTCGAAAACTTCCAGGCCTCGTCGGAGTCTCCATCTGTGATTGCTGTGGTCTCTACTGTAGACGTACGCTACGTTAGACGATTGATATTCCGTCCGTTATCATAGGGATGTACTGACTGGGCTTCGGCAATGCCTGAGCTCCAAGGCTGAGAGCAGCCAACAAGGCGAGAATTTGCTGAGGCTGCATGTTTGCGAAGGTTACGAAGAGCTGTTGATGTTCTGCGGCTAGTCGAAGCTGTTGATTGAAGGTGTTTTTCGAATGGTGATGAGCTGTAGTCGTGGGTGGTTTCGAGCAATTTATCTTTCTTCTGCACGGGTTACAATAGATGCTTCAGTACGGCTCCACCGTCCGCTCTGTCACACGCGCTGAGCGAAGGACTGATCAGCAGGCAGACTATGGACATGCGCGAAGGAAAATTCGAGGGTTTGCGAGGAGGGAGCCCGACAATGGATAGCCAGGAATGGCAGGTGGTAGGCAATGGGATGTCGAGAGTCAGTCCATTGGCCCCAACGTTACAGCGCTCCCTTGATGCTGTGCGTTGGCAATGACTACCTACGTCCCGCGTCGGAACTTTGCCTATCAATCCAATCGGTCGTCCCAGTATTCATGTTCATGTGAAGGTCCATCGACAATCAATGCAACTAGAGCTTAGGTTAGTCTAGGCTCGTTCGAGATGGCACACTGCAAGTGAACACGGAATTGACCTGCTGTATCTGGAAGGTGATGCACGGGAGGCTTCGGCTGGGAAGTATGTGGACAAGGAGACATGGCGTGATCTTCCTACGATTCACGAAATTGGATTGGGCGAAATCGTGCAATCGGCCATATGGCGACCCAGGGAAACGCAATTCTGGGGCACGCAGATGGCATACACTCAACGTTGGACATGAATTTTCTTGTCAGTGAACGCATCCTTCAGGGAACACAGCTCCAAGTCATGCACGTTGCTCTTGGGATATGTCTGCACTGCCGCTGTCCGTGTTCAGGGGCTCGATGTCTCCTTGAAAGTTGAGACTATGCTATTGCCAAACGATGAAGACCCATTCGATAAACGAGAGGAGATACCTCCGTTCAGATCCTCAAGTTTGAATTCACTGCAATATACGAACCATAAAAATGTCCTTATCTACCCGGCGCGGAGTTCATCACCACCTGAACATCGATGAGCATCCCCGGATCCGCATGCTCATTCAACGCCAACCGTGCACAATGCTCAACATGCTCGATGCTGTCGAATCTCCTCTCCATAACCACTCCCGTATCCCTCATCCGAACGTACTTCTGCCAATAGAAGACACAATGCGCTAGATGCCACCTCCTCGTGCTCCAGAACGACCGTTCTCCGTCTCCCAGCGCCGCGACCTGTGTTTTGTTGATAGCGAGTTTGCCGTCACCATCGGCGAAGTATGGCCACGAGCCGTCTGGGTCGGTTCCAGCCATGTCGAATTCGGCCGTGAGATCGTCGTCTCGACAGTGGGCGGGAAGCCAGGCTGCCGCGAGGGAATCGTACATACAGCCTCGTTGTAGCGCCTCCGCAATGCTAGCTCCGCAGTCGCAGAGGTTGAGGGTAGGCTCCAAGGTGTCAGGCCTATAGACATCTGGCGCAATGGTCCTTGCTGGTTCCCGCACGACATATACTGGTGCGAGAGCCCCATAAAGTTGTTCTATGATCGATATAAGCCCCCAAACGGCCAGTAGGCCTACTGCGACGCGAGCGATGATATTGAGGTGTTGTACTTCGTCTCTTGGTCTTCTTCTGCTGCTGGGTTTGGGCATCGTGTCGCCTTCGTACCATTCCTCTTCGTGGTTGTCTGCGTAGGGTTGCAGATTGCCAAGGGAAGCCATTGTCCGAGATGTGAGCTTGAGTGTCTCTGTACTGTCTCTCGTATTCGACTTTCCTCGAACGTATGGCGTGCAAGGGCTGTGTGAGGTGAAGTGAATTGAAGAAGCAGCAGATTGCCGTCTGCAGCCTCGTCGAACCTCCGTCTCGTGGATTCTCGGCTCAACAGCGAGGCCATAGCCCATGTCGATCAACGATAACACAATCGTGGATCAGAGTTCCAACAGAGGAAGGTCGTATTGGATATTGCGAAGGATTGAGACAACGGACTATCTCCAGGGAAAACTGCGAATGCTAGTCGTGAGGGAAAAGGATGGGCACTAGCTGCATGACGGGAATTCGAAGGAGCGAGGTAGTCGAGAGCGAAAGCCCGCAGATATGGGACTGAGCGATGGCGATGGACGATAGATTTGTCAGAGGACTCGAGCAGACTCTATTCGAAATTCCGCATGGCAAGTTGACGTTCAATGTGACCGTTTGCACTGAGAGTCCCCACGACCTTGAACGTGAACGATTGAAACAATTACCGCGGAACCTCGATTGCGCCATGTCCAGATTCTCAAAGGTAGAGCAGTCAGACTACTCTGTGCAGGAACCCTTAGTGGGACGTACTGATTCCCACGACCAATATGGAGAGGACCGTCAGGAACTCCAAAGACCACGGGATACGCACCAGTATCCTCGAGAAACAAGACAAATCCTCTTCATGATTCTGCACATCTCATGTGTAGCCTTCAATGTCTTGGTCTTTATTCACTACTTTGGCCTGATAAGAGCAGAATCTCGAACAGGCTGGCAGAGTTCTCTCTGTGAGTACGACTCCGAGGAAAAAGGTTGACTTCGACCGACTGATATCAAGCCTGCAAAAGCTCCTGCTCAGAGTGCCATCCGGTACGAGCAGAGACTGTTTGAGTTGGGTTCTATCTACCTGCCGAATGGAACCTTGAATCCAACGAAGCCGGGAGATATCATCGGGGACCCGCGTCCTTCACTTGACGACGCTTGGAATGCGCTGATGCGTGGTAGGATATCCTCCCTTTGAGGAGAAAAATGCGTGGATCCGACCTGTTGACGTGATTGCAATAGGTCAAAATGTTCGTGTTACAAAGGACGAGCTGGGTACGTTCTCCGAAGATGACAGCCTGATCGAGCTCGCCGATGGCTCAGGGTACTACGCCAGCCTCGCCGTTTTCCATGGTCTCCACTGTGTTCAGCGACTGCATCACTTCATACACAAAGACTTCTATTACGATGACATGAGCGACGATGACCTCCGGCGCCTGAAGCACCACACTGGTGAGTCTACGGTGGGAAGAGCATAACTATCAGGGATGTGTGTTGATTGATCGGCTTGTAGAGCATTGCTTGGACTGGCTCCGCCAATCGATCCAGTGCAATGGCGACCCGACTCTTCTACTATACCACTGGGGCACGGAGTGAGTCTTGACAAGGCCTGTGGCAGTGATGCCTTGGCTAACGCGGATCCAGGCATCCTCTACCCCTCGCAAAGGACGATGGGAAGCATCAGTGTGTCGACTGGGACCATCTGAGGGAATGGGTCGATCAACGAACCTTCAATATGTTTGAGCCTGGCTTACTCGTCCACCCGATATACGGTCAGAACTCCACGGCAACCTTTGCTCGCAGTGCATATAGTTAACGTCCTCATGATAGGTGATCCTTTCCAAGGCGACCATGTGGGCGACAAGGCTGGTATTAGCGATGGCGAATCCTTGTTGCACAGTGGCGGCTCATGAGCTAGTAGATTGTGTGAATGGTGGATTTCTTTGGTGTTGGACAGGAGATTAATCAAGCCTTTCTACATCATCTCTTTTCCGATCTCTATAGCTGTAGGTACCTTCCTCGAGCACAGTCATGTCAGAGACCTTTCTTACATGCTGCTCATAGATAGCATAGAGGCTGAATCAATCGCCTTTTCTTAGAATCTCGAGGAGTCACTTTCTACTGCAAAGGACTATCTAACAATCTTGCGCGGTATAGGCCACCAAATTCTGGTTCGTACTGATGCAATGGCCGGCTAGATAGAGAGGAAGAAAAGCATCGATGAGCATTAAACACCGCAGGAATAGCTAGAGGGGCTTGACGTTACGTACTGTCTGCGTTCGCTTGCGAAAGCAAGAGCTGGTGATCGTTGCAACTCGCGTCCGAGTAGAAGTAGAGGAAACACGAGGACGTGAATCCGCCTTTGAGGACAACGCCTCGAATAGATTCGCCGTTGGCGTTGAGGCTGGTGCAGCCGGCGTTTGAGGGGGTGTCGAGCGATTCGTATAAGAGATTGCAGCCAGAGTCGTTGTAGAGGTCGATCGCGACGGCTTGGACGGCCGTGACGAGCAGTGCCATGGACAGGATGTTGCGCGGCATTTTTGAAGGGTTGGTGGTTGGAGTCTCGGCTTGGGGTTGACGGGAGGTTGGGAAGTGATTCGCGAGGTTTTGGGGACTGGAGATGGGTGAGGACTGGATTGTGAATATACGATGGCTTTTCAATTGGAGTCTAGATCCCACTGATGAACTTCTCTCAATCGCTACTGGTGAGCGGTGACGGCGAGGAATGCCGGCGAGGGATATCGGCGAGGGAAACGAGCGAGAGATACGGATGAGGGTTCCCGGTGTTGTTGACACTTTGCCTGTGTGGCTCTTCCTATTTGGCATAGATACGATCGTACGTATCCGTTCTTAGCGTCCAGCGTAGGTCGTTTCCTGTGTTCTGACATGTGTTTCGAGTCGAGAGTTCAGTTCAAGAGTCTCTGGAGGTTTGTTGGAAGCAACCATCTCCCGCAACCAGAACGACTTCAAGGGACTGCTTTCAGCATTCGCGTTCGCGGTGTCCAGAGATTTGCTGGATGATCTTTTGGTGGTCTTGGTGGGCGGCGGAGTTGCTGCTACGCACCTCTTCTTTGTGAAGAAGGATTTGTTGCGTCGTGGATGGAAATTCGAACTGCTATTCGTGCTTGAAGGCGAGGAGAGTCTTCAATAATGAGTCTCACTCCCTGAGTCGTATGTCAAGCGCCCATCAACGCACTTGGCTACTGCTGTCTTTGACGCGCCACGAGTCTGCTTGCGACTCGGTGTCTGAGAGGTCATTGTGAGCGTATGGTCCTGTCTGCGACGTACGCGACGTTGGGAGAGATCACCAATCGGGAACAAGAGTCAGTGGAGAAGTAGTGGTACAGCTTTCGAGCGGTCTGTGGCACCTGAGTAGGAGACCATCTCTGAACACCAGCGCCATGGCGTTGACACGACAGCCCCTTCAGGTCATGACAGTCTCTACACAGCAGAGGGCTGTCGCTCGAGTAGCACACCAGGCCAGACTGTGGCAGCCTCTGTCCAAGCCTCCTACCTGGCGTGTTATTATAGCAGCCCGTATTGCGAAACAGGGCACTCCCAGTCAAAAGAAGCAGTCGCTGAAATTCAGGTGCATCCCGCTGACTGCCAGCATCCCGGGCGTGTTATCAAACCTTGTTGGCGGCTGTCGAGCAGAAGACGGTCTGGATTGCGGTGGGGGTTCAATAGGAGAGAGTCGTGTCTTGTTCTTCAGACTGCTTTGTCCTGTGCGACCGAGGCGCATGGCGAGCGCATGGACACGTGGGCGCCCCGTCCACGGCACGAAAATGCGGAGTCGATGGCCTGGATCCACACCACCATGCACATGTGATGCAGCGCCGTTGGCTGCGATTGCTCTGTGAAGAGATATCCCACCGCTGTGCTGCGCAAACCGCTTCTTCTTTTGCTTCTCTGTCTCATCGATCAATGACAACGACCCTCACTCTCTGACAGCCAGGATCCGCCCTTATTATTGTTCCTCCGGTTCTGTCTGGCTGACAAGGAACTCGGCACATGCAGGGGCTGCATCCTTGACCCTCGAATATCAGAGCTTCCGAGCCTACCCAGACGACGGGGACGGGGTCGTATTCTTCTCACGCGGTTGTGCTCTCACAAGATCAGCACACCACCTCTTACCACTTCCACCACTCTTTTGGCCCCCATCGACTTCTCTATTCTTCTCCATTCTCTACAACGGAACGAATTCGCAACGGCTGGATCGATCTCCCTCCCCTCATTGTGCACAACCGCCACCATGCCTTCAAGCAGGCAATACCGCGTCATAGCAATGGTCGCAGTCCTCACCCTGCTGGTCCTCTACTACGTAACGAACGGCGAACGCCTCACGCACGACAACGAATTCTACAAAAAGACCGTCGCGGCGATCGAGCACAAGAAAGACGCCGCGGCGCGACAGCAGGTCATTGAAGACGAGCAAGCGCGGTTGGAGCGGGTCGAGCGCTTGCAGAAAGAGCACGACGCTGCGATGGCGACGGCGACGGCGAGCACCGAGGCGGCGACGGAGGATGCACAGCACGACGTGGGGCCGAAACCGCAGAAACAGAAGCCTATCGTAGAGGATGCGAATAAAGAGTCGTCTGGGGAGAAGAGCGTGGCGGGGAGGAAGAAGATGAAGGATGGAAAGGTTGTGGATGATAAGCCTGCTTCGGATAAGGATGATGGGGTTGCGAAGGTGGGCAATGTCGAGCCGAAGACGACAGGCGTTGCGAAGGGGGAAGAGGCGGAGGATGATGAGGAGTCGGAACGGGAACATAAGGTGGAATTGGAGTTGAACAGTATTTTGAAGAAGGGGCCCATAATCATCTTCTCGAAGACGTACTGTCCCTTCAGCAAAAAGGCGAAGGTACGCTCATCTCCCCCTCCTAACACATCTAGACCCCATTGACTAATTCGGATCTCTAGCACATCCTCCTCAACCTCTACACAATCTCCCCACCCCCCTACGTCGTCGAACTCGACGAACACCCCCTAGGCCCAGGCCTACAAGACGCCCTGCAAAAATCCACCGGCCGCCGCACCGTCCCCAACATCCTCATCAACGGCAAATCCATCGGCGGCGGCGACGACGTCCAAGCCCTGCACCAAGACGAACGCCTCATCGAGACCGTCAAAGCAATGGGCGGCAAGCGAGTCATGGAAGTCGTCCGGAAAGACTCCACCCAACAAAAAGAAAGCGAGAGGGAACGACAAGGCCGCGCCGAGGTGAAATTCAAGGCTTAGAAGCCCAAGATCAAGGTTTGTCGAGATTTGTTTCCGACTTTGTACGTTAAGTGAAGGTCTGTCTGCACGTCAGCATTGCGCCTCGCACGCTCAGGCGTTTCGCGTGGACTCGCGCGGCGATTGTGAGGCTGGACGTCGTGCTGATGGGGCTCGTCTGCTCCGCGCTCGGGGTGCTTTGGCTGGTGCAGTGGAATTCGGCCGTGGGCATCGTTATGGGATTGTGGGTTCCTGGCGTGGGAGCGTGGAGAGATTCGTAATGTGTCGATGATACCCCCCGGATGAGAGACAGAGAGAGTACTTTTATGTATGTAATGGCTGGCCATTGTGGATGATATGGGGAATTGAGGAGATGGGTGTGCGGTGAAGATGGGATGAGTGTGCATAGGGTCGTCGCTGTAGAGCAAGACGAATGAAAGTCAAGCCATGCGTCCGTCAGCAGATCCATTTCTCTTTCTCACGAAGGACTCCCCTCTCAACACCCCATACGTAACTCCATCTTGGATGATGCGGAAAGAGTATGTAGTTCGTAGAGCTCAGAACTTCATTTCACTGAGGCTATCTGCCAAAAATGCTCCCTCCCTTTTGATACTTTCAAAAGAGTCCAGGCCAGCCATTTCAACCGCAGCATAGCCCATGGATGCCCACTTTCTCTCTCATACGCCAGCCATGATAGTCCGAACGAAACAACGATGCGCCCAAATCTACTTGTCCGAGTCGTTCTACTCCTCGACAATGTTGCCGCGCTCGCTGACGTACAGACCGTCCAAGAACTTCCGGATATCCTTGTTTCGCACTCTGCAGATCTGCTGGATGTCGGCGGCCGACTGTGATACGGCCTCGAGCGAGTTGCCGGTGAGCTGGAGCTCGTCCTTGACGTTCTTGGAGGCCTCGACGTCCACGCCGGGTTGCATGGTGACGTTGCGCACGATCTTCTCGCCCAAGAAGTTTCTATAATCCACATCAGTATTTCTACCCCATCACCCTCTTTTATAGCTCGACTAACCGGATCTCAACCTCGTACAGACCAGTCTCCTTGTTCTTGTCCAAGTTCACGTTGATGGGGAAATGGGCGTAGACGTATCGCATCTTGTACTTGTAGCCCTTGGTAACACCGATGATCAGGTTGTTGATGAGCGTGCGGACAGTTCGGAGGGTGGCAACGTTCTTGCGCGAGCCGTGGTGCAGCTCAATGTTGATGACATTGGGCTTCGGGGTCGAGAATGCGACTGCGATGTGGCCCAGGTCCTTGGTGAGCTTGCCACGAGGGCCCTCGACGGTGACCTGGCGGGTCTTGATGTGGACCTTGACTGTTGGACACGTTCTGTCAGTACAGTGTGCTTGTATGTCCACATAATAACTCCATCCACGCCTGCCATGTGCAGATGTCTCGTCGTCCACCCAAACGATCCTGCAGTATTCTGAGGGTGTACGTACCGCCCTCTGGGACTTCCAGCGATTCCTGGGAGTAGATGTACCGCATGTTGGGCGAGGGTGGTGGGTGGAGGGGCGGTGTTGTTCGGCGAGCTCGTCGTCTTCACAGTCTCGAAGTCGTCGCGGAGTTGGGGCTTTTCGCAAAGTGCAAGGTCTTGGCGTCTGGATCGCGGGATCGGCCGTGCCAATCGGGTACAGCCGCCGCTAGCTAATGTTCACAAAATATCACTTGCTTGAAGCAAGCTTGTCGCCTGCTTGTCGCCGGCTTGTCGGACTTCACCCTACACTTGGACTGCAAGTATGCTGTACTTTACCCTGACGCAGTGTAACAACGACAGTCATGGATACCCAGCGATACATTCATAGTCTACGAACACTTCCAACTTCCCACCTTCTCCATTCCCAAAACGCAGACTGCACAGAACGGAAACCGGTACTCCGACAGCAACAATCCGTTTACGAAGTGATTGAAGAAGGCTCGGTGGTTACGCCCAGGGACTTTTCGACTAGTAGGACAGTATGGCTTCTTTCGTCTCCTGTTTATCAGGCCAGCCGAATCTACACAATATCTCTCACTGGACATCCGACAAAGGTTTCTCTAGAAAAGTGACCAGCTCCATGCATCCCAAAGCCATAGCATGTGCGTGAATGGTTTCACCATCTCACCTGGGAGTAATCAAGGTACCAAGCCTTTCAAGTCCTTGCCAAAGCCGAAGGTTACACCAGAACAGCCTCATGTCCCTCCCTGGCGTCTGTTCAAACAGATATCGCGTTGGCGAAGCCGCAGGTTACACTAGAGCAGCCTCACGCTCTCTCCTGGTATCTAACCAACATCACCTCACCTCTCCTTCATTTTAACAAGGTAAGACTGGAACAAAGTCGACATTCATTGGGCTCTCGTTCTTCAAGATTCCGAAATCCCCCTTGTTGCCTTCTCGGAAGAACCCCAGGCATGCTGTTCCTCAAGGCCGCTACCACAGCGGCTCTGCTTGTGCTTGCACACCTCTTCGCTTTGACAGTAGCACTTAACGCAGCCCTTCCATCGTCTGAGCTCATCGCCCTAGGTGGCGGCGTTGTCGGAGGACTATATCGCCCCGCCGTGCAGAGCCACAAGGCCAGTCTCGCGCTCTTCCTAATGCATGCCGGCAGTGACTACCTTCGATTCACAGCGTGCACGGAGCTGGCCTCGCGAGGTTTTACCATATTCTGTGCGAACAACTACGCCAGCAAGGCCGGGCAGAATTCTGACTTGGATTTTGACCTCATGATGCAAAACGTGGGACTGGGAATGAGCTATCTTCGGAATCAGACAGACATCGATCACGTTGTCCTTCTCGGACACAGCGGTTGTGGCGCCATGATGGCGGCGTATCAGAACATTGCAGAGAACGGGGTATCTGTGTGCAATGGCCCCGAGAAGATATATCCATGCTCTGATGGTCTGGCTGGGCTGATGGTAATTATAACGCCATGACTGCATTGTGCAGTCGACCCGTGCTGACTGCCGCATAGCCTGCTGATGGCATAGTCTTGCTGGATGCAAATTATGGAACTTCGACGATGACCCTTCTAAGCGTTAACCCTGCCATTATCGATGAAACGACAGGTGCAGAAATCAACGAATCTCTCAACTTGTTCAACCTGCCAATGGCTACCTCTCTACTGGGGCGAACTACAGCGCAGCTTTCGCAGAAGCCTTCCATTCTGGCGTTGCTGCCCGTTGGCAACGTCTCGTGAAGTACGCTGAAGAGAGGAGAGCAATCATCATGGCTGGCAATGGCACCTTCAGCGATGATGAGCCTTTCTACATACCTGATGCACATTTTGTTGGGGGAAACAACAAGCTCTTCGCACAGGACACCCAATTCCTCTCGCACACCGTCCATGAATGGCCACTTCTGCACAAGAATGGATCCACAACTACTCAAGTCGTCCGCTCGGTTCGCGTACCTGCAAACCTGAGGTCTCTGGCTGATTCATTCCAGCAAGGAGCACTGAAAACGACTATCAACCGCTTTCTCAGGACATTCGCCATCCGCGTCACGGATGACTTCTCGTACAATGGCGACAGCTTCACGGGTATCGACTGGGCGTCCAGCCACCTTGCTACTCAAAATCCTGTGTCCGGAATTCACGTACCGATGCTAACAATGGGGATGACGGGTCATTGGGAGTATCTCGCTGCTGAGAAGGCAAGTCACTCAAACTCAACCGTGTTTCAGGATTGTGTGCTGACCTCAGATAGATATATCTCGACGCAGGCAGTGATGACAAAACGATCGCCTTCGTTGAAGGGGCGTCTCATACCATTGATGTTTGCAAAGATTGCGAGAGCTTCCCGGGCCAGTATGGCGATACTATCAAGACTTGCTTTGATTTCGTGAGTGACTGGCTTGCGGAGGAAGGTCGATTCTTGTAGGTGTCATGGATCGCCATATTGAGTGAAAGGAAGCCCGGCTGGCTACTTCGTAGCGTTTCTCGTTTATCAAGCACGCATATCAGGAGCTTGAAATCGTCGTCTTTAATTGACCGTAAAGAGTAAATGCTCATAGGAATCTGGAACTAACGCAGCTCTAACTTGAACTACTCGAGCTCTATTTCCACGACATCGCAACTTGCCCCAACGATGAAAGTTTGACCACATCCGCTACCAAACTGACTCTCCTTGAAAATGTCTTCAGACCTGGCCAGCGCACCTGTGGTCGTCGGTCACGAGTTCCATCCCCTCCGGCACAAACGCAAAGAATTCCGAGTCCTCAATTTCCTAGGCAACCGCAACACCCTCCGAGACCAAAATTCCTTCCTCAAGTTCAACTTCCAAACCCTTTCTCTCAGAGACGAACTCCTCCCTACATACCACGCCATCTCATACACATGGGACGCGAACCCCGGAACCGCAACCATTCTACTAGACGGCAAGGAAGTGACAGTCCCAGGGAGCGCGGAGCGGGCGCTCAGAGGCGTGATTTCGCACATGGTGCCGTATTTATTGGACAGCTCGATCTGTTTGCTGTGAATCGATGCAGTGTGTATCGATCAAGGGAACTTGGAGGAGAAGTCGAAGCAGGTGGCTATGATGAGGGATATTTATGCTAGCGGTGGGGAAGTGTTTGTTTGGCTCGGGGATGATGATGACGATGGGATGGCAGGGGCTGCGTTTGAGACGGTGGAGATGCTGGCTGGGGACTGTATTGACAAAGTTTCGGATGAGAGCGAGCTTCATTTGCCTGCGTGGGCTTGGAAGGATAAGTTTCCATACTGGTCTGAAGATCCCCCACTTCGATGCGACTGGAGGGCTCTCGGTCGCCTGCTTGGGGCGAGGTGGTTTGCTCAACTCTGGATCATTCAGGAAGTCGTCGTAGCGGGAGACGTCACGATGATTTGGGGTGGGTCCTCGATTCCATGGGAGACACTGGCGAAAGCAGTGCGATGGACGTGGCATCGAACCTTCACCCGCTACATCACAGAAGCCCTCGAGGACGAGAATAAGAAAGATGTCTCTATGAACCTGTTATTCGCGAGAGAGATCTGCCGGCTAAGGGACACGCCCTCCTCGCAAATTACCCTTTCGCAGCTGCTCCTTTGCAACTGCCACCTCGAGGCCAGCAATCCCTGGGATAGGGTCTTTGGTCTGCTTGGTCTGCTCGACAAAGCGTCAAACTCTTTGGGAGTGGTGATGGATTACGAGCGGCGATTGAGAGACGTCTATGCTGAAGCGACCTGCGCTGCCATGGTTGAGCAAGGGAGTCTGTACCTCCTGGGTCTGGCGATTGATAACAAGTCTTCTTTGGCTATGGAAGATGACTGGCCGTCTTGGGTGCCGCGCTACCAACAACTGAAGGGACATCGTGAGATTGCATCTTTATCTCGCACTAACGGGTGCCGTGCTTCGGACGGAGTTTCAATGACTTGCAGGTACTCAAGCGAGGGCAATGTTTTGGACGTAAAAGGTGTCTTCGTGGGTCGAGTGGTCTGTGTTCTGGACATCTCCTCGCTTGGAGATATGTCTGAAGATGACGACAGCAATGAGGACAGCGAGTCAGCTGATGAAGAGGAGGACAAGCCCGTATACCAGCGTCTCGTCCAGGCTTGGCTCTCCGGTTCCTCTGCTACCACCTCCGCGAGCATGACGAACATAGCGAGCTCGCTGCACCAGCGGAAAGATCCATCCCTCAAGCTCTGGCGAAAGACCCTCCAAATCAAAGACCTGGCTTCATTGTTCTTAAACGTCGTGCGGCAATCTCCTAGAACCTGCGAGGCAGAGACTGAGCGGCTATTGTCTCTCGTGGAAGGCGACGAGGGCGACAGCTGGTCCATCGTATGTTCATTACACAATTTCGTCCGCGCGCTCGGCTTATCATCGATTGTACTGTCAGAAGACGGCCGGTTTGGATTTTGCGTAGGGACGGCCAAAGTTGGAGACGAGATCTGTCTCTTGTTCGGTGGCGATCTTCTTTTTGTGTTACGTGCTGGCGAAAGCGAAAGGGGGTGTCGAAAGATGGGTGCGTATGCTGTGGTACCGGGTGTGATGGAGGTGGGTCGATAGACCTGTGTAAGGCCTCGAAGTCAACTGCAGCTGACTGACTATGCTTAGGGAGAACATATACGGCAGCTTCGGGATCAAGGTCGCGTGGAAGCTGAGACTCGCACTTTTCATGTCATCTGAAAGCCATCTGCCGCAAATTCCGCTTGAACCCCATGGAGCTGCTTCGTTAAAGGAACAGCCAACGAAGGCTTGTTCAGATCTTTCTCAACATCAGTGAAAGCCCCTCATAATCAACCGGCTCTGCCAGGAATTTCCAACTGGATACGACAACAGACTTTGGATCGCAATAGGGCAGTAGTGGATGGTACGCCAAGAATCACATGCGAAACTCTAAAGCGGGCTAGTGCTCGGACAGTCCCAGGAGTAAGTCATGAGAGCTCTGATACCCACGAGATGCTAATATACAATTTTCAAATCAATGTGACTACCTCGCTTTTCTTCTCGACTTCCGCGGCGAGCTCACAATCCATAATGCCGTCGACATACGATGGCCCCACATGAGCGAACCGACTGCTCGAAGCACCGCCGGCATCGCATTTCCGCAGGATCATCGGCATCTTCCCACCACGAAATATGACAACCTGATCTCCAACTTTTACGTTCCGGGGCCCAAAACCAAGCAAGCCATTCTTACTGATGAACATAGTCCTTTCCACCATCGTCAAAAAGATTTCTTGACATACCAAGCTACGCTCTCCCGTTCGAACAAACTCATAGACTTGCAAAAGATCAGACTCCGTCGCTTGACGGGTTGGTTCGAAGTCGTAGATGACACGAGCCAGATTTCCGACCAGTCCTCTCCAGAATGAGCCGGGCCATTGCCAAAGTCCTCGTCTCAGGGCAGGATCTAGCCAATCTTGGGCATGATAGAAGTCGTTGGCGGTGCTGTACCATTCCTTGATTCGCGCGATCGTGTCTTGATCTGACATGATTTCGGAAGAGAGAGCTGCGCCAACTGTACAGATCTCAGCAACGTGCGTGGCGCTTACGGATAGTGAACCGTCCAAGGGATTGAACTCAAAGTGCTCCCAGTCGATGTCAAGGTTGCCGGAAGCATTGTACAAATTGTAGTTGTTCATCGATAGCCACGCCCAGCTGTCCCCATCTCTGCACACAGACGGTATTGAGAGTTCATAACCATCGATGCCCATGTCGATGGCCCAGCTCGGGAGGTCGACCGCGCGCTTCGGATGGAAGCGGTTCAGGCCAAAGATCGTGATGGGGTGAAAGCTCTTGTGATGCTCGATCAGATCGGCGGTGAACATAGCATAGACAGTGGCGGCCGGTAACGTGTAGTCACAGCACTCGGCTCTCCTGAAAGTACCGGGAGGAAACAGGCCAATGAAAGCGTAGACTTTATTCAAAGGATCCGTCGCTATTCGAAAGCTCCATCGATATGCTGCCATCAGAGGTCCACTTCCATTCCTCTTCTCGATTTCGACTCCTCGAATCTGTGTAATCAGATTGTTGAAAGACTGGAAATTCGAAGGGCTCCGATAGATGAACTTGCCGAGTTCATAGGGGATCTGGTGATTGCTCCCATTGAGGACTGTACTCCAAGCGATTTGACAAGGCCCCCAGAGAATCGTGGCTCGAGCTGGAAGGACAGCCTCCTGCAGTGTCCAGATCCGCCGCCACCACTCGTTCTCTGTGACTCCGATTGTTCTCATTGCGTTCATTGCTCGTTCTGTGGCTTGCTTGTCTCGCAGACATTCCGGGGCCTGCGTACTTGAGTCTCTTCTGTGTGCATCGAAGAACTCGAGAATGTCGATCGCGGCCTGAGCATCCTCAACAGCAATTCCCTCTCGCAGCTCTCCAAGCCAGGCTAGCACTTGAACCGCGGCCGCATAGATCCGACCCATGAGCGGCACCTGTTGGACTTTCTCGATATCGTCGGACTGATTGATCGAGATCTGATCTACCCAGAGCAATCGATGTCGATCAGGAAGCCTTATGCGTTTCAGAACGGCTTCGAGGTTTCTAGTTACCAGGACTTCCTCTCCGTCGACTTCGATCGTCGCCTGGACATCGCGCTCACCCCAGACGTAAGAAGCCGCCTCGTACTGAGGAGTGCCCAAAAGCCGATACGCATGTGTTCGGCCTCGGATGGGTGCAACTCGATTGGTTGTCTGATTTGGTGGCAGAAGTTCGAATAGACGTATGTGGCCCTCAGCCAGCATCTTCGACTTTATTGCTGTTGTCTTCAGGGTCTCCCACTGTATGCCGCCATAACTCTATCCTTATAGATTACACGCGCGGCCAGCTGTCTTCAGCGAGCCCTGCTTTCAACCCCTGCAAATAGATCCTGTCTGCAGGACTAATAAGGCGGCCTATAGCCATTGCGAGCGACTTCCAACGTGCATGATCGCAAGCGAGCGAGGATGTGTGTTACGGAAAGCAGTCTCGAAACGATAGTAAGTGAAAGGTCGCATGGTCCTGGTCGAGGTGCAAGATGCAACGTATGCACGAGCATCATATGGTTTTATTACTGTCGCAAGGACGACGGCTACAGTACTAGCGCGTTTGTCATCAGTCTGCAAAAGTCGGGTTGGGGGCCGAAAACCGGTCATGTGACGTTTTCAGGGGTAAGGAGAAGTTGTTTTTATTTTTTTATTTTGAGTTTCTCTATTCACTATTCTCTCACCAAAAGAAATGGTGATTTCGCGTTCATGCGCGAAAATGACAATGAATCATCTGCCTACCTTGTCCAATCCATCGCTACTGCCCTGCTAGCTCCGCTCCGCCCGGAATTCTGCCGATGAAATCTCGTCAAGGCCCACAGCCAAAACAAGAGCAAAAAACAAAACATTCAGCACCCGGTATTCCCATATGGTCACCCACTATAGTACTAATCAGGCGGTTGATTGCTTGTATATGGCAGAGCGGACGGGATGCCTAATTTTCAATCACCTGTGGCCGAATGTGCAGGCTAAGAGTCGAAAGTTATACAAGACGTCTCAATCTTGAGTTTCCGCAGCAGCTGAGGACCAGAATGTGAACACACATCTCGTAGGTATGGCGTGTAGACGGTCTAACTAGTCAAGTTACCTGCCGCGAATCGTGCTGGGTAAGAGTCCAGAAACCTCTCGTACGATTGCAACTGTCTACAAAGCACCAGAAGCTGCAAACAATCACTTCAACAGAATGGTACTGGTGCCTCCATCTGGCTCGACGACTTCGAGCTGCATCTAAGCCCGTCATCTTTGTTGCACAGACCTGTCGTGAAAATCTGCTCGCCTGCTTCCAAAGGCATTCTATTTCGAATCCACTTCAAAATGCTGGTTTTGACTACCGAGAGCTCTGTTAGAACCCGAGAATAGTCTCAATGTCAGACACAGGTCAAAAACGTCTCTAGTTTGGTCCTATCTGGACGGAATTCACTTGCAACGGGAACACTGGTACTTAAGGTGGCTAGCCACCCCCGACCACCTTGAACGAACATCGAAAGTTCGAGACAAAGAAGGACCATTGTGGAATGGTCTACTATCGAAGAAAATCACCATTAAACCAGCTTGGCTTCCATGCAATCGCCCACAAAGGACGACGGCATCTCCACCCAAAGTTCGTAAATACAAGGCCTCGTCTACACACGTCTTTTTGAGTGAGACTTAAGACTAAACCTTCGGGGAGCCCAGAGCCAGGTAGCAATATCGATTAGCATCCGATCCAAAGCGATGATCCTCATCACACAGGCAAACGCTTCAATCTAAGATGCAACCCGGTCTTTGGCTTGACGGCCACCACGCCATATGGAATGACTACTTCATGAGGGTCCGCCATCTGCATTTCAAAACAGGCTACGAATGCCGCGACCAATAACCGTAACTCAGCCTTAGCAAAACCTTGACCAATGCAGCTTCGAGGCCCATGTAAGAAGGTCAGGAATGCGTAGTTACTATGCGTCCCGCCTGTATTGTTCACTCGCTGCTTCCCGGCCTCATCAATGTCGATCCAACGCTCAGGCTTGAACTCGTGAGCATCGGCTCCCCAAAGTGTCTCATCGCGATTGATGGCCCATGGTGAAACAATGATTTGTGTTCCCGCAGGGACATGTTGACCGGCTAGTTGTGTAGGCCTTACCACGTCACGGGCTGTTACTGGAATTGCGGGATATAATCTGAGCGTCTCATTGCAGACCCCGTTGAGGATAGGGAGCTTCTCAGCGACGTCGAAATCGAAGTCTACTTCGCTGGGGTCCGCAGACTTCGGGCACGGTAAATTCTCAGTTACTTCATTCCGAAGATTTTGTTGGATTCCCGGATGCCTTGCGAGGAGGAATGTGATCCACGTGAAGGTGGACCAAGTAGTCTCATGACCAGCGACCATGAGCGTGAGAATTTGGTCGACGAGCTGGGACGTCGAGAAATTTCGTGATTCAATCAATAGTGACAGAACATCACTGTATCTTGATGCTCTGGTCCCCGACTCCAACTCTTCTTTCTTTGTCTCGATGAGGCCTAGACATTTGCTGGCAATGTTGCGGAGGAGACGTTTGTTGCGCTGGTTCACTCTCCATGGCAATGCGGACACGAACGTTGGGGATAGAACCATGTTACAGAGGAAGTAAATTTGGTTTTCGAAGGTCGGGTTGGTGAGCTCTTTGTAATTCGCGATGAGCGGATCTTGCGAGTTTGCGAGGGTCTGGAAGTCCTGGCCAATGGCAATTCCAATGGTGTCCAGCGAGACTTGACTTGCCCAACGACCTATTTCCACCACTGAAGCATCTTCTGCCTTTGCATTGTGTAATGTTTCCTGTGGGCTATGGGCAACTTGCTCCCCAACGACTCGGACGAACTGCTTCGCCTTTGCCCAAAAGACCGGATACATTTCCTTGATAACGCGAAACGTGAAAGCTGGCGCTATGTTCTTCCTCTGGAATTGATGCAGATCTTCCTCAACGATAATCAGCCCATCCCCGAGGAAGAGGCGAAGAAAGTCTCGTAAGATTTTGGGCTTCTGAAAATCATAGGTCCTTGTTACCAAGACTTCGCTTAGAGCCTGTGGGCTAGTGACGAGAAGGCGATCTTGGTAGAATAGCCCTCGATAGAATATGAGGCCGTCGTTGGGAACGTTTCTCATCCATTTGAGAAACGTGTTCCCAGCGGGTTGTTCGTATGCAGCCATCCCATGCCCAAGCAGAAACTTCCCCCCTGGTCACGTGCTGTCAGTGTATCGTCCATTGAAGTAGTATGGGCGGCATATATTACCTTAGCTTGCGGAAGACCTCTCAATGGACTGAGGAAGAATGGATAGATGACCACCATATACACACAGTAAGTGATGACTTCGAGACAAAGCAGGTGCACAAAAAGCACAGCAAAGGACCCGCGCTGGAAACATGACTGCAAAGCGAGCGCTGTCGCCATAGTACCCAGTAAAGAGAGCGTGCTTCTTGAAGCGTTGGAAGTCATTGCGTCTCTCGCTTGATATCTTGATTGCAGGATTGATAACGAAAGGAGATGGGGTTCTAGGAAAACGCAACTGTGATTTGGGTGCCGTTCCGACGACATTGCCTACAAGACATTGACACGCCAGCGTAGCTCTTCGTTCAAACGTGCCTAACTTGTGACTTGTGATTCCTTTGTCGACTCGCATGCCCTCACCACACTGTGGGTCAATCACGTCCATGCATGGCGGGATCTCTCGATCGCAACAAGGTGATGACTTCGTGCCGAGTATTTGACATCACCACATTGCGGCGTCTGAACGGTTCGGTTGATTGTGTTGCACAATGCAGAGCTCATCGACACGACCATCACCTGGAGGCTGTTGTAATGGAGTCGAAAAATCTTGAGGTTACAGTAATTACGGTCCTGAGCGCTATATCAAAAGTGGCTTGTGACGAGCTCAAGCTTTCTTCTTCCTTGCCTCTTCGATTTGTACTTTATACATCTGACGGGTTGTATTGTCTTCATACGCCCCCGTGACGTTAAGGACGACGAATGTCCAAAGAGCGAGAGCAAGACCTGCCGGTTTTCCCTTCCACAGCGCGCTGCCTAGATATGAGATAGCCTTGCCGTTGTACATTGGCGAAGGGATCGTTCCATATGGAAAGGTCGAGACAAAGGTCTTTTGTGGGCCAAAGAAGCAGTCCCCATGGTAGACATATTTCCAGCCCAATACATACATGGAATAGTAGTGAAGAGAATTGCCAAAGATCCAGAGGAAGGCTGCGCAGACGGCGCAAGCAGGACTCTGTAGCATTGGAGAAGACGGCTGTGTCCGTAAAGCCCTTTGAAGCCTGCTCGAGACCATCAGTATGGAACAAATGATACTTATGCGCCCGTCGGCCACATACAGCATATCCCTACAAGCCGCCATCGTGAAGCAGATTGCCGCCCAAAGAGCGTAGGCACGCATCGCGTTGCCGTTCATCAGCCCTACAAGGCTCTTGTACCTCAGCTCTGGTGCGGGTATGGCTTGTATCAGTCGTTCATCGTTCCTTGGTTGATCTGGACACACCTCTGTGCGATACGGTACTTTACCCAGCGTCAGTGGCCTGCACAAAGAGTGTTAGACTATGATATGGCTTACATCCACACTAATGGCACTGAGGCGATACAGCCTACCGACACTGCCGTAAGTCGTTAGCAAGAATCGCGAAAGATTTGGATAGTCCTGTGGAATTACGCCACAAAGATTGCTGGCCTAGGTCACAAAAGATCGTAAGCTGGGAGGCAATGGCTTGTAGTCTGCTGACAACCATCATGTAATCGACTCTGTGGAGTGAAGAAGTGTCGCCAGTGTACAGCGTATTGAATCTAGTAACCTGACTAGCTGCGGGACTTCGTCTGCAGGCTCGATGAGACAGCCCCTTTATAGCCACAAAGCTCAAGATTCTAGCCGACACAGCAACGTGGATAATTCTGCTTACATATTGGGCCAACTACCATGAAGATCTAGCCTTCTGCGACAGATCGGTTTGTGCAGGATCAATCCGAGCAGGTCTGTCTAGGGGGTGTCATGATCGACTTGATACTGGTGCAGAACCCCAGGACGCCTTGTTCAGCGAAACTTCACGACCCAGACTCGCTTTCTTCCATGGGTGTGTCCCTTGAGAGGGGAAGATCTTCGATCAGAAGACTTGCCACCAAACCAGCTGCAGCCACCGCAGTGCAAACGACCCACACACGGCTCAATGAGAACGTCACAGCTGATTTCAGAGCGACTTGTTGCGTCTGTGCTCCCAACCTTCCGAGCTTCCCAAACTGTACCAGCGTAGAAACATCTCGCTGCAGTCTGCGGACAAGGTCTTCCGGGATACCAGCTGCGACCAACAAACTTGCCTTTTGCTTTATCCCATTGGAGATGACGACTTGCCCTACGACCAACCCAATGGTAGAAGCTATGGTTCGTAGAAAGATGGCAACCGCGTATGCGCTCGCACCCTCATCTTTAGACACCGCCGCTTGGAGTCCAATCAGCGGCGCTTGGAAAAGAGGTCCTACACCGACCGCCAAGATGAGCTGGAACAGGATCAATCGCGGCCAGCTTCTGTAAGCGGGCAACGTGATCGAGAGACCCAGCGCAAATGCCATGAAAGCAGTACTCGTCTGGATGACCCGAGCGTAGCGGCCGGTCTTTCGGATGATCAAGGCAGCGAGGATGGTAAAAATTGTCGTCGGTACCGCCGTTGTCAGAAGCAAACAACCGATTCGAATGAGTCCAATCTCCAGGACTAGCTGCATGTAGAGCGGTACGTAGTACAGCACGGTAAGGTACGTGAAGCCGTGGAAAAACGATATCGAGAGACAAGCAACACCAGTCCGGTTCCGAAAGAGGTGGAGAGGCATGAGCGGCCGAGCTGGATGACGCCAGAAGATCTGACATATGAAGACGAGAAGTACCGCGCCTCCCACCGACAGTAAGCTGATGACTACCGCGGACTGCCACGGCAGAAAGATGCCGCCAAATTGCAGGCCCAGGAGCAGCAGAACGGTACAAGAGGTGACGAGCAAAATTCCCCAGACATCGATTCTCCGGAGATCCTGTGGCTTGGGCGACTTTGCCAGTGGGAATGGGAGAAAGATCAGGGCGAGGACCAAAGCGATAGTGGTAAATGGCAGAGCTATCCAGAAGCACCACCGCCATCCAGGCCCTCTCGTCAAGGCGGCGCCTATTAGCGGAGCTAATGCAGCGCCAAGGCAGCTCGCCCCGGCGTACATGGCAATGTAAAGGCCTCTCTCGCTCAACGAGAACAAGTCCGCGAAGCAGACGTTGGCCATGACGGTGAAAGCTCCCTCGCCGATTCCTTGTACAGTTCGTCCTGCGATCAGCAGTGATGGATGGCGGGCAAGAGCTGCAAGAATGCTCCCTAGCAAGAACAATGTCAAGCCAAAGGCCAGGACCAGTTTCCGCCCCACGGAGTCAGACACCGGCTCACAGGCGGGCATCGTGGCAGCTCCGGCTAGCAAGTAGGCTGACTCGATCCACGAATATTCGGCTGAGTTCATGTTCAGCGTATCCGCAATCGTGGGAAGTGCAACGCTGACGATGACCGAATCAATCGATACGAGAGCTCCACCTATGCAGAAGGAGCTCATGATCATTGCTGTGCGCCATCGATTGCCCGTGCCTCTCTCGCGCGTCTGGTCCTCCCCATTCTGGTCCAGGTCAATTTGATCAGCTGGGGACTTTTCGTTGCCTTTTCCGTCCTGCACATGTCGACACTGATCCTTTGCCCCAGCTGGAGAGCTCTCGCTCTGAAAGTTCCGTGCCACTTTTCTGAAAGTCTTGCCTCCGTCTTGCTGTGCACTTGGTTCGGTATGTGGTGCCATTTGCTTGCGATTGAAATTGCGTGGGGACTTTACTCCGGGGAAGCTATCAGATTTAATGAGAGATGAAGAAGAGCAGCAGTACGGTCATGAGTGATATGTGTCGAGGTGGTTCGCGCGCTTTCAACTTGTGTCGGGCGGAGTTCAACCCGAATGATGAATCGAACGGTCGTTATCGTTCGACAAAAATGACTTCAAATAGTTTCTCAGACTCGCGATCGAATGAGAGTGTACTCGAAGCGTTCGTGCCTAGTCGATGCAGGTTTGTGCTCCTGTCAAAAAATAAAAGAATGATGTATCCATGGGTACGGGTTGTCGTTATCGTTTATGCGAATCCGTCAGGGCGGAACCTGCGTCTCTCGATATCGAAGTACCCTGACTGACGGCAAGCAGGCGCGTGGCGTCGAGCTTGCGGTCTTCGCACGTGCAGGGCCTACAAATGGCAATGGAATCTGTCGTTCTCCCGGACGGCAGAAAGTATCGCTATAGGCTCTCATCAGTTTCTGAGGTTCGCGATCGGTTAGCCGTTGGGTCGTATCTCAGATTTTCGGCTGACCAGAAGGGCACCACAGGGAGTAATCTCTCTCAAATACCGTACAGCTGTGATGGACGCCGGAGGCTGACCTGACTGTGGTCTACAAAGGACATGGTGATATGACCTGCCTCTCCTTGTACGCTGCCGTAGTCGTTGCACGTGAAGTCCAATTGCAATCTGTCTGGTGCGCGGGCGGGCGGCTGGGGAAGCGGGGAGGGACGAAAGAGGAAGCTCCAATGGACGCTAACAAAGTTAACGCACGAGCCCGGTCCATTCACTTGCTAAGGGATTCGTGGAGACGATCAACAATTTGCGAGCTCGCCCTTCTTCTGAGACTTGAACGCGCTTGTACGGTACAGAGTAACACGGTTTATGCCTGTTTCTTTCTAGCATCGAATGGCGTTCGAATGTTCGCTGTCATCGTTATCGAGAGAAGTCCAAGGCAGGCCGAGTCGAATGCAGTAGTGCAAAATGATCGTAAACGGCACAGCAATCAGAACAGAAGAACGCTTCTTCCTGCATCGTCAACCCCGAATCATGATATCCTGCACGCTCTCAGAGAGGGTCCCCACAGGTTTTGTGTAGTCGTCGGTGCCCAGCAGACCCGCGGGAACCTGGTCTAGAAGTCCATCGTAGTCGAGGTCTTCGACACGAGTCACCTCTCGAATGGCCCGAAGCGTGCCCGCACGATGGATGCCGAACGACGCAGTCCCATGGTACGCGGTCAACGAGATCCGAATGTCGGCGTGCTTTTCTGCGCTCGTTGCTAGATTTGGCTGGAGCAGGGACTGCGTCCGAGAGGTGAGGTACTCCATAGATGTGCAATAGATCAGATTGCCCAACTCCACATTGCGATGGTCGGGCTTGATGTAGAGTCGCTCCGCGATCCAGCGAGTACACAGTTCATCGGCTGTGGTCTCCAAGCTTGCATCTTTGAAGAAGTTGTATTCCGTGGGCGACAGTGGACCACGGAGTCGATGAATACCGACCCATTGGCCTTCCTCCAGCGTGACACTTCCGTTCTTTGCGTTGGGGTAGACGCAGATCCAGCAGGCCAGACGGCTACGTTGTAATTCTTCCCTCCAGGACTCCAGACCTCGAATGAACTGGGGCGCGTACAGCAAGGGTCGGTCCTGGATTGCCCGAATTGCTTCCACGTTGAGTTGAGCAAACTTGCGGATTATTCCAGTGTCTTTCAGGTTTTCAAGCTTGTGAATTGCGTACATTTTGGGGCCAAGGCAAAGACAAGCCAGAGTCTAGATGATGGGTCTGGAAAGCGGTTGCCAAATGGTAGAAGGAGGAGGGCAAACGCCGGCGGTTGTTGACGTGTGTAGGATAGCTGCTGTCCACGGTCAAGATAGCGTCATGAGTTGGCATACTCGGCCGCCAGAGGCGTGCCCAGTTACCGATGATCACCACCGGGACCGAGCCTCAAAGAAAAGAGTCGTGCAGAGCGCTTGACTGTAGAGGCACAGGACACTTGCCACCAACGTGCAGAGTGCCAGATGCATGCAGGTAGCGCAGCTCTGGAGAACTTCGCTACACAGTCTTCTTCACGTTGGGTGGAATTTGCTGGCAAGCGAGCCATTTTGAGGGAGATAGGGAGCGTGCAAGGGATTCGGGATATTCCCTCATGCATACGACACTCTGCTCCAAGTGCATGCTTGACGGGTCCATATGAGTAGCCATGTTAGTAGCACGCCCACGAGGATCCTTCGAATTTGCCTCTGAAACACCTCCTCGATTCAATTTCGAAGGTCCCGATCGTAGATAGCCACAATGTCGTCGAATGCGCAAGCCAAACCAGCGCCGGTTGCCATCATTGGTATGGCATGCCAGCTGCCACCGGATATCGAAAGTCCAAAGAGCCTTTGGGAGTTCTGCGTACAGGCACGTTGCTCAGCAACCCCGATCCCAACGTCACGCTACAAGGCCAGCAACTTTTATCATCCAAGCGCCTTGAAGCAAGGTCATTTCAATGTGGGTGCGGGCTCGTACATCAGTCGCGATGTCTCTTGCTTTGACGCACCTTATTTCCATTTGACAGAGGCCGAAGCGACTGCCATGGATCCACAGCACCGCTTGCTTCTCGAGACAACAGTCCATGCAATTGAAGACGCCGGGCTTGACATGAATGCTCTTTCAGGACGATGCGATATTGGCGTCTTCGTGGCAAGTTCCAACAGCGAGTACGAGACCCGTCTATACCAGGACCCATACACGGCCGGTCGATATGCAGCCGTTGGAACCGCATCGGCGATGTTTGCCAACCGAATTTCATACTTCTTCAACTTCCAGGGCCCTAGCATTACCGTTGACACGGCCTGCTCATCAGCCTTGACAGCGCTCCATTTCGCCGTGGAAAGCATCCGCAAAGGCGAGTGCTCGTGTGCTCTTGTGGGAGGCAGCTTTTTGCAACTTTCCCCCTCTCTGTTGGCCTTCATGGGCAACATTGGCGCACTGAGCAAGGACGGTACGAGCTATTCGTTCGACTCTCGAGCGAATGGCTACGGCCGAGGTGACGGCGTATGCTGCATCGTCCTCAAATCTGAATTAGAGGCGCGAAGATGTCTCGATACCGTTCATGCGCTCATCCGTCAGACAGGAATCAATCACGGCGGTCGTAGCCAGGGTGGGATTACTGTTCCAAATGGAGTAGCTCAGCTGAGCCTCTTACGCCAAGTCTACAGCTCTGCAGGCCTCAGGCCAGAGGACACCCAATTTGTGGAGGGACATGGGACTGGAACGGGACGTGGTGATCCAGTCGAGGCAAACTCCATCATTGCCGCGTTCACTGGACCTGCCAGAAACGGCCGTCCCCTGTTTCTGGGGAGCGTCAAGTCCAATTTTGGCCACCTGGAGAACGCAAGTGGTCTGCTTTCCGTCATCAAGTGCGTCTTGATGTTGCAGAACCGGAAACTTCTGCCAAATGCAAACTTTCAAAGCCTGAATTCTGGCATCGAGACTCACGGGTGCGTTCTTGTGGTGCCAACGGAGTGTATCCCCTGGCCAGAGGGCGTTCGTCGAGCATCGATCAGCAACTTTGGGTATGTACCTTGGATTATTCTACAACATTGAGGTGCTGACGTACTGTAGATTTGGCGGGTCCAACGGACACGTAATCCTGGAAGAGTACACTCAGATCTCAGCCCTGAACGGCAGTATTACCACAGACCTGTGCAATGGAACGACTTCCGCCGCGCATCTGTTCGTCGTGTCTGCCAAAGATCCGACGGCTCTTTCTTCCGCCATTACGAATCTCGTACAATACGTGGAATCGAATGAGGCCAGCCTGGAAGAAGACTTTCTTGGCCGGCTTAGCTATACGCTTTGCTGCAGGAGAACCGTCTATGACCATCGCTTCGCGTTCGCTGCATCCTCCTTGGACCAGGTGAGGGATAGTTTGCTTGCAGCGAACCCTTCCGGGCGTCGAACGAAACTCCATCTGTCGATATTTGCTTTCACTGGTCAAGGTACCGTCTGGCCCGAAATGGGATGCCTATTGATGCAGTATCCGGAATTCGCAGGCCGAATGAAAGATGCAGATGTCTTTTTGAGGCAAGAACTGGGAGCGTCCTGGTCATTGCTAGATGAGCTTGCGAGACCGAGCGAGACCTCGAGAATCTACGACTCGAATATCAGTCAACCGGCGGTTACTGCATTGCAGATCGCCATGGTCTCGATGCTCGGCAGTTGGGGCATTGAACCGACAGCTGTATGTGGCCACTCTTCTGGTGAGATCGCTGCGGCCTATGCTGCTGGACTGGTTGACTTCAAAGGATCCTTGGCCTTGGCTTATCATCGAGGAGCTATCACGGCGTTGGACATTGAAGATGTACGACCACGAAAGGGGGCCATGATAGCGGTCGGCGCTTCAGCGTCCCAGGTCGAGCCCGTCATACGGAGTCTTGGGTCTGGCTTGGCGAGCATTGCATGCTACAACAGTGCTCAAAGTGTGACCGTCTCAGGCGATACGTGCGCCGTGCTCGAACTCGAAGAAGAGCTCAACAGACTATCCATCTTCAACCGGCGTTTGAAAGTCGATGTGGCGTACCATTCAGACCATATGGTCCATGTGGCTGGCAGATATCTGGAAGATATTACGCCCTGGTTAGACAAATCCAAGCTGGCGAAATCCAAGGGAGACTGCAAATTCTACTCCTCGGTGACAGGATACGAAGTCAGCGCAGGCGTGGTGCAGTCACCGTGGTACTGGGCCACGAATCTAGTCTGTCCTGTCAAGTTTCATGAGGCAATGAGAAGCCTGGTGAGAGCTTTGTCCGGACCGAATGCATCTACAGATGCAACTCACGCATTATTAGAAGTCGGTCCACATGGAGCTCTAGCAGGCCCGATTCGAGATATCCTGAAGGAAGCAGACGGCAGTGCGATTCAGTACATGTCCACTATGCAGAGATCGACCCAGCCCCGATACCACCTCCTATCGATCATGTCTTCGCTTGCGAGCCTTGGATTCCCTGTTGACGTCGCTCAGGTTAATCGATCGGGCGATAATTCAGAGCCCAGGATGATTTCAAATCTGCCCAACTATCCTTTCAACAGAAGCATGAGATATTGGCACCAAACCCGCCTCATCGACTCGTACGAGCATGACGGAAGCCCATGGAACGTCATACTTGGCCACAAGACCCCCAGCATTGGGGGAACAAGCGAATACCGCAATGTCTTCACTTTGGACGACATTCCGTGGTTGCGGGATCACGTGGTGAATGGCAATGTGATATTCCCGCTAGCAGGTTACATTTCCATGGCGGTTGAAGGCTTAGCGTTAGAGTACTCATCCATCTCGCCCGGTGATGTCTTCCGTCTGCGAGAATTGACCGTTGGCAAGGCGCTGCTGCTGGCAGAAGAGGTGCAGCACGAAACGTACACAATCTTGAGGGGAGCCTCCATGGCGACAAGGCCCGCAGGATCCGGGTCATGGTATACTTTCGAAGTGTGGTCTTGGACAAAGGGGGCAAATTCCACCGAGCATTGCAAGGGAATGATCGCCCTACAGCGGGCAGAAAGCAACACTGTCGGTAGCATCGTTGAACGGAAGAAAGAAGCCATGAGACTCCTGAGGTGCGAAATCGAGTCTCGCAGTCATCGGCCAGTTGCGGCAAGTGCGTTATACCGCCAGGCAGCACTAGCAGGTCTTACATACGGGCCCGCGTTCAGTCTCTTGACTAATTTGGCCACCGGTCCAGACGTGGCAGTTGGGAGCGTGAAGCCTGCGGACACCGCACGGTTGATGCCGGAGCAATACGAGAACAAACTCATCATTCACCCAACACTCTTGGACGCCACTCTCCATGCGGAGCTGGGCCTCCTTTCGATTCATGCAGGCAAGCTCGCAGGCTTGCGTGCCCACGTGCCCACATTCGTCGAAGATATGAGCATTTCTGCGGATGTTCTTGGTCCAGAAAAACCAGGCCACTTGCGTGCCTTTCTTCACAGCGCGAAGACAGATGGCATGGCTCGATCAACGACCATAGATGCGTGTTGCTTTGCCGAGCACTCAGATCTGCCTGTGATTGAGATGAACACTTTGCGAATGGCAGATGTCTCGGAGAAGACAATCACGGTCAGCGATATCGACATCATTAATCCAGCCGAGCTTCAGTGGCTTGATCACTTGGATTTTATCACGAGCGACATTCTGGAGAGACTGGATCTCAGAGACCAGAACACCAAAGCGGCAGATGAACAACGAGTGCAAGAGATCGAGCGACTGTCCCTGCTGTATCTGCGTGATGCATTGCAAGGAACATCAGATTCGGTCGCCGTGATGCCACATCTAGAGTTGATGAAGGAGTGGATGGAAGCAAAGGTTGCCGCGGCGCAGCCCTTACTCCTAAGAATCCCAGAACCTTCCGTGCTGCCGTGCAGTGGTCCAGAAGGCTCGGTCAACCCGAGCAACGCTCAAGCGATGCCCTGGAGCGACGAGAGATTCATTCACGGCGTTGGCAGCAGTCTTCCGTCTGTTCTAAGCGGTGAGGTGGATGCATTATCAGTGTTGGACGCCAATGGACTGCAAAGGGTATACGAGGAGTGCTTCGGCTTTCAGAAGAGCGCCGCTCTCCTCGCACAATTCATCGGCAAGCTCAGCCTGCAGAATCCATGTATGCGGATCCTCGAAGTTGGCGCCGGGACAGGAGGGTTCACCAAGCGGGTGCTGGAGCAATTGTCGACGACAGAGCCTAGCCGATTCTCCCTCTACTGCTATAGTGACATCTCCCCGGTCTTCTTTGAGCCTGCTCGACTCCGTTTCCCTCAATGGGAGCACAAGATGGTATTTCGAACGCTCGACCTTGGGAAGGAAGGTGCCGCACAGGGTTTCCAGGCATCGGATTTTGACCTCGTCATCGCAGCCGATGTGGTGCATGCTACACCTAGCGTGAACGAAACTCTTTCCACGCTGCGCTGGCTCCTGAAACCGCATGGTGTGCTGGCAATGGTCGAGCTGAGCCGTTTCTCGCCTTTTTGTTTCCCGTGGGCCATGCTTCCAGGATGGTGGATGCGCCTCACTGGTCCGATACTGTCAGAGGAGGAATGGAATGAGAAGCTCGTGGAGGCAGGGTTCAGTGGGGTGGACGCCTACGTCAAAGACGTGCCCAACGGACATGATCTTCACTGCACGATTTGCTCGCATGTTCCTCCAGATCCTAGTAAGCTGTCTGCGAGCGTGGTGGTCCTCGGTGACGACAGCTTGGCGCATTACGTCGCAAACAGCCAGCACTCCAGAGGATGTATTCAGACAGAAGAGACTTGCGGAGATGACCAGGAAGTCGATATCGCAGTACTAGTCGAGCGCGATGTTCACCTGGGGGTGACAAACCTGGACGACCCGAAGTTGTCGACGCTGCAAAAGCTTTGCTCGCGTTCCAAAGGCATCTTGTGGATAGTAAGATGCTCGGGCGATGACATGGTGGGAGCTCTGGCGGAATTCGTTTTCGGCGTTGCACGAACCCTTCGCAAGGAGTACACCCAGCTCAAGCTCGTTGTGTTGCATATCGTCGATGCCGGCAATGGGGATGGCGCTGGCGACGCCGCTCGCCGTTACAGCGAAGCGGTCCTGAAGGATGCATTCTGGAGGGGAGATGCGGCGATGCAAGCAACGATGGGCAGCATTGGGCTGTTCGACACTGTGCACTTCGAGCCATGTGTTAGCCTTGGCCCGGGCGACAGCGATAGCCTTGGGGACGACGAGGTGTTGATGCAGGTGCAGGCGACGGGGCTGAACTTCAAGGATGTCCTTATCGCCCTCGGCCGCGTGCCTTGGACGGGACTCGGCAAAGAATGCAGCGGGACGGTCCTGGCCACGGGCCGTCGCGCGGCGCATCACCTCCGCTCAGGCGATCGGATCGTGCATTGGGGAGACGGCCTGTTTGCATCGCACGCGCGCAGCCACTTCCGAACCATCGTCAAGGTGCCGGACGGGCTCTCGCTGGACTTCACCCAGCTCGCATCTATCCCCATCGTCTTTGCCACGGCCTATGAAGCACTGGTCAAATGCGCTCGTCTGCAGCCTGGGGAGCGGCTCCTCATCCACGCTGCCGCGGGGGGTGTTGGCCAGGCTGCCATACAGCTTGCTCAATGGATCGGTTGCCTCGACATCTATTGCACCGTCGGATCGCCTGAGAAGCGAGATATGCTGGTCGAGCACTACGGCATCGACCCTTCCCACATCTTCTCCAGCCGCTCTGCCGCGGAGCTGGCGGATGGACTTCGCCTGGCAGGATGCATGGATGTCGTTCTCAACAGCCTCTCAGGTGAGATGCTGCGCGAGAGTTGGCGTTCACTTGCGCCTTTCGGCCGTTTTGTCGAGCTTGGTAAGCGCGATGCCCTGGCCAATTCGATGCTGGAAATGGCTCCACTGGACCGGGCGGTCTCGTATTCCGCCGTAGATCTGGGTTTGCTCATTGAGCATCGAACGATATACTCCTCAGAGTTGCTGCAATCGGTCCTGGAGCTATTTTGACAGGGCAAGCTCCGTCCAGTGCAACCGGTAATGACTATGCCTATTTCCCACCTCCGCAGCGGCCTTCGTCTTCTGCAATCGGGGAAGCATAAGGGCAAAGTGGTCATGACCAACGACGCAGACATACGAGTGGAAGCATCAAACATCAACGTAGGAGCCGAGTCAACGATCGTCTCTGCACGCGCATCGTATCTCATCACAGGGGGCACAGGCGGCCTAGGAAAAGCTCTTGCGGCCTGGCTTATTACCCAGGGTGCAAAGTACATCACGCTGACATCCAGGGCCGGAAAGATTCTCGACGCTGCGGATGCCACAGATCTCGAGAGTCTTGCGCTCGCACGAAACGCCAAAGTTCTGGTCCGCAAGTGCGACGTCAGTTTACCTGCAGACTTGCGTGATGCTATTGATGATGTTGCCGCACAGGATATGCCACCGGTACGAGGGGTCATCCACGGAGCGATGGTCTTGAAAGATTCCCTTTTCGAATCTTACAAGCCTGAAGATTGGAAAACCGTTACGCAACCAAAAGTGGCTGGCGTAGTCAACCTTCACAATGCTTTTCCCAAAGCTGATGACCTAGACTTTTTCGTCTGCCTATCATCAATAGCCTCACTTAGTGGGAACATTGGACAGGCCGCCTATTCTGGGAGCAATGCAGCGGTCGATGCCTTCTGCAACTGGCGGGGCCGTCAGGGGCTGCCAGCGACATCAATCAATCTTCCTGCCATTTCCAATCATGGTTACGTCGCCGAAGCAGTGATGGCTCATGGAAGTCAGATCAATGACAGGATTTACCGAGCGGCAATTACCATGGCTCATTTAGAAGCCTCGGTCAGCGCGGTCCTACAAGTCTCTGGCAGTCGTAATCAGGTTATTGTCGGACTTTCCAAGACTCACGAAGGGAGAGCATGGCTCGTCGACGCAGGGATACTGTTCGAACTTATGAGATGGGACCAGGCCGATAGAGACCGAGGGAATCAAGCGCAGGAATGTCCAAGGTCGGGTGAGATACCTGCTCGCAACCTCATCGCGCTGGGAGCGGATGCTGAAGCCAAAAGATCCATTATCCAAGAAGCGCTAGTGAAGAAGATATCATCCATGTTGATGGTATCTTCAGATGATGTGCAGCTGGAGAAATCCGTGACTGATTTAGGTCTCGACTCTCTCGTGGCTGTAGAGCTGCGCAACTGGATCGTCAGGGAACTCGACGCGAACCTGCCAGTGATGGATATTGTGACATGTACGACTTTGCAGGAGTTCTTCGATCTTGTAGTCAAGCGTTCATCTCTCATAGAGTGACCAGCGAGTGAACGCTCGGCAGAAAGTGAAACCAGATCTCTCAGAATACAACGATCTGGTTTGTGGTGGAAAACACGGCTTGTTTCCCTCGCACAACCTGCTTGATAGTACGCGAACACGAGAATCTGCCACTTCGAATCAGCCTTGAGCGAGGTCCATCCAGTGTTGCTATCACCTCTCAACCGCATGAGCCTGGCGTGCTTGCTTGCCTGTTTTCATATCACCCCCAACTTCTCAGAATCATCGATGAACACACTTGGAGTTGTCTACTGGTTCGACTGTCACTATGAAGTCAAAGGACAGGTACCAGCCATGTCATACCTGGAAGGCATCCTCGGGACCTCGATAGTGCCGACGATCATCCTGCGACCGAGCAGTGCCTACGCCGTCGATGACCTCTTCGAGAGGTTGAAGGACCAGTTCAACAAGCTACAGTTCTATCCTGTAGGATCGGGAAGGGCCCAGGGAATCTGACAACTGGATTTATCACGAGCCATTCGATATCGAGATCAAATATGGGAGAAAATTCGATCTCACGGCCGGCCAGAGATGACGCCCTGTCGCAAAGAGTGTCCCGAAGCTGTGAGCTGTGAACGCGATTGTCTCAGGGTGATGACAATCTTCGACGGGTCGCTGGAATGAGCCAGCCCGAGACTCCCACTTGCTTGTCGCCAAGCTCCGTCAACAAAGGCATCCGTTTCGGGTTGAGGCTGTCGAAGGGGCAAGAGCTTCCTGCCACTCCTTCACCTTCTCGCACGACTGACTGAACGCAACATGCCCGCACTGGGCGAGATCTCCTACTCACGCCAAGCATGTATTGATGCAGTGCGAGACTACTACAAATTCCTCATACTCCTCCATCTCCCTGGACACTACTTGGTCGAGCCGCCAGAGGCTGGCTGGCCTCACATCACTCCGGAAAATGCACGATGCCTAGGCAAGACGGATGAAGTCGTCGCACTTCTTCGACATCTGCCTTATCTACGCGCTGATATCACTACCTCTTGGGAAGCTCAAGGCGCTCCGGACACCAATTTTGCAGATTGGAGCGACATACTGCGTATGTCAATGCAGAAATCATGGCAGCAAGGCGAGATCGACGAAGACTCGAGGATCATGTCCGAGGGACTTGTTTTTGAAGAAGACACTGTCCCGGCGCATGTTATAAGTCTGACATATGGGGCCGGGAACACCGAGAGATTCCTGTTAGACACCGATCTCGGCGTCATCTACTGGCTCGACTGTCGTTCAGAGATCAAGGGCTTTACACCAATGGATTCATACCCTGAACGCGTTCTCGACGATGCCTGGGACTACGCAGAATCTGACGAAGAAGCCTTGTGGCGCGACTGCGGTGCCTGGGCGGTAGTCGACTTCTTCGAAATGCTAAAACATCAATTCTGCAAACTCAACTTCTACCCTGTCGGAGAGGGAGAGGTCAAGGACGTTTGGAGAGCGGGTACCAAGAAACGTGAGGAGATTCGAGAGACTTTTCGACAACATGGTTGGCCAGACTTCGAAACATATCGCATAGAAGAATGCCTGGCTGCGATCCGTGTCATGTACTAGCGACGATGGAAGCGTATTACCGGCCGTGTCGCAGAGGTCGATCTCGGCCAAAGAACAAGACACTACGAGACAGCAATCAGACAAGACCAGAAAGGTCTTTACTGGACAGGATCTCCTTGATCATGGCCAATCATTTCCCACGGAACACGAGACTTGACACGATGCTGTAGAGTGAGTGATGGGTCATTGCCAGACGATCTGTTGCAATGATGTCTTGTTCAATGAAAACATCAACCGCTTGGACACTATATAACTGAAGCCTGGCCATGGCTTTCGTCTTCACCAACTCCACCAACATTCGTGGCTAGAAGCCATGTATCCACTCCTTCTCCTGATGGCAGCTATCGCCATCGCCACACAAGATCTGCCTCAGCTGCTCCTCCCTACTGCTTCGCCAATCACCACCGAGTCGGATCCATACCAATGCGCTACAGAATACCTCCCAGAATACTTCGAGGTAAGCTCAAATAGCCACTATCCTGCTTCTTACACCAAGACTCAAGACATCGCAGCCTCCACAACCCACCGGCGCCCTCTCCTCTGCACTCCTCTCATGGGGCCACCATCTCAACTCAGAGGAGCCATGCACCTTCACCGGCACCAAGCGCCTAATTTGCCCCTTCCCAGCACCATCACGATGGTGTGCCTTCACAACAGCAGCACCAACCAACATGCTACCTGCCTGGTCCTCATACGGCAGCTCTGCGTCGTCCTGGTGGGATGAACATAGCTCCTCTGCTGTCTCCCTCGCTCAACTCTGCCCGAGTGGATGGTACAATGCCATGTGGCGCACACCCGGAGGGCGCACCGAGCTGAACAGAACTCTCATCATGAGCCAATGCTACGAAGAAGCACTCACCACTGCATCCACGATTACTCCCACGGAACCTGCGACAACATCTGTGCCCGAACGGACGAGAAATTCGCCGGCGGTAACGATTACGAGCGGTCCATCCACCATCCCTGGGACAGTCCTTGATATCAACGGCTCTGGAAGGAATGGGCCTGCATTGCTGCTCCTCGGCCTGCTCACGGCGATCACTCTCTTGAAACAGATGACCGGCGGCCCTTGTTGAGAAGCTTCAAGCGCAGAACGAAGAGCAATTACAGTCTGGAAACCCTCCATCAGAATGCAAGCTGGAACTGCAGGCTCATGCCATCGTTTGGGTACATACTACTGGCTAGGCCACATTCACTCCAAACCCATCCAGCCCCCGGCATCAAGCCATCATCACGTCTCACAGCCCCTGTTCGTCAAGTCCTCTCTTCCTTCGCCATCCCCATTCCCCTGGTACTCTGCCCTCGGTATCGACGCCCTCGCCATCTCAACCTTCTTCATTACCTCATCCCAAGGAAAACCCCCAACCCACTCCCTCGCACCACCAACATACCCCTTCCCCTTCCTCTCCTCCGGCTGCAAATACTCATCCCCAATAGCACTTAACCTCGACAGCTCCACCAAACTCCCTAACGAAAACCCCAGAGACAGCGACTCCCCAGCTTTGGCCATCGCCAGAAGCCTCTCGTGGGTCATACTCTGCTCCTGCATTGACGATGCAAGGTCCAGTCTCATACTCTCCGTCATGGCGAATTGCCTCGTCTCGACAGGAGGGGCGAAGATATCACCGGCGTAAGCTACATTCAAGGGGTCCGAGACGTAGGCGAGTTGAGCAAAGGTCAAGTCTGCGGAGAGGAGGATGGAGAGGTCGCCGTAGTAGTACCAGCTGAAGATCAGCATTATTCTTCATCTCCACCGCGAAGCGATCGCGGATCAGTCGGTGCTGCAGCGTATGGTGCGCAAAGATATCTTCTAATCGCAGCTGCAGAACTTCCAAGAGATTCTCCATGTTCCATTGATACGAATCCCTCCGCGCTCCCGGGGACATGGCGCTCATCTGCTGATGGGTGGCCGTCAAGACTTGCCAGAAGAGAACTTCCATATCGCTTTTGTAGTCGATCACAAGCTCCTGTCCTCCCTCCAAGAGTCCAAGAAGCCCGTAAACATGATCGTGCGGATCGCAACATTGCTGCGCAGCGAACTCCTCCACCAGCGAAGCCAGCCCCTGAAACGGCGACTGCGTCTCCCGGGCAAGATGCCGTTCGAAAAGTCGATCAATTTGCTTCGCGGCTGCCTTCCACTCAGTATTCTCGTGGTCGCCGACCTGGAAGAACTGCCCCGGAAGCGTACCAAGTCTAAAGAAAGCATTGATATCACAAAGCTCCGTCCCGGACACAAACACCGCACAGCCAGCTCCTGCACGATCCAGAGCCGGGTCCAGTACGGACTGGTCATAACCCGTCGTAGCCCACTCTTAACACCAACATCGTCATCAGCCTCTAAATCCCCCCGCCGACTACCCACCTCCCTCAAAAAATCCGCCATCCGATCCCACCTCCACGCCGCACGCTCCGCCCACAAACACATCCGACTCGCCGTCCCCAACCACACCACCACCCGCATCGCCTGCGCGAATATCGCCTTCATGCGCTGGACTTGGGCGTTCTTTTCCACTACATCTTTCTGGTTGATACAGATCGAATCGATCCAAAGCGGCCTCTCAAGCCCTTACCCAATCTCGTGGAGGAGCAATGGAGTAGGAATCGCCAGATGTTCTCGCGGAGCCAGAGACGGCGCCCGTCGAGGGAGACTTCGTGGACGGGGAGGAAGGAGTCCCAGGTGTATGAGATGGCGTCGTAGGAATTGGTTGCTTCGTTCAGGGGGACGACGGTTTTGAGAGTGAGCGGTATTGGCTCTGTGTTTGAGCGTGGGAGGAGGGAGAGGAGGCGGATGTGTGTTTGTGCTGAGGGGAGAGGGTGGTATTCATAGTCTTTTGTCTGGATGTTTTGCGTTGACATGGCGGGTTCTGGATTGCTGAAGGCTTGTGAGAATTCCAGATTAACTGCTTAAGCTATGTTGATATCCCATTCGGATATGAGCCCGTCGAACATGTCGAAGGCCCCGTACAATATTACTGAAAGTTGTTCCTGCTCAGATTCAACGAGCTGAAAACGAAGCAGGATATGTAGCTCGAACATCTGAGCCGCCACCTGCAGCCACAAAGCTACCAGGCACTTCTGTTGCATATCAGAGAGAGGCGACCCCTCCAACGAGACAGAAGAATTCCCCCCCCTCTGGTGAACCGTGCACCAAGTTACACATCTAACTACACAAATTTTCGACATATTTCAGCATAGCATTCCACCCACCACATAAAAATTTATGCACCAACCACCAAACACAATGTCCACGTAGCCAAACACCCGACGAACAACGACAAATCTCCCAAGTTTCTTCACTTACGAAATGGTGGCTGGCACGACTTCCTAATCCGGAACAGTTCGACTTCAATCTCGAGAAAAGACAAGGGTTCTCCTGACAAGGGCCCCACGAAGAAATTTGAAAGCAAGGCCAGCACCGACGATATGCCATCCAGAGAAGACTTTTCCAAAACAATTGTCTTCATTTCTTGATTCTTCATTCATGCTCTCTCTCCTCTATTCATTTGACCCAACCAACAACGCCTTGCCTGCCATCGTTCCCAAGAAAGAAAGACATGATTCCAAACAAGCAACGCTGCATTCGTCCAAGACACGATGACCCTCTTCAGGGCTGGTAATCCGCACAACCACATACTCCGACAACAAGAACGTTCTGCCAACAACGCCGCCGCCTTCAAATCACTCAAGCACGCCTGGGGAATTGACTTACCACGTTTTGCTGACGTGAAGGTGAACAAGAAAATGCCAACTCGAGCGCCGGGTCAAGTGGTCGCTCCTAACGACCATAAGACGGCGCACCGACCATGCCAGCGCCCATGGCGAGGTGGTTGCGCTGATGGAAGGCGCCGATAGGTTGGAAGCCCCTGCGAAGCAGTCAGTATTGTTTCCACATATTCCATATTTCATTCAAGACGAAACATACTTCACGAGATCAATGCCCTCGTCCTCACCATCATCCGGCGGAGGGTTGTATCCGTTGGTATGAAGGCTGCCATTCGCGCTGGTGTACGAGCTGCTGGAGTAACTGCCATTGACAGCTGGTCTGACGTTGTCAAACTTGTTGGCTACAGCAGCTTGAGGCAGCTCGTGGGCTCTCGCGGCGGGCTGAGAAGTCTGGCTGACGGTGTTCGGTGGAGTCTGCTGCTGCTGAACGATAGGAGCAGAAGATCCACTTGTGGCTGGGGGCGTCTTCTCCGTCGTCGTGCTACCCGACTCCATGTCCGCCGCATTGGCAAGCTGGCTGAGAGTCTTGCCAACAGCCGTGGCTGGCCTGCTCATCGTAGGGCTTGCATCGAGGGCGTGGACTGAGCTGGTAGGTCGCGGCGGACTGCTAGAACTGATGACCGGACTTCCCTTGGGGTCTGACTCTGTCTGCTTCGCTTGCTCCGCTCCATCTTGCTCATCCACGACCGAAGTCTCATCTTCCTCTTCTTCATCCCTCTGCTCCTCTGCGTCACCCTTCTTCAAAGATGGGAATGGCGTCTTCAACGGACTTAGGTCGAATGGTTTGAAAGGCGTGCTGCCAGTAAGTCCTTCCATCTTCCAGAACGGTGCAGGGCTGCTGAACTGGATGAAATCACTCGGCCGTCTCAACGTACTGGGCGGCGCCAGACGCTGGGATGGGCGGAGCGGGAAAGGGGTGTCAAGAGGACCAGTGCGGCCTTCATCATTGACGTACAGCGCCGGCGGTGAGCCTGCTGCATTCGCCACTGCGGTCATGCCGTTGCGAGGAGTGGCACGCTGGGGAAAGTCATAATCCACGACGCTGTTGTTTTCGATGCCTAGACCAACGCTGCTATCAAGCTGTGCTGTCTGGGCACGACGAGAGCCTCGCTCTGGAGTGTACGCGTCCATTGCAGCGGAATAAGCTGGCTGGTACGAGTTGAGAGGAGGCGTAGTCTCGTCGTCTCTCTTGACAGTCTTCAGACGGCCCATTGGACTGGTTGGTGAACCGAGAGTGCTCTGAGTACCTGGAAGAGGATTTGGCCTCCTGCATCCCTTCATTCCCTGCGCAATAAAGTTGTCGTACTCGGTCGGCTCAATGATCCACTTCATCCCCTTACCAGGTTCGTCGGTGCGCCTTGCAACCTTTGAGAATGCCTTGTTCAAGCTCAGGTTATGGCGGATGCTGTTCTGCCAGCCGCCCGAGTTAAAACGATAGAACGCATAGTTGCTCATGATCCACTTGTAGATGTTGTTCAATGTCATTTGCTGCTCCTGTGTGCTAAGAATAGCCATGCCGATCATCTGGGCGTATGAGTGTGGTGGCTTGAGGTCTCTAGCGTTGTCCGCAGAGTAGTCGATGCTCTCGGTCGATTCCATCATCACGCCTCGAGAGTAATTGGCTGCTGGCGAAGACTTTGGATAAGACGTCTGCGTGCGCATGGGAGTGCCTGGTGGTGGGTGGACAGCGGACCGTTGCGAGTGAGGATGAGTGCGATGTTGCTGATTGTGGTGGGTCTGCTGAGTTGGGTTGTTGTAGTCAGACTGGTACATGCCGCGATCCTGTAACTGACTCCGTCCTGGCGCAGGGACGTGGTTGCGGTTGCTGTGAGTACGAGCTTCGTCTTCGCCGTCCTCGTCCTCTTCAGACGACTTCTGAGCCTGCTTAATGATCGAAGCATCCCAAAGAGGGCCGTCGTTGTCGTCCACCGCAGTGGTGATGAAGGCCATTTGCGTGTTAGCAATCTCGATCACGCTGCCATTGCGGAGATAAATCTTTGAGCCGCGCTTTTGGAGGTTGTTGTCCACCCGCAGTCCGTTACGACCGTTGACGACGAGATACCACTGTGCGCGTTCTCCATCGTAGGTGATCATGGCGTGAACTCTGGATACTTGACGGTCGGGGCCCAGATCGATGTCGACGACAGTCTTTGCGGTGGGAGTGCTGGTACGCACGGACGCTCCATCTCCGTCAACGAGGCGCTCTTGCGTCTCTGGCCGGCCGATGTTAACTTCCAGCTTGCGGATGATGAAGACCCAGTCGCGACCAGCAATCTTGCCATAGCCGGGAACTTCTTCTTGGCCCTCGAGAAGCTCATTGGCATAGTCCTCGGTAGCGTTGACATGCTTATCGGCGACCTTCAAACTCGCGATAATGTCTTGCTCGGTTGGGAGCGATGGCTCGGTCTCGTCGTCGCTGTGGTACTGAAGCTCAGTACCTTCGGTGTCTTCGCGCTCGGGCGGGCGGGTGTCCTTGATCTTTCTCCTCGTGTTACGAGAGGCAGGAGCAGTGGCCTCGCCGCCTCGGGCACGCTTCCTCGAGCCACGCGAAGGTGTCGCGAGTGCGTCTGGGGTCTCTGCATCGGATGGCTGGTCGTGGGTCTCGGTGGCCGCAGGTGCTCTACGCACGCGGGTCTTGCCTTTACGACCGGACGGAGGCATGGTGGTGGTGGTAGATCGGGATATCTACAATTAATTGTCGTGAGTGCTGGTGCTGGTGCTGGTGCTGGTGCTGCTCCTTTGATGACGTCTCAGAACTGGCCGGGGTGTCTGTATGGTGCGAACGGTGCGAACAGGAGGAGGGCCAGCAGTGAAAATGATCGAAATTCGCGTGCGTTGAAGTTCTGGGCGGGTGGGTGCGGTGGGAGAGCGGTATGGGTGGTGGTGAAAGTCTAAGTGCGCGTGGGCGTGTCGGGTCGAGAGTAATATGCAAGCGTCGCGACGGGCGTGGGCATGACGGACGGGGCTCCCGCTGCGGTTTGCCAGGACCAGCGTGACACGTCGCGGCGGAGTTTGTCAAGCGTGCAAGCCAGGCGGCGAGTGGTGGTGGTGGGAGGGCGGGCGGAAGGGATTGTCTGTGTTTACGGCAGCGGAGGAGGAGCAGAGGTCGACGCGCTCGAAATCGCAGCTTCCGGCCGCCGACGCCAAGCCCCAACTCCCAGGCTTTGAACCCGTGGCGAGACCCGTTTTTTCGCAACGTCTCGTGTGATGAAAATATCCCCGAGTCCCTCCCTGGTTTAAATAATCCACTGCTTCTTCCTGCACCGTTCACGTCGAGTCTCCCAGTGCAGGATACGCAGCAGAGTATGCAGATGGCGATACGGCAACTCGCATACAGTCTGTCTGATTACGTGCTCCTCAACGCGCATCGAGCTTCCGTCTGTAATGACGTCGATGTGTTTACAGCAGACGCGTGATATCACACGCCGACAACCATGGCTCGCCGCAACGATGTCAGGCCTGCCCTGGATAAGAGATTGCGACTGCACCTGGACTCCTTGCTTCTGTGGCATGCTACCCTGGGTGTTCTGCTCGAAATGGAAGATTCATCCCCAGTACTTGCAAGCTGTCCAGACAACTCGCAGCACGCTCAGGAGCTTCCAGGTTCGTCGCCGACAGAAATTTGGAGATGGCTGCAATTTGGGCACATCGACGAGGGTACATCGAGCAGCATGATGAGATGCAAGAGATAAAAGGGGCCGTACGTCAACAGCTAATAAACCGATCTCCCTACACCAACCTCCCCTCTCCACCACCATCTAACCCTTCTTAACAAAAGCACAAACCTCCTCCATACAATCCACACTCAACAAATCCAAACTAACCCCCTCATGCTTCCTCTTATGCCCTCCCGTCACCACATTCAAATCATCCACCAGCTCCTTCACAAACCCCATCATCGTCCTCTTGCTCCCCCTATTCGCAGGATCACCCCCATAACTCTCCCAATAACTCGTCTGCAAATCCTCGCAAAAGTACAGCCCGCCCGGCTTCACGGCCTTCCACAGCGTCTCCAGACTGACTATCTGCTGGTCCATCGTGTGGCCCCCGTCGTCGACGATGACGTCGAAGTCGGTCCCTGCGGTCCGCATGAATTGGTTCAGGAAGGTAATGTTGGCTTGGTCGCCCGTGAAGATCGTCGCGCCGGTCGTGTTGGCGGCCCATTTGGAGGCGCAGGCCGCGTCGTATTCGATGAAGTAGAGGTCGACGTAAGGGAAGTATTCCAGCCAGGTGAAATACGAGGCCCCTGGCCCATAACCCATGTCGCAGCCGATGCCGATCTCGAGCATCTTCAGAGGCTTGGGGCGGTAGGGTGGGAGGTATTTCTGGTACCTTCATATTGACAACGTCAGCAACTCGAGATGAACAAGTGATTGTCGGAGAGAACCGGCTTACATGTGGTGGTAGTGGTGGACTGTCACTTTGTCTGTGCCATGCGACAGGGCGATATCGTAGAAAGAGCCTTTCGAGGACGAGCTGATAGTTGGTCAGCTAACCGTCTTATTCTGAGAGACCAACACATCACAATACCTCTGCCCAGCAACCTTCCCCAACGACGACCGCAAAGACGAAGGGACGCCATTCATTTGGTGCAGCAACGCTCCGACGAACAAGATGATACCCACACTCGCCAGCACGAGCGGCAGCCTGGTCGTGGTTTGAACAGCCATGGGGATAAAACGTGATGGCGATATTGGACAAGCTTCGAATCCACCCTTCAAGAAGTGTCGACAAGAAATTCTGGACCCCCCAGGTCCAGGCACGCGCCAGCGCGTTGAGTGGAATGATGTACCACGCCCGGAGCAAGGAACCCCGAAAAACGCATCCCCCAATCTTGCAGAAAGAATGGACTGGATTGTGCTTCGCGCGCTAGAATTCATTGCCTGGAACTTCCAGCGATTTTGCGAGAGAAGTTTCAAATCACCATCATTCACCAACAAGTCGAACAGCCGCAATGGAGCTCTACCCTATCTACTTCGCCTCTCTGGTCCTCTTCAATGCCGCTCTGGCGTACCATCGAAGGGAGCGATCGAAAAGTGACGGGTCCAAAGAAGAGACTCTGGCGCTGCCGCAGGGAGAAGGGAGGGACGATGCTCGCAAGTTCAAGGTGACTTACTTCACAGTCTACTTGTTGGCCATGGGGGCGGACTGGGTCCAGGTGAGTCGAGCAATATCATTTCTGGGCGCCGATAGAATTGCTCACTTGTCTTGCAGGGCCCATTCATGTACACGGTCTACAAGGACGAGAAGAACCTCAGCGAAGCGGTCGTCGCAGCGCTCTTCACCACCGGATTCGTTTGCGCTGGCATCACAGCTTCTTTCGTTGGCGCGCTCGCGGATAAGCATGGCAGACGGGCAGCTTGTCTGACCTTCTGCGTTGCGTATGCGGTGTCCTGCTTGTCGGTGCTTAGCAACGATATGGTCGTCCTGTTCACGGGTCGCGCGCTCGGTGGGCTGGCTACGACGCTGCTCTACTCCGTCTTTGAGACTTGGATGATTGCGGAATACCATGCTAGTGGGCTGAGTGATTCCTTGCGTTTGGAGGATATGTTTGGGATGAGCATCACGTTGAGTGGTGTGGTTGCCATTGTTGCTGGCGTCGTGGGCGAGGCAGTCGTTGGATATACCGGTACCAAGGTCGCCGCCTTTCTGGTCGCCATCTTGTGCCTCGGGGCCGCGTTTGCTTATATCTGGAACTTCTGGGTAAGCCTGTCATGAATATGAACCGTTGATGCTCGCTGATTTTAGCTGTGTAGAGCGAGAACTACGGCGAGCCCGAAGACGAAAAGAGCGGCTCAGACTTGAGGGCCAGCCTCTTAGACAAGCGTGTCTTGTCATTGGCACTAGCCACCACCGTCTTCGAAGGATCAATGTACCTCTTCGTCTTCTTCTGGGCGCCTGCACTCAAATCCGCACGAGCCATGGCGGGCATCAAAGACCTACCGCCATTTGGACTCATCTTCTCCTCGTTCATGTGCGCCATGATGATGGGCTCGATGCTTTTCTCCACACTGGATCCACGAGCCGGAAGAGATACCGGCAAGCTACTCCTCAGCATCCTAGCCATGGGGGCGAACTCATTGTTCGTACCTGTATTGTTTAACAACGAGATGGTTTCGTTCTGGAGTTTCGCGGCATTCGAAATGTGTGTTGGATTGTACTTTCCAACAATGAGCCGGCTGAAGAGCGAGCTGGTCGATGATGCTGTTCGTGGTAAAGTGTACGCCTTGATGAGACTGCCGTTGAATGTCTTCATCGTGCTGGCTTTGGGTGTCACCCGGGAAGGTCAGTCCAAAGTTTTGTTTCGTAGATGACTCCTTCGCTGACTTGGTGTAGGGGATGCACATCGGGGCATGGTGTTCTCGGCAGTTGGTGGACTTTTGCTGTGCTCGGTTTTCGTAGTTCAAAAGTACTTGTGTAAATAATGGGCTGGTGGAGGGGCAAGTAGCAGTCTTGGTTTTGCTCTCGAAGGGAAACGCATGTGTACCTCGTTGCTCTCGCATGTTGTGATAGATCAAGCTCAGAATTGCAGCGCGAGTTGGCCGGATCGTCGTCTAGCTGGATGTGTATTGTCCTCGTCGAGCAAGATGTCGGGTAGGGATGTTGTTAGCATGATGACTGTTGTTGTCGACCTACGGTAGTCCCCGTTCTATGCCAATACCGTGCACAAGTCCAAGGTAAGGTGGTTGCACCGACTTTATCGAGATGGCAAGACAAGCTTTCGAAACGTTCAGTAGACGTCAACCGCCAGCAGCGTATGCGGCGCATGTGACCTATGTGGCACGCCAGTGGAGGGAAAGTGTTAGTAGATGTTCCTGACTTGTCTCTCCGTTTGGCCACAACACTCTCGAGTTTGCAAGAGCCTCGCAGTAGCATGGTTGGGCTTCATCTCTCGGGGATGGGTACGGTGGTCCAAGAATTGTGTTTGTTCAATGCCCCAACGGCGGAAGCGGCAATCGCCAACCACCATGTCTACGATGAACCAAGATTCATCGCAGTCTGGCCAGCCATCAACCGAGACTTCGTTTGTGCAGATCCGAGAGGCATCTTGGTGTGACGATGTGTGATGGTCGATTCAACCTGCACTGCTGAAACACTTCTGGGACGCTCAGTCCAACCCTCCGCAACGGCGGTCCTGAGAGACGGCACCTATCCGGTCGTCGTGTTTGCCAGATGGAGAAGTGAAGTGGCAGTTTCAAGGAGGGCTAAGCATCCGTTGATGGCGGCGGGGGGCCGGATGGCACCGCGTGAGTGCCAGAAACGCAGCCGGCGTTGGTGGCAGCGACGAGTGAAACTGGCGGGGTGGTTCGTGGGTGATTGATTGGAGAGCCATTCGTGTGCCACAGCCAGACCACATGAGTGCGGGTGACACAAGATGCTCGACCGCGGGATGAGGATTGATTCATGATCAGTCGATGATGGCTGGCATGGCGGCGTGGGTATGGCAGTCCAACTCGTTGCTCGACAGACGCCCCAATCTCAATTGATTGTTGTGTTTGACGGACAGAACGACCGCGCACCAGGTTCGCCAGGAAAAGGAGGCGCGATCCAACCGTCACCAGTTAGAGTTTCGCTATCCGACGGTCCGGCCCATTTGCTGGCTGTAACAGGGCAGGAGCACGGCGGCCAGCGACGAGGAAATGAACTGCTTGGACTCGCACTAGCAGATCAACGCCGCGCTGCGAGGAGGACTGTCAGTGCGGTGCGGTCGTCCTTCTCCCAATCGTCCGTCCCTGGGACCGCGTGTTTGTCTATGTCCTGGACAGTGACGCGAACGTCCGCCTCTCATTTGTACACTTCTGCCGCCAGGAGCTCAAAGGCGGCACCATTGAGACATTCACAGCTGCTGGACCGCCCGCATGCACTCCGCCTTGATCCTGGAATTCCCTGCATGATCGAGGCCGACGTCGACCTTGCAAGCTTCATCATTCTTGCACCACCGCACCGAGTGTCACCAGCGGATGTACAGCAGGGAATGTCTGCATCGTGACGCTACCATCTGTGACCCGGCAGTCACAATCACCACCGAAACGCGCAGACACGAGCATGGCGGCGACGGCGAACGGCGGCCACTGGAGCTATGCGGTGCCCTTGGAGGAGACCGATGGCAATGCCAGGCCTCACACTCAACGCAGAGAGGTCGATTCAGATGCAAAGAGCATTCCCAAGCGGAACAGCGCCTGGGACCTGCAATCCGACAGCGAGGCGGCGAAGCACCGAAGGACTTCCTTACGAGCAAACAACAACGCCGCGGGGCGGAAGCGTTCGCGGAATGCGTTGCGGGAGAAGCGACAGCAGGATGAGAAAGCTGATCAGGGCCGAGTGAACGACTCGGCGTGGATACACCGGGACAAGTTAGCCCAGATTGAGATTCAAGAGATGGCGGAGGCGGGCATTTACGTGCGTCCCTCGCGACGTTCAGTCAGTGCAGGTCCTGGACGCGAGAATGGCAGAACCTCACGCTCGGCCAGTCGCGCGGGCGGTAGTCGTCCTGGAAGTCGCACCAGTCACGATCGGCAAAACGAGATACTCAACGATGAGGACTACACCAATGCGTATCCTGGATATGATGAGTCTCCACGCAAACGTGTCTCTACGGTCCCCTCAGCGCCAGAAGAGGAGGCGCCACAGGAGCAGGAGCAAGAGTTCGTTCCACCTCGGGACTTCGAACTTCGGCAGCCTCAAGAAGTCGCGGAAGAGCAGTACACACACCGACAGCACATGGTCCGCCCAAGTACCTCGCGTATACCAGTATCACGAGTCAGCCCTGTACCGGTGCCGCAGACAGTGACGGACAGGGACTCGCCTCTTCCTCGCTCTCGAGCTGGAAGCCAGAATTGGAGCGGTAGCTTTGACGAGATGCAATACGCACGGCAAATCCGAAGCCCGAGCATCAGCAGTCAGGTGCTGCTTGATGCAGAGCAGGATGGGTCAAAGATCACGCCTCCAGGCAGCTCGAACAAGACCTCATCGAACGATGAGAATTCGCCGCCTAAATCGCGAGTACCGAGGAAAGGGGCACCAACGGGGCGTAAGACTTCCACTTCTTCAGCTGTTCGACCTGGATCATCGCACCAGAATGGAAAACGCGCCCCTTCGGCGACCGCAACCAAGCGGCCAGGCTCCAGCTCTGGGCACAAATCTCGGCCATCGACTGGACGGCATTCACCACCCGAAGGCGAGGCTCCTTGGATTGCAACTATGTACAAGCCGGATCCACGACTTCCACCCGACCAGCAAATGCTACCGACTCATGCAAAGAGAATGGCACAAGAGCAGTGGGAGAAAGAGGGCAAGACGGGCACCGTCTATGATCGAGACTTCAAGCTGCTGAACGATGAAGACATGAGCAAGCCAAAGGGACCTGTTCTATCGCTCGAAAGCCACAACCTCCAGCCTCTAGCACAACGAAGTCCGTCACCGAAGAAAGACAGGACATCTCCGAATGGGTCTGCAACTGGACATGGACCTTGGCCTCTGAGTCCGTCGAAGAGCGACACCAAGAGCGACAATGGCAGTGTTCGACCAGGTACTAGCGGTGGCTACAAGATCACACCGACCATTGCCAACACGCCGACGATCCAACGCTCGCCTGCGCCCTCACCTGTTCCTCCAGCTCCTGCGCCTGTAATTGCTCACAACGCCACCCCACGAATACCCGATATTGACGAAAAAGAAGAAGCGAAGCCCAAGAAGGGCTGCTGCTGTGTCGTCATGTAATAAGAGATCGATTCGCCGAACAAATTATACCCCACCACTCGTTTCGTGGCGTTCGAAAAGTCCAACAAAATACCCGGCAAGCCTGCCACCCGTTCATTTATATGTACATTGTCAAAATTGAAGGAGAGAAGGAGAAGGAAGAACCGACGGAATACCAAAGGGCCAGAGGTGTGAAGCAGCTTCGAGGCCCATCACGCACCGCCCACGAATGGACATGAGCACACCGACACCGCAAGCACGAGAAGCAAAGCGTGCTTGGCTCGGTTGCGGGTTCCTCCTCTACTTACACGTTGTTTTGATAGCGTTTCAGCCCTGGCCATAGCGCTGCTTTCCTTGATTTCCTGGGCCAAGATGCCCTTCTGTGTATACCTGCATGGCGCTTTGAGGCGCTTCAAGTCGAGTTTGCTTTTGGGAGTCGATGAGCACACGTGGTTTCTTGGGTTTTCAAGCGTGGGGAACATAGGCAGATTTGCGAGGTTCATTACTGCTCATAGTGTATACTGGTACTTATTTAGACAAAGTCGCAAGGAGGCTAGGTTGTCATGCAGAGAGAACAAGGTCGTCCTACTACATCTACATCCTCTCCTCTAGCATAAGTATGCTGTGACATCTCGCTTCTGAACATCGGTCTCCAGCAATTGTCGATGGCGTACAGAGACGATGTGACGATGATCTGTAGACTCGGCAATGAACGCCACGACCTCAGCACGCCCTGCTGTGAGGAGTGGAGTAGTGCATTGCTTGACCGGCCGTTCGGGCAAGATCAAGATCAGTATCTAGCCAACCACATTCTCGACACCCATCAATCTTCATTGATATAGACCGCCTCTACCATCAAAAAGCAGCCTTCACATATATCTGCACGTACCCGTTTCCCTCGAGGTGAACAGCCTCATCCACCTTTCACCAGCCGACGTCCAATAGACTTCCGCCAAGACAACGCTCGGTCCAGGACTCGACGAATTCCGCTTGACCTCGACTTCCCTCTCCTCGAAAAATGTTCTCCTGCAAATCCACCACCACCGTAACATCCTCGCTCCTCCGCCCTCGCGTCTCGACCTCAACATGGCGGCCACGGAGACAATGGCGATACGGCAGGTCCTTCGCCACGTCCTCGCCACGGCTCATTGCTGTGACGGAGATGACTGAGCGCGACTTCGCGGCGCTGAGGATTAATGAGAAGAGGTTGATGAGCGACCTTCATGCGACCTGTGAGTGGGGCAAGGGGGAGAGATGGGGCGAGTAAGTCTACCTCCTTTTCGTTCTAATTCACCTGGTGGAGGAGTACATTCACATGAGGAAAAAACCTAATATGCACACCAAACAATTGTCTGCGTCCTGTTATGGGGCTTTGATGATCAGACATAGAACAGCCATCTGATTTTGTCGTGCTCCTTCACCTCTAGCATATCAATGCCTGGGAGATCTTGAGATTGGAGACCTGGCTGACGAGATTGTGTTTTGTACAGCGGCGAAACCGACATTGGCATGTCGCGCCTTTCTCTTTCGGATGCGGATAAGCAGGCGAGGGACTGGTTTGCTGAGACGACGCAGTCGCTGGGGTGTAAGGTCACTGTCGATGCTATGGGGAATCAGTTCGCTGTACGGCCTGGGACGAGTGACGGGGTGCCTGTTTATGCTGGGTCGCATTTAGATACACAGCCTACAGTAAGAATCATTCTTCACCTTGCCATCTTTCATGCTAACGAATGTAGGGGGGTCGGTATGATGGTATTCTTGGAGTCTGCGCTGGTGTTGAAATGCTCAAAACACTTAACGACAACTGGGTTGAGACCTCATATCCCGTTGGTGTTGTGAACTGGACGAACGAGGAAGGTGCTCGCTTCCCTAAGTCAATGGTGTCATCTGGTGTCTGGGCAGAGTCAATACCACTAGAAGACGCACATAACCTCAAGTCTGTGATCCCAGCCAACGACACGGCGACGATGAAATCAGAGCTCGAACGTATTGGCTACCTTGGCTCTACTCCAGCTAGCTACAAGAGCACACCCATGGCCGCACATTTCGAGCTACACATCGAGCAAGGCCCCATACTCGAAGCCGGGGACCGCCGCATAGGTGTGGTGCGAGGAGTGCAGGCCTACAAATGGTTCACCGTCACTGTCCGCGGTAGAGACAGCCATACTGGTGCAACCCAGTTCCGACACCGCGCGGACGCCCTTCTGACGGCCTCGAAAATGATCATTGCCAGCCACAAAATTGCACATAAGCATTCCGCGCTTGCGAGTACAGGTATCTTGACCCTCAAGCCTGGATCGACGAATACTGTGCCTGGTTTCGTACAGTTCAGTCTTGACATACGCTCTCCTCGAAACGAGACGGTAGACGAGGTCGAAGCCGAATGCAAAAAAGCCTTTGAAGAAATCGCAGCTGGGGAAGATATCGACACTGGCTCCGCTCCCAGCGAACGACACTGCAGCGTTGAATGGAAGACGGACTTCGTCTCGCCGGCCACCTTCTTCCATGACGATTGCATCAAATGTGTCCAGGAAGCCGGTAACGACCTCTGCGGGCAGGGTGAGGTAAAGGATCTCGACATCGGAGCTTGGGGCAAATTCATGACCAGCGGCGCCGGACACGATTCTGTTTACACAAACAAACGTTTCCCTACGAGCATGATCTTCGTGCCGTGTAGGGATGGCGTGAGCCATAATCCTGCCGAGTACTCGAGTCCTGAGGCGTGTGCTGATGGTGCGAATGTGCTCATGGGTGCGGTCCTGAGGTATGACAAGCTTCGCGCTGGGAGAGGCCATTGATTCGATAGCGGTCCAATGCAAGTCGAACACAAGCGTTCACACCACTTTCGTCGCCCCTTTCCGTCATCGTTCCCTCTCACTCTCACTCGCGCTCTCGACCCTCTTCTCCTCTTCCACAGCATCCTGCACCAAATCCTCCCTCTTCAAATTCGCCAAACAAGGCGCATGAAACAACTTCCCCGACCAAGCCCCCTGCGCCGTACACGCAAAAATAAAAACCCACAACAACACCACCGCCGTCGCGAAAATCGTCCCAAGAACCCTAAAGAAAAGGGATGGCAACTCCTCCCCGATCAAAATCGTACTGACACTATACACCCCCAAAGGAAACGTAAACCCCCAGATCCCCATATTATTCCACTTCGGCCGCGCTTTGAAAATACTCGCCAGCGCGAGCGCGAACCACACGAGTCCATACCCCCACATGACGAGGGCGACGAAGAAGCCCATAACATACGCGATGCGGCCGGCGAGAGGGTCGATCGAGTGCGTCAGCGGGAAGACCTGGTTCGCGACCTTCCCGAGGTAGAGGATGGTGTACCCCCCGAAACCTAAGGGGCCGAGCGGCAGGAAGCAGCTCACGATGACTTCGCGGGGCGGGAGTTTGTGGAGCGCGAGGCGTTGGTAGTAGATTACTAGGACGGAGAGGGCGTAGGGGACGCCCATGCCCCACATTGCGTAGGAGGCTATGAGGGTGCCGAGGGCGAGTTGGGGGGTGTGCTGCGGGAGGATGGAGGCGGTTTCGGCGCCGGTGCCGGCGGCGACGATTGTGGCGGCTATGGGGAGGAGTTGGGCGGCAGTTATGGTGTCGAGGGAGCGTTGGTGGGAGGCGGACATTCTGGGGTGGGGGATTAGTGGATGGGGATGGGGAGGGGAGGGAGGGGACGTACAAAAGGATTCCTAGGGAGAGCGTCACGGACACGGCGACGATGGCGTCGAGGACCCAGAGCGCGAAGGCGAAGTAAGCCGCCCATGGGCCCCAGGCGGGCACACAGACGAACACCCACATCTACACCTCTCACACATCAGCACCACCCTCCCCCAAAATCCAAACATACCTCAACAATCGTCGCAAATCCCATCGGCACCGTCCCCAAAAACAACGAATTGACCGGATCCCTGATCATAACCCCCCAAATCTCCGGCCAGAGCGTATACCTCAAAATCGAAACGCCCAGCGCGGAAAAGAACAGCACGACATTGAGCACGAAGAAGATTATCGAGAGGTAGTACAGCCAGTCGGCTTTCCAGGGGATCGTGATGAAGATTGTCGAGACGATGCCTGTGCCCATTGTCACGGAGAACCAGGAGGGGGAGAAGTTGCGGATGATGCGGCGCCAGCCTGTGTCGTTTTTGGATTTGGGGGCATTTTGAGTCGATGGTTGGGCGTCTTGTCCGGATGGGTCTGTTTGATCTGGACGTGAGGTGGACGATCGAAGCCGCTGTGTGGCTGGGGAGGTCATTGCTGGGTTGTTGTTGTCCATTTTGAAGGCATTGACTTTGGTCGTTGGAGGGTATTATTGAGGCTCCTGGGGTTTTCTGTGATTTTGGTGGTCGTGGTTGTGGCGTGAAGTCAATGTCTAACCCGATGAGGGAAGCGTTGCCGATCCGCAACTGCCGCTCGCCCGGAAGTCTATGCCATACCTTTGAGAGAGATACAGGCGAGGAATAGTAGCCGTCTTTCTTCCTGGCGGACTGAAAACTGGGAGACAGCTGGACTGGGAACAATTGAACAGTGTCGTCTTCCTCGTTTCATCAGATCAAACTGGGTATCAAAACAAAAACTACCCGCTTTAGGGACTCTCCACTTCTCTCCATACCATCTCCACACATGGCCCTATTTGCTATCGTCCCGACGTCCTTACAAACTCTGCCTCCCCCTCGTCTCAATCGGCAACAGAACCATCGCAATGAAAGCCGCAAAAAACAAGCCTGCAGAAGCATAGATCGGTGCCTTGGGATCGACAGCTCCTGCATTGACAGCCACAATTGGGGCGCAAAGTCCCGCCAATCTGTTCAAGAAGCTCGAGATTCCTGTTCCTGTGCCGCGGTTTGGAGCCTTGAGAGAACGTTAGCAAATGTCTTTGGGAAAGGGGGTGGTTTGTGGCCTCAGGCATTCATACCGGGAAAACTTCGGGTGTGTATGCATAAAGCACACCGTACATAATGTTTTGAAACAGGGCTTCGAGACTGGAGAAATGGTCAGCAAGGCTGTAGGTGTTGTAAGGGTATACTGTGTGCAGGAAGGAAGCGATATGTTGGAATCCCACCAGTTTTGCGGCAGAATCGCGGATGCAAAACCAGTGGAAAGACCGCAGCCTCGACTACCTGCGCACAACATCGATTGGACTCACCTGCTCATGGCGAGTTGGTAGTTGCTCGTCGTTCCCTGTGTGAAGAGAATCAAAAAGATGCCGCTCAGAAGAGTAGCAATCGCCATGGTGCCCTTGCGTCCGACGTATTTGATGTTGACAGTGTAGCACGCGAGGATGCTGCCGGGGACACCAACCACGGATGTGATCACGTAGTTGCGGTAGGTTGTGCTTTCGGATACGTCTTGGCCACCAGCTGTGGACAGGTATTGTGGGAGAAAGGCGTTGAACAGTGGGTAGCCCTGGAAGGAGTGAGTCGTTAGCAAACATTTCCGGCGTGGACGTCTTCCTTGCACTTCCACTTACCATGCCGATGGTCGTCCAAATGAACCACAAACAGACGGTATTAACACCAAGTTTCCAGCCGTTGAAGAGAGGACCAATGCGCTCTCCGCTGAACTTGCCCAGAGATCGACCAATAATCTGCTTGACACTGAGCTGCTGATCCGGCACCTCATCTGGATGGCCTCCGATCGCATTCAGAATGTCCTCAGTCAACCAAGTCTTCGCGCCATTGAAGTACGCAATACCGTGAACAACTGCCACAGCCTCGCTCTGTCGTCCGCGGGAAAGCAGAAACTTTGGGGACTCGAAAAGGTGGAAGAGGAAGAAGCGGCAGATGAACATGCAGAATGTCAAGGCCCCTATGGTCAGGACAAAGTATCTCCAACCCCAGTATGTCGAGTAGTTTGGAATGAAGCCCCAAGCGATCAAGGAGGAGATCAGCTGTCCAATAGGCCACCAAACCGACAGCAGAGTTAGGAGATTGCCGCTGGCAAATGGCAGGAATTCCAGGAAGAGCGCGCCATCCACAGGAAGGTTGCCACCAACACCGAGTCCCAGGCATGCATATAGCGCACATACGCCAATCCAGGTAGGACCACCAGCTGCTGCGAGGCCAAAGACACCGGCAAGGAAGAGCGTAGTGTTGAATGCTAGTCGACGACCGATGACGTCGGACGCGATTCCCCAGAATGAGGCTCCTATGCAGAGACCCAAAAACAAGCTCAGAGTAGTGTAGCGGACGGTGTTCGAGTCGACGCCAAATTCGGTAGAAAGTGAGGGCAGGGTCAACGCCACACCTTGGAGCCTGAAAATAGGGGTTAACATCACAGTAAACCCAGCACGCTCGTCAATACGCACCACAAATTGTCGGCAGTCCAGCCGAAGCCTGCGAGGATGAATAACTGCCACTGATACCGGCCCATTCCAATGTCCTGAATGGCCTTGTTGATGACCTTGGACTTCTTATCATACGCGGAGTCGTGGCCGGCAGCGGCGAGGTCATCTTCGATCTCAGCTCGAAGACTCTCAAGCGTGAGTCGGGGTTGGCCATCAGGAGCCGTAGCCTCAGGGTAAACAGGTGGAGGAGAGTGCTCTGCCTTCTCCTTGTCCGCGCTGGTGTCCACGCTTGACTTTCGCTCGTTGTTGAGCGTTGTCACTGAATGATGCCTCACGGCTCTTTGTAGGGTGACAGCGATTAGCAAACAGGCCAAACTCGTGAGTTTCGTGGTGTTGAACCTACTGATCGAGCGGGATCAACACATTGGGAAATTCCGAGGCGTCGTGCTTTGCGAATGGGTTAAGAAAGTTCAGCATAGACGGTCCATTCGACGGTGCCATGGTTGCTGCTTCTGGGGGTGCGAGGTGTGAGATATTCTGTCGCTTTGGGTTCGATAGGAAGTATCTCCGGTCTTGCTGCGTTGGGACGAGGTCGCTTTCGATGGAGATGTTGCCCCGGGAGATGTTGCTTTGGGAACTTTCCAGTGTCAATCTGCTCACGTTAAGTCCAGATGTCACTGCAGTATTGTCGCTTTGGGAAGTGTGGCGCTCTGGAAAGTCGTATATCGCGTATTCGATCAGGAACGTGTTCACTGACTGTCGATTGTGCGAGAGATGGTGGTGAGCTGGGGAAGGGGAGAGCTCTGTTTGATCCTAGCTAAAGGTTTGCTCTTTCAAAAGATAGTGGACAGTGATCCTTGGGGTGTCGTGGGGGATCTGAACTGCCTCCTCAAAAACGTCCTCTGGAAAGGTTGGAGCGTGGGAGAGGTCGTACGGCGAAGGAGGCATACAACAGCTTTAAAGGAAGATGCCTGCTGCGTTTCTCGGTTCGGAGCGCGTATACGCGAGTTGTCGACGGCGTTGGTCACACGAGCGGTAGGGCGAATCGCAACACCGGCTCTTTGACAAAGGTTGATGTTGCTGCTAGCCCTTCCCTTTTGGAGCACGGACGATGTGATGCCAAGCACAAATTGGCTTTGCGCCACCCGCCGTTGATCGATCTTCGCAGCTCTCCGTTCCGACGTCATTTCTTCGCACGAACGTGGAAGCCATACGAAAGTCGTGCATATTGTCTGACAACACAGCAGCGTTGTTCGTGCCCAATCTTTGCGAGTCGCAGTGTTGCAGAGAGATTTCCAGTGAAAGCAGCCGTCTTCTTGCTGGTTGCATTGCTCTGCAGGGTCATCCACGATGCTGTTACCAAATCGCTCCGCTCCAGTTCATCTCACGCCGCGCGAGGGATTTCCCATCGCGTGACGGTGGAGCAGTGCAATTTTTCTCATTCGCTGGTCGGAGAGAGCTTTGACTTTCGACACCGAAGATCGCCACGGCCTGCGGCAGCGTAAGCATATTTCAGCCTCATGAATGGCTTGAAGGCCTTCACGTGAACATTGCTTCTCTGGAGAAAGGGACCAACCTCCACATGAGGCTCCAACGAACTGTGCACGAACATGGAGTACTCCAGACGTTTGGTACGCTGGAAAGAGAAGTCGAGGATTGACGGCGTACTGGCACGTGCAGCGACCACAAGAGTAAATTGCTGCTGCTGCTATCCGTGTGATCGTAGGGCGTGCTCTCAATGGTGCAGTAGCGCGAGTACGAGAAAGGCTATTAACGGGTTTGTCGACCGATGCCTTCGGTGGCCACTTCCGACTGTGTGGATCACGTTGAGCTGTTCCACATCGCGTGCGGGCAGCGGGCGAAGGCACATTGTGGTTGTCAGTACAAGTAGCCGGGCCGACTTCTTCCATACAGGGGATTGCTGAGACATCGAAAGTTGATGAAGACGTGATTCAGAGCCGCAGGTCTTCAAGACAATCAGAGCTTCAGTTGCCCTGCGAGGTCGTTCCATCGACCTTCTCGTAAGGGGTCAATCTTCCTCAGCTCATCAAGCCATTCCGTCATCTCAACTGTCGTAACCTTCTTATTTCCAGCGTCGACTTCAAAATATCGCGTCGAGTAGTCAAGCAAGGCCTGGTAGATGTACTTGCAATCCTCGGCGCCATCGAGCATGTCACGAATGCTGTCGATTTCACGGTCGAGATACTCCAACCGGTCTCCGTTGCTCACAGATGCCAGAATGTGCGGACCTTTGGGGTTGTGGCTGTCTAGGGCGGACATCAGATACTGGTGGTAGAACCACAAGCTCTGGTCGTAAGGATCGGTGTACAGCGCTCGAGTGATGAGCTCAAACTCCTCGTCCAGGAGTTTCCTCCTCTCATCCGCGCCAGCTTGGCGTTCTGTGAGCAGACGAGGAATGAGCTGGCCACGATTATGCCACGCACTGAAGTTGCTGAGGTTGCTTTGAATCATCTTGGTTGTGTACTCGAATTCTGGTTCGACCATGCTCTTGTCACTCAACTCCTCCAAATACTGAACGGTGACCCGTCTGTAGTTCCAGCCATGAAAGTTGCGGCTATCAAGTGAGAGCATCTTGCTCACAAGGCCAAGCTCGCCCTTCCAAAGCTCTAGTGTGACATGTGACGGCACATGCTTGGTTGCCGTGGTCAACAGCCATCGCCGGTGGTTCCAGATCCAGTAGCATTTTGGAAACTGCTTTAGTAGCGGCAGCAGGAACTGAAGATCTTCTTTGATCAGAAGCACGATCTCTTGTTGTGCCAATGTCAGGCCCGCCTTTGCAGCGGCCATCGCGTCCCCCTCTTCAGCCTGCGCTGAATCTCTGTTGGCCTCCAGCTCTTTCTGAAAAACATCTTCCAAGATCATGCGTCGGTAGTTCCATATCGTGTAGTATTCGGGGTTTTGCTTCAGCAAGGCGCCTGTCAGTTGGAGGGTGGTGTTTGAGTAGTCTTTGGCTTTGATCTGTGCCAATCCGTTAGCCAAAGCAGTCATTTCAGTTCCACGTAGATGTGAGAGCACACCTTCTCAACCACATTCCGTTCAAGATCTTTGTACTGCTCAATGTGTTTGCGCTCCTTTTCACGCGCCTGGTCGCTCTTGTCGGGGGCGCCAGAGACGCGGGGAACTCCGTGCTTGGGCAGAAGTCAGCTTCGACCTCACTCCGTCTGCCCTGCTCCTTTCATTCACTCACACTCGCCATTGCCATCTGCTTCTATCGCTTCGTCACTCTGTTGTGGTTGCCATGGGATAAGGTTCGGTTGAGCCGGCGCTTTGGCATGTGAAGTCGAGGCAGCAGCTGTCAGCAGCAATGAGAAAATGGAGAATTGGAAGGACCAGTCGCGTGACGCGATTTCTACCTTACTTTACTCTTCGAAAAAATGCTGCTTGATGAATTCCCACCATATTGCTCTGCTTGTGCATGGCACAGGTTTGACTCAACTACTAACCAGCAGTTTTAATCGACAGCAGATCACGGGCTCCAGCGCAGTCGGGATTCACCTGGCTCCAGCTTAATGTGGTTTTGAGACTTACCTCAGGAGAAAAAGCACTTGCTTCACTCTTATTCGGTTCCAATCTTCCACCCATCAAATGCAGCTCTCAGCGGTCTTTTCCTCTTCCACTCCTCATCATCCAGCTGTCAGCACCGGCGGAGCATGTCAACATCGAGCAGCGTCTCTGGCGAAAACCTTCACGATATAGATCGGAACAGCAGTGAAGAGACACCGAAGACTGCACGAGCGGTTGAATTTCGCTACAGCGCGAAGACATTGCGGATCAGGCCCTCACAAGGCGCTTCCTCACATTCTACAAGTGATCAACAGTCACTTCTCACGGACTCAAAGCAGCTTCGAAACCGAGACTGTCGGCAGTCCTCGTCAGAATGTCAAAGCCAATTGACTTCGCTCTACCGCTCTCCCGAGAAGGCGTCCAGGCTGGAGGTGATATCCCCTTGGAAGACCGCCCTGTCACAGCAGTCACAGCCGAGAGGCGCTCCCCAGACCTCCAAGTCCACTTTCAAACACCTGAACAGCGCCAACAGCATCTCACCCCAACCAGGCAGAATGACACTTCACGGGAGTCACAACCATGCCAGAAGTTCAAGGTCTGAACGATGGGCACCATCTTTCAACGACGATACGGAGTCCATCCTCAGGTCATTTCGTGCCGGAAGCGCCAACGACTTCGAAGCAGGAGAGTCAAAGCGCAAGCCGCTCAAATTCCTCTAGCGGCGGGCATTTGGCACGGTACAGCGATACGTTGAAAACAAGAAGTCCCGTCGTCGAACCACTGCTCAAGAGAGTGGACCGACTGGGCCAGAACTCAAACGATCCCGCTCGTTTTTCTCTCGATTCCGTCGCGACGAGGCCGAAGACGAGAAACTCGCTCGCCAGAAACATATTCGCGACATCGCATTGCACGGACGCTGCACAGAATGCGGACGACATGGACTGCCCGCCTTTGCACGCCTTGGGTTCGTCCAACAGCAGCGATGGCACTGGGAAGACCCCACATCGTTCCCATACCATGAAGGTGGATGGGTCCACAGCAGGATCACGATACCCGTCTACACAACATTGGGAAGGCATCCAAGAAACTCTGAAAACAACCGAAGCGGAACATCAGGCAATTCTTCGGCACCGCCTCTCTCCAATCACTCCTCTGGAGGATCCGACCAAGCTGTCCTACAGAGCCCAAACCAAAATACAACAGCTGTACACGACACCGACCACCAGCAGAGCGATCCTGCGCGAACGAGTGACGAGCAGCGACAGAGTGGAGCTTCTGCCCCAGTCTCTTGAAGCACTATCGCTAAGCCCAACTTCTCCTAGCCCATTGAGCGAGGGCGAGACCACACCAGAGGCATACGACACACCATTGACCAGTCCTTGTCTGTCACCAAGAAAGTCGCTTTCACCTATTGGAAAGTCCATCTCTCTCAGCCTCAGCTTCACCCAGCTAGACGGCGGAAGAGACGGCGATAACGATGGCGTCAGCAGTCCTCTTGACGAGACACTTAGCTCTGACGACGAGAACAGTCCTCACGAAGACTTGGACGTTCTCGCTGAACCAAATCACTCCAAAAACCATCGCCTTATTGACCTGACAGAGGTCGTTTCCCAAGATCAACAACCTACTGGGCTCGACCTGGCCCCTGAAGACGCCACTCCACTTACCAGAGCATCTAAAGCAAAAGATGCTCCCGCATTTCCCTTTCCTTCCCAAGACCCCCCTCGACACACATCCTCGATGCTTCCTGCTCAGCGCCACCCAAGTCGTCTCCTTCGATTCTGCGAGCGAAATGCAACACCACGCCAGCAACGACTCATGGCTGGTACCCTGGGAAGTCCTGATCGATTCATTCCTGCCCGCACTGCAACCCCTAACAAGGATGCATTGCTCTTGCGCAGACCAGTGAAGAGACGAATTGACCCACGACAACGTCTATCTGCTGTCAATGGACTTCCAGATCCGTTTGGGCCCAGCCCCAGTCGCAGCGCGAGGATGTCTGATCGGTATACCACAATTCGAACACCTTCTGCCCCTCAAAGACCCGTCAGCCTCTCAGGCACTGCTGTACCCGATGCCGTCTCGCCAAATCGCCGAGCTGTGAGCAGTGGTGCCATCTGGACTGTTGGCGGCACCACGGTGACAGAAGGCATTGCCAGTGTTACGAATGGCCGCGGTGGCAGGGTCACCAGTGGAACTAGCGCGCCGCACTACACCGCGAACTTCTTACGCCGTCAGTCACCAAGCGAAGATGAGATACAACACGGTCTACGACTCGCGGCCGCCATGGAAGTGCAGCCCGGCGCAAGGATGATCAACCACAGCTCACCTCACTCTACACCATCACCTACTTCTCCACGTCGTAGCTCCTGCAGTAATATTCGACGAAAACGGACCGTTTGGAATAACAACGCTTGGGAGAAGTCATCTCCGTCGACACCATCGAAGCCGCCTAAGAAAAAGACCAAAGACATACCTGTGATACCCTTTCGAGTCCTGGATGCGCCTGCTCTTCGCGACGACTACTACTGCTCTCTTCTCGCCTACTCCCCAACAGCCCAGTGCCTTGCAGTGGGTCTTGGACCTCATGTCTACCTGTGGTCTGAAGCTCGCGGCACAACTCCTACTCATATACCCGACTCTTTGACCGCACCATTCGGTGCACATGTGACATCGGTGTCGTTCAGCTCGGTGCAAGGTGGGAAGTCGATACTCGCTATCGGCCGTGCTAATGGCCGCATCACGCTCTGGAGTCCTCAGGATCGAGATCCTCGTTTCGACAGCGAGCAGCCTGCGCCTGTGTCTTGTGTGAGCTTTCGGCCAACGACTGTCGAGAGACCTTCAGTGAGGGAGCCTTCCATGACCGTGACCACCGAAGAGTTACTGGTTGGAGATGAAGTGGGCAATGTGTACTACTATTCCATCGAATGGCCTTCTCCAGACGATCGAGATTTGTTCGACTGGCATGGTAGCATGACCCTGCTCGCCAGAATGAGCTGCCACACGCAACAGATCTGCGGTATTACGTGGAGCAAGGATGGTGATCTCTTCGCGACTGGCGGCAACGACAATCAATTGCTGCTCTTCGAAACCAAGAAGCTGTTCGCCAAAGGCCGGAATGACAGCACCCATCAGCCAAGCACAGTCAGGGTGAGGAATGGAAGTTCCCAGGGTTCACACAACGTCGCTGGTCAGGGCGGAGTCCTGGCCATCACACCAGGTCAACACAAGCACCTATTCACACTCAACGCAGCCGTCAAAGCCATCGCTTTTGCGTCCTGGCAATCCAGCCTCCTCGCCGCCGGCGGAGGAAGCAATGACCGATGCATCCACTTCTTCCACGCATTGTCTGGAGCCACCTTAGCCACAATCGACTGCCACGCCCAAGTAACCTCCCTAGTCTGGAGCTCGAAGCGCAAAGAAATCGCCGCCACCTTCGGCTTCGCCCAACCAGACCACCCCTACCGCGTCGCCGTCTTCTCCTGGCCCAGCTGTCAGCGCGTCGTTGGCATCCCCTGGTGGAGCGAGGAACGAGCCTTGTACGGCGTCGCGTACCCCGGTGGTCCGAGCGGTGGCCCTACTGCAGTCCACGATCGCCGACGACAGCAGGTCGACGCTGAGGGACGGCCTTGGCATGGACGCAGGACGAGGGATGAGGGATGTCTGGTTATTGCGACGAGTAATGCTTCGATCAAGTTTCACGAGATTTGGCCTGAGAAGATTGAGAAGAGGGGGAGAGATGGTCTTAGCAGTGGAAGGGGGTTGCTGGGTGGGAGTGTGATTCTGGAAGATGGGGTTTCTTTTGAGATGGAGATGGAGGGGGCGATTCGTTGAGGATCATTCATTATTACCTTGGGAATGAGTGTTGACCTGAAAGTTCAACCACCGCTGGGCGAGGGAATGGAATGTCTTTCTTCCTGTATTACTATCTTATCTACCCACTCAGATCCTAGACACCCCTCCCTCAACAGACAAATCGTCTACTCTACCTCAACCCCCACCTCTCCTTCACCAAATCCGCCCCTTTCTCCGCCACAGCATACACCGTCGCGCACAAATGCGTCGCGGGAATCATGGGCATGACACTCGCATCCACGACCCTCAACCCCCGCACCCCATAGACCTCTAAACTTGGACTCACGACCCCGCCCATCCCCTCCGGCATCATGGCGTTCGAACAAGATGGATGCGCGAAGGATGGCATGAGGAGTCCGTTTTTCGTCAGCGCGGAAAGAAGGTCTTCTGGGGAAGTGAGATTCGCGCCGGGTAGGACCTCCTCCGCCCCTAAAGTTTCGAAGGTCGGGACGGAGAAGTAGGACCGGGTGAAAGCTGTTCCCGCGAGGAGGAGCGCGGCGTCGAGGGGGTGCGAGAGGGTGTTGTAATCGACCACCGGGGGCGCTGTGGCAGGGTGGGTTGTGTTGAGTGTGATTGAGCCGCGGGAGAAGGGTTTCTGTAGGGCGAGGACGAAGGAGGAGGGGTCGGCTTTGAAGGGGAGTTCGAGGGCTGCGGAGTGCGGGGTGAGGAGGGCGTGGTGGAGGAGGGTGTGTTGGGTTTGGAGGCCGTGGAGGTAGGAATGGGGGAGGGGGGGGGGAGGGGTGGAGTGGTTGAGGAGGGAGGCGATTTGTGAAGGGGTGAGGAGGTTTGAGAGGGGGAGGAAGGCGGCGGTGTTGCCTCTCGCTTCGGTGTATGGTCCCGTTTGGTGGAGGTCGTACTCCTCCTTCGCGCGGGCGTTGAAGGTCGCGTTCGTTGTGAGGTCTTGCGGCGTTGGGGAGAAGGTGTTGCGAGTGAGGTTCCAGGATAGGTACGCGGTGGGATGGTCCTGGAAGTTCAGGCCGACGCCGGGGAGGTCGGAGACTACTTCAATGCCGGCTTCTCGCAGCATCTCTCGGGGCCCTATCCCGCTGAGGTGCAGGATGTTGGGCGAGAAGATGGCGCCAGCCGCGAGGATGACCTCTTTCTTGGCGTAGGCCGCAAAAGGTCGAGTTGTCGTGACGACTGGCAATCCGCACCCCTATCGCCACTTTGTCGCGGAACAGGATCGTTTCCACCTTTGTCCCCGTCAGGAGGTGCAGATTCGTCCTCTGCCTCACAGGATCGTAATACGCCGTCCGCGCATCACTCCTCGTCTGCGTCGCCGGGTCCTGACTACTAGCCACCCAGAAAACCCCCACGCCGGACCCATCAGACCCTTCCCGTGGGAACTCGATCCCCCTATCCATCTCCCGGAACGCATCGACGAAACTCGGCAGTGCAGGCCACTGCCACGGCGGAAGACTCGCATGGACAGGTCCTTCCGTTCCCCACGTGGAGAGGTCCCAGGTGTAGTTATATATATCGCCGCGATTTCCGGGCTGGGAGGCGTGAAATTCGTCGACTTGATAAAATACGGCAGGAGGCCCTCCCATCCCCAGCCGGGGTTTCCGAGCGCCTCCCAGGCGTCGTAGTCGAGGGCGCTCGCGCGGTCGAAGAACATGCCATTGACGACGCTCCCGCCGCCGACGGTCGCGGCGGCTGCGACCGGGAAGGGTTTGTTGTTGAGGTGTTTCACGGGCAGGGAGGAGATGTTGTAGAGGTCGCGGTTGTTGTTGAAGTTGGCGTTGTAGGGGATGGGGATGCTGGAGTTGTTGTCGAGGTGGCCGTATTCGATTACGAGGACGGTGGTGGAGGGGTCTTCTGTGAGGCGGTTGGCGAGGACGAGGCCGGATGTTCCGCCGCCTATGATTATGAAGTCGTGGAGTTTGTTTGATATGTGGTGTGTGTAGTCGTGGTTGGTGGAGGAGGGTTGAGCTGCCGTGATCGCAAGAAAAGCAACGAGGATGGAGCCGATCATGCTCGAGAGCGCTGCCATGTTTCTGCAATGATGGCTTCTCCAGAGACGACCGACGCGATCTCACCAAGATGGACCATCGCCGCGCCATTCCCACGGTCCATGCGGTTTAGAAGATCCCAGATACTTGCCTCTTCCACGCAGCTCCGACTGACTCGCACCACTCCAATAACAAAGCATCCAACCTCAAAGGTCTATCCCTGCTAAACCTTGAATGACTCTAATCCTTGCCACCAGGCCGATCTCCCCACCACCAGGTTGGTTTTCACGCACAGTATGCGCTGTCTGTCCATCGCACCCTGTTGGGTCTTCGTGCAGAACAGGGCGATATGCAGGGCAAAACGAGCATTCCGTCAAAAAGCGATGATGACTCGCTTGTGAGGGGGAGCTCCTTGGTCCTGGTGGTTATTGTGTGTTTGTCACAGTCAGGGTCGAGACCTTGCCGGGGGGACATAGCCCGGATGTCTTGGATCACGGCAGTTGGACGGGGTGACGTCCTGAGCTGTTTCCGATCTTGAGGGGAGGTTGAGACCATCGTGGGTCATTGGGATCAGAGAGCTGGAAGTCGAAAAGGCCGGTTGAAAGGCAGGAGCATATACATGGCCGACAAAGACGGGGGTAGATTTGCTCTGGAAACGATTGAAAAGAGACATAGTCGACCTAAGAGAGAGAAGAGGTAGCAGTATGCAACGATGGTATTTTGCCTTCTTCATAATCGGGGGAGTGGGTGGTGTTCTTCATTACCATTACCCTCCTCCTCCTCCTTCGTCTTCATGATATCCATAAGTAGTACATGACGTCGTCCTCCTTGACGTGCGTGCGTGCTGTTAACAACAAGCAAGAGGTTTCCAACCCTTTCCAAGACAGTTTGTAGTGTGTCCCATCGTCTTCATCATCAGTCTCTAAAAACAATGACCTCCTCAAGTCCGCGCGTTCGCAAACTTGCTCTGAATGAGCTCCTCAGCGCTCGGTCTCTTCTCGTGCTCAATCTCGAAAGTCTGCTTCAAGAACTCCTTGGCATCCTCGCTCGCTGAGTCCGGCATGTCGGGGCGGGCGTTGTCGGCGTTGTTGCCGCTGCCGCCGATTTTGAAAATGGCTTGGAGTTGGGTGCAGTTTGGATGTGGGTGGCTTCCGGTGAACATCTCCACGATCAGGCATCCCAAACTCCAGATGTCGGCTTTCTTGGTGTAGGCGGTTTGGCGAACCACTTCGGGTGCCATCCAGAAGACGGAGCCTTGAAGCGAGACACGAGGGCCTCCACGCTTGAGATGTGGTGTTGGGTTGAGGAGGGTGGAAGCTTCGACGCGCTTGCTGATGCCGAAATCAGATATCTTGACGGTACCCTTGTTGTCCACGAGGATGTTCGCTCCTTTGATGTCGCGGTGGATGATGTCCTTTGAATGCAAGTAGTTCAGACCCTGCAAAATCTGACGGACAAAGTTGGCGATGAGACCCTCGGGCAGCGAACCGTAGTTGACGAGCATAGTAGCCACCGAACCGCCAGCAACATATTCCAGGAAAATGTTGAGGTTCTTCTCGTCGCTGTTGGAACCGAGATACTGCACAATATTCTCGTGCTTCAGATCCCTCAACAAACTGATTTCGTGCTTCAGAGCTTCGATCATGTTGTTCTTCTTGGCGTCCATGGTTGTTCCGCTGTTGGAAGGCATTTCCACCTGCTTGACAGCCATGAGTTCTGCTGTCACGGCATGCAAGGCGAGGAACACGGTGCCGAACGAGCCCTGTCCGATCAAAGCACCTTTCATATACTTCAGGTTGTCCCAGTTGCTGTTTTCAAGATGTTGCATCAGTTCTTCATCCGACTCTTCGCCGTCTTCAGCAATGAAGCGTGAGAGGCGAGAGTTGAGGCTGTCGCTGCCACCTTCGGTAGGAACTGGACTGCTACCGGCATCGTCAAAGTATGAATGCATGATGGTCTGGCCTTCCGGGTCTGTGATCGCCAGGTTGCTGGTCGTGGTGTCTGAGCCACTGTCGCCTCCGAAGGACACATAGCTCTTCCTGTTTGGCTCGAGTGGTGATTCTTCATCTAGAGGCTCGAGGACGCTGCTGGTGACCGATTCTCTGTGGGAGTCTGACCGGCCCAGACGAACTACACTTAGAGGTCGAAGGCCAGACTTCTGCTGTCCACCAGCATCCTTTAGCCATGTATCTGCGATGGTTGGCAGTGGCGGTGCATCTTTCAAGCTGCTAGCAACGCTGAAGTTGCTCGCCATGCTCATAGTCCTCACCGCGCGACTGAGCCGGCGACTTCGTCGTATTGACATGCGTACTGTTCGATCCATTTCCTCTTTGGCAACCTCGGGAAAGTAGGACTGCAAGTCTTGTGTGATGAGTTCTGTTGGTGGTCGAGCGCCGTAGAAGTCTTTGAGTTTTCTCGCACGAGCTGAGGCAGTCGAATTGGTGCTAACATTTCGCTGCACTCCGCTCGATTGCGTCTGAAAGTAGTCATTTCTCTCCTGCTGGCTTGCAGGACTCATAGGGTAAGTCACTGCGGCCAGTGGCTCGCCGGTCAGCTTTTCGATCTTGAGCTGACTCTTGGACTTGAATGGCTGCTGCACTTCGATAGCAGGAGGCTCTGGTTGCTGTTGTGCTGCAATTCGCGCGGCAGTCCTGAGTTGCTCGCCCTCTGGTTCGCCTGCGTGGATCTTTCGTAGAATCAGCCGCCCTCGCTCACTTCTGACACCATCATTGCACAGCTTGCAAAGCTCGGCCTCACCCAACCGTCGACAAAATGTTGGGTTGGGGTCTGTCCCGTCAAGTACGTAAAAGCAGTAGGATCTGAAGTGGTTTTCATTCAAGCCTCCTTTACGAAGCGTGTTGCGTATTATGTCCTCTGCGGTTCGAAACCCGTCAATACTAATGACGGAGTAGCGACCGTTTTCGTAGATGACTTTGATGAGCGGCTTGTCGGCGGGCAATGCGCTTGCCGAGACGTTGAGGTTGTCAAGAGAAGGGGAGGCCTTGACGTGGAAGCGGGCTGTTTGCGGCGTCTCGATTGCTCGGGCATTACCCGTAAACCTCGCGGTGGATGCAGCATTCGGGCCAAAGTAGGTGGAGCCATTCTCCTTCCTTGAGCTTTCCATCGGGCTCGGGGCTCCATGGCGTTGACCCCTGGCTGCCCGGTTCTCTTGGTCGATCATAGGCGAGCTGGGTCTCGATATCGACTTGGCTCCAAGATGGGCAGCATAGGCGATTTCGGCGCCATTGTACTGCCTCGATATTCGTTTGTCAGCACGAGACGTGGTACCTGAGCGGGCTGAATGTAGTGGCCTGGGCGAACCAGACGACGGAGGTGTTAGTTGGGTGTTCCCATCGAGGGCCGCTAGGGAGTGCTGTGATATCCATTAGTTTTGACGTGACCTCCGTTTTGTCCATCTTCCCAGACTCACCCTATTAATGTTGCGTTTGCTGGTCCGTTTGTAGACATTATTCCTGAACACTTTGGCCTGTGTGCCAATCCGTACTCGATCTCCCACCTTCTTGACGCCCATCTCCTTCAGAGTAGCCTGATCCATGTCCATGAGGTTCTCGCCGTTGATGTGGTTCTTCTTGAAGATGTCGACATATTCGCTGCAGTTGATACTCCTCAACCACTCGGCAACCCTCGCCTCGTCCCAGTCCAGCACTGATTCCTTGGCGTCCTTGTATGAGAATTCGGATTCGGTCGGACTGGAGAAGACGCCGTTGTTGGTCGCGGGTATGCGGTAGTGTGGTGCCATGGTGTTGGACTGGGCAGGCGCCGGGTAGCGAGAGGCGAGAGTGGTCATGTTGGTGTGCTGTTGTGGAAGGCGCGACTGGCCCGGGCTTCGGGTGTTGTGGCGAGAACAAAGAGGTCGCTAGAACAACGCCAACATTCGCGGTATCGCCAGGCAAGCACTCAGCAAACGGGCATCGTCGTGACCAGGCGCAGCTTCGTAATTCGTGCCCGTCGTCGACCTCGTCACCGTCCCCCGTCCTGCGCCGGCTACGTCGGCGTTCGTAGGCTGTTCTGCACGCACGCAGCAGCTGTGGCGGTCGCGAGGAGTCGTGAGAGGGTGTAGTGTATGAAGAGAGAGGGTGCGTGAAGGTGAGGGCTGTGGGAGCGACGGCCTGCGACGGCCAGTGTTTCAGAAGTCAGAGTGTCCGCAGTCCCCAAAGGCACACCGCATGACAGCGAGCAAGCCGGCACTGCTTCTGTATTCGCAGTCGTCGTCGAGCGCGCACTCGCTGGTGACGCCTGCTACAACAAACACGCCGCCGTCGGTCTGCTCATCTCAATTCCCGCCGTCGAGAGACACGCCTTCTCGAAGTTCAGCTACCTCCGACTACTGGCGCTAAAACACGAGACACTCCCTTCGTTTCATCCAAAGCACAGCCAATCAGGTCCGTGAAGATCGCCCGAGAGAGGGTTTGTTCATTAACAAATGCTTGATCTGCGCTGTTCTTACACTCATTTGATATCGCCGTATCTGAATGAAAACAGTCTAGCTGTCTATCGGAACACCATATCTAGACCATCATAATCCTCAAGTTCGTGCGCATATCCTGGCTGCCCGCTGGTTAGAGAAAGCCGGCTCACCACCGCAAGCGCAGCCGAGTCATCAAATCTCCACCGCGCGGAGGGCTTCCACGACACGGTCCGCTGCATCATGCACAGCGTGTGGTGCCGTAGCAGTCAGAGGTGGTAGGATTTGAGACCCGCGAAACGGCCTCCTTCTAGAAGCCATGGCTTGATGCCAGCGCAACAACCACGAGCTTCGGCCGGTCAGAATACGCCCATCGCCACACGAGGGAGGGGTGTCCCGACCGCCGTGACTTTGTGCGGCTCTGCGATTGATAGCAGCCTGACGAGGTGCATATGGTGTGAACGGGGCGTCGGGCCTGCTGGGCTTGGAAGAAAATGGCAGCCCGCGACCGGTGGCGAGCCGTAATCAGAGAGCAGTTGAAACGAGGGAAAGGTGGGCATGCGCTGGGATGCTGGACACAACAGCTGCAACACCCTTCCGACGACTAGGTGGACGAAGGGGGAGCAGCGGGCGTGGTGCAGCGCGCAGGATGGCCGTGGTTGCTATAAATCCAGCCAACGACCCGATCATCATTTGCCTTTCCTCTTGTCGATGCGATCCTCTTGCGTTCACGCGTAGCGCTGGCTCATACATAGCCGCATCGCACCGCTGCCAATCCCAAACAACGCGCCCATCGTGGCTCTGTTGCGAGTGACGTCAAAGCACTGACAATCCCTCCATCAGCCACCGACTCGTGTGAATCCTGCAGCGAAACATACGACGCACCACCACAGCACCACCCAACGTACTCCCGCCGCCTGCGTGATTTTATTTGGTATACGACTTGAAAACAACCAAGGAGGCTCCTCCACCATCGACACAACATCAACAACACCTCCACCACACAAACGCCATCCGTACCTGACAGCGGCACTGCGACAAGCGATTGACGACGATTCGCTGCATAGCCATGCGACGACGACAAGACACGTCCATTGGCCCAAACTGTCCAATCTGAGCATCTCATGGGTCTCTGAGACCGCCGTCGACGCCTAGCTCTGCATACACCCACGCTGCATCTGCATCTGCGAATGCTCGTCAAGATGGGAGACTCGCCGTCGCCCTCACCGCCGCTGCCTCCCGACCCGACCACCTCCAACATCTCCAACAACTCCGCCTCGACTCCCACTGCGCGCTCCTTCCAACATGCCTCTGATCATACGCAATCACAGGACCAAAAGCGGCCCAACACGTCGAGATCACGAGCCGCGTCGCGACCGTCACCTGTCGTGCATCAAAACCAACCTCAGCCCATTAAAGACGCCGTGAACGATGCTTTCGAAACGGCACCAACAACCAATCAGTTGGATCCAGACTTTATGAAGCGTTTGACTGAGCAGGTCACCGAACAAGTCATCAAGAACCTACAAGGCGTCAACCTGGGAGGTCCTGCGCCGACCACTGCAGTTCCACTTCCCACCAGCCAATACCCCGGTCCACCTTCGACCAAGTCGACCTCACGATCACCAACTCAGCGATCACCTCTGCAAAGCTCAACCGAATCATTCCCATCTCGATTCACTCCGCCATCACCCCCTCAAGAGCGAGACTTGCGCGAGAGGCGCTTTTCACCCTCGCCTGAGCGTGCACCTTCAGACACGGGTAGCAATATCAGCAGGGAAAGCAGAGAGAGTCAAGCGAGCCAGAGAAGCACACAAAGCAACAGAGAAACAACCCCACGGGGATCACAGCCAGATGTAGTTCCGGGTCTTCGTAGGAGTAAGACCAGTGCGGGAGGAATCCCGGAACCGATGGCAAAGCCCGAAACAGCTTCTCGTCGTAGAGGCAGCGGGACTGAATCGACATCCTTCCGGAAGGATAGTAAAGATTCGACATCTTCGTATTTTGAGTCGACTCGCACCCGCTCTCGACCAGACGTTGTCGATGAGGAAGACACTGACGAAGCCACCACACTCGAGAAGATCTGGCAGCCGCTTTTCGACAATGGCAACCCAACTGTGCGATTGAGTCAGTTCCTCAGAGGCATCGCCAAACATGTCATCGACGACTATGAGCCGAAAGGCGGCCTGGTTATTACGCCGACCAAGATGCTTCGCTTTCTGGACGAGACAAACGTGGAAGACGAGCATTACCCGTGGACGACTATCTTCGGCGGAAAGATGTCCTGGAATTCCATCTCGATGATGTATCGCAAGCTGCTCTGCCAACACCACTTCGTACAACAGCAGACGCATGATCCACCATCAATACCGGCGTTGACTCCGTTTGGGTTCGAAGCCTTCATGACATGCATGATTCAGGCGCATCCCGACACCGAGTTTGAGCGTCTGGCAAAGGCAGTGAGAGACATGCCCATCAGCAATGCCGACGACTGCAAAGAACGTTTTCCAAAGGAGCTTTCACGAAGACTTCTGCCTGCATCTCCAAACGTGCAAGCAGAGCAGAGGATCATCTCCAGTCTGAATCACGAGCCGGTTCTTGTACCGCTGGAAAGAGGCGCATCCGCCATGCCACCACCTCCATCTTCTGCACCACCCCAGCAGAGCTCGTTCCAAGAGCGTGAGCGAGCTCCATACTCACAGTCGTCACACTCTAACGCGGTTGAAGACGACGATCTGACTGCCCCAGCGATGCCGCTGGAACGAGAGCGCAAACCGTACTACGCAAAGGAAGGCATGGGCAAGAGGTACGATCCAGAAGGCGAGTTCGCTTCACGTGAACGGGATCCTGAGCGTGACAGCAACAGCACTGCTTCACGCGAACCAAGTCGTCCTGCCGCGAACAAGTATCGTCCAGACTTTGCCAGTGCGAGATCTTCTCGACAGAACTCTGGCGTTCCACCACAGGCAATGTACAACAAAGGTGGTAGTACTGATCCGATGAACATCCCACCCCCAAATACGAGGAGTCGTATGAGCACAAATCCGCCTCCGCCGCCACCTTCTGGCAATGGCAGCTATCCAAAGGGCCCTCGTCGGTCACCGCCGCCTCGTGGGTTTGCTCGAAGCGAGCCTGTCAATGTTGGCGACATACCAGCATCGCAGTACGCATCTAATCTACATGCACCACCACCTCAGAGAGACCGATATGCTGGAGACCCAGATGAAGATGCTCTGCGATACAACGCCCTTCGGCGGCCGAATGATCGCAGTATGAACCATACGAATGATGAAGAGCCAAGCGGTCGACCCATACCCCCAAGGAATGGGCCTGTAGGTCCTTCTGGCTATGATTCAGGATACGGCTCTGCAGGTGCACCACCACCTATGAACAACTTCGTTCCTCCCCGAAATGGAGGTCAGCCCGGTCCGCCCGAAGACCGTAGGCGTAGCTGGTACCCTGGAGTGGGCGGCGTCGGTTCTGGAACTGATGGATATGGCAGCTATGCGGGCAATAGCAGGGAATACGGCACATCGGGGTATTAGAGATATCCCGACAGAACCGAACCCCCATTACCGGCACCTGTACGCACTTATGGCCACGACAGCAGCTCTTCGACCGAGAGAGGGCGGCGTGAGCGAAGGACACGCTCGAGAGGGAGCGGTGGATAGCATGGATGACTGGCTCATCCACGACAACACTTTCATGACTTTGACGATGGAAAGAATGCATTCTGCAACAAGAACAGGAAGGGGGGTTTTGAAACGATAGGCGGAGCTGTTTTGCTTGCTTTGCCATGCCTGCCTGCCTGTCGACTGTCTTTATGATGAGCTTTTCGATTCTTTTGTTTTCTCTGGATACCCGAATGGCATGCATGCTCGATGATTGAGTCTGTGTAACAATAGATATACCCCCCAAATCAAGAAAATTGCATTGAACGGTGTGACTTCTATCTTAACGAATACGACCGACGTTTTCCCTTTCTTGCAAATGCCAAGTGGAAATGCGAGAAACAGCTCTTACTAAACAAATTATTCTTATCAGACTCCACGTCTTTGGCAATGAATGGAACTGTCACTCTGCCCTTCCTCCCCTCGGCGGAGGATCATGCACCCGGTCACCCAGTGTTCTTGAAGCGGAACCGGAAGCTTCAACAACTTCGACTTCGCCGTCTGCGTTCTTGTGTTCTGTTGCACAAAACACACAACCATTGGAAATCAAGACCTCGTGGAACTATGAATAATTTCTCTCGCTTGATGACTGAGGGTTATCGCGGCTAGGCAGACGGTGTCGACGCAATTGATGGTTGGGTTGGACGAGGGGGATTGGCAGGTGGGAGCATTGGCAGAGAGGATACGGGGTAAGTATATAAAGGATACACCTCGCCGCAGAAGGGGAAGGTAAGTTTCCTCGACGGTATACTCCATCGCCGTCATCATTGACAGTCCCTAGCATTTTTCTCGTACAGTAGTACTTCAAGGAAGAGAATCTCTCTCGTGCGGCTGGGATCTGGTCACTCCATCTCCATCTCCAACGATATCCTCCTAACAAGCAAAGCCCTTCCCACCACGTCCCTCTCCGCGACCTCCTTCTGAACAACTAGGACTATTCAAACACCAACCCAGCCCAACCCTCCAAAAATGTCCGGCATAGGCACCCTCCCGTGGCTCCTCGCCATCGCCCACGACCGCCTGCACCCACCCCCGGACCCGAAGCCAGACCTCACGAACCGCACAATCCTCATCACAGGCGCCAACACAGGCGTCGGCTTCGAAGCAGCCCTCAAATTCGTCTCCCTCAACGCCTCCCGCGTCATCCTCGCCGTCCGCAGCCTCTCAAAGGGCGAAACCGCTCGAACTGAGATTGAGAAACGTACAGGAAGGAAAGGCGTCGTGGAGGTTTGGGCTTTGGAGATGGGGGATTATGCGAGTATCAAGGACTTTGTGGGACGGGTGGAGAGGGAAGTAGAGAGGTTAGACGTCGCGGTTCTGAACGCGGGCGTAGCGAAATTGGGCTTCGAAGCGGGACAATATGGCTGGGAAGGGACATTGCAGGTCAACACCCTCTCGACCGCCCTCCTGGCGCTGCTCCTCCTCCCCAAACTCCGTGCCAGCCGCACGGCGGACTCCACACCCGTCCTCGAACTCGTCTCCTCAGGAAACCACACGCAAGTCCAAATCAACCCCTCCGCGCACACCGCCCCCTCCCCCCTCGAAGTCTACAACTCCCCCACCGCCTACGACGGCCTCGCGCAGTACTCCATCTCCAAACTCTTCCTGCAGTTCTTCCAGACCGGACTCGTCCGCCACCTCGGCGCCTCCGTCCAGCAGGCGGGTGTGGAGGTCGTGACGATCTGTCCCGGCGCGACGAAGAGCGAGCTTGCGCGGGGGGATTTACCCCTCGCGTTGAGGGTTTTTCAGAAGGTGTTTTATTACGTGCTTATGAAGCCTACGGAGCAGGGGGCGAGGACGTATGTTGGTGGTGTGGAGTTGAAGGGGAGGGGGCATGGGGGGTTTTTTCGGTATGGGAGGGTTGATGAGTGAGTTGTATCTTTCTTTATTACCTCTCCCCGTTCTCAGATGGGTTGATGGGCAGTTCTTTTCTTGTTTTTCGGATGCTGATGTCTTGTTTCGATAGACCCGCACCAACCCTCACCGGGCCCGAAAACGAGAAATTGCAGGAGAAGGTCTGGGAGGATATTTTGAGGATTCTGAGGAAGGATGTGCCGGAGGTGGATGGCGTTCTCGCTTCTGTTGCTGCTGCAACGTCAGAGGAGGGGAGGAGCAAGGATTGATGAGCAGAGACTTGGAGTGGATGTGAGTGAGGGAGTTTGAGAGAAGGATATGGTAAGACGTCCTTCGCCAGCACACGTCCGGAAGTTGGATCCTATCCTTTCGTCAGTTAGGTCCGAGCAAGAACTGAGTAAGAAACGAAACAGAATTCAATCAGGTCGTCCGTCCCGGAATTCGCAATGATAATATTCCTAGGAGATACTTATTACAATAAGAAAGTCATGCGCCGCTACTTCCAAGAAGCTCCCGTTTGGAACACCAGTCGTCATCCAGAACCCTGGCTGGGCAATCTTCCTAACTTCGCCTGGAGGGCCCGCCAAGCCTGCTTTTTTGCCTTCCCGAAGCACGCGTATACAGTTACGTCAGTGGTCCCAAACAACAATAGATATAGGTGAGAAGAGCAGTACCAACAGCAAAAAGTAGATTGTGTCGTGTGCTTCTTTCATCAAACATCCTAGGTTCCTCTCGGATCTGACAACACAATCCACGCCGTTACCAATCGCCCTGCATTCACCTAGCCTCCTTGGCGAAGTCTTGGTCCTCTTGGCACAGAAAGCTTGGTATTCGATTCCCCCAGATCTCGGCGTCGGATAAAGTGGTTCCCAAGCAATAATGGCCGGGGATCCTCTCAGCAAGATCGAGCAGCTGTGCACGTCGACCGAGACGATAAGTTCGGTGTATGCGAAGCTGCCGAATAAAGCCCCCGGGGATATCGCGCAGGATTTGTATGGGTCGCATGTAAGAAAGCTCTCTCACCTGCTGTCGTGATACGTTCAGACGAGATCGTCGTTCACGCAAGGCTGATATATGGTGATGGGATATAGCACCTCGCAACAATAACAACCCACGCCCCCTCCTCGCGCGGCACAACCAAACCCTCCGCGCTCGACTGGGCGCAGCAATGCGGGCAATTCGGCACCACGAACCCCTCCCCGCTCTTCCTCCACGCCTTCCACGACCTCCTGCAATGCCTCGACCGCGACGCCCTGGCCAACTGCGTCTCGCCGCTGCTCTGCGGCACCACGGGGTACGTGCCGCTCACGATCATCGGGCCTCTGAATGACCAGCTCCGGCACATGTCGAATTTGATTGTGCGGGCGAAGAGGGAGGTTTGTCTTGCGACGAATTTTTGGAAGAAGAGTGGGGCCAGTACGTTTGTTAATGATGCGTTGGTGGAGTTGTCGAGACGGGCGGGGGAGAGGGGGACGCGGGTGGTGGTTAAGTTGATGTATGATCGGGGGGCGTTGAAGCAGGTGCGTTTTCGTTTCGTTTCTTATTGGAGTCGATGGAGACGTTCGGCTGATTGACTTTTTCAACTTTCCAGTTCCTGAACAACCACCAGAACGTCTCCTCGAAAGACTGGCAGACCGCTGGGGTTGGTCTGCCTCCTCCTGAGGAGATGCCGAACATCGACCTGTCGATTGTCAATTTCCATCGTCCGCCGCTGGGGACGTTCCATAGCAAGTTCATGATCGTCGATCGCCAAATCGCCACGGTGTCCAGCAACAATATCCAGGATAACGATAATCTCGAGATGATGACCCATCTCGAGGGCCCCATCGTCGACAGTCTCTGGGAGACCTTCATCGTGCGTAATGCCCACCCCCTATACCATCCAATACCCCCAATGTAACCCACCCTCTTCTTCAAAAGGTCTCCTGGCACAACGAACTCAAACCCGCCCTCCCCACTCGTACAACCCCCGCCGCCACAACTTCACCACCAACCTACGCCGAACCCTCCTTCTCCACCCTCTTCGAACCCAATGGGACATTCCGCCTCCCGGAAAAACCACCCCCAAACCCCTCCCTCCCGGAACACATGCCCTCCTCCCCCTCCTACGACCCGACCATCGCCGCCGAAATCGACCGCATGCGCTCCGTCCTGAACCCCTCTTCCACCGAGCGCTACGTCGACGCCATCGCCAACCACCTCAACAAACCCACCGGCCTAGACATCAAAGCCACCGCGCCAGAGAAACCAGCAGACCTGCACTTCTTCCCTTTCATCCCGGCGCCGCAGGCCGAGGCCGTGCCCATGGCCATGTGTTCGCGGAAACCGTATGCGAACGTGAACAACGAGAGTGTGTTCGTGCCGCAGAACGAGGCGTTTTTATCATTGATCCGGAACGCGGAGAGGAGTGTTTTCATCCAGACGCCGGATTTGAATGCAAAGCCTTTGCTACCGGCGTTGATTAGTGCGGTGAAGAGGGGTGTGGAGGTGACTTATTATGTTTGTTTGGGATGTGGGTTACCTTTTCAAACGAAGGGAGATGACCGTGCTGTTTGACTGACCTGTTTTAGACAACGACGGCGGCGAACTCCTCCCAGGCCAAGGCGGCACGAACGAGATGAACGCCAACCATCTCTACTCGCAACTCGACGAGGACGAGAAGAAGCTTCTCAACGTCTTCTTTTACGTCGCCGCGGATCAGGACCACCCGATCCATAATAGTTTCAAGCAGAGGAGTTGTCACATCAAGCTGATGATTGTCGATGGTGAGTGGAACCCCCTGAACCGACCAGAACAAGACCACTCCAAGCTGACGAGTATGGCGACACAGAAAGCGTAGCAATCCAAGGCTCCGGAAACCAAGACACTCAATCCTGGTTCCATAGCCAAGAAGTCAACGTGATGATCGACTCGCCCATCGTCTGCAAAGCCTGGCGCGAAGGCATCGAGCGGAACCAGAACACCGCCGCGTACGGGCGCGTGAAGGAAGACGGTTGCTGGTACGACGCGCAGGGCAAGCTGGCGGCGGGGAGTTATGGAAACGATGCTGGTAAATTTGCCTGGGCGAAAGGGATTGTGGGGACGGTTCAGAAGGCTAAGGGTGTGTGATGCAGGGTTTCTTGCGATTGTGCAGTGGTTGATCGGGGTGCTCTTGCACCTTTTTGCGAAGCCGAAGAAGCAGTAGTAAGATCAAATCGGCCCAGAATTGTGATTCATGCATGCATACCTCCCCTAGGGTGTCTTTGCCTCTGATACACCTGCTACGCCCGCCACCCCGTTGTTCTATGAAAAGCAACAAGAATTTTTGGAAGGATTCCGATCATAGAGTCATGAAGGATCAGGGACATGGCTCCTAGTCCAATGGTGCATGCTTGAAGAGGAAGGACACGCTCTCGCCGTTGTGTGTTCTCCGACATGCCTCGGCGAGCTGAAGAATGTTAGCTTGCTGTGTGATCCTGATGATGATATGAACTTACCGTAGGACTGATATCGATCGTCTCTATCCGATCACACAACTTCTTCTTCTCCTCATGCGGTACCGTGTTCGTGACGACCAGCTTCTTCAGCTTGCTGCCGTTCAGCTTCTCGATAGCATTGCCGCTGAGAATGCCGTGCGTTACTATCGCAATGGCCTCACTCGCGCCATGCTCCATGACAACATCTGCCGCCTTGACCAGAGTGCCGCACGTATCTGCCATGTCGTCCACGATGATCGCAATCTTGCCCTTGACGTCTCCAACCAGAGTCATGCGCGAGACTTCATTCGGTCTCGCTCGTTCCTTGTGAATGAGCGCAAAGCCCAGATCCAAACCATCGGCTATGCTCGTCGCTCTCTTCGCACCACCCGCATCAGGCGAGACAATCACGCAGTCCTGAACCGTAAGGTTTTCTCTTATCCACCTCAGCGTCGAGGGTTCTGCGTAGAGGTTGTCCACAGGTACGTTGAAGAAGCCCTGGATCTGACTCGCGTGTAGGTCCATGGTGATGATGTGGTTGCATCCCGCGGTTTGCAGCATGTTGGCCATCAGCTTCGCGGTGATAGGAGCCCTACTCTTATCCTTCTTATCCTGTCTGGCGTACGGGAAGTTGGGAAGGACCGCTGTGATTCGCCGCGCGGAGGCTGTTCGACAGGCGTTGATGAGGATGAGGAGCTCCATGATATGGTCGTTGATGTTGCCGGGTTCGGTGGATTGGAGAATGAAGACTGGCATGCGTGAGATGTTGAGATCAAGTCGCGAATACACTGTCTTCCAGCTTACCGTCTTCGTCTCGCACTGACTCGCCTATTGATATGCTCGACTCGTTGTTCGAATACTGAAGCACCATAATCTTCGCCAGTTCAATACCGAGACTGCGACTGGTTAGTCCTCGCTGGCATTTTCACATGCGACTGCAGACATGGCGTACCGATCGGCTACCAGCTTAGCCAGTTGACTGTGGGAGTTGCCCGTCAACAGCTTGATGCTGTTGGAAGCCATGGTGAGGCGACGACGAGAGGAAGTGAGGAGGAGTGGTAGGAGTGGGTGCAGTCATGGTGGAAGTGTAGCAGAGCGACTTTTCAAAGTTGAACCAAAGGTCGAGTGACATGTGCTCGGCAGAACTTGCCGGCCCGAACCCTCCTACTCTGAGCCTATACCGCCAATGGTAATGCCAACGAGGTAGCCGCGGCAGGCACGAAAAATGTGACAGGATTGAGAATATGAAAGAAAGCGAATCATTGAAGTTGGACTGGTACACATGGTGAAGGACAATCTCGCTGTGGTTCATTCGAGACAGCTTTTATGCCGCCGTGGATAATCTGCCTACTCAGATGCAACCAACGCCGCCCTTCGAATTCAGAATGAAGCGCCCTTTGCGGTGTCGAACATGACACACAGAGGCATCCCTTCTTGCAGACCATGCGTGACTCGTCCCAAAGCGCCGTGTCAAAGATACGTCTACTTGCGCATGCTGGAAGCACGTCTCTTTCTGATCTCGGCCTGCTTGGCCTTCTCCTCGCTGACACGCTTGGAGAGGATAGAGGCGTACTCGTTCTGTATCGAAAGTCAGCGTACGGGTGATGAAATGATACCATTGGCTTCGACTTACGGCAGCATCCTTGGAGGCTTCCGCGCGGCGGCGCTTGAGTGCGATGCGGTGACGCTTGTGCTGGAGACGCTGAGGAGTAACGAGACGCTGGATGCGTGGAGCCTTGGTGTATGGCTTTGCGTTCTCCTTACCCTCCTTGGGCTGAACCTCACGACGGATGACGAACTTGCGGACCTACAACATCACAGGTCAGCAATTGTGTGGTCTCAGACTCAACCAGCACGCAATGGTGGGTTGGCGAAGAGGAAATAGAGCATCATTGGGGAATGAGCACTCACATCGTCTTCCTTGCTGAGACCGAAGAAGCGACGGATCTTGGTCGCACGCTTGGGACCCAAGCGCTTGGGGTGTACGGTATCCGTGACGCCTGGAATGTCCTGCTCGCCCTGCTTGACAATGGACAGAGCGAGGACGGACAGGTCCATGGCGACGATGCATCCACGAACAGACTTCCTCTTGCGCTCACCAGTGCGGCGTGGGCGGTAGCAGCTGTGGCCGTCGGCGAGAAGGAGGCGGACACGGGTTGGGTGCATGACGCCCTGCTTCATCGGGAAGCCCTGCTTGTCGTTGCCGCCGGTGATCTTGAAGATGTAGCCCTTGAACTCGTCGCCGACGCTGTCGCCAGGGACTTCCTGACCCATGCGGCGGTCCATGAAGACACGCAGCTTGCGCTCATCTTCGATTTCGATCAGCTTCTGCGAGCCGTTGGCCGGGTAGGAGATGTTGAGCTTCATCTTGACTCGATGCTGTCAAGAGACTCGCGCTGTTGTTGTCGTTGGGCGGTGGGCGGCGCGCTTGTCAAACGACTCTCGAAGTTTTGGAGCACAGCAAGCGAGCATTTCCAAAGGTCGGTGGGCGCTTGGACCTCCTGCCAAGACCCACGCACGTGACTCAGCCGAACGTCCCTTCTCCAAAACAACAACCTCAACTCTATCTCTTGTTCAAGTTCGCATTTCCAAGCGGTTCATCTTGATCTCACGTCTTCTTTTATGTTTGCTCTGCAATTCTGCTACCTACTCTATACCTACCAACTGGTATCCATCAGAAATCGTGACTCTACAAGTGACACATAACAGTGCCATATTGAAATGAAGGCCACGTACAAACTACTTAGGGTGGCTATGAGTAAGAATGTGGACAAGACACTCTGAGGACCTCCAATGCAATTTGTGTCAAAAAGCTTCGGTTTCCTGCCTCACGTTAATACTACAAAGGGTGGAGCAAGTGCATGAGACTGACCATACCCGTCAACCATGCGTTCAGATTCTATTCTATATATACATAGAAGTCGATTGCTTCTATTGAGCTAAAGACGACGGCCCCTCCCTTGCAACCAGCCAGTGAAGCATAGATTGCATCGTACACGAAACGCTAATATCGATCACCAACAAGAATCGGTTCAACCAAACACAATCTCCTCTATTCCTCAAAAATCAAATCCGACGTCTTCGCGTCCTCGTCCGGAGGAGCATGGCACGGCTCCTGGAACATGTACCATTCCCAATCATAGCCCCTAGGTACCTTCGCGGTTGTGCCATCCTCACTCTTCGCCGTCTTCCACAGTTGCGGTTCGAAATTCTGCACCTCCGCATACAGCCTCACCATTCGCCGTAGATAGCAGGCTTCGGCGGCGGGAGTGAGATACCGATCTCGGAACATCGCTACAGATCGCGCTGCTATGGCTTTCGCAGAGTTGGGATTTGACGATGTGGGGGATTCGGAGGTATAAGATGTCATGGTCGCGTCGAGATCGGACCAGTCGTTCTGGACGGGGATGAAGTTTTGCTCCGGACCTGAGGGCTGCAAGAGGGGGTAGAAGTGTGCGACGAAGTGTAGAGGCCAAGGGATGACTGCAGCGGAATTGCAATGCGTGAGGTATCGGAGGCGGCCACCCCATGCGAAACCTGTAGTTGCGTCAGTACTGACAGAAATTTGCTGCCCTCCCAGCGAGGAAAGACGCACCCTCGGTATGTATCAAATACTGCCACCTGCAATGGTCGACCTGTTTCACAAAGTGTTCACCTCTAACATCACTCCAGCTCTTTCCCTCGGCCGCCTTCACAAGATCTGCTCGCATATGCGGCGCATTCGAGTTCCCCAAATCTATCGTGCCGCGCCACAAAGCTTTCGGCGTTTTCACCTCCCACGCCCCGCCCGCCTCTTCGCCCTCTTTCTCAAGTGCGTCCTCTACCTCCGCAATCTGATCTCGAAAGGAGTTGTAGGCCGTGACGCCGCCCTTGACACTGCCTCCCGCGTAGCTCCAGCCGTCGAAGTCGGGCATCACCCATGTCTCCTCATCGCTGGTGTGGCGGTCCCAGGCCCAAACTGTTCGGCCTGGTCTTCGACCGGTGCGCGGGTTCGGGTCGTCGAGGGTGTCTAGGGTGAACTCGATGTTGGGCAGTTGGCGCGGATCCGGTACTGCTGAGATGGCTCGGTAAAGATTTGAAAGTGCAGAGCCCACGCGTTCGCGTCGAGCGAAGCCCAGTTTGTCGCCCACTATGTGCAGCTTCCAAGAGGTCAGCATTGGCTACGAGAAAACAGGACGATAGCAATTGAATCAATTCTGAGGCAGGAAAAGACGTACATTGCCATTGTACAGCAAGACGCGCACTTGCGCGTGTGTACGGGGAGGCTCATTAAGCCAGATGGCTATCTGCGAGGTGTTGATGCCGCCTCTCGACGCATGAAAGTCGCGAGCCCGTTCTAGCTCGGCATACAAGCCCGGGAATGCAGCCTGCAACGAATCAGTCAGGTGTGGCCGTCATGGTTCATGGTTGCAGGGCATCTCACATCGCACTGCTCGTCGCTGAGGCCGAGGTTTCGCTGATCTCGTTCCGAATCGAAGGTCCAGGACGAACCATGCGTCCAAGCGCTGTCCACGCCTGGAGCAGCCTTTTGTCCTCGTACACTAAAGTAGTAGCTCAGGAGGAGCAGAAAGACGGTTCCGCCGGTGATGTACCATCGTCGCCGCGGAGTGCTCTGCCAAGTGCGAATCATGTAATCAGGCGACGGCGGCATCTCTTGTTCTTCTTGTGGGGTACATGCATGCCCAGCCTGGGACGCTACGACACGTGGGACCAGGTCTGCTGAAGTTTGGAGAGGCAGAATACGAGAAGCAGAACCTTGGAAAGGCTGGGGTCGCTGGCTTTTCGTTGACCAGGTACAACTGATTGTGTAACCCCCTGATGATTGCGTGTCGACCAGAAATAGGAGGATAAAAATCTCGCCTCGCCGATTGCGACAGTTCGGTCGGCATCTATTGCCGCAATCGCAGCGTCAGCCAGCCACTGGCAACTCCTTCAAGAAGAACAGCAAGTCTACTTCTATTTCTTCACCACGCTCCAAACTACTCACAACTGCCACCGCAGCATCGTGATACTCAAGCTTGGAAAGGTGTACTCTCCCTGGGCGTCCCACTCGCCCTCCTCGATACCAATGGTCTCCTTTCCAGCCGTGTTCACCGTATCCCACTCCTTTCCAGCAACCGTGTACACCTTGACAGTACCATTTCGCGAACTCAGCCCTTGCATTTCTACGCCAAAGGACTCCCTCAGGTGCACATTCACGACCACCACGCTCACCCATCCGCCTTCGTTCAATGTGGCGGACACGTCCAGCCATGGTGTATCCATGGCCGCTCTCAACCACTTCGGATCCGTCTCGCCTTCATAGCTTTCACAGCTGACGTGAGTCGCAATGGTCCATCCTCGCATATACTTGCTGAACAATAACAACGGCGACCATGTTGTCTGTTTCAGAAGACCATCCTTGGACGTCATCAGAGGCGAGATGACGTTCACGCTCTGCGCGATGTTGGCCATGCCCACGTATTTGCTCTGGCGAATGAATACGTTCAACCAGACGGCAACCGCTAATGCGTCTGAGAGGGTATATCGCTCTTCTGCACCTTGATCACCTGGAGCTCTTTGCGGATCCCAAACGTTCCACTCGTCGAAGCAGATTGTTTGACGAGGCACCGAAGCTGGAACGTTGTTCTCGATGCGCGCTAGATCGATGAGACCGGAGCAAATCTCTATTGCACGCTCTGCCGAACGCGGTGCGACGGAGTTCTTGACCGGATCATCGCTGGCGGTGTAGATGTGGATGCTGTGCATGTCGATCAAGCTGGCTGTGATGTTACCAGCACCAAGAGCGTGCTGGTCCCATCTCACACATTCTTTCAGCGTGTAGAAGTCCCAGGTTGAGTGGCCGGTCTCACCACAGAGGATCAGAGTGATTGACGGATCGAGCAGTTTGAGCGCCTTGGCCCACTGGTATGCCTTTTTGGCGTAATCCTCCTTGGTCATTTGTTCAACTTGCCACGGACCCCAGCACTCGTTGCCCAGCGCCCAGTACTTCACGTTGTACGGCTCTTCACGGCCATTCTTTCTCCGTAAGTTTGCATACTCGGTGTCTTGCGTTGAATTGCAGTATTCGAGCCATGCGAGCGCTTCGTCGAGGGTACCTACCTTGATGTCAACGCAGGCTTGAAATGATATATGAATAGCACGACCAACCAGTGCCAAAGTTCAAAGCTAAGTATGGCTCTGTTCCTACGATTTCACACCACTTCATGAACTCGTCTGTCCCAAACTGATTGCTTTCCACCCCAAGCCACGCCAATTCTGGACGTCTAGGTCTCTTCTCCTGCGGTCCGACGCCATCGAGCCAATGGTATGTGGCCACAAAATTTCCCCCAGGATACCGCACGACGGGAACGTTGAGCTCTTTCATGGCTTCGATCACATCTTTCCGAAATCCGTTCTCATCGATGAGGTTCTTGTTAGCATTCTCAGGATCGTATAGGCCTCCATATATGCAACGGCCCATGTGCTCAGTGAAGCCGCCATAGATGTTGTCGTTGATCTTGCTCAGCTTTCGATCTGGGTGAATGGAGATTTTGGGTCGTTGGCCCGACGAAAGCTGAGTGAAGGTCGTCATTGCGTCTGATATTCAGGAAGACGGCGAAGATGAGGAGAGGAAAATACCCTACAAAGAAACATGGCACTCTGGATACTATCCCAAGAGCTCCTTAGACAGGCAAGTGGGCCGGAATATGGAGCTCGCACAACACAAGCACATGCTGTCATGTTCCTGACCTCGCTCACATGCTTCGACGGCCCCCATCCTCATCCTGGGGTCGACATAGCTCTCCTGCATCTCCCCAGACATGGAACGAGATGATTCGCGGAAGAATTCAGCCTGTTCGCTCCGGCAAAAGCTCACGGAAAGGAATGCGCCGAAAGAGCAAGCTTGTGGCGTGGACTCTCACTCCACACGGAGTCGATTCATTCGAAGAACAATGCTCTATCGGCTGGGAATCCGGGAAAAGTATACTGACATTGCCTAGCCGAACTGAGCGGATGGAGTCAAGGCCTCCGCGTGAGCATCGCCACGCGATATGCCGAGACAAAGAAGACGGGATCACGGCTGGGAGGGACAATGCAGTCGAGCCGCCTTTGTAGAGTGAGTACATATTGGACTTGGTTTCCACTTTTTTCGAAGTGTAAGTGGGAAGTTTGAGTTCCTTTTCTGAGTCCCTCGCTGTTGTTCGCCATGGCGCTCCCGCCAAAGTGGTATCAGGTGAGTAGCCTATTGAGAAGAAAGACATTAGTTTCATTGTCGCTGATGATGTTTCTAGTTCCTCGTCTCCGTCTTCGCCTCATTGGGCAGTGTCCTCTATGGCTACGATCTGGGAGTCATCGCCGGAGCCGTTGCCTCTGAGAACTTCGTCAATACATTCAAGCCTACCAATGCCGAAACAGGAGCAGTCGTGTCTGTCTTCACTGGAGGTGCCTTCTTTGGAGCGTTCTTTGCGGGTCCAGCGGGAGACTACCTCGGACGAAAGAAGACGATTCTGCTCGGCGCTTTGATTTTCATCTTGGGTGGTGGTCTGCAGACTGGTGCGCAGGCACTGAGTTATCTCTATGCTGGACGAGGTAGGTCCCAAATCCCTGTTTTGGAAGAGAAGTATGGACGCTGATCTGGCATACAGCTATCGCCGGCTTGGGCGTCGGATTCCTGGTCATGATCGTTCCTCTTTACCAGGCTGAGCTTGCCCATCCTGATATTCGTGGACGTGTCACAGCGCTGCAGCAGTTCATGCTGGGTATCGGCTCCTTGGTGGCCAGCTGGGTGGCCTACGCCACCTACACATACCTCCCTGCCAGTGACAGCGGCCAATGGCGCATCAGCTTGGGCATTCAAATCATACCTGCTGTGTTCCTTGCGTTGTTGATCATGTTCTTCCCTGAGTCTCCTCGGTATGTTGCAGTTGAAGGTCCCCTTCTTAAGTTTATTCCATTGCTAACGTCCTATCTTGCAGCTGGCTAATCGACCACGGCAAGACCGAGCTAGGCCTTCGCACCCTCGCCAAACTGCATGCCCACGGCGACGAGAACAACGCCCGGGTCCGCGCCGAGTTCTACCAGATCCAGGACATGATCACATACGAGCACGAGAACGAGGCAAAGTCCTACAAGGAGCTCTTCACCCACAAGTCCTCCTTCCGCCGATTGTTCCTCGCCGTATCCATCCAGGCATCAGTGCAGATGACCGGAGTCTCCGCAATCCAATACTACAGCCCGGACATCTTCGCCCAGATCGGCATCTCAGGCTCAGACACCCTCAAGTACCAAGGCATCAGCTCCGTCATCGCCATCATCGCCCAGTTCTGCTGTATCCTCTTCATCGACTACACCGGACGACGATGGGCTATGATCGGAGGCAATCTGGGCAACTGCGTCACCTTCATCATCGCCACGATCCTGCTCGCCAAGTTCCCTCCCGGCGACACGTCGAACAGAGCTGCCTCGTGGGGCTTCATTGTAATCACGTGGATCTACAACTTCAGCTTCTCGGCGACGAACGGACCCCTTTCTTGTAAGTCCCCCGAAAACCCCATCGATGGCTAGAAGTGATGTACTTATCTTGGACTAGGGATCGTCCCCGCCGAGATCTTCGATACCCGCACGCGATCCAAGGGTGTTTCGATCGCCACAATGGTGAGCTTCGCCTTCAACACCATGATCGGGCAGGTCACGCCCATTGCCATCGAGAAGATTGGTTATCGGTTCTACATCCTCTTCGTCGTGTGTAATTTCACCAACGCTATATTCTTCTGTAAGCACCCCAACCCCCCGTTCCAATTACTTCCTGGACTGAAATTTTGCTCAGGGGCCATCCAACCCGAGACTGCTAAGCGTCCTCTCGAGGAGATGAACTATCTATTTACGAATGCTCCACTCTTTGTGCCTGGTATGAACAAGAGTGATTGGAACCAGCATGATCTCGAGCATCGTGTGGCGGAAGTGGAGGCAAAGGGGAGTATTAGTAGCCACGCGGAGGAAGTGAGGGGACAGGGACGGTTTGATAAGATTTGAGAGTGAGTCGGGTTCGTGGGGATTGAGGAGTAGTTTTGATGAGGAGTACATACCATTGAATCTGGAGAACGAGTCATCGAGAGACATTCGATCTTCTCTTTTACCGCTCATCAGGAATCTTATGACCGGCCTGATACCACGACCAAATATTCAACCCAATCTTCTGTCCACTCCGCACCGGCATCCCCGCATGAATCGTCTCCTTATACCCCCTCCCCTCAGCATCAAAATTCATCCAAAACACCGCACTCCCACTCCTAGGCTTAAACGTCACGCCCTCAACACCCTCCTCGCCACCACACTCAATAAACTCACACCACTTCTCCTCCTTGGGCAGCGGCAAACGAGGGAAATTCGTCCCGCCCCCTTCGCAGTCTCCTTTGAGATACACCATGAACGAACTCACGCGGCGGGATTGTTTCGTCGCCATGCCCCAGTCGTAGTGTAATGCGTAGTGTCCGCTGACGTTATACCGCTGCGTCCAGAGCCGCTCGATGAAGGTCTCCTGCGGCCAGCCTTGGAATGATAAAGCGCGTGCCTCGATACATTGGACGATATTGTCGCGAGGGATGGCGGCTTTTTCAGACTTCCGCACGCTGTCGTCGACCATCTCCCTGCCTTCATTACTCACGGTGGAGACTTTCCATTTATCGTTGCTGGAAACGATGAGGTGGTCCACCTCTTCATCGGAGAGAAAGCCATCGATATACAGCACCAGAGGACTCGTCGCGAAAACATGGACATTGTAATCGTGCCGCGGACATTTGAGGTCCTTTGATGGGTAGACCAGTTGCTCGATCTTTGCCTTGGCTACGGGAACTTCGTGCTGCTGGGAAGGTAGGCTCTTGCTGTTGGTCGTCGTGGAAAAGCCAGGCGTTCCGACCAAGACGTAGATGACCACGGCGATGATGGCGACTTCGAGGATTGTTCGGTATCTGAATGCTTCCCCTGCCATGTTTGGTGGATTTTGAGTTGGCTGGGCCGTCGTGGAAGGTTCAGTGGTCCATCGGAATCGAACCGTATTCCTCTTTCACACGCAGGTCTCCTGACAGTTGCTGTGTCTTGTGGTTTTTCTTCAGTCGTACATTGTTCACAAGCAAGCGAGGAACATGATGAAGGTGGATCCCGTCGTCAGCCCACGCACAAGGTTGCGGTCGGCCCGGATGTTTTGCAGGAGACTCTGCATGAACGCTAGCGAGAGCTCTGGACGACACCTCATCGTCAACACAGATGCTGCATTTCGACTTCATTCCATTTCGTCTTGTCACTCGGACTCACTCATTGGCTGGGAAGCTGTATGCAGAAGATATGTATCACCGAGACAAGCCGCATTTCGCGACAGAAGACGAACGGGTCGAACAAGATGGTCTGTCGAAAGAAAGCACGCAACGCCCCTGCCTTGGGAATTTGCACATCGAAAGGACAATTCTTGATCATGTGAACATCTCCAATGATCCACCACAGTCGTAATCGAAATTGAGCAGACTCGTTCGACCATGCCACTCACAAGCGAACATGAGGGGAAATCTGGGGCAACAGGAGGTCGCGTATTTGATTGCCGATGTGAATGGTAGCCGAACCATTCTTCACTAGTGTTTGGTTCTGGAAAACGCCACGATGGAAATGAGGCTTGCCTCGGAGATTTGCAAATGTGCCTTGGGCGGAGAAGGCGCTTGTCCATCGAAGCGACTTCGAAAGCGCCACTTCATGGGGCAATGCATCTTCGTGAGGTGGGAAACAAGTAGAAGAGAAGATAGAACACGTCTAGTTGGCAGCCAATATATACATACAACGTATACCATGGCCGAGCACCCAACCAACACGTTGACAAAGAACGAGAAGAGCGGTACGCGCAGAACAAAAGACAATAACAAAAACAACAAAGCTGCAGGTCTATGCGTTACCTAAACCCATATTCCTGTACGTCGCGTCGCAGTGTGATCTTAGACAAGCCTCAGCCAGCGCACCTTGCATATGTTTTTGGGAGTAATTTGATTCAATTACATTATTACAAACCGCAAGCCATCCGAACCACTTGTTGTTTTAACTTGACAAAGTATCAAAAGAGATGATGTGAGTTTTTGTTGGCTGCTGCCTCCTTCTCCATAACCAACCCGCCCCACAACAGCGAACGCCCAAATGCGTTGCGTGAATAGAGGCAAGTTGGCTGTGATGTTGTTTTCTTGAAGCCGGGTATCTTGCGCCTGATCCAATGCAAGGTCATAGCCGCGTCCTGTGTCTTCACTTTAGATGAGGTTTGACATTTTCACGGGCGAGGTATGACCGTACATTTGCAAGTATCCGCTTAGAGGAAGAGAGCGACGACGGCACCGAGACCTGCGAGGAGACCGGCGGCGTTGAGAGCGTTGCCAGCACCCTTGTATGGGGTGATTGGCGAGCTGCTGGGGTAGCTGATGCAAGGGTTAGAGATTGTTCCTCAGAAGGAAGTATAGACTTACGCAGCACCACCGGTTGGGCTGGCGGCACCAGTGCCAGTTGGGGCGGCTGGGCCTTGAGGAGCAGATGGGTTGGATGGGTATGGGGCAACGCCTGGAATGATTGTCAGTTTGGGTCACAGTCAATCTCGTCGTGGAAGTTCTTACTTGGGGCAACCGATGGGGCAACAGATGGCTGGACTGGGCTGGCCGGGCTTGACGCAGATGGTGGGTATGGGATAGCGGCCGGTGGGGCTGGCTTCTGGGGACCTATTGATGTTGTCAGTACATGTTACACACGAACACTCATCGCAAATCCAGGTCGCCAGATCAAACGCCAGAAACGGAGAAATCATCGAAGCATTGCAAGAGTTGCTGGATACACTACTCACCAGCTGGCTGCTCAGGTGCCTGAGGCTGCTGGGGTTGCTGTGGGCTGGCTGGTGGCTGAGCTGGGTACGATGGGGCCGCTGGTGGCTGCGCTGGGCTCTTTGGTGGTTGAGCTGGGTAAGATGGAGCAGCCGGGGGTTGCTCTGGGCTCTTTGGTGGCTGAGCTGGGTAGGTTGGGGCAGCTGGTGGGGAGGACTCGGGGGCCTTTGGTGGGTAGGACTCTGGAGCCGCTGGTGGAGTGGACTTGCTCTCAACTGGGTAGGTAGCTGGGGCAGATGGAGCGGTGGTCTCTGGGTAGGCCGGGGCGGAGGTCCATGGCTGAGCCTCCTCGGTGCAGCTGGTAGAGGCGCTGTAGCCGTAGCCTGACGATGAACGTCAGACACTGAACTACCGCACCTCGAGATACGGAGTTGTACTTACCCTCAGGAGCTGGGGCAGCAGACTCCTCACCGTAGCCGGATGGGGCGTACGCTGGGACCGCCAGCGCGCTGGCGATGAGGGTGGCGGCGACGAACGAGTACTTCATTTTGACGGTCGGGTGGTTGGTTGGTCGTAAAAAACGTGGCAAAAAACGAGTGACAATGAGTGACAAGAGCTGGCTCTGTTAAAAGAGAGGACGACCGAAGTCAAGTATTACAAGTAGGTAAGTTTGTCGAGGGTTCGTGGACAAGGAAAGAGAGAGAATTGTGAAACGACATGGAGTGCTTATATCGACCTGGATGCTGCAGGTGACCGGCGGGAGCAGACGAAATTGCACCTTCATTAGCAGCCCTCGACGGTTGTGCTAATGGCCATCGCTGTTAGATTAGCCGTACAGGGACCTTCCTGTTCCTGCTGATCGGTTGAAACTCTATGTCGACGAGAGCGAAGCGCCGGGTTGCGGCTCTGGAGGTGGTGGCCACCTGTTGGCATGGCACTCTGGTGCGAGTTGCGCAAACGAGGCGGTCCTGCGTCGCGGGCATGGATGTGCTGCTGCTTCGGGCGACTCGACCGGGTATGAGGCTGCGGCATCCCGGGGCCAGCATGCGGGCGGATGCTCGTCGAAGCGTCGAAACAGCACAAGACAAGGGGCAGAAGGTTTCCAGACGCTGCGCTAACCATGCCGCGCCGTTCCCTCTTTTAGCTGTTTGTGGAGAGTGATCAGCTGGGGCGGCGAAAGGGAGTCAGCGAATCACCATCTCACCAACTTCCGCAGCCTCGACGCGCGTAGACAGTGATGTTGATCTTCGCCGGTGGGTTGCACGCTCTCACCTTCGTCCAGGCTCATCGTTGATCAGACAACTCGACCCACCACACCGCGCCAAAATAGCGACAAAGGGAGCGCTCTTCGCAACCGCTCGTCGGCTGTCTGCACGCGGTACACTGCCCTTTGCGTCTAGCGCGGCGAATGGTGCAGCGGTGGTCGATAGATCAATTGATTGACAATCAGCCAAAAGCGCTCAATTGGAAGCGCTGTCTCTGGTGGCAAACGTTAGAGCGCGAGAGCCTTTGGGCGGCGGTGGCATCGTGAAGCAGCCAGCATCTCCTCCACCGATCGATCAGGTCACCCCTTGCACCGCTCAACTCTCCGATGTCTCCTTTTTGCGGTTTCAGGCCCGGCATGGCGCATCAAACGCATCTCGACTCGGAATCGTGATCTGCCCCCAGCCTGATTGATGACCTTGGCCGAAGGCGCCTTAATCGCTTGTGTGCCCGCCTGACACTGGTTCGGCGTCGAGAACATGTTCCTCGCAGCGCCATGACAATTCCCATTCCATCTCTTTCGCGCGCTCTCCAGACGCCTCAACCCAGAGACAGCCAGACGCCTTCACAGCAGGCGAGGAGACTGGCGTGCGAAACACGTGGCTACCTGCAGAAATGACTGCGAATTGCTCTCAGGATCTCCTGGCCCAATGGTTGTGCTGTGAAGCCTTGGCTGGATGTCGACAAGCCGTGCTAGCTGTAGCCGATCTGGTAGCGTCCAATACGCTGGCCGATGAAGCGATCAAGCCCAGATATTGCGTGTCGCACTCTCGGATTGTCTGTATGTTCGAAGAAGGATGGAGGTGTGAAGAAGAGATGAAGTCGAGAGTGGTGGTGACTCCCCTGCGCGCCGAAGAAGCGGCGTGAACCACCTGAGCCGATGGACTCTGCACAGCACTCGCTGTACTACTCACCATACGCATACACCATCCGCATCCACATCCTTTCGACGGCATACCATCACCAGCAGCTTCACACGACCCGATCATGAGCTCTGAAACGATGCACACGAATCCGCGACAACAGGAAACATGCGGCAGTAAGCCGGTTTCGACCTGCCCTACGTGTCCAAATGCCACGTCAATGCGCGGTATCTACGGCTTCTTCGACGAGGCGAAACACAGTCTGGTTCCGTATCACCCATTCGCCAGGTTCTTCGCGGTTTGATCACGTATTCGGTCCCCTACTTTGCGTGGAGATCCAGGGCCATCCCAAGAGCTGCTGTCAGGCACAATCGAGAAGATTTTCAGACAGGTCGATTTCAGTGCGGTACCTGCATGTACTCGGAGATCTTATAGAGCGCCTACTCTCAATGTAAGCTTTCGGCATTTCTCTTGCTGCTGATGTTCTGTATAGGACCGAGCGACTGCCTCTCATATTTTGAACGCCTTAGAATGCACTCTCTACGCACGCCGCGCTCGTGTATTCTCCCACTTCCCAATCAAGCCCCGACACTCCGATCCATATCCTCGCTCCCTCCATACCCCGCCGCCCTCCTCTCCTTCACCCCATCGCTCACATCCTCACCCTCCCCCTCCTTCACCCGTCCAAACCCACCCTGGTTCGCCTCGCCCTGCTGCCCCGTCGTATACCCACTCATACCGCCCTCCGAAATCGTCTGCCCATATCGGATGTTCTCTGCGGTCTTTTGGCCTCGCTCTGCTCGCTCGGCGGCTGCTTCAGAGGTTTGGGAGGGGTCGGTTGTGGTTTGGGGGTTGCCGAATTGGCCGCCGGATTTCTTGTGAGGGATGGACTCCGTTTGGGCGCCTTCGTATCTGGGGAAGGGGTAGGGTCAGTTTGGAGTGGTTGAAGTGGTTGAAGTGGTTGAGGAGGTGGAGTACTGAGTCTGTTCGCCTCCTCTTTCTACATCATGAAGGTTGGAAGACATGGTGGCTGATTGTAATTGTTGAGGGCTCGAGCGGCTTTTGAGTTGGCGGTGTCTGCTTGAACAGGTCTCAAAGATGTTGTAATCACGGACAATGTTGTGTTGCGAAGAAGTCATTTTCATTTTCATCTGAGCGTGCCATTGAGCGCATCATAGCGATGATGCAAGCGGGGCCCCACGCTGCAGCAACAACTTGAATCCACCTCCTAACGCCGCGCTAAAACTGAGAATCCTCGAGCAAACATGTGATCGAAGACAGGACGTAAGAGGTGGTCATTTCCATCAGTCGTCAAAGTCAATGTCCATGCCAAGCAGGTGGCCCTCGTATATCCGCATGAATTTGGCCACGAATGCCTCCAAATGGAAGATGACCTTTGAGCCGGTTCGGATGCGATGCTCGTAAAAGGCACTCCACTTCACCACGTCTGCCTTCAGACTGTCGTCCAGCTTTGGCATGAGCTTGAAGGTGAGGGTCTGGAAGTGGGTTGATCAGTAAGTGAATGGCAACGGTTCTGAAAGTAGCACTTACCTTCAAGATCGTCGTGGCTGGAATGCAGTGAGTGAGTAGATCGTAAAGTTTTGCCCGTACTTGCAAAATGCGTGCTGGGCTTCGCTCTTCGATAATGTCCTTTGCAATGACTTCGATCAGTGCCTCCCAATCTGGTGGTGGTATGGGCGTCTTCTCTGACACGGTTTCGCTGTTTAAGGAGTTAGCAATCCACCCGTTCTTGATATGAAGCGAAGTCTTACTTCTGCGCATGGACTGCTTCAAACATGAGCAATGCCCTCCTCAGATTTCTCTTGCTGTCCTTCGCGATCCTCTTTTCCAATGGCTCACACGACGGATACCTCTCATCCTTGCCCACGCGAGCCAGAACCTCAGCAATCTCATCCTCTGTCGGCGCTGCGACTCGTACCAACAGACAACGAGAGCGAATCGGGGCGATGATGTTGCTCGTGCTGTTTGCCAGGAGTATGAGTCGCAGATTCGGACTGTACTTCTCCATCGTCCGTCTCAGCGCGGCCTGTGCATCTCTTGTCAAGTGATCCGCCTCATTGATGACTACGACCTTGAATCGCTGCTTGGCCGAGAGGTCTACCTGTTGCGTCTGTGCCACTTCTTTCAACAGATCCTGCACGACGACACGATCGTAATTGCCGACATCTGAAGGGGTTATTTCGAGGTGGTAGTTTGACGACACGATGTTGAACTCGAGTTTGCGGTTGCTGGTCGTTTGAAAGACTCGACTGTCGATCTTGATCTTCTCGACACCGGGACCGTAAAGTGCTCGCAGTGTCGCTGTGATTCGCGTCTTTTTGCCTGCACCAGATGGGCCGTAGATGAGGAGGTGTGGGAAGTCGCCTGAGTTTGCAAGGGCTTGAAGTCGTTCTGAAAGCTCCGGATGATATGTAAGGCTTTCCAGCGTTCGAGGTCGGTGTTTGTCTACGAGGAGCGCCATTGTCGATGTGTTGATGTGCAGTCGAGTTGGACGAGCTGCGCAGGTGGAAATGGATCTCGCTTGGGAGACGCGACGCCAGCACGCGAAAGTGGAGCGCTGCAGACTTTTAGGGTCGGCCAGACCTAACAAACTCTCAACCTACTCAACCTTAGCTAAGCGAGTACTTACCTACCTTCTACTGCTCTTTCTCCGTTTCCTTTAGTCCTAATACCTTTATTCCTTCTACTGAAATACCTTAAAATACTATATATATCGTCTAGT